GTGACGATGCCTGACTCCTCTTGAATACTGATAGGAATCCCAAAATCCCTGTGGCTACTGGAAAGGGTCCTTGGGTGCCCTGCCTCACCTCGAGAAGCGTCCCTTTGGCCCTGCCAAGCCTCGAAGAGATTCCTGAGGTGTCCCTCGTTACTAGACAGGAGTCCTGACGTCACTGAAGAAACTCGTGTTTTGAAGGGCCATCCCCGCCGTAAGTCGAGAACATACCCCAGGTCCCCGCCGCAACTCGAGAAAAACCATGAGACTTCCCCCTAGAGGCGAGATGAGGCCCCATTCCCCTGCAGTGCATGCAGAGCTATTCCGTGACCCCATTCAAACAAGTCAGGAGCTTCGACTTGCTTAATGGATCTCGAGACAGTCCCCAAGAACACTGTCACCAGTCTAGACGGACCCTGAGGTCACCCCAGCAACGCAAAGCAGCTCCACGTGCCCCAAATCAACTCGAGATGAGGCCCGATTCCCCTGCATTGACTCCAGAGCCATTCCCCGTTCCCCATTCAACACGACCGGTGGCTCGACTTCCTTCAGGCAACTCCAGAGATGCCCAGAGAACACTGTCCCAAGTCTAGAGGAACACCAACTTCAGCACAGCAACTCGAGGAATGCTCCGTGTACCCCAAATCGTCTCGAGATGCGAGCTGATTCCCTGGCTTAGGCTCAAGACGTATGCCAACTTCCCAGAAGCACCTCAGGAGGAGGCTTCTCTCAGCAATAGGTATGTGGGAGGGACCCCGAGTTTGCTGCCTCAAGGGGAATATACAGCGAGAAGCCCTAACTTGAAAGGAGGCCGGATTTCCTTGCAGTGGCTTGAATACAGGCTCGTCTTTCATCTCACAACATGAAGGGATGTCTGAATCCCCTGTGGAGACCTTAGAGAAAGCCCTAGGTCCCTGCCTCATTTTGACGGAATGCCTCACATCCCGCTGACACCTCGAGAGGCACGCGGAGTTCATTGCTTCAAAAGGTGACGATGCCTGACTCCTCTTGAATACTGATAGGAATCCCAAAATCCCTGTGGCTACTGGAAAGGGTCCTTGGGTGCCCTGCCTCACCTCGAGAAGCGTCCCTTTGGCCCTGCCAAGCCTCGAAGAGATTCCTGAGGTGTCCCTCGTTACTAGACAGGAGTCCTGACGTCACTGAAGAAACTCGTGTTTTGAAGGGCCATCCCCGCCGTAAGTCGAGAACATACCCCAGGTCCCCGCCGCAACTCGAGAAAAACCATGAGACTTCCCCCTAGAGGCGAGATGAGGCCCCATTCCCCTGCAGTGCATGCAGAGCTATTCCGTGACCCCATTCAAACAAGTCAGGAGCTTCGACTTGCTTAATGGATCTCGAGACAGTCCCCAAGAACACTGTCACCAGTCTAGACGGACCCTGAGGTCACCCCAGCAACGCAAAGCAGCTCCCTGTGCCCCAAATCAACTCGAGATGAGGCCCGATTCCCCTGCATTGACTCCAGAGCCATTCCCCGTTCCCCATTCAACACGACCGGTGGCTCGACTTCCTTCAGGCAACTCCAGAGATGCCCCGAGAACACTGTCCCAAGTCTAGAGGAACACCAACTTCAGCACAGCAACTCGAGGAATGCTCCGTGTACCCCAAATCGTCTCGAGATGCGAGCTGATTCCCTGGCTTAGGCTCAAGACGTATGCCAACTTCCCAGAAGCACCTCAGGAGGAGGCTTCTCTCAGCAATAGGTATGTGGGAGGGACCCCGAGTTTGCTGCCTCAAGGGGAATATACAGCGAGAAGCCCTAACTTGAAAGGAGGCCGGATTTCCTTGCAGTGGCTTGAATACAGGCTCGTCTTTCATCTCACAACATGAAGGGATGTCTGAATCCCCTGTGGAGACCTTAGAGAAAGCCCTAGGTCCCTGCCTCATTTTGACGGAATGCCTCACATCCCGCTGACACCTCGAGAGGCACGCGGAGTTCATTGCTTCAAAAGGTGACGATGCCTGACTCCTCTTGAATACTGATAGGAATCCCAAAATCCCTGTGGCTACTGGAAAGGGTCCTTGGGTGCCCTGCCTCACCTCGAGAAGCGTCCCTTTGGCCCTGCCAAGCCTCGAAGAGATTCCTGAGGTGTCCCTCGTTACTAGACAGGAGTCCTGACGTCACTGAAGAAACTCGTGTTTTGAAGGGCCATCCCCGCCGTAAGTCGAGAACATACCCCAGGTCCCCGGCGCAACTCGAGAAAAACCATGAGACTTCCCCCTAGAGGCGAGATGAGGCCCCATTCCCCTGCAGTGCATGCAGAGCTATTCCGTGACCCCATTCAAACAAGTCAGGAGCTTCGACTTGCTTAATGGATCTCGAGACAGTCCCCAAGAACACTGTCACCAGTCTAGACGGACCCTGAGGTCACCCCAGCAACGCAAAGCAGCTCCACGTGCCCCAAATCAACTCGAGATGAGGCCCGATTCCCCTGCATTGACTCCAGAGCCATTCCCCGTTCCCCATTCAACACGACCGGTGGCTCGACTTCCTTCAGGCAACTCCAGAGATGCCCAGAGAACACTGTCCCAAGTCTAGAGGAACACCAACTTCAGCACAGCAACTCGAGGAATGCTCCGTGTACCCCAAATCGTCTCGAGATGCGAGCTGATTCCCTGGCTTAGGCTCAAGACGTATGCCAACTTCCCAGAAGCACCTCAGGAGGAGGCTTCTCTCAGCAATAGGTATGTGGGAGGGACCCCGAGTTTGCTGCCTCAAGGGGAATATACAGCGAGAAGCCCTAACTTGAAAGGAGGCCGGATTTCCTTGCAGTGGCTTGAATACAGGCTCGTCTTTCATCTCACAACATGAAGGGATGTCTGAATCCCCTGTGGAGACCTTAGAGAAAGCCCTAGGTCCCTGCCTCATTTTGACGGAATGCCTCACATCCCGCTGACACCTCGAGAGGCACGCGGAGTTCATTGCTTCAAAAGGTGACGATGCCTGACTCCTCTTGAATACTGATAGGAATCCCTAAATCCCTGTGGCTACTGGAAAGGGTCCTTGGGTGCCCTGCCTCACCTCGAGAAGCGTCCCTTTGGCCCTGCCAAGCCTCGAAGAGATTCCTGAGGTGTCCCTCGTTACTAGACAGGAGTCCTGACGTCACTGAAGAAACTCGTGTTTTGAAGGGCCATCCCCGCCGTAAGTCGAGAACATACCCCAGGTCCCCGCCGCAACTCGAGAAAAACCATGAGACTTCCCCCTAGAGGCGAGATGAGGCCCCATTCCCCTGCAGTGCATGCAGAGCTATTCCGTGATCCCATTCAAACAAGTCAGGAGCTTCGACTTGCTTAATGGATCTCGAGACAGTCCCCAAGAACACTGTCACCAGTCTTGACGGACCCTGAGGTCACCCCAGCAACGCAAAGCAGCTCCATGTGCCCCAAATCAACTCGAGATGAGGCCCGATTCCCCTGCATTGACTCCAGAGCCATTCCCCGTTCCCCATTCAACACGACCGGTGGCTCGACTTCCTTCAGGCAACTCCAGAGATGCCCCGAGAACACTGTCCCAAGTCTAGAGGAACACCAACTTCAGCACAGCAACTCGAGGAATGCTCCGTGTACCCCAAATCGTCTCGAGATGCGAGCTGATTCCCTGGCTTAGGCTCAAGACGTATGCCAACTTCCCAGAAGCACCTCAGGAGGAGGCTTCTCTCAGCAATAGGTATGTGGGAGGGACCCCGAGTTTGCTGCCTCAAGGGGAATATACAGCGAGAAGCCCTAACTTGAAAGGAGGCCGGATTTCCTTGCAGTGGCTTGAATACAGGCTCGTCTTTCATCTCACAACATGAAGGGATGTCTGAATCCCCTGTGGAGACCTTAGAGAAAGCCCTAGGTCCCTGCCTCATTTTGACGGAATGCCTCACATCCCGCTGACACCTCGAGAGGCACGCGGAGTTCATTGCTTCAAAAGGTGACGATGCCTGACTCCTCTTGAATACTGATAGGAATCCCAAAATCCCTGTGGCTACTGGAAAGGGTCCTTGGGTGCCCTGCCTCACCTCGAGAAGCGTCCCTTTGGCCCTGCCAAGCCTCGAAGAGATTCCTGAGGTGTCCCTCGTTACTAGACAGGAGTCCTGACGTCACTGAAGAAACTCGTGTTTTGAAGGGCCATCCCCGCCGTAAGTCGAGAACATACCCCAGGTCCCCGCCGCAACTCGAGGAAAACCATGAGACTTCCCCCTAGAGGCGAGATGAGGCCCCATTCCCCTGCAGTGCATGCAGAGCTATTCCGTGACCCCATTCAAACAAGTCAGGAGCTTCGACTTGCTTAATGGATCTCGAGACAGTCCCCAAGAACACTGTCACCAGTCTAGACGGACCCTGAGGTCACCCCAGCAACGCAAAGCAGCTCCCTGTGCCCCAAATTAACTCGAGATGAGGCCCGATTCCCCTGCATTGACTCCAGAGCCATTCCCCGTTCCCCATTCAACACGACCGGTGGCTCGACTTCCTTCAGGCAACTCCAGAGATGCCCCGAGAACACTGGCCCAAGTCTAGAGGAACACCAACTTCAGCACAGCAACTCGAGGAATGCTCCGTGTACCCCAAATCGTCTCGAGATGCGAGCTGATTCCCTGGCTTAGGCTCAAGACGTATGCCAACTTCCCAGAAGCACCTCAGGAGGAGGCTTCTCTCAGCAATAGGTATGTGGGAGGGCCCCCGAGTTTGCTGCCTCAAGGGGAATATACAGCGAGAAGCCCTAACTTGAAAGGAGGCCGGATTTCCTTGCAGTGGCTTGAATACAGGCTCGTCTTTCATCTCACAACATGAAGGGATGTCTGAATCCCCTGTGGAGACCTTAGAGAAAGCCCTAGGTCCCTGCCTCATTTTGACGGAATGCCTCACATCCCGCTGACACCTCGAGAGGCACGCGGAGTTCATTGCTTCAAAAGGTGACGATGCCTGACTCCTCTTGAATACTGATAGGAATCCCAAAATCCCTGTGGCTACTGGAAAGGGTCCTTGGGTGCCCTGCCTAACCTCGAGAAGCGTCCCTTTGGCCCTGCCAAGCCTCGAAGAGATTCCTGAGGTGTCCCTCGTTACTAGACAGGAGTCCTGACGTCACTGAAGAAACTCGTGTTTTGAAGGGCCATCCCCGCCGTAAGTCGAGAACATACCCCAGGTCCCCGCCGCAACTCGAGAAAAACCATGAGACTTCCCCCTAGAGGCGAGATGAGGCCCCATTCCCCTGCAGTGCATGCAGAGCTATTCCGTGACCCCATTCAAACAAGTCAGGAGCTTCGACTTGCTTAATGGATCTCGAGACAGTCCCCAAGAACACTGTCACCAGTCTAGACGGACCCTGAGGTCACCCCAGCAACGCAAAGCAGCTCCATGTGCCCCAAATCAACTCGAGATGAGGCCCGATTCCCCTGCATTGACTCCAGAGCCATTCCCCGTTCCCCATTCAACACGACCGGTGGCTCGACTTCCTTCAGGCAACTCCAGAGATGCCCCGAGAACACTGTCCCAAGTCTAGAGGAACACCAACTTCAGCACAGCAACTCGAGGAATGCTCCGTGTACCCCAAATCGTCTCGAGATGCGAGCTGATTCCCTGGCTTAGGCTCAAGACGTATGCCAACTTCCCAGAAGCACCTCAGGAGGAGGCTTCTCTCAGCAATAGGTATGCGGGAGGGACCCCGAGTTTGCTGCCTCAAGGGGAATATACAGCGAGAAGCCCTAACTTGAAAGGAGGCCGGATTTCCTTGCAGTGGCTTGAATACAGGCTCGTCTTTCATCTCACAACATGAAGGGATGTCTGAATCCCCTGTGGAGACCTTAGAGAAAGCCCTAGGTCCCTGCCTCATTTTGACGGAATGCCTCACATCCCGCTGACACCTCGAGAGGCACGCGGAGTTCATTGCTTCAAAAGGTGACGATGCCTGACTCCTCTTGAATACTGATAGGAATCCCAAAATCCCTGTGGCTACTGGAAAGGGTCCTTGGGTGCCCTGCCTCACCTCGAGAAGCGTCCCTTTGGCCCTGCCAAGCCTCGAAGAGATTCCTGAGGTGTCCCTCGTTACTAGACAGGAGTCCTGACGTCACTGAAGAAACTCGTGTTTTGAAGGGCCATCCCCGCCGTAAGTCGAGAACATACCCCAGGTCCCCGCCGCAACTCGAGAAAAACCATGAGACTTCCCCCTAGAGGCGAGATGAGGCCCCATTCCCCTGCAGTGCATGCAGAGCTATTCCGTGACCCCATTCAAACAAGTCAGGAGCTTCGACTTGCTTAATGGATCTCGAGACAGTCCCCAAGAACACTGTCACCAGTCTAGACGGACCCTGAGGTCACCCCAGCAACGCAAAGCAGCTCCATGTGCCCCAAATCAACTCGAGATGAGGCCCGATTCCCCTGCATTGACTCCAGAGCCATTCCCCGTTCCCCATTCAACACGACCGGTGGCTCGACTTCCTTCAGGCAACTCCAGAGATGCCCCGAGAACACTGTCCCAAGTCTAGAGGAACACCAACTTCAGCACAGCAACTCGAGGAATGCTCCGTGTACCCCAAATCGTCTCGAGATGCGAGCTGATTCCCTGGCTTAGGCTCAAGACGTATGCCAACTTCCCAGAAGCACCTCAGGAGGAGGCTTCTCTCAGCAATAGGTATGTGGGAGGGCCCCCGAGTTTGCTGCCTCAAGGGGAATATACAGCGAGAAGCCCTAACTTGAAAGGAGGCCGGATTTCCTTGCAGTGGCTTGAATACAGGCTCGTCTTTCATCTCACAACATGAAGGGATGTCTGAATCCCCTGTGGAGACCTTAGAGAAAGCCCTAGGTCCCTGCCTCATTTTGACGGAATGCCTCACATCCCGCTGACACCTCGAGAGGCACGCGGAGTTCATTGCTTCAAAAGGTGACGATGCCTGACTCCTCTTGAATACTGATAGGAATCCCAAAATCCCTGTGGCTACTGGAAAGGGTCCTTGGGTGCCCTGCCTAACCTCGAGAAGCGTCCCTTTGGCCCTGCCAAGCCTCGAAGAGATTCCTGAGGTGTCCCTCGTTACTAGACAGGAGTCCTGACGTCACTGAAGAAACTCGTGTTTTGAAGGGCCATCCCCGCCGTAAGTCGAGAACATACCCCAGGTCCCCGCCGCAACTCGAGAAAAACCATGAGACTTCCCCCTAGAGGCGAGATGAGGCCCCATTCCCCTGCAGTGCATGCAGAGCTATTCCGTGATCCCATTCAAACAAGTCAGGAGCTTCGACTTGCTTAATGGATCTCGAGACAGTCCCCAAGAACACTGTCACCAGTCTAGACGGACCCTGAGGTCACCCCAGCAACGCAAAGCAGCTCCATGTGCCCCAAATCAACTCGAGATGAGGCCCGATTCCCCTGCATTGACTCCAGAGCCATTCCCCGTTCCCCATTCAACACGACCGGTGGCTCGACTTCCTTCAGGCAACTCCAGAGATGCCCCGAGAACACTGTCCCAAGTCCAGAGGAACACCAACTTCAGCACAGCAACTCGAGGAATGCTCCGTGTACCCCAAATCGTCTCGAGATGCGAGCTGATTCCCTGGCTTAGGCTCAAGACGTATGCCAACTTCCCAGAAGCACCTCAGGAGGAGGCTTCTCTCAGCAATAGGTATGTGGGAGGGACCCCGAGTTTGCTGCCTCAAGGGGAATATACAGCGAGAAGCCCTAACTTGAAAGGAGGCCGGATTTCCTTGCAGTGGCTTGAATACAGGCTCGTCTTTCATCTCACAACATGAAGGGATGTCTGAATCCCCTGTGGAGACCTTAGAGAAAGCCCTAGGTCCCTGCCTCATTTTGACGGAATGCCTCACATCCCGCTGACACCTCGAGAGGCACGCGGAGTTCATTGCTTCAAAAGGTGACGATGCCTGACTCCTCTTGAATACTGATAGGAATCCCAAAATCCCTGTGGCTACTGGAAAGGGTCCTTGGGTGCCCTGCCTCACCTCGAGAAGCGTCCCTTTGGCCCTGCCAAGCCTCGAAGAGATTCCTGAGGTGTCCCTCGTTACTAGACAGGAGTCCTGACGTCACTGAAGAAACTCGTGTTTTGAAGGGCCATCCCCGCCGTAAGTCGAGAACATACCCCAGGTCCCCGCCACAACTCGAGAAAAACCATGAGACTTCCCCCTAGAGGCGAGATGAGGCCCCATTCCCCTGCAGTGCATGCAGAGCTATTCCGTGATCCCATTCAAACAAGTCAGGAGCTTCGACTTGCTTAATGGATCTCGAGACAGTCCCCAAGAACACTGTCACCAGTCTAGACGGACCCTGAGGTCACCCCAGCAACGCAAAGCAGCTCCATGTGCCCCAAATCAACTCGAGATGAGGCCCGATTCCCCTGCATTGACTCCAGAGCCATTCCCCGTTCCCCATTCAACACGACCGGTGGCTCGACTTCCTTCAGGCAACTCCAGAGATGCCCCGAGAACACTGTCCCAAGTCCAGAGGAACACCAACTTCAGCACAGCAACTCGAGGAATGCTCCGTGTACCCCAAATCGTCTCGAGATGCGAGCTGATTCCCTGGCTTAGGCTCAAGACGTATGCCAACTTCCCAGAAGCACCTCAGGGGGAGGCTTCTCTCAGCAATAGGTATGTGGGAGGGACCCCGAGTTTGCTGCCTCAAGGGGAATATACAGCGAGAAGCCCTAACTTGAAAGGAGGCCGGATTTCCTTGCAGTGGCTTGAATACAGGCTCGTCTTTCATCTCACAACATGAAGGGATGTCTGAATCCCCTGTGGAGACCTTAGAGAAAGCCCTAGGTCCCTGCCTCATTTTGACGGAATGCCTCACATCCCGCTGACACCTCGAGAGGCACGCGGAGTTCATTGCTTCAAAAGGTGACGATGCCTGACTCCTCTTGAATACTGATAGGAATCCCAAAATCCCTGTGGCTACTGGAAAGGGTCCTTGGGTGCCCTGCCTCACCTCGAGAGGCGTCCCTTTGGCCCTGCCAAGCCTCGAAGAGATTCCTGAGGTGTCCCTCGTTACTAGACAGGAGTCCTGACGTCACTGAAGAAACTCGTGTTTTGAAGGGCCATCCCCGCCGTAAGTCGAGAACATACCCCAGGTCCCCGCCGCAACTCGAGAAAAACCATGAGACTTCCCCCTAGAGGCGAGATGAGGCCCCATTCCCCTGCAGTGCATGCAGAGCTATTCCGTGATCCCATTCAAACAAGTCAGGAGCTTCGACTTGCTTAATGGATCTCGAGACAGTCCCCAAGAACACTGTCACCAGTCTAGACGGACCCTGAGGTCACACCAGCAACGCAAAGCAGCTCCATGTGCCCCAAATCAACTCGAGATGAGGCCCGATTCCCCTGCATTGACTCCAGAGCCATTCCCCGTTCCCCATTCAACACGACCGGTGGCTCGACTTCCTTCAGGCAACTCCAGAGATGCCCCGAGAACACTGTCCCAAGTCCAGAGGAACACCAACTTCAGCACAGCAACTCGAGGAATGCTCCGTGTACACCAAATCGTCTCGAGATGCGAGCTGATTCCCTGGCTTAGGCTCAAGACGTATGCCAACTTCCCAGAAGCACCTCAGGAGGAGGCTTCTCTCAGCAATAGGTATGTGGGACAGACCCCGAGTTTGCTGCCTCAAGGGGAATATACAGCGAGAAGCCCTAACTTGAAAGGAGGCCGGATTTCCTTGCAGTGGCTTGAATACAGGCTCGTCTTTCATCTCAGAACATGAAGGGATGTCTGAATCCCCTGTGGAGACCTTAGAGAAAGCCCTAGGTCCCTGCCTCATTTTGACGGAATGCCTCACATCCCGCTGACACCTCGAGAGGCACGCGGAGTTCATTGCTTCAAAAGGTGACGATGCCTGACTCCTCTTGAATACTGATAGGAATCCCAAAATCCCTGTGGCTACTGGAAAGGGTCCTTGGGTGCCCTGCCTCACCTCGAGAGGCGTCCCTTTGGCCCTGCAAAGCCTCGAAGAGATTCCTGAGGTGTCCCTCGTTACTAGACAGGAGTCCTGACGTCACTGAAGAAACTCGTGTTTTGAAGGGCCATCCCCGCCGTAAGTCGAGAACATACCCCAGGTCCCCGCCGCAACTCGAGAAAAACCATGAGACTTCCCCCTAGAGGCGAGATGAGGCCCCATTCCCCTGCAGTGCATGCAGAGCTATTCCGTGATCCCATTCAAACAAGTCAGGAGCTTCGACTTGCTTAATGGATCTCAAGACAGTCCCCAAGAACACTGTCACCAGTCTAGACGGACCCTGAGGTCACCCCAGCAACGCAAAGCAGCTCCATGTGCCCCAAATCAACTCGAGATGAGGCCCGATTCCCCTGCATTGACTCCAGAGCCATTCCCCGTTCCCCATTCAACACGACCGGTGGCTCGACTTCCTTCAGGCAACTCCAGAGATGCCCCGAGAACACTGTCCCAATCCAGAGGAACACCAACTTCAGCACAGCAACTCGAGGAATGCTCCGTGTACCCCAAATCGTCTCGAGATGCGAGCTGATTCCCTGGCTTAGGCTCAAGACGTATGCCAACTTCCCAGAAGCACCTCAGGAGGAGGCTTCTCTCAGCAATAGGTATGTGGGAGGGACCCCGAGTTTGCTGCCTCAAGGGGAATATACAGCGAGAAGCCCTAACTTGAAAGGAGGCCGGATTTCCTTGCAGTGGCTTGAATACAGGCTCGTCTTTCATCTCACAACATGAAGGGATGTCTGAATCCCCTGTGGAGACCTTAGAGAAAGCCCTAGGTCCCTGCCTCATTTTGACGGAATGCCTCACATCCCGCTGACACCTCGAGAGGCACGCGGAGTTCATTGCTTCAAAAGGTGATGATGCCTGACTCCTCTTGAATACTGATAGGAATCCCAAAATCCCTGTGGCTACTGGAAAGGGTCCTTGGGTGCCCTGCCTCACCTCGAGAAGCGTCCCTTTGGCCCTGCCAAGCCTCGAAGAGATTCCTGAGGTGTCCCTCGTTACTAGACAGGAGTCCTGACGTCACTGAAGAAACTCGTGTTTTGAAGGGCCATCCCCGCCGTAAGTCGAGAACATACCCCAGGTCCCCGCCGCAACTCGAGAAAAACCATGAGACTTCCCCCTAGAGGCGAGATGAGGCCCCATTCCCCTGCAGTGCATGCAGAGCTATTCCGTGATCCCATTCAAACAAGTCAGGAGCTTCGACTTGCTTAATGGATCTCGAGACAGTCCCCAAGAACACTGTCACCAGTCTAGACGGACCCTGAGGTCACCCCAGCAACGCAAAGCAGCTCCATGTGCCCCAAATCAACTCGAGATGAGGCCCGATTCCCCTGCATTGACTCCAGAGCCATTCCCCGTTCCCCATTCAACACGACCGGTGGCTCGACTTCCTTCAGGCAACTCCAGAGATGCCCCGAGAACACTGTCCCAAGTCCAGAGGAACACCAACTTCAGCACAGCAACTCGAGGAATGCTCCGTGTACCCCAAATCGTCTCGAGATGCGAGCTGATTCCCTGGCTTAGGCTCAAGACGTATGCCAACTTCCCAGAAGCACCTCAGGAGGAGGCTTCTCTCAGCAATAGGTATGTGGGAGGGACCCCGAGTTTGCTGCCTCAAGGGGAATATACAGCGAGAAGCCCTAACTTGAAAGGAGGCCGGATTTCCTTGCAGTGGCTTGAATACAGGCTCGTCTTTCATCTCACAACATGAAGGGATGTCTGAATCCCCTGTGGAGACCTTAGAGAAAGCCCTAGGTCCCTGCCTCATTTTGACGGAATGCCTCACATCCCGCTGACACCTCGAGAGGCACGCGGAGTTCATTGCTTCAAAAGGTGACGATGCCTGACTCCTCTTGAATACTGATAGGAATCCCAAAATCCCTGTGGCTACTGGAAAGGGTCCTTGGGTGCCCTGCCTCACCTCTAGAGGCGTCCCTTTGGCCCTGCCAAGCCTCGAAGAGATTCCTGAGGTGTCCCTCGTTACTAGACAGGAGTCCTGACGTCACTGAAGAAACTCGTGTTTTGAAGGGCCATCCCCGCCGTAAGTCGAGAACATACCCCAGGTCCCCGCCGCAACTCGAGAAAAACCATGAGACTACCCCCTAGAGGCGAGATGAGGCCCCATTCCCCTGCAGTGCATGCAGAGCTATTCCGTGATCCCATTCAAACAAGTCAGGAGCTTCGACTTGCTTAATGGATCTCGAGACAGTCCCCAAGAACACTGTCACCAGTCTAGACGGACCCTGAGGTCACCCCAGCAACGCAAAGCAGCTCCATGTGCCCCAAATCAACTCGAGATGAGGCCCGATTCCCCTGCATTGACTCCAGAGCCATTCCCCGTTCCCCATTCAACACGACCGGTGGCTCGACTTCCTTCAGGCAACTCCAGAGATGCCCCGAGAACACTGTCCCAAGTCCAGAGGAACACCAACTTCAGCACAGGAACTCGAGGAATGCTCCGTGTACCCCAAATCGTCTCGAGATGCGAGCTGATTCCCTGGCTTAGGCTCAAGACGTATGCCAACTTCCCAGAAGCACCTCAGGAGGAGGCTTCTCTCAGCAATAGGTATGTGGGAGGGACCCCGAGTTTGCTGCCTCAAGGGGAATATACAGCGAGAAGCCCTAACTTGAAAGGAGGCCGGATTTCCTTGCAGTGGCTTGAATACAGGCTCGTCTTTCATCTCACAACATGAAGGGATGTCTGAATCCCCTGTGGAGACCTTAGAGAAAGCCCTAGGTCCCTGCCTCATTTTGACGGAATGCCTCACATCCCGCTGACACCTCGAGAGGCACGCGGAGTTCATTGCTTCAAAAGGTGACGATGCCTGACTCCTCTTGAATACTGATAGGAATCCCAAAATCCCTGTGGCTACTGGAAAGGGTCCTTGGGTGCCCTGCCTCACCTCTAGAGGCGTCCCTTTGGCCCTGCCAAGCCTCGAAGAGATTCCTGAGGTGTCCCTCGTTACTAGACAGGAGTCCTGACGTCACTGAAGAAACTCGTGTTTTGAAGGGCCATCCCCGCCGTAAGTCGAGAACATACCCCAGGTCCCCGCCGCAACTCGAGAAAAACCATGAGACTACCCCCTAGAGGCGAGATGAGGCCCCATTCCCCTGCAGTGCATGCAGAGCTATTCCGTGATCCCATTCAAACAAGTCAGGAGCTTCGACTTGCTTAATGGATCTCGAGACAGTCCCCAAGAACACTGTCACCAGTCTAGACGGACCCTGAGGTCACCCCAGCAACGCAAAGCAGCTCCATGTGCCCCAAATCAACTCGAGATGAGGCCCGATTCCCCTGCATTGACTCCAGAGCCATTCCCCGTTCCCCATTCAACACGACCGGTGGCTCGACTTCCTTCAGGCAACTCCAGAGATGCCCCGAGAACACTGTCCCAAGTCCAGAGGAACACCAACTTCAGCACAGCAACTCGAGGAATGCTCCGTGTACCCCAAATCGTCTCGAGATGCGAGCTGATTCCCTGGCTTAGGCTCAAGACGTATGCCAACTTCCCAGAAGCACCTCAGGAGGAGGCTTCTCTCAGCAATAGGTATGTGGGAGGGACCCCGAGTTTGCTGCCTCAAGGGGAATATACAGCGAGAAGCCCTAACTTGAAAGGAGGCCGGATTTCCTTGCAGTGGCTTGAATACAGGCTCGTCTTTCATCTCACAACATGAAGGGATGTCTGAATCCCCTGTGGAGACCTTAGAGAAAGCCCTAGGTCCCTGCCTCATTTTGACGGAATGCCTCACATCCCGCTGACACCTCGAGAGGCACGCGGAGTTCATTGCTTCAAAAGGTGACGATGCCTGACTCCTCTTGAATACTGATAGGAATCCCAAAATCCCTGTGGCTACTGGAAAGGGTCCTTGGGTGCCCTGCCTCACCTCGAGAAGCGTCCCTTTGGCCCTGCCAAGCCTCGAAGAGATTCCTGAGGTGTCCCTCGTTACTAGACAGGAGTCCTGACGTCACTGAAGAAACTCGTGTTTTGAAGGGCCATCCCCGCCGTAAGTCGAGAACATACCCCAGGTCCCCGCCGCAACTCGAGAAAAACCATGAGACTTCCCCCTAGAGGCGAGATGAGGCCCCATTCCCCTGCAGTGCATGCAGAGCTATTCCGTGACCCCATTCAAACAAGTCAGGAGCTTCGACTTGCTTAATGGATCTCGAGACAGTCCCCAAGAACACTGTCACCAGTCTAGACGGACCCTGAGGTCACCCCAGCAACGCAAAGCAGCTCCATGTGCCCCAAATCAACTCGAGATGAGGCCCGATTCCCCTGCATTGACTCCAGAGCCATTCCCCGTTCCCCATTCAACACGACCGGTGGCTCGACTTCCTTCAGGCAACTCCAGAGATGCCCCGAGAACACTGTCCCAAGTCTAGAGGAACACCAACTTCAGCACAGCAACTCGAGGAATGCTCCGTGTACCCCAAATCGTCTCGAGATGCGAGCTGATTCCCTGGCTTAGGCTCAAGACATATGCCAACTTCCCAGAAGCACCTCAGGAGGAGGCTTCTCTCAGCAATAGGTATGTGGGAGGGCCCCCGAGTTTGCTGCCTCAAGGGGAATATACAGCGAGAAGCCCTAACTTGAAAGGAGGCCGGATTTCCTTGCAGTGGCTTGAATACAGGCTCGTCTTTCATCTCACAACATGAAGGGATGTCTGAATCCCCTGTGGAGACCTTAGAGAAAGCCCTAGGTCCCTGCCTCATTTTGACGGAATGCCTCACATCCCGCTGACACCTCGAGAGGCACGCGGAGTTCATTGCTTCAAAAGGTGACGATGCCTGACTCCTCTTGAATACTGATAGGAATCCCAAAATCCCTGTGGCTACTGGAAAGGGTCCTTGGGTGCCCTGCCTAACCTCGAGAAGCGTCCCTTTGGCCCTGCCAAGCCTCGAAGAGATTCCTGAGGTGTCCCTCGTTACTAGACAGGAGTCCTGACGTCACTGAAGAAACTCGTGTTTTGAAGGGCCATCCCCGCCGTAAGTCGAGAACATACCCCAGGTCCCCGCCGCAACTCGAGAAAAACCATGAGACTTCCCCCTAGAGGCGAGATGAGGCCCCATTCCCCTGCAGTGCATGCAGAGCTATTCCGTGATCCCATTCAAACAAGTCAGGAGCTTCGACTTGCTTAATGGATCTCGAGACAGTCCCCAAGAACACTGTCACCAGTCTAGACGGACCCTGAGGTCACCCCAGCAACGCAAAGCAGCTCCATGTGCCCCAAATCAACTCGAGATGAGGCCCGATTCCCCTGCATTGACTCCAGAGCCATTCCCCGTTCCCCATTCAACACGACCGGTGGCTCGACTTCCTTCAGGCAACTCCAGAGATGCCCCGAGAACACTGTCCCAAGTCCAGAGGAACACCAACTTCAGCACAGCAACTCGAGGAATGCTCCGTGTACCCCAAATCGTCTCGAGATGCGAGCTGATTCCCTGGCTTAGGCTCAAGACGTATGCCAACTTCCCAGAAGCACCTCAGGAGGAGGCTTCTCTCAGCAATAGGTATGTGGGAGGGACCCCGAGTTTGCTGCCTCAAGGGGAATATACAGCGAGAAGCCCTAACTTGAAAGGAGGCCGGATTTCCTTGCAGTGGCTTGAATACAGGCTCGTCTTTCATCTCACAACATGAAGGGATGTCTGAATCCCCTGTGGAGACCTTAGAGAAAGCCCTAGGTCCCTGCCTCATTTTGACGGAATGCCTCACATCCCGCTGACACCTCGAGAGGCACGCGGAGTTCATTGCTTCAAAAGGTGACGATGCCTGACTCCTCTTGAATACTGATAGGAATCCCAAAATCCCTGTGGCTACTGGAAAGGGTCCTTGGGTGCCCTGCCTCACCTCGAGAAGCGTCCCTTTGGCCCTGCCAAGCCTCGAAGAGATTCCTGAGGTGTCCCTCGTTACTAGACAGGAGTCCTGACGTCACTGAAGAAACTCGTGTTTTGAAGGGCCATCCCCGCCGTAAGTCGAGAACATACCCCAGGTCCCCGCCACAACTCGAGAAAAACCATGAGACTTCCCCCTAGAGGCGAGATGAGGCCCCATTCCCCTGCAGTGCATGCAGAGCTATTCCGTGATCCCATTCAAACAAGTCAGGAGCTTCGACTTGCTTAATGGATCTCGAGAGAGTCCCCAAGAACACTGTCACCAGTCTAGACGGACCCTGAGGTCACCCCAGCAACGCAAAGCAGCTCCATGTGCCCCAAATCAACTCGAGATGAGGCCCGATTCCCCTGCATTGACTCCAGAGCCATTCCCCGTTCCCCATTCAACACGACCGGTGGCTCGACTTCCTTCAGGCAACTCCAGAGATGCCCCGAGAACACTGTCCCAAGTCCAGAGGAACACCAACTTCAGCACAGCAACTCGAGGAATGCTCCATGTACCCCAAATCGTCTCGAGATGCGAGCTGATTCCCTGGCTTAGGCTCAAGACGTATGCCAACTTCCCAGAAGCACCTCAGGGGGAGGCTTCTCTCAGCAATAGGTATGTGGGAGGGACCCCGAGTTTGCTGCCTCAAGGGGAATATACAGCGAGAAGCCCTAACTTGAAAGGAGGCCGGATTTCCTTGCAGTGGCTTGAATACAGGCTCGTCTTTCATCTCACAACATGAAGGGATGTCTGAATCCCCTGTGGAGACCTTAGAGAAAGCCCTAGGTCCCTGCCTCATTTTGACGGAATGCCTCACATCCCGCTGACACCTCGAGAGGCACGCGGTGTTCATTGCTTCAAAAGGTGACGATGCCTGACTCCTCTTGAATACTGATAGGAATCCCAAAATCCCTGTGGCTACTGGAAAGGGTCCTTGGGTGCCCTGCCTCACCTCGAGAAGCGTCCCTTTGGCCCTGCCAAGCCTCGAAGAGATTCCTGAGGTGTCCCTCGTTACTAGACAGGAGTCCTGACGTCACTGAAGAAACTCGTGTTTTGAAGGGCCATCCCCGCCGTAAGTCGAGAACATACCCCAGGTCCCCGCCGCAACTCGAGAAAAACCATGAGACTTCCCCCTAGAGGCGAGATGAGGCCCCATTCCCCTGCAGTGCATGCAGAGCTATTCCGTGATCCCATTCAAACAAGTCAGGAGCTTCGACTTGCTTAATGGATCTCCAGACAGTCCCCAAGAACACTGTCACCAGTCTAGACGGACCCTGAGGTCACCCCAGCAACGCAAAGCAGCTCCATGTGCCCCAAATCAACTCGAGATGAGGCCCGATTCCCCTGCATTGACTCCAGAGCCATTCCCCGTTCCCCATTCAACACGACCGGTGGCTCGACTTCCTTCAGGCAACTCCAGAGATGCCCCGAGAACACTGTCCCAAGTCCAGAGGAACACCAACTTCAGCACAGCAACTCGAGGAATGCTCCGTGTACCCCAAATCGTCTCGAGATGCGAGCTGATTCCCTGGCTTAGGCTCAAGACGTATGCCAACTTCCCAGAAGCACCTCAGGGGGAGGCTTCTCTCAGCAATAGGTATGTGGGAGGGACCCCGAGTTTGCTGCCTCAAGGGGAATATACAGCGAGAAGCCCTAACTTGAAAGGAGGCCGGATTTCCTTGCAGTGGCTTGAATACAGGCTCGTCTTTCATCTCACAACATGAAGGGATGTCTGAATCCCCTGTGGAGACCTTAGAGAAAGCCCTAGGTCCCTGCCTCATTTTGACGGAATGCCTCACATCCCGCTGACACCTCGAGAGGCACGCGGAGTTCATTGCTTCAAAAGGTGACGATGCCTGACTCCTCTTGAATACTGATAGGAATCCCAAAATCCCTGTGGCTACTGGAAAGGGTCCTTGGGTGCCCTGCCTCACCTCGAGAGGCGTCCCTTTGGCCCTGCAAAGCCTCGAAGAGATTCCTGAGGTGTCCCTCGTTACTAGACAGGAGTCCTGACGTCACTGAAGAAACTCGTGTTTTGAAGGGCCATCCCCGCCGTAAGTCGAGAACATACCCCAGGTCCCCGCCGCAACTCGAGAAAAACCATGAGACTTCCCCCTAGAGGCGAGATGAGGCCCCATTCCCCTGCAGTGCATGCAGAGCTATTCCGTGATCCCATTCAAACAAGTCAGGAGCTTCGACTTGCTTAATGGATCTCAAGACAGTCCCCAAGAACACTGTCACCAGTCTAGACGGACCCTGAGGTCACCCCAGCAACGCAAAGCAGCTCCATGTGCCCCAAATCAACTCGAGATGAGGCCCGATTCCCCTGCATTGACTCCAGAGCCATTCCCCGTTCCCCATTCAACACGACCGGTGGCTCGACTTCCTTCAGGCAACTCCAGAGATGCCCAGAGAACACTGTCCCAATCCAGAGGAACACCAACTTCAGCACAGCAACTCGAGGAATGCTCCGTGTACCCCAAATCGTCTCGAGATGCGAGCTGATTCCCTGGCTTAGGCTCAAGACGTATGCCAACTTCCCAGAAGCACCTCAGGAGGAGGCTTCTCTCAGCAATAGGTATGTGGGAGGGACCCCGAGTTTGCTGCCTCAAGGGGAATATACAGCGAGAAGCCCTAACTTGAAAGGAGGCCGGATTTCCTTGCAGTGGCTTGAATACAGGCTCGTCTTTCATCTCACAACATGAAGGGATGTCTGAATCCCCTGTGGAGACCTTAGAGAAAGCCCTAGGTCCCTGCCTCATTTTGACGGAATGCCTCACATCCCGCTGACACCTCGAGAGGCACGCGGAGTTCATTGCTTCAAAAGGTGACGATGCCTGACTCCTCTTGAATACTGATAGGAATCCCAAAATCCCTGTGGCTACTGGAAAGGGTCCTTGGGTGCCCTGCCTCACCTCGAGAAGCGTCCCTTTGGCCCTGCCAAGCCTCGAAGAGATTCCTGAGGTGTCCCTCGTTACTAGACAGGAGTCCTGACGTCACTGAAGAAACTCGTGTTTTGAAGGGCAATCCCCGCCGTAAGTCGAGAACATACCCCAGGTCCCCGCCGCAACTCGAGAAAAACCATGAGACTTCCCCCTAGAGGCGAGATGAGGCCCCATTCCCCTGCAGTGCATGCAGAGCTATTCCGTGATCCCATTCAAACAAGTCAGGAGCTTCGACTTGCTTAATGGATCTCGAGACAGTCCCCAAGAACACTGTCACCAGTCTAGACGGACCCTGAGGTCACCCCAGCAACGCAAAGCAGCTCCATGTGCCCCAAATCAACTCGAGATGAGGCCCGATTCCCCTGCATTGACTCCAGAGCCATTCCCCGTTCCCCATTCAACACGACCGGTGGCTCGACTTCCTTCAGGCAACTCCAGAGATGCCCCGAGAACACTGTCCCAAGTCCAGAGGAACACCAACTTCAGCACAGCAACTCGAGGAATGCTCCGTGTACCCCAAATCGTCTCGAGATGCGAGCTGATTCCCTGGCTTAGGCTCAAGACGTATGCCAACTTCCCAGAAGCACCTCAGGAGGAGGCTTCTCTCAGCAATAGGTATGTGGGAGGGACCCCGAGTTTGCTGCCTCAAGGGGAATATACAGCGAGAAGCCCTAACTTGAAAGGAGGCCGGATTTCCTTGCAGTGGCTTGAATACAGGCTCGTCTTTCATCTCACAACATGAAGGGATGTCTGAATCCCCTGTGGAGACCTTAGAGAAAGCCCTAGGTCCCTGCCTCATTTTGACGGAATGCCTCACATCCCGCTGACACCTCGAGAGGCACGCGGAGTTCATTGCTTCAAAAGGTGACGATGCCTGACTCCTCTTGAATACTGATAGGAATCCCAAAATCCCTGTGGCTACTGGAAAGGGTCCTTGGGTGCCCTGCCTCACCTCTAGAGGCGTCCCTTTGGCCCTGCCAAGCCTCGAAGAGATTCCTGAGGTGTCCCTCGTTACTAGACAGGAGTCCTGACGTCACTGAAGAAACTCGTGTTTTGAAGGGCCATCCCCGCCGTAAGTGGAGAACATACCCCAGGTCCCCGCCGCAACTCGAGAAAAACCATGAGACTACCCCCTAGAGGCGAGATGAGGCCCCATTCCCCTGCAGTGCATGCAGAGCTATTCCGTGATCCCATTCAAACAAGTCAGGAGCTTCGACTTGCTTAATGGATCTCGAGACAGTCCCCAAGAACACTGTCACCAGTCTAGACGGACCCTGAGGTCACCCCAGCAACGCAAAGCAGCTCCATGTGCCCCAAATCAACTCGAGATGAGGCCCGATTCCCCTGCATTGACTCCAGAGCCATTCCCCGTTCCCCATTCAACACGACCGGTGGCTCGACTTCCTTCAGGCAACTCCAGAGATGCCCCGAGAACACTGTCCCAAGTCCAGAGGAACACCAACTTCAGCACAGCAACTCGAGGAATGCTCCGTGTACCCCAAATCGTCTCGAGATGCGAGCTGATTCCCTGGCTTAGGCTCAAGACGTATGCCAACTTCCCAGAAGCACCTCAGGAGGAGGCTTCTCTCAGCAATAGGTATGTGGGAGGGACCCCGAGTTTGCTGCCTCAAGGGGAATATACAGCGAGAAGCCCTAACTTGAAAGGAGGCCGGATTTCCTTGCAGTGGCTTGAATACAGGCTCGTCTTTCATCTCACAACATGAAGGGATGTCTGAATCCCCTGTGGAGACCTTAGAGAAAGCCCTAGGTCCCTGCCTCATTTTGACGGAATGCCTCACATCCCGCTGACACCTCGAGAGGCACGCGGAGTTCATTGCTTCAAAAGGTGACGATGCCTGACTCCTCTTGAATACTGATAGGAATCCCAAAATCCCTGTGGCTACTGGAAAGGGTCCTTGGGTGCAATGCCTCACCTCGAGAAGCGTCCCTTTGGCCCTGCCAAGCCTCGAAGAGATTCCTGAGGTGTCCCTCGTTACTAGAGAGGAGTCCTGACGTCACTGAAAAAACTCGTGTTTTGAAGGGCCATCCCCGCCGTAAGTCGAGAACATACCCCAGGTCCCCGCCGCAACTCGAGAAAAACCATGAGACTTCCCCCTAGAGGCGAGATGAGGCCCCATTCCCCTGCAGTGCATGCAGAGCTATTCCGTGATCCCATTCAAACAAGTCAGGAGCTTCGACTTGCTTAATGGATCTCGAGACAGTCCCCAAGAACACTGTCACCAGTCTAGACGGACCCTGAGGTCACCCCAGCAATGCAAAGCAGCTCCCTGTGCCCCAAATCAACTCGAGATGAGGCCCGATTCCCCTGCATTGACTCCAGAGCCATTCCCCGTTCCCCATTCAACACGACCGGTGGCTCGCCTTCCTTCAGGCAACTCCAGAGATGCCCCGAGAACACTGTCCCAAGTCCAGAGGAACACCAACTTCAGCACAGGAACTCGAGGAATGCTCCGTGTACCCCAAATCGTCTCGAGATGCGAGCTGATTCCCTGGCTTAGGCTCAAGACGTATGCCAACTTCCCAGAAGCACCTCAGGAGGAGGCTTCTCTCAGCAATAGGTATGTGGGAGGGACCCCGAGTTTGCTGCCTCAAGGGGAATATACAGCGAGAAGCCCTAACTTGAAAGGAGGCCGGATTTCCTTGCAGTGGCTTGAATACAGGCTCGTCTTTCATCTCACAACATGAAGGGATGTCTGAATCCCCTGTGGAGACCTTAGAGAAAGCCCTAGGTCCCTGCCTCATTTTGACGGAATGCCTCACATCCCGCTGACACCTCGAGAGGCACGCGGAGTTCATTGCTTCAAAAGGTGACGATGCCTGACTCCTCTTGAATACTGATAGGAATCCCAAAATCCCTGTGGCTACTGGAAAGGGTCCTTGGGTGCCCTGCCTCACCTCGAGAAGCGTCCCTTTGGCCCTGCCAAGCCTCGAAGAGATTCCTGAGGTGTCCCTCGTTACTAGACAGGAGTCCTGACGTCACTGAAGAAACTCGTGTTTTGAAGGGCCATCCCCGCCGTAAGTCGAGAACATACCCCAGGTCCCCGCCGCAACTCGAGAAAAACCATGAGACTTCCCCCTAGAGGCGAGATGAGGCCCCATTCCCCTGCAGTGCATGCAGAGCTATTCCGTGATCCCATTCAAACAAGTCAGGAGCTTCGACTTGCTTAATGGATCTCGAGACAGTCCCCAAGAACACTGTCACCAGTCTAGACGGACCCTGAGGTCACCCCAGCAACGCAAAGCAGCTCCATGTGCCCCAAATCAACTCGAGATGAGGCCCGATTCCCCTGCATTGACTCCAGAGCCATTCCCCGTTCCCCATTCAACACGACCGGTGGCTCGACTTCCTTCAGGCAACTCCAGAGATGCCCCGAGAACACTGTCCCAAGTCCAGAGGAACACCAACTTCAGCACAGCAACTCGAGGAATGCTCCGTGTACCCCAAATCGTCTCGAGATGCGAGCTGATTCCCTGGCTTAGGCTCAAGACGTATGCCAACTTCCCAGAAGCACCTCAGGAGGAGGCTTCTCTCAGCAATAGGTATGTGGGAGGGACCCCGAGTTTGCTGCCTCAAGGGGAATATACAGCGAGAAGCCCTAACTTGAAAGGAGGCCGGATTTCCTTGCAGTGGCTTGAATACAGGCTCGTCTTTCATCTCACAACATGAAGGGATGTCTGAATCCCCTGTGGAGACCTTAGAGAAAGCCCTAGGTCCCTGCCTCATTTTGACGGAATGCCTCACATCCCGCTGACACCTCGAGAGGCACGCGGAGTTCATTGCTTCAAAAGGTGACGATGCCTGACTCCTCTTGAATACTGATAGGAATCCCAAAATCCCTGTGGCTACTGGAAAGGGTCCTTGGGTGCCCTGCCTCACCTCTAGAGGCGTCCCTTTGGCCCTGCCAAGCCTCGAAGAGATTCCTGAGGTGTCCCTCGTTACTAGACAGGAGTCCTGACGTCACTGAAGAAACTCGTGTTTTGAAGGGCCATCCCCACCGTAAGTCGAGAACATACCCCAGGTCCCCGCCGCAACTCGAGAAAAACCATGAGACTACCCCCTAGAGGCGAGATGAGGCCCCATTCCCCTGCAGTGCATGCAGAGCTATTCCGTGATCCCATTCAAACAAGTCAGGAGCTTCGACTTGCTTAATGGATCTCGAGACAGTCCCCAAGAACACTGTCACCAGTCTAGACGGACCCTGAGGTCACCCCAGCAACGCAAAGCAGCTCCATGTGCCCCAAATCAACTCGAGATGAGGCCCGATTCCCCTGCATTGACTCCAGAGCCATTCCCCGTTCCCCATTCAACACGACCGGTGGCTCGACTTCCTTCAGGCAACTCCAGAGATGCCCCGAGAACACTGTCCCAAGTCCAGAGGAACACCAACTTCAGCACAGCAACTCGAGGAATGCTCCGTGTACCCCAAATCGTCTCGAGATGCGAGCTGATTCCCTGGCTTAGGCTCAAGACGTATGCCAACTTCCCAGAAGCACCTCAGGAGGAGGCTTCTCTCAGCAATAGGTATGTGGGAGGGACCCCGAGTTTGCTGCCTCAAGGGGAATATACAGCGAGAAGCCCTAACTTGAAAGGAGGCCGGATTTCCTTGCAGTGGCTTGAATACAGGCTCGTCTTTCATCTCACAACATGAAGGGATGTCTGAATCCCCTGTGGAGACCTTAGAGAAAGCCCTAGGTCCCTGCCTCATTTTGACGGAATGCCTCACATCCCGCTGACACCTCGAGAGGCACGCGGAGTTCATTGCTTCAAAAGGTGACGATGCCTGACTCCTCTTGAATACTGATAGGAATCCCAAAATCCCTGTGGCTACTGGAAAGGGTCCTTGGGTGCCCTGCCTCACCTCGAGAAGCGTCCCTTTGGCCCTGCCAAGCCTCGAAGAGATTCCTGAGGTGTCCCTCGTTACTAGACAGGAGTCCTGACGTCACTGAAGAAACTCGTGTTTTGAAGGGCCATCCCCGCCGTAAGTCGAGAACATACCCCAGGTCCCCGCCGCAACTCGAGTAAAACCATGAGACTTCCCCCTAGAGGCGAGATGAGGCCCCATTCCCCTGCAGTGCATGCAGAGCTATTCCGTGATCCCATTCAAACAAGTCAGGAGCTTCGACTTGCTTAATGGATCTCGAGACAGTCCCCAAGAACACTGTCACCAGTCTAGACGGACCCTGAGGTCACCCCAGCAACGCAAAGCAGCTCCATGTGCCCCAAATCAACTCGAGATGAGGCCCGATTCCCCTGCATTGACTCCAGAGCCATTCCCCGTTCCCCATTCAACACGACCGGTGGCTCGACTTCCTTCAGGCAACTCCAGAGATGCCCCGAGAACACTGTCCCAAGTCCAGAGGAACACCAACTTCAGCACAGGAACTCGAGGAATGCTCCGTGTACCCCAAATCGTCTCGAGATGCGAGCTGATTCCCTGGCTTAGGCTCAAGACGTATGCCAACTTCCCAGAAGCACCTCAGGAGGAGGCTTCTCTCAGCAATAGGTATGTGGGAGGGACCCCGAGTTTGCTGCCTCAAGGGGAATATACAGCGAGAAGCCCTAACTTGAAAGGAGGCCGGATTTCCTTGCAGTGGCTTGAATACAGGCTCGTCTTTCATCTCACAACATGAAGGGATGTGTGAATCCCCTGTGGAGACCTTAGAGAAAGCCCTAGGTCCCTGCCTCATTTTGATGGAATGCCTCACATCCCGCTGACACCTCGAGAGGCACGCGGAGTTCATTGCTTCAAAAGGTGACGATGCCTGACTCCTCTTGAATACTGATAGGAATCCCAAAATCCCTGTGGCTACTGGAAAGGGTCCTTGGGTGCCCTGCCTCACCTCGAGAAGCGTCCCTTTGGCCCTGCCAAGCCTCGAAGAGATTCCTGAGGTGTCCCTCGTTACTAGACAGGAGTCCTGACGTCACTGAAGAAACTCGTGTTTTGAAGGGCCATCCCCGCCGTAAGTCGAGAACATACCCCAGGTCCCCGCCTCAACTCGAGGAAAACCATGAGACTTCCCCCTAGAGGCGAGATGAGGCCCCATTCCCCTGCAGTGCATGCAGAGCTATTCCGTGATCCCATTCAAACAAGTCAGGAGCTTCGACTTGCTTAATGGATCACGAGACAGTCCCCAAGAACACTGTCACCAGTCTAGACGGACCCTGAGGTCACCCCAGCAACGCAAAGCAGCTCCCTGTGCCCCAAATCAACTCGAGATGAGGCCCGATTCCCCTGCATTGACTCCAGAGCCATTCCCCGTTCCCCATTCAACACGACCGGTGGCTCGACTTCCTTCAGGCAACTCCAGAGATGCCCCGAGAACACTGGCCCAAGTCTAGAGGAACACCAACTTCAGCACAGCAACTCGAGGAATGCTCCGTGTACCCCAAATCGTCTCGAGATGCGAGCTGATTCCCTGGCTTAGGCTCAAGACGTATGCCAAATTCCCAGAAGCACCTCAGGAGGAGGCTTCTCTCAGCAATAGGTATGTGGGAGGGCCCCCGAGTTTGCTGCCTCAAGGGGAATATACAGCGAGTAGCCCTAACTTGAAAGGAGGCCGGATTTCCTTGCAGTGGCTTGAATACAGGCTCGTCTTTCATCTCACAACATGAAGGGATGTCTGAATCCCCTGTGGAGACCTTAGAGAAAGCCCTAGGTCCCTGCCTCATTTTGACGGAATGCCTCACATCCCGCTGACACCTCGAGAGGCACGCGGAGTTCATTGCTTCAAAAGGTGACGATGCCTGACTCCTCTTGAATACTGATAGGAATCCCAAAATCCCTGTGGCTACTGGAAAGGGTCCTTGGGTGCCCTGCCTCACCTCGAGAAGCGTCCCTTTGGCCCTGCCAAGCCTCGAAGAGATTCCTGAGGTGTCCCTCGTTACTAGACAGGAGTCCTGACGTCACTGAAGAAACTCGTGTTTTGAAGGGCCATCCCCGCCGTAAGTCGAGAACATACCCCAAGTCCCCGCCGCAACTCGAGAAAAACCATGAGACTTCCCCCTAGAGGCGAGATGAGGCCCCATTCCCCTGCAGTGCATGCAGAGCTATTCCGTGATCCCATTCAAACAAGTCAGGAGCTTCGACTTGCTTAATGGATCTCGAGACAGTCCCCAAGAACACTGTCACCAGTCTAGACGGACCCTGAGGTCACCCCAGCAACGCAAAGCAGCTCCATGTGCCCCAAATCAACTCGAGATGAGGCCCGATTCCCCTGCATTGACTCCAGAGCCATTCCCCGTTCCCCATTCAACACGACCGGTGGCTCGACTTCCTTCAGGCAACTCCAGAGATGCCCCGAGAACACTGTCCCAAGTCCAGAGGAACACCAACTTCAGCACAGGAACTCGAGGAATGCTCCGTGTACCCCAAATCGTCTCGAGATGCGAGCTGATTCCCTGGCTTAGGCTCAAGACGTATGCCAACTTCCCAGAAGCACCTCAGGAGGAGGCTTCTCTCAGCAATAGGTATGTGGGAGGGACCCCGAGTTTGCTGCCTCAAGGGGAATATACAGCGAGAAGCCCTAACTTGAAAGGAGGCCGGATTTCCTTGCAGTGGCTTGAATACAGGCTCGTCTTTCATCTCACAACATGAAGGGATGTGTGAATCCCCTGTGGAGACCTTAGAGAAAGCCCTAGGTCCCTGCCTCATTTTGATGGAATGCCTCACATCCCGCTGACACCTCGAGAGGCACGCGGAGTTCATTGCTTCAAAAGGTGACGATGCCTGACTCCTCTTGAATACTGATAGGAATCCCAAAATCCCTGTGGCTACTGGAAAGGGTCCTTGGGTGCCCTGCCTCACCTCGAGAAGCGTCCCTTTGGCCCTGCCAAGCCTCGAAGAGATTCCTGAGGTGTCCCTCGTTACTAGACAGGAGTCCTGACGTCACTGAAGAAACTCGTGTTTTGAAGGGCCATCCCCGCCGTAAGTCGAGAACATACCCCAGGTCCCCGCCTCAACTCGAGGAAAACCATGAGACTTCCCCCTAGAGGCGAGATGAGGCCCCATTCCCCTGCAGTGCATGCAGAGCTATTCCGTGATCCCATTCAAACAAGTCAGGAGCTTCGACTTGCTTAATGGATCACGAGACAGTCCCCAAGAACACTGTCACCAGTCTAGACGGACCCTGAGGTCACCCCAGCAACGCAAAGCAGCTCCCTGTGCCCCAAATCAACTCGAGATGAGGCCCGATTCCCCTGCATTGACTCCAGAGCCATTCCCCGTTCCCCATTCAACACGACCGGTGGCTCGACTTCCTTCAGGCAACTCCAGAGATGCCCCGAGAACACTGGCCCAAGTCTAGAGGAACACCAACTTCAGCACAGCAACTCGAGGAATGCTCCGTGTACCCCAAATCGTCTCGAGATGCGAGCTGATTCCCTGGCTTAGGCTCAAGACGTATGCCAACTTCCCAGAAGCACCTCAGGAGGAGGCTTCTCTCAGCAATAGGTATGTGGGAGGGCCCCCGAGTTTGCTGCCTCAAGGGGAATATACAGCGAGTAGCCCTAACTTGAAAGGAGGCCGGATTTCCTTGCAGTGGCTTGAATACAGGCTCGTCTTTCATCTCACAACATGAAGGGATGTCTGAATCCCCTGTGGAGACCTTAGAGAAAGCCCTAGGTCCCTGCCTCATTTTGACGGAATGCCTCACATCCCGCTGACACCTCGAGAGGCACGCGGAGTTCATTGCTTCAAAAGGTGACGATGCCTGACTCCTCTTGAATACTGATAGGAATCCCAAAATCCCTGTGGCTACTGGAAAGGGTCCTTGGGTGCCCTGCCTCACCTCGAGAAGCGTCCCTTTGGCCCTGCCAAGCCTCGAAGAGATTCCTGAGGTGTCCCTCGTTACTAGACAGGAGTCCTGACGTCACTGAAGAAACTCGTGTTTTGAAGGGCCATCCCCGCCGTAAGTCGAGAACATACCCCAGGTCCCCGCCGCAACTCGAGAAAAACCATGAGACTTCCCCCTAGAGGCGAGATGAGGCCCCATTCCCCTGCAGTGCATGCAGAGCTATTCCGTGATCCCATTCAAACAAGTCAGGAGCTTCGACTTGCTTAATGGATCTCGAGACAGTCCCCAAGAACACTGTCACCAGTCTAGACGGACCCTGAGGTCACCCCTGCAACGCAAAGCAGCTCCATGTGCCCCAAATCAACTCGAGATGAGGCCCGATTCCCCTGCATTGACTCCAGAGCCATTCCCCGTTCCCCATTCAACACGACCGGTGGCTCGACTTCCTTCAGGCAACTCCAGAGATGCCCAGAGAACACTGTCCCAAGTCTAGAGGAACACCAACTTCAGCACAGCAACTCGAGGAATGCTCCGTGTACCCCAAATCGTCTCGAGATGCGAGCTGATTCCCTGGCTTAGGCTCAAGACGTATGCCAACTTCCCAGAAGCACCTCAGGAGGAGGCTTCTCTCAGCAATAGGTATGTGGGAGGGACCCCGAGTTTGCTGCCTCAAGGGGAATATACAGCGAGAAGCCCTAACTTGAAAGGAGGCCGGATTTCCTTGCAGTGGCTTGAATACAGGCTCGTCTTTCATCTCACAACATGAAGGGATGTCTGAATCCCCTGTGGAGACCTTAGAGAAAGCCCTAGGTCCCTGCCTCATTTTGACGGAATGCCTCACATCCCGCTGACACCTCGAGAGGCACGCGGAGTTCATTGCTTCAAAAGGTGACGATGCCTGACTCCTCTTGAATACTGATAGGAATCCCAAAATCCCTGTGGCTACTGGAAAGGGTCCTTGGGTGCCCTGCCTCACCTCGAGAAGCGTCCCTTTGGCCCTGCCAAGCCTCGAAGAGATTCCTGAGGTGTCCCTCGTTACTAGACAGGAGTCCTGACGTCACTGAAGAAACTCGTGTTTTGAAGGGCCATCCCTGCCGTAAGTCGAGAACATACCCCAGGTCCCCGCCGCAACTCGAGAAAAAGCATGAGACTTCCCCCTAGAGGCGAGATGAGGCCCCATTCCCCTGCAGTGCATGCAGAGCTATTCCGTGACCCCATTCAAACAAGTCAGGAGCTTCGACTTGCTTAATGGATCTCGAGACAGTCCCCAAGAACACTGTCACCAGTCTAGACGGACCCTGAGGTCACCCCAGCAACGCAAAGCAGCTCCATGTGCCCCAAATCAACTCGAGATGAGGCCCGATTCCCCTGCATTGACTCCAGAGCCATTCCCCGTTCCCCATTAAACACGACCGGTGGCTCGACTTCCTTCAGGCAACTCCAGAGATGCCCCGAGAACACTGTCCCAAGTCTAGAGGAACACCAACTTCAGCACAGCAACTCGAGGAATGCTCCGTGTACCCCAAATCGTCTCGAGATGCGAGCTGATTCCCTGGCTTAGGCTCAAGACGTATGCCAACTTCCCAGAAGCACCTCAGGAGGAGGCTTCTCTCAGCAATAGGTATGTGGGAGGGACCCCGAGTTTGCTGCCTCAAGGGGAATATACAGCGAGAAGCCCTAACTTGAAAGGAGGCCGGATTTCCTTGCAGTGGCTTGAATACAGGCTCGTCTTTCATCTCACAACATGAAGGGATGTCTGAATCCCCTGTGGAGACCTTAGAGAAAGCCCTAGGTCCCTGCCTCATTTTGACGGAATGCCTCACATCCCGCTGACACCTCGAGAGGCACGCGGAGTTCATTGCTTCAAAAGGTGACGATGCCTGACTCCTCTTGAATACTGATAGGAATCCCAAAATCCCTGTGGCTACTGGAAAGGGTCCTTGGGTGCCCTGCCTCACCTCGAGAAGCGTCCCTTTGGCCCTGCCAAGCCTCGAAGAGATTCCTGAGGTGTCCCTCGTTACTAGACAGGAGTCCTGACGTCACTGAAGAAACTCGTGTTTTGAAGGGCCATCCCCGCCGTAAGTCGAGAACATACCCCAGGTCCCCGCCGCAACTCGAGAAAAACCATGAGACTTCCCCCTAGAGGCGAGATGAGGCCCCATTCCCCTGCAGTGCATGCAGAGCTATTCCGTGATCCCATTCAAACAAGTCAGGAGCTTCGACTTGCTTAATGGATCTCGAGACAGTCCCCAAGAACACTGTCACCAGTCTAGACGGACCCTGAGGTCACCCCAGCAACGCAAAGCAGCTCCATGTGCCCCAAATCAACTCGAGATGAGGCCCGATTCCCCTGCATTGACTCCAGAGCCATTCCCCGTTCCCCATTCAACACGACCGGTGGCTCGACTTCCTTCAGGCAACTCCAGAGATGCCCCGAGAACACTGTCCCAAGTCCAGAGGAACACCAACTTCAGCACAGCAACTCGAGGAATGCTCCGTGTACCCCAAATCGTCTCGAGATGCGAGCTGATTCCCTGGCTTAGGCTCAAGACGTATGCCAACTTCCCAGAAGCACCTCAGGAGGAGGCTTCTCTCAGCAATAGGTATGTGGGAGGGACCCCGAGTTTGCTGCCTCAAGGGGAATATACAGCGAGAAGCCCTAACTTGAAAGGAGGCCGGATTTCCTTGCAGTGGCTTGAATACAGGCTCGTCTTTCATCTCACAACATGAAGGGATGTCTGAATCCCCTGTGGAGACCTTAGAGAAAGCCCTAGGTCCCTGCCTCATTTTGACGGAATGCCTCACATCCCGCTGACACCTCGAGAGGCACGCGGAGTTCATTGCTTCAAAAGGTGACGATGCCTGACTCCTCTTGAATACTGATAGGAATCCCAAAATCCCTGTGGCTACTGGAAAGGGTCCTTGGGTGCCCTGCCTCACCTCGAGAAGCGTCCCTTTGGCCCTGCCAAGCCTCGAAGAGATTCCTGAGGTGTCCCTCGTTACTAGACAGGAGTCCTGACGTCACTGAAGAAACTCGTGTTTTGAAGGGCCATCCCCGCCGTAAGTCGAGAACATACCCCAGGTCCCCGCCGCAACTCGAGAAAAACCATGAGACTTCCCCCTAGAGGCGAGATGAGGCCCCATTCCCCTGCAGTGCATGCAGAGCTATTCCGTGATCCCATTCAAACAAGTCAGGAGCTTCGACTTGCTTAATGGATTTCGAGACAGTCCCCAAGAACACTGTCACCAGTCTAGACGGACCCTGAGGTCACCCCAGCAACGCAAAGCAGCTCCATGTGCCCCAAATCAACTCGAGATGAGGCCCGATTCCCCTGCATTGACTCCAGAGCCATTCCCCGTTCCCCATTCAACACGACCGGTGGCTCGACTTCCTTCAGGCAACTCCAGAGATGCCCCGAGAACACTGTCCCAAGTCCAGAGGAACACCAACTTCAGCACAGCAACTCGAGGAATGCTCCGTGTACCCCAAATCGTCTCGAGATGCGAGCTGATTCCCTGGCTTAGGCTCAAGACGTATGCCAACTTCCCAGAAGCACCTCAGGAGGAGGCTTCTCTCAGCAATAGGTATGTGGGAGGGACCCCGAGTTTGCTGCCTCAAGGGGAATATACAGCGAGAAGCCCTAACTTGAAAGGAGGCCGGATTTCCTTGCAGTGGCTTGAATACAGGCTCGTCTTTCATCTCACAACATGAAGGGATGTCTGAATCCCCTGTGGAGACCTTAGAGAAAGCCCTAGGTCCCTGCCTCATTTTGACGGAATGCCTCACATCCCGCTGACACCTCGAGAGGCACGCGGAGTTCATTGCTTCAAAAGGTGACGATGCCTGACTCCTCTTGAATACTGATAGGAATCCCAAAATCCCTGTGGCTACTGGAAAGGGTCCTTGGGTGCCCTGCCTCACCTCGAGAAGCGTCCCTTTGGCCCTGCCAAGCCTCGAAGAGATTCCTGAGGTGTCCCTCGTTACTAGACAGGAGTCCTGACGTCACTGAAGAAACTCGTGTTTTGAAGGGCCATCCCCGCCGTAAGTCGAGAACATACCCCAGGTCCCCGCCGCAACTCGAGAAAAACCATGAGACTTCCCCCTAGAGGCGAGATGAGGCCCCATTCCCCTGCAGTGCATGCAGAGCTATTCCGTGATCCCATTCAAACAAGTCAGGAGCTTCGACTTGCTTAATGGATCTCGAGAGAGTCCCCAAGAACACTGTCACCAGTCTAGACGGACCCTGAGGTCACCCCAGCAACGCAAAGCAGCTCCATGTGCCCCAAATCAACTCGAGATGAGGCCCGAATCCCCTGCATTGACTCCAGAGCCATTCCCCGTTCCCCATTCAACACGACCGGTGGCTCGACTTCCTTCAGGCAACTCCAGAGATGCCCCGAGAACACTGTCCCAAGTCTAGAGGAACACCAACTTCAGCACAGCAACTCGAGGAATGCTCCGTGTACCCCAAATCGTCTCGAGATGCGAGCTGATTCCCTGGCTTAGGCTCAAGACGTATGCCAACTTCCCAGAAGCACCTCAGGAGGAGGCTTCTCTCAGCAATAGGTATGTGGGAGGGACCCCGAGTTTGCTGCCTCAAGGGGAATATACAGCGAGAAGCCCTAACTTGAAAGGAGGCCGGATTTCCTTGCAGTGGCTTGAATACAGGCTCGTCTTTCATCTCACAACATGAAGGGATGTCTGAATCCCCTGTGGAGACCTTAGAGAATGCCCTAGGTCCCTGCCTCATTTTGACGGAATGCCTCACATCCCGCTGACACCTCGAGAGGCACGCGGAGTTCATTGCTTCAAAAGGTGACGATGCCTGACTCCTCTTGAATACTGATAGGAATCCCAAAATCCCTGTGGCTACTGGAAAGGGTCCTTGGGTGCCCTGCCTCACCTGGAGAAGCGTCCCTTTGGCCCTGCCAAGCCTCGAAGAGATTCCTGAGGTGTCCCTCGTTACTAGACAGGAGTCCTGACGTCACTGAAGAAACTCGTGTTTTGAAGGGCCATCCCCGCCGTAAGTCGAGAACATACCCCAGGTCCCCGCCGCAACTCGAGAAAAACCATGAGACTTCCCCCTAGAGGCGAGATGAGGCCCCATTCCCCTGCAGTGCATGCAGAGCTATTCCGTGATCCCATTCAAACAAGTCAGGAGCTTCGACTTGCTTAATGGATCTCGAGACAGTCCCCAAGAACACTGTCACCAGTCTAGACGGACCCTGAGGTCACCCCAGCAACGCAAAGCAGCTCCATGTGCCCCAAATCAACTCGAGATGAGGCCCGAATCCCCTGCATTGACTCCAGAGCCATTCCCCGTTCCCCATTCAACACGACCGGTGGCTCGACTTCCTTCAGGCAACTCCAGAGATGCCCCGAGAACACTGTCCCAAGTCCAGAGGAACACCAACTTCAGCACAGCAACTCGAGGAATGCTCCGTGTACCCCAAATCGTCTCGAGATGCGAGCTGATTCCCTGGCTTAGGCTCAAGACGTATGCCAACTTCCCAGAAGCACCTCAGGAGGAGGCTTCTCTCAGCAATAGGTATGTGGGAGGGACCCCGAGTTTGCTGCCTCAAGGGGAATATACAGCGAGAAGCCCTAACTTGAAAGGAGGCCGGATTTCCTTGCAGTGGCTTGAATACAGGCTCGTCTTTCATCTCACAACATGAAGGGATGTCTGAATCCCCTGTGGAGACCTTAGAGAAAGCCCTAGGTCCCTGCCTCATTTTGACGGAATGCCTCACATCCCGCTGACACCTCGAGAGGCACGCGGAGTTCATTGCTTCAAAAGGTGACGATGCCTGACTCCTCTTGAATACTGATAGGAATCCCAAAATCCCTGTGGCTACTGGAAAGGGTCCTTGGGTGCCCTGCCTCACCTCGAGAAGCGTCCCTTTGGCCCTGCCAAGCCTCGAAGAGATTCCTGAGGTGTCCCTCGTTACTAGACAGGAGTCCTGACGTCACTGAAGAAACTCGTGTTTTGAAGGGCCATCCCCGCCGTAAGTCGAGAACATACCCCAGGTCCCCGCCGCAACTCGAGAAAAACCATGAGACTTCCCCCTAGAGGCGAGATGAGGCCCCATTCCCCTGCAGTGCATGCAGAGCTATTCCGTGATCCCATTCAAACAAGTCAGGAGCTTCGACTTGCTTAATGGATCTCGAGACAGTCCCCAAGAACACTGTCACCAGTCTAGACGGACCCTGAGGTCACCCCAGCAACGCAAAGCAGCTCCATGTGCCCCAAATCAACTCGAGATGAGGCCCGATTCCCCTGCATTGACTCCAGAGCCATTCCCCGTTCCCCATTCAACACGACCGGTGGCTCGACTTCCTTCAGGCAACTCCAGAGATGCCCCGAGAACACTGTCCCAAGTCCAGAGGAACACCAACTTCAGCACAGCAACTCGAGGAATGCTCCGTGTACCCCAAATCGTGTCGAGATGCGAGCTGATTCCCTGGCTTAGGCTCAAGACGTATGCCAACTTCCCAGAAGCACCTCAGGAGGAGGCTTCTCTCAGCAATAGGTATGTGGGAGGGACCCCGAGTTTGCTGCCTCAAGGGGAATATACAGCGAGAAGCCCTAACTTGAAAGGAGGCCGGATTTCCTTGCAGTGGCTTGAATACAGGCTCGTCTTTCATCTCACAACATGAAGGGATGTCTGAATCCCCTGTGGAGACCTTAGAGAAAGCCCTAGGTCCCTGCCTCATTTTGTCGGAATGCCTCACATCCCGCTGACACCTCGAGAGGCACGCGGAGTTCATTGCTTCAAAAGGTGACGATGCCTGACTCCTCTTGAATACTGATAGGAATCCCAAAATCACTGTGGCTACTGGAAAGGGTCCTTGGGTGCCCTGCCTCACCTCGAGAAGCGTCCCTTTGGCCCTGCCAAGCCTCGAAGAGATTCCTGAGGTGTCCCTCGTTACTAGACAGGAGTCCTGACGTCACTGAAGAAACTCGTGTTTTGAAGGGCCATCCCCGCCGTAAGTCGAGAACATACCCCAGGTCCGCGCCGCAACTCGAGAAAAACCATGAGACTTCCCCCTAGAGGCGAGATGAGGCCCCATTCCCCTGCAGTGCATGCAGAGCTATTCCGTGATCCCATTCAAACAAGTCAGGAGCTTCGACTTGCTTAATGGATTTCGAGACAGTCCCCAAGAACACTGTCACCAGTCTAGACGGACCCTGAGGTCACCCCAGCAACGCAAAGCAGCTCCATGTGCCCCAAATCAACTCGAGATGAGGCCCGATTCCCCTGCATTGACTCCAGAGCCATTCCCCGTTCCCCATTCAACACGACCGGTGGCTCGACTTCCTTCAGGCAACTCCAGAGATGCCCCGAGAACACTGTCCCAAGTCCAGAGGAACACCAACTTCAGCACAGCAACTCGAGGAATGCTCCGTGTACCCCAAATCGTCTCGAGATGCGAGCTGATTCCCTGGCTTAGGCTCAAGACGTATGCCAACTTCCCAGAAGCACCTCAGGAGGAGGCTTCTCTCAGCAATAGGTATGTGGGAGGGACCCCGAGTTTGCTGCCTCAAGGGGAATATACAGCGAGAAGCCCTAACTTGAAAGGAGGCCGGATTTCCTTGCAGTGGCTTGAATACAGGCTCGTCTTTCATCTCACAACATGAAGGGATGTCTGAATCCCCTGTGGAGACCTTAGAGAAAGCCCTAGGTCCCTGCCTCATTTTGACGGAATGCCTCACATCCCGCTGACACCTCGAGAGGCACGCGGAGTTCATTGCTTCAAAAGGTGACGATGCCTGACTCCTCTTGAATACTGATAGGAATCCCAAAATCCCTGTGGCTACTGGAAAGGGTCCTTGGGTGCCCTGCCTCACCTCGAGAAGCGTCCCTTTGGCCCTGCCAAGCCTCGAAGAGATTCCTGAGGTGTCCCTCGTTACTAGACAGGAGTCCTGACGTCACTGAAGAAACTCGTGTTTTGAAGGGCCATCCCCGCCGTAAGTCGAGAACATACCCCAGGTCCCCGCCGCAACTCGAGAAAAACCATGAGACTTCCCCCTAGAGGCGAGATGAGGCCCCATTCCCCTGCAGTGCATGCAGAGCTATTCCGTGATCCCATTCAAACAAGTCAGGAGCTTCGACTTGCTTAATGGATCTCGAGAGAGTCCCCAAGAACACTGTCACCAGTCTAGACGGACCCTGAGGTCACCCCAGCAACGCAAAGCAGCTCCATGTGCCCCAAATCAACTCGAGATGAGGCCCGAATCCCCTGCATTGACTCCAGAGCCATTCCCCGTTCCCCATTCAACACGACCGGTGGCTCGACTTCCTTCAGGCAACTCCAGAGATGCCCCGAGAACACTGTCCCAAGTCTAGAGGAACACCAACTTCAGCACAGCAACTCGAGGAATGCTCCGTGTACCCCAAATCGTCTCGAGATGCGAGCTGATTCCCTGGCTTAGGCTCAAGACGTATGCCAACTTCCCAGAAGCACCTCAGGAGGAGGCTTCTCTCAGCAATAGGTATGTGGGAGGGACCCCGAGTTTGCTGCCTCAAGGGGAATATACAGCGAGAAGCCCTAACTTGAAAGGAGGCCGGATTTCCTTGCAGTGGCTTGAATACAGGCTCGTCTTTCATCTCACAACATGAAGGGATGTCTGAATCCCCTGTGGAGACCTTAGAGAATGCCCTAGGTCCCTGCCTCATTTTGACGGAATGCCTCACATCCCGCTGACACCTCGAGAGGCACGCGGAGTTCATTGCTTCAAAAGGTGACGATGCCTGACTCCTCTTGAATACTGATAGGAATCCCAAAATCCCTGTGGCTACTGGAAAGGGTCCTTGGGTGCCCTGCCTCACCTGGAGAAGCGTCCCTTTGGCCCTGCCAAGCCTCGAAGAGATTCCTGAGGTGTCCCTCGTTACTAGACAGGAGTCCTGACGTCACTGAAGAAACTCGTGTTTTGAAGGGCCATCCCCGCCGTAAGTCGAGAACATACCCCAGGTCCCCGCCGCAACTCGAGAAAAACCATGAGACTTCCCCCTAGAGGCGAGATGAGGCCCCATTCCCCTGCAGTGCATGCAGAGCTATTCCGTGATCCCATTCAAACAAGTCAGGAGCTTCGACTTGCTTAATGGATCTCGAGACAGTCCCCAAGAACACTGTCACCAGTCTAGACGGACCCTGAGGTCACCCCAGCAACGCAAAGCAGCTCCATGTGCCCCAAATCAACTCGAGATGAGGCCCGAATCCCCTGCATTGACTCCAGAGCCATTCCCCGTTCCCCATTCAACACGACCGGTGGCTCGACTTCCTTCAGGCAACTCCAGAGATGCCCCGAGAACACTGTCCCAAGTCCAGAGGAACACCAACTTCAGCACAGCAACTCGAGGAATGCTCCGTGTACCCCAAATCGTCTCGAGATGCGAGCTGATTCCCTGGCTTAGGCTCAAGACGTATGCCAACTTCCCAGAAGCACCTCAGGAGGAGGCTTCTCTCAGCAATAGGTATGTGGGAGGGACCCCGAGTTTGCTGCCTCAAGGGGAATATACAGCGAGAAGCCCTAACTTGAAAGGAGGCCGGATTTCCTTGCAGTGGCTTGAATACAGGCTCGTCTTTCATCTCACAACATGAAGGGATGTCTGAATCCCCTGTGGAGACCTTAGAGAAAGCCCTAGGTCCCTGCCTCATTTTGACGGAATGCCTCACATCCCGCTGACACCTCGAGAGGCACGCGGAGTTCATTGCTTCAAAAGGTGACGATGCCTGACTCCTCTTGAATACTGATAGGAATCCCAAAATCCCTGTGGCTACTGGAAAGGGTCCTTGGGTGCCCTGCCTCACCTCGAGAAGCGTCCCTTTGGCCCTGCCAAGCCTCGAAGAGATTCCTGAGGTGTCCCTCGTTACTAGACAGGAGTCCTGACGTCACTGAAGAAACTCGTGTTTTGAAGGGCCATCCCCGCCGTAAGTCGAGAACATACCCCAGGTCCCCGCCGCAACTCGAGAAAAACCATGAGACTTCCCCCTAGAGGCGAGATGAGGCCCCATTCCCCTGCAGTGCATGCAGAGCTATTCCGTGATCCCATTCAAACAAGTCAGGAGCTTCGACTTGCTTAATGGATCTCGAGACAGTCCCCAAGAACACTGTCACCAGTCTAGACGGACCCTGAGGTCACCCCAGCAACGCAAAGCAGCTCCATGTGCCCCAAATCAACTCGAGATGAGGCCCGATTCCCCTGCATTGACTCCAGAGCCATTCCCCGTTCCCCATTCAACACGACCGGTGGCTCGACTTCCTTCAGGCAACTCCAGAGATGCCCCGAGAACACTGTCCCAAGTCCAGAGGAACACCAACTTCAGCACAGCAACTCGAGGAATGCTCCGTGTACCCCAAATCGTGTCGAGATGCGAGCTGATTCCCTGGCTTAGGCTCAAGACGTATGCCAACTTCCCAGAAGCACCTCAGGAGGAGGCTTCTCTCAGCAATAGGTATGTGGGAGGGACCCCGAGTTTGCTGCCTCAAGGGGAATATACAGCGAGAAGCCCTAACTTGAAAGGAGGCCGGATTTCCTTGCAGTGGCTTGAATACAGGCTCGTCTTTCATCTCACAACATGAAGGGATGTCTGAATCCCCTGTGGAGACCTTAGAGAAAGCCCTAGGTCCCTGCCTCATTTTGTCGGAATGCCTCACATCCCGCTGACACCTCGAGAGGCACGCGGAGTTCATTGCTTCAAAAGGTGACGATGCCTGACTCCTCTTGAATACTGATAGGAATCCCAAAATCACTGTGGCTACTGGAAAGGGTCCTTGGGTGCCCTGCCTCACCTCGAGAAGCGTCCCTTTGGCCCTGCCAAGCCTCGAAGAGATTCCTGAGGTGTCCCTCGTTACTAGACAGGAGTCCTGACGTCACTGAAGAAACTCGTGTTTTGAAGGGCCATCCCCGCCGTAAGTCGAGAACATACCCCAGGTCCGCGCCGCAACTCGAGAAAAACCATGAGACTTCCCCCTAGAGGCGAGATGAGTCCCCATTACCCTGCAGTGCATGCAGAACTATTCCGTGATCCCATTCAAACAAGTCAGGAGCTTCGACTTGCTCAATGGATCTCGAGACAGTCCCCAAGAACACTGTCACCAGTCTAGACGGACCCTGAGGTCACCCCAGCAACGCAAAGCAGCTCCATGTGCCCCAAATCAACTCGAGATGAGGCCCGATTCCCCTGCATTGACTCCAGAGCCATTCCCCGTTCCCCATTCAACACGACCGGTGGCTCGACTTCCTTCAGGCAACTCCAGAGATGCCCCGAGAACACTGTCCCAAGTCCAGAGGAACACCAACTTCAGCACAGCAACTCGAGGAATGCTCCGTGTACCCCAAATCGTCTCGAGATGCGAGCTGATTCCCTGGCTTAGGCTCAAGACGTATGCCAACTTCCCAGAAGCACCTCAGGAGGAGGCTTCTCTCAGCAATAGGTATGTGGGAGGGACCCCGAGTTTGCTGCCTCAAGGGGAATATACAGCGAGAAGCCCTAACTTGAAAGGAGGCCGGATTTCCTTGCAGTGGCTTGAATACAGGCTCGTCTTTCATCTCACAACATGAAGGGATGTCTGAATCCCCTGTGGAGACCTTAGAGAAAGCCCTAGGTCCCTGCCTCATTTTGACGGAATGCCTCACATCCCGCTGACACCTCGAGAGGCACGCGGAGTTCATTGCTTCAAAAGGTGACGATGCCTGACTCCTCTTGAATACTGATAGGAATCCCAAAATCCCTGTGGCTACTGGAAAGGGTCCTTGGGTGCCCTGCCTCACCTCGAGAGGCGTCCCTTTGGCCCTGCCAAGCCTCGAAGAGATTCCTGAGGTGTCCCTCGTTACTAGACAGGAGTCCTGACGTCACTGAAGAAACTCGTGTTTTGAAGGGCCATCCCCGCCGTAAGTCGAGAACATACCCCAGGTCCCCGCCGCAACTCGAGAAAAACCATGAGACTTCCCCCTAGAGGCGAGATGAGGCCCCATTCCCCTTCAGTGCATGCAGAGCTATTCCGTGATCCCATTCAAACAAGTCAGGAGCTTCGACTTGCTTAATGGATCTCGAGACAGTCCCCAAGAACACTGTCACCAGTCTAGACGGACCCTGAGGTCACCCCAGCAACGCAAAGCAGCTCCATGTGCCCCAAATCAACTCGAGATGAGGCCCGATTCCCCTGCATTGACTCCAGAGCCATTCCCCGTTCCCCATTCAACACGACCGGTGGCTCGATTTCCTTCAGGCAACTCCAGAGATGCCCCGAGAACACTGTCCCAAGTCCAGAGGAACACCAACTTCAGCACAGCAACTCGAGGAATGCTCCGTGTACCCCAAATCGTCTCGAGATGCGAGCTGATTCCCTGGCTTAGGCTCAAGACGTATGCCAACTTCCCAGAAGCACCTCAGGAGGAGGCTTCTCTCAGCAATAGGTATGTGGGAGGGACCCCGAGTTTGCTGCCTCAAGGGGAATATACAGCGAGAAGCCCTAACTTGAAAGGAGGCCGGATTTCCTTGCAGTGGCTTGAATACAGGCTCGTCTTTCATCTCACAACATGAAGGGATGTCTGAATCCCCTGTGGAGACCTTAGAGAAAGCCCTAGGTCCCTGCCTCATTTTGACGGAATGCCTCACATCCCGCTGACACCTCGAGAGGCACGCGGAGTTCATTGCTTCAAAAGGTGACGATGCCTGACTCCTCTTGAATACTGATAGGAATCCCAAAATCCCTGTGGCTACTGGAAAGGGTCCTTGGGTGCCCTGCCTCACCTCGAGAAGCGTCCCTTTGGCCCTGCCAAGCCTCGAAGAGATTCCTGAGGTGTCCCTCGTTACTAGACAGGAGTCCTGACGTCACTGAAGAAACTCGTGTTTTGAAGGGCCATCCCCGCCGTAAGTCGAGAACATACCCCAGGTCCCCGCCGCAACTCGAGAAAAACCATGAGACTTCCCCCTAGAGGCGAGATGAGGCCCCATTCCCCTGCAGTGCATGCAGAGCTATTCCGTGATCCCATTCAAACAAGTCAGGAGCTTCGACTTGCTTAATGGATCTCGAGAGAGTCCCCAAGAACACTGTCACCAGTCTAGACGGACCCTGAGGTCACCCCAGCAACGCAAAGCAGCTCCATGTGCCCCAAATCAACTCGAGATGAGGCCCGAATCCCCTGCATTGACTCCAGAGCCATTCCCCGTTCCCCATTCAACACGACCGGTGGCTCGACTTCCTTCAGGCAACTCCAGAGATGCCCCGAGAACACTGTCCCAAGTCTAGAGGAACACCAACTTCAGCACAGCAACTCGAGGAATGCTCCGTGTACCCCAAATCGTCTCGAGATGCGAGCTGATTCCCTGGCTTAGGCTCAAGACGTATGCCAACTTCCCAGAAGCACCTCAGGAGGAGGCTTCTCTCAGCAATAGGTATGTGGGAGGGACCCCGAGTTTGCTGCCTCAAGGGGAATATACAGCGAGAAGCCCTAACTTGAAAGGAGGCCGGATTTCCTTGCAGTGGCTTGAATACAGGCTCGTCTTTCATCTCACAACATGAAGGGATGTCTGAATCCCCTGTGGAGACCTTAGAGAAAGCCCTAGGTCCCTGCCTCATTTTGACGGAATGCCTCACATCCCGCTGACACCTCGAGAGGCACGCGGAGTTCATTGCTTCAAAAGGTGACGATGCCTGACTCCTCTTGAATACTGATAGGAATCCCAAAATCCCTGTGGCTACTGGAAAGGGTCCTTGGGTGCCCTGCCTCACCTGGAGAAGCGTCCCTTTGGCCCTGCCAAGCCTCGAAGAGATTCCTGAGGTGTCCCTCATTACTAGACAGGAGTCCTGACGTCACTGAAGAAACTCGTGTTTTGAAGGGCCATCCCCGCCGTAAGTCGAGAACATACCCCAGGTCCCCGCCGCAACTCGAGAAAAACCATGAGACTTCCCCCTAGAGGCGAGATGAGGCCCCATTCCCCTGCAGTGCATGCAGAGCTATTCCGTGATCCCATTCAAACAAGTCAGGAGCTTCGACTTGCTTAATGGATCTCGAGACAGTCCCCAAGAACACTGTCACCAGTCTAGACGGACCCTGAGGTCACCCCAGCAACGCAAAGCAGCTCCATGTGCCCCAAATCAACTCGAGATGAGGCCCGAATCCCCTGCATTGACTCCAGAGCCATTCCCCGTTTCCCATTCAACACGACCGGTTCCTCGACTTCCTTCAGGCAACTCCAGAGATGCCCCGAGAACACTGTCCCAAGTCCAGAGGAACACCAACTTCAGCACAGCAACTCGAGGAATGCTCCGTGTACCCCAAATCGTCTCGAGATGCGAGCTGATTCCCTGGCTTAGGCTCAAGACGTATGCCAACTTCCCAGAAGCACCTCAGGAGGAGGCTTCTCTCAGCAATAGGTATGTGGGAGGGACCCCGAGTTTGCTGCCTCAAGGGGAATATACAGCGAGAAGCCCTAACTTGAAAGGAGGCCGGATTTCCTTGCAGTGGCTTGAATACAGGCTCGTCTTTCATCTCACAACATGAAGGGATGTCTGAATCCCCTGTGGAGACCTTAGAGAAAGCCCTAGGTCCCTGCCTCATTTTGACGGAATGCCTCACATCCCGCTGACACCTCGAGAGGCACGCGGAGTTCATTGCTTCAAAAGGTGACGATGCCTGACTCCTCTTGAATACTGATAGGAATCCCAAAATCCCTGTGGCTACTGGAAAGGGTCCTTGGGTGCCCTGCCTCACCTCGAGAAGCGTCCCTTTGGCCCTGCCAAGCCTCGAAGAGATTCCTGAGGTGTCCCTCGTTACTAGACAGGAGTCCTGACGTCACTGAAGAAACTCGTGTTTTGAAGGGCCATCCCCGCCGTAAGTCGAGAACATACCCCAGGTCCCCGCCGCAACTCGAGAAAAACCATGAGACTTCCCCCTAGAGGCGAGATGAGGCCCCATTCCCCTTCAGTGCATGCAGAGCTATTCCGTGATCCCATTCAAACAAGTCAGGAGCTTCGACTTGCTTAATGGATCTCGAGACAGTCCCCAAGAACACTGTCACCAGTCTAGACGGACCCTGAGGTCACCCCAGCAATGCAAAGCAGCTCCATGTGCCCCAAATCAACTCGAGATGAGGCCCGATTCCCCTGCATTGACTCCAGAGCCATTCCCCGTTCCCCATTCAACACGACCGGTGGCTCGATTTCCTTCAGGCAACTCCAGAGATGCCCCGAGAACACTGTCCCAAGTCCAGAGGAACACCAACTTCAGCACAGCAACTCGAGGAATGCTCCGTGTACCCCAAATCGTCTCGAGATGCGAGCTGATTCCCTGGCTTAGGCTCAAGACGTATGCCAACTTCCCAGAAGCACCTCAGGAGGAGGCTTCTCTCAGCAATAGGTATGTGGGAGGGACCCCGAGTTTGCTGCCTCAAGGGGAATATACAGCGAGAAGCCCTAACTTGAAAGGAGGCCGGATTTCCTTGCAGTGGCTTGAATACAGGCTCGTCTTTCATCTCACAACATGAAGGGATGTCTGAATCCCCTGTGGAGACCTTAGAGAAAGCCCTAGGTCCCTGCCTCATTTTGACGGAATGCCTCACATCCCGCTGACACCTCGAGAGGCACGCGGAGTTCATTGCTTCAAAAGGTGACGATGCCTGACTCCTCTTGAATACTGATAGGAATCCCAAAATCCCTGTGGCTACTGGAAAGGGTCCTTGGGTGCCCTGCCTCACCTCGAGAAGCGTCCCTTTGGCCCTGCCAAGCCTCGAAGAGATTCCTGAGGTGTCCCTCGTTACTAGACAGGAGTCCTGACGTCACTGAAGAAACTCGTGTTTTGAAGGGCCATCCCCGCCGTAAGTCGAGAACATACCCCAGGTCCCCGCCGCAACTCGAGAAAAACCATGAGACTTCCCCCTAGAGGCGAGATGAGGCCCCATTCCCCTGCAGTGCATGCAGAGCTATTCCGTGATCCCATTCAAACAAGTCAGGAGCTTCGACTTGCTTAATGGATCTCGAGAGAGTCCCCAAGAACACTGTCACCAGTCTAGACGGACCCTGAGGTCACCCCAGCAACGCAAAGCAGCTCCATGTGCCCCAAATCAACTCGAGATGAGGCCCGAATCCCCTGCATTGACTCCAGAGCCATTCCCCGTTCCCCATTCAACACGACCGGTGGCTCGACTTCCTTCAGGCAACTCCAGAGATGCCCCGAGAACACTGTCCCAAGTCTAGAGGAACACCAACTTCAGCACAGCAACTCGAGGAATGCTCCGTGTACCCCAAATCGTCTCGAGATGCGAGCTGATTCCCTGGCTTAGGCTCAAGACGTATGCCAACTTCCCAGAAGCACCTCAGGAGGAGGCTTCTCTCAGCAATAGGTATGTGGGAGGGACCCCGAGTTTGCTGCCTCAAGGGGAATATACAGCGAGAAGCCCTAACTTGAAAGGAGGCCGGATTTCCTTGCAGTGGCTTGAATACAGGCTCGTCTTTCATCTCACAACATGAAGGGATGTCTGAATCCCCTGTGGAGACCTTAGAGAAAGCCCTAGGTCCCTGCCTCATTTTGACGGAATGCCTCACATCCCGCTGACACCTCGAGAGGCACGCGGAGTTCATTGCTTCAAAAGGTGACGATGCCTGACTCCTCTTGAATACTGATAGGAATCCCAAAATCCCTGTGGCTACTGGAAAGGGTCCTTGGGTGCCCTGCCTCACCTGGAGAAGCGTCCCTTTGGCCCTGCCAAGCCTCGAAGAGATTCCTGAGGTGTCCCTCATTACTAGACAGGAGTCCTGACGTCACTGAAGAAACTCGTGTTTTGAAGGGCCATCCCCGCCGTAAGTCGAGAACATACCCCAGGTCCCCGCCGCAACTCGAGAAAAACCATGAGACTTCCCCCTAGAGGCGAGATGAGGCCCCATTCCCCTGCAGTGCATGCAGAGCTATTCCGTGATCCCATTCAAACAAGTCAGGAGCTTCGACTTGCTTAATGGATCTCGAGACAGTCCCCAAGAACACTGTCACCAGTCTAGACGGACCCTGAGGTCACCCCAGCAACGCAAAGCAGCTCCATGTGCCCCAAATCAACTCGAGATGAGGCCCGAATCCCCTGCATTGACTCCAGAGCCATTCCCCGTTCCCCATTCAACACGACCGGTGGCTCGACTTCCTTCAGGCAACTCCAGAGATGCCCTGAGAACACTGTCCCAAGTCCAGAGGAACACCAACTTCAGCACAGCAACTCGAGGAATGCTCCGTGTACCCCAAATCGTCTCGAGATGCGAGCTGATTCCCTGGCTTAGGCTCAAGACGTATGCCAACTTCCCAGAAGCACCTCAGGAGGAGGCTTCTCTCAGCAATAGGTATGTGGGAGGGACCCCGAGTTTGCTGCCTCAAGGGGAATATACAGCGAGAAGCCCTAACTTGAAAGGAGGCCGGATTTCCTTGCAGTGGCTTGAATACAGGCTCGTCTTTCATCTCACAACATGAAGGGATGTCTGAATCCCCTGTGGAGACCTTAGAGAAAGCCCTAGGTCCCTGCCTCATTTTGACGGAATGCCTCACATCCCGCTGACACCTCGAGAGGCACGCGGAGTTCATTGCTTCAAAAGGTGACGATGCCTGACTCCTCTTGAATACTGATAGGAATCCCAAAATCCCTGTGGCTACTGGAAAGGGTCCTTGGGTGCCCTGCCTCACCTCGAGAAGCGTCCCTTTGGCCCTGCCAAGCCTCGAAGAGATTCCTGAGGTGTCCCTCGTTACTAGACAGGAGTCCTGACGTCACTGAAGAAACTCGTGTTTTGAAGGGCCATCCCCGCCGTAAGTCGAGAACATACCCCAGGTCCCCGCCGCAACTCGAGAAAAACCATGAGACTTCCCCCTAGAGGCGAGATGAGGCCCCATTCCCCTGCAGTGCATGCAGAGCTATTCCGTGATCCCATTCAAACAAGTCAGGAGCTTCGACTTGCTTAATGGATCTCGAGACAGTCCCCAAGAACACTGTCACCAGTCTAGACGGACCCTGAGGTCACCCCAGCAACGCAAAGCAGCTCCATGTGCCCCAAATCAACTCGAGATGAGGCCCGATTCCCCTGCATTGACTCCAGAGCCATTCCCCGTTCCCCATTCAACACGACCGGTGGCTCGACTTCCTTCAGGCAACTCCAGAGATGCCCCGAGAACACTGTCCCAAGTCCAGAGGAACACCAACTTCAGCACAGCAACTCGAGGAATGCTCCGTGTACCCCAAATCGTGTCGAGATGCGAGCTGATTCCCTGGCTTAGGCTCAAGACGTATGCCAACTTCCCAGAAGCACCTCAGGAGGAGGCTTCTCTCAGCAATAGGTATGTGGGAGGGACCCCGAGTTTGCTGCCTCAAGGGGAATATACAGCGAGAAGCCCTAACTTGAAAGGAGGCCGGATTTCCTTGCAGTGGCTTGAATACAGGCTCGTCTTTCATCTCACAACATGAAGGGATGTCTGAATCCCCTGTGGAGACCTTAGAGAAAGCCCTAGGTCCCTGCCTCATTTTGTCGGAATGCCTCACATCCCGCTGACACCTCGAGAGGCACGCGGAGTTCATTGCTTCAAAAGGTGACGATGCCTGACTCCTCTTGAATACTGATAGGAATCCCAAAATCCCTGTGGCTACTGGAAAGGGTCCTTGGGTGCCCTGCCTCACCTCGAGAAGCGTCCCTTTGGCCCTGCCAAGCCTCGAAGAGATTCCTGAGGTGTCCCTCGTTACTAGACAGGAGTCCTGACGTCACTGAAGAAACTCGTGTTTTGAAGGGCCATCCCCGCCGTAAGTCGAGAACATACCCCAGGTCCCCGCCGCAACTCGAGAAAAACCATGAGACTTCCCCCTAGAGGCGAGATGAGGCCCCATTCCCCTGCAGTGCATGCAGAACTATTCCGTGATCCCATTCAAACAAGTCAGGAGCTTCGACTTGCTTAATGGGTCTCGAGACAGTCCCCAAGAACACTGTCACCAGTCTAGACGGACCCTGAGGTCACCCCAGCAACGCAAAGCAGCTCCATGTGCCCCAAATCAACTCGAGATGAGGCCCGATTCCCCTGCATTGACTCCAGAGCCATTCCCCGTTCCCCATTCAACACGACCGGTGGCTCGACTTCCTTCAGGCAACTCCAGAGATGCCCCGAGAACACTGTCCCAAGTCCAGAGGAACACCAACTTCAGCACAGCAACTCGAGGAATGCTCCGTGTACCCCAAATCGTCTCGAGATGCGAGCTGATTCCCTGGCTTAGGCTCAAGACGTATGCCAACTTCCCAGAAGCACCTCAGGAGGAGGCTTCTCTCAGCAATAGGTATGTGGGAGGGACCCCGAGTTTGCTGCCTCAAGGGGAATATACAGCGAGAAGCCCTAACTTGAAAGGAGGCCGGATTTCCTTGCAGTGGCTTGAATACAGGCTCGTCTTTCATCTCACAACATGAAGGGATGTCTGAATCCCCTGTGGAGACCTTAGAGAAAGCCCTAGGTCCCTGCCTCATTTTGACGGAATGCCTCACATCCCGCTGACACCTCGAGAGGCACGCGGAGTTCATTGCTTCAAAAGGTGACGATGCCTGACTCCTCTTGAATACTGATAGGAATCCCAAAATCCCTGTGGCTACTGGAAAGGGTCCTTGGGTGCCCTGCCTCACCTCGAGAGGCGTCCCTTTGGCCCTGCCAAGCCTCGAAGAGATTCCTGAGGTGTCCCTCGTTACTAGACAGGAGTCCTGACGTCACTGAAGAAACTCGTGTTTTGAAGGGCCATCCCCGCCGTAAGTCGAGAACATACCCCAGGTCCCCGCCGCAACTCGAGAAAAACCATGAGACTTCCCCCTAGAGGCGAGATGAGGCCCCATTCCCCTGCAGTGCATGCAGAGCTATTCCGTGATCCCATTCAAACAAGTCAGGAGCTTCGACTTGCTTAATGGATCTCGAGACAGTCCCCAAGAACACTGTCACCAGTCTAGACGGACCCTGAGGTCACCCCAGCAACGCAAAGCAGCACCATGTGCCCCAAATCAACTCGAGATGAGGCCCGATTCCCCTGCATTGACTCCAGAGCCATTCCCCGTTCCCCATTCAACACGACCGGTGGCTCGACTTCCTTCAGGCAACTCCAGAGATGCCCCGAGAACACTGTCCCAAGTCTAGAAGAACACCAACTTCAGCACAGCAACTCGAGGAATGCTCCGTGTACCCCAAATCGTCTCGAGATGCGAGCTGATTCCCTGGCTTAGGCTCAAGACGTATGCCAACTTCCCAGAAGCACCTCAGGAGGAGGCTTCTCTCAGCAATAGGTATGTGGGACGGCCCCCGAGTTTGCTGCCTCAAGGGGAATATACAGCGAGAAGCCCTAACTTGAAAGGAGGCCGGATTTCCTTGCAGTGGCTTGAATAGAGGCTCGTCTTTCATCTCACAACATGAAGGGATGTCTGAATCCCCTGTGGAGACCTTAGAGAAAGCCCTAGGTCCCTGCCTCATTTTGACGGAATGCCTCACATCCCGCTGACACCTCGAGAGGCACGCGGAGTTCATTGCTTCAAAAGGTGACGATGCCTGACTCCTCTTGAATACTGATAGGAATCCCAAAATCCCTGTGGCTACTGGAAAGGGTCCTTGGGTGCCCTGCCTCACCTCGAGAAGCGTCCCTTTGGCCCTGCCAAGCCTCGAAGAGATTCCTGAGGTGTCCCTCGTTACTAGACAGGAGTCCTGACGTCACTGAAGAAACTCGTGTTTTGAAGGGCCATCCCCGCCGTAAGTCGAGAACATACCCCATGTCCCCGCCGCAACTCGAGAAAAACCATGAGACTTCCCCCTAGAGGCGAGATGAGGCCCCATTCCCCTGCAGTGCATGCAGAGCTATTCCGTGATCCCATTCAAACAAGTCAGGAGCTTCGACTTGCTTAATGGATCTCGAGACAGTCCCCAAGAACACTGTCACCAGTCTAGACGGACCCTGAGGTCACCCCAGCAACGCAAAGCAGCTCCATGTGCCCCAAATCAACTCGAGATGAGGCCCGATTCCCCTGCATTGACTCCAGAGCCATTCCCCGTTCCCCATTCAACACGACCGGTGGCTCGACTTCCTTCAGGCAACTCCAGAGATGCCCCGAGAACACTGTCCCAAGTCTAGAGGAACACCAACTTCAGCACAGCAACTCGAGGAATGCTCCGTGTACCCCAAATCGTCTCGAGATGCGAGCTGATTCCCTGGCTTAGGCTCAAGACGTATGCCAACTTCCCAGAAGCACCTCAGGAGGAGGCTTCTCTCAGCAATAGGTATGTGGGAGGGCCCCCGAGTTTGCTGCCTCAAGGGGAATATACAGCGAGAAGCCCTAACTTGAAAGGAGGCCGGATTTCCTTGCAGTGGCTTGAATACAGGCTCGTCTTTCATCTCACAACATGAAGGGATGTCTGAATCCCCTGTGGAGACCTTAGAGAAAGCCCTAGGTCCCTGCCTCATTTTGACGGGATGCCTCACATCCCGCTGATACCTCGAGAGGCACGCGGAGTTCATTGCTTCAAAAGGTGACGATGCCTGACTCCTCTTGAATACTGATAGGAATCCCAAAATCCCTGTGGCTACTGGAAAGGGTCCTTGGGTGCCCTGCCTCACCTCGAGAAGCGTCCCTTTGGCCCTGCCAAGCCTCGAAGAGATTCCTGAGGTGTCCCTCGTTACTAGACAGGAGTCCTGACGTCACTGAAGAAACTCGTGTTTTGAAGGGCCATCCCCGCCGTAAGTCGAGAACATACCCCAGGTCCCCGCCGCAACTCGAGAAAAACCATGAGACTTCCCCCTAGAGGCGAGATGAGGCCCCATTCCCCTGCAGTGCATGCAGAGCTATTCCGTGATCCCATTCAAACAAGTCAGGAGCTTCGACTTGCTTAATGGATCTCGAGACAGTCCCCAAGAACACTGTCACCAGTCTAGACGGACCCTGAGGTCACCCCAGCAACGCAAAGCAGCTCCATGTGCCCCAAATCAACTCGAGATGAGGCCCGATTCCCCTGCATTGACTCCAGAGCCATTCCCCGTTCCCCATTCAACACGACCGGTGGCTCGACTTCCTTCAGGCAACTCCAGAGATGCCCCGAGAACACTGTCCCAAGTCCAGAGGAACACCAACTTCAGCACAGCAACTCGAGGAATGCTCCGTGTACCCCAAATCGTGTCGAGATGCGAGCTGATTCCCTGGCTTAGGCTCAAGACGTATGCCAACTTCCCAGAAGCACCTCAGGAGGAGGCTTCTCTCAGCAATAGGTATGTGGGAGGGACCCCGAGTTTGCTGCCTCAAGGGGAATATACAGCGAGAAGCCCTAACTTGAAAGGAGGCCGGATTTCCTTGCAGTGGCTTGAATACAGGCTCGTCTTTCATCTCACAACATGAAGGGATGTCTGAATCCCCTGTGGAGACCTAGGAGAAAGCCCTAGGTCCCTGCCTCATTTTGTCGGAATGCCTCACATCCCGCTGACACCTCGAGAGGCACGCGGAGTTCATTGCTTCAAAAGGTGACGATGCCTGACTCCTCTTGAATACTGATAGGAATCCCAAAATCCCTGTGGCTACTGGAAAGGGTCCTTGGGTGCCCTGCCTCACCTCGAGAAGCGTCCCTTTGGCCCTGCCAAGCCTCGAAGAGATTCCTGAGGTGTCCCTCGTTACTAGACAGGAGTCCTGACGTCACTGAAGAAACTCGTGTTTTGAAGGGCCATCCCCGCCGTAAGTCGAGAACATACCCCAGGTCCCCGCCGCAACTCGAGAAAAACCATGAGACTTCCCCCTAGAGGCGAGATGAGGCCCCATTCCCCTGCAGTGCATGCAGAACTATTCCGTGATCCCATTCAAACAAGTCAGGAGCTTCGACTTGCTTAATGGGTCTCGAGACAGTCCCCAAGAACACTGTCACCAGTCTAGACGGACCCTGAGGTCACCCCAGCAACGCAAAGCAGCTCCATGTGCCCCAAATCAACTCGAGATGAGGCCCGATTCCCCTGCATTGACTCCAGAGCCATTCCCCGTTCCCCATTCAACACGACCGGTGGCTCGACTTCCTTCAGGCAACTCCAGAGATGCCCCGAGAACACTGTCCCAAGTCCAGAGGAACACCAACTTCAGCACAGCAACTCGAGGAATGCTCCGTGTACCCCAAATCGTCTCGAGATGCGAGCTGATTCCCTGGCTTAGGCTCAAGACGTATGCCAACTTCCCAGAAGCACCTCAGGAGGAGGCTTCTCTCAGCAATAGGTATGTGGGAGGGACCCCGAGTTTGCTGCCTCAAGGGGAATATACAGCGAGAAGCCCTAACTTGAAAGGAGGCCGGATTTCCTTGCAGTGGCTTGAATACAGGCTCGTCTTTCATCTCACAACATGAAGGGATGTCTGAATCCCCTGTGGAGACCTTAGAGAAAGCCCTAGGTCCCTGCCTCATTTTGACGGAATGCCTCACATCCCGCTGACACCTCGAGAGGCACGCGGAGTTCATTGCTTCAAAAGGTGACGATGCCTGACTCCTCTTGAATACTGATAGGAATCCCAAAATCCCTGTGGCTACTGGAAAGGGTCCTTGGGTGCCCTGCCTCACCTCGAGAGGCGTCCCTTTGGCCCTGCCAAGCCTCGAAGAGATTCCTGAGGTGTCCCTCGTTACTAGACAGGAGTCCTGACGTCACTGAAGAAACTCGTGTTTTGAAGGGCCATCCCCGCCGTAAGTCGAGAACATACCCCAGGTCCCCGCCGCAACTCGAGAAAAACCATGAGACTTCCCCCTAGAGGCGAGATGAGGCCCCATTCCCCTGCAGTGCATGCAGAGCTATTCCGTGATCCCATTCAAACAAGTCAGGAGCTTCGACTTGCTTAATGGATCTCGAGACAGTCCCCAAGAACACTGTCACCAGTCTAGACGGACCCTGAGGTCACCCCAGCAACGCAAAGCAGCACCATGTGCCCCAAATCAACTCGAGATGAGGCCCGATTCCCCTGCATTGACTCCAGAGCCATTCCCCGTTCCCCATTCAACACGACCGGTGGCTCGACTTCCTTCAGGCAACTCCAGAGATGCCCCGAGAACACTGTCCCAAGTCTAGAAGAACACCAACTTCAGCACAGCAACTCGAGGAATGCTCCGTGTACCCCAAATCGTCTCGAGATGCGAGCTGATTCCCTGGCTTAGGCTCAAGACGTATGCCAACTTCCCAGAAGCACCTCAGGAGGAGGCTTCTCTCAGCAATAGGTATGTGGGACGGCCCCCGAGTTTGCTGCCTCAAGGGGAATATACAGCGAGAAGCCCTAACTTGAAAGGAGGCCGGATTTCCTTGCAGTGGCTTGAATAGAGGCTCGTCTTTCATCTCACAACATGAAGGGATGTCTGAATCCCCTGTGGAGACCTTAGAGAAAGCCCTAGGTCCCTGCCTCATTTTGACGGAATGCCTCACATCCCGCTGACACCTCGAGAGGCACGCGGAGTTCATTGCTTCAAAAGGTGACGATGCCTGACTCCTCTTGAATACTGATAGGAATCCCAAAATCCCTGTGGCTACTGGAAAGGGTCCTTGGGTGCCCTGCCTCACCTCGAGAAGCGTCCCTTTGGCCCTGCCAAGCCTCGAAGAGATTCCTGAGGTGTCCCTCGTTACTAGACAGGAGTCCTGACGTCACTGAAGAAACTCGTGTTTTGAAGGGCCATCCCCGCCGTAAGTCGAGAACATACCCCATGTCCCCGCCGCAACTCGAGAAAAACCATGAGACTTCCCCCTAGAGGCGAGATGATGCCCCATTCCCCTGCAGTGCATGCAGAGCTATTCCGTGATCCCATTCAAACAAGTCAGGAGCTTCGACTTGCTTAATGGATCTCGAGACAGTCCCCAAGAACACTGTCACCAGTCTAGACGGACCCTGAGGTCACCCCAGCAACGCAAAGCAGCACCATGTGCCCCAAATCAACTCGAGATGAGGCCCGATTCCCCTGCATTGACTCCAGAGCCATTCCCCGTTCCCCATTCAACACGACCGGTGGCTCGACTTCCTTCAGGCAACTCCAGAGATGCCCCGAGAACACTGTCCCAAGTCTAGAAGAACACCAACTTCAGCACAGCAACTCGAGGAATGCTCCGTGTACCCCAAATCGTCTCGAGATGCGAGCTGATTCCCTGGCTTAGGCTCAAGACGTATGCCAACTTCCCAGAAGCACCTCAGGAGGAGGCTTCTCTCAGCAATAGGTATGTGGGACGGCCCCCGAGTTTGCTGCCTCAAGGGGAATATACAGCGAGAAGCCCTAACTTGAAAGGAGGCCGGATTTCCTTGCAGTGGCTTGAATAGAGGCTCGTCTTTCATCTCACAACATGAAGGGATGTCTGAATCCCCTGTGGAGACCTTAGAGAAAGCCCTAGGTCCCTGCCTCATTTTGACGGAATGCCTCACATCCCGCTGACACCTCGAGAGGCACGCGGAGTTCATTGCTTCAAAAGGTGACGATGCCTGACTCCTCTTGAATACTGATAGGAATCCCAAAATCCCTGTGGCTACTGGAAAGGGTCCTTGGGTGCCCTGCCTCACCTCGAGAGGCGTCCCTTTGGCCCTGCCAAGCCTCGAAGAGATTCCTGAGGTGTCCCTCGTTACTAGACAGGAGTCCTGACGTCACTGAAGAAACTCGTGTTTTGAAGGGCCATCCCCGCCGTAAGTCGAGAACATACCCCAGGTCCCCGCCGCAACTCGAGAAAAACCATGAGACTTCCCCCTAGAGGCGAGATGAGGCCCCATTCCCCTTCAGTGCATGCAGAGCTATTCCGTGATCCCATTCAAACAAGTCAGGAGCTTCGACTTGCTTAATGGATCTCGAGACAGTCCCCAAGAACACTGTCACCAGTCTAGACGGACCCTGAGGTCACCCCAGCAACGCAAAGCAGCTCCATGTGCCCCAAATCAACTCGAGATGAGGCCCGATTCCCCTGCATTGACTCCAGAGCCATTCCCCGTTCCCCATTCAACACGACCGGTGGCTCGATTTCCTTCAGGCAACTCCAGAGATGCCCCGAGAACACTGTCCCAAGTCCAGAGGAACACCAACTTCAGCACAGCAACTCGAGGAATGCTCCGTGTACCCCAAATCGTCTCGAGATGCGAGCTGATTCCCTGGCTTAGGCTCAAGACGTATGCCAACTTCCCAGAAGCACCTCAGGAGGAGGCTTCTCTCAGCAATAGGTATGTGGGAGGGACCCCGAGTTTGCTGCCTCAAGGGGAATATACAGCGAGAAGCCCTAACTTGAAAGGAGGCCGGATTTCCTTGCAGTGGCTTGAATACAGGCTCGTCTTTCATCTCACAACATGAAGGGATGTCTGAATCCCCTGTGGAGACCTTAGAGAAAGCCCTAGGTCCCTGCCTCATTTTGACGGAATGCCTCACATCCCGCTGACACCTCGAGAGGCACGCGGAGTTCATTGCTTCAAAAGGTGACGATGCCTGACTCCTCTTGAATACTGATAGGAATCCCAAAATCCCTGTGGCTACTGGAAAGGGTCCTTGGGTGCCCTGCCTCACCTCGAGAAGCGTCCCTTTGGCCCTGCCAAGCCTCGAAGAGATTCCTGAGGTGTCCCTCGTTACTAGACAGGAGTCCTGACGTCACTGAAGAAACTCGTGTTTTGAAGGGCCATCCCCGCCGTAAGTCGAGAACATACCCCAGGTCCCCGCCGCAACTCGAGAAAAACCATGAGACTTCCCCCTAGAGGCGAGATGAGGCCCCATTCCCCTGCAGTGCATGCAGAGCTATTCCGTGATCCCATTCAAACAAGTCAGGAGCTTCGACTTGCTTAATGGATCTCGAGAGAGTCCCCAAGAACACTGTCACCAGTCTAGACGGACCCTGAGGTCACCCCAGCAACGCAAAGCAGCTCCATGTGCCCCAAATCAACTCGAGATGAGGCCCGAATCCCCTGCATTGACTCCAGAGCCATTCCCCGTTCCCCATTCAACACGACCGGTGGCTCGACTTCCTTCAGGCAACTCCAGAGATGCCCCGAGAACACTGTCCCAAGTCTAGAGGAACACCAACTTCAGCACAGCAACTCGAGGAATGCTCCGTGTACCCCAAATCGTCTCGAGATGCGAGCTGATTCCCTGGCTTAGGCTCAAGACGTATGCCAACTTCCCAGAAGCACCTCAGGAGGAGGCTTCTCTCAGCAATAGGTATGTGGGAGGGACCCCGAGTTTGCTGCCTCAAGGGGAATATACAGCGAGAAGCCCTAACTTGAAAGGAGGCCGGATTTCCTTGCAGTGGCTTGAATACAGGCTCGTCTTTCATCTCACAACATGAAGGGATGTCTGAATCCCCTGTGGAGACCTTAGAGAAAGCCCTAGGTCCCTGCCTCATTTTGACGGAATGCCTCACATCCCGCTGACACCTCGAGAGGCACGCGGAGTTCATTGCTTCAAAAGGTGACGATGCCTGACTCCTCTTGAATACTGATAGGAATCCCAAAATCCCTGTGGCTACTGGAAAGGGTCCTTGGGTGCCCTGCCTCACCTGGAGAAGCGTCCCTTTGGCCCTGCCAAGCCTCGAAGAGATTCCTGAGGTGTCCCTCATTACTAGACAGGAGTCCTGACGTCACTGAAGAAACTCGTGTTTTGAAGGGCCATCCCCGCCGTAAGTCGAGAACATACCCCAGGTCCCCGCCGCAACTCGAGAAAAACCATGAGACTTCCCCCTAGAGGCGAGATGAGGCCCCATTCCCCTGCAGTGCATGCAGAGCTATTCCGTGATCCCATTCAAACAAGTCAGGAGCTTCGACTTGCTTAATGGATCTCGAGACAGTCCCCAAGAACACTGTCACCAGTCTAGACGGACCCTGAGGTCACCCCAGCAACGCAAAGCAGCTCCATGTGCCCCAAATCAACTCGAGATGAGGCCCGAATCCCCTGCATTGACTCCAGAGCCATTCCCCGTTCCCCATTCAACACGACCGGTGGCTCGACTTCCTTCAGGCAACTCCAGAGATGCCCCGAGAACACTGTCCCAAGTCCAGAGGAACACCAACTTCAGCACAGCAACTCGAGGAATGCTCCGTGTACCCCAAATCGTCTCGAGATGCGAGCTGATTCCCTGGCTTAGGCTCAAGACGTATGCCAACTTCCCAGAAGCACCTCAGGAGGAGGCTTCTCTCAGCAATAGGTATGTGGGAGGGACCCCGAGTTTGCTGCCTCAAGGGGAATATACAGCGAGAAGCCCTAACTTGAAAGGAGGCCGGATTTCCTTGCAGTGGCTTGAATACAGGCTCGTCTTTCATCTCACAACATGAAGGGATGTCTGAATCCCCTGTGGAGACCTTAGAGAAAGCCCTAGGTCCCTGCCTCATTTTGACGGAATGCCTCACATCCCGCTGACACCTCGAGAGGCACGCGGAGTTCATTGCTTCAAAAGGTGACGATGCCTGACTCCTCTTGAATACTGATAGGAATCCCAAAATCCCTGTGGCTACTGGAAAGGGTCCTTGGGTGCCCTGCCTCACCTCGAGAAGCGTCCCTTTGGCCCTGCCAAGCCTCGAAGAGATTCCTGAGGTGTCCCTCGTTACTAGACAGGAGTCCTGACGTCACTGAAGAAACTCGTGTTTTGAAGGGCCATCCCCGCCGTAAGTCGAGAACATACCCCAGGTCCCCGCCGCAACTCGAGAAAAACCATGAGACTTCCCCCTAGAGGCGAGATGAGGCCCCATTCCCCTGCAGTGCATGCAGAGCTATTCCGTGATCCCATTCAAACAAGTCAGGAGCTTCGACTTGCTTAATGGATCTCGAGACAGTCCCCAAGAACACTGTCACCAGTCTAGACGGACCCTGAGGTCACCCCAGCAACGCAAAGCAGCTCCATGTGCCCCAAATCAACTCGAGATGAGGCCCGATTCCCCTGCATTGACTCCAGAGCCATTCCCCGTTCCCCATTCAACACGACCGGTGGCTCGACTTCCTTCAGGCAACTCCAGAGATGCCCCGAGAACACTGTCCCAAGTCCAGAGGAACACCAACTTCAGCACAGCAACTCGAGGAATGCTCCGTGTACCCCAAATCGTGTCGAGATGCGAGCTGATTCCCTGGCTTAGGCTCAAGACGTATGCCAACTTCCCAGAAGCACCTCAGGAGGAGGCTTCTCTCAGCAATAGGTATGTGGGAGGGACCCCGAGTTTGCTGCCTCAAGGGGAATATACAGCGAGAAGCCCTAACTTGAAAGGAGGCCGGATTTCCTTGCAGTGGCTTGAATACAGGCTCGTCTTTCATCTCACAACATGAAGGGATGTCTGAATCCCCTGTGGAGACATTAGAGAAAGCCCTAGGTCCCTGCCTCATTTTGTCGGAATGCCTCACATCCCGCTGACACCTCGAGAGGCACGCGGAGTTCATTGCTTCAAAAGGTGACGATGCCTGACTCCTCTTGAATACTGATAGGAATCCCAAAATCCCTGTGGCTACTGGAAAGGGTCCTTGGGTGCCCTGCCTCACCTCGAGAAGCGTCCCTTTGGCCCTGCCAAGCCTCGAAGAGATTCCTGAGGTGTCCCTCGTTACTAGACAGGAGTCCTGACGTCACTGAAGAAACTCGTGTTTTGAAGGGCCATCCCCGCCGTAAGTCGAGAACATACCCCAGGTCCCCGCCGCAACTCGAGAAAAACCATGAGACTTCCCCCTAGAGGCGAGATGAGGCCCCATTCCCCTGCAGTGCATGCAGAACTATTCCGTGATCCCATTCAAACAAGTCAGGAGCTTCGACTTGCTTAATGGGTCTCGAGACAGTCCCCAAGAACACTGTCACCAGTCTAGACGGACCCTGAGGTCACCCCAGCAACGCAAAGCAGCTCCATGTGCCCCAAATCAACTCGAGATGAGGCCCGATTCCCCTGCATTGACTCCAGAGCCATTCCCCGTTCCCCATTCAACACGACCGGTGGCTCGACTTCCTTCAGGCAACTCCAGAGATGCCCCGAGAACACTGTCCCAAGTCCAGAGGAACACCAACTTCAGCACAGCAACTCGAGGAATGCTCCGTGTACCCCAAATCGTCTCGAGATGCGAGCTGATTCCCTGGCTTAGGCTCAAGACGTATGCCAACTTCCCAGAAGCACCTCAGGAGGAGGCTTCTCTCAGCAATAGGTATGTGGGAGGGACCCCGAGTTTGCTGCCTCAAGGGGAATATACAGCGAGAAGCCCTAACTTGAAAGGAGGCCGGATTTCCTTGCAGTGGCTTGAATACAGGCTCGTCTTTCATCTCACAACATGAAGGGATGTCTGAATCCCCTGTGGAGACCTTAGAGAAAGCCCTAGGTCCCTGCCTCATTTTGACGGAATGCCTCACATCCCGCTGACACCTCGAGAGGCACGCGGAGTTCATTGCTTCAAAAGGTGACGATGCCTGACTCCTCTTGAATACTGATAGGAATCCCAAAATCCCTGTGGCTACTGGAAAGGGTCCTTGGGTGCCCTGCCTCACCTCGAGAGGCGTCCCTTTGGCCCTGCCAAGCCTCGAAGAGATTCCTGAGGTGTCCCTCGTTACTAGACAGGAGTCCTGACGTCACTGAAGAAACTCGTGTTTTGAAGGGCCATCCCCGCCGTAAGTCGAGAACATACCCCAGGTCCCCGCCGCAACTCGAGAAAAACCATGAGACTTCCCCCTAGAGGCGAGATGAGGCCCCATTCCCCTGCAGTGCATGCAGAGCTATTCCGTGATCCCATTCAAACAAGTCAGGAGCTTCGACTTGCTTAATGGATCTCGAGACAGTCCCCAAGAACACTGTCACCAGTCTAGACGGACCCTGAGGTCACCCCAGCAACGCAAAGCAGCACCATGTGCCCCAAATCAACTCGAGATGAGGCCCGATTCCCCTGCATTGACTCCAGAGCCATTCCCCGTTCCCCATTCAACACGACCGGTGGCTCGACTTCCTTCAGGCAACTCCAGAGATGCCCCGAGAACACTGTCCCAAGTCTAGAAGAACACCAACTTCAGCACAGCAACTCGAGGAATGCTCCGTGTACCCCAAATCGTCTCGAGATGCGAGCTGATTCCCTGGCTTAGGCTCAAGACGTATGCCAACTTCCCAGAAGCACCTCAGGAGGAGGCTTCTCTCAGCAATAGGTATGTGGGACGGCCCCCGAGTTTGCTGCCTCAAGGGGAATATACAGCGAGAAGCCCTAACTTGAAAGGAGGCCGGATTTCCTTGCAGTGGCTTGAATAGAGGCTCGTCTTTCATCTCACAACATGAAGGGATGTCTGAATCCCCTGTGGAGACCTTAGAGAAAGCCCTAGGTCCCTGCCTCATTTTGACGGAATGCCTCACATCCCGCTGACACCTCGAGAGGCACGCGGAGTTCATTGCTTCAAAAGGTGACGATGCCTGACTCCTCTTGAATACTGATAGGAATCCCAAAATCCCTGTGGCTACTGGAAAGGGTCCTTGGGTGCCCTGCCTCACCTCGAGAAGCGTCCCTTTGGCCCTGCCAAGCCTCGAAGAGATTCCTGAGGTGTCCCTCGTTACTAGACAGGAGTCCTGACGTCACTGAAGAAACTCGTGTTTTGAAGGGCCATCCCCGCCGTAAGTCGAGAACATACCCCATGTCCCCGCCGCAACTCGAGAAAAACCATGAGACTTCCCCCTAGAGGCGAGATGAGGCCCCATTCCCCTGCAGTGCATGCAGAGCTATTCCGTGATCCCATTCAAACAAGTCAGGAGCTTCGACTTGCTTAATGGATCTCGAGACAGTCCCCAAGAACACTGTCACCAGTCTAGACGGACCCTGAGGTCACCCCAGCAACGCAAAGCAGCTCCATGTGCCCCAAATCAACTCGAGATGAGGCCCGATTCCCCTGCATTGACTCCAGAGCCATTCCCCGTTCCCCATTCAACACGACCGGTGGCTCGACTTCCTTCAGGCAACTCCAGAGATGCCCCGAGAACACTGTCCCAAGTCTAGAGGAACACCAACTTCAGCACAGCAACTCGAGGAATGCTCCGTGTACCCCAAATCGTCTCGAGATGCGAGCTGATTCCCTGGCTTAGGCTCAAGACGTATGCCAACTTCCCAGAAGCACCTCAGGAGGAGGCTTCTCTCAGCAATAGGTATGTGGGAGGGCCCCCGAGTTTGCTGCCTCAAGGGGAATATACAGCGAGAAGCCCTAACTTGAAAGGAGGCCGGATTTCCTTGCAGTGGCTTGAATACAGGCTCGTCTTTCATCTCACAACATGAAGGGATGTCTGAATCCCCTGTGGAGACCTTAGAGAAAGCCCTAGGTCCCTGCCTCATTTTGACGGGATGCCTCACATCCCGCTGACACCTCGAGAGGCACGCGGAGTTCATTGCTTCAAAAGGTGACGATGCCTGACTCCTCTTGAATACTGATAGGAATCCCAAAATCCCTGTGGCTACTGGAAAGGGTCCTTGGGTGCCCTGCCTCACCTCGAGAAGCGTCCCTTTGGCCCTGCCAAGCCTCGAAGAGATTCCTGAGGTGTCCCTCGTTACTAGACAGGAGTCCTGACGTCACTGAAGAAACTCGTGTTTTGAAGGGCCATCCCCGCCGTAAGTCGAGAACATACCCCAGGTCCCCGCCGCAACTCGAGAAAAACCATGAGACTTCCCCCTAGAGGCGAGATGAGGACCCATTCCCCTGCAGTGCATGCAGAGCTATTCCGTGATCCCATTCAAACAAGTCAGGAGCTTCGACTTGCTTAATGGATCTCGAGACAGTCCCCAAGAACACTGTCACCAGTCTAGACGGACCCTGAGGTCACCCCAGCAACGCAAAGCAGCTCCATGTGCCCCAAATCAACTCGAGATGAGGCCCGATTCCCCTGCATTGACTCCAGAGCCATTCCCCGTTCCCCATTCAACACGACCGGTGGCTCGACTTCCTTCAGGCAACTCCAGAGATGCCCCGAGAACACTGTCCCAAGTCTAGAGGAACACCAACTTCAGCACAGCAACTCGAGGAATGCTCCGTGTACCCCAAATCGTCTCGAGATGCGAGCTGATTCCCTGGCTTAGGCTCAAGACGTATGCCAACTTCCCAGAAGCACCTCAGGAGGAGGCTTCTCTCAGCAATAGGTATGTGGGAGGGACCCCGAGTTTGCTGCCTCAAGGGGAATATACAGCGAGAAGCCCTAACTTGAAAGGAGGCCGGATTTCCTTGCAGTGGCTTGAATACAGGCTCGTCTTTCATCTCACAACATGAAGGGATGTCTGAATCCCCTGTGGAGACCTTAGAGAAAGCCCTAGGTCCCTGCCTCATTTTGACGGAATGCCTCACATCCCGCTGACACCTCGAGAGGCACGCGGAGTTCATTGCTTCAAAAGGTGACGATGCCTGACTCCTCTTGAATACTGATAGGAATCCCAAAATCCCTGTGGCTACTGGAAAGGGTCCTTGGGTGCCCTGCCTCACCTCGAGAAGCGTCCCTTTGGCCCTGCCAAGCCTCGAAGAGATTCCTGAGGTGTCCCTCGTTACTAGACAGGAGTCCTGACGTCACTGAAGAAACTCGTGTTTTGAAGGGCCATCCCCGCCGTAAGTCGAGAACATACCCCAGGTCCCCGCCGCAACTCGAGAAAAACCATGAGACTTCCCCCTAGAGGCGAGATGAGGCCCCATTCCCCTGCAGTGCATGCAGAGCTATTCCGTGATCCCATTCAAACAAGTCAGGAGCTTCGACTTGCTTAATGGATCTCGAGACAGTACCCAAGAACACTGTCACCAGTCTAGACGGACCCTGAGGTCACCCCAGCAACGCAAAGCAGCTCCATGTGCCCCAAATCAACTCGAGATGAGGCCCGATTCCCCTGCATTGACTCCAGAGCCATTCCCCGTTCCCCATTCAACACGACCGGTGGCTCGACTTCCTTCAGGCAACTCCAGAGATGCCCCGAGAACACTGTCCCAAGTCCAGAGGAACACCAACTTCAGCACAGCAACTCGAGGAATGCTCCGTGTACCCCAAATCGTGTCGAGATGCGAGCTGATTCCCTGGCTTAGGCTCAAGACGTATGCCAACTTCCCAGAAGCACCTCAGGAGGAGGCTTCTCTCAGCAATAGGTATGTGGGAGGGACCCCGAGTTTGCTGCCTCAAGGGGAATATACAGCGAGAAGCCCTAACTTGAAAGGAGGCCGGATTTCCTTGCAGTGGCTTGAATACAGGCTCGTCTTTCATCTCACAACATGAAGGGATGTCTGAATCCCCTGTGGAGACCTTAGAGAAAGCCCTAGGTCCCTGCCTCATTTTGTCGGAATGCCTCACATCCCGCTGACACCTCGAGAGGCACGCGGAGTTCATTGCTTCAAAAGGTGACGATGCCTGACTCCTCTTGAATACTGATAGGAATCCCAAAATCCCTGTGGCTACTGGAAAGGGTCCTTGGGTGCCCTGCCTCACCTCGAGAAGCGTCCCTTTGGCCCTGCCAAGCCTCGAAGAGATTCCTGAGGTGTCCCTCGTTACTAGACAGGAGTCCTGACGTCACTGAAGAAACTCGTGTTTTGAAGGGCCATCCCCGCCGTAAGTCGAGAACATACCCCAGGTCCCCGCCGCAACTCGAGAAAAACCATGAGACTTCCCCCTAGAGGCGAGATGAGGCCCCATTCCCCTGCAGTGCATGCAGAACTATTCCGTGATCCCATTCAAACAAGTCAGGAGCTTCGACTTGCTTAATGGGTCTCGAGACAGTCCCCAAGAACACTGTCACCAGTCTAGACGGACCCTGAGGTCACCCCAGCAACGCAAAGCAGCTCCATGTGCCCCAAATCAACTCGAGATGAGGCCCGATTCCCCTGCATTGACTCCAGAGCCATTCCCCGTTCCCCATTCAACACGACCGGTGGCTCGACTTCCTTCAGGCAACTCCAGAGATGCCCCGAGAACACTGTCCCAAGTCCAGAGGAACACCAACTTCAGCACAGCAACTCGAGGAATGCTCCGTGTACCCCAAATCGTCTCGAGATGCGAGCTGATTCCCTGGCTTAGGCTCAAGACGTATGCCAACTTCCCAGAAGCACCTCAGGAGGAGGCTTCTCTCAGCAATAGGTATGTGGGAGGGACCCCGAGTTTGCTGCCTCAAGGGGAATATACAGCGAGAAGCCCTAACTTGAAAGGAGGCCGGATTTCCTTGCAGTGGCTTGAATACAGGCTCGTCTTTCATCTCACAACATGAAGGGATGTCTGAATCCCCTGTGGAGACCTTAGAGAAAGCCCTAGGTCCCTGCCTCATTTTGACGGAATGCCTCACATCCCGCTGACACCTCGAGAGGCACGCGGAGTTCATTGCTTCAAAAGGTGACGATGCCTGACTCCTCTTGAATACTGATAGGAATCCCAAAATCCCTGTGGCTACTGGAAAGGGTCCTTGGGTGCCCTGCCTCACCTCGAGAGGCGTCCCTTTGGCCCTGCCAAGCCTCGAAGAGATTCCTGAGGTGTCCCTCGTTACTAGACAGGAGTCCTGACGTCACTGAAGAAACTCGTGTTTTGAAGGGCCATCCCCGCCGTAAGTCGAGAACATACCCCAGGTCCCCGCCGCAACTCGAGAAAAACCATGAGACTTCCCCCTAGAGGCGAGATGAGGCCCCATTCCCCTGCAGTGCATGCAGAGCTATTCCGTGATCCCATTCAAACAAGTCAGGAGCTTCGACTTGCTTAATGGATCTCGAGACAGTCCCCAAGAACACTGTCACCAGTCTAGACGGACCCTGAGGTCACCCCAGCAACGCAAAGCAGCACCATGTGCCCCAAATCAACTCGAGATGAGGCCCGATTCCCCTGCATTGACTCCAGAGCCATTCCCCGTTCCCCATTCAACACGACCGGTGGCTCGACTTCCTTCAGGCAACTCCAGAGATGCCCCGAGAACACTGTCCCAAGTCTAGAAGAACACCAACTTCAGCACAGCAACTCGAGGAATGCTCCGTGTACCCCAAATCGTCTCGAGATGCGAGCTGATTCCCTGGCTTAGGCTCAAGACGTATGCCAACTTCCCAGAAGCACCTCAGGAGGAGGCTTCTCTCAGCAATAGGTATGTGGGACGGCCCCCGAGTTTGCTGCCTCAAGGGGAATATACAGCGAGAAGCCCTAACTTGAAAGGAGGCCGGATTTCCTTGCAGTGGCTTGAATAGAGGCTCGTCTTTCATCTCACAACATGAAGGGATGTCTGAATCCCCTGTGGAGACCTTAGAGAAAGCCCTAGGTCCCTGCCTCATTTTGACGGAATGCCTCACATCCCGCTGACACCTCGAGAGGCACGCGGAGTTCATTGCTTCAAAAGGTGACGATGCCTGACTCCTCTTGAATACTGATAGGAATCCCAAAATCCCTGTGGCTACTGGAAAGGGTCCTTGGGTGCCCTGCCTCACCTCGAGAAGCGTCCCTTTGGCCCTGCCAAGCCTCGAAGAGATTCCTGAGGTGTCCCTCGTTACTAGACAGGAGTCCTGACGTCACTGAAGAAACTCGTGTTTTGAAGGGCCATCCCCGCCGTAAGTCGAGAACATACCCCATGTCCCCGCCGCAACTCGAGAAAAACCATGAGACTTCCCCCTAGAGGCGAGATGAGGCCCCATTCCCCTGCAGTGCATGCAGAGCTATTCCGTGATCCCATTCAAACAAGTCAGGAGCTTCGACTTGCTTAATGGATCTCGAGACAGTCCCCAAGAACACTGTCACCAGTCTAGACGGACCCTGAGGTCACCCCAGCAACGCAAAGCAGCACCATGTGCCCCAAATCAACTCGAGATGAGGCCCGATTCCCCTGCATTGACTCCAGAGCCATTCCCCGTTCCCCATTCAACACGACCGGTGGCTCGACTTCCTTCAGGCAACTCCAGAGATGCCCCGAGAACACTGTCCCAAGTCTAGAAGAACACCAACTTCAGCACAGCAACTCGAGGAATGCTCCGTGTACCCCAAATCGTCTCGAGATGCGAGCTGATTCCCTGGCTTAGGCTCAAGACGTATGCCAACTTCCCAGAAGCACCTCAGGAGGAGGCTTCTCTCAGCAATAGGTATGTGGGACGGCCCCCGAGTTTGCTGCCTCAAGGGGAATATACAGCGAGAAGCCCTAACTTGAAAGGAGGCCGGATTTCCTTGCAGTGGCTTGAATAGAGGCTCGTCTTTCATCTCACAACATGAAGGGATGTCTGAATCCCCTGTGGAGACCTTAGAGAAAGCCCTAGGTCCCTGCCTCATTTTGACGGAATGCCTCACATCCCGCTGACACCTCGAGAGGCACGCGGAGTTCATTGCTTCAAAAGGTGACGATGCCTGACTCCTCTTGAATACTGATAGGAATCCCAAAATCCCTGTGGCTACTGGAAAGGGTCCTTGGGTGCCCTGCCTCACCTCGAGAAGCGTCCCTTTGGCCCTGCCAAGCCTCGAAGAGATTCCTGAGGTGTCCCTCGTTACTAGACAGGAGTCCTGACGTCACTGAAGAAACTCGTGTTTTGAAGGGCCATCCCCGCCGTAAGTCGAGAACATACCCCATGTCCCCGCCGCAACTCGAGAAAAACCATGAGACTTCCCCCTAGAGGCGAGATGAGGCCCCATTCCCCTGCAGTGCATGCAGAGCTATTCCGTGATCCCATTCAAACAAGTCAGGAGCTTCGACTTGCTTAATGGATCTCGAGACAGTCCCCAAGAACACTGTCACCAGTCTAGACGGACCCTGAGGTCACCCCAGCAACGCAAATCAGCTCCATGTGCCCCAAATCAACTCGAGATGAGGCCCGATTCCCCTGCATTGACTCCAGAGCCATTCCCCGTTCCCCATTCAACACGACCGGTGGCTCGACTTCCTTCAGGCAACTCCAGAGATGCCCCGAGAACACTGTCCCAAGTCTAGAGGAACACCAACTTCAGCACAGCAACTCGAGGAATGCTCCGTGTACCCCAAATCGTCTCGAGATGCGAGCTGATTCCCTGGCTTAGGCTCAAGACGTATGCCAACTTCCCAGAAGCACCTCAGGAGGAGGCTTCTCTCAGCAATAGGTATGTGGGAGGGCCCCCGAGTTTGCTGCCTCAAGGGGAATATACAGCGAGAAGCCCTAACTTGAAAGGAGGCCGGATTTCCTTGCAGTGGCTTGAATACAGGCTCGTCTTTCATCTCACAACATGAAGGGATGTCTGAATCCCCTGTGGAGACCTTAGAGAAAGCCCTAGGTCCCTGCCTCATTTTGACGGGATGCCTCACATCTCGCTGACACCTCGAGAGGCACGCGGAGTTCATTGCTTCAAAAGGTGACGATGCCTGACTCCTCTTGAATACTGATAGGAATCCCAAAATCCCTGTGGCTACTGGAAAGGGTCCTTGGGTGCCCTGCCTCACCTCGAGAAGCGTCCCTTTGGCCCTGCCAAGCCTCGAAGAGATTCCTGAGGTGTCCCTCGTTACTAGACAGGAGTCCTGACGTCACTGAAGAAACTCGTGTTTTGAAGGGCCATCCCCGCCGTAAGTCGAGAACATACCCCAGGTCCCCGCCGCAACTCGAGAAAAACCATGAGACTTCCCCCTAGAGGCGAGATGAGGACCCATTCCCCTGCAGTGCATGCAGAGCTATTCCGTGATCCCATTCAAACAAGTCAGGAGCTTCGACTTGCTTAATGGATCTCGAGACAGTCCCCAAGAACACTGTCACCAGTCTAGACGGACCCTGAGGTCACCCCAGCAACGCAAAGCAGCTCCATGTGCCCCAAATCAACTCGAGATGAGGCCCGATTCCCCTGCATTGACTCCAGAGCCATTCCCCGTTCCCCATTCAACACGACCGGTGGCTCGACTTCCTTCAGGCAACTCCAGAGATGCCCCGAGAACACTGTCCCAAGTCCAGAGGAACACCAACTTCAGCACAGCAACTCGAGGAATGCTCCGTGTACCCCAAATCGTGTCGAGATGCGAGCTGATTCCCTGGCTTAGGCTCAAGACGTATGCCAACTTCCCAGAAGCACCTCAGGAGGAGGCTTCTCTCAGCAATAGGTATGTGGGAGGGACCCCGAGTTTGCTGCCTCAAGGGGAATATACAGCGAGAAGCCCTAACTTGAAAGGAGGCCGGATTTCCTTGCAGTGGCTTGAATACAGGCTCGTCTTTCATCTCACAACATGAAGGGATGTCTGAATCCCCTGTGGAGACCTTAGAGAAAGCCCTAGGTCCCTGCCTCATTTTGTCGGAATGCCTCACATCCCGCTGACACCTCGAGAGGCACGCGGAGTTCATTGCTTCAAAAGGTGACGATGCCTGACTCCTCTTGAATACTGATAGGAATCCCAAAATCCCTGTGGCTACTGGAAAGGGTCCTTGGGTGCCCTGCCTCACCTCGAGAAGCGTCCCTTTGGCCCTGCCAAGCCTCGAAGAGATTCCTGAGGTGTCCCTCGTTACTAGACAGGAGTCCTGACGTCACTGAAGAAACTCGTGTTTTGAAGGGCCATCCCCGCCGTAAGTCGAGAACATACCCCAGGTCCCCGCCGCAACTCGAGAAAAACCATGAGACTTCCCCCTAGAGGCGAGATGAGGCCCCATTCCCCTGCAGTGCATGCAGAACTATTCCGTGATCCCATTCAAACAAGTCAGGAGCTTCGACTTGCTTAATGGGTCTCGAGACAGTCCCCAAGAACACTGTCACCAGTCTAGACGGACCCTGAGGTCACCCCAGCAACGCAAAGCAGCTCCATGTGCCCCAAATCAACTCGAGATGAGGCCCGATTCCCCTGCATTGACTCCAGAGCCATTCCCCGTTCCCCATTCAACACGACCGGTGGCTCGACTTCCTTCAGGCAACTCCAGAGATGCCCCGAGAACACTGTCCCAAGTCCAGAGGAACACCAACTTCAGCACAGCAACTCGAGGAATGCTCCGTGTACCCCAAATCGTCTCGAGATGCGAGCTGATTCCCTGGCTTAGGCTCAAGACGTATGCCAACTTCCCAGAAGCACCTCAGGAGGAGGCTTCTCTCAGCAATAGGTATGTGGGAGGGACCCCGAGTTTGCTGCCTCAAGGGGAATATACAGCGAGAAGCCCTAACTTGAAAGGAGGCCGGATTTCCTTGCAGTGGCTTGAATACAGGCTCGTCTTTCATCTCACAACATGAAGGGATGTCTGAATCCCCTGTGGAGACCTTAGAGAAAGCCCTAGGTCCCTGCCTCATTTTGACGGAATGCCTCACATCCCGCTGACACCTCGAGAGGCACGCGGAGTTCATTGCTTCAAAAGGTGACGATGCCTGACTCCTCTTGAATACTGATAGGAATCCCAAAATCCCTGTGGCTACTGGAAAGGGTCCTTGGGTGCCCTGCCTCACCTCGAGAGGCGTCCCTTTGGCCCTGCCAAGCCTCGAAGAGATTCCTGAGGTGTCCCTCGTTACTAGACAGGAGTCCTGACGTCACTGAAGAAACTCGTGTTTTGAAGGGCCATCCCCGCCGTAAGTCGAGAACATACCCCAGGTCCCCGCCGCAACTCGAGAAAAACCATGAGACTTCCCCCTAGAGGCGAGATGAGGCCCCATTCCCCTGCAGTGCATGCAGAGCTATTCCGTGATCCCATTCAAACAAGTCAGGAGCTTCGACTTGCTTAATGGATCTCGAGACAGTCCCCAAGAACACTGTCACCAGTCTAGACGGACCCTGAGGTCACCCCAGCAACGCAAAGCAGCACCATGTGCCCCAAATCAACTCGAGATGAGGCCCGATTCCCCTGCATTGACTCCAGAGCCATTCCCCGTTCCCCATTCAACACGACCGGTGGCTCGACTTCCTTCAGGCAACTCCAGAGATGCCCCGAGAACACTGTCCCAAGTCTAGAAGAACACCAACTTCAGCACAGCAACTCGAGGAATGCTCCGTGTACCCCAAATCGTCTCGAGATGCGAGCTGATTCCCTGGCTTAGGCTCAAGACGTATGCCAACTTCCCAGAAGCACCTCAGGAGGAGGCTTCTCTCAGCAATAGGTATGTGGGACGGCCCCCGAGTTTGCTGCCTCAAGGGGAATATACAGCGAGAAGCCCTAACTTGAAAGGAGGCCGGATTTCCTTGCAGTGGCTTGAATAGAGGCTCGTCTTTCATCTCACAACATGAAGGGATGTCTGAATCCCCTGTGGAGACCTTAGAGAAAGCCCTAGGTCCCTGCCTCATTTTGACGGAATGCCTCACATCCCGCTGACACCTCGAGAGGCACGCGGAGTTCATTGCTTCAAAAGGTGACGATGCCTGACTCCTCTTGAATACTGATAGGAATCCCAAAATCCCTGTGGCTACTGGAAAGGGTCCTTGGGTGCCCTGCCTCACCTCGAGAAGCGTCCCTTTGGCCCTGCCAAGCCTCGAAGAGATTCCTGAGGTGTCCCTCGTTACTAGACAGGAGTCCTGACGTCACTGAAGAAACTCGTGTTTTGAAGGGCCATCCCCGCCGTAAGTCGAGAACATACCCCATGTCCCCGCCGCAACTCGAGAAAAACCATGAGACTTCCCCCTAGAGGCGAGATGAGGCCCCATTCCCCTGCAGTGCATGCAGAGCTATTCCGTGATCCCATTCAAACAAGTCAGGAGCTTCGACTTGCTTAATGGATCTCGAGACAGTCCCCAAGAACACTGTCACCAGTCTAGACGGACCCTGAGGTCACCCCAGCAACGCAAAGCAGCTCCATGTGCCCCAAATCAACTCGAGATGAGGCCCGATTCCCCTGCATTGACTCCAGAGCCATTCCCCGTTCCCCATTCAACACGACCGGTGGCTCGACTTCCTTCAGGCAACTCCAGAGATGCCCCGAGAACACTGTCCCAAGTCTAGAGGAACACCAACTTCAGCACAGCAACTCGAGGAATGCTCCGTGTACCCCAAATCGTCTCGAGATGCGAGCTGATTCCCTGGCTTAGGCTCAAGACGTATGCCAACTTCCCAGAAGCACCTCAGGAGGAGGCTTCTCTCAGCAATAGGTATGTGGGAGGGCCCCCGAGTTTGCTGCCTCAAGGGGAATATACAGCGAGAAGCCCTAACTTGAAAGGAGGCCGGATTTCCTTGCAGTGGCTTGAATACAGGCTCGTCTTTCATCTCACAACATGAAGGGATGTCTGAATCCCCTGTGGAGACCTTAGAGAAAGCCCTAGGTCCCTGCCTCATTTTGACGGGATGCCTCACATCCCGCTGACACCTCGAGAGGCACGCGGAGTTCATTGCTTCAAAAGGTGACGATGCCTGACTCCTCTTGAATACTGATAGGAATCCCAAAATCCCTGTGGCTACTGGAAAGGGTCCTTGGGTGCCCTGCCTCACCTCGAGAAGCGTCCCTTTGGCCCTGCCAAGCCTCGAAGAGATTCCTGAGGTGTCCCTCGTTACTAGACAGGAGTCCTGACGTCACTGAAGAAACTCGTGTTTTGAAGGGCCATCCCCGCCGTAAGTCGAGAACATACCCCAGGTCCCCGCCGCAACTCGAGAAAAACCATGAGACTTCCCCCTAGAGGCGAGATGAGGACCCATTCCCCTGCAGTGCATGCAGAGCTATTCCGTGATCCCATTCAAACAAGTCAGGAGCTTCGACTTGCTTAATGGATCTCGAGACAGTCCCCAAGAACACTGTCACCAGTCTAGACGGACCCTGAGGTCACCCCAGCAACGCAAAGCAGCTCCATGTGCCCCAAATCAACTCGAGATGAGGCCCGATTCCCCTGCATTGACTCCAGAGCCATTCCCCGTTCCCCATTCAACACGACCGGTGGCTCGACTTCCTTCAGGCAACTCCAGAGATGCCCCGAGAACACTGTCCCAAGTCTAGAGGAACACCAACTTCAGCACAGCAACTCGAGGAATGCTCCGTGTACCCCAAATCGTCTCGAGATGCGAGCTGATTCCCTGGCTTAGGCTCAAGACGTATGCCAACTTCCCAGAAGCACCTCAGGAGGAGGCTTCTCTCAGCAATAGGTATGTGGGAGGGACCCCGAGTTTGCTGCCTCAAGGGGAATATACAGCGAGAAGCCCTAACTTGAAAGGAGGCCGGATTTCCTTGCAGTGGCTTGAATACAGGCTCGTCTTTCATCTCACAACATGAAGGGATGTCTGAATCCCCTGTGGAGACCTTAGAGAAAGCCCTAGGTCCCTGCCTCATTTTGACGGGATGCCTCACATCCCGCTGACACCTCGAGAGGCACGCAGAGTTCATTGCTTCAAAAGGTGACGATGCCTGACTCCTCTTGAATACTGATAGGAATCCCAAAATCCCTGTGGCTACTGGAAAGGGTCCTTGGGTGCCCTGCCTCACCTCGAGAAGCGTCCCTTTGGCCCTGCCAAGCCTCGAAGAGATTCCTGAGGTGTCCCTCGTTACTAGACAGGAGTCCTGACGTCACTGAAGAAACTCGTGTTTTGAAGGGCCATCCCCGCCGTAAGTCGAGAACATACCCCAGGTCCCCGCCGCAACTCGAGAAAAACCATGAGACTTCCCCCTAGAGGCGAGATGAGGACCCATTCCCCTGCAGTGCATGCAGAGCTATTCCGTGATCCCATTCAAACAAGTCAGGAGCTTCGACTTGCTTAATGGATCTCGAGACAGTCCCCAAGAACACTGTCACCAGTCTAGACGGACCCTGAGGTCACCCCAGCAACGCAAAGCAGCTCCATGTGCCCCAAATCAACTCGAGATGAGGCCCGATTCCCCTGCATTGACTCCAGAGCCATTCCCCGTTCCCCATTCAACACGACCGGTGGCTCGACTTCCTTCAGGCAACTCCAGAGATGCCCCGAGAACACTGTCCCAAGTCTAGAGGAACACCAACTTCAGCACAGCAACTCGAGGAATGCTCCGTGTACCCCAAATCGTCTCGAGATGCGAGCTGATTCCCTGGCTTAGGCTCAAGACGTATGCCAACTTCCCAGAAGCACCTCAGGAGGAGGCTTCTCTCAGCAATAGGTATGTGGGAGGGACCCCGAGTTTGCTGCCTCAAGGGGAATATACAGCGAGAAGCCCTAACTTGAAAGGAGGCCGGATTTCCTTGCAGTGGCTTGAATACAGGCTCGTCTTTCATCTCACAACATGAAGGGATGTCTGAATCCCCTGTGGAGACCTTAGAGAAAGCCCTAGGTCCCTGCCTCATTTTGACGGAATGCCTCACATCCCGCTGACACCTCGAGAGGCACGCGGAGTTCATTGCTTCAAAAGGTGACGATGCCTGACTCCTCTTGAATACTGATAGGAATCCCAAAATCCCTGTGGCTACTGGAAAGGGTCCTTGGGTGCCCTGCCTCACCTCGAAAAGCGTCCCTTTGGCCCTGCCAAGCCTCGAAGAGATTCCTGAGGTGTCCCTCGTTACTAGACAGGAGTCCTGACGTCACTGAAGAAACTCGTGTTTTGAAGGGCCATCCCCGCCGTAAGTCGAGCACATACCCCAGGTCCCCGCCGCAACTCGAGAAAAACCATGAGACTTCCCCCTAGAGGCGAGATGAGGCCCCATTCCCCTGCAGTGCATGCAGAGCTATTCCGTGACCCCATTCAAACAAGTCAGGAGCTTCGACTTGCTTAATGGATCTCGAGACAGTCCCCAAGAACACTGTCACCAGTCTAGACGGACCCTGAGGTCACCCCAGCAACGCAAAGCAGCTCCCTGTGCCCCAAATCAACTCGAGATGAGGCCCGATTCCCCTGCATTGACTCCAGAGCCATTCCCCGTTCCCCATTCAACACGACCGGTGGCTCGACTTCCTTCAGGCAACTCCAGAGATGCCCCGAGAACACTGTCCCAAGTCTAGAGGAACACCAACTTCAGCACAGCCACTCGAGGAATGCTCCGTGTACCCCAAGTCGTCTCGAGATGCGAGCTGATTCCCTGGCTTAGGCTCAAGACGTATGCCAACTTCCCAGAAGCACCTCAGGAGGAGGCTTCTCTCAGCAATAAGTATGTGGGAGGGACCCCGAGTTTGCTGCCTCAAGGGGAATATACAGCGAGAAGCCCTAACTTGAAAGGAGGCCGGATTTCCTTGCAGTGGCTTGAATACAGGCTCGTCTTTCATCTCACAACATGAAGGGATGTCTGAATCCCCTGTGGAGACCTTAGAGAAAGCCCTAGGTCCCTGCCTCATTTTGACGGAATGCCTCACATCCCGCTGACACCTCGAGAGGCACGCGGAGTTCATTGCTTCAAAAGGTGACGATGCCTGACTCCTCTTGAATACTGATAGGAATCCCAAAATCCCTGTGGCTACTGGAAAGGGTCCTTGGGTGCCCTGCCTCACCTCGAGAAGCGTCCCTTTGGCCCTGCCAAGCCTCGAAGAGATTCCTGAGGTGTCCCTCGTTACTAGACAGGAGTCCTGACGTCACTGAAGAAACTCGTGTTTTGAAGGGCCATTCCCGCCGTAAGTCGAGAACATACCCCAGGTCCCCGCCGCAACTCGAGGAAAACCATGAGACTTCCCCCTAGAGGCGAGATGAGGCCCCATTCCCCTGCAGTGCATGCAGAGCTATTCCGTGACCCCATTCAAACAAGTCAGGAGCTTCGACTTGCTTAATGGATCTCGAGACAGTCCCCAAGAACACTGTCACCAGTCTAGACGGACCCTGAGGTCACCCCAGCAACGCAAAGCAGCTCCCTGTGCCCCAAATCAACTCGAGATGAGGCCCGATTCCCCTGCACTGACTCCAGAGCCATTCCCCGTTCCCCATTCAACACGACCGGTGGCTCGACTTCCTTCAGGCAACTCCAGAGATGCCCCGAGAACACTGGCCCAAGTCTAGAGGAACACCAACTTCAGCACAGCAACTCGAGGAATGCTCCGTGTACCCCAAATCGTCTCGAGATGCGAGCTGATTCCCTGGCTTAGGCTCAAGACGTATGCCAACTTCCCAGAAGCACCTCAGGAGGAGGCTTCTCTCAGCAATAGGTATGTGGGAAGGACCCCGAGTTTGCTGCCTCAAGGGGAATATACAGCGAGAAGCCCTAACTTGAAAGGAGGCCTGATTTCCTTGCAGTGGCTTGAATACAGGCTCGTCTTTCATCTCACAACATGAAGGGATGTCTGAATCCCCTGTGGAGACCTTAGAGAAAGCCCTAGGTCCCTGCCTCATTTTGACGGAATGCGTCACATCCCGCTGACACCTCGAGAGGCACGCGGAGTTCATTGCTTCAAAAGGTGACGATGCCTGACTCCTCTTGAATACTGATAGGAATCCCAAAATCCCTGTGGCTACTGGAAAGGGTCCTTGGGTGCCCTGCCTCACCTCGAGAAGCGTCCCTTTGGCCCTGCCAAGCCTCGAAGAGATTCCTGAGGTGTCCCTCGTTACTAGACAGGAGTCCTGACGTCACTGAAGAAACTCGTGTTTTGAAGGGCCATCCCCGCCGTAAGTCGAGAACATACCCCAGGTCCCCGCCGCAACTCGAGAAAAACCATGAGACTTCCCCCTAGAGGCGAGATGAGGCCCCATTCCCCTGCAGTGCATGCAGAGCTATTCCGTGATCCCATTCAAACAAGTCAGGAGCTTCGACTTGCTTAATGGATCTCGAGACAGTCCCCAAGAACACTGTCACCAGTCTAGACGGACCCTGATGTCACCCCAGCAACGCAAAGCAGCTCCATGTGCCCCAAATCAACTCGAGATGAGGCCCGATTCCCCTGCACTGACTCCAGAGCCATTCCCCGTTCCCCATTCAACACGACCGGTGGCTCGACTTCCTTCAGGCAACTCCAGAGATGCCCCGAGAACACTGTCCCAAGTCTAGAGGAACACCAACTTCAGCACAGCAACTCGAGGAATGCTCCGTGTACCCCAAATCGTCTCGAGATGCGAGCTGATTCCCTGGCTTAGGCTCAAGACGTATGCCAACTTCCCAGAAGCACCTCAGGAGGAGGCTTCTCTCAGCAATAGGTATGTGGGAGGGACCCCGAGTTTGCTGCCTCAAGGGGAATATACAGCGAGAAGCCCTAACTTGAAAGGAGGCCGGATTTCCTTGCAGTGGCTTGAATACAGGCTCGTCTTTCATCTCACAACATGAAGGGATGTCTGAATCCCCTGTGGAGACCTTAGAGAAAGCCCTAGGTCCCTGCCTCATTTTGACGGAATGCCTCACATCCCGCTGACACCTCGAGAGGCACGCGGAGTTCATTGCTTCAAAAGGTGACGATGCCTGACTCCTCTTGAATACTGATAGGAATCCCAAAATCCCTGTGGCTACTGGAAAGGGTCCTTGGGTGCCCTGCCTCACCTCGAGAAGCGTCCCTTTGGCCCTGCCAAGCCTCGAAGAGATTCCTGAGGTGTCCCTCGTTACTAGACAGGAGTCCTGACGTCACTGAAGAAACTCGTGTTTTGAAGGGCCATCCCCGCCGTAAGTCGAGAACATACCCCAGGTCCCCGCCGCAACTCGAGGAAAACCATGAGACTTCCCCCTAGAGGCGAGATGAGGCCCCATTCCCCTGCAGTGCATGCAGAGCTATTCCATGACCCCATTCAAACAAGTCAGGAGCTTCGACTTGCTTAATGGATCTCGAGACAGTCCCCAAGAACACTGTCACCAGTCTAGACGGACCCTGAGGTCACCCCAGCAACGCAAAGCAGCTCCATGTGCCCCAAATCAACTCGAGATGAGGCCCGGTTCCCCTGCATTGACTCCAGAGCCATTCCCCGTTCCCCATTCAACACGACCGGTGGCTCGACTTCCTTCAGGCAACTCCAGAGATGCCCCGAGAACACTGTCCCAAGTCCAGAGGAACACCAACTTCAGCACAGCAACTCGAGGAATGCTCCGTGTACCCCAAATCGTCTCGAGATGCGAGCTGATTCCCTGGCTTAGGCTCAAGACGTATGCCAACTTCCCAGAAGCACCTCAGGAGGAGGCTTCTCTCAGCAATAGGTATGTGGGAGGGACCCCGAGTTTGCTGCCTCAAGGGGAATATACAGCGAGAAGCCCTAACTTGAAAGGAGGCCGGATTTCCTTGCAGTGGCTTGAATACAGGCTCGTCTTTCATCTCACAACATGAAGGGATGTCTGAATCCCCTGTGGAGACCTTAGAGAAAGCCCTAGGTCCCTGCCTCATTTTGACGGAATGCCTCACATCCCGCTGACACCTCGAGAGGCACGCGGAGTTCATTGCTTCAAAAGGTGATGATGCCTGACTCCTCTTGAATACTGATAGGAATCCCAAAATCCCTGTGGCTACTGGAAAGGGTCCTTGGGTGCCCTGCCTCACCTGGAGAAGCGTCCCTTTGGCCCTGCCAAGCCTCGAAGAGATTCCTGAGGTGTCCCTCATTACTAGACAGGAGTCCTGACGTCACTGAAGAAACTCGTGTTTTGAAGGGCCATCCCCGCCGTAAGTCGAGAACATACCCCAGGTCCCCGCCGCAACTCGAGAAAAACCATGAGACTTCCCCCTAGAGGCGAGATGAGGACCCATTCCCCTGCAGTGCATGCAGAGCTATTCCGTGATCCCATTCAAACAAGTCAGGAGCTTCGACTTGCTTAATGGATCTCGAGACAGTCCCCAAGAACACTGTCACCAGTCTAGACGGACCCTGAGGTCACCCCAGCAACGCAAAGCAGCTCCATGTGCCCCAAATCAACTCGAGATGAGGCCCGATTCCCCTGCATTGACTCCAGAGCCATTCCCCGTTCCCCATTCAACACGACCGGTGGCTCGACTTCCTTCAGGCAACTCCAGAGATGCCCCGAGAACACTGTCCCAAGTCTAGAGGAACACCAACTTCAGCACAGCAACTCGAGGAATGCTCCGTGTACCCCAAATCGTCTCGAGATGCGAGCTGATTCCCTGGCTTAGGCTCAAGACGTATGCCAACTTCCCAGAAGCACCTCAGGAGGAGGCTTCTCTCAGCAATAGGTATGTGGGAGGGACCCCGAGTTTGCTGCCTCAAGGGGAATATACAGCGAGAAGCCCTAACTTGAAAGGAGGCCGGATTTCCTTGCAGTGGCTTGAATACAGGCTCGTCTTTCATCTCACAACATGAAGGGATGTCTGAATCCCCTGTGGAGACCTTAGAGAAAGCCCTAGGTCCCTGCCTCATTTTGACGGGATGCCTCACATCCCGCTGACACCTCGAGAGGCACGCAGAGTTCATTGCTTCAAAAGGTGACGATGCCTGACTCCTCTTGAATACTGATAGGAATCCCAAAATCCCTGTGGCTACTGGAAAGGGTCCTTGGGTGCCCTGCCTCACCTCGAGAAGCGTCCCTTTGGCCCTGCCAAGCCTCGAAGAGATTCCTGAGGTGTCCCTCGTTACTAGACAGGAGTCCTGACGTCACTGAAGAAACTCGTGTTTTGAAGGGCCATCCCCGCCGTAAGTCGAGAACATACCCCAGGTCCCCGCCGCAACTCGAGAAAAACCATGAGACTTCCCCCTAGAGGCGAGATGAGGACCCATTCCCCTGCAGTGCATGCAGAGCTATTCCGTGATCCCATTCAAACAAGTCAGGAGCTTCGACTTGCTTAATGGATCTCGAGACAGTCCCCAAGAACACTGTCACCAGTCTAGACGGACCCTGAGGTCACCCCAGCAACGCAAAGCAGCTCCATGTGCCCCAAATCAACTCGAGATGAGGCCCGATTCCCCTGCATTGACTCCAGAGCCATTCCCCGTTCCCCATTCAACACGACCGGTGGCTCGACTTCCTTCAGGCAACTCCAGAGATGCCCCGAGAACACTGTCCCAAGTCTAGAGGAACACCAACTTCAGCACAGCAACTCGAGGAATGCTCCGTGTACCCCAAATCGTCTCGAGATGCGAGCTGATTCCCTGGCTTAGGCTCAAGACGTATGCCAACTTCCCAGAAGCACCTCAGGAGGAGGCTTCTCTCAGCAATAGGTATGTGGGAGGGACCCCGAGTTTGCTGCCTCAAGGGGAATATACAGCGAGAAGCCCTAACTTGAAAGGAGGCCGGATTTCCTTGCAGTGGCTTGAATACAGGCTCGTCTTTCATCTCACAACATGAAGGGATGTCTGAATCCCCTGTGGAGACCTTAGAGAAAGCCCTAGGTCCCTGCCTCATTTTGACGGAATGCCTCACATCCCGCTGACACCTCGAGAGGCACGCGGAGTTCATTGCTTCAAAAGGTGACGATGCCTGACTCCTCTTGAATACTGATAGGAATCCCAAAATCCCTGTGGCTACTGGAAAGGGTCCTTGGGTGCCCTGCCTCACCTCGAAAAGCGTCCCTTTGGCCCTGCCAAGCCTCGAAGAGATTCCTGAGGTGTCCCTCGTTACTAGACAGGAGTCCTGACGTCACTGAAGAAACTCGTGTTTTGAAGGGCCATCCCCGCCGTAAGTCGAGCACATACCCCAGGTCCCCGCCGCAACTCGAGAAAAACCATGAGACTTCCCCCTAGAGGCGAGATGAGGCCCCATTCCCCTGCAGTGCATGCAGAGCTATTCCGTGACCCCATTCAAACAAGTCAGGAGCTTCGACTTGCTTAATGGATCTCGAGACAGTCCCCAAGAACACTGTCACCAGTCTAGACGGACCCTGAGGTCACCCCAGCAACGCAAAGCAGCTCCCTGTGCCCCAAATCAACTCGAGATGAGGCCCGATTCCCCTGCATTGACTCCAGAGCCATTCCCCGTTCCCCATTCAACACGACCGGTGGCTCGACTTCCTTCAGGCAACTCCAGAGATGCCCCGAGAACACTGTCCCAAGTCTAGAGGAACACCAACTTCAGCACAGCCACTCGAGGAATGCTCCGTGTACCCCAAGTCGTCTCGAGATGCGAGCTGATTCCCTGGCTTAGGCTCAAGACGTATGCCAACTTCCCAGAAGCACCTCAGGAGGAGGCTTCTCTCAGCAATAAGTATGTGGGAGGGACCCCGAGTTTGCTGCCTCAAGGGGAATATACAGCGAGAAGCCCTAACTTGAAAGGAGGCCGGATTTCCTTGCAGTGGCTTGAATACAGGCTCGTCTTTCATCTCACAACATGAAGGGATGTCTGAATCCCCTGTGGAGACCTTAGAGAAAGCCCTAGGTCCCTGCCTCATTTTGACGGAATGCCTCACATCCCGCTGACACCTCGAGAGGCACGCGGAGTTCATTGCTTCAAAAGGTGACGATGCCTGACTCCTCTTGAATACTGATAGGAATCCCAAAATCCCTGTGGCTACTGGAAAGGGTCCTTGGGTGCCCTGCCTCACCTCGAGAAGCGTCCCTTTGGCCCTGCCAAGCCTCGAAGAGATTCCTGAGGTGTCCCTCGTTACTAGACAGGAGTCCTGACGTCACTGAAGAAACTCGTGTTTTGAAGGGCCATTCCCGCCGTAAGTCGAGAACATACCCCAGGTCCCCGCCGCAACTCGAGGAAAACCATGAGACTTCCCCCTAGAGGCGAGATGAGGCCCCATTCCCCTGCAGTGCATGCAGAGCTATTCCGTGACCCCATTCAAACAAGTCAGGAGCTTCGACTTGCTTAATGGATCTCGAGACAGTCCCCAAGAACACTGTCACCAGTCTAGACGGACCCTGAGGTCACCCCAGCAACGCAAAGCAGCTCCCTGTGCCCCAAATCAACTCGAGATGAGGCCCGATTCCCCTGCACTGACTCCAGAGCCATTCCCCGTTCCCCATTCAACACGACCGGTGGCTCGACTTCCTTCAGGCAACTCCAGAGATGCCCCGAGAACACTGGCCCAAGTCTAGAGGAACACCAACTTCAGCACAGCAACTCGAGGAATGCTCCGTGTACCCCAAATCGTCTCGAGATGCGAGCTGATTCCCTGGCTTAGGCTCAAGACGTATGCCAACTTCCCAGAAGCACCTCAGGAGGAGGCTTCTCTCAGCAATAGGTATGTGGGAAGGACCCCGAGTTTGCTGCCTCAAGGGGAATATACAGCGAGAAGCCCTAACTTGAAAGGAGGCCTGATTTCCTTGCAGTGGCTTGAATACAGGCTCGTCTTTCATCTCACAACATGAAGGGATGTCTGAATCCCCTGTGGAGACCTTAGAGAAAGCCCTAGGTCCCTGCCTCATTTTGACGGAATGCGTCACATCCCGCTGACACCTCGAGAGGCACGCGGAGTTCATTGCTTCAAAAGGTGACGATGCCTGACTCCTCTTGAATACTGATAGGAATCCCAAAATCCCTGTGGCTACTGGAAAGGGTCCTTGGGTGCCCTGCCTCACCTCGAGAAGCGTCCCTTTGGCCCTGCCAAGCCTCGAAGAGATTCCTGAGGTGTCCCTCGTTACTAGACAGGAGTCCTGACGTCACTGAAGAAACTCGTGTTTTGAAGGGCCATCCCCGCCGTAAGTCGAGAACATACCCCAGGTCCCCGCCGCAACTCGAGAAAAACCATGAGACTTCCCCCTAGAGGCGAGATGAGGCCCCATTCCCCTGCAGTGCATGCAGAGCTATTCCGTGATCCCATTCAAACAAGTCAGGAGCTTCGACTTGCTTAATGGATCTCGAGACAGTCCCCAAGAACACTGTCACCAGTCTAGACGGACCCTGATGTCACCCCAGCAACGCAAAGCAGCTCCATGTGCCCCAAATCAACTCGAGATGAGGCCCGATTCCCCTGCACTGACTCCAGAGCCATTCCCCGTTCCCCATTCAACACGACCGGTGGCTCGACTTCCTTCAGGCAACTCCAGAGATGCCCCGAGAACACTGTCCCAAGTCTAGAGGAACACCAACTTCAGCACAGCAACTCGAGGAATGCTCCGTGTACCCCAAATCGTCTCGAGATGCGAGCTGATTCCCTGGCTTAGGCTCAAGACGTATGCCAACTTCCCAGAAGCACCTCAGGAGGAGGCTTCTCTCAGCAATAGGTATGTGGGAGGGACCCCGAGTTTGCTGCCTCAAGGGGAATATACAGCGAGAAGCCCTAACTTGAAAGGAGGCCGGATTTCCTTGCAGTGGCTTGAATACAGGCTCGTCTTTCATCTCACAACATGAAGGGATGTCTGAATCCCCTGTGGAGACCTTAGAGAAAGCCCTAGGTCCCTGCCTCATTTTGACGGAATGCCTCACATCCCGCTGACACCTCGAGAGGCACGCGGAGTTCATTGCTTCAAAAGGTGACGATGCCTGACTCCTCTTGAATACTGATAGGAATCCCAAAATCCCTGTGGCTACTGGAAAGGGTCCTTGGGTGCCCTGCCTCACCTCGAGAAGCGTCCCTTTGGCCCTGCCAAGCCTCGAAGAGATTCCTGAGGTGTCCCTCGTTACTAGACAGGAGTCCTGACGTCACTGAAGAAACTCGTGTTTTGAAGGGCCATCCCCGCCGTAAGTCGAGAACATACCCCAGGTCCCCGCCGCAACTCGAGGAAAACCATGAGACTTCCCCCTAGAGGCGAGATGAGGCCCCATTCCCCTGCAGTGCATGCAGAGCTATTCCATGACCCCATTCAAACAAGTCAGGAGCTTCGACTTGCTTAATGGATCTCGAGACAGTCCCCAAGAACACTGTCACCAGTCTAGACGGACCCTGAGGTCACCCCAGCAACGCAAAGCAGCTCCATGTGCCCCAAATCAACTCGAGATGAGGCCCGGTTCCCCTGCATTGACTCCAGAGCCATTCCCCGTTCCCCATTCAACACGACCGGTGGCTCGACTTCCTTCAGGCAACTCCAGAGATGCCCCGAGAACACTGTCCCAAGTCCAGAGGAACACCAACTTCAGCACAGCAACTCGAGGAATGCTCCGTGTACCCCAAATCGTCTCGAGATGCGAGCTGATTCCCTGGCTTAGGCTCAAGACGTATGCCAACTTCCCAGAAGCACCTCAGGAGGAGGCTTCTCTCAGCAATAGGTATGTGGGAGGGACCCCGAGTTTGCTGCCTCAAGGGGAATATACAGCGAGAAGCCCTAACTTGAAAGGAGGCCGGATTTCCTTGCAGTGGCTTGAATACAGGCTCGTCTTTCATCTCACAACATGAAGGGATGTCTGAATCCCCTGTGGAGACCTTAGAGAAAGCCCTAGGTCCCTGCCTCATTTTGACGGAATGCCTCACATCCCGCTGACACCTCGAGAGGCACGCGGAGTTCATTGCTTCAAAAGGTGATGATGCCTGACTCCTCTTGAATACTGATAGGAATCCCAAAATCCCTGTGGCTACTGGAAAGGGTCCTTGGGTGCCCTGCCTCACCTGGAGAAGCGTCCCTTTGGCCCTGCCAAGCCTCGAAGAGATTCCTGAGGTGTCCCTCATTACTAGACAGGAGTCCTGACGTCACTGAAGAAACTCGTGTTTTGAAGGGCCATCCCCGCCGTAAGTCGAGAACATACCCCAGGTCCCCGCCGCAACTCGAGAAAAACCATGAGACTTCCCCCTAGAGGCGAGATGAGGCCCCATTCCCCTGCAGTGCATGCAGAGCTATTCCGTGATCCCATTCAAACAAGTCAGGAGCTTCGACTTGCTTAATGGATCTCGAGACAGTCCCCAAGAACACTGTCACCAGTCTAGACGGACCCTGAGGTCACCCCAGCAACGCAAAGCAGCTCCATGTGCCCCAAATCAACTCGAGATGAGGCCCGAATCCCCTGCATTGACTCCAGAGCCATTCCCCGTTCCCCATTCAACACGACCGGTGGCTCGACTTCCTTCAGGCAACTCCAGAGATGCCCCGAGAACACTGTCCCAAGTCCAGAGGAACACCAACTTCAGCACAGCAACTCGAGGAATGCTCCGTGTACCCCAAATCGTCTCGAGATGCGAGCTGATTCCCTGGCTTAGGCTCAAGACGTATGCCAACTTCCCAGAAGCACCTCAGGAGGAGGCTTCTCTCAGCAATAGGTATGTGGGAGGGACCCCGAGTTTGCTGCCTCAAGGGGAATATACAGCGAGAAGCCCTAACTTGAAAGGAGGCCGGATTTCCTTGCAGTGGCTTGAATACAGGCTCGTCTTTCATCTCACAACATGAAGGGATGTCTGAATCCCCTGTGGAGACCTTAGAGAAAGCCCTAGGTCCCTGCCTCATTTTGACGGAATGCCTCACATCCCGCTGACACCTCGAGAGGCACGCGGAGTTCATTGCTTCAAAAGGTGACGATGCCTGACTCCTCTTGAATACTGATAGGAATCCCAAAATCCCTGTGGCTACTGGAAAGGGTCCTTGGGTGCCCTGCCTCACCTCGAGAGGCGTCCCTTTGGCCCTGCCAAGCCTCGAAGAGATTCCTGAGGTGTCCCTCGTTACTAGACAGGAGTCCTGACGTCACTGAAGAAACTCGTGTTTTGAAGGGCCATCCCCGCCGTAAGTCGAGAACATACCCCAGGTCCCCGCCGCAACTCGAGAAAAACCATGAGACTTCCCCCTAGAGGCGAGATGAGGCCCCATTCCCCTGCAGTGCATGCAGAGCTATTCCGTGATCCCATTCAAACAAGTCAGGAGCTTCGACTTGCTTAATGGATCTCGAGACAGTCCCCAAGAACACTGTCACCAGTCTAGACGGACCCTGAGGTCACCCCAGCAACGCAAAGCAGCTCCATGTGCCCCAAATCAACTCGAGATGAGGCCCGATTCCCCTGCATTGACTCCAGAGCCATTCCCCGTTCCCCATTCAACACGACCGGTGGCTCGACTTCCTTCAGGCAACTCCAGAGATGCCCCGAGAACACTGTCCCAAGTCCAGAGGAACACCAACTTCAGCACAGCAACTCGAGGAATGCTCCGTGTACCCCAAATCGTGTCGAGATGCGAGCTGATTCCCTGGCTTAGGCTCAAGACGTATGCCAACTTCCCAGAAGCACCTCAGGAGGAGGCTTCTCTCAGCAATAGGTATGTGGGAGGGACCCCGAGTTTGCTGCCTCAAGGGGAATATACAGCGAGAAGCCCTAACTTGAAAGGAGGCCGGATTTCCTTGCAGTGGCTTGAATACAGGCTCGTCTTTCATCTCACAACATGAAGGGATGTCTGAATCCCCTGTGGAGACCTTAGAGAAAGCCCTAGGTCCCTGCCTCATTTTGTCGGAATGCCTCACATCCCGCTAACACCTCGAGAGGCACGCGGAGTTCATTGCTTCAAAAGGTGACGATGCCTGACTCCTCTTGAATACTGATAGGAATCCCAAAATCCCTGTGGCTACTGGAAAGGGTCCTTGGGTGCCCTGCCTCACCTCGAGAAGCGTCCCTTTGGCCCTGCCAAGCCTCGAAGAGATTCCTGAGGTGTCCCTCGTTACTAGACAGGAGTCCTGACGTCACTGAAGAAACTCGTGTTTTGAAGGGCCATCCCCGCCGTAAGTCGAGAACATACCCCAGGTCCCCGCCGCAACTCGAGAAAAACCATGAGACTTCCCCCTAGAGGCGAGATGAGGCCCCATTCCCCTGCAGTGCATGCAGAACTATTCCGTGATCCCATTCAAACAAGTCAGGAGCTTCGACTTGCTTAATGGATCTCGAGACAGTCCCCAAGAACACTGTCACCAGTCTAGACGGACCCTGAGGTCACCCCAGCAACGCAAAGCAGCTCCATGTGCCCCAAATCAACTCGAGATGAGGCCCGATTCCCCTGCATTGACTCCAGAGCCATTCCCCGTTCCCCATTCAACACGACCGGTGGCTCGACTTCCTTCAGGCAACTCCAGAGATGCCCCGAGAACACTGTCCCAAGTCCAGAGGAACACCAACTTCAGCACAGCAACTCGAGGAATGCTCCGTGTACCCCAAATCGTCTCGAGATGCGAGCTGATTCCCTGGCTTAGGCTCAAGACGTATGCCAACTTCCCAGAAGCACCTCAGGAGGAGGCTTCTCTCAGCAATAGGTATGTGGGAGGGACCCCGAGTTTGCTGCCTCAAGGGGAATATACAGCGAGAAGCCCTAACTTGAAAGGAGGCCGGATTTCCTTGCAGTGGCTTGAATACAGGCTCGTCTTTCATCTCACAACATGAAGGGATGTCTGAATCCCCTGTGGAGACCTTAGAGAAAGCCCTAGGTCCCTGCCTCATTTTGACGGAATGCCTCACATCCCGCTGACACCTCGAGAGGCAAGCGGAGTTCATTGCTTCAAAAGGTGACGATGCCTGACTCCTCTTGAATACTGATAGGAATCCCAAAATCCCTGTGGCTACTGGAAAGGGTCCTTGGGTGCCCTGCCTCACCTCGAGAGGCGTCCCTTTGGCCCTGCCAAGCCTCGAAGAGATTCCTGAGGTGTCCCTCGTTACTAGACAGGAGTCCTGACGTCACTGAAGAAACTCGTGTTTTGAAGGGCCATCCCCGCCGTAAGTCGAGAACATACCCCAGGTCCCCGCCGCAACTCGAGAAAAACCATGAGACTTCCCCCTAGAGGCGAGATGAGGCCCCATTCCCCTGCAGTGCATGCAGAGCTATTCCGTGATCCCATTCAAACAAGTCAGGAGCTTCGACTTGCTTAATGGATCTCGAGACAGTCCCCAAGAACACTGTCACCAGTCTAGACGGACCCTGAGGTCACCCCAGCAACGCAAAGCAGCACCATGTGCCCCAAATCAACTCGAGATGAGGCCCGATTCCCCTGCATTGACTCCAGAGCCATTCCCCGTTCCCCATTCAACACGACCGGTGGCTCGACTTCCTTCAGGCAACTCCAGAGATGCCCCGAGAACACTGTCCCAAGTCTAGAAGAACACCAACTTCAGCACAGCAACTCGAGGAATGCTCCGTGTACCCCAAATCGTCTCGAGATGCGAGCTGATTCCCTGGCTTAGGCTCAAGACGTATGCCAACTTCCCAGAAGCACCTCAGGAGGAGGCTTCTCTCAGCAATAGGTATGTGGGACGGCCCCCGAGTTTGCTGCCTCAAGGGGAATATACAGCGAGAAGCCCTAACTTGAAAGGAGGCCGGATTTCCTTGCAGTGGCTTGAATACAGGCTCGTCTTTCATCTCACAACATGAAGGGATGTCTGAATCCCCTGTGGAGACCTTAGAGAAAGCCCTAGGTCCCTGCCTCATTTTGACGGAATGCCTCCCATCCCGCTGACACCTCGAGAGGCACGCGGAGTTCATTGCTTCAAAAGGTGACGATGCCTGACTCCTCTTGAATACTGATAGGAATCCCAAAATCCCTGTGGCTACTGGAAAGGGTCCTTGGGTGCCCTGCCTCACCTCGAGAAGCGTCCCTTTGGCCCTGCCAAGCCTCGAAGAGATTCCTGAGGTGTCCCTCGTTACTAGACAGGAGTCCTGACGTCACTGAAGAAACTCGTGTTTTGAAGGGCCATCCCCGCCGTAAGTCGAGAACATACCCCAGGTCCCCGCCGCAACTCGAGAAAAACCATGAGACTTCCCCCTAGAGGCGAGATGAGGCCCCATTCCCCTGCAGTGCATGCAGAGCTATTCCGTGATCCCATTCAAACAAGTCAGGAGCTTCGACTTGCTTAATGGATCTCGAGACAGTCCCCAAGAACACTGTCACCAGTCTAGACGGACCCTGAGGTCACCCCAGCAACGCAAAGCAGCTCCATGTGCCCCAAATCAACTCGAGATGAGGCCCGATTCCCCTGCATTGACTCCAGAGCCATTCCCCGTTCCCCATTCAACACGACCGGTGGCTCGACTTCCTTCAGGCAACTCCAGAGATGCCCCGAGAACACTGTCCCAAGTCTAGAGGAACAAAAACTTCAGCACAGCAACTCGAGGAATGCTCCGTGTACCCCAAATCGTCTCGAGATGCGAACTGATTCCCTGGCTTAGGCTCAAGACGTATGCCAACTTCCCAGAAGCACCTCAGGAGGAGGCTTCTCTCAGCAATAGGTATGTGGGAGGGCCCCCGAGTTTGCTGCCTCAAGGGGAATATACAGCGAGAAGCCCTAACTTGAAAGGAGGCCGGATTTCCTTGCAGTGGTTTGAATACAGGCTCGTCTTTCATCTCACAACATGAAGGGATGTCTGAATCCCCTGTGGAGACCTTAGAGAAAGCCCTAGGTCCCTGCCTCATTTTGACGGGATGCCTCACATCCCGCTGACACCTCGAGAGGCACGCGGAGTTCATTGCTTCAAAAGGTGACGATGCCTGACTCCTCTTGAATACTGATAGGAATCCCAAAATCCCTGTGGCTACTGGAAAGGGTCCTTGGGTGCCCTGCCTCACCTCGAGAAGCGTCCCTTTGGCCCTGCCAAGCCTCGAAGAGATTCCTGAGGTGTCCCTCGTTACTAGACAGGAGTCCTGACGTCACTGAAGAAACTCGTGTTTTGAAGGGCCATCCCCGCCGTAAGTCGAGAACATACCCCAGGTCCCCGCCGCAACTCGAGAAAAACCATGAGACTTCCCCCTAGAGGCGAGATGAGGACCCATTCCCCTGCAGTGCATGCAGAGCTATTCCGTGATCCCATTCAAACAAGTCAGGAGCTTCGACTTGCTTAATGGATCTCGAGACAGTCCCCAAGAACACTGTCACCAGTCTAGACGGACCCTGAGGTCACCCCAGCAACGCAAAGCAGCTCCATGTGCCCCAAATCAACTCGAGATGAGGCCCGATTCCCCTGCATTGACTCCAGAGCCATTCCCCGTTCCCCATTCAACACGACCGGTGGCTCGACTTCCTTCAGGCAACTCCAGAGATGCCCCGAGAACACTGTCCCAAGTCTAGAGGAACACCAACTTCAGCACAGCAACTCGAGGAATGCTCCGTGTACCCCAAATCGTCTCGAGATGCGAGCTGATTCCCTGGCTTAGGCTCAAGACGTATGCCAACTTCCCAGAAGCACCTCAGGAGGAGGCTTCTCTCAGCAATAGGTATGTGGGAGGGACCCCGAGTTTGCTGCCTCAAGGGGAATATACAGCGAGAAGCCCTAACTTGAAAGGAGGCCGGATTTCCTTGCAGTGGCTTGAATACAGGCTCGTCTTTCATCTCACAACATGAAGGGATGTCTGAATCCCCTGTGGAGACCTTAGAGAAAGCCCTAGGTCCCTGCCTCATTTTGACGGAATGCCTCACATCCCGCTGACACCTCGAGAGGCACGCGGAGTTCATTGCTTCAAAAGGTGACGATGCCTGACTCCTCTTGAATACTGATAGGAATCCCAAAATCCCTGTGGCTACTGGAAAGGGTCCTTGGGTGCCCTGCCTCACCTCGAGAAGCGTCCCTTTGGCCCTGCCAAGCCTCGAAGAGATTCCTGAGGTGTCCCTCGTTACTAGACAGGAGTCCTGACGTCACTGAAGAAACTCGTGTTTTGAAGGGCCATCCCCGCCGTAAGTCGAGAACATACCCCAGGTCCCCGCCGCAACTCGAGAAAAACCATGAGACTTCCCCCTAGAGGCGAGATGAGGCCCCATTCCCCTGCAGTGCATGCAGAGCTATTCCGTGATCCCATTCAAACAAGTCAGGAGCTTCGACTTGCTTAATGGATCTCGAGACAGTCCCCAAGAACACTGTCACCAGTCTAGACGGACCCTGAGGTCACCCCAGCAACGCAAAGCAGCTCCATGTGCCCCAAATCAACTCGAGATGAGGCCCGATTCCCCTGCATTGACTCCAGAGCCATTCCCCGTTCCCCATTCAACACGACCGGTGGCTCGACTTCCTTCAGGCAACTCCAGAGATGCCCCGAGAACACTGTCCCAAGTCCAGAGGAACACCAACTTCAGCACAGCAACTCGAGGAATGCTCCGTGTACCCCAAATCGTCTCGAGATGCGAGCTGATTCCCTGGCTTAGGCTCAAGACGTATGCCAACTTCCCAGAAGCACCTCAGGAGGAGGCTTCTCTCAGCAATAGGTATGTGGGAGGGACCCCGAGTTTGCTGCCTCAAGGGGAATATACAGCGAGAAGCCCTAACTTGAAAGGAGGCCGGATTTCCTTGCAGTGGCTTGAATACAGGCTCGTCTTTCATCTCACAACATGAAGGGATGTCTGAATCCCCTGTGGAGACCTTAGAGAAAGCCCTAGGTCCCTGCCTCATTTTGACGGAATGCCTCACATCCCGCTGACACCTCGAGAGGCACGCGGAGTTCATTGCTTCAAAAGGTGACGATGCCTGACTCCTCTTGAATACTGATAGGAATCCCAAAATCCCTGTGGCTACTGGAAAGGGTCCTTGGGTGCCCTGCCTCACCTCGAGAAGCGTCCCTTTGGCCCTGCCAAGCCTCGAAGAGATTCCTGAGGTGTCCCTCGTTACTAGACAGGAGTCCTGACGTCACTGAAGAAACTCGTGTTTTGAAGGGCCATCCCCGCCGTAAGTCGAGAACATACCCCAGGTCCCCGCCGCAACTCGAGAAAAACCATGAGACTTCCCCCTAGAGGCGAGATGAGGCCCCATTCCCCTGCAGTGCATGCAGAGCTATTCCGTGATCCCATTCAAACAAGTCAGGAGCTTCGACTTGCTTAATGGATCTCGAGACAGTCCCCAAGAACACTGTCACCAGTCTAGACGGACCCTGAGGTCACCCCAGCAACGCAAAGCAGCTCCATGTGCCCCAAATCAACTCGAGATGAGGCCCGATTCCCCTGCATTGACTCCAGAGCCATTCCCCGTTCCCCATTCAACACGACCGGTGGCTCGACTTCCTTCAGGCAACTCCAGAGATGCCCCGAGAACACTGTCCCAAGTCCAGAGGAACACCAACTTCAGCACAGCAACTCGAGGAATGCTCCGTGTACCCCAAATCGTCTCGAGATGCGAGCTGATTCCCTGGCTTAGGCTCAAGACGTATGCCAACTTCCCAGAAGCACCTCAGGAGGAGGCTTCTCTCAGTAATAGGTATGTGGGAGGGCCCCCGAGTTTGCTGCCTCAAGGGGAATATACAGCGAGAAGCCCTAACTTGAAAGGAGGCCGGATTTCCTTGCAGTGGCTTGAATACAGGCTCGTCTTTCATCTCACAACATGAAGGGATGTCTGAATCCCCTGTGGAGACCTTAGAGAAAGCCCTAGGTCCCTGCCTCATTTTGACGGAATGCCTCACATCCCGCTGACACCTCGAGAGGCACGCGGAGTTCATTGCTTCAAAAGGTGACGATGCCTGACTCCTCTTGAATACTGATAGGAATCCCAAAATCCCTGTGGCTACTGGAAAGGGTCCTTGGGTGCCCTGCCTCACCTCGAGAAGCGTCCCTTTGGCCCTGCCAAGCCTCGAAGAGATTCCTGAGGTGTCCCTCGTTACTAGACAGGAGTCCTGACGTCACTGAAGAAACTCGTGTTTTGAAGGGCCATTCCCGCCGTAAGTCGAGAACATACCCCAGGTCCCCGCCGCAACTCGAGAAAAACCATGAGACTTCCCCCTAGAGGCGAGATGAGGCCCCATTCCCCTGCAGTGCATGCAGAGCTATTCCGTGACCCCATTCAAACAAGTCAGGAGCTTCGACTTGCTTAATGGATCTCGAGACAGTCCCCAAGAACACTGTCACCAGTCTAGACGGACCCTGAGGTCACCCCAGCAACGCAAAGCAGCTCCCTGTGCCCCAAATCAACTCGAGATGAGGCCCGATTCCCCTGCATTGACTCCAGAGCCATTCCCCGTTCCCCATTCAACACGACCGGTGGCTCGACTTCCTTCAGGCAACTCCAGAGATGCCCCGAGAACACTGTCCCAAGTCTAGAGGAACACCAACTTCAGCACAGCCACTCGAGGAATGCTCCGTGTACCCCAAATCGTCTCGAGATGCGAGCTGATTCCCTGGCTTAGGCTCAAGACGTATGCCAACTTCCCAGAAGCACCTCAGGAGGAGGCTTCTCTCAGCAATAGGTATGTGGGAGGGACCCCGAGTTTGCTGCCTCAAGGGGAATATACAGCGAGAAGCCCTAACTTGAAAGGAGGCCGGATTTCCTTGCAGTGGCTTGAATACAGGCTCGTCTTTCATCTCACAACATGAAGGGATGTCTGAATCCCCTGTGGAGACCTTAGAGAAAGCCCTAGGTCCCTGCCTCATTTTGACGGAATGCCTCACATCCCGCTGACACCTCGAGAGGCACGCGGAGTTCATTGCTTCAAAAGGTGACGATGCCTGACTCCTCTTGAATACTGATAGGAATCCCAAAATCCCTGTGGCTACTGGAAAGGGTCCTTGGGTGCCCTGCCTCACCTCGAGAAGCGTCCCTTTGGCCCTGCCAAGCCTCGAAGAGATTCCTGAGGTGTCCCTCGTTACTAGACAGGAGTCCTGACGTCACTGAAGAAACTCGTGTTTTGAAGGGCCATTCCCGCCGTAAGTCGAGAACATACCCCAGGTCCCCGCCGCAACTCGAGGAAAACCATGAGACTTCCCCCTAGAGGCGAGATGAGGCCCCATTCCCCTGCAGTGCATGCAGAGCTATTCCGTGACCCCATTCAAACAAGTCAGGAGCTTCGACTTGCTTAATGGATCTCGAGACAGTCCCCAAGAACACTGTCACCAGTCTAGACGGACCCTGAGGTCACCCCAGCAACGCAAAGCAGCTCCCTGTGCCCCAAATCAACTCGAGATGAGGCCCGATTCCCCTGCACTGACTCCAGAGCCATTCCCCGTTCCCCATTCAACACGACCGGTGGCTCGACTTCCTTCAGGCAACTCCAGAGATGCCCCGAGAACACTGGCCCAAGTCTAGAGGAACACCAACTTCAGCACAGCAACTCGAGGAATGCTCCGTGTACCCCAAATCGTCTCGAGATGCGAGCTGATTCCCTGGCTTAGGCTCAAGACGTATGCCAACTTCCCAGAAGCACCTCAGGAGGAGGCTTCTCTCAGCAATAGGTATGTGGGAAGGACCCCGAGTTTGCTGCCTCAAGGGGAATATACAGCGAGAAGCCCTAACTTGAAAGGAGGCCTGATTTCCTTGCAGTGGCTTGAATACAGGCTCGTCTTTCATCTCACAACATGAAGGGATGTCTGAATCCCCTGTGGAGACCTTAGAGAAAGCCCTAGGTCCCTGCCTCATTTTGACGGAATGCCTCACATCCCGCTGACACCTCGAGAGGCACGCGGAGTTCATTGCTTCAAAAGGTGACGATGCCTGACTCCTCTTGAATACTGATAGGAATCCCAAAATCCCTGTGGCTACTGGAAAGGGTCCTTGGGTGCCCTGCCTCACCTCGAGAAGCGTCCCTTTGGCCCTGCCAAGCCTCGAAGAGATTCCTGAGGTGTCCCTCGTTACTAGACAGGAGTCCTGACGTCACTGAAGAAACTCGTGTTTTGAAGGGCCATCCCCGCCGTAAGTCGAGAACATACCCCAGGTCCCCGCCGCAACTCGAGAAAAACCATGAGACTTCCCCCTAGAGGCGAGATGAGGCCCCATTCCCCTGCAGTGCATGCAGAGCTATTCCGTGATCCCATTCAAACAAGTCAGGAGCTTCGACTTGCTTAATGGATCTCGAGACAGTCCCCAAGAACACTGTCACCAGTCTAGACGGACCCTGAGGTCACCCCAGCAACGCAAAGCAGCTCCATGTGCCCCAAATCAACTCGAGATGAGGCCCGATTCCCCTGCACTGACTCCAGAGCCATTCCCCGTTCCCCATTCAACACGACCGGTGGCTCGACTTCCTTCAGGCAACTCCAGAGATGCCCCGAGAACACTGTCCCAAGTCTAGAGGAACACCAACTTCAGCACAGCAACTCGAGGAATGCTCCGTGTACCCCAAATCGTCTCGAGATGCGAGCTGATTCCCTGGCTTAGGCTCAAGACGTATGCCAACTTCCCAGAAGCACCTCAGGAGGAGGCTTCTCTCAGCAATAGGTATGTGGGAGGGACCCCGAGTTTGCTGCCTCAAGGGGAATATACAGCGAGAAGCCCTAACTTGAAAGGAGGCCGGATTTCCTTGCAGTGGCTTGAATACAGGCTCGTCTTTCATCTCACAACATGAAGGGATGTCTGAATCCCCTGTGGAGACCTTAGAGAAAGCCCTAGGTCCCTGCCTCATTTTGACGGAATGCCTCACATCCCGCTGACACCTCGAGAGGCACGCGGAGTTCATTGCTTCAAAAGGTGACGATGCCTGACTCCTCTTGAATACTGATAGGAATCCCAAAATCCCTGTGGCTACTGGAAAGGGTCCTTGGGTGCCCTGCCTCACCTCGAGAAGCGTCCCTTTGGCCCTGCCAAGCCTCGAAGAGATTCCTGAGGTGTCCCTCGTTACTAGACAGGAGTCCTGACGTCACTGAAGAAACTCGTGTTTTGAAGGGCCATCCCCGCCGTAAGTCGAGAACATACCCCAGGTCCCCGCCGCAACTCGAGGAAAACCATGAGACTTCCCCCTAGAGGCGAGATGAGGCCCCATTCCCCTGCAGTGCATGCAGAGCTATTCCATGACCCCATTCAAACAAGTCAGGAGCTTCGACTTGCTTAATGGATCTCGAGACAGTCCCCAAGAACACTGTCACCAGTCTAGATGGACCCTGAGGTCACCCCAGCAACGCAAAGCAGCTCCATGTGCCCCAAATCAACTCGAGATGAGGCCCGGTTCCCCTGCATTGACTCCAGAGCCATTCCCCGTTCCCCATTCAACACGACCGGTGGCTCGACTTCCTTCAGGCAACTCCAGAGATGCCCCGAGAACACTGTCCCAAGTCCAGAGGAACACCAACTTCAGCACAGCAACTCGAGGAATGCTCCGTGTACCCCAAATCGTCTCGAGATGCGAGCTGATTCCCTGGCTTAGGCTCAAGACGTATGCCAACTTCCCAGAAGCACCTCAGGAGGAGGCTTCTCTCAGCAATAGGTATGTGGGAGGGACCCCGAGTTTGCTGCCTCAAGGGGAATATACAGCGAGAAGCCCTAACTTGAAAGGAGGCCGGATTTCCTTGCAGTGGCTTGAATACAGGCTCGTCTTTCATCTCACAACATGAAGGGATGTCTGAATCCCCTGTGGAGACCTTAGAGAAAGCCCTAGGTCCCTGCCTCATTTTGACGGAATGCCTCACATCCCGCTGACACCTCGAGAGGCACGCGGAGTTCATTGCTTCAAAAGGTGACGATGCCTGACTCCTCTTGAATACTGATAGGAATCCCAAAATCCCTGTGGCTACTGGAAAGGGTCCTTGGGTGCCCTGCCTCACCTCGAGAAGCGTCCCTTTGGCCCTGCCAAGCCTCGAAGAGATTCCTGAGGTGTCCCTCTTTACTAGACAGGAGTCCTGACGTCACTGAAGAAACTCGTGTTTTGAAGGGCCATCCCCGCCGTAAGTCGAGAACATACCCCAGGTCCCCGCCGCAACTCGAGGAAAACCATGAGACTTCCCCCTAGAGGCGAGATGAGGCCCCATTCCCCTGCAGTGCATGCAGAGCTATTCCGTGACCCCATTCAAACAAGTCAGGAGCTTCGACTTGCTTAATGGATCTCGAGACAGTCCCCAAGAACACTGTCACCAGTCTAGACGGACCCTGAGGTCACCCCAGCAACGCAAAGCAGCTCCACGTGCCCCAAATCAACTCGAGATGAGGCCCGATTCCCCTGCATTGACTCCAGAGCCATTCCCCGTTCCCCATTCAACACGACCGGTGGCTCGACTTCCTTCAGGCAACTCCAGAGATGCCCCGAGAACACTGTCCCAAGTCCAGAGGAACACCAACTTCAGCACAGCAACTCGAGGAATGCTCCGTGTACCCCAAATCGTCTCGAGATGCGAGCTGATTCCCTGGCTTAGGCTCAAGACGTATGCCAACTTCCCAGAAGCACCTCAGGAGGAGGCTTCTCTCAGCAATAGGTATGTGGGAGGGACCCCGAGTTTGCTGCCTCAAGGGGAATATACAGCGAGAAGCCCTAACTTGAAAGGAGGCCGGATTTCCTTGCAGTGGCTTGAATACAGGCTCGTCTTTCATCTCACAACATGAAGGGATGTCTGAATCCCCTGTGGAGACCTTAGAGAAAGCCCTAGGTCCCTGCCTCATTATGACGGAATGCCTCACATCCCGCTGACACCTCGAGAGGCACGCGGAGTTCATTGCTTCAAAAGGTGACGATGCCTGACTCCTCTTGAATACTGATAGGAATCCCAAAATCCCTGTGGCTACTGGAAAGGGTCCTTGGGTGCCCTGCCTCACCTCGAGAAGCGTCCCTTTGGCCCTGCCAAGCCTCGAAGAGATTCCTGAGGTGTCCCTCGTTACTAGACAGGAGTCCTGACGTCACTGAAGAAACTCGTGTTTTGAAGGGCCATCCCCGCCGTAAGTCGAGAACATACCCCAGGTCCCCGCCGCAACTCGAGAAAAACCATGAGACTTCCCCCTAGAGGCGAGATGAGGCCCCATTCCCCTGCAGTGCATGCAGAGCTATTCCGTGATCCCATTCAAACAAGTCAGGAGCTTCGACTTGCTTAATGGATCTCAAGACAGTCCCCAAGAACACTGTCACCAGTCTAGACGGACCCTGAGGTCACCCCAGCAACGCAAAGCAGCTCCATGTGCCCCAAATCAACTCGAGATGAGGCCCGATTCCCCTGCATTGACTCCAGAGCCATTCCCCGTTCCCCATTCAACACGACCGGTGGCTCGACTTCCTTCAGGCAACTCCAGAGATGCCCCGAGAACACTGTCCCAAGTCTAGAGGAACACCAACTTCAGCACAGCAACTCGAGGAATGCTCCGTGTACCCCAAATCGTCTCGAGATGCGAGCTGATTCCCTGGCTTAGGCTCAAGACGTATGCCAACTTCCCAGAAGCACCTCAGGAGGAGGCTTCTCTCAGCAATAGGTATGTGGGAGGGACCCCGAGTTTGCTGCCTCAAGGGGAATATACAGCGAGAAGCCCTAACTTGAAAGGAGGCCGGATTTCCTTGCAGTGGCTTGAATACAGGCTCGTCTTTCATCTCACAACATGAAGGGATGTCTGAATCCCCTGTGGAGACCTTAGAGAAAGCCCTAGGTCCCTGCCTCATTTTGACGGAATGCCTCACATCCCGCTGACACCTCGAGAGGCACGCGGAGTTCATTGCTTCAAAAGGTGACGATGCCTGACTCCTCTTGAATACTGATAGGAATCCCAAAATCCCTGTGGCTACTGGAAAGGGTCCTTGGGTGCCCTGCCTCACCTCGAGAAGCGTCCCTTTGGCCCTGCCAAGCCTCGAAGAGATTCCTGAGGTGTCCCTCGTTACTAGACAGGAGTCCTGACGTCACTGAAGAAACTCGTGTTTTGAAGGGCCATCCCCGCCGTAAGTCGAGAACATACCCCAGGTCCCCGCCGCAACTCGAGAAAAACCATGAGACTTCCCCCTAGAGGCGAGATGAGGCCCCATTCCCCTGCAGTGCATGCAGAGCTATTCCGTGATCCCATTCAAACAAGTCAGGAGCTTCGACTTGCTTAATGGATCTCGAGACAGTCCCCAAGAACACTGTCACCAGTCTAGACGGACCCTGAGGTCACCCCAGCAACGCAAAGCAGCTCCATGTGCCCCAAATCAACTCGAGATGAGGCCCGATTCCCCTGCATTGACTCCAGAGCCATTCCCCGTTCCCCATTCAACACGACCGGTGGCTCGACTTCCTTCAGGCAACTCCAGAGATGCCCCGAGAACACTGTCCCAAGTCCAGAGGAACACCAACTTCAGCACAGCAACTCGAGGAATGCTCCGTGTACCCCAAATCGTCTCGAGATGCGAGCTGATTCCCTGGCTTAGGCTCAAGACGTATGCCAACTTCCCAGAAGCACCTCAGGAGGAGGCTTCTCTCAGCAATAGGTATGTGGGAGGGACCCCGAGTTTGCTGCCTCAAGGGGAATATACAGCGAGAAGCCCTAACTTGAAAGGAGGCCGGATTTCCTTGCAGTGGCTTGAATACAGGCTCGTCTTTCATCTCACAACATGAAGGGATGTCTGAATCCCCTGTGGAAACCTTAGAGAAAGCCCTAGGTCCCTGCCTCATTTTGACGGAATGCCTCACATCCCGCTGACACCTCGAGAGGCACGCGGAGTTCATTGCTTCAAAAGGTGACGATGCCTGACTCCTCTTGAATACTGATAGGAATCCCAAAATCCCTGTGGCTACTGGAAAGGGTCCTTGGGTGCCCTGCCTCACCTCGAGAGGCGTCCCTTTGGCCCTGCCAAGCCTCGAAGAGATTCCTGAGGTGTCCCTCGTTACTAGACAGGAGTCCTGACGTCACTGAAGAAACTCGTGTTTTGAAGGGCCATCCCCGCCGTAAGTCGAGAACATACCCCAGGTCCCCGCCGCAACTCGAGAAAAACCATGAGACTTCCCCCTAGAGGCGAGATGAGGCCCCATTCCCCTGCAGTGCATGCAGAGCTATTCCGTGATCCCATTCAAACAAGTCAGGAGCTTCGACTTGCTTAATGGATCTCGAGACAGTCCCCAAGAACACTGTCACCAGTCTAGACGGACCCTGAGGTCACCCCAGCAACGCAAAGCAGCTCCATGTGCCCCAAATCAACTCGAGATGAGGCCCGATTCCCCTGCATTGACTCCAGAGCCATTCCCCGTTCCCCATTCAACACGACCGGTGGCTCGACTTCCTTCAGGCAACTTCAGAGATGCCCCGAGAACACTGTCCCAAGTCCAGAGGAACACCAACTTCAGCACAGCAACTCGAGGAATGCTCCGTGTACCCCAAATCGTCTCGAGATGCGAGCTGATTCCCTGGCTTAGGCTCAAGACGTATGCCAACTTCCCAGAAGCACCTCAGGAGGAGGCTTCTCTCAGCAATAGGTATGTGGGAGGGACCCCGAGTTTGCTGCCTCAAGGGGAATATACAGCGAGAAGCCCTAACTTGAAAGGAGGCCGGATTTCCTTGCAGTGGCTTGAATACAGGCTCGTCTTTCATCTCAGAACATGAAGGGATGTCTGAATCCCCTGTGGAGACCTTAGAGAAAGCCCTAGGTCCCTGCCTCATTTTGACGGAATGCCTCACATCCCGCTGACACCTCGAGAGGCACGCGGAGTTCATTGCTTCAAAAGGTGACGATGCCTGACTCCTCTTGAATACTGATAGGAATCCCAAAATCCCTGTGGCTACTGGAAAGGGTCCTTGGGTGCCCTGCCTCACCTCGAGAGGCGTCCCTTTGGCCCTGCCAAGCCTCGAAGAGATTCCTGAGGTGTCCCTCGTTACTAGACAGGAGTCCTGACGTCACTGAAGAAACTCGTGTTTTGAAGGGCCATCCCCGCCGTAAGTCGAGAACATACCCCAGGTCCCCGCCGCAACTCGAGAAAAACCATGAGACTTCCCCCTAGAGGCGAGATGAGGCCCCATTCCCCTGCAGTGCATGCAGAGCTATTCCGTGATCCCATTCAAACAAGTCAGGAGCTTCGACTTGCTTAATGGATCTCGAGACAGTCCCCAAGAACACTGTCACCAGTCTAGACGGACCCTGAGGTCACCCCAGCAACGCAAAGCAGCTCCATGTGCCCCAAATCAACTCGAGATGAGGCCCGATTCCCCTGCATTGACTCCAGAGCCATTCCCCGTTCCCCATTCAACACGACCGGTGGCTCGACTTCCTTCAGGCAACTCCAGAGATGCCCCGAGAACACTGTCCCAAGTCCAGAGGAACACCAACTTGAGCACAGGAACTCGAGGAATGCTCCGTGTACCCCAAATCGTCTCGAGATGCGAGCTGATTCCCTGGCTTAGGCTCAAGACGTATGCCAACTTCCCAGAAGCACCTCAGGAGGAGGCTTCTCTCAGCAATAGGTATGTGGGAGGGACCCCGAGTTTGCTGCCTCAAGGGGAATATACAGCGAGAAGCCCTAACTTGAAAGGAGGCCGGATTTCCTTGCAGTGGCTTGAATACAGGCTCGTCTTTCATCTCACAACATGAAGGGATGTCTGAATCCCCTGTGGAGACCTTAGAGAAAGCCCTAGGTCCCTGCCTCATTTTGACGGAATGCCTCACATCCCGCTGACACCTCGAGAGGCACGCGGAGTTCATTGCTTCAAAAGGTGACGATGCCTGACTCCTCTTGAATACTGATAGGAATCCCAAAATCCCTGTGGCTACTGGAAAGGGTCCTAGGGTGCCCTGCCTCACCTCGAGAAGCGTCCCTTTGGCCCTGCCAAGCCTCGAAGAGATTCCTGAGGTGTCCCTCGTTACTAGACAGGAGTCCTGACGTCACTGAAGAAACTCGTGTTTTGAAGGGCCATCCCCGCCGTAAGTCGAGAACATACCCCAGGTCCCCGCCGCAACTCGAGAAAAACCATGAGACTTCCCCCTAGAGGCGAGATGAGGCCCCATTCCCCTGCAGTGCATGCAGAGCTATTCCGTGATCCCATTCAAACAAGTCAGGAGCTTCGACTTGCTTAATGGATCTCGAGACAGTCCCCAAGAACACTGTCACCAGTCTAGACGGACGCTGAGTTCACCCCAGCAACGCAAAGCAGCTCCATGTGCCCCAAATCAACTCGAGATGAGGCCCGATTCCCCTGCATTGACTCCAGAGCCATTCCCCGTTCCCCATTCAACACGACCGGTGGCTCGACTTCCTTCAGGCAACTCCAGAGATGCCCCGAGAACACTGTCCCAAGTCGAGAGGAACACCAACTTCAGCACAGCAACTCGAGGAATGCTCCGTGTACCCCAAATCGTCTCGAGATGCGAGCTGATTCCCTGGCTTAGGCTCAAGACGTATGCCAACTTCCCAGAAGCACCTCAGGAGGAGGCTTCTCTCAGCAATAGGTATGTGGGAGGGACCCCGAGTTTGCTGCCTCAAGGGGAATATACAGCGAGAAGCCCTAACTTGAAAGGAGGCCGGATTTCCTTGCAGTGGCTTGAATACAGGCTCGTCTTTCATCTCACAACATGAAGGGATGTCTGAATCCCCTGTGGAGACCTTAGAGAAAGCCCTAGGTCCCTGCCTCATTTTGACGGGATGCCTCACATCCCGCTGACACCTCGAGAGGCACGCGGAGTTCATTGCTTCAAAAGGTGACGATGCCTGACTCCTCTTGAATACTGATAGGAATCCCAAAATCCCTGTGGCTACTGGAAAGGGTCCTTGGGTGCCCTGCCTCACCTCGAGAAGCGTCCCTTTGGCCCTGCCAAGCCTCGAAGAGATTCCTGAGGTGTCCCTCGTTACTAGACAGGAGTCCTGACGTCACTGAAGAAACTCGTGTTTTGAAGGGCCATCCCCGCCGTAAGTCGAGAACATACCCCAGGTCCCCGCCGCAACTCGAGAAAAACCATGAGACTTCCCCCTAGAGGCGAGATGAGGCCCCATTCCCCTGCAGTGCATGCAGAGCTATTCCGTGATCCCATTCAAACAAGTCAGGAGCTTCGACTTGCTTAATGGATCTCGAGACAGTCCCCAAGAACACTGTCACCAGTCTAGACGGACCCTGAGGTCACCCCAGCAACGCAAAGCAGCTCCATGTGCCCCAAATCAACTCGAGATGAGGCCCGATTCCCCTGCATTGACTCCAGAGCCATTCCCCGTTCCCCATTCAACACGACCGGTGGCTCGACTTCCTTCAGGCAACTCCAGAGATGCCCCGAGAACACTGTCCCAAGTCTAGAGGAACACCAACTTCAGCACAGCAACTCGAGGAATGCTCCGTGTACCCCAAGTCGTCTCGAGATGCGAGCTGATTCCCTGGCTTAGGCTCAAGACGTATGCCAACTTCCCAGAAGCACCTCAGGAGGAGGCTTCTCTCAGCAATAGGTATGTGGGAGGGACCCCGAGTTTGCTGCCTCAAGGGGAATATACAGCGAGAAGCCCTAACTTGAAAGGAGGCCGGATTTCCTTGCAGTGGCTTGAATACAGGCTCGTCTTTCATCTCACAACATGAAGGGATGTCTGAATCCCCTGTGGAGACCTTAGAGAAAGCCCTAGGTCCCTGCCTCATTTTGACGGGATGCCTCACATCCCGCTGACACCTCGAGAGGCACGCGGAGTTCATTGCTTCAAAAGGTGACGATGCCTGACTCCTCTTGAATACTGATAGGAATCCCAAAATCCCTGTGGCTACTGGAAAGGGTCCTTGGGTGCCCTGCCTCACCTCGAGAAGCGTCCCTTTGGCCCTGCCAAGCCTCGAAGAGATTCCTGAGGTGTCCCTCGTTACTAGACAGGAGTCCTGACGTCACTGAAGAAACTCGTGTTTTGAAGGGCCATCCCCGCCGTAAGTCGAGAACATACCCCAGGTCCCCGCCGCAACTCGAGAAAAACCATGAGACTTCCCCCTAGAGGCGAGATGAGGCCCCATTCCCCTGCAGTGCATGCAGAGCTATTCCGTGATCCCATTCAAACAAGTCAGGAGCTTCGACTTGTTTAATGGATCTCGAGACAGTCCCCAAGAACACTGTCACCAGTCTAGACGGACCCTGAGGTCACCCCAGCAACGCAAAGCAGCTCCATGTGCCCCAAATCAACTCGAGATGAGGCCCAATTCCCCTGCATTGACTCCAGAGCCATTCCCCGTTCCCCATTCAACACGACCGGTGGCTCGACTTCCTTCAGGCAACTCCAGAGATGCCCCGAGAACACTGTCCCAAGTCCAGAGGAACACCAACTTCAGCACAGCAACTCGAGGAATGCTCCGTGTACCCCAAATCGTCTCGAGATGCGAGCTGATTCCCTGGCTTAGGCTCAAGACGTATGCCAACTTCCCAGAAGCACCTCAGGAGGAGGCTTCTCTCAGCAATAGGTATGTGGGAGGGACCCCGAGTTTGCTGCCTCAAGGGGAATATACAGCGAGAAGCCCTAACTTGAAAGGAGGCCGGATTTCCTTGCAGTGGCTTGAATACAGGCTCGTCTTTCATCTCACAACATGAAGGGATGTCTGAATCCCCTGTGGAGACCTTAGAGAAAGCCCTAGGTCCCTGCCTCATTTTGACGGGATGCCTCACATCCCGCTGACACCTCGAGAGGCACGCGGAGTTCATTGCTTCAAAAGGTGACGATGCCTGACTCCTCTTGAATACTGATAGGAATCCCAAAATCCCTGTGGCTACTGGAAAGGGTCCTTGGGTGCCCTGCCTCACCTCGAGAAGCGTCCCTTTGGCCCTGCCAAGCCTCGAAGAGATTCCTGAGGTGTCCCTCGTTACTAGACAGGAGTCCTGACGTCACTGAAGAAACTCGTGTTTTGAAGGGCCATCCCCGCCGTAAGTCGAGAACATACCCCAGGTCCCCGCCGCAACTCGAGAAAAACCATGAGACTTCCCCCTAGAGGCGAGATGAGGCCCCATTCCCCTGCAGTGCATGCAGAGCTATTCCGTGATCCCATTCAAACAAGTCAGGAGCTTCGACTTGCTTAATGGATCTCGAGACAGTCCCCAAGAACACTGTCACCAGTCTAGACGGACCCTGAGGTCACCCCAGCAACGCAAAGCAGCTCCATGTGCCCCAAATCAACTCGAGATGAGGCCCGATTCCCCTGCATTGACTCCAGAGCCATTCCCCGTTCCCCATTCAACACGACCGGTGGCTCGACTTCCTTCAGGCAACTCCAGAGATGCCCCGAGAACACTGTCCCAAGTCCAGAGGAACACCAACTTCAGCACAGCAACTCGAGGAATGCTCCGTGTACCCCAAATCGTCTCGAGATGCGAGCTGATTCCCTGGCTTAGGCTCAAGACGTATGCCAACTTCCCAGAAGCACCTCAGGAGGAGGCTTCTCTCAGCAATAGGTATGTGGGAGGGACCCCGAGTTTGCTGCCTCAAGGGGAATATACAGCGAGAAGCCCTAACTTGAAAGGAGGCCGGATTTCCTTGCAGTGGCTTGAATACAGGCTCGTCTTTCATCTCACAACATGAAGGGATGTCTGAATCCCCTGTGGAGACCTTAGAGAAAGCCCTAGGTCCCTGCCTCATTTTGACGGGATGCCTCACATCCCGCTGACACCTCGAGAGGCACGCGGAGTTCATTGCTTCAAAAGGTGACGATGCCTGACTCCTCTTGAATACTGATAGGAATCCCAAAATCCCTGTGGCTACTGGAAAGGGTCCTTGGGTGCCCTGCCTCACCTCGAGAAGCGTCCCTTTGGCCCTGCCAAGCCTCGAAGAGATTCCTGAGGTGTCCCTCGTTACTAGACAGGAGTCCTGACGTCACTGAAGAAACTCGTGTTTTGAAGGGCCATCCCCGCCGTAAGTCGAGAACATACCCCAGGTCCCCGCCGCAACTCGAGAAAAACCATGAGACTTCCCCCTAGAGGCGAGATGAGGCCCCATTCCCCTGCAGTGCATGCAGAGCTATTCCGTGATCCCATTCAAACAAGTCAGGAGCTTCGACTTGCTTAATGGATCTCGAGACAGTCCCCAAGAACACTGTCACCAGTCTAGACGGACCCTGAGGTCACCCCAGCAACGCAAAGCAGCTCCATGTGCCCCAAATCAACTCGAGATGAGGCCCGATTCCCCTGCATTGACTCCAGAGCCATTCCCCGTTCCCCATTCAACACGACCGGTGGCTCGACTTCCTTCAGGCAACTCCAGAGATGCCCCGAGAACACTGTCCCAAGTCCAGAGGAACACCAACTTCAGCACAGCAACTCGAGGAATGCTCCGTGTACCCCAAATCGTCTCGAGATGCGAGCTGATTCCCTGGCTTAGGCTCAAGACGTATGCCAACTTCCCAGAAGCACCTCAGGAGGAGGCTTCTCTCAGCAATAGGTATGTGGGAGGGACCCCGAGTTTGCTGCCTCAAGGGGAATATACAGCGAGAAGCCCTAACTTGAAAGGAGGCCGGATTTCCTTGCAGTGGCTTGAATACAGGCTCGTCTTTCATCTCACAACATGAAGGGATGTCTGAATCCCCTGTGGAGACCTTAGAGAAAGCCCTAGGTCCCTGCCTCATTTTGACGGAATGCGTCACATCCCGCTGACACCTCGAGAGGCACGCGGAGTTCATTGCTTCAAAAGGTGACGATGCCTGACTCCTCTTGAATACTGATAGGAATCCCAAAATCCCTGTGGCTACTGGAAAGGGTCCTTGGGTGCCCTGCCTCACCTCGAGAAGCGTCCCTTTGGCCCTGCCAAGCCTCGAAGAGATTCCTGAGGTGTCCCTCGTTACTAGACAGGAGTCCTGACGTCACTGAAGAAACTCGTGTTTTGAAGGGCCATCCCCGCCGTAAGTCGAGAACATACCCCAGGTCCCCGCCGCAACTCGAGAAAAACCATGAGACTTCCCCCTAGAGGCGAGATGAGGCCCCATTCCCCTGCAGTGCATGCAGAGCTATTCCGTGATCCTATTCAAACAAGTCAGGAGCTTCGACTTGCTTAATGGATCTCGAGACAGTCCCCAAGAACACTGTCACCAGTCTAGACGGACCCTGAGGTCACCCCAGCAACGCAAAGCAGCTCCATGTGCCCCAAATCAACTCGAGATGAGGCCCGATTCCCCTGCATTGACTCCAGAGCCATTCCCCGTTCCCCATTCAACACGACCGGTGGCTCGACTTCCTTCAGGCAACTCCAGAGATGCCCCGAGAACACTGTCCCAAGTCTAGAGGAACACCAACTTCAGCACAGCAACTCGAGGAATGCTCCGTGTACCCCAAATCGTCTCGAGATGCGAGCTGATTCCCTGGCTTAGGCTCAAGACGTATGCCAACTTCCCAGAAGCACCTCAGGAGGAGGCTTCTCTCAGCAATAGGTATGTGGGAGGGACCCCGAGTTTGCTGCCTCAAGGGGAATATACAGCGAGAAGCCCTAACTTGAAAGGAGGCCGGATTTCCTTGCAGTGGCTTGAATACAGGCTCGTCTTTCATCTCACAACATGAAGGGATGTCTGAATCCCCTGTGGAGACCTTAGAGAAAGCCCTAGGTCCCTGCCTCATTTTGACGGGATGCCTCACATCCCGCTGACACCTCGAGAGGCACGCGGAGTTCATTGCTTCAAAAGGTGACGATGCCTGACTCCTCTTGAATACTGATAGGAATCCCAAAATCCCTGTGGCTACTGGAAAGGGTCCTTGGGTGCCCTGCCTCACCTCGAGAAGCGTCCCTTTGGCCCTGCCAAGCCTCGAAGAGATTCCTGAGGTGTCCCTCGTTACTAGACAGGAGTCCTGACGTCACTGAAGAAACTCGTGTTTTGAAGGGCCATCCCCGCCGCAACTCGAGAAAAACCATGAGACTTCCCCCTAGAGGCGAGATGAGGCCCCATTCCCCTGCAGTGCATGCAGAGCTATTCCGTGATCCCATTCAAACAAGTCAGGAGCTTCGACGTGCTTAATGGATCTCGAGACAGTCCCCAAGAACACTGTCACCAGTCTAGACGGACCCTGAGGTCACCCCAGCAACGCAAAGCAGCTCCATGTGCCCCAAATCAACTCGAGATGAGGCCCGATTCCCCTGCATTGACTCCAGAGCCATTCCCCGTTCCCCATTCAAGACGACCGGTGGCTCGACTTCCTTCAGGCAACTCCAGAGATGCCCCGAGAACACTGTCCCAAGTCTAGAGGAACACCAACTTCAGCACAGCAACTCGAGGAATGCTCCGTGTACCCCAAATCGTCTCGAGATGCGAGCTGATTCCCTGGCTTAGGCTCAAGACGTATGCCAACTTCCCAGAAGCACCTCAGGAGGAGGCTTCTCTCAGCAATAGGTATGTGGGAGGGACCCCGAGTTTGCTGCCTCAAGGGGAATATACAGCGAGAAGCCCTAACTTGAAAGGAGGCCGGATTTCCTTGCAGTGGCTTGAATACAGGCTCGTCTTTCATCTCACAACATGAAGGGATGTCTGAATCCCCTGTGGAGACCTTAGAGAAAGCCCTAGGTCCCTGCCTCATTTTGACGGGATGCCTCACATCCCGCTGACACCTCGAGAGGCACGCGGAGTTCATTGCTTCAAAAGGTGACGATGCCTGACTCCTCTTGAATACTGATAGGAATCCCAAAATCCCTGTGGCTACTGGAAAGGGTCCTTGGGTGCCCTGCCTCACCTCGAGAAGCGTCCCTTTGGCCCTGCCAAGCCTCGAAGAGATTCCTGAGGTGTCCCTCGTTACTAGACAGGAGTCCTGACGTCACTGAAGAAACTCGTGTTTTGAAGGGCCATCCCCGCCGTAAGTCGAGAACATACCCCAGGTCCCCGCCGCAACTCGAGAAAAACCATGAGACTTCCCCCTAGAGGCGAGATGAGGCCCCATTCCCCTGCAGTGCATGCAGAGCTATTCCGTGATCCCATTCAAACAAGTCAGGAGCTTCGACTTGCTTAATGGATCTCGAGACAGTCCCCAAGAACACTGTCACCAGTCTAGACGGACCCTGAGGTCACCCCAGCAACGCAAAGCAGCTCCATGTGCCCCAAATCAACTCGAGATGAGGCCCGATTCCCCTGCATTGACTCCAGAGCCATTCCCCGTTCCCCATTCAACACGACCGGTGGCTCGACTTCCTTCAGGCAACTCCAGAGATGCCCCGAGAACACTGTCCCAAGTCTAGAGGAACACCAACTTCAGCACAGCAACTCGAGGAATGCTCCGTGTACCCCAAATCGTCTCGAGATGCGAGCTGATTCCCTGGCTTAGGCTCAAGACGTATGCCAACTTCCCAGAAGCACCTCAGGAGGAGGCTTCTCTCAGCAATAGGTATGTGGGAGGGACCCCGAGTTTGCTGCCTCAAGGGGAATATACAGCGAGAAGCCCTAACTTGAAAGGAGGCCGGATTTCCTTGCAGTGGCTTGAATACAGGCTCGTCTTTCATCTCACAACATGAAAGGATGTCTGAATCCCCTGTGGAGACCTTAGAGAAAGCCCTAGGTCCCTGCCTCATTTTGACGGGATGCCTCACATCCCGCTGACACCTCGAGAGGCACGCGGAGTTCATTGCTTCAAAAGGTGACGATGCCTGACTCCTCTTGAATACTGATAGGAATCCCAAAATCCCTGTGGCTACTGGAAAGGGTCCTTGGGTGCCCTGCCTCACCTCGAGAAGCGTCCCTTTGGCCCTGCCAAGCCTCAAAGAGATTCCTGAGGTGTCCCTCGTTACTAGACAGGAGTCCTGACGTCACTGAAGAAACTCGTGTTTTGAAGGGCCATCCCCGCCGTAAGTCGAGAACATACCCCAGGTCCCCGCCGCAACTCGAGAAAAACCATGAGACTTCCCCCTAGAGGCGAGATGAGGCCCCATTCCCCTGCAGTGCATGCAGAGCTATTCCGTGACCCCATTCAAACAAGTCAGGAGCTTCGACTTCCTTAATGGATCTCGAGACAGTCCCCAAGAACACTGTCACCAGTATAGACGGACCCTGAGGTCACCCCAGCAACGCAAAGCAGCTCCATGTGCCCCAAATCAACTCGAGATGAGGCCCGATTCCCCTGCATTGACTCCAGAGCCATTCCCCGTTCCCCATTCAACACGACCGGTGGCTCGACTTCCTTCAGGCAACTCCAGAGATGCCCCGAGAACACTGTCCCAAGTCCAGAGGAACACCAACTTCAGCACAGCAACTCGAGGAATGCTCCGTGTACCCCAAATCGTCTCGAGATGCGAGCTGATTCCCTGGCTTAGGCTCAAGACGTATGCCAACTTCCCAGAAGCACCTCAGGAGGAGGCTTCTCTCAGCAATAGGTATGTGGGAGGGACCCCGAGTTTGCTGCCTCAAGGGGAATATACAGCGAGAAGCCCTAACTTGAAAGGAGGCCGGATTTCCTTGCAGTGGCTTGAATACAGGCTCGTCTTTCATCTCAGAACATGAAGGGATGTCTGAATCCCCTGTGGAGACCTTAGAGAAAGCCCTAGGTCCCTGCCTCATTTTGACGGAATGCGTCACATCCCGCTGACACCTCGAGAGGCACGCGGAGTTCATTGCTTCAAAAGGTGACGATGCCTGACTCCTCTTGAATACTGATAGGAATCCCAAAATCCCTGTGGCTACTGGAAAGGGTCCTTGGGTGCCCTGCCTCACCTCGAGAAGCGTCCCTTTGGCCCTGCCAAGCCTCGAAGAGAATCCTGAGGTGTCCCTCGTTACTAGACAGGAGTCCTGACGTCACTGAAGAAACTCGTGTTTTGAAGGGCCATCCCCGCCGCAACTCGAGAAAAACCATGAGACTTCCCCCTAGAGGCGAGATGAGGCCCCATTCCCCTGCAGTGCATGCAGAGCTATTCCGTGATCCCATTCAAACAAGTCAGGAGCTTCGACTTGCTTAATGGATCTCGAGACAGTCCCCAAGAACACTGTCACCAGTCTAGACGGACCCTGAGGTCACCCCAGCAACGCAAAGCAGCTCCATGTGCCCCAAATCAACTCGAGATGAGGCCCGATTCCCCTGCATTGACTCCAGAGCCATTCCCCGTTCCCCATTCAACACGACCGGTGGCTCGACTTCCTTCAGGCAACTCCAGAGATGCCCCGAGAACACTGTCCCAAGTCTAGAGGAACACCAACTTCAGCACAGCAACTCGAGGAATGCTCCGTGTACCCCAAATCGTCTCGAGATGCGAGCTGATTCCCTGGCTTAGGCTCAAGACGTATGCCAACTTCCCAGAAGCACCTCAGGAGGAGGCTTCTCTCAGCAATAGGTATGTGGGAGGGACCCCGAGTTTGCTGCCTCAAGGGGAATATACAGCGAGAAGCCCTAACTTGAAAGGAGGCCGGATTTCCTTGCAGTGGCTTGAATACAGGCTCGTCTTTCATCTCACAACATGAAAGGATGTCTGAATCCCCTGTGGAGACCTTAGAGAAAGCCCTAGGTCCCTGCCTCATTTTGACGGGATGCCTCACATCCCGCTGACACCTCGAGAGGCACGCGGAGTTCATTGCTTCAAAAGGTGACGATGCCTGACTCCTCTTGAATACTGATAGGAATCCCAAAATCCCTGTGGCTACTGGAAAGGGTCCTTGGGTGCCCTGCCTCACCTCGAGAAGCGTCCCTTTGGCCCTGCCAAGCCTCAAAGAGATTCCTGAGGTGTCCCTCGTTACTAGACAGGAGTCCTGACGTCACTGAAGAAACTCGTGTTTTGAAGGGCCATCCCCGCCGTAAGTCGAGAACATACCCCAGGTCCCCGCCGCAACTCGAGAAAAACCATGAGACTTCCCCCTAGAGGCGAGATGAGGCCCCATTCCCCTGCAGTGCATGCAGAGCTATTCCGTGACCCCATTCAAACAAGTCAGGAGCTTCGACTTGCTTAATGGATCTAGAGACAGTCCCCAAGAACACTGTCACCAGTCTAGACGGACCCTGAGGTCACCCCAGCAACGCAAAGCAGCTCCATGTGCCCCAAATCAACTCGAGATGAGGCCCGATTCCCCTGCATTGACTCCAGAGCCATTCCCCGTTCCCCATTCAACACGACCGGTGGCTCGACTTCCTTCAGGCAACTCCAGAGATGCCCCGAGAACACTGTCCCAAGTCCAGAGGAACACCAACTTCAGCACAGCAACTCGAGGAATGCTCCGTGTACCCCAAATCGTCTCGAGATGCGAGCTGATTCCCTGGCTTAGGCTCAAGACGTATGCCAACTTCCCAGAAGCACCTCAGGAGGAGGCTTCTCTCAGCAATAGGTATGTGGGAGGGACCCCGAGTTTGCTGCCTCAAGGGGAATATACAGCGAGAAGCCCTAACTTGAAAGGAGGCCGGATTTCCTTGCAGTGGCTTGAATACAGGCTCGTCTTTCATCTCAGAACATGAAGGGATGTCTGAATCCCCTGTGGAGACCTTAGAGAAAGCCCTAGGTCCCTGCCTCATTTTGACGGAATGCGTCACATCCCGCTGACACCTCGAGAGGCACGCGGAGTTCATTGCTTCAAAAGGTGACGATGCCTGACTCCTCTTGAATACTGATAGGAATCCCAAAATCCCTGTGGCTACTGGAAAGGGTCCTTGGGTGCCCTGCCTCACCTCGAGAAGCGTCCCTTTGGCCCTGCCAAGCCTCGAAGAGATTCCTGAGGTGTCCCTCGTTACTAGACAGGAGTCCTGACGTCACTGAAGAAACTCGTGTTTTGAAGGGCCATCCCCGCCGTAAGTCGAGAACATACCCCAGGTCCTCGCCGCAACTCGAGAAAAATCATGAGACTTCCCCCTAGAGGCGAGATGAGGCCCCATTCCCCTGCAGTGCATGCAGATCTATTCCGTGACCCCATTCAAACAAGTCAGGAGCTTCGACTTGCTTAATGGATCTCGAGACAGTCCCCAAGAACACTGTCACCAGTCTAGACGGACCCTGAGGTCACCCCAGCAACGCAAAGCAGCTCCATGTGCCCCAAATCAACTCGAGATGAGGCCCGATTTCCCTGCATTGACTCCAGAGCCATTCCCCGTTCCCCATTCAACACGACCGGTGGCTCGACTTCCTTCAGGCAACTCCAGAGATGCCCCGAGAACACTGTCCCAAGTCTAGAGGAACACCAACTTCAGCACAGCAACTCGAGGAATGCTCCGTGTACCCCAAATCGTCTCAAGATGCGAGCTGATTCCCTGGCTTAGGCTCAAGACGTATGCCAACTTCCCAGAAGCACCTCAGGAGGAGGCTTCTCTCAGCAATAGGTATGCGGGAGGGACCCCGAGTTTGCTGCCTCAAGGGGAATATACAGCGAGAAGCCCTAACTTGAAAGGAGGCCGGATTTCCTTGCAGTGGCTTGAATACAGGCTCGTCTTTCATCTCACAACATGAAGGGATGTCTGAATCCCCTGTGGAGACCTTAGAGAAAGCCCTAGGTCCCTGCCTCATTTTGACGGAATGCCTCACATCCCGCTGACACCTCGAGAGGCACGCGGAGTTCATTGCTTCAAAAGGTGACGATGCCTGACTCCTCTTGAATACTGATAGGAATCCCAAAATCCCTGTGGCTACTGGAAAGGGTCCTTGGGTGCCCTGCCTCACCTCGAGAAGCGTCCCTTTGGCCCTGCCAAGCCTCGAAGAGATTCCTGAGGTGTCCCTCGTTACTAGACAGGAGTCCTGACGTCACTGAAGAAACTCGTGTTTTGAAGGGCCATCCCCGCCGTAAGTCGAGAACATACCCCAGGTCCCCGCCGCAACTCGAGAAAAACCATGAGACTTCCCCCTAGAGGCGAGATGAGGCCCCATTCCCCTGCAGTGCATGCAGAGCTATTCCGTGATCCCATTCAAACAAGTCAGGAGCTTCGACTTGTTTAATGGATCTCCAGACAGTCCCCAAGAACACTGTCACCAGTCTAGACGGACCCTGAGGTCACCCCAGCAACGCAAAGCAGCTCCATGTGCCCCAAATCAACTCGAGATGAGGCCCGATTCCCCTGCATTGACTCCAGAGCCATTCCCCGTTCCCCATTCAACAGGACCGGTGGCTCGACTTCCTTCAGGCAACTCCAGAGATGCCCCGAGAACACTGTCCCAAGTCTAGAGGAACACCAACTTCAGCACAGCAACTCGAGGAATGCTCCGTGTACCCCAAATCGTCTCGAGATGCGAGCTGATTCCCTGGCTTAGGCTCAAGACGTATGCCAACTTCCCAGAAGCACCTCAGGAGGAGGCTTCTCTCAGCAATAGGTATGTGGGAGGGACCCCGAGTTTGCTGCCTCAAGGGGAATATACAGCGAGAAGCCCTAACTTGAAAGGAGGCCGGATTTCCTTGTAGTGGCTTGAATACAGGCTCGTCTTTCATCTCACAACATGAAGGGATGTCTGAATCCCCTGTGGAGACCTTAGAGAAAGCCCTAGGTCCCTGCCTCATTTTGACGGGATGCCTCACATCCCGCTGACACCTCGAGAGGCACGCGGAGTTCATTGCTTCAAAAGGTGACGATGCCTGACTCCTCTTGAATACTGATAGGAATCCCAAAATCCCTGTGGCTACTGGAAAGGGTCCTTGGGTGCCCTGCCTCACCTCGAGAAGCGTCCCTTTGGCCCTGCCAAGCCTCAAAGAGATTCCTGAGGTGTCCCTCGTTACTAGACAGGAGTCCTGACGTCACTGAAGAAACTCGTGTTTTGAAGGGCCATCCCCGCCGTAAGTCGAGAACATACCCCAGGTCCCCGCCGCAACTCGAGAAAAACCATGAGACTTCCCCCTAGAGGCGAGATGAGGCCCCATTCCCCTGCAGTGCATGCAGAGCTATTCCGTGACCCCATTCAAACAAGTCAGGAGCTTCGACTTGCTTAATGGATCTCGAGACAGTCCCCAAGAACACTGTCACCAGTCTAGACGGACCCTGAGGTCACCCCAGCAACGCAAAGCAGCTCCATGTGCCCCAAATCAACTCGAGATGAGGCCCGATTCCCCTGCATTGACTCCAGAGCCATTCCCCGTTCCCCATTCAACACGACCGGTGGCTCGACTTCCTTCAGGCAACTCCAGAGATGCCCCGAGAACACTGTCCCAAGTCCAGAGGAACACCAACTTCAGCACAGCAACTCGAGGAATGCTCCGTGTACCCCAAATCGTCTCGAGATGCGAGCTGATTCCCTGGCTTAGGCTCAAGACGTATGCCAACTTCCCAGAAGCACCTCAGGAGGAGGCTTCTCTCAGCAATAGGTATGTGGGAGGGACCCCGAGTTTGCTGCCTCAAGGGGAATATACAGCGAGAAGCCCTAACTTGAAAGGAGGCCGGATTTCCTTGCAGTGGCTTGAATACAGGCTCGTCTTTCATCTCAGAACATGAAGGGATGTCTGAATCCCCTGTGGAGACCTTAGAGAAAGCCCTAGGTCCCTGCCTCATTTTGACGGAATGCGTCACATCCCGCTGACACCTCGAGAGGCACGCGGAGTTCATTGCTTCAAAAGGTGACGATGCCTGACTCCTCTTGAATACTGATAGGAATCCCAAAATCCCTGTGGCTACTGGAAAGGGTCCTTGGGTGCCCTGCCTCACCTCGAGAGGCGTCCCTTTGGCCCTGCCAAGCCTCGAAGAGATTCCTGAGGTGTCCCTCGTTACTAGACAGGAGTCCTGACGTCACTGAAGAAACTCGTGTTTTGAAGGGCCATCCCCGCCGTAAGTCGAGAACATACCCCAGGTCCCCGCCGCAACTCGAGAAAAACCATGAGACTTCCCCCTAGAGGCGAGATGAGGCCCCATTCCCCTGCAGTGCATGCAGAGCTATTCCGTGATCCCATTCAAACAAGTCAGGAGCTTCGACTTGCTTAATGGATCTCGAGACAGTCCCCAAGAACACTGTCACCAGTCTAGACGGACCCTGAGGTCACCCCAGCAACGCAAAGCAGCTCCATGTGCCCCAAATCAACTCGAGATGAGGCCCGATTCCCCTGCATTGACTCCAGAGCCATTCCCCGTTCCCCATTCAACACGACCGGTGGCTCGACTTCCTTCAGGCAACTCCAGAGATGCCCCGAGAACACTGTCCCAAGTCCAGAGGAACACCAACTTCAGCACAGCAACTCGAGGAATGCTCCGTGTACCCCAAATCGTCTCGAGATGCGAGCTGATTCCCTGGCTTAGGCTCAAGACGTATGCCAACTTCCCAGAAGCACCTCAGGAGGAGGCTTCTCTCAGCAATAGGTATGTGGGAGGGACCCTGAGTTTGCTGCCTCAAGGGGAATGCACAGCGAGAAGCCCTAACTTGAAAGGAGGCCGGATTTCCTTGCAGTGGCTTGAATACAGGCTCGTCTTTCATCTCACAACATGAAGGGATGTCTGAATCCCCTGTGGAGACCTTAGAGAAAGCCCTAGGTCCCTGCCTCATTTTGACGGAATGCCTCACATCCCGCTGACACCTCGAGAGGCACGCGGAGTTCATTGCTTCAAAAGGTGACGATGCCTGACTCCTCTTGAATACTGATAGGAATCCCAAAATCCCTGTGGCTACTGGAAAGGGTCCTTGGGTGCCCTGCCTCACCTCGAGAAGCGTCCCTTTGGCCCTGCCAAGCCTCGAAGAGATTCCTGAGGTGTCCCTCGTTACTAGACAGGAGTCCTGACGTCACTGAAGAAACTCGTGTTTTGAAGGGCCATCCCCGCCGTAAGTCGAGAACATACCCCAGGTCCCCGCCGCAACTCGAGAAAAATCATGAGACTTCCCCCTAGAGGCGAGATGAGGCCCCATTCCCCTGCAGTGCATGCAGAGCTATTCCGTGACCCCATTCAAACAAGTCAGGAGCTTCGACTTGCTTAATGGATCTCGAGACAGTCCCCAAGAACACTGTCACCAGTCTAGACGGACCCTGAGGTCACTCCAGCAACGCAAAGCAGCTCCATGTGCCCCAAATCAACTCGAGATGAGGCCCGATTTCCCTGCATTGACTCCAGAGCCATTCCCCGTTCCCCATTCAACACGACCGGTGGCTCGACTTCCTTCAGGCAACTCCAGAGATGCCCCGAGAACACTGTCCCAAGTCTAGAGGAACACCAACTTCAGCACAGCAACTCGAGGAATGCTCCGTGTACCCCAAATCGTCTCAAGATGCGAGCTGATTCCCTGGCTTAGGCTCAAGACGTATGCCAACTTCCCAGAAGCACCTCAGGAGGAGGCTTCTCTCAGCAATAGGTATGCGGGAGGGACCCCGAGTTTCCTGCCTCAAGGGGAATATACAGCGAGAAGCCCTAACTTGAAAGGAGGCCGGATTTCCTTGCAGTGGCTTGAATACAGGCTCGTCTTTCATCTCACAACATGAAGGGATGTCTGAATCCCCTGTGGAGACCTTAGAGAAAGCCCTAGGTCCCTGCCTCATTTTGACGGAATGCCTCACATCCCGCTGACACCTCGAGAGGCACGCGGAGTTCATTGCTTCAAAAGGTGACGATGCCTGACTCCTCTTGAATACTGATAGGAATCCCAAAATCCCTGTGGCTACTGGAAAGGGTCCTTGGGTGCCCTGCCTCACCTCGAGAAGCGTCCCTTTGGCCCTGCCAAGCCTCGAAGAGATTCCTGAGGTGTCCCTCGTTACTAGACAGGAGTCCTGACGTCACTGAAGAAACTCGTGTTTTGAAGGGCCATCCCCGCCGTAAGTCGAGAACATACCCCAGGTCCCCGCCGCAACTCGAGAAAAACCATGAGACTTCCCCCTAGAGGCGAGATGAGGCCCCATTCCCCTGCAGTGCATGCAGAGCTATTCCGTGATCCCATTCAAACAAGTCAGGAGCTTCGACTTGTTTAATGGATCTCCAGACAGTCCCCAAGAACACTGTCACCAGTCTAGACGGACCCTGAGGTCACCCCAGCAAAGCAAAGCAGCTCCATGTGCCCCAAATCAACTCGAGATGAGGCCCGATTCCCCTGCATTGACTCCAGAGCCATTCCCCGTTCCCCATTCAACAGGACCGGTGGCTCGACTTCCTTCAGGCAACTCCAGAGATGCCCCGAGAACACTGTCCCAAGTCTAGAGGAACACCAACTTCAGCACAGCAACTCGAGGAATGCTCCGTGTACCCCAAATCGTCTCGAGATGCGAGCTGATTCCCTGGCTTAGGCTCAAGACGTATGCCAACTTCCCAGAAGCACCTCAGGAGGAGGCTTCTCTCAGCAATAGGTATGTGGGAGGGACCCCGAGTTTGCTGCCTCAAGGGGAATATACAGCGAGAAGCCCTAACTTGAAAGGAGGCCGGATTTCCTTGCAGTGGCTTGAATACAGGCTCGTCTTTCATCTCACAACATGAAGGGATGTCTGAATCCCCTGTGGAGACCTTAGAGAAAGCCCTAGGTCCCTGCCTCATTTTGACGGGATGCCTCACATCCCGCTGACACCTCGAGAGGCACGCGGAGTTCATTGCTTCAAAAGGTGACGATGCCTGACTCCTCTTGAATACTGATAGGAATCCCAAAATCCCTGTGGCTACTGGAAAGGGTCCTTGGGTGCCCTGCCTCACCTCGAGAAGCGTCCCTTTGGCCCTGCCAAGCCTCAAAGAGATTCCTGAGGTGTCCCTCGTTACTAGACAGGAGTCCTGACGTCACTGAAGAAACTCGTGTTTTGAAGGGCCATCCCCGCCGTAAGTCGAGAACATACCCCAGGTCCCCGCCGCAACTCGAGAAAAACCATGAGACTTCCCCCTAGAGGCGAGATGAGGCCCCATTCCCCTGCAGTGCATGCAGAGCTATTCCGTGACCCCATTCAAACAAGTCAGGAGCTTCGACTTGCTTAATGGATCTCGAGACAGTCCCCAAGAACACTGTCACCAGTCTAGACGGACCCTGAGGTCACCCCAGCAACGCAAAGCAGCTCCATGTGCCCCAAATCAACTCGAGATGAGGCCCGATTCCCCTGCATTGACTCCAGAGCCATTCCCCGTTCCCCATTCAACACGACCGGTGGCTCGACTTCCTTCAGGCAACTCCAGAGATGCCCCGAGAACACTGTCCCAAGTCCAGAGGAACACCAACTTCAGCACAGCAACTCGAGGAATGCTCCGTGTACCCCAAATCGTCTCGAGATGCGAGCTGATTCCCTGGCTTAGGCTCAAGACGTATGCCAACTTCCCAGAAGCACCTCAGGAGGAGGCTTCTCTCAGCAATAGGTATGTGGGAGGGACCCCGAGTTTGCTGCCTCAAGGGGAATATACAGCGAGAAGCCCTAACTTGAAAGGAGGCCGGATTTCCTTGCAGTGGCTTGAATACAGGCTCGTCTTTCATCTCAGAACATGAAGGGATGTCTGAATCCCCTGTGGAGACCTTAGAGAAAGCCCTAGGTCCCTGCCTCATTTTGACGGAATGCGTCACATCCCGCTGACACCTCGAGAGGCACGCGGAGTTCATTGCTTCAAAAGGTGACGATGCCTGACTCCTCTTGAATACTGATAGGAATCCCAAAATCCCTGTGGCTACTGGAAAGGGTCCTTGGGTGCCCTGCCTCACCTCGAGAGGCGTCCCTTTGGCCCTGCCAAGCCTCGAAGAGATTCCTGAGGTGTCCCTCGTTACTAGACAGGAGTCCTGACGTCACTGAAGAAACTCGTGTTTTGAAGGGCCATCCCCGCCGTAAGTCGAGAACATACCCCAGGTCCCCGCCGCAACTCGAGAAAAACCATGAGACTTCCCCCTAGAGGCGAGATGAGGCCCCATTCCCCTGCAGTGCATGCAGAGCTATTCCGTGATCCCATTCAAACAAGTCAGGAGCTTCGACTTGCTTAATGGATCTCGAGACAGTCCCCAAGAACACTGTCACCAGTCTAGACGGACCCTGAGGTCACCCCAGCAACGCAAAGCAGCTCCATGTGCCCCAAATCAACTCGAGATGAGGCCCGATTCCCCTGCATTGACTCCAGAGCCATTCCCCGTTCCCCATTCAACACGACCGGTGGCTCGACTTCCTTCAGGCAACTCCAGAGATGCCCCGAGAACACTGTCCCAAGTCCAGAGGAACACCAACTTAAGCACAGCAACTCGAGGAATGCTCCGTGTACCCCAAATCGTCTCGAGATGCGAGCTGATTCCCTGGCTTAGGCTCAAGACGTATGCCAACTTCCCAGAAGCACCTCAGGAGGAGGCTTCTCTCAGCAATAGGTATGTGGGAGGGACCCCGAGTTTGCTGCCTCAAGGGGAATGCACAGCGAGAAGCCCTAACTTGAAAGGAGGCCGGATTTCCTTGCAGTGGCTTGAATACAGGCTCGTCTTTCATCTCACAACATGAAGGGATGTCTGAATCCCCTGTGGAGACCTTAGAGAAAGCCCTAGGTCCCTGCCTCATTTTGACGGAATGCCTCACATCCCGCTGACACCTCGAGAGGCACGCGGAGTTCATTGCTTCAAAAGGTGACGATGCCTGACTCCTCTTGAATACTGATAGGAATCCCAAAATCCCTGTGGCTACTGGAAAGGGTCCTTGGGTGCCCTGCCTCACCTCGAGAAGCATCCCTTTGGCCCTGCCAAGCCTCGAAGAGATTCCTGAGGTGTCCCTCGTTACTAGACAGGAGTCCTGACGTCACTGAAGAAACTCGTGTTTTGAAGGGCCATCCCCGCCGTAAGTCGAGAACATACCCCAGGTCCCCGCCGCAACTCGAGAAAAATCATGAGACTTCCCCCTAGAGGCGAGATGAGGCCCCATTCCCCTGCAGTGCATGCAGAGCTATTCCGTGACCCCATTCAAACAAGTCAGGAGCTTCGACTTGCTTAATGGATCTCGAGACAGTCCCCAAGAACACTGTCACCAGTCTAGACGGACCCTGAGGTCACCCCAGCAACGCAAAGCAGCTCCATGTGCCCCAAATCAACTCGAGATGAGGCCCGATTTCCCTGCATTGACTCCAGAGCCATTCCCCGTTCCCCATTCAACACGACCGGTGGCTCGACTTCCTTCAGGCAACTCCAGAGATGCCCCGAGAACACTGTCCCAAGTCTAGAGGAACACCAACTTCAGCACAGCAACTCGAGGAATGCTCCGTGTACCCCAAATCGTCTCAAGATGCGAGCTGATTCCCTGGCTTAGGCTCAAGACGTATGCCAACTTCCCAGAAGCACCTCAGGAGGAGGCTTCTCTCAGCAATAGGTATGCGGGAGGGACCCCGAGTTTGCTGCCTCAAGGGGAATATACAGCGAGAAGCCCTAACTTGAAAGGAGGCCGGATTTCCTTGCAGTGGCTTGAATACAGGCTCGTCTTTCATCTCACAACATGAAGGGATGTCTGAATCCCCTGTGGAGACCTTAGAGAAAGCCCTAGGTCCCTGCCTCATTTTGACGGAATGCCTCACATCCCGCTGACACCTCGAGAGGCACGCGGAGTTCATTGCTTCAAAAGGTGACGATGCCTGACTCCTCTTGAATACTGATAGGAATCCCAAAATCCCTGTGGCTACTGGAAAGGGTCCTTGGGTGCCCTGCCTCACCTCGAGAAGCGTCCCTTTGGCCCTGCCAAGCCTCGAAGAGATTCCTGAGGTGTCCCTCGTTACTAGACAGGAGTCCTGACGTCACTGAAGAAACTCGTGTTTTGAAGGGCCATCCCCGCCGTAAGTCGAGAACATACCCCAGGTCCCCGCCGCAACTCGAGAAAAACCATGAGACTTCCCCCTAGAGGCGAGATGAGGCCCCATTCCCCTGCAGTGCATGCAGAGCTATTCCGTGATCCCATTCAAACAAGTCAGGAGCTTCGACTTGTTTAATGGATCTCCAGACAGTCCCCAAGAACACTGTCACCAGTCTAGACGGACCCTGAGGTCACCCCAGCAAAGCAAAGCAGCTCCATGTGCCCCAAATCAACTCGAGATGAGGCCCGATTCCCCTGCATTGACTCCAGAGCCATTCACCGTTCCCCATTCAACAGGACCGGTGGCTCGACTTCCTTCAGGCAACTCCAGAGATGCCCCGAGAACACTGTCCCAAGTCTAGAGGAACACCAACTTCAGCACAGCAACTCGAGGAATGCTCCGTGTACCCCAAATCGTCTCGAGATGCGAGCTGATTCCCTGGCTTAGGCTCAAGACGTATGCCAACTTCCCAGAAGCACCTCAGGAGGAGGCTTCTCTCAGCAATAGGTATGTGGGAGGGACCCCGAGTTTGCTGCCTCAAGGGGAATATACAGCGAGAAGCCCTAACTTGAAAGGAGGCCGGATTTCCTTGCAGTGGCTTGAATACAGGCTCGTCTTTCATCTCACAACATGAAGGGATGTCTGAATCCCCTGTGGAGACCTTAGAGAAAGCCCTAGGTCCCTGCCTCATTTTGACGGGATGCCTCACATCCCGCTGACACCTCGAGAGGCACGCGGAGTTCATTGCTTCAAAAGGTGACGATGCCTGACTCCTCTTGAATACTGATAGGAATCCCAAAATCCCTGTGGCTACTGGAAATGGTCCTTGGGTGCCCTGCCTCACCTCGAGAAGCGTCCCTTTGGCCCTGCCAAGCCTCAAAGAGATTCCTGAGGTGTCCCTCGTTACTAGACAGGAGTCGTGACGTCACTGAAGAAACTCGTGTTTTGAAGGGCCATCCCCGCCGTAAGTCGAGAACATACCCCAGGTCCCCGCCGCAACTCGAGAAAAACCATGAGACTTCCCCCTAGAGGCGAGATGAGGCCCCATTCCCCTGCAGTGCATGCAGAGCTATTCCGTGACCCCATTCAAACAAGTCAGGAGCTTCGACTTGCTTAATGGATCTCGAGACAGTCCCCAAGAACACTGTCACCAGTCTAGACGGACCCTGAGGTCACCCCAGCAACGCATAGCAGCTCCATGTGCCCCAAATCAACTCGAGATGAGGCCCGATTCCCCTGCATTGACTCCAGAGCCATTCCCCGTTCCCCATTCAACACGACCGGTGGCTCGACTTCCTTCAGGCAACTCCAGAGATGCCCCGAGAACACTGTCCCAAGTCCAGAGGAACACCAACTTCAGCACAGCAACTCGAGGAATGCTCCGTGTACCCCAAATCGTCTCGAGATGCGAGCTGATTCCCTGGCTTAGGCTCAAGACGTATGCCAACTTCCCAGAAGCACCTCAGGAGGAGGCTTCTCTCAGCAATAGGTATGTGGGAGGGACCCCGAGTTTGCTGCCTCAAGGGGAATATACAGCGAGAAGCCCTAACTTGAAAGGAGGCCGGATTTCCTTGCAGTGGCTTGAATACAGGCTCGTCTTTCATCTCACAACATGAAGGGATGTCTGAATCCCCTGTGGAGACCTTAGAGAAAGCCCTAGGTCCCTGCCTCATTTTGACGGAATGCCTCACATCCCGCTGACACCTCGAGAGGCACGCGGAGTTCATTGCTTCAAAAGGTGACGATGCCTGACTCCTCTTGAATACTGATAGGAATCCCAAAATCCCTGTGGCTACTGGAAAGGGTCCTTGGGTGCCCTGCCTCACCTCGAGAAGCGTCCCTTTGGCCCTGCCAAGCCTCGAAGAAATTCCTGAGGTGTCCCTCGTTACTAGACAGGAGTCCTGACGTCACTGAAGAAACTCGTGTTTTGAAGGGCCATCCCCGCCGTAAGTCGAGAACATACCCCAGGTCCCCGCCGCAACTCGAGGAAAACCATGAGACTTCCCCCTAGAGGCGAGATGAGGCCCCATTCCCCTGCAGTGCATGCAGAGCTATTCCGTGACCCCATTCAAACAAGTCAGGAGCTTCGACTTGCTTAATGGGTCTCGAGACAGTCCCCAAGAACACTGTCACCAGTCTAGACGGACCCTGAGGTCACCCCAGCAACGCAAAGCAGCTCCCTGTGCCCCAAATCAACTCGAGATGAGGCCCGATTCCCCTGCATTGACTCCAGAGCCATTCCCCGTTCCCCATTCAACACGACCGGTGGCTCGACTTCCTTCAGGCAACTCCAGAGATGCCCCGAGAACACGGTCCCAAGTCTAGAGGAACACCAACTTCAGCACAGCAACTCGAGGAATGCTCCGTGTACCACAAATCGTCTCGAGATGCGAGCTGATTCCCTGGCTTAGGCTCAAGACGTATGCCAACTTCCCAGAAGCACCTCAGGAGGAGGCTTCTCTCAGCAATAGGTATGTGGGAGGGCCCCCGAGTTTGCTGCCTCAAGGGGAATATACAGCGAGAAGCCCTAACTTGAAAGGAGGCCGGATTTCCTTGCAGTGGCTTGAATACAGGCTCGTCTTTCATCTCAGAACATGAAGGGATGTCTGAATCCCCTGTGGAGACCTTAGAGAAAGCCCTAGGTCCCTGCCTCATTTTGACGGAATGCCTCACATCCCGCTGACACCTCGAGAGGCACGCGGAGTTCATTGCTTCAAAAGGTGACGATGCCTGACTCCTCTTGAATACTGATAGGAATCCCAAAATCCCTGTGGCTACTGGAAAGGGTCCTTGGGTGCCCTGCCTCACCTCGAGAAGCGTCCCTTTGGCCCTGCCAAGCCTCGAAGAGATTCCTGAGGTGTCCCTCGTTACTAGACAGGAGTCCTGACGTCACTGAAGAAACTCGTGTTTTGAAGGGCCATCCCCGCCGTAAGTCGAGAACATACCCCAGGTCCCCGCCGCAACTCGAGAAAAACCATGAGACTTCCCCCTAGAGGCGAGATGAGGCCCCATTCCCCTGCAGTGCATGCAGAGCTATTCCGTGACCCCATTCAAACAAGTCAGGAGCTTCGACTTGCTTAATGGATCTCGAGACAGTCCCCAAGAACACTGTCACCAGTCTAGACGGACCCTGAGGTCACCCCAGCAACGCAAAGCAGCTCCATGTGCCCCAAATCAACTCGAGATGAGGCCCGATTCCCCTGCATTGACTCCAGAGCCATTCCCCGTTCCCCATTCAACATGACCGGTGGCTCGACTTCCTTCAGGCAACTCCAGAGATGCCCCGAGAACACTGTCCCAAGTCTAGAGGAACACCAACTTCAGCACAGCAACTCGAGGAATGCTCCGTGTACCCCAAATCGTCTCGAGATGCGAGCTGATTCCCTGGCTTAGGCTCAAGACGTATGCCAACTTCCCAGAAGCACCTCAGGAGGAGGCTTCTCTCAGCAATATGTATGTGGGAGGGACCCCGAGTTTGCTGCCTCAAGGGGAATATACAGCGAGAAGCCCTAACTTGAAAGGAGGCCGGATTTCCTTGCAGGGGCTTGAATACAGGCTCGTCTTTCATCTCACAACATGAAGGGATGTCTGAATCCCCTGTGGAGACCTTAGAGAAAGCCCTAGGTCCCTGCCTCATTTTGACGGAATGCGTCACATCCCGCTGACACCTCGAGAGGCACGCGGAGTTCACTGCTTCAAAAGGTGACGATGCCTGACTCCTCTTGAATACTGATAGGAATCCCAAAATCCCTGTGGCTACTGGAAAGGGTCCTTGGGTGCCCTGCCTCACCTCGAGAAGCGTCCCTTTGGCCCTGCCAAGCCTCGAAGAGATTCCTGAGGTGTCCCTCGTTACTAGACAGGAGTCCTGACGTCACTGAAGAAACTCGTGTTTTGAAGGGCCATCCCCGCCGTAAGTCGAGAACATACCCCAGGTCCCCGCCGCAACTCGAGAAAAACCATGAGACTTCCCCCTAGAGGCGAGATGAGGCCCCATTCCCCTGCAGTGCATGCAGAGCTATTCCGTGATCCCATTCAAACAAGTCAGGAGCTTCGACTTGCTTAATGGATCTCGAGACAGTCCCCAAGAACACTGTCACCAGTCTAGACGGACCCTGAGGTCACCCCAGCAACGCAAAGCAGCTCCCTGTGCCCCAAATCAACTCGAGATGAGGCCCGATTCCCCTGCATTGACTCCAGAGCCATTCCCCGTTCCCCATTCAACACGACCGGTGGCTCGACTTCCTTCAGGCAACTCCAGAGATGCCCCGAGAACACTGGCCCAAGTCTAGAGGAACACCAACTTCAGCACAGCAACTCGAGGAATGCTCCGTGTACCCCAAATCGTCTCGAGATGCGAGCTGATTCCCTGGCTTAGGCTCAAGACGTATGCCAACTTCCCAGAAGCACCTCAGGAGGAGGCTTCTCTCAGCAATAGGTATGTGGGAGGGCCCCCGAGTTTGCTGCCTCAAGGGGAATATACAGCGAGAAGCCCTAACTTGAAAGGAGGCCGGATTTCCTTGCAGTGGCTTGAATACAGGCTCGTCTTTCATCTCAGAACATGAAGGGATGTCTGAGTCCCCTGTGGAGACCTTAGAGAAAGCCCTAGGTCCCTGCCTCATTTTGACGGAATGCCTCACATCCCGCTGACACCTCGAGAGGCACGCGGAGTTCATTGCTTCAAAAGGTGACGATGCCTGACTCCTCTTGAATACTGATAGGAATCCCAAAATCCCTGTGGCTACTGGAAATGGTCCTTGGGTGCCCTGCCTCACCTCGAGAAGCGTCCCTTTGGCCCTGCCAAGCCTCGAAGAGATTCCTGAGGTGTCCCTCGTTACTAGACAGGAGTCCTGACGTCACTGAAGAAACTCGTGTTTTGAAGGGCCATCCCCGCCGTAAGTCGAGAACATACCCCAGGTCCCCGCCGCAACTCGAGAAAAACCATGAGACTTCCCCCTAGAGGCGAGATGAGGCCCCATTCCCCTGCAGTGCATGCAGAGCTATTCCGTGACCCCATTCAAACAAGTCAGGAGCTTCGACTTGCTTAATGGATCTCGAGACAGTCCCCAAGAACACTGTCACCAGTCTAGACGGACCCTGAGGTCACCCCAGCAACGCAAAGCAGCTCCATGTGCCCCAAATCAACTCGAGATGAGGCCCGATTCCCCTGCATTGACTCCAGAGCCATTCCCCGTTCCCCATTCAACACGACCGGTGGCTCGACTTCCTTCAGGCAACTCCAGAGATGCCCCGAGAACACTGTCCCAAGTCTAGAGGAACACCAACTTCAGCACAGCAACTCGAGGAATGCTCCGTGTACCACAAATCGTCTCGAGATGCGAGCTGATTCCCTGGCTTAGGCTCAAGACGTATGCCAACTTCCCAGAAGCACCTCAGGAGGAGGCTTCTCTCAGCAATATGTATGTGGGAGGGACCCCGAGTTTGCTGCCTCAAGGGGAATATACAGCGAGAAGCCCTAACTTGAAAGGAGGCCGGATTTCCTTGCAGGGGCTTGAATACAGGCTCGTCTTTCATCTCACAACATGAAGGGATGTCTGAATCCCCTGTGGAGACCTTAGAGAAAGCCCTAGGTCCCTGCCTCATTTTGACGGAATGCCTCACATCCCGCTGACACCTCGAGAGGCACGCGGAGTTCATTGCTTCAAAAGGTGACGATGCCTGACTCCTCTTGAATACTGATAGGAATCCCAAAATCCCTGTGGCTACTGGAAAGGGTCCTTGGGTGCCCTGCCTCAGTTCGAGAAGCGTCCCTTTGGCCCTGCCAAGCCTCGAAGAGATTCCTGAGGTGTCCCTCGTTACTAGACAGGAGTCCTGACGTCACTGAAGAAACTCGTGTTTTGAAGGGCCATCCCCGCCGTAAGTCGAGAACATACCCCAGGTCCCCGCCGCAACTCGAGGAAAACCATGAGACTTCCCCCTAGAGGCGAGATGAGGCCCCATTCCCCTGCAGTGCATGCAGAGCTATTCCGTGACCCCATTCAAACAAGTCAGGAGCTTCGACTTGCTTAATGGATCTCGAGACAGTCCCCAAGAACACTGTCACCAGTCTAGACGGACCCTGAGGTCACCCCAGCAACGCAAAGCAGCTCCATGTGCCCCAAATCAACACGAGATGAGGCCCGATTCCCCTGCATTGACTCCAGAGCCATTCCCCGTTCCCCATTCAACACGACCGGTGGCTCGACTTCCTTCAGGCAACTCCAGAGATGCCCCGAGAACACTGTCCCAAGTCTAGAGGAACACCAACTTCAGCACAGCAACTCGAGGAATGCTCCGTGTACCCCAAATCGTCTCGAGATGCGAGCTGATTCCCTGGCTTAGGCTCAAGACGTATGCCAACTTCCCAGAAGAACCTCAGGAGGAGGCTTCTCTCAGCAATAGGTATGTGGGAGGGCCCCCGAGTTTGCTGCCTCAAGGGGAATATACAGCGAGAAGCCCTAACTTGAAAGGAGGCCGGATTTCCTTGCAGTGGCTTGAATACAGGCTCGTCTTTCATCTCACAACATGAAGGGATGTCTGAATCCCCTGTGGAGACCTTAGAGAAAGCCCTAGGTCCCTGCCTCATTTTGACGGAATGCCTCACATCCCGCTGACACCTCGAGAGGCACGCGGAGTTCATTGCTTCAAAAGGTGACGATGCCTGACTCCTCTTGAATACTGATAGGAATCCCAAAATCCCTGTGGCTACTGGAAAGGGTCCTTGGGTGCCATGCCTCACCTCGAGAAGCGTCCCTTTGGCCCTGCCAAGCCTCGAAGAGATTCCTGAGGTGTCCCTCGTTACTAGACAGGAGTCCTGACGTCACTGAAGAAACTCGTGTTTTGAAGGGCCATCCCCGCCGTAAGTCGAGAACATACCCCAGGTCCCCGCCGCAACTCGAGAAAAACCATGAGACTTCCCCCTAGAGGCGAGATGAGGCCCCATTCCCCTGCAGTGCATGCAGAGCTATTCCGTGATCCCATTCAAACAAGTCAGGAGCTTCGACTTGCTTAATGGATCTCGAGACAGTCCCCAAGAACACTGTCACCAGTCTAGACGGACCCTGAAGTCACCCCAGCAACGCAAAGCAGCTCCATGTGCCCCAAATCAAATCGAGATGAGGCCCGATTCCCCTGCATTGACTCCAGAGCCATTCCCCGTTCCCCATTCAACACGACCGGTGGCTCGACTTCCTTCAGACAACTCCAGAGATGCCCCGAGAACACTGTCCCAAGTCTAGAGGAACACCAACTTCAGCACAGCAACTCGAGGAATGCTCCGTGTACCCCAAATCGTCTCGAGATGCGAGCTGATTCCCTGGCTTAGGCTCAAGACGTATGCCAACTTCCCAGAACCACCTCAGGAGGAGGCTTCTCTCAGCAATAGGTATGTGGGAGGGACCCCGAGTTTGCTGCCTCAAGGGGAATATACAGCGAGAAGCCCTAACTTGAAAGGAGGCCGGATTTCCTTGCAGTGGCTTGAATACAGGCTCGTCTTTCATCTCACAACATGAAGGGATGTCTGAATCCCCTGTGGAGACCTTAGAGAAAGCCCTAGGTCCCTGCCTCATTTTGACGGAATGCCTCACATCCCGCTGACACCTCGAGAGGCACGCGGAGTTCATTGCTTCAAAAGGTGACGATGCCTGACTCCTCTTGAATACTGATAGGAATCCCAAAATCCCTGTGGCTACTGGAAAGGGTCCTTGGGTGCCCTGCCTCACCTCGAGAAGCGTCCCTTTGGCCCTGCCAAGCCTCGAAGAGATTCCTGAGGTGTCCCTCGTTACTAGACAGGAGTCCTGACGTCACTGAAGAAACTCGTGTTTTGAAGGGCCATCCCCGCCGTAAGTCGAGAACATACCCCAGGTCCCCGCCGCAACTCGAGAAAAACCATGAGACTTCCCCCTAGAGGCGAGATGAGGCCCCATTCCCCTGCAGTGCATGCAGAGCTATTCCGTGACCCCATTCAAACAAGTCAGGAGCTTCGACTTGCTTAATGGATCTCGAGACAGTCCCCAAGAACACTGTCACCAGTCTAGACGGACCCTGAGGTCACCCCAGCAACGCAAAGCAGCTCCACGTGCCCCAAATCAACTCGAGATGAGGCCCGATTCCCCTGCATTGACTCCAGAGCCATTCCCCGTTCCCCATTCAACACGACCGGTGGCTCGACTTCCTTCAGGCAACTCCAGAGATGCCCAGAGAACACTGTCCCAAGTCTAGAGGAACACCAACTTCAGCACAGCAACTCGAGGAATGCTCCGTGTACCCCAAATCGTCTCGAGATGCGAGCTGATTCCCTGGCTTAGGCTCAAGACGTATGCCAACTTCCCAGAAGCACCTCAGGAGGAGGCTTCTCTCAGCAATAGGTATGTGGGAGGGACCCCGAGTTTGCTGCCTCAAGGGGAATATACAGCGAGAAGCCCTAACTTGAAAGGAGGCCGGATTTCCTTGCAGTGGCTTGAATACAGGCTCGTCTTTCATCTCACAACATGAAGGGATGTCTGAATCCCCTGTGGAGACCTTAGAGAAAGCCCTAGGTCCCTGCCTCATTTTGACGGAATGCCTCACATCCCGCTGACACCTCGAGAGGCACGCGGAGTTCATTGCTTCAAAAGGTGACGATGCCTGACTCCTCTTGAATACTGATAGGAATCCCAAAATCCCTGTGGCTACTGGAAAGGGTCCTTGGGTGCCCTGCCTCACCTCGAGAAGCGTCCCTTTGGCCCTGCCAAGCCTCGAAGAGATTCCTGAGGTGTCCCTCGTTACTAGACAGGAGTCCTGACGTCACTGAAGAAACTCGTGTTTTGAAGGGCCATCCCCGCCGTAAGTCGAGAACATACCCCAGGTCCCCGCCGCAACTCGAGGAAAACCATGAGACTTCCCCCTAGAGGCGAGATGAGGCCCCATTCCCCTGCAGTGCATGCAGAGCTATTCCGTGACCCCATTCAAACAAGTCAGGAGCTTCGACTTGCTTAATGGATCTCGAGACAGTCCCCAAGAACACTGTCACCAGTCTAGACGGACCCTGAGGTCACCCCAGCAACGCAAAGCAGCTCCCTGTGCCCCAAATCAACTCGAGATGAGGCCCGATTCCCCTGCATTGACTCCAGAGCCATTCCCCGTTCCCCATTCAACACGACCGGTGGCTCGACTTCCTTCAGGCAACTCCAGAGATGCCCCGAGAACACGGTCCCAAGTCTAGAGGAACACCAACTTCAGCACAGCAACTCGAGGAATGCTCCGTGTACCCCAAATCGTCTCGAGATGCGAGCTGATTCCCTGGCTTAGGCTCAAGACGTATGCCAACTTCCCAGAAGCACCTCAGGAGGAGGCTTCTCTCAGCAATAGGTATGTGGGAGGGCCCCCGAGTTTGCTGCCTCAAGGGGAATATACAGCGAGAAGCCCTAACTTGAAAGGAGGCCGGATTTCCTTGCAGTGGCTTGAATACAGGCTCGTCTTTCATCTCAGAACATGAAGGGATGTCTGAATCCCCTGTGGAGACCTTAGAGAAAGCCCTAGGTCCCTGCCTCATTTTGACGGAATGCCTCACATCCCGCTGACACCTCGAGAGGCACGCGGAGTTCATTGCTTCAAAAGGTGACGATGCCTGACTCCTCTTGAATACTGATAGGAATCCCAAAATCCCTGTGGCTACTGGAAAGGGTCCTTGGGTGCCCTGCCTCACCTCGAGAAGCGTCCCTTTGGCCCTGCCAAGCCTCGAAGAGATTCCTGAGGTGTCCCTCGTTACTAGACAGGAGTCCTGACGTCACTGAAGAAACTCGTGTTTTGAAGGGCCATCCCCGCCGTAAGTCGAGAACATACCCCAGGTCCCCGCCGCAACTCGAGAAAAACCATGAGACTTCCCCCTAGAGGCGAGATGAGGCCCCATTCCCCTGCAGTGCATGCAGAGCTATTCCGTGACCCCATTCAAACAAGTCAGGAGCTTCGACTTGCTTAATGGATCTCGAGACAGTCCCCAAGAACACTGTCACCAGTCTAGACGGACCCTGAGGTCACCCCAGCAACGCAAAGCAGCTCCATGTGCCCCAAATCAACTCGAGATGAGGCCCGATTCCCCTGCATTGACTCCAGAGCCATTCCCCGTTCCCCATTCAACATGACCGGTGGCTCGACTTCCTTCAGGCAACTCCAGAGATGCCCCGAGAACACTGTCCCAAGTCTAGAGGAACACCAACTTCAGCACAGCAACTCGAGGAATGCTCCGTGTACCCCAAATCGTCTCGAGATGCGAGCTGATTCCCTGGCTTAGGCTCAAGACGTATGCCAACTTCCCAGAAGCACCTCAGGAGGAGGCTTCTCTCAGCAATATGTATGTGGGAGGGACCCCGAGTTTGCTGCCTCAAGGGGAATATACAGCGAGAAGCCCTAACTTGAAAGGAGGCCGGATTTCCTTGCAGGGGCTTGAATACAGGCTCGTCTTTCATCTCACAACATGAAGGGATGTCTGAATCCCCTGTGGAGACCTTAGAGAAAGCCCTAGGTCCCTGCCTCATTTTGACGGAATGCGTCACATCCCGCTGACACCTCGAGAGGCACGCGGAGTTCACTGCTTCAAAAGGTGACGATGCCTGACTCCTCTTGAATACTGATAGGAATCCCAAAATCCCTGTGGCTACTGGAAAGGGTCCTTGGGTGCCCTGCCTCACCTCGAGAAGCGTCCCTTTGGCCCTGCCAAGCCTCGAAGAGATTCCTGAGGTGTCCCTCGTTACTAGACAGGAGTCCTGACGTCACTGAAGAAACTCGTGTTTTGAAGGGCCATCCCCGCCGTAAGTCGAGAACATACCCCAGGTCCCCGCCGCAACTCGAGAAAAACCATGAGACTTCCCCCTAGAGGCGAGATGAGGCCCCATTCCCCTGCAGTGCATGCAGAGCTATTCCGTGATCCCATTCAAACAAGTCAGGAGCTTCGACTTGCTTAATGGATCTCGAGACAGTCCCCAAGAACACTGTCACCAGTCTAGACGGACCCTGAGGTCACCCCAGCAACGCAAAGCAGCTCCCTGTGCCCCAAATCAACTCGAGATGAGGCCCGATTCCCCTGCATTGACTCCAGAGCCATTCCCCGTTCCCCATTCAACACGACCGGTGGCTCGACTTCCTTCAGGCAACTCCAGAGATGCCCCGAGAACACTGGCCCAAGTCTAGAGGAACACCAACTTCAGCACAGCAACTCGAGGAATGCTCCGTGTACCCCAAATCGTCTCGAGATGCGAGCTGATTCCCTGGCTTAGGCTCAAGACGTATGCCAACTTCCCAGAAGCACCTCAGGAGGAGGCTTCTCTCAGCAATAGGTATGTGGGAGGGCCCCCGAGTTTGCTGCCTCAAGGGGAATATACAGCGAGAAGCCCTAACTTGAAAGGAGGCCGGATTTCCTTGCAGTGGCTTGAATACAGGCTCGTCTTTCATCTCAGAACATGAAGGGATGTCTGAGTCCCCTGTGGAGACCTTAGAGAAAGCCCTAGGTCCCTGCCTCATTTTGACGGAATGCCTCACATCCCGCTGACACCTCGAGAGGCACGCGGAGTTCATTGCTTCAAAAGGTGACGATGCCTGACTCCTCTTGAATACTGATAGGAATCCCAAAATCCCTGTGGCTACTGGAAATGGTCCTTGGGTGCCCTGCCTCACCTCGAGAAGCGTCCCTTTGGCCCTGCCAAGCCTCGAAGAGATTCCTGAGGTGTCCCTCGTTACTAGACAGGAGTCCTGACGTCACTGAAGAAACTCGTGTTTTGAAGGGCCATCCCCGCCGTAAGTCGAGAACATACCCCAGGTCCCCGCCGCAACTCGAGAAAAACCATGAGACTTCCCCCTAGAGGCGAGATGAGGCCCCATTCCCCTGCAGTGCATGCAGAGCTATTCCGTGACCCCATTCAAACAAGTCAGGAGCTTCGACTTGCTTAATGGATCTCGAGACAGTCCCCAAGAACACTGTCACCAGTCTAGACGGACCCTGAGGTCACCCCAGCAACGCAAAGCAGCTCCATGTGCCCCAAATCAACTCGAGATGAGGCCCGATTCCCCTGCATTGACTCCAGAGCCATTCCCCGTTCCCCATTCAACACGACCGGTGGCTCGACTTCCTTCAGGCAACTCCAGAGATGCCCCGAGAACACTGTCCCAAGTCTAGAGGAACACCAACTTCAGCACAGCAACTCGAGGAATGCTCCGTGTACCACAAATCGTCTCGAGATGCGAGCTGATTCCCTGGCTTAGGCTCAAGACGTATGCCAACTTCCCAGAAGCACCTCAGGAGGAGGCTTCTCTCAGCAATATGTATGTGGGAGGGACCCCGAGTTTGCTGCCTCAAGGGGAATATACAGCGAGAAGCCCTAACTTGAAAGGAGGCCGGATTTCCTTGCAGGGGCTTGAATACAGGCTCGTCTTTCATCTCACAACATGAAGGGATGTCTGAATCCCCTGTGGAGACCTTAGAGAAAGCCCTAGGTCCCTGCCTCATTTTGACGGAATGCCTCACATCCCGCTGACACCTCGAGAGGCACGCGGAGTTCATTGCTTCAAAAGGTGACGATGCCTGACTCCTCTTGAATACTGATAGGAATCCCAAAATCCCTGTGGCTACTGGAAAGGGTCCTTGGGTGCCCTGCCTCAGTTCGAGAAGCGTCCCTTTGGCCCTGCCAAGCCTCGAAGAGATTCCTGAGGTGTCCCTCGTTACTAGACAGGAGTCCTGACGTCACTGAAGAAACTCGTGTTTTGAAGGGCCATCCCCGCCGTAAGTCGAGAACATACCCCAGGTCCCCGCCGCAACTCGAGGAAAACCATGAGACTTCCCCCTAGAGGCGAGATGAGGCCCCATTCCCCTGCAGTGCATGCAGAGCTATTCCGTGACCCCATTCAAACAAGTCAGGAGCTTCGACTTGCTTAATGGATCTCGAGACAGTCCCCAAGAACACTGTCACCAGTCTAGACGGACCCTGAGGTCACCCCAGCAACGCAAAGCAGCTCCATGTGCCCCAAATCAACACGAGATGAGGCCCGATTCCCCTGCATTGACTCCAGAGCCATTCCCCGTTCCCCATTCAACACGACCGGTGGCTCGACTTCCTTCAGGCAACTCCAGAGATGCCCCGAGAACACTGTCCCAAGTCTAGAGGAACACCAACTTCAGCACAGCAACTCGAGGAATGCTCCGTGTACCCCAAATCGTCTCGAGATGCGAGCTGATTCCCTGGCTTAGGCTCAAGACGTATGCCAACTTCCCAGAAGAACCTCAGGAGGAGGCTTCTCTCAGCAATAGGTATGTGGGAGGGCCCCCGAGTTTGCTGCCTCAAGGGGAATATACAGCGAGAAGCCCTAACTTGAAAGGAGGCCGGATTTCCTTGCAGTGGCTTGAATACAGGCTCGTCTTTCATCTCACAACATGAAGGGATGTCTGAATCCCCTGTGGAGACCTTAGAGAAAGCCCTAGGTCCCTGCCTCATTTTGACGGAATGCCTCACATCCCGCTGACACCTCGAGAGGCACGCGGAGTTCATTGCTTCAAAAGGTGACGATGCCTGACTCCTCTTGAATACTGATAGGAATCCCAAAATCCCTGTGGCTACTGGAAAGGGTCCTTGGGTGCCATGCCTCACCTCGAGAAGCGTCCCTTTGGCCCTGCCAAGCCTCGAAGAGATTCCTGAGGTGTCCCTCGTTACTAGACAGGAGTCCTGACGTCACTGAAGAAACTCGTGTTTTGAAGGGCCATCCCCGCCGTAAGTCGAGAACATACCCCAGGTCCCCGCCGCAACTCGAGAAAAACCATGAGACTTCCCCCTAGAGGCGAGATGAGGCCCCATTCCCCTGCAGTGCATGCAGAGCTATTCCGTGATCCCATTCAAACAAGTCAGGAGCTTCGACTTGCTTAATGGATCTCGAGACAGTCCCCAAGAACACTGTCACCAGTCTAGACGGACCCTGAAGTCACCCCAGCAACGCAAAGCAGCTCCATGTGCCCCAAATCAAATCGAGATGAGGCCCGATTCCCCTGCATTGACTCCAGAGCCATTCCCCGTTCCCCATTCAACACGACCGGTGGCTCGACTTCCTTCAGACAACTCCAGAGATGCCCCGAGAACACTGTCCCAAGTCTAGAGGAACACCAACTTCAGCACAGCAACTCGAGGAATGCTCCGTGTACCCCAAATCGTCTCGAGATGCGAGCTGATTCCCTGGCTTAGGCTCAAGACGTATGCCAACTTCCCAGAACCACCTCAGGAGGAGGCTTCTCTCAGCAATAGGTATGTGGGAGGGACCCCGAGTTTGCTGCCTCAAGGGGAATATACAGCGAGAAGCCCTAACTTGAAAGGAGGCCGGATTTCCTTGCAGTGGCTTGAATACAGGCTCGTCTTTCATCTCACAACATGAAGGGATGTCTGAATCCCCTGTGGAGACCTTAGAGAAAGCCCTAGGTCCCTGCCTCATTTTGACGGAATGCCTCACATCCCGCTGACACCTCGAGAGGCACGCGGAGTTCATTGCTTCAAAAGGTGACGATGCCTGACTCCTCTTGAATACTGATAGGAATCCCAAAATGCCTGTGGCTACTGGAAAGGGTCCTTGGGTGCCCTGCCTCACCTCGAGAAGCGTCCCTTTGGCCCTGCCAAGCCTCGAAGAGATTCCTGAGGTGTCCCTCGTTACTAGACAGGAGTCCTGACGTCACTGAAGAAACTCGTGTTTTGAAGGGCCATCCCCGCCGTAAGTCGAGAACATACCCCAGGTCCCCGCCGCAACTCGAGAAAAACCATGAGACTTCCCCCTAGAGGCGAGATGAGGCCCCATTCCCCTGCAGTGCATGCAGAGCTATTCCGTGACCCCATTCAAACAAGTCAGGAGCTTCGACTTGCTTAATGGATCTCGAGACAGTCCCCAAGAACACTGTCACCAGTCTAGACGGACCCTGAGGTCACCCCAGCAACGCAAAGCAGCTCCACGTGCCCCAAATCAACTCGAGATGAGGCCCGATTCCCCTGCATTGACTCCAGAGCCATTCCCCGTTCCCCATTCAACACGACCGGTGGCTCGACTTCCTTCAGGCAACTCCAGAGATGCCCAGAGAACACTGTCCCAAGTCTAGAGGAACACCAACTTCAGCACAGCAACTCGAGGAATGCTCCGTGTACCCCAAATCGTCTCGAGATGCGAGCTGATTCCCTGGCTTAGGCTCAAGACGTATGCCAACTTCCCAGAAGCACCTCAGGAGGAGGCTTCTCTCAGCAATAGGTATGTGGGAGGGACCCCGAGTTTGCTGCCTCAAGGGGAATATACAGCGAGAAGCCCTAACTTGAAAGGAGGCCGGATTTCCTTGCAGTGGCTTGAATACAGGCTCGTCTTTCATCTCACAACATGAAGGGATGTCTGAATCCCCTGTGGAGACCTTAGAGAAAGCCCTAGGTCCCTGCCTCATTTTGACGGAATGCCTCACATCCCGCTGACACCTCGAGAGGCACGCGGAGTTCATTGCTTCAAAAGGTGACGATGCCTGACTCCTCTTGAATACTGATAGGAATCCCAAAATCCCTGTGGCTACTGGAAAGGGTCCTTGGGTGCCCTGCCTCACCTCGAGAAGCGTCCCTTTGGCCCTGCCAAGCCTCGAAGAGATTCCTGAGGTGTCCCTCGTTACTAGACAGGAGTCCTGACGTCACTGAAGAAACTCGTGTTTTGAAGGGCCATCCCCGCCGTAAGTCGAGAACATACCCCAGGTCCCCGCCGCAACTCGAGGAAAACCATGAGACTTCCCCCTAGAGGCGAGATGAGGCCCCATTCCCCTGCAGTGCATGCAGAGCTATTCCGTGACCCCATTCAAACAAGTCAGGAGCTTCGACTTGCTTAATGGATCTCGAGACAGTCCCCAAGAACACTGTCACCAGTCTAGACGGACCCTGAGGTCACCCCAGCAACGCAAAGCAGCTCCCTGTGCCCCAAATCAACTCGAGATGAGGCCCGATTCCCCTGCATTGACTCCAGAGCCATTCCCCGTTCCCCATTCAACACGACCGGTGGCTCGACTTCCTTCAGGCAACTCCAGAGATGCCCCGAGAACACGGTCCCAAGTCTAGAGGAACACCAACTTCAGCACAGCAACTCGAGGAATGCTCCGTGTACCCCAAATCGTCTCGAGATGCGAGCTGATTCCCTGGCTTAGGCTCAAGACGTATGCCAACTTCCCAGAAGCACCTCAGGAGGAGGCTTCTCTCAGCAATAGGTATGCGGGAGGGACCCCGACTTGCTGCCTCAAGGGGAATATACAGCGAGAAGCCCTAACTTGAAAGGAGGCCGGATTTCCTTGCAGTGGCTTGAATACAGGCTCGTCTTTCATCTCACAACATGAAGGGATGTCTGAATCCCCTGTGGAGACCTTAGAGAAAGCCCTAGGTCCCTGCCTCATTTTGACGGAATGCCTCACATCCCGCTGACACCTCGAGAGGCACGCGGAGTTCATTGCTTCAAAAGGTGACGATGCCTGACTCCTCTTGAATACTGATAGGAATCCCAAAATCCCTGTGGCTACTGGAAAGGGTCCTTGGGTGCCCTGCCTCACCTCGAGAAGCGTCCCTTTGGCCCTGCCAAGCCTCGAAGAGATTCCTGAGGTGTCCCTCGTTACTAGACAGGAGTCCTGACGTCACTGAAGAAACTCGTGTTTTGAAGGGCCATCCCCGCCGTAAGTCGAGAACATACCCCAGGTCCCCGCCGCAACTCGAGAAAAACCATGAGACTTCCCCCTAGAGGCGAGATGAGGCCCCATTCCCCTGCAGTGCATGCAGAGCTATTCCGTGATCCCATTCAAACAAGTCAGGAGCTTCGACTTGCTTAATGGATCTCGAGACAGTCCCCAAGAACACTGTCACCAGTCTAGACGGACCCTGAGGTCACCCCAGCAACGCAAAGCAGCTCCATGTGCCCCAAATCAACTCGAGATGAGGCCCGATTCCCCTGCCTTGACTCCAGAGCCATTCCCCGTTCCCCATTCAACACGACCGGTGGCTCGACTTCCTTCAGGCAACTCCAGAGATGCCCCGAGAACACTGTCCCAAGTCTAGAGGAACACCAACTTCAGCACAGCAACTCGAGGAATGCTCCGTGTACCCCAAATCGTCTCGAGATGCGAGCTGATTCCCTGGCTTAGGCTCAAGACGTATGCCAACTTCCCAGAAGCACCTCAGGAGGAGGCTTCTCTCAGCAATAGGTATGTGGGAGGGACCCCGAGTTTGCTGCCTCAAGGGGAATATACAGCGAGAAGCCCTAACTTGAAAGGAGGCCGGATTTCCTTGCAGTGGCTTGAATACAGGCTCGTCTTTCATCTCACAACATGAAGGGATGTCTGAATCCCCTGTGGAGACCTTAGAGAAAGCCCTAGGTCCCTGCCTCATTTTGACGGAATGCCTCACATCCCGCTGACACCTCGAGAGGCACGCGGAGTTCATTGCTTCAAAAGGTGACGATGCCTGACTCCTCTTGAATACTGATAGGAATCCCAAAATCCCTGTGGCTACTGGAAAGGGTCCTTGGGTGCCCTGCCTCACCTCGAGAAGCGTCCCTTTGGCCCTGCCAAGCCTCGAAGAGATTCCTGAGGTGTCCCTCGTTACTAGACAGGAGTCCTGACGTCACTGAAGAAACTCGTGTTTTGAAGGGCCATCCCCGCCGTAAGTCGAGAACATACCCCAGGTCCCCGCCGCAACTCGAGGAAAACCATGAGACTTCCCCCTAGAGGCGAGATGAGGCCCCATTCCCCTGCAGTGCATGCAGAGCTATTCCGTGACCCCATTCAAACAAGTCAGGAGCTTCGACTTGCTTAATGGATCTCGAGACAGTCCCCAAGAACACTGTCACCAGTCTAGACGGACCCTGAGGTCACCCCAGCAACGCAAAGCAGCTCCATGTGCCCCAAATCAACTCGAGATGAGGCCCGATTCCCCTGCATTGACTCCAGAGCCATTCCCCGTTCCCCATTCAACACGACCGGTGGCTCGACTTCCTTCAGGCAACTCCAGAGATGCCCCGAGAACACTGTCCCAAGTCTAGAGGAACACCAACTTCAGCACAGCAACTCGAGGAATGCTCCGTCTACCCCAAATCGTCTCGAGATGCGAGCTGATTCCCTGGCTTAGGCTCAAGACGTATGCCAACTTCCCAGAAGCACCTCAGGAGGAGGCTTCTCTCAGCAATAGGTATGTGGGAGGGACCCCGAGTTTGCTGCCTCAAGGGGAATATACAGCGAGAAGCCCTAACTTGAAAGGAGGCCGGATTTCCTTGCAGTGGCTTGAATACAGGCTCGTCTTTCATCTCACAACATGAAGGGATGTCTGAATCCCCTGTGGAGACCTTAGAGAAAGCCCTAGGTCCCTGCCTCATTTTGACGGAATGCCTCACATCCCGCTGACACCTCGAGAGGCACGCGGAGTTCATTGCTTCAAAAGGTGACGATGCCTGACTCCTCTTGAATACTGATAGGAATCCCAAAATCCCTGTGGCTACTGGAAAGGGTCCTTGGGTGCCCTGCCTCACCTCGAGAAGCGTCCCTTTGGCCCTGCCAAGCCTCGAAGAGATTCCTGAGGTGTCCCTCGTTACTAGACAGGAGTCCTGACGTCACTGAAGAAACTCGTGTTTTGAAGGGCCATCCCCGCCGTAAGTCGAGAACATACCCCAGGTCCCCGCCGCAACTCGAGGAAAACCATGAGACTTCCCCCTAGAGGCGAGATGAGGCCCCATTCCCCTGCAGTGCATGCAGAGCTATTCCGTGACCCCATTCAAACAAGTCAGGAGCTTCGACTTGCTTAATGGATCTCGAGACAGTCCCCAAGAACACTGTCACCAGTCTAGACGGACCCTGAGGTCACCCCAGCAACGCAAAGCAGCTCCCTGTGCCCCAAATCAACTCGAGATGAGGCCCGATTCCCCTGCATTGACTCCAGAGCCATTCCCCGTTCCCCATTCAACACGACCGGTGGCTCGACTTCCTTCAGGCAACTCCAGAGATGCCCCGAGAACACTGGCCCAAGTCTAGAGGAACACCAACTTCAGCACAGCAACTCGAGGAATGCTCCGTGTACCCCAAATCGTCTCGAGATGCGAGCTGATTCCCTGGCTTAGGCTCAAGACGTATGCCAACTTCCCAGAAGCACCTCAGGAGGAGGCTTCTCTCAGCAATAGGTATGTGGGAGGGCCCCCGAGTTTGCTGCCTCAAGGGGAATATACAGCGAGAAGCCCTAACTTGAAAGGAGGCCGGATTTCCTTGCAGTGGCTTGAATACAGGCTCGTCTTTCATCTCACAACATGAAGGGATGTCTGAATCCCCTGTGGAGACCTTAGAGAAAGCCCTAGGTCCCTGCCTCATTTTGACGGAATGCCTCACATCCCGCTGACACCTCGAGAGGCACGCGGAGTTCATTGCTTCAAAAGGTGACGATGCCTGACTCCTCTTGAATACTGATAGGAATCCCAAAATCCCTGTGGCTACTGGAAAGGGTCCTTGGGTGCCCTGCCTCACCTCGAGAAGCGTCCCTTTGGCCCTGCCAAGCCTCGAAGAGATTCCTGAGGTGTCCCTCGTTACTAGACAGGAGTCCTGACGTCACTGAAGAAACTCGTGTTTTGAAGGGTCATCCCCGCCGTAAGTCGAGAACATACCCCAGGTCCCCGCCGCAACTCGAGAAAAACCATGAGACTTCCCCCTAGAGGCGAGATGAGGCCCCATTCCCCTGCAGTGCATGCAGAGCTATTCCGTGATCCCATTCAAACAAGTCAGGAGCTTCGACTTGCTTAATGGATCTCGAGACAGTCCCCAAGAACACTGTCACCAGTCTAGACGGACCCTGAGGTCACCCCAGCAACGCAAAGCAGCTCCATGTGCCCCAAATCAACTCGAGATGAGGCCCGATTCCCCTGCATTGACTCCAGAGCCATTCCCCGTTCCCCATTCAACACGACCGGTGGCTCGACTTCCTTCAGGCAACTCCAGAGATGCCCCGAGAACACTGTCCCAAGTCCAGAGGAACACCAACTTCAGCACAGCAACTCGAGGAATGCTCCGTGTACCCCAAATCGTCTCGAGATGCGAGCTGATTCCCTGGCTTAGGCTCAAGACGTATGCCAACTTCCCAGAAGCACCTCAGGAGGAGGCTTCTCTCAGCAATAGGTATGTGGGAGGGACCCCGAGTTTGCTGCCTCAAGGGGAATATACAGCGAGAAGCCCTAACTTGAAAGGAGGCCGGATTTCCTTGCAGTGGCTTGAATACAGGCTCGTCTTTCATCTCAGAACATGAAGGGATGTCTGAATCCCCTGTGGAGACCTTAGAGAAAGCCCTAGGTCCCTGCCTCATTTTGACGGAATGCCTCACATCCCGCTGACACCTCGAGAGGCACGCGGAGTTCATTGCTTCAAAAGGTGACGATGCCTGACTCCTCTTGAATACTGATAGGAATCCCAAAATCCCTGTGGCTACTGGAAAGGGTCCTTGGGTGCCCTGCCTCACCTCGAGAGGCGTCCCTTTGGCCCTGCCAAGCCTCGAAGAGATTCCTGAGGTGTCCCTCGTTACTAGACAGGAGTCCTGACGTCACTGAAGAAACTCGTGTTTTGAAGGGCCATCCCCGCCGTAAGTCGAGAACATACCCCAGGTCCCCGCCGCAACTCGAGAAAAACCATGAGACTTCCCCCTAGAGGCGAGATGAGGCCCCATTCCCTTGCAGTGCATGCAGAGCTATTCCGTGATCCCATTCAAACAAGTCAGGAGCTTCGACTTGCTTAATGGATCTCGAGACAGTCCCCAAGAACACTGTCACCAGTCTAGACGGACCCTGAGGTCACCCCAGCAACGCAAAGCAGCTCCATGTGCCCCAAATCAACTCGAGATGAGGCCCGATTCCCCTGCATTGACTCCAGAGCCATTCCCCGTTCCCCATTCAACACGACCGGTGGCTCGACTTCCTTCAGGCAACTCCAGAGATGCCCCGAGAACACTGTCCCAAGTCCAGAGGAACACCAACTTCAGCACAGCAACTCGAGGAATGCTCCGTGTACCCCAATTCGTCTCGAGATGCGAGCTGATTCCCTGGCTTAGGCTCAAGACGTATGCCAACTTCCCAGAAGCACCTCAGGAGGAGGCTTCTCTCAGCAATAGGTATGTGGGATGGACCCCGAGTTTGCTGCCTCAAGGGGAATATACAGCGAGAAGCCCTAACTTGAAAGGAGGCCGGATTTCCTTGCAGTGGCTTGAATACAGGCTCGTCTTTCATCTCACAACATGAAGGGATGTCTGAATCCCCTGTGGAGACCTTAGAGAAAGCCCTAGGTCCCTGCCTCATTTTGACGGAATGCCTCACATCCCGCTGACACCTCGAGAGGCACGCGGAGTTCATTGCTTCAAAAGGTGACGATGCCTGACTCCTCTTGAATACTGATAGGAATCCCAAAATCCCTGTGGCTACTGGAAAGGGTCCTTGGGTGCCCTGCCTCACCTCGAGAAGCGTCCCTTTGGCCCTGCCAAGCCTCGAAGAGATTCCTGAGGTGTCCCTCGTTACTAGACAGGAGTCCTGACGTCACTGAAGAAACTCGTGTTTTGAAGGGCCATCCCCGCCGTAAGTCGAGAACATACCCCAGGTCCCCGCCGCAACTCGAGAAAAACCATGAGACTTCCCCCTAGAGGCGAGATGAGGCCCCATTCCCCTGCAGTGCATGCAGAGCTATTCCGTGATCCCATTCAAACAAGTCAGGAGCTTCGACTTGCTTAATGGATCTCGAGACAGTCCCCAAGAACACTGTCACCAGTCTAGACGGACCCTGAGGTCACCCCAGCAACGCAAAGCAGCTCCATGTGCCCCAAATCAACTCGAGATGAGGCCCGATTCCCCTGCATTGACTCCAGAGCCATTCCCCGTTCCCCATTCAACACGACCGGTGGCTCGACTTCCTTCAGGCAACTCCAGAGATGCCCCGAGAACACTGTCCCAAGTCCAGAGGAACACCAACTTCAGCACAGCAACTCGAGGAATGCTCCGTGTACCCCAAATCGTCTCGAGATGCGAGCTGATTCCCTGGCTTAGGCTCAAGACGTATGCCAACTTCCCAGAAGCACCTCAGGAGGAGGCTTCTCTCAGCAATAGGTATGTGGGAGGGACCCCGAGTTTGCTGCCTCAAGGGGAATATACAGCGAGAAGCCCTAACTTGAAAGGAGGCCGGATTTCCTTGCAGTGGCTTGAATACAGGCTCGTCTTTCATCTCAGAACATGAAGGGATGTCTGAATCCCCTGTGGAGACCTTAGAGAAAGCCCTAGGTCCCTGCCTCATTTTGACGGAATGCCTCACATCCCGCTGACACCTCGAGAGGCACGCGGAGTTCATTGCTTCAAAAGGTGACGATGCCTGACTCCTCTTGAATACTGATAGGAATCCCAAAATCCCTGTGGCTACTGGAAAGGGTCCTTGGGTGCCCTGCCTCACCTCGAGAGGCGTCCCTTTGGCCCTGCCAAGCCTCGAAGAGATTCCTGAGGTGTCCCTCGTTACTAGACAGGAGTCCTGACGTCACTGAAGAAACTCGTGTTTTGAAGGGCCATCCCCGCCGTAAGTCGAGAACATACCCCAGGTCCCCGCCGCAACTCGAGAAAAACCATGAGACTTCCCCCTAGAGGCGAGATGAGGCCCCATTCCCCTGCAGTGCATGCAGAGCTATTCCGTGATCCCATTCAAACAAGTCAGGAGCTTCGACTTGCTTAATGGATCTCGAGACAGTCCCCAAGAACACTGTCACCAGTCTAGACGGACCCTGAGGTCACCCCAGCAACGCAAAGCAGCTCCATGTGCCCCAAATCAACTCGAGATGAGGCCCGATTCCCCTGCATTGACTCCAGAGCCATTCCCCGTTCCCCATTCAACACGACCGGTGGCTCGACTTCCTTCAGGCAACTCCAGAGATGCCCCGAGAACACTGTCCCAAGTCCAGAGGAACACCAACTTCAGCACAGCAACTCGAGGAATGCTCCGTGTACCCCAAATCGTCTCGAGATGCGAGCTGATTCCCTGGCTTAGGCTCAAGACGTATGCCAACTTCCCAGAAGCACCTCAGGAGGAGGCTTCTCTCAGCAATAGGTATGTGGGAGGGACCCCGAGTTTGCTGCCTCAAGGGGAATATACAGCGAGAAGCCCTAACTTGAAAGGAGGCCGGATTTCCTTGCAGTGGCTTGAATACAGGCTCGTCTTTCATCTCACAACATGAAGGGATGTCTGAATCCCCTGTGGAGACCTTAGAGAAAGCCCTAGGTCCCTGCCTCATTTTGACGGAATGCCTCACATCCCGCTGACACCTCGAGAGGCACGCGGAGTTCATTGCTTCAAAAGGTGACGATGCCTGACTCCTCTTGAATACTGATAGGAATCCCAAAATCCCTGTGGCTACTGGAAAGGGTCCTTGGGTGCCCTGCCTCACCTCGAGAAGCGTCCCTTTGGCCCTGCCAAGCCTCGAAGAGATTCCTGAGGTGTCCCTCATTACTAGACAGGAGTCCTGACGTCACTGAAGAAACTCGTGTTTTGAAGGGCCATCCCCGCCGTAAGTCGAGAACATACCCCAGGTCCCCGCCGCAACTCGAGAAAAACCATGAGACTTCCCCCTAGAGGCGAGATGAGGCCCCATTCCCCTGCAGTGCATGCAGAGCTATTCCGTGATCCCATTCAAACAAGTCAGGAGCTTCGACTTGCTTAATGGATCTCGAGACAGTCCCCAAGAACACTGTCACCAGTCTAGACAGACGCTGAGGTCACCCCAGCAACGCTAAGCAGCTCCATGTGCCCCAAATCAACTCGAGATGAGGCCCGATTCCCCTGCATTGACTCCAGAGCCATTCCCCGTTCCCCATTCAACACGACCGGTGGCTCGACTTCCTTCAGGCAACTCCAGAGATGCCCCGAGAACACTGTCCCAAGTCTAGAGGAACACCAACTTCAGCACAGCAACTCGAGGAATGCTCCGTGTACCCCAAATCGTCTCGAGATGCGAGCTGATTCCCTGGCTTAGGCTCAAGACGTATGCCAACTTCCCAGAAGCACCTCAGGAGGAGGCTTCTCTCAGCAATAGGTATGTGGGAGGGACCCCGAGTTTGCTGCCTCAAGGGGAATATACAGCGAGAAGCCCTAACTTGAAAGGAGGCCGGATTTCCTTGCAGTGGCTTGAATACAGGCTCGTCTTTCATCTCACAACATGAAGGGATGTCTGAATCCCCTGTGGAGACCTTAGAGAAAGCCCTAGGTCCCTGCCTCATTTTGAGGGAATGCCTCACATCCCGCTGACACCTCGAGAGGCACGCGGAGTTCATTGCTTCAAAAGGTGACGATGCCTGACTCCTCTTGAATACTGATAGGAATCCCAAAATCCCTGTGGCTACTGGAAAGGGTCCTTGGGTGCCCTGCCTCACCTCGAGAAGCGTCCCTTTGGCCCTGCCAAGCCTCGAAGAGATTCCTGAGGTGTCCCTCGTTACTAGACAGGAGTCCTGACGTCACTGAAGAAACTCGTGTTTTGAAGGGCCATCCCCGCCGTAAGTCGAGAACATACCCCAGGTCCCCGCCGCAACTCGAGGAAAACCATGAGACTTCCCCCTAGAGGCGAGATGAGGCCCCATTCCCCTGCAGTGCATGCAGAGCTATTCCGTGACCCCATTCAAACAAGTCAGGAGCTTCGACTTGCTTAATGGATCTCGAGACAGTCCCCAAGAACACTGTCACCAGTCTAGACGGACCCTGAGGTCACCCCAGCAACGCAAAGCAGCTCCCTGTGCCCCAAATCAACTCGAGATGAGGCCCGATTCCCCTGCATTGACTCCAGAGCCATTCCCCGTTCCCCATTCAACACGACCGGTGGCTCGACTTCCTTCAGGCAACTCCAGAGATGCCCCGAGAACACTGGCTCAAGTCTAGAGGAACACCAACTTCAGCACAGCAACTCGAGGAATGCTCCGTGTACCCCAAATCGTCTCGAGATGCGAGCTGATTCCCTGGCTTAGGCTCAAGACGTATGCCAACTTCCCAGAAGCACCTCAGGAGGAGGCTTCTCTCAGCAATAGGTATGTGGGAGGGACCCCGAGTTTGCTGCCTCAAGGGGAATATACAGCGAGAAGCCCTAACTTGAAAGGAGGCCGGATTTCCTTGCAGTGGCTTGAATACAGGCTCGTCTTTCATCTCACAACATGAAGGGATGTCTGAATCCCCTGTGGAGACCTTAGAGAAAGCCCAAGGTCCCTGCCTCATTTTGACGGAATGCCTCACATCCCACTGACACCTCGAGAGGCACGCGGAGTTCATTGCTTCAAAAGGTGACGATGCCTGACTCCTCTTGAATACTGATAGGAATCCCAAAATCCCTGTGGCTACTGGAAAGGGTCCTTGGGTGCCCTGCCTCACCTCGAGAAGCGTCCCTTTGGCCCTGCCAAGCCTCGAAGAGATTCCTGAGGTGTCCCTCGTTACTAGACAGGGGTCCTGACGTCACTGAAGAAACTCGTGTTTTGAAGGGCCATCCCCGCCGTAAGTCGAGAACATACCCCAGGTCCCCGCCGCAACTCGAGAAAAACCATGAGACTTCCCCCTAGAGGCGAGATGAGGCCCCATTCCCCTGCAGTGCATGCAGAGCTATTCCGTGACCCCATTCAAACAAGTCAGGAGCTTCGACTTGCTTAATGGATCTCGAGACAGTCCCCAAGAACACTGTCACCAGTCTAGACGGACCCTGAGGTCACCCCAGCAACGCAAAGCAGCTCCATGTGCCCCAAATCAACTCGAGATGAGGCCCGATTCCCCTGCATTGACTCCAGAGCCATTCCCCGTTCCCCATTCAACACGACCGGTGGCTCGACTTCCTTCAGGCAACTCCAGAGATGCCCCGAGAACACTGTCCCAAGTCTAGAGGAACACCAACTTCAGCACAGCAACTCGAGGAATGCTCCGTGTACCCCAAATCGTCTCGAGATGCGAGCTGATTCCCTGGCTTAGGCTCAAGACGTATGCCAACTTCCCAGAAGCACCTCAGGAGGAGGCTTCTCTCAGCAATAGGTATGCGGGAGGGACCCCGAGTTGCTGCCTCAAGGGGAATATACAGCGAGAAGCCCTAACTTGAAAGGAGGCCGGATTTCCTTGCAGTGGCTTGAATACAGGCTCGTCTTTCATCTCACAACATGAAGGGATGTCTGAATCCCCTGTGGAGACCTTAGAGAAAGCCCTAGGTCCCTGCCTCATTTTGACGGAATGCCTCACATCCCGCTGACACCTCGAGAGGCACGCGGAGTTCATTGCTTCAAAAGGTGACGATGCCTGACTCCTCTTGAATACTGATAGGAATCCCAAAATCCCTGTGGCTACTGGAAAGGGTCCTTGGGTGCCCTGCCTCACCTCGAGAGGCGTCCCTTTGGCCCTGCCAAGCCTCGAAGAGATTCCTGAGGTGTCCCTCGTTACTAGACAGGAGTCCTGACGTCACTGAAGAAACTCGTGTTTTGAAGGGCCATCCCCGCCGTAAGTCGAGAACATACCCCAGGTCCCCGCCGCAACTCGAGGAAAACCATGAGACTTCCCCCTAGAGGCGAGATGAGGCCCCATTCCCCTGCAGTGCATGCAGAGCTATTCCGTGACCCCATTCAAACAAGTCAGGAGCTTCGACTTGCTTAATGGATCTCGAGACAGTCCCCAAGAACACTGTCACCAGTCTAGACGGACCCTGAGGTCACCCCAGCAACGCAAAGCAGCTCCATGTGCCCCAAATCAACTCGAGATGAGGCCCGATTCCCCTGCATTGACTCCAGAGCCATTCCCCGTTCCCCATTCAACACGACCGGTGGCTCGACTTCCTTCAGGCAACTCCAGAGATGCCCCGAGAACACTGGCCCAAGTCTAGAGGAACACCAACTTCAGCACAGCAACTCGAGGAATGCTCCGTGTACACCAAATCGTCTCGAGATGCGAGCTGATTCCCTGGCTTAGGCTCAAGACGTATGCCAACTTCCCAGAAGCACCTCAGGAGGAGGCTTCTCTCAGCAATAGGTATGCGGGAGGGACCCCGAGTTTGCTGCCTCAAGGGGAATATACAGCGAGAAGCCCTAACTTGAAAGGAGGCCGGATTTCCTTGCAGTGGCTTGAATACAGGCTCGTCTTTCATCTCAGAACATGAAGGGATGTCTGAATCCCCTGTGGAGACCTTAGAGAAAGCCCTAGGTCCCTGCCTCATTTTGACGGAATGCCTCACATCCCGCTGACACCTCGAGAGGCACGCGGAGTTCATTGCTTCAAAAGGTGACGATGCCTGACTCCTCTTGAATACTGATAGGAATCCCAAAATCCCTGTGGCTACTGGAAAGGGTCCTTGGGTGCCCTGCCTCACCTCGAGAAGCGTCCCTTTGGCCCTGCCAAGCCTCGAAGAGATTCCTGAGGTGTCCCTCGTTACTAGACAGGAGTCCTGACGTCACTGAAGAAACTCGTGTTTTGAAGGGCCATCCCCGCCGTAAGTCGAGAACATACCCCAGGTCCCCGCCGCAACTCGAGGAAAATCATGAGACTTCCCCCTAGAGGCGAGATGAGGCCCCATTCCCCTGCAGTGCATGCAGAGCTATTCCGTGACCCCATTCAAACAAGTCAGGAGCTTCGACTTGCTTAATGGATCTCGAGACAGTCCCCAAGAACACTGTCACCAGTCTAGACGGACCCTGAGGTCACCCCAGCAACGCAAAGCAGCTCCCTGTGCCCCAAATCAACTCGAGATGAGGCCCGATTCCCCTGCATTGACTCCAGAGCCATTCCCCGTTCCCCATTCAACACGACCGGTGGCTCGACTTCCTTCAGGCAACTCCAGAGATGCCCCGAGAACACTGGCCCAAGTCTAGAGGAACACCAACTTCAGCACAGCAACTCGAGGAATGCTCCGTGTACCCCAAATCGTCTCGAGATGCGAGCTGATTCCCTGGCTTAGGCTCAAGACGTATGCCAACTTCCCAGAAGCACCTCAGGAGGAGGCTTCTCTCAGCAATAGGTATGCGGGAGGGACCCCGAGTTGCTGCCTCAAGGGGAATATACAGCGAGAAGCCCTAACTTGAAAGGAGGCCGGATTTCCTTGCAGTGGCTTGAATACAGGCTCGTCTTTCATCTCACAACATGAAGGGATGTCTGAATCCCCTGTGGAGACCTTAGAGAAAGCCCTAGGTCCCTGCCTCATTTTGACGGAATGCCTCACATCCCGCTGACACCTCGAGAGGCACGCGGAGTTCATTGCTTCAAAAGGTGACGATGCCTGACTCCTCTTGAATACTGATAGGAATCCCAAAATCCCTGTGGCTACTGGAAAGGGTCCTTGGGTGCCCTGCCTCACCTCGAGAAGCGTCCCTTTGGCCCTGCCAAGCCTCGAAGAGATTCCTGAGGTGTCCCTCGTTACTAGACAGGAGTCCTGACGTCACTGAAGAAACTCGTGTTTTGAAGGGCCATCCCCGCCGTAAGTCGAGAACATACCCCAGGTCCCCGCCGCAACTCGAGAAAAACCATGAGACTTCCCCCTAGAGGCGAGATGAGGCCCCATTCCCCTGCAGTGCATGCAGAGCTATTCCGTGACCCCATTCAAACAAGTCAGGAGCTTCGACTTGCTTAATGGATCTCGAGACAGTCCCCAAGAACACTGTCACCAGTCTAGACGGACCCTGAGGTCACCCCAGCAACGCAAAGCAGCTCCATGTGCCCCAAATCAACTCGAGATGAGGCCCGATTCCCCTGCATTGACTCCAGAGCCATTCCCCGTTCCCCATTCAACACGACCGGTGGCTCGACTTCCTTCAGGCAACTCCAGAGATGCCCCGAGAACACTGTCCCAAGTCTAGAGGAACACCAACTTCAGCACAGCAACTCGAGGAATGCTCCGTGTACCCCAAATCGTCTCGAGATGCGAGCTGATTCCCTGGCTTAGGCTCAAGACGTATGCCAACTTCCCAGAAGCACCTCAGGAGGAGGCTTCTCTCAGCAATAGGTATGCGGGAGGGACCCCGAGTTGCTGCCTCAAGGGGAATATACAGCGAGAAGCCCTAACTTGAAAGGAGGCCGGATTTCCTTGCAGTGGCTTGAATACAGGCTCGTCTTTCATCTCACAACATGAAGGGATGTCTGAATCCCCTGTGGAGACCTTAGAGAAAGCCCTAGGTCCCTGCCTCATTTTGACGGAATGCCTCACATGCCGCTGACACCTCGAGAGGCACGCGGAGTTCATTGCTTCAAAAGGTGACGATGCCTGACTCCTCTTGAATACTGATAGGAATCCCAAAATCCCTGTGGCTACTGGAAAGGGTCCTTGGGTGCCCTGCCTCACCTCGAGAAGCGTCCCTTTGGCCCTGCCAAGCCTCGAAGCGCTTCCTGAGGTGTCCCTCGTTACTAGACAGGAGTCCTGACGTCAGTGAAGAAACTCGTGTTTTGAAGGGCCATCCCCGCCGTAAGTCGAGAACATACCCCAGGTCCCCGCCGCAACTCGAGAAAAACCATGAGACTTCCCCCTAGAGGCGAGATGAGGCCCCATTCCCCTGCAGTGCATGCAGAGCTATTCCGTGATCCCATTCAAACAAGTCAGGAGCTTCTAGTTGCTTAATGGATCTCGAGACAGTCCCCAAGAACACTGTCACCAGTCTAGACGGACCCTGAGGTCACCCCAGCAACGCAAAGCAGCTCCATGTGCCCCAAATCAACTCGAGATGAGGCCCGATTCCCCTGCATTGACTCCAGAGCCATTCCCCGTTCCCCATTCAACACGACCGGTGGCTCGACTTCCTTCAGGCAACTCCAGAGATGCCCCGAGAACACTGTCCCAAGTCTAGAGGAACACCAACTTCAGCACAGCAACTCGAGGAATGCTCCGTGTACCCCAAATCGTCTCGAGATGCGAGCTGATTCCCTGGCTTAGGCTCAAGACGTATGCCAACTTCCCAGAAGCACCTCCGGAGGAGGCTTCTCTCAGCAATAGGTATGTGGGAGGGACCCCGAGTTTGCTGCCTCGAGGGGAATATACAGCGAGAAGCCCTAACTTGAAAGGAGGCCGGATTTCCTTGCAGTGGCTTGAATACAGGCTCGTCTTTCATCTCACAACATGAAGGGATGTCTGAATCCCCTGTGGAGACCTTAGAGAAAGCCCTAGGTCCCTGCCTCATTTTGACGGAATGCCTCACATCCCGCTGACACCTCGAGAGGCACGCGGAGTTCATTGCTTCAAAAGGTGACGATGCCTGACTCCTCTTGAATACTGATAGGAATCCCAAAATCCCTGTGGCTACTGGAAAGGGTCCTTGGGTGCCCTGCCTCACCTCGAGAAGCGTCCCTTTGGCCCTGCCAAGCCTCGAAGAGATTCCTGAGGTGTCCCTCGTTACTAGACAGGAGTCCAGACGTCACTGAAGAAACTCGTGTTTTGAAGGGCCATCCCCGCCGTAAGTCGAGAACATACCCCAGGTCCCCGCCGCAACTCGAGAAAAACCATGAGACTTCCCCCTAGAGGCGAGATGAGGCCCCATTCCCCTGCAGTGCATGCAGAGCTATTCCGTGATCCCATTCAAACAAGTCAGGAGCTTCGACTTGCTTAATGGATCTCGAGACAGTCCCCAAGAACACTATCACCAGTCTAGACGGACCCTTAGGTCACCCCAGCAACGCAAAGCAGCTCCATGTGCCCCAAATCAACTCGAGATGAGGCCCGATTCCCCTGCATTGACTCCAGAGCCATTCCCCGTTCCCCATTCAACACGACCGGTGGCTCGACTTCCTTCAGGAAACTCCAGAGATGCCCCGAGAACACTGTCCCAAGTCTAGAGGAACACCAACTTCAGCACAGCAACTCGAGGAATGCTCCGTCTACCCCAAATCGTCTCGAGATGCGAGCTGATTCCCTGGCTTAGGCTCAAGACGTATGCCAACTTCCCAGAAGCACCTCCGGAGGAGGCTTCTCTCAGCAATAGGTATGTGGGAGGGACCCCGAGTTTGCTGCCTCGAGGGGAATATACAGCGAGAAGCCCTAACTTGAAAGGAGGCCGGATTTCCTTGCAGTGGCTTGAATACAGGCTCGTCTTTCATCTCACAACATGAAGGGATGTCTGAATCCCCTGTGGAGACCTTAGAGAAAGCCCTAGGTCCCTGCCTCATTTTGACGGAATGCCTCACATCCCGCTGACACCTCGAGAGGCACGCGGAGTTCATTGCTTCAAAAGGTGACGATGCCTGACTCCTCTTGAATACTGATAGGAATCCCAAAATCCCTGTGGCTACTGGAAAGGGTCCTTGGGTGCCCTGCCTCACCTCGAGAAGCGTCCCTTTGGCCCTGCCAAGCCTCGAAGAGATTCCTGAGGTGTCCCTCGTTACTAGACAGGAGTCCTGACGTCACTGAAGAAACTCGTGTTTTGAAGGGCCATCCCCGCCGTAAGTCGAGAACATACCCCAGGTCCCCGCCGCAACTCGAGAAAAACCATGAGACTTCCCCCTAGAGGCGAGATGAGGCCCCATTCCCCTGCAGTGCATGCAGAGCTATTCCGTGATCCCATTCAAACAAGTCAGGAGCTTCGACTTGCTTAATGGATCTCGAGACAGTCCCCAAGAACACTGTCACCAGTCTAGACGGACCCTGAGGTCACCCCAGCAACGCAAAGCAGCTCCATGTGCCCCAAATCAACTCGAGATGAGGCCCGATTCCCCTGCATTGACTCCAGAGCCATTCCCCGTTCCCCATTCAACACGACCGGTGGCTCCACTTCCTTCAGGCAACTCCAGAGATGCCCCGAGAACACTGTCCCAAGTCTAGAGGAACACCAACTTCAGCACAGCAACTCGAGGAATGCTCCGTCTACCCCAAATCGTCTCGAGATGCGAGCTGATTCCCTGGCTTAGGCTCAAGACGTATGCCAACTTCCCAGAAGCACCTCAGGAGGAGGCTTCTCTCAGCAATAGGTATGTGGGAGGGACCCCGAGTTTGCTGCCTCAAGGGGAATATACAGCGAGAAGCCCTAACTTGAAAGGAGGCCGGATTTCCTTGCAGTGGCTTGAATACAGGCTCGTCTTTCATCTCACAACATGAAGGGATGTCTGAATCCCCTGTGGAGACCTTAGAGAAAGCCCTAGGTCCCTGCCTCATTTTGACGGAATGCCTCACATCCCGCTGACACCTCGAGAGGCACGCGGAGTTCATTGCTTCAAAAGGTGACGATGCCTGACTCCTCTTGAATACTGATAGGAATCCCAAAATCCCTGTGGCTACTGGAAAGGGTCCTTGGGTGCCCTGCCTCACCTCGAGAAGCGTCCCTTTGGCCCTGCCAAGCCTCGAAGAGATTCCTGAGGTGTCCCTCGTTACTAGACAGGAGTCCTGACGTCACTGAAGAAACTCGTGTTTTGAAGGGCCATCCCCGCCGTAAGTCGAGAACATACCCCAGGTCCCCGCCGCAACTCGAGAAAAACCATGAGACTTCCCCCTAGAGGCGAGATGAGGCCCCATTCCCCTGCAGTGCATGCAGAGCTATTCCGTGATCCCATTCAAACAAGTCAGGAGCTTCGACTTGCTTAATGGATCTCGAGACAGTCCCCAAGAACACTGTCACCAGTCTAGACGGACCCTGAGGTCACCCCAGCAACGCAAAGCAGCTCCATGTGCCCCAAATCAACTCGAGATGAGGCCCGATTCCCCTGCATTGACTCCAGAGCCATTCCCCGTTCCCCATTCAACACGACCGGTGGCTCGACTTCCTTCAGGCAACTCCAGAGATGCCCCGAGAACACTGTCCCAAGTCTAGAGGAACACCAACTTCAGCACAGCAACTCGAGGAATGCTCCGTCTACCCCAAATCGTCTCGAGATGCGAGCTGATTCCCTGGCTTAGGCTCAAGACGTATGCCAACTTCCCAGAAGCACCTCCGGAGGAGGCTTCTCTCAGCAATAGGTATGTGGGAGGGACCCCGAGTTTGCTGCCTCAAGGGGAATATACAGCGAGAAGCCCTAACTTGAAAGGAGGCCGGATTTCCTTGCAGTGGCTTGAATACAGGCTCGTCTTTCATCTCACAACATGAAGGGATGTCTGAATCCCCTGTGGAGACCTTAGAGAAAGCCCTAGGTCCCTGCCTCATTTTGACGGAATGCCTCACATCCCGCTGACACCTCGAGAGGCACGCGGAGTTCATTGCTTCAAAAGGTGACGATGCCTGACTCCTCTTGAATACTGATAGGAATCCCAAAATCCCTGTGGCTACTGGAAAGGGTCCTTGGGTGCCCTGCCTCACCTCGAGAAGCGTCCCTTTGGCCCTGCCAAGCCTCGAAGAGATTCCTGAGGTGTCCCTCGTTACTAGACAGGAGTCCTGACGTCACTGAAGAAACTCGTGTTTTGAAGGGCCATCCCCGCCGTAAGTCGAGAACATACCCCAGGTCCCCGCCGCAACTCGAGAAAAACCATGAGACTTCCCCCTAGAGGCGAGATGAGGCCCCATTCCCCTGCAGTGCATGCAGAGCTATTCTGTGATCCCATTCAAACAAGTCAGGAGCTTCGACTTGCTTAATGGATCTCGAGACAGTCCCCAAGAACACTGTCACCAGTCTAGACGGACCCTGAGGTCACCCCAGCAACGCAAAGCAGCTCCATGTGCCCCAAATCAACTCGAGATGAGGCCCGATTCCCCTGCATTGACTCCAGAGCCATTCCCCGTTCCCCATTCAACACGACCGGTGGCTCGACTTCCTTCAGGAAACTCCAGAGATGCCCCGAGAACACTGTCCCAAGTCTAGAGGAACACCAACTTCAGCACAGCAACTCGAGGAATGCTCCGTGTACCGCAAATCGTCTCGAGATGCGAGCTGATTCCCTGGCTTAGGCTCAAGACGTATGCCAACTTCCCAGAAGCACCTCCGGAGGAGGCTTCTCTCAGCAATAGTTATGTGGGAGGGACCCCGAGTTTGCTGCCTCAAGGGGAATATACAGCGAGAAGCCCTAACTTGAAAGGAGGCCGGATTTCCTTGCAGTGGCTTGAATACAGGCTCGTCTTTCATCTCACAACATGAAGGGATGTCTGAATCCCCTGTGGAGACCTTAGAGAAAGCCCTAGGTCCCTGCCTCATTTTGACGGAATGCCTCACATCCCGCTGACACCTCGAGAGGCACGCGGAGTTCATTGCTTCAAAAGGTGACGATGCCTGACTCCTCTTGAATACTGATAGGAATCCCAAAATCCCTGTGGCTACTGGAAAGGGTCCTTGGGTGCCCTGCCTCACCTCGAGAAGCGTCCCTTTGGCCCTGCCAAGCCTCGAAGAGATTCCTGAGGTGTCCCTCGTTACTAGACAGGAGTCCTGACGTCACTGAAGAAACTCGTGTTTTGAAGGGCCATCCCCGCCGTAAGTCGAGAACATACCCCAGGTCCCCGCCGCAACTCGAGAAAAACCATGAGACTTCCCCCTAGAGGCGAGATGAGGCCCCATTCCCCTGCAGTGCATGCAGAGCTATTCCGTGATCCCATTCAAACAAGTCAGGAGCTTCGACTTGCTTAATGGATCTCGAGACAGTCCCCAAGAACACTGTCACCAGTCTAGACGGACCCTGAGGTCACCCCAGCAACGCAAAGCAGCTCCATGTGCCCCAAATCAACTCGAGATGAGGCCCGATTCCCCTGCATTGACTCCAGAGCCATTCCCCGTTCCCCATTCAACACGACCGGTGGCTCGACTTCCTTCAGGCAACTCCAGAGATGCCCCGAGAACACTGTCCCAAGTCTAGAGGAACACCAACTTCAGCACAGCAACTCGAGGAATGCTCCGTGTACCCCAAATCGTCTCGAGATGCGAGCTGATTCCCTGGCTTAGGCTCAAGACGTATGCCAACTTCCCAGAAGCACCTCAGGAGGAGGCTTCTCTCAGCAATAGGTATGTGGGAGGGACCCCGAGTTTGCTGCCTCAAGGGGAATATACAGCGAGAAGCCCTAACTTGAAAGGAGGCCGGATTTCCTTGCAGTGGCTTGAATACAGGCTCGTCTTTCATCTCACAACATGAAGGGATGTCTGAATCCCCTGTGGAGACCTTAGAGAAAGCCCTAGGTCCCTGCCTCATTTTGACGGAATGCCTCACATCCCGCTGACACCTCGAGAGGCACGCGGAGTTCATTGCTTCAAAAGGTGACGATGCCTGACTCCTCTTGAATACTGATAGGAATCCCAAAATCCCTGTGGCTACTGGAAAGGGTCCTTGGGTGCCCTGCCTCACCTCGAGAAGCGTCCCTTTGGCCCTGCCAAGCCTCGAAGAGATTCCTGAGGTGTCCCTCGTTACTAGACAGGAGTCCTGACGTCACTGAAGAAACTCGTGTTTTGAAGGGCCATCCCCGCCGTAAGTCGAGAACATACCCCAGGTCCCCGCCGCAACTCGAGAAAAACCATGAGACTTCCCCCTAGAGGCGAGATGAGGCCCCATTCCCCTGCAGTGCATGCAGAGCTATTCCGTGATCCCATTCAAACAAGTCAGGAGCTTCGACTTGCTTAATGGATCTCGAGACAGTCCCCAAGAACACTGTCACCAGTCTAGACGGACCCTGAGGTCACCCCAGCAACGCAAAGCAGCTCCATGTGCCCCAAATCAACTCGAGATGAGGCCCGATTCCCCTGCATTGACTCCAGAGCCATTCCCCGTTCCCCATTCAACACGACCGGTGGCTCGACTTCCTTCAGGCAACTCCAGAGATGCCCCGAGAACACTGTCCCAAGTCTAGAGGAACACCAACTTCAGCACAGCAACTCGAGGAATGCTCCGTCTACCCCAAATCGTCTCGAGATGCGAGCTGATTCCCTGGCTTAGGCTCAAGACGTATGCCAACTTCCCAGAAGCACCTCCGGAGGAGGCTTCTCTCAGCAATAGGTATGTGGGAGGGACCCCGAGTTTGCTGCCTCAAGGGGAATATACAGCGAGAAGCCCTAACTTGAAAGGAGGCCGGATTTCCTTGCAGTGGCTTGAATACAGGCTCGTCTTTCATCTCACAACATGAAGGGATGTCTGAATCCCCTGTGGAGACCTTAGAGAAAGCCCTAGGTCCCTGCCTCATTTTGACGGAATGCCTCACATCCCGCTGACACCTCGAGAGGCACGCGGAGTTCATTGCTTCAAAAGGTGACGATGCCTGACTCCTCTTGAATACTGATAGGAATCCCAAAATCCCTGTGGCTACTGGAAAGGGTCCTTGGGTGCCCTGCCTCACCTCGAGAAGCGTCCCTTTGGCCCTGCCAAGCCTCGAAGAGATTCCTGAGGTGTCCCTCGTTACTAGACAGGAGTCCTGACGTCACTGAAGAAACTCGTGTTTTGAAGGGCCATCCCCGCCGTAAGTCGAGAACATACCCCAGGTCCCCGCCGCAACTCGAGAAAAACCATGAGACTTCCCCCTAGAGGCGAGATGAGGCCCCATTCCCCTGCAGTGCATGCAGAGCTATTCTGTGATCCCATTCAAACAAGTCAGGAGCTTCGACTTGCTTAATGGATCTAGAGACAGTCCCCAAGAACACTGTCACCAGTCTAGACGGACCCTGAGGTCACCCCAGCAACGCAAAGCAGCTCCATGTGCCCCAAATCAACTCGAGATGAGGCCCGATTCCCCTGCATTGACTCCAGAGCCATTCCCCGTTCCCCATTCAACACGACCGGTGGCTCGACTTCCTTCAGGAAACTCCAGAGATGCCCCGAGAACACTGTCCCAAGTCTAGAGGAACACCAACTTCAGCACAGCAACTCGAGGAATGCTCCGTGTACCCCAAATCGTCTCGAGATGCGAGCTGATTCCCTGGCTTAGGCTCAAGACGTATGCCAACTTCCCAGAAGCACCTCAGGAGGAGGCTTCTCTCAGCAATAGGTATGTGGGAGGGACCCCGAGTTTGCTGCCTCAAGGGGAATATACAGCGAGAAGCCCTAACTTGAAAGGAGGCCGGATTTCCTTGCAGTGGCTTGAATACAGGCTCGTCTTTCATCTCACAACATGAAGGGATGTCTGAATCCCCTGTGGAGACCTTAGAGAAAGCCCTAGGTCCCTGCCTCATTTTGACGGAATGCCTCACATCCCGCTGACACCTCGAGAGGCACGCGGAGTTCATTGCTTCAAAAGGTGACGATGCCTGACTCCTCTTGAATACTGATAGGAATCCCAAAATCCCTGTGGCTACTGGAAAGGGTCCTTGGGTGCCCTGCCTCACTTCGAGAAGCGTCCCTTTGGCCCTGCCAAGCCTCGAAGAGATTCCTGAGGTGTCCCTCGTTACTAGACAGGAGTCCTGACGTCACTGAAGAAACTCGTGTTTTGAAGGGCCATCCCCGCCGTAAGTCGAGAACATACCCCAGGTCCCCGCCGCAACTCGAGAAAAAACATGAGACTTCCCCCTAGAGGCGAGATGAGGCCCCATTCCCCTGCAGTGCATGCAGAGCTATTCCGTGATCCCATTCAAACAAGTCAGGAGCTTCGACTTGCTTAATGGATCTCGAGACAGTCCCCAAGAACACTGTCACCAGTCTAGACGGACCCTGAGGTCACCCCAGCAACGCAAAGCAGCTCCATGTGCCCCAAATCAACTCGAGATGAGGCCCGATTCCCCTGCATTGACTCCAGAGCCATTCCCCGTTCCCCATTCAACACGACCGGTGGCTCGACTTCCTTCAGGCAACTCCAGAGATGCCCCGAGAACACTGTCCCAAGTCTAGAGGAACACCAACTTCAGCACAGCAACTCGAGGAATGCTCCGTCTACCCCAAATCGTCTCGAGATGCGAGCTGATTCCCTGGCTTAGGCTCAAGACGTATGCCAACTTCCCAGAAGCACCTCAGGAGGAGGCTTCTCTCAGCAATAGGTATGTGGGAGGGACCCCGAGTTTGCTGCCTCAAGGGGAATATACAGCGAGAAGCCCTAACTTGAAAGGAGGCCGGATTTCCTTGCAGTGGCTTGAATACAGGCTCGTCTTTCATCTCACAACATGAAGGGATGTCTGAATCCCCTGTGGAGACCTTAGAGAAAGCCCTAGGTCCCTGCCTCATTTTGACGGAATGCCTCACATGCCGCTGACACCTCGAGAGGCACGCGGAGTTCATTGCTTCAAAAGGTGACGATGCCTGACTCCTCTTGAATGCTGATAGGAATCCCAAAATCCCTGTGGCTACTGGAAAGGGTCCTTGGGTGCCCTGCCTCACCTCGAGAAGCGTCCCTTTGGCCCTGCCAAGCCTCGAAGCGCTTCCTGAGGTGTCCCTCGTTACTAGACAGGAGTCCTGACGTCAGTGAAGAAACTCGTGTTTTGAAGGGCCATCCCCGCCGTAAGTCGAGAACATACCCCAGGTCCCCGCCGCAACTCGAGAAAAACCATGAGACTTCCCCCTAGAGGCGAGATGAGGCCCCATTCCCCTGCAGTGCATGCAGAGCTATTCCGTGATCCCATTCAAACAAGTCAGGAGCTTCTAGTTGCTTAATGGATCTCGAGACAGTCCCCAAGAACACTGTCACCAGTCTAGACGGACCCTGAGGTCACCCCAGCAACGCAAAGCAGCTCCATGTGCCCCAAATCAACTCGAGATGAGGCCCGATTCCCCTGCATTGACTCCAGAGCCATTCCCCGTTCCCCATTCAACACGACCGGTGGCTCGACTTCCTTCAGGCAACTCCAGAGATGCCCCGAGAACACTGTCCCAAGTCTAGAGGAACACCAACTTCAGCACAGCAACTCGAGGAATGCTCCGTGTACCCCAAATCGTCTCGAGATGCGAGCTGATTCCCTGGCTTAGGCTCAAGACGTATGCCAACTTCCCAGAAGCACCTCCGGAGGAGGCTTCTCTCAGCAATAGGTATGTGGGAGGGACCCCGAGTTTGCTGCCTCGAGGGGAATATACAGCGTGAAGCCCTAACTTGAAAGGAGGCCGGATTTCCTTGCAGTGGCTTGAATACAGGCTCGTCTTTCATCTCACAACATGAAGGGATGTCTGAATCCCCTGTGGAGACCTTAGAGAAAGCCCTAGGTCCCTGCCTCATTTTGACGGAATGCCTCACATCCCGCTGACACCTCGAGAGGCACGCGGAGTTCATTGCTTCAAAAGGTGACGATGCCTGACTCCTCTTGAATACTGATAGGAATCCCAAAATCCCTGTGGCTACTGGAAAGGGTCTTTGGGTGCCCTGCCTCACCTCGAGAAGCGTCCCTTTGGCCCTGCCAAGCCTCGAAGAGATTCCTGAGGTGTCCCTCGTTACTAGACAGGAGTCCTGACGTCACTGAAGAAACTCGTGTTTTGAAGGGCCATCCCCGCCGTAAGTCGAGAACATACCCCAGGTCCCCGCCGCAACTCGAGAAAAACCATGAGACTTCCCCCTAGAGGCGAGAAGAGGCCCCATTCCCCTGCAGTGCATGCAGAGCTATTCCGTGATCCCATTCAAACAAGTCAGGAGCTTCGACTTGCTTAATGGATCTCGAGACAGTCCCCAAGAACACTGTCACCAGTCTAGACGGACCCTGAGGTCACCCCAGCAAAGCAAAGCAGCTCCATGTGCCCCAAATCAACTCGAGATGAGGCCCGATTCCCCTGCATTGACTCCAGAGCCATTCCCCGTTCCCCATTCAACACGACCGGTGGCTCGACTTCCTTCAGGCAACTCCAGAGATGCCCCGAGAACACTGTCCCAAGTCTAGAGGAACACCAACTTCAGCACAGCAACTCGAGGAATGCTCCGTCTACCCCAAATCGTCTCGAGATGCGAGCTGATTCCCTGGCTTAGGCTCAAGACGTATGCCAACTTCCCAGAAGCACCTCAGGAGGAGGCTTCTCTCAGCAATAGGTATGTGGGAGGGACCCCGAGTTTGCTGCCTCAAGGGGAATATACAGCGAGAAGCCCTAACTTGAAAGGAGGCCGGATTTCCTTGCAGTGGCTTGAATACAGGCTCGTCTTTCATCTCACAACATGAAGGGATGTCTGAATCCCCTGTGGAGACCTTAGAGAAAGCCCTAGGTCCCTGCCTCATTTTGACGGAATGCCTCACATGCCGCTGACACCTCGAGAGGCACGCGGAGTTCATTGCTTCAAAAGGTGACGATGCCTGACTCCTCTTGAATGCTGATAGGAATCCCAAAATCCCTGTGGCTACTGGAAAGGGTCCTTGGGTGCCCTGCCTCACCTCGAGAAGCGTCCCTTTGGCCCTGCCAAGCCTCGAAGCGCTTCCTGAGGTGTCCCTCGTTACTAGACAGGAGTCCTGACGTCAGTGAAGAAACTCGTGTTTTGAAGGGCCATCCCCGCCGTAAGTCGAGAACATACCCCAGGTCCCCGCCGCAACTCGAGAAAAACCATGAGACTTCCCCCTAGAGGCGAGATGAGGCCCCATTCCCCTGCAGTGCATGCAGAGCTATTCCGTGATCCCATTCAAACAAGTCAGGAGCTTCTAGTTGCTTAATGGATCTCGAGACAGTCCCCAAGAACACTGTCACCAGTCTAGACGGACCCTGAGGTCACCCCAGCAACGCAAAGCAGCTCCATGTGCCCCAAATCAACTCGAGATGAGGCCCGATTCCCCTGCATTGACTCCAGAGCCATTCCCCGTTCCCCATTCAACACGACCGGTGGCTCGACTTCCTTCAGGCAACTCCAGAGATGCCCCGAGAACACTGTCCCAAGTCTAGAGGAACACCAACTTCAGCACAGCAACTCGAGGAATGCTCCGTGTACCCCAAATCGTCTCGAGATGCGAGCTGATTCCCTGGCTTAGGCTCAAGACGTATGCCAACTTCCCAGAAGCACCTCCGGAGGAGGCTTCTCTCAGCAATAGGTATGTGGGAGGGACCCCGAGTTTGCTGCCTCGAGGGGAATATACAGCGTGAAGCCCTAACTTGAAAGGAGGCCGGATTTCCTTGCAGTGGCTTGAATACAGGCTCGTCTTTCATCTCACAACATGAAGGGATGTCTGAATCCCCTGTGGAGACCTTAGAGAAAGCCCTAGGTCCCTGCCTCATTTTGACGGAATGCCTCACATCCCGCTGACACCTCGAGAGGCACGCGGAGTTCATTGCTTCAAAAGGTGACGATGCCTGACTCCTCTTGAATACTGATAGGAATCCCAAAATCCCTGTGGCTACTGGAAAGGGTCTTTGGGTGCCCTGCCTCACCTCGAGAAGCGTCCCTTTGGCCCTGCCAAGCCTCGAAGAGATTCCTGAGGTGTCCCTCGTTACTAGACAGGAGTCCTGACGTCACTGAAGAAACTCGTGTTTTGAAGGGCCATCCCCGCCGTAAGTCGAGAACATACCCCAGGTCCCCGCCGCAACTCGAGAAAAACCATGAGACTTCCCCCTAGAGGCGAGATGAGGCCCCATTCCCCTGCAGTGCATGCAGAGCTATTCCGTGATCCCATTCAAACAAGTCAGGAGCTTCGACTTGCTTAATGGATCTCGAGACAGTCCCCAAGAACACTGTCACCAGTCTAGACGGACCCTGAGGTCACCCCAGCAAAGCAAAGCAGCTCCATGTGCCCCAAATCAACTCGAGATGAGGCCCGATTCCCCTGCATTGACTCCAGAGCCATTCCCCGTTCCCCATTCAACACGACCGGTGGCTCGACTTCCTTCAGGCAACTCCAGAGATGCCCCGAGAACACTGTCCCAAGTCTAGAGGAACACCAACTTCAGCACAGCAACTCGAGGAATGCTCCGTCTACCCCAAATCGTCTCGAGATGCGAGCTGATTCCCTGGCTTAGGCTCAAGACGTATGCCAACTTCCCAGAAGCACCTCAGGAGGAGGCTTCTCTCAGCAATAGGTATGTGGGAGGGACCCCGAGTTTGCTGCCTCAAGGGGAATATACAGCGAGAAGCCCTAACTTGAAAGGAGGCCGGATTTCCTTGCAGTGGCTTGAATACAGGCTCGTCTTTCATCTCACAACATGAAGGGATGTCTGAATCCCCTGTGGAGACCTTAGAGAAAGCCCTAGGTCCCTGCCTCATTTTGACGGAATGCCTCACATCCCGCTGACACCTCGAGAGGCACGCGGAGTTCATTGCTTCAAAAGGTGACGATGCCTGACTCCTCTTGAATACTGATAGGAATCCCAAAATCCCTGTGGCTACTGGAAAGGGTCCTTGGGTGCCCTGCCTCACCTCGAGAAGCGTCCCTTTGGCCCTGCCAAGCCTCGAAGAGATTCCTGAGGTGTCCCTCGTTACTAGACAGGAGTCCTGACGTCACTGAAGAAACTCGTGTTTTGAAGGGCCATCCCCGCCGTAAGTCGAGAACATACCCCAGGTCCCCGCCGCAACTCGAGAAAAACCATGAGACTTCCCCCTAGAGGCGAGATGAGGCCCCATTCCCCTGCAGTGCATGCAGAGCTATTCCGTGATCCCATTCAAACAAGTCAGGAGCTTCGACTTGCTTAATGGATCTCGAGACAGTCCCCAAGAACACTGTCACCAGTCTAGACGGACCCTGAGGTCACCCCAGCAACGCAAAGCAGCTCCATGTGCCCCAAATCAACTCGAGATGAGGCCCGATTCCCCTGCATTGACTCCAGAGCCATTCCCCATTCCCCATTCAACACGACCGGTGGCTCGACTTCCTTCAGGCAACTCCAGAGATGCCCCGAGAACACTGTCCCAAGTCTAGAGGAACACCAACTTCAGCACAGCAACTCGAGGAATGCTCCGTGTACCCCAAATCGTCTCGAGATGCGAGCTGATTCCCTGGCTTAGGCTCAAGACGTTTGCCAACTTCCCAGAAGCACCTCAGGAGGAGGCTTCTCTCAGCAATAGGTATGTGGGAGGGACCCCGAGTTTGCTGCCTCAAGGGGAATATACAGCGAGAAGCCCTAACTTGAAAGGAGGCCGGATTTCCTTGCAGTGGCTTGAATACAGGCTCGTCTTTCATCTCACAACATGAAGGGATGTCTGAATCCCCTGTGGAGACCTTAGAGAAAGCCCTAGGTCCCTGCCTCATTTTGACGGAATGCCTCACATCCCGCTGACACCTCGAGAGGCACGCGGAGTTCATTGCTTCAAAAGGTGACGATGCCTGACTCCTCTTGAATACTGATAGGAATCCCAAAATCCCTGTGGCTACTGGAAAGGGTCCTTGGGTGCCCTGCCTCAGATCGAGAAGCGTCCCTTTGGCCCTGCCAAGCCTCGAAGCGCTTCCTGAGGTGTCCCTCGTTACTAGACAGGAGTCCTGACGTCACTGAAGAAACTCGTGTTTTGAAGGGCCATCCCCGCCGTAAGTCGAGAACATACCCCAGGTCCCCGCCGCAACTCGAGAAAAACCATGAGACTTCCCCCTAGAGGCGAGATGAGGCCCCATTCCCCTGCAGTGCATGCAGAGCTACTCCGTGATCCCATTCAAACAAGTCAGGAGCTTCGACTTGCTTAATGGATCTCGAGACAGTCCCCAAGAACACTGTCACCAGTCTAGACGGACCCTGAGGTCACCCCAGCAACGCAAAGCAGCTCCATGTGCCCCAAATCAACTCGAGATGAGGCCCGATTCCCCTGCATTGACTCCAGAGCCATTCCCCGTTCCCCATTCAACACGACCGGTGGCTCGACTTCCTTCAGGTAACTCCAGAGATGCCCCGAGAACACTGTCCCAAGTCTAGAGGAACACCAACTTCAGCACAGCAACTCGAGGAATGCTCCGTCTACCCCAAATCGTCTCGAGATGCGAGCTGATTCCCTGGCTTAGGCTCAAGACGTATGCCAACTTCCCAGAAGCACCTCCGGAGGAGGCTTCTCTCAGCAATAGGTATGTGGGAGGGACCCCGAGTTTGCTGCCTCAAGGGGAATATACAGCGAGAAGCCCTAACTTGAAAGGAGGCCGGATTTCCTTGCAGTGGCTTGAATACAGGCTCGTCTTTCATCTCACAACATGAAGGGATGTCTGAATCCCCTGTGGAGACCTTAGAGAAAGCCCTAGGTCCCTGCCTCATTTTGACGGAATGCCTCACATCCCGCTGACACCTCGAGAGGCACGCGGAGTTCATTGCTTCAAAAGGTGACGATGCCTGACTCCTCTTGAATACTGATAGGAATCCCAAAATCCCTGTGGCTACTGGAAAGGGTCCTTGGGTGCCCTGCCTCACCTCGAGAAGCGTCCCTTTGGCCCTGCCAAGCCTCGAAGAGATTCCTGAGGTGTCCCTCGTTACTAGACAGGAGTCCTGACGTCACGGAAGAAACTCGTGTTTTGAAGGGCCATCCCCGCCGTAAGTCGAGAACATACCCCAGGTCCCCACCGCAACTCGAGAAAAACCATGAGACTTCCCCCTAGAGGCGAGATGAGGCCCCATTCCCCTGCAGTGCATGCAGAGCTATTCCGTGATCCCATTCAAACAAGTCAGGAGCTTCGACTTGCTTAATGGATCTCGAGACAGTCCCCAAGAACACTGTCACCAGTCTAGACGGAACCTGAGGTCACCCCAGCAACGCAAAGCAGCTCCATGTGCCCCAAATCAACTCGAGATGAGGCCCGATTCCCCTGCATTGACTCCAGAGCCATTCCCCGTTCCCCATTCAACACGACCGGTGGCTCGACTTCCTTCAGGCAACTCCAGAGATGCCCCGAGAACACTGTCCCAAGTCTAGAGGAACACCAACTTCAGCACAGCAACTCGAGGAATGCTCCGTCTACCCCAAATCGTCTCGAGATGCGAGCTGATTCCCTGGCTTAGGCTCAAGACGTATGCCAACTTCCCAGAAGCACCTCCGGTGGAGGCTTCTCTCAGCAATAGGTATGTGGGAGGGACCCCGAGTTTGCTGCCTCAAGGGGAATATACAGCGAGAAGCCCTAACTTGAAAGGAGGCCGGATTTCCTTGCAGTGGCTTGAATACAGGCTCGTCTTTCATCTCACAACATGAAGGGATGTCTGAATCCCCTGTGGAGACCTTAGAGAAAGCCCTAGGTCCCTGCCTCATTTTGACGGAATGCCTCACATCCCGCTGACACCTCGAGAGGCACGCGGAGTTCATTGCTTCAAAAGGTGACGATGCCTGACTCCTCTTGAATACTGATAGGAATCCCAAAATCCCTGTGGCTACTGGAAAGGGTCCTTGGGTGCCCTGCCTCACCTCGAGAAGCGTCCCTTTGGCCCTGCCAAGCCTCGAAGAGATTCCTGAGGTGTCCCTCGTTACTAGACAGGAGTCCTGACGTCACTGAAGAAACTCGTGTTTTGAAGGGCCATCCCCGCCGTAAGTCGAGAACATACCCCAGGTCCCCGCCGCAACTCGAGAAAAACCATGAGACTTCCCCCTAGAGGCGAGATGAGGCCCCATTCCCCTGCAGTGCATGCAGAGCTATTCCGTGATCCCATTCAAACAAGTCAGGAGCTTCGACTTGCTTAATGGATCTCGAGACAGTCCCCAAGAACACTGTCACCAGTCTAGACGGACCCTGAGGTCACCCCAGCAACGCAAAGCAGCTCCATGTGCCCCAAATCAACTCGAGATGAGGCCCGATTCCCCTGCATTGACTCCAGAGCCATTCCCCGTTCCCCATTCAACACGACCGGTGGCTCGACTTCCTTCAGGCAACTCCAGAGATGCCCCGAGAACACTGTCCCAAGTCTAGAGGAACACCAACTTCAGCACAGCAACTCGAGGAATGCTCTGTCTACCCCAAATCGTCTCGAGATGCGAGCTGATTCCCTGGCTTAGGCTCAAGACGTATGCCAACTTCCCAGAAGCACCTCAGGAGGAGGCTTCTCTCAGCAATAGGTATGTGGGAGGGACCCCGAGTTTGCTGCCTCAAGGGGAATATACAGCGAGAAGCCCTAACTTGAAAGGAGGCCGGATTTCCTTGCAGTGGCTTGAATACAGGCTCGTCTTTCATCTCACAACATGAAGGGATGTCTGAATCCCCTGTGGAGACCTTAGAGAAAGCCCTAGGTCCCTGCCTCATTTTGACGGAATGCCTCACATCCCGCTGACACCTCGAGAGGCACGCGGAGTTCATTGCTTCAAAAGGTGACGATGCCTGACTCCTCTTGAATACTGATAGGAATCCCAAAATCCCTGTGGCTACTGGAAAGGGTCCTTGGGTGCCCTGCCTCACCTCGAGAAGCGTCCCTTTGGCCCTGCCAAGCCTCGAAGAGATTCCTGAGGTGTCCCTCGTTACTAGACAGGAGTCCTGACGTCACTGAAGAAACTCGTGTTTTGAAGGGCCATCCCCGCCGTAAGTCGAGAACATACCCCAGGTCCCCGCCGCAACTCGAGAAAAACCATGAGACTTCCCCCTAGAGGCGAGATGAGGCCCCATTCCCCTGCAGTGCATGCAGAGCTATTCCGTGATCCCATTCAAACAAGTCAGGAGCTTCGACTTGCTTAATGGATCTCGAGACAGTCCCCAAGAACACTGTCACCAGTCTAGACGGACCCTGAGGTCACCCCAGCAACGCAAAGCAGCTCCATGTGCCCCAAATCAACTCGAGATGAGGCCCGATTCCCCTGCATTGACTCCAGAGCCATTCCCCGTTCCCCATTCAACACGACCGGTGGCTCGACTTCCTTCAGGCAACTCCAGAGATGCCCCGAGAACACTGTCCCAAGTCTAGAGGAACACCAACTTCAGCACAGCAACTCGAGGAATGCTCCGTCTACCCCAAATCGTCTCGAGATGCGAGCTGATTCCCTGGCTTAGGCTCAAGACGTATGCCAACTTCCCAGAAGCACCTCAGGAGGAGGCTTCTCTCAGCAATAGGTATGTGGGAGGGACCCCGAGTTTGCTGCCTCGAGGGGAATATACAGCGAGAAGCCCTAACTTGAAAGGAGGCCGGATTTCCTTGCAGTGGCTTGAATACAGGCTCGTCTTTCATCTCACAACATGAAGGGATGTCTGAATCCCCTGTGGAGACCTTAGAGAAAGCCCTAGGTCCCTGCCTCATTTTGACGGAATGCCTCACATCCCGCTGACACCTCGAGAGGCACGCGGAGTTCATTGCTTCAAAAGGTGACGATGCCTGACTCCTCTTGAATACTGATAGGAATCCCAAAATCCCTGTGGCTACTGGAAAGGGTCCTTGGGTGCCCTGCCTCACCTCGAGAAGCGTCCCTTTGGCCCTGCCAAGCCTCGAAGAGATTCCTGAGGTGTCCCTCGTTACTAGACAGGAGTCCTGACGTCACTGAAGAAACTCGTGTTTTGAAGGGCCATCCCCGCCGTAAGTCGAGAACATACCCCAGGTCCCCGCCGCAACTCGAGAAAAACCATGAGACTTCCCCCTAGAGGCGAGATGAGGCCCCATTCCCCTGCAGTGCATGCAGAGCTATTCCGTGATCCCATTCAAACAAGTCAGGAGCTTCGACTTGCTTAATGGATCTCGAGACAGTCCCCAAGAACACTGTCACCAGTCTAGACGGACCCTGAGGTCACCCCAGCAACGCAAAGCAGCTCCATGTGCCCCAAATCAACTCGAGATGAGGCCCGATTCCCCTGCATTGACTCCAGAGCCATTCCCCGTTCCCCATTCAACACGACCGGTGGCTCGACTTCCTTCAGGCAACTCCAGAGATGCCCCGAGAACACTGTCCCAAGTCTAGAGGAACACCAACTTCAGCACAGCAACTCGAGGAATGCTCTGTCTACCCCAAATCGTCTCGAGATGCGAGCTGATTCCCTGGCTTAGGCTCAAGACGTATGCCAACTTCCCAGAAGCACCTCAGGAGGAGGCTTCTCTCAGCAATAGGTATGTGGGAGGGACCCCGAGTTTGCTGCCTCAAGGGGAATATACAGCGAGAAGCCCTAACTTGAAAGGAGGCCGGATTTCCTTGCAGTGGCTTGAATACAGGCTCGTCTTTCATCTCACAACATGAAGGGATGTCTGAATCCCCTGTGGAGACCTTAGAGAAAGCCCTAGGTCCCTGCCTCATTTTGACGGAATGCCTCACATCCCGCTGACACCTCGAGAGGCACGCGGAGTTCATTGCTTCAAAAGGTGACGATGCCTGACTCCTCTTGAATACTGATAGGAATCCCAAAATCCCTGTGGCTACTGGAAAGGGTCCTTGGGTGCCCTGCCTCACCTCGAGAAGCGTCCCTTTGGCCCTGCCAAGCCTCGAAGAGATTCCTGAGGTGTCCCTCGTTACTAGACAGGAGTCCTGACGTCACTGAAGAAACTCGTGTTTTGAAGGGCCATCCCCGCCGTAAGTCGAGAACATACCCCAGGTCCCCGCCGCAACTCGAGAAAAACCATGAGACTTCCCCCTAGAGGCGAGATGAGGCCCCATTCCCCTGCAGTGCATGCAGAGCTATTCCGTGATCCCATTCAAACAAGTCAGGAGCTTCGACTTGCTTAATGGATCTCGAGACAGTCCCCAAGAACACTGTCACCAGTCTAGACGGACCCTGAGGTCACCCCAGCAACGCAAAGCAGCTCCATGTGCCCCAAATCAACTCGAGATGAGGCCCGATTCCCCTGCATTGACTCCAGAGCCATTCCCCGTTCCCCATTCAACACGACCGGTGGCTCGACTTCCTTCAGGCAACTCCAGAGATGCCCCGAGAACACTGTCCCAAGTCTAGAGGAACACCAACTTCAGCACAGCAACTCGAGGAATGCTCCGTGTACCCCAAATCGTCTCGAGATGCGAGCTGATTCCCTGGCTTAGGCTCAAGACGTATGCCAACTTCCCAGAAGCACCTCAGGAGGAGGCTTCTCTCAGCAATAGGTATGTGGGAGGGACCCCGAGTTTGCTGCCTCAAGGGGAATATACAGCGAGAAGCCCTAACTTGAAAGGAGGCCGGATTTCCTTGCAGTGGCTTGAATACAGGCTCGTCTTTCATCTCACAACATGAAGGGATGTCTGAATCCCCTGTGGAGACCTTAGAGAAAGCCCTAGGTCCCTGCCTCATTTTGACGGAATGCCTCACATCCCGCTGACACCTCGAGAGGCACGCGGAGTTCATTGCTTCAAAAGGTGACGATGCCTGACTCCTCTTGAATACTGATAGGAATCCCAAAATCCCTGTGGCTACTGGAAAGGGTCCTTGGGTGCCCTGCCTCACCTCGAGAAGCGTCCCTTTGGCCCTGCCAAGCCTCGAAGAGATTCCTGAGGTGTCCCTCGTTACTAGACAGGAGTCCTGACGTCACTGAAGAAACTCGTGTTTTGAAGGGCCATCCCCGCCGTAAGTCGAGAACATACCCCAGGTCCCCGCCGCAACTCGAGAAAAACCATGAGACTTCCCCCTAGAGGCGAGATGAGGCCCCATTCCCCTGCAGTGCATGCAGAGCTATTCCGTGATCCCATTCAAACAAGTCAGGAGCTTCGACTTGCTTAATGGATCTCGAGACAGTCCCCAAGAACACTGTCACCAGTCTAGACGGACCCTGAGGTCACCCCAGCAACGCAAAGCAGCTCCATGTGCCCCAAATCAACTCGAGATGAGGCCCGATTCCCCTGCATTGACTCCAGAGCCATTCCCCGTTCCCCATTCAACACGACCGGTGGCTCGACTTCCTTCAGGCAACTCCAGAGATGCCCCGAGAACACTGTCCCAAGTCTAGAGGAACACCAACTTCAGCACAGCAACTCGAGGAATGCTCCGTGTACCCCAAATCGTCTCGAGATGCGAGCTGATTCCCTGGCTTAGGCTCAAGACGTATGCCAACTTCCCAGAAGCACCTCAGGAGGAGGCTTCTCTCAGCAATAGGTATGTGGGAGGGACCCCGAGTTTGCTGCCTCAAGGGGAATATACAGCGAGAAGCCCTAACTTGAAAGGAGGCCGGATTTCCTTGCAGTGGCTTGAATACAGGCTCGTCTTTCATCTCACAACATGAAGGGATGTCTGAATCCCCTGTGGAGACCTTAGAGAAAGCCCTAGGTCCCTGCCTCATTTTGACGGAATGCCTCACATCCCGCTGACACCTCGAGAGGCACGCGGAGTTCATTGCTTCAAAAGGTGACGATGCCTGACTCCTCTTGAATACTGATAGGAATCCCAAAATCCCTGTGGCTACTGGAAAGGGTCCTTGGGTGCCCTGCCTCACCTCGAGAAGCGTCCCTTTGGCCCTGCCAAGCCTCGAAGAGATTCCTGAGGTGTCCCTCGTTACTAGACAGGAGTCCTGACGTCACTGAAGAAACTCGTGTTTTGAAGGGCCATCCCCGCCGTAAGTCGAGAACATACCCCAGGTCCCCGCCGCAACTCGAGAAAAACCATGAGACTTCCCCCTAGAGGCGAGATGAGGCCCCATTCCCCTGCAGTGCATGCAGAGCTATTCCGTGATCCCATTCAAACAAGTCAGGAGCTTCGACTTGCTTAATGGATCTCGAGACAGTCCCCAAGAACACTGTCACCAGTCTAGACGGACCCTGAGGTCACCCCAGCAACGCAAAGCAGCTCCATGTGCCCCAAATCAACTCGAGATGAGGCCCGATTCCCCTGCATTGACTCCAGAGCCATTCCCCGTTCCCCATTCAACACGACCGGTGGCTCGACTTCCTTCAGGCAACTCCAGAGATGCCCCGAGAACACTCTCCCAAGTCTAGAGGAACACCAACTTCAGCACAGCAACTCGAGGAATGCTCCGTGTACCCCAAATCGTCTCGAGATGCGAGCTGATTCCCTGGCTTAGGCTCAAGACGTATGCCAACTTCCCAGAAGCACCTCCGGAGGAGGCTTCTCTCAGCAATAGGTATGTGGGAGGGACCCCGAGTTTGCTGCCTCGAGGGGAATATACAGCGAGAAGCCCTAACTTGAAAGGAGGCCGGATTTCCTTGCAGTGGCTTGAATACAGGCTCGTCTTTCATCTCACAACATGAAGGGATGTCTGAATCCCCTGTGGAGACCTTAGAGAAAGCCCTAGGTCCCTGCCTCATTTTGACGGAATGCCTCACATCCCGCTGACACCTCGAGAGGCACGCGGAGTTCATTGCTTCAAAAGGTGACGATGCCTGACTCCTCTTGAATACTGATAGGAATCCCAAAATCCCTGTGGCTACTGGAAAGGGTCCTTGGGTGCCCTGCCTCACCTCGAGAAGCGTCCCTTTGGCCCTGCCAAGCCTCGAAGAGATTCCTGAGGTGTCCCTCGTTACTAGACAGGAGTCCTGACGTCACTGAAGAAACTCGTGTTTTGAAGGGCCATCCCCGCCGTAAGTCGAGAACATACCCCAGGTCCCCGCCGCAACTCGAGAAAAACCATGAGACTTCCCCCTAGAGGCGAGATGAGGCCCCATTCCCCTGCAGTGCATGCAGAGCTATTCCGTGATCCCATTCAAACAAGTCAGGAGCTTCGACTTGCTTAATGGATCTCGAGACAGTCCCCAAGAACACTGTCACCAGTCTAGACGGACCCTGAGGTCACCCCAGCAACGCAAAGCAGCTCCATGTGCCCCAAATCAACTCGAGATGAGGCCCGATTCCCCTGCATTGACTCCAGAGCCATTCCCCGTTCCCCATTCAACACGACCGGTGGCTCGACTTCCTTCAGGCAACTCCAGAGATGCCCCGAGAACACTGTCCCAAGTCTACAAGAACACCAACTTCAGCAGAGCAACTCGAGGAATGCTCCGTCTACCCCAAATCGTCTCGAGATGCGAGCTGATTCCCTGGCTTAGGCTCAAGACGTATGCCAACTTCCCAGAAGCACCTCAGGAGGAGGCTTCTCTCAGCAATAGGTATGTGGGAGGGACCCCGAGTTTGCTGCCTCAAGGGGAATATACAGCGAGAAGCCCTAACTTGAAAGGAGGCCGGATTTCCTTGCAGTGGCTTGAATACAGGCTCGTCTTTCATCTCACAACATGAAGGGATGTCTGAATCCCCTGTGGAGACCTTAGAGAAAGCCCTAGGTCCCTGCCTCATTTTGACGGAATGCCTCACATCCCGCTGACACCTCGAGAGGCACGCGGAGTTCATTGCTTCAAAAGGTGACGATGCCTGACTCCTCTTGAATACTGATAGGAATCCCAAAATCCCTGTGGCTACTGGAAAGGGTCCTTGGGTGCCCTGCCTCACCTCGAGAAGCGTCCCTTTGGCCCTGCCAAGCCTCGAAGAGATTCCTGAGGTGTCCCTCGTTACTAGACAGGAGTCCTGACGTCACTGAAGAAACTCGTGTTTTGAAGGGCCATCCCCGCCGTAAGTCGAGAACATACCCCAGGTCCCCGCCGCAACTCGAGAAAAACCATGAGACTTCCCCCTAGAGGCGAGATGAGGCCCCATTCCCCTGCAGTGCATGCAGAGCTATTCTGTGATCCCATTCAAACAAGTCAGGAGCTTCGACTTGCTTAATGGATCTCGAGACAGTCCCCAAGAACACTGTCACCAGTCTAGACGGACCCTGAGGTCACCCCAGCAACGCAAAGCAGCTCCATGTGCCCCAAATCAACTCGAGATGAGGCCCGATTCCCCTGCATTGACTCCAGAGCCATTCCCCGTTCCCCATTCAACACGACCGGTGGCTCGACTTCCTTCAGGCAACTCCAGAGATGCCCCGAGAACACTGTCCCAAGTCTACAAGAACACCAACTTCAGCAGAGCAACTCGAGGAATGCTCCGTCTACCCCAAATCGTCTCGAGATGCGAGCTGATTCCCTGGCTTAGGCTCAAGACGTATGCCAACTTCCCAGAAGCACCTCAGGAGGAGGCTTCTCTCAGCAATAGGTATGTGGGAGGGACCCCGAGTTTGCTGCCTCAAGGGGAATATACAGCGAGAAGCCCTAACTTGAAAGGAGGCCGGATTTCCTTGCAGTGGCTTGAATACAGGCTCGTCTTTCATCTCACAACATGAAGGGATGTCTGAATCCCCTGTGGAGACCTTAGAGAAAGCCCTAGGTCCCTGCCTCATTTTGACGGAATGCCTCACATCCCGCTGACACCTCGAGAGGCACGCGGAGTTCATTGCTTCAAAAGGTGACGATGCCTGACTCCTCTTGAATACTGATAGGAATCCCAAAATCCCTGTGGCTACTGGAAAGGGTCCTTGGGTGCCCTGCCTCAGATCGAGAAGCGTCCCTTTGGCCCTGCCAAGCCTCGAAGCGCTTCCTGAGGTGTCCCTCGTTACTAGACAGGAGTCCTGACGTCACTGAAGAAACTCGTGTTTTGAAGGGCCATCCCCGCCGTAAGTCGAGAACATACCCCAGGTCCCCGCCGCAACTCGAGAAAAACCATGAGACTTCCCCCTAGAGGCGAGATGAGGCCCCATTCCCCTGCAGTGCATGCAGAGCTACTCCGTGATCCCATTCAAACAATTCAGGAGCTTCGACTTGCTTAATGGATCTCGAGACAGTCCCCAAGAACACTGTCACCAGTCTAGACGGACCCTGAGGTCACCCCAGCAACGCAAAGCAGCTCCATGTGCCCCAAATCAACTCGAGATGAGGCCCGATTCCCCTGCATTGATTCCAGAGCCATTCCCCGTTCCCCATTCAACACGACCGGTGGCTCGACTTCCTTCAGGCAACTCCAGAGATGCCCCGAGAACACTGTCCCAAGTCTAGAGGAACACCAACTTCAGCACAGCAACTCGAGGAATGCTCCGTCTACCCCAAATCGTCTCGAGATGCGAGCTGATTCCCTGGCTTAGGCTCAAGACGTATGCCAACTTCACAGAAGCACCTCCGGAGGAGGCTTCTCTCAGCAATAGGTATGTGGGAGGGACCCCGAGTTTGCTGCCTCGAGGGGAATATACAGCGAGAAGCCCTAACTTGAAAGGAGGCCGGATTTCCTTGCAGTGGCTTGAATACAGGCTCGTCTTTCATCTCACAACATGAAGGGATGTCTGAATCCCCTGTGGAGACCTTAGAGAAAGCCCTAGGTCCCTGCCTCATTTTGACGGAATGCCTCACATCCCGCTGACACCTCGAGAGGCACGCGGAGTTCATTGCTTCAAAAGGTGACGATGCCTGACTCCTCTTGAATACTGATAGGAATCCCAAAATCCCTGTGGCTACTGGAAAGGGTCCTTGGGTGCCCTGCCTCACCTCGAGAAGCGTCCCTTTGGCCCTGCCAAGCCTCGAAGAGATTCCTGAGGTGTCCCTCGTTACTAGACAGGAGTCCTGACGTCACTGAAGAAACTCGTGTTTTGAAGGGCCATCCCCGCCGTAAGTCGAGAACATACCCCAGGTCCCCGCCGCAACTCGAGAAAAAACATGAGACTTCCCCCTAGAGGCGAGATGAGGCCCCATTCCCCTGCAGTGCATGCAGAGCTATTCCGTGATCCCATTCAAACAAGTCAGGAGCTTCGATTTGCTTAATGGATCTCGAGACAGTCCCCAAGAACACTGTCACCAGTCTAGACGGACCCTGAGGTCACCCCAGCAACGCAAAGCAGCTCCATGTGCCCCAAATCAACTCGAGATGAGGCCCGATTCCCCTGCATTGACTCCAGAGCCATTCCCCGTTCCCCATTCAACACGACCGGTGGCTCGACTTCCTTCAGGCAACTCCAGAGATGCCCCGAGAACACTGTCCCAAGTCTAGAGGAACACCAACTTCAGCACAGCAACTCGAGGAATGCTCCGTCTACCCCAAATCGTCTCGAGATGCGAGCTGATTCCCTGGCTTAGGCTCAAGACGTATGCCAACTTCCCAGAAGCACCTCCGGTGGAGGCTTCTCTCAGCAATAGGTATGTGGGAGGGACCCCGAGTTTGCTGCCTCGAGGGGAATATACAGCGAGAAGCCCTAACTTGAAAGGAGGCCGGATTTCCTTGCAGTGGCTTGAATACAGGCTCGTCTTTCATCTCACAACATGAAGGGATGTCTGAATCCCCTGTGGAGACCTTAGAGAAAGCCCTAGGTCCCTGCCTCATTTTGACGGAATGCCTCACATCCCGCTGACACCTCGAGAGGCACGCGGAGTTCATTGCTTCAAAAGGTGACGATGCCTGACTCCTCTTGAATACTGATAGGAATCCCAAAATCCCTGTGGCTACTGGAAAGGGTCCTTGGGTGCCCTGCCTCACCTCGAGAAGCGTCCCTTTGGCCCTGCCAAGCCTCGAAGAGATTCCTGAGGTGTCCCTCGTTACTAGACAGGAGTCCTGACGTCACTGAAGAAACTCGTGTTTTGAAGGGCCATCCCCGCCGTAAGTCGAGAACATACCCCAGGTCCCCGCCGCAACTCGAGAAAAACCATGAGACTTCCCCCTAGAGGCGAGATGAGGCCCCATTCCCCTGCAGTGCATGCAGAGCTATTCCGTGATCCCATTCAAACAAGTCAGGAGCTTCGACTTGCTTAATGGATCTCGAGACAGTCCCCAAGAACACTGTCACCAGTCTAGACGGACCCTGAGGTCACCCCAGCAACGCAAAGCAGCTCCATGTGCCCCAAATCAACTCGAGATGAGGCCCGATTCCCCTGCATTGACTCCAGAGCCATTCCCCGTTCCCCATTCAACACGACCGGTGGCTCGACTTCCTTCAGGCAACTCCAGAGATGCCCCGAGAACACTGTCCCAAGTCTAGAGGAACACCAACTTCAGCACAGCAACTCGAGGAATGCTCCGTCTACCCCAAATCGTCTCGAGATGCGAGCTGATTCCCTGGCTTAGGCTCAAGACGTATGCCAACTTCCCAGAAGCACCTCAGGAGGAGGCTTCTCTCAGCAATAGGTATGTGGGAGGGACCCCGAGTTTGCTGCCTCAAGGGGAATATACAGCGAGAAGCCCTAACTTGAAAGGAGGCCGGATTTCCTTGCAGTGGCTTGAATACAGGCTCGTCTTTCATCTCACAACATGAAGGGATGTCTGAATCCCCTGTGGAGACCTTAGAGAAAGCCCTAGGTCCCTGCCTCATTTTGACGGAATGCCTCACATCCCGCTGACACCTCGAGAGGCACGCGGAGTTCATTGCTTCAAAAGGTGACGATGCCTGACTCCTCTTGAATACTGATAGGAATCCCAAAATCCCTGTGGCTACTGGAAAGGGTCCTTGGGTGCCCTGCCTCACCTCGAGAAGCGTCCCTTTGGCCCTGCCAAGCCTCGAAGAGATTCCTGAGGTGTCCCTCGTTACTAGACAGGAGTCCTGACGTCACTGAAGAAACTCGTGTTTTGAAGGGCCATCCCCGCCGTAAGTCGAGAACATACCCCAGGTCCCCGCCGCAACTCGAGAAAAACCATGAGACTTCCCCCTAGAGGCGAGATGAGGCCCCATTCCCCTGCAGTGCATGCAGAGCTATTCCGTGATCCCATTCAAACAAGTCAGGAGCTTCGACTTGCTTAATGGATCTCGAGACAGTCCCCAAGAACACTGTCACCAGTCTAGACGGACCCTGACGTCACCCCAGCAACGCAAAGCAGCTCCATGTGCCCCAAATCAACTCGAGATGAGGCCCGATTCCCCTGCATTGACTCCAGAGCCATTCCCCGTTCCCCATTCAACACGACCGGTGGCTCGACTTCCTTCAGGCAACTCCAGAGATGCCCCGAGAACACTGTCCCAAGTCTAGAGGAACACCAACTTCAGCACAGCAACTCGAGGAATGCTCCGTCTACCCCAAATCGTCTCGAGATGCGAGCTGATTCCCTGGCTTAGGCTCAAGACGTATGCCAATTTCCCAGAAGCACCTCAGGAGGAGGCTTCTCTCAGCAATAGGTATGTGGGAGGGACCCCGAGTTTGCTGCCTCAAGGGGAATATACAGCGAGAAGCCCTAACTTGAAAGGAGGCCGGATTTCCTTGCAGTGGCTTGAATACAGGCTCGTCTTTCATCTCACAACATGAAGGGATGTCTGAATCCCCTGTGGAGACCTTAGAGAAAGCCCTAGGTCCCTGCCTCATTTTGACGGAATGCCTCACATCCCGCTGACACCTCGAGAGGCACGCGGAGTTCATTGCTTCAAAAGGTGACGATGCCTGACTCCTCTTGAATACTGATAGGAATCCCAAAATCCCTGTGGCTACTGGAAAGGGTCCTTGGGTGCCCTGCCTCACCTCGAGAAGCGTCCCTTTGGCCCTGCCAAGCCTCGAAGAGATTCCTGAGGTGTCCCTCGTTACTAGACAGGAGTCCTGACGTCACTGAAGAAACTCGTGTTTTGAAGGGCCATCCCTGCCGTAAGTCGAGAACATACCCCAGGTCCCCGCCGCAACTCGAGAAAAACCATGAGACTTCCCCCTAGAGGCGAGATGAGGCCCCATTCCCCTGCAGTGCATGCAGAGCTATTCCGTGATCCCATTCAAACAAGTCAGGAGCTTCGACTTGCTTAATGGATCTCGAGACAGTCCCCAAGAACACTGTCACCAGTCTAGACGGACCCTGAGGTCACCCCAGCAACGCAAAGCAGCTCCATGTGCCCCAAATCAACTCGAGATGAGGCCCGATTCCCCTGCATTGACTCCAGAGCCATTCCCCGTTCCCCATTCAACACGACCGGTGGCTCGACTTCCTTCAGGCAACTCCAGAGATGCCCCGAGAACACTGTCCCAAGTCTAGAGGAACACCAACTTCAGCACAGCAACTCGAGGAATGCTCCGTCTACCCCAAATCGTCTCGAGATGCGAGCTGATTCCCTGGCTTAGGCTCAAGACGTATGCCAACTTCCCAGAAGCACCTCAGGAGGAGGCTTCTCTCAGCAATAGGTATGTGGGAGGGACCCCGAGTTTGCTGCCTCAAGGGGAATATACAGCGAGAAGCCCTAACTTGAAAGGAGGCCGGATTTCCTTGCAGTGGCTTGAATACAGGCTCGTCTTTCATCTCACAACATGAAGGGATGTCTGAATCCCCTGTGGAGACCTTAGAGAAAGCCCTAGGTCCCTGCCTCATTTTGACGGAATGCCTCACATCCCGCTGACACCTCGAGAGGCACGCGGAGTTCATTGCTTCAAAAGGTGACGATGCCTGACTCCTCTTGAATACTGATAGGAATCCCAAAATCCCTGTGGCTACTGGAAAGGGTCCTTGGGTGCCCTGCCTCACCTCGAGAAGCGTCCCTTTGGCCCTGCCAAGCCTCGAAGAGATTCCTGAGGTGTCCCTCGTTACTAGACAGGAGTCCTGACGTCACTGAAGAAACTCGTGTTTTGAAGGGCCATCCCCGCCGTAAGTCGAGAACATACCCCAGGTCCCCGCCGCAACTCGAGAAAAACCATGAGACTTCCCCCTAGAGGCGAGATGAGGCCCCATTCCCCTGCAGTGCATGCAGAGCTATTCCGTGATCCCATTCAAACAAGTCAGGAGCTTCGACTTGCTTAATGGATCTCGAGACAGTCCCCAAGAACACTGTCACCAGTCTAGACGGACCCTGAGGTCACCCCAGCAACGCAAAGCAGCTCCATGTGCCCCAAATCAACTCGAGATGAGGCCCGATTCCCCTGCATTGACTCCAGAGCCATTCCCCGTTCCCCATTCAACACGACCGGTGGCTCGACTTCCTTCAGGCAACTCCAGAGATGCCCCGAGAACACTGTCCCAAGTCTACAAGAACACCAACTTCAGCAGAGCAACTCGAGGAATGCTCCGTCTACCCCAAATCGTCTCGAGATGCGAGCTGATTCCCTGGCTTAGGCTCAAGACGTATGCCAACTTCCCAGAAGCACCTCAGGAGGAGGCTTCTCTCAGCAATAGGTATGTGGGAGGGACCCCGAGTTTGCTGCCTCAAGGGGAATATACAGCGAGAAGCCCTAACTTGAAAGGAGGCCGGATTTCCTTGCAGTGGCTTGAATACAGGCTCGTCTTTCATCTCACAACATGAAGGGATGTCTGAATCCCCTGTGGAGACCTTAGAGAAAGCCCTAGGTCCCTGCCTCATTTTGACGGAATGCCTCACATCCCGCTGACACCTCGAGAGGCACGCGGAGTTCATTGCTTCAAAAGGTGACGATGCCTGACTCCTCTTGAATACTGATAGGAATCCCAAAATCCCTGTGGCTACTGGAAAGGGTCCTTGGGTGCCCTGCCTCACCTCAAGAAGCGTCCCTTTGGCCCTGCCAAGCCTCGAAGAGATTCCTGAGGTGTCCCTCGTTACTAGACAGGAGTCCTGACGTCACTGAAGAAACTCGTGTTTTGAAGGGCCATCCCCGCCGTAAGTCGAGAACATACCCCAGGTCCCCGCCGCAACTCGAGAAAAACCATGAGACTTCCCCCTAGAGGCGAGATGAGGCCCCATTCCCCTGCAGTGCATGCAGAGCTATTCTGTGATCCCATTCAAACAAGTCAGGAGCTTCGACTTGCTTAATGGATCTCGAGACAGTCCCCAAGAACACTGTCACCAGTCTAGACGGACCCTGAGGTCACCCCAGCAACGCAAAGCAGCTCCATGTGCCCCAAATCAACTCGAGATGAGGCCCGATTCCCCTGCATTGACTCCAGAGCCATTCCCCGTTCCCCATTCAACACGACCGGTGGCTCGACTTCCTTCAGGCAACTCCAGAGATGCCCCGAGAACACTGTCCCAAGTCTACAAGAACACCAACTTCAGCAGAGCAACTCGAGGAATGCTCCGTCTACCCCAAATCGTCTCGAGATGCGAGCTGATTCCCTGGCTTAGGCTCAAGACGTATGCCAACTTCCCAGAAGCACCTCAGGAGGAGGCTTCTCTCAGCAATAGGTATGTGGGAGGGACCCCGAGTTTGCTGCCTCAAGGGGAATATACAGCGAGAAGCCCTAACTTGAAAGGAGGCCGGATTTCCTTGCAGTGGCTTGAATACAGGCTCGTCTTTCATCTCACAACATGAAGGGATGTCTGAATCCCCTGTGGAGACCTTAGAGAAAGCCCTAGGTCCCTGCCTCATTTTGACGGAATGCCTCACATCCCGCTGACACCTCGAGAGGCACGCGGAGTTCATTGCTTCAAAAGGTGACGATGCCTGACTCCTCTTGAATACTGATAGGAATCCCAAAATCCCTGTGGCTACTGGAAAGGGTCCTTGGGTGCCCTGCCTCAGATCGAGAAGCGTCCCTTTGGCCCTGCCAAGCCTCGAAGCGCTTCCTGAGGTGTCCCTCGTTACTAGACAGGAGTCCTGACGTCACTGAAGAAACTCGTGTTTTGAAGGGCCATCCCCGCCGTAAGTCGAGAACATACCCCAGGTCCCCGCCGCAACTCGAGAAAAACCATGAGACTTCCCCCTAGAGGCGAGATGAGGCCCCATTCCCCTGCAGTGCATGCAGAGCTACTCCGTGATCCCATTCAAACAATTCAGGAGCTTCGACTTGCTTAATGGATCTCGAGACAGTCCCCAAGAACACTGTCACCAGTCTAGACGGACCCTGAGGTCACCCCAGCAACGCAAAGCAGCTCCATGTGCCCCAAATCAACTCGAGATGAGGCCCGATTCCCCTGCATTGATTCCAGAGCCATTCCCCGTTCCCCATTCAACACGACCGGTGGCTCGACTTCCTTCAGGCAACTCCAGAGATGCCCCGAGAACACTGTCCCAAGTCTAGAGGAACACCAACTTCAGCACAGCAACTCGAGGAATGCTCCGTCTACCCCAAATCGTCTCGAGATGCGAGCTGATTCCCTGGCTTAGGCTCAAGACGTATGCCAACTTCACAGAAGCACCTCCGGAGGAGGCTTCTCTCAGCAATAGGTATGTGGGAGGGACCCCGAGTTTGCTGCCTCGAGGGGAATATACAGCGAGAAGCCCTAACTTGAAAGGAGGCCGGATTTCCTTGCAGTGGCTTGAATACAGGCTCGTCTTTCATCTCACAACATGAAGGGATGTCTGAATCCCCTGTGGAGACCTTAGAGAAAGCCCTAGGTCCCTGCCTCATTTTGACGGAATGCCTCACATCCCGCTGACACCTCGAGAGGCACGCGGAGTTCATTGCTTCAAAAGGTGACGATGCCTGACTCCTCTTGAATACTGATAGGAATCCCAAAATCCCTGTGGCTACTGGAAAGGGTCCTTGGGTGCCCTGCCTCACCTCGAGAAGCGTCCCTTTGGCCCTGCCAAGCCTCGAAGAGATTCCTGAGGTGTCCCTCGTTACTAGACAGGAGTCCTGACGTCACTGAAGAAACTCGTGTTTTGAAGGGCCATCCCCGCCGTAAGTCGAGAACATACCCCAGGTCCCCGCCGCAACTCGAGAAAAAACATGAGACTTCCCCCTAGAGGCGAGATGAGGCCCCATTCCCCTGCAGTGCATGCAGAGCTATTCCGTGATCCCATTCAAACAAGTCAGGAGCTTCGATTTGCTTAATGGATCTCGAGACAGTCCCCAAGAACACTGTCACCAGTCTAGACGGACCCTGAGGTCACCCCAGCAACGCAAAGCAGCTCCATGTGCCCCAAATCAACTCGAGATGAGGCCCGATTCCCCTGCATTGACTCCAGAGCCATTCCCCGTTCCCCATTCAACACGACCGGTGGCTCGACTTCCTTCAGGCAACTCCAGAGATGCCCCGAGAACACTGTCCCAAGTCTAGAGGAACACCAACTTCAGCACAGCAACTCGAGGAATGCTCCGTCTACCCCAAATCGTCTCGAGATGCGAGCTGATTCCCTGGCTTAGGCTCAAGACGTATGCCAACTTCCCAGAAGCACCTCCGGTGGAGGCTTCTCTCAGCAATAGGTATGTGGGAGGGACCCCGAGTTTGCTGCCTCGAGGGGAATATACAGCGAGAAGCCCTAACTTGAAAGGAGGCCGGATTTCCTTGCAGTGGCTTGAATACAGGCTCGTCTTTCATCTCACAACATGAAGGGATGTCTGAATCCCCTGTGGAGACCTTAGAGAAAGCCCTAGGTCCCTGCCTCATTTTGACGGAATGCCTCACATCCCGCTGACACCTCGAGAGGCACGCGGAGTTCATTGCTTCAAAAGGTGACGATGCCTGACTCCTCTTGAATACTGATAGGAATCCCAAAATCCCTGTGGCTACTGGAAAGGGTCCTTGGGTGCCCTGCCTCACCTCGAGAAGCGTCCCTTTGGCCCTGCCAAGCCTCGAAGAGATTCCTGAGGTGTCCCTCGTTACTAGACAGGAGTCCTGACGTCACTGAAGAAACTCGTGTTTTGAAGGGCCATCCCCGCCGTAAGTCGAGAACATACCCCAGGTCCCCGCCGCAACTCGAGAAAAACCATGAGACTTCCCCCTAGAGGCGAGATGAGGCCCCATTCCCCTGCAGTGCATGCAGAGCTATTCCGTGATCCCATTCAAACAAGTCAGGAGCTTCGACTTGCTTAATGGATCTCGAGACAGTCCCCAAGAACACTGTCACCAGTCTAGACGGACCCTGAGGTCACCCCAGCAACGCAAAGCAGCTCCATGTGCCCCAAATCAACTCGAGATGAGGCCCGATTCCCCTGCATTGACTCCAGAGCCATTCCCCGTTCCCCATTCAACACGACCGGTGGCTCGACTTCCTTCAGGCAACTCCAGAGATGCCCCGAGAACACTGTCCCAAGTCTAGAGGAACACCAACTTCAGCACAGCAACTCGAGGAATGCTCCGTCTACCCCAAATCGTCTCGAGATGCGAGCTGATTCCCTGGCTTAGGCTCAAGACGTATGCCAACTTCCCAGAAGCACCTCAGGAGGAGGCTTCTCTCAGCAATAGGTATGTGGGAGGGACCCCGAGTTTGCTGCCTCAAGGGGAATATACAGCGAGAAGCCCTAACTTGAAAGGAGGCCGGATTTCCTTGCAGTGGCTTGAATACAGGCTCGTCTTTCATCTCACAACATGAAGGGATGTCTGAATCCCCTGTGGAGACCTTAGAGAAAGCCCTAGGTCCCTGCCTCATTTTGACGGAATGCCTCACATCCCGCTGACACCTCGAGAGGCACGCGGAGTTCATTGCTTCAAAAGGTGACGATGCCTGACTCCTCTTGAATACTGATAGGAATCCCAAAATCCCTGTGGCTACTGGAAAGGGTCCTTGGGTGCCCTGCCTCACCTCGAGAAGCGTCCCTTTGGCCCTGCCAAGCCTCGAAGAGATTCCTGAGGTGTCCCTCGTTACTAGACAGGAGTCCTGACGTCACTGAAGAAACTCGTGTTTTGAAGGGCCATCCCCGCCGTAAGTCGAGAACATACCCCAGGTCCCCGCCGCAACTCGAGAAAAACCATGAGACTTCCCCCTAGAGGCGAGATGAGGCCCCATTCCCCTGCAGTGCATGCAGAGCTATTCCGTGATCCCATTCAAACAAGTCAGGAGCTTCGACTTGCTTAATGGATCTCGAGACAGTCCCCAAGAACACTGTCACCAGTCTAGACGGACCCTGACGTCACCCCAGCAACGCAAAGCAGCTCCATGTGCCCCAAATCAACTCGAGATGAGGCCCGATTCCCCTGCATTGACTCCAGAGCCATTCCCCGTTCCCCATTCAACACGACCGGTGGCTCGACTTCCTTCAGGCAACTCCAGAGATGCCCCGAGAACACTGTCCCAAGTCTAGAGGAACACCAACTTCAGCACAGCAACTCGAGGAATGCTCCGTCTACCCCAAATCGTCTCGAGATGCGAGCTGATTCCCTGGCTTAGGCTCAAGACGTATGCCAACTTCCCAGAAGCACCTCAGGAGGAGGCTTCTCTCAGCAATAGGTATGTGGGAGGGACCCCGAGTTTGCTGCCTCAAGGGGAATATACAGCGAGAAGCCCTAACTTGAAAGGAGGCTGGATTTCCTTGCAGTGGCTTGAATACAGGCTCGTCTTTCATCTCACAACATGAAGGGATGTCTGAATCCCCTGTGGAGACCTTAGAGAAAGCCCTAGGTCCCTGCCTCATTTTGACGGAATGCCTCACATCCCGCTGACACCTCGAGAGGCACGCGGAGTTCATTGCTTCAAAAGGTGACGATGCCTGACTCCTCTTGAATACTGATAGGAATCCCAAAATCCCTGTGGCTACTGGAAAGGGTCCTTGGGTGCCCTGCCTCACCTCGAGAAGCGTCCCTTTGGCCCTGCCAAGCCTCGAAGAGATTCCTGAGGTGTCCCTCGTTACTAGACAGGAGTCCTGACGTCACTGAAGAAACTCGTGTTTTGAAGGGCCATCCCTGCCGTAAGTCGAGAACATACCCCAGGTCCCCGCCGCAACTCGAGAAAAACCATGAGACTTCCCCCTAGAGGCGAGATGAGGCCCCATTCCCCTGCAGTGCATGCAGAGCTATTCCGTGATCCCATTCAAACAAGTCAGGAGCTTCGACTTGCTTAATGGATCTCGAGACAGTCCCCAAGAACACTGTCACCAGTCTAGACGGACCCTGAGGTCACCCCAGCAACGCAAAGCAGCTCCATGTGCCCCAAATCAACTCGAGATGAGGCCCGATTCCCCTGCATTGACTCCAGAGCCATTCCCCGTTCCCCATTCAACACGACCGGTGGCTCGACTTCCTTCAGGCAACTCCAGAGATGCCCCGAGAACACTGTCCCAAGTCTAGAGGAACACCAACTTCAGCACAGCAACTCGAGGAATGCTCCGTCTACCCCAAATCGTCTCGAGATGCGAGCTGATTCCCTGGCTTAGGCTCAAGACGTATGCCAACTTCCCAGAAGCACCTCAGGAGGAGGCTTCTCTCAGCAATAGGTATGTGGGAGGGACCCCGAGTTTGCTGCCTCAAGGGGAATATACAGCGAGAAGCCCTAACTTGAAAGGAGGCCGGATTTCCTTGCAGTGGCTTGAATACAGGCTCGTCTTTCATCTCACAACATGAAGGGATGTCTGAATCCCCTGTGGAGACCTTAGAGAAAGCCCTAGGTCCCTGCCTCATTTTGACGGAATGCCTCACATCCCGCTGACACCTCGAGAGGCACGCGGAGTTCATTGCTTCAAAAGGTGACGATGCCTGACTCCTCTTGAATACTGATAGGAATCCCAAAATCCCTGTGGCTACTGGAAAGGGTCCTTGGGTGCCCTGCCTCACCTCGAGAAGCGTCCCTTTGGCCCTGCCAAGCCTCGAAGAGATTCCTGAGGTGTCCCTCGTTACTAGACAGGAGTCCTGACGTCACTGAAGAAACTCGTGTTTTGAAGGGCCATCCCCGCCGTAAGTCGAGAACATACCCCAGGTCCCCGCCGCAACTCGAGAAAAAACATGAGACTTCCCCCTAGAGGCGAGATGAGGCCCCATTCCCCTGCAGTGCATGCAGAGCTATTCCGTGATCCCATTCAAACAAGTCAGGAGCTTCGACTTGCTTAATGGATCTCGAGACAGTCCCCAAGAACACTGTCACCAGTCTAGACGGACCCTGAGGTCACCCCAGCAACGCAAAGCAGCTCCATGTGCCCCAAATCAACTCGAGATGAGGCCCGATTCCCCTGCATTGACTCCAGAGCCATTCCCCGTTCCCCATTCAACACGACCGGTGGCTCGACTTCCTTCAGGCAACTCCAGAGATGCCCCGAGAACACTGTCCCAAGTCTAGAGGAACACCAACTTCAGCACAGCAACTCGAGGAATGCTCCGTCTACCCCAAATCGTCTCGAGATGCGAGCTGATTCCCTGGCTTAGGCTCAAGACGTATGCCAACTTCCCAGAAGCACCTCAGGAGGAGGCTTCTCTCAGCAATAGGTATGTGGGAGGGACCCCGAGTTTGCTGCCTCAAGGGGAATATACAGCGAGAAGCCCTAACTTGAAAGGAGGCCGGATTTCCTTGCAGTGGCTTGAATACAGGCTCGTCTTTCATCTCACAACATGAAGGGATGTCTGAATCCCCTGTGGAGACCTTAGAGAAAGCCCTAGGTCCCTGCCTCATTTTGACGGAATGCCTCACATCCCGCTGACACCTCGAGAGGCACGCGGAGTTCATTGCTTCAAAAGGTGACGATGCCTGACTCCTCTTGAATACTGATAGGAATCCCAAAATCCCTGTGGCTACTGGAAAGGGTCCTTGGGTGCCCTGCCTCACCTCGAGAAGCGTCCCTTTGGCCCTGCCAAGCCTCGAAGAGATTCCTGAGGTGTCCCTCGTTACTAGACAGGAGTCCTGACGTCACTGAAGAAACTCGTGTTTTGAAGGGCCATCCCCGCCGTAAGTCGAGAACATACCCCAGGTCCCCGCCGCAACTCGAGAAAAACCATGAGACTTCCCCCTAGAGGCGAGATGAGGCCCCATTCCCCTGCAGTGCATGCAGAGCTATTCCGTGATCCCATTCAAACAAGTCAGGAGCTTCGACTTGCTTAATGGATCTCGAGACAGTCCCCAAGAACACTGTCACCAGTCTAGACGGACCCTGAGGTCACCCCAGCAACGCAAAGCAGCTCCATGTGCCCCAAATCAACTCGAGATGAGGCCCGATTCCCCTGCATTGACTCCAGAGCCATTCCCCGTTCCCCATTCAACACGACCGGTGGCTCGACTTCCTTCAGGCAACTCCAGAGATGCCCCGAGAACACTGTCCCAAGTCTAGAGGAACACCAACTTCAGCACAGCAACTCGAGGAATGCTCCGTCTACCCCAAATCGTCTCGAGATGCGAGCTGATTCCCTGGCTTAGGCTCAAGACGTATGCCAACTTCCCAGAAGCACCTCAGGAGGAGGCTTCTCTCAGCAATAGGTATGTGGGAGGGACCCCGAGTTTGCTGCCTCAAGGGGAATATACAGCGAGAAGCCCTAACTTGAAAGGAGGCCGGATTTCCTTGCAGTGGCTTGAATACAGGCTCGTCTTTCATCTCACAACATGAAGGGATGTCTGAATCCCCTGTGGAGACCTTAGAGAAAGCCCTAGGTCCCTGCCTCATTTTGACGGAATGCCTCACATCCCGCTGACACCTCGAGAGGCACGCGGAGTTCATTGCTTCAAAAGGTGACGATGCCTGACTCCTCTTGAATACTGATAGGAATCCCAAAATCCCTGTGGCTACTGGAAAGGGTCCTTGGGTGCCCTGCCTCACCTCGAGAAGCGTCCCTTTGGCCCTGCCAAGCCTCGAAGAGATTCCTGAGGTGTCCCTCGTTACTAGACAGGAGTCCTGACGTCACTGAAGAAACTCGTGTTTTGAAGGGCCATCCCCGCCGTAAGTCGAGAACATACCCCAGGTCCCCGCCGCAACTCGAGAAAAACCATGAGACTTCCCCCTAGAGGCGAGATGAGGCCCCATTCCCCTGCAGTGCATGCAGAGCTATTCCGTGATCCCATTCAAACAAGTCAGGAGCTTCGACTTGCTTAATGGATCTCGAGACAGTCCCCAAGAACACTGTCACCAGTCTAGACGGACCCTGAGGTCACCCCAGCAACGCAAAGCAGCTCCATGTGCCCCAAATCAACTCGAGATGAGGCCCGATTCCCCTGCATTGACTCCAGAGCCATTCCCCGTTCCCCATTCAACACGACCGGTGGCTCGACTTCCTTCAGGCAACTCCAGAGATGCCCCGAGAACACTGTCCCAAGTCTACAAGAACACCAACTTCAGCAGAGCAACTCGAGGAATGCTCCGTCTACCCCAAATCGTCTCGAGATGCGAGCTGATTCCCTGGCTTAGGCTCAAGACGTATGCCAACTTCCCAGAAGCACCTCAGGAGGAGGCTTCTCTCAGCAATAGGTATGTGGGAGGGACCCCGAGTTTGCTGCCTCAAGGGGAATATACAGCGAGAAGCCCTAACTTGAAAGGAGGCCGGATTTCCTTGCAGTGGCTTGAATACAGGCTCGTCTTTCATCTCACAACATGAAGGGATGTCTGAATCCCCTGTGGAGACCTTAGAGAAAGCCCTAGGTCCCTGCCTCATTTTGACGGAATGCCTCACATCCCGCTGACACCTCGAGAGGCACGCGGAGTTCATTGCTTCAAAAGGTGACGATGCCTGACTCCTCTTGAATACTGATAGGAATCCCAAAATCCCTGTGGCTACTGGAAAGGGTCCTTGGGTGCCCTGCCTCACCTCGAGAAGCGTCCCTTTGGCCCTGCCAAGCCTCGAAGAGATTCCTGAGGTGTCCCTCGTTACTAGACAGGAGTCCTGACGTCACTGAAGAAACTCGTGTTTTGAAGGGCCATCCCCGCCGTAAGTCGAGAACATACCCCAGGTCCCCGCCGCAACTCGAGAAAAACCATGAGACTTCCCCCTAGAGGCGAGATGAGGCCCCATTCCCCTGCAGTGCATGCAGAGCTATTCCGTGATCCCATTCAAACAAGTCAGGAGCTTCGACTTGCTTAATGGATCTCGAGACAGTCCCCAAGAACACTGTCACCAGTCTAGACGGACCCTGAGGTCACCCCAGCAACGCAAAGCAGCTCCATGTGCCCCAAATCAACTCGAGATGAGGCCCGATTCCCCTGCATTGACTCCAGAGCCATTCCCCGTTCCCCATTCAACACGACCGGTGGCTCGACTTCCTTCAGGCAACTCCAGAGATGCCCCGAGAACACTGTCCCAAGACTACAAGAACACCAACTTCAGCAGAGCAACTCGAGGAATGCTCCGTCTACCCCAAATCGTCTCGAGATGCGAGCTGATTCCCTGGCTTAGGCTCAAGACGTATGCCAACTTCCCAGAAGCACCTCAGGAGGAGGCTTCTCTCAGCAATAGGTATGTGGGAGGGACCCCGAGTTTGCTGCCTCAAGGGGAATATACAGCGAGAAGCCCTAACTTGAAAGGAGGCCGGATTTCCTTGCAGTGGCTTGAATACAGGCTCGTCTTTCATCTCACAACATGAAGGGATGTCTGAATCCCCTGTGGAGACCTTAGAGAAAGCCCTAGGTCCCTGCCTCATTTTGACGGAATGCCTCACATCCCGCTGACACCTCGAGAGGCACGCGGAGTTCACTGCTTCAAAAGGTGACGATGCCTGACTCCTCTTGAATACTGATAGGAATCCCAAAATCCCTGTGGCTACTGGAAAGGGTCCTTGGGTGCCCTGCCTCAGATCGAGAAGCGTCCCTTTGGCCCTGCCAAGCCTCGAAGCGCTTCCTGAGGTGTCCCTCGTTACTAGACAGGAGTCCTGACGTCACTGAAGAAACTCGTGTTTTGAAGGGCCATCCCCGCCGTAAGTCGAGAACATACCCCAGGTCCCCGCCGCAACTCGAGAAAAACCATGAGACTTCCCCCTAGAGGCGAGATGAGGCCCCATTCCCCTGCAGTGCATGCAGAGCTACTCCGTGATCCCATTCAAACAAGTCAGGAGCTTCGACTTGCTTAATGGATCTCGAGACAGTCCCCAAGAACACTGTCACCAGTCTAGACGGACCCTGAGGTCACCCCAGCAACGCAAAGCAGCTCCATGTGCCCCAAATCAACTCGAGATGAGGCCCGATTCCCCTGCATTGACTCCAGAGCCATTCCCCGTTCCCCATTCAACACGACCGGTGGCTCGACTTCCTTCAGGCAACTCCAGAGATGCCCCGAGAACACTGTCCCAAGTCTAGAGGAACACCAACTTCAGCACAGCAACTCGAGGAATGCTCCGTCTACCCCAAATCGTCTCGAGATGCGAGCTGATTCCCTGGCTTAGGCTCAAGACGTATGCCAACTTCCCAGAAGCACCTCCGGAGGAGGCTTCTCTCAGCAATAGGTATGTGGGAGGGACCCCGAGTTTGCTGCCTCGAGGGGAATATACAGCGAGAAGCCCTAACTTGAAAGGAGGCCGGATTTCCTTGCAGTGGCTTGAATACAGGCTCGTCTTTCATCTCACAACATGAAGGGATGTCTGAATCCCCTGTGGAGACCTTAGAGAAAGCCCTAGGTCCCTGCCTCATTTTGACGGAATGCCTCACATCCCGCTGACACCTCGAGAGGCACGCGGAGTTCATTGCTTCAAAAGGTGACGATGCCTGACTCCTCTTGAATACTGATAGGAATCCCAAAATCCCTGTGGCTACTGGAAAGGGTCCTTGGGTGCCCTGCCTCACCTCGAGAAGCGTCCCTTTGGCCCTGCCAAGCCTCGAAGAGATTCCTGAGGTGTCCCTCGTTACTAGACAGGAGTCCTGACGTCACTGAAGAAACTCGTGTTTTGAAGGGCCATCCCCGCCGTAAGTCGAGAACATACCCCAGGTCCCCGCCGCAACTCGAGAAAAACCATGAGACTTCCCCCTAGAGGCGAGATGAGGCCCCATTCCCCTGCAGTGCATGCAGAGCTATTCCGTGATCCCATTCAAACAAGTCAGGAGCTTCGATTTGCTTAATGGATCTCGAGACAGTCCCCAAGAACACTGTCACCAGTCTAGACGGACCCTGAGGTCACCCCAGCAACGCAAAGCAGCTCCATGTGCCCCAAATCAACTCGAGATGAGGCCCGATTCCCCTGCATTGACTCCAGAGCCATTCCCCGTTCCCCATTCAACACGACCGGTGGCTCGACTTCCTTCAGGCAACTCCAGAGATGCATCGAGAACACTGTCCCAAGTCTAGAGGAACACCAACTTCAGCACAGCAACTCGAGGAATGCTCCGTCTACCCCAAATCGTCTCGAGATGCGAGCTGATTCCCTGGCTTAGGCTCAAGACGTATGCCAACTTCCCAGAAGCACCTCCGGTGGAGGCTTCTCTCAGCAATAGGTATGTGGGAGGGACCCCGAGTTTGCTGCCTCGAGGGGAATATACAGCGAGAAGCCCTAACTTGAAAGGAGGCCGGATTTCCTTGCAGTGGCTTGAATACAGGCTCGTCTTTCATCTCACAACATGAAGGGATGTCTGAATCCCCTGTGGAGACCTTAGAGAAAGCCCTAGGTCCCTGCCTCATTTTGACGGAATGCCTCACATCCCGCTGACACCTCGAGAGGCACGCGGAGTTCATTGCTTCAAAAGGTGACGATGCCTGACTCCTCTTGAATACTGATAGGAATCCCAAAATCCCTGTGGCTACTGGAAAGGGTCCTTGGGTGCCCTGCCTCACCTCGAGAAGCGTCCCTTTGGCCCTGCCAAGCCTCGAAGAGATTCCTGAGGTGTCCCTCGTTACTAGACAGGAGTCCTGACGTCACTGAAGAAACTCGTGTTTTGAAGGGCCATCCCCGCCGTAAGTCGAGAACATACCCCAGGTCCCCGCCGCAACTCGAGAAAAACCATGAGACTTCCCCCTAGAGGCGAGATGAGGCCCCATTCCCCTGCAGTGCATGCAGAGCTATTCCGTGATCCCATTCAAACAAGTCAGGAGCTTCGACTTGCTTAATGGATCTCGAGACAGTCCCCAAGAACACTGTCACCAGTCTAGACGGACCCTGAGGTCACCCCAGCAACGCAAAGCAGCTCCATGTGCCACAAATCAACTCGAGATGAGGCCCGATTCCCCTGCATTGACTCCAGAGCCATTCCCCGTTCCCCATTCAACACGACCGGTGGCTCGACTTCCTTCAGGCAACTCCAGAGATGCCCCGAGAACACTGTCCCAAGTCTAGAGGAACACCAACTTCAGCACAGCAACTCGAGGAATGCTCCGTCTACCCCAAATCGTCTCGAGATGCGAGCTGATTCCCTGGCTTAGGCTCAAGACGTATGCCAACTTCCCAGAAGCACCTCAGGAGGAGGCTTCTCTCAGCAATAGGTATGTGGGAGGGACCCCGAGTTTGCTGCCTCAAGGGGAATATACAGCGAGAAGCCCTAACTTGAAAGGAGGCCGGATTTCCTTGCAGTGGCTTGAATACAGGCTCGTCTTTCATCTCACAACATGAAGGGATGTCTGAATCCCCTGTGGAGACCTTAGAGAAAGCCCTAGGTCCCTGCCTCATTTTGACGGAATGCCTCACATCCCGCTGACACCTCGAGAGGCACGCGGAGTTCATTGCTTCAAAAGGTGACGATGCCTGACTCCTCTTGAATACTGATAGGAATCCCAAAATCCCTGTGGCTACTGGAAAGGGTCCTTGGGTGCCCTGCCTCACCTCGAGAAGCGTCCCTTTGGCCCTGCCAAGCCTCGAAGAGATTCCTGAGGTGTCCCTCGTTACTAGACAGGAGTCCTGACGTCACTGAAGAAACTCGTGTTTTGAAGGGCCATCCCCGCCGTAAGTCGAGAACATACCCCAGGTCCCCGCCGCAACTCGAGAAAAACCATGAGACTTCCCCCTAGAGGCGAGATGAGGCCCCATTCCCCTGCAGTGCATGCAGAGCTATTCCGTGATCCCATTCAAACAAGTCAGGAGCTTCGACTTGCTTAATGGATCTCGAGACAGTCCCCAAGAACACTGTCACCAGTCTAGACGGACCCTGACGTCACCCCAGCAACGCAAAGCAGCTCCATGTGCCCCAAATCAACTCGAGATGAGGCCCGATTCCCCTGCATTGACTCCAGAGCCATTCCCCGTTCCCCATTCAACACGACCGGTGGCTCGACTTCCTTCAGGCAACTCCAGAGATGCCCCGAGAACACTGTCCCAAGTCTAGAGGAACACCAACTTCAGCACAGCAACTCGAGGAATGCTCCGTCTACCCCAAATCGTCTCGAGATGCGAGCTGATTCCCTGGCTTAGGCTCAAGACGTATGCCAACTTCCCAGAAGCACCTCAGGAGGAGGCTTCTCTCAGCAATAGGTATGTGGGAGGGACCCCGAGTTTGCTGCCTCAAGGGGAATATACAGCGAGAAGCCCTAACTTGAAAGGAGGCCGGATTTCCTTGCAGTGGCTTGAATACAGGCTCGTCTTTCATCTCACAACATGAAGGGATGTCTGAATCCCCTGTGGAGACCTTAGAGAAAGCCCTAGGTCCCTGCCTCATTTTGACGGAATGCCTCACATCCCGCTGACACCTCGAGAGGCACGCGGAGTTCATTGCTTCAAAAGGTGACGATGCCTGACTCCTCTTGAATACTGATAGGAATCCCAAAATCCCTGTGGCTACTGGAAAGGGTCCTTGGGTGCCCTGCCTCACCTCGAGAAGCGTCCCTTTGGCCCTGCCAAGCCTCGAAGAGATTCCTGAGGTGTCCCTCGTTACTAGACAGGAGTCCTGACGTCACTGAAGAAACTCGTGTTTTGAAGGGCCATCCCCGCCGTAAGTCGAGAACATACCCCAGGTCCCCGCCGCAACTCGAGAAAAACCATGAGACTTCCCCCTAGAGGCGAGATGAGGCCCCATTCCCCTGCAGTGCATGCAGAGCTATTCCGTGATCCCATTCAAACAAGTCAGGAGCTTCGACTTGCTTAATGGATCTCGAGACAGTCCCCAAGAACACTGTCACCAGTCTAGACGGACCCTGAGGTCACCCCAGCAACGCAAAGCAGCTCCATGTGCCCCAAATCAACTCGAGATGAGGCCCGATTCCCCTGCATTGACTCCAGAGCCATTCCCCGTTCCCCATTCAACACGACCGGTGGCTCGACTTCCTTCAGGCAACTCCAGAGATGCCCCGAGAACACTGTCCCAAGTCTAGAGGAACACCAACTTCAGCACAGCAACTCGAGGAATGCTCCGTCTACCCCAAATCGTCTCGAGATGCGAGCTGATTCCCTGGCTTAGGCTCAAGGCGTATGCCAACTTCCCAGAAGCACCTCAGGAGGAGGCTTCTCTCAGCAATAGGTATGTGGGAGGGACCCCGAGTTTGCTGCCTCAAGGGGAATATACAGCGAGAAGCCCTAACTTGAAAGGAGGCCGGATTTCCTTGCAGTGGCTTGAATACAGGCTCGTCTTTCATCTCACAACATGAAGGGATGTCTGAATCCCCTGTGGAGACCTTAGAGAAAGCCCTAGGTCCCTGCCTCATTTTGACGGAATGCCTCACATCCCGCTGACACCTCGAGAGGCACGCGGAGTTCATTGCTTCAAAAGGTGACGATGCCTGACTCCTCTTGAATACTGATAGGAATCCCAAAATCCCTGTGGCTACTGGAAAGGGTCCTTGGGTGCCCTGCCTCACCTCGAGAAGCGTCCCTTTGGCCCTGCCAAGCCTCGAAGAGATTCCTGAGGTGTCCCTCGTTACTAGACAGGAGTCCTGACCTCACTGAAGAAACTCGTGTTTTGAAGGGCCATCCCCGCCGTAAGTCGAGAACATACCCCAGGTCCCCGCCGCAACTCGAGAAAAACCATGAGACTTCCCCCTAGAGGCGAGATGAGGTCCCATTCCCCTGCAGTGCATGCAGAGCTATTCCGTGACCCCATTCAAACAAGTCAGGAGCTTCGACTTGCTTAATGGATCTCGAGACAGTCCCCAAGAACACTGTCACCAGTCTAGACGGACCCTGAGGTCACCCCAGCAACGTAAAGCAGCTCCATGTGCCCCAAATCAACTCGAGATGAGGCCCGATTCCCCTGCATTGACTCCAGAGCCATTCCCCGTTCCCCATTCAACACGACCGGTGGCTCGACTTCCTTCAGGCAACTCCAGAGATGCCCCGAGAACACTGTCCGAAGTCTAGAGGAACACCAACTTCAGCACAGCAACTCGAGGAATGCTCCGTCTACCCCAAATCGTCTCGAGATGCGAGCTGATTCCCTGGCTTAGGCTCAAGACGTATGCCAACTTCCCAGAAGCACCTCAGGAGGAGGCTTCTCTCAGCAATAGGTATGTGGGAGGGACCCCGAGTTTGCTGCCTCAAGGGGAATATACAGCGAGAAGCCCTAACTTGAAAGGAGGCCGGATTTCCTTGCAGTGGCTTGAATACAGGCTCGTCTTTCATCTCACAACATGAAGGGATGTCTGAATCCCCTGTGGAGACCTTAGAGAAAGCCCTAGGTCCCTGCCTCATTTTGACGGAATGCCTCACATCCCGCTGACACCTCGAGAGGCACGCGGAGTTCATTGCTTCAAAAGGTGACGATGCCTGACTCCTCTTGAATACTGATAGGAATCCCAAAATCCCTGTGGCTACTGGAAAGGGTCCTTGGGTGCCCTGCCTCACCTCGAGAAGCGTCCCTTTGGCCCTGCCAAGCCTCGAAGAGATTCCTGAGGTGTCCCTCGTTACTAGACAGGAGTCCTGACGTCACTGAAGAAACTCGTGTTTTGAAGGGCCATCCCCGCCGTAAGTCGAGAACATACCCCAGGTCCCCGCCGCAACTCGAGAAAAACCATGAGACTTCCCCCTAGAGGCGAGATGAGGCCCCATTCCCCTGCAGTGCATGCAGAGCTATTCCGTGATCCCATTCAAACAAGTCAGGAGCTTCGACTTGCTTAATGGATCTCGAGACAGTCCCCAAGAACACTGTCACCAGTCTAGACGGACCCTGAGGTCACCCCAGCAACGCAAAGCAGCTCCATGTGCCCCAAATCAACTAGAGATGAGGCCCGATTCCCCTGCATTGACTCCAGAGCCATTCCCCGTTCCCCATTCAACACGACCGGTGGCTCGACTTCCTTCAGGCAACTCCAGAGATGCCCCGAGAACACTGTCCCAAGTCTAGAGGAACACCAACTTCAGCACAGCAACTCGAGGAATGCTCCGTGTACCCCAAATCGTCTCGAGATGCGAGCTGATTCCCTGGCTTAGGCTCAAGACGTATGCCAACTTCCCAGAAGCACCTCAGGAGGAGGCTTCTCTCAGCAATAGGTATGTGGGAGGGACCCCGAGTTTGCTGCCTCAAGGGGAATATACAGCGAGAAGCCCTAACTTGAAAGGAGGCCGGATTTCCTTGCAGTGGCTTGAATACAGGCTCGTCTTTCATCTCACAACATGAAGGGATGTCTGAATCCCCTGTGGAGACCTTAGAGAAAGCCCTAGGTCCCTGCCTCATTTTGACGGAATGCCTCACATCCCGCTGACACCTCGAGAGGCACGCGGAGTTCATTGCTTCAAAAGGTGACGATGCCTGACTCCTCTTGAATACTGATAGGAATCCCAAAATCCCTGTGGCTACTGGAAAGGGTCCTTGGGTGCCCTGCCTCACCTCGAGAAGCGTCCCTTTGGCCCTGCCAAGCCTCGAAGAGATTCCTGAGGTGTCCCTCGTTACTAGACAGGAGTCCTGACGTCACTGAAGAAACTCGTGTTTTGAAGGGCCATCCCCGCCGTAAGTCGAGAACATAACCCAGGTCCCCGCCGCAACTCGAGAAAAACCATGAGACTTCCCCCTAGAGGCGAGATGAGGCCCCATTCCCCTGCAGTGCATGCAGAGCTATTCCGTGATCCCATTCAAACAAGTCAGGAGCTTCGACTTGCTTAATGGATCTCGAGACAGTCCCCAAGAACACTGTCACCAGTCTAGACGGACCCTGAGGTCACCCCAGCAACGCAAAGCAGCTCCATGTGCCCCAAATCAACTAGAGATGAGGCCCGATTCCCCTGCATTGACTCCAGAGCCATTCCCCGTTCCCCATTCAACACGACCGGTGGCTCGACTTCCTTCAGGCAACTCCAGAGATGCCCCGAGAACACTGTCCCAAGTCTAGAGGAACACCAACTTCAGCACAGCAACTCGAGGAATGCTCCGTCTACCCCAAATCGTCTCGAGATGCGAGCTGATTCCCTGGCTTAGGCTCAAGACGTATGCCAACTTCCCAGAAGCACCTCAGGAGGAGGCTTCTCTCAGCAATAGGTATGTGGGAGGGACCCCGAGTTTGCTGCCTCAAGGGGAATATACAGCGAGAAGCCCTAACTTGAAAGGAGGCCGGATTTCCTTGCAGTGGCTTGAATACAGGCTCGTCTTTCATCTCACAACATGAAGGGATGTCTGAATCCCCTGTGGAGACCTTAGAGAAAGCCCTAGGTCCCTGCCTCATTTTGACGGAATGCCTCACATCCCGCTGACACCTCGAGAGGCACGCGGAGTTCATTGCTTCAAAAGGTGACGATGCCTGACTCCTCTTGAATACTGATAGGAATCCCAAAATCCCTGTGGCTACTGGAAAGGGTCCTTGGTTGCCCTGCCTCACCTCGAGAAGCGTCCCTTTGGCCCTGCCAAGCCTCGAAGAGATTCCTGAGGTGTCCCTCGTTACTAGACAGGAGTCCTGACGTCACTGAAGAAACTCGTGTTTTGAAGGGCCATCCCCGCCGTAAGTCGAGAACATACCCCAGGTCCCCGCCGCAACTCGAGAAAAATCATGAGACTTCCCCCTAGAGGCGAGATGAGGCCCCATTCCCCTGCAGTGCATGCAAAGCTATTCCGTGATCCCATTCAAACAAGTCAGGAGCTTCGACTTGCTTAATGGATCTCGAGACAGTCCCCAAGAACACTGTCACCAGTCTAGACGGACCCTGAGGTCACCCCAGCAACGCAAAGCAGCTCCATGTGCCCCAAATCAACTCGAGATGAGGCCCGATTCCCCTGCATTGACTCCAGAGCCATTCCCCGTTCCCCATTCAACACGACCGGTGGCTCGACTTCCTTCAGGCAACTCCAGAGATGCCCCGAGAACACTGTCCCAAGTCTACAAGAACACCAACTTCAGCAGAGCAACTCGAGGAATGCTCCGTCTACCCCAAATCGTCTCGAGATGCGAGCTGATTCCCTGGCTTAGGCTCAAGACGTATGCCAACTTCCCAGAAGCACCTCAGGAGGAGGCTTCTCTCAGCAATAGGTATGTGGGAGGGACCCCGAGTTTGCTGCCTCAAGGGGAATATACAGCGAGAAGCCCTAACTTGAAAGGAGGCCGGATTTCCTTGCAGTGGCTTGAATACAGGCTCGTCTTTCATCTCACAACATGAAGGGATGTCTGAATCCCCTGTGGAGACCTTAGAGAAAGCCCTAGGTCCCTGCCTCATTTTGAGGGAATGCCTCACATCCCGCTGACACCTCGAGAGGGACGCGGAGTTCATTGCTTCAAAAGGTGACGATGCCTGACTCCTCTTGAATACTGATAGGAATCCCAAAATCCCTGTGGCTACTGGAAAGGGTCCTTGGGTGCCCTGCCTCACCTCGAGAAGCGTCCCTTTGGCCCTGCCAAGCCTCGAAGAGATTCCTGAGGTGTCCCTCGTTACTAGACAGGAGTCCTGACGTCACTGAAGAAACTCGTGTTTTGAAGGGACATCCCCGCCGTAAGTCGAGAACATACCCCAGGTCCCCGCCGCAACTCGAGAAAAACCATGAGACTTCCCCCTAGAGGCGAGATGAGGCCCCATTCCCCTGCAGTGCATGCAGAGCTATTCCGTGATCCCATTCAAACAAGTCAGGAGCTTCGACTTGCTTAATGGATCTCGAGACAGTCCCCAAGAACACTGTCACCAGTCTAGACGGACCCTGAGGTCACCCCAGCAACGCAAAGCAGCTCCATGTGCCCCAAATCAACTCGAGATGAGGCCCGATTCCCCTGCATTGACTCCAGAGCCATTCCCCGTTCCCCATTCAACACGACCGGTGGCTCGACTTCCTTCAGGCAACTCCAGAGATGCCCCGAGAACACTGTCCCAAGTCTACAAGAACACCAACTTCAGCAGAGCAACTCGAGGAATGCTCCGTGTACCCCAAATCGTCTCGAGATGCGAGCTGATTCCCTGGCTTAGGCTCAAGACGTATGCCAACTTCCCAGAAGCACCTCAGGAGGAGGCTTCTCTCAGCAATAGGTATGTGGGAGGGACCCCGAGTTTGCTGCCTCAAGGGGAATATACAGCGAGAAGCCCTAACTTGAAAGGAGGCCGGATTTCCTTGCAGTGGCTTGAATACAGGCTCGTCTTTCATCTCACAACATGAAGGGATGTCTGAATCCCCTGTGGAGACCTTAGAGAAAGCCCTAGGTCCCTGCGTCATTTTGACGGAATGCCTCACATCCCGCTGACACCTCGAGAGGCACGCGGAGTTCATTGCTTCAAAAGGTGACGATGCCTGACTCCTCTTGAATACTGATAGGAATCCCAAAATCCCTGTGGCTACTGGAAAGGGTCCTTGGGTGCCCTGCCTCACCTCGAGAAGCGTCCCTTTGGCCCTGCCAAGCCTCGAAGAGATTCCTGAGGTGTCCCTCGTTACTAGACAGGAGTCCTGACGTCACTGAAGAAACTCGTGTTTTGAAGGGCCATCCCCGCCGTAAGTCGAGAACATACCCCAGGTCCCCGCCGCAACTCGAGAAAAACCATGAGACTTCCCCCTAGAGGCGAGATGAGGCCCCATTCCCCTGCAGTGCATGCAGAGCTATTCCGTGATCCCATTCAAACAAGTCAGGAGCTTCGACTTGCTTAATGGATCTCGAGACAGTCCCCAAGAACACTGTCACCAGTCTAGACGGACCCTGAGGTCACCCCAGCAACGCAAAGCAGCTCCATGTGCCCCAAATCAACTCGAGATGAGGCCCGATTCCCCTGCATTGACTCCAGAGCCATTCCCCGTTCCCCATTCAACACGACCGGTGGCTCGACTTCCTTCAGGCAACTCCAGAGATGCCCCGAGAACACTGTCCCAAGTCTAGAGGAACACCAACTTCAGCACAGCAACTCGAGGAATGCTCCGTGTACCCCAAATCGTCTCGAGATGCGAGCTGATTCCCTGGCTTAGGCTCAAGACGTATGCCAACTTCCCAGAAGCACCTCAGGAGGAGGCTTCTCTCAGCAATAGGTAGGTGGGAGGGACCCCGAGTTTGCTGCCTCAAGGGGAATATACAGCGAGAAGCCCTAACTTGAAAGGAGGCCGGATTTCCTTGCAGTGGCTTGAATACAGGCTCGTCTTTCATCTCACAACATGAAGGGATGTCTGAATCCCCTGTGGAGACCTTAGAGAAAGCCCTAGGTCCCTGCCTCATTTTGACGGAATGCCTCACATCCCGCTGACACCTCGAGAGGCACGCGGAGTTCATTGCTTCAAAAGGTGACGATGCCTGACTCCTCTTGAATACTGATAGGAATCCCAAAATCCCTGTGGCTACTGGAAAGGGTCCTTGGGTGCCCTGCCTCACCTCGAGAAGCGTCCCTTTGGCCCTGCCAAGCCTCGAAGAGATTCCTGAGGTGTCCCTCGTTACTAGACAGGAGTCCTGACGTCACTGAAGAAACTCGTGTTTTGAAGGGCCATCCCCGCCGTAAGTCGAGAACATACCCCAGGTCCCCGCCGCAACTCGAGAAAAACCATGAGACTTCCCCCTAGAGGCGAGATGAGGCCCCATTCCCCTGCAGTGCATGCAGAGCTATTCCGTGATCCCATTCAAACAAGTCAGGAGCTTCGACTTGCTTAATGGATCTCGAGACAGTCCCCAAGAACACTGTCACCAGTCTAGACGGACCCTGAGGTCACCCCAGCAACGCAAAGCAGCTCCATGTGCCCCAAATCAACTCGAGATGAGGCCCGATTCCCCTGCATTGACTCCAGAGCCATTCCCCGTTCCCCATTCAACAAGACCGGTGGCTCGACTTCCTTCAGGCAACTCCAGAGATGCCCCGAGAACACTGTCCCAAGTCTAGAGGAACACCAACTTCAGCACAGCAACTCGAGGAATGCTCCGTGTACCCCAAATCGTCTCGAGATGCGAGCTGATTCCCTGGCTTAGGCTCAAGACGTATGCCAACTTCCCAGAAGCACCTCAGGAGGAGGCTTCTCTCAGCAATAGGTATGTGGGAGGGACCCCGAGGTTGCTGCCTCAAGGGGAATATACAGCGAGAAGCCCTAACTTGAAAGGAGGCCGGATTTCCTTGCAGTGGCTTGAATACAGGCTCGTCTTTCATCTCACAACATGAAGGGATGTCTGAATCCCCTGTGGAGACCTTAGAGAAAGCCCTAGGTCCCTGCCTCATTTTGACGGAATGCCTCACATCCCGCTGACACCTCGAGAGGCACGCGGAGTTCATTGCTTCAAAAGGTGACGATGCCTGACTCCTCTTGAATACTGATAGGAATCCCAAAATCCCTGTGGCTACTGGAAAGGGTCCTTGGGTGCCCTGCCTCACCTCGAGAAGCGTCCCTTTGGCCCTGCCAAGCCTCGAAGAGATTCCTGAGGTGTCCCTCGTTACTAGACAGGAGTCCTGACGTCACTGAAGAAACTCGTGTTTTGAAGGGCCATCCCCGCCGTAAGTCGAGAACATACCCCAGGTCCCCGCCGCAACTCGAGAAAAACCATGAGACTTCCCCCTAGAGGCGAGATGAGGCCCCATTCCCCTGCAGTGCATGCAGAGCTATTCCGTGATCCCATTCAAACAAGTCAGGAGCTTCGACTTGCTTAATGGATCTCGAGACAGTCCCCAAGAACACTGTCACCAGTCTAGACGGACCCTGAGGTCACCCCAGCAACGCAAAGCAGCTCCATGTGCCCCAAATCAACTCGAGATGAGGCCCGATTCCCCTGCATTGACTCCAGAGCCATTCCCCGTTCCCCATTCAACACGACCGGTGGCTCGACTTCCTTCAGGCAACTCCAGAGATGCCCCGAGAACACTGTCCCAAGTCTAGAGGAACACCAACTTCAGCACAGCAACTCGAGGAATGCTCCGTCTACCCCAAATCGTCTCGAGATGCGAGCTGATTCCCTGGCTTAGGCTCAAGACGTATGCCAACTTCCCAGAAGCACCTCAGGAGGAGGCTTCTCTCAGCAATAGGTATGTGGGAGGGACCCCGAGTTTGCTGCCTCAAGGGGAATATACAGCGAGAAGCCCTAACTTGAAAGGAGGCCGGATTTCCTTGCAGTGGCTTGAATACAGGCTCGTCTTTCATCTCACAACATGAAGGGATGTCTGAATCCCCTGTGGAGACCTTAGAGAAAGCCCTAGGTCCCTGCCTCATTTTGACGGAATGCCTCACATCCCGCTGACACCTCGAGAGGCACGCGGAGTTCATTGCTTCAAAAGGTGACGATGCCTGACTCCTCTTGAATACTGATAGGAATCCCAAAATCCCTGTGGCTACTGGAAAGGGTCCTTGGGTGCCCTGCCTCACCTCGAGAAGCGTCCCTTTGGCCCTGCCAAGCCTCGAAGAGATTCCTGAGGTGTCCCTCGTTACTAGACAGGAGTCCTGACGTCACTGAAGAAACTCGTGTTTTGAAGGGCCATCCCCGCCGTAAGTCGAGAACATACCCCAGGTCCCCGCCGCAACTCGAGAAAAACCATGAGACTTCCCCCTAGAGGCGAGATGAGGCCCCATTCCCCTGCAGTGCATGCAGAGCTATTCCGTGATCCCATTCAAACAAGTCAGGAGCTTCGACTTGCTTAATGGATCTCGAGACAGTCCCCAAGAACACTGTCACCAGTCTAGACGGACCCTGAGGTCACCCCACCAACGCAAAGCAGCTCCATGTGCCCCAAATCAACTCGAGATGAGGCCCGATTCCCCTGCATTGACTCCAGAGCCATTCCCCGTTCCCCATTCAACACGACCGGTGGCTCGACTTCCTTCAGGCAACTCCAGAGATGCCCCGAGAACACTGTCCCAAGTCTAGAGGAACACCAACTTCAGCACAGCAAATCGAGGAATGCTCTGTCTACCCCAAATCGTCTCGAGATGCGAGCTGATTCCCTGGCTTAGGCTCAAGACGTATGCCAACTTCCCAGAAGCACCTCAGGAGGAGGCTTCTCTCAGCAATAGGTATGTGGGAGGGACCCCGAGTTTGCTGCCTCAAGGGGAATATACAGCGAGAAGCCCTAACTTGAAAGGAGGCCGGATTTCCTTGCCGTGGCTTGAATACAGGCTCGTCTTTCATCTCACAACATGAAGGGATGTCTGAATCCCCTGTGGAGACCTTAGAGAAAGCCCTAGGTCCCTGCCTCATTTTGACGGAATGCCTCACATCCCGCTGACACCTCGAGAGGCACGCGGAGTTCATTGCTTCAAAAGGTGACGATGCCTGACTCCTCTTGAATACTGATAGGAATCCCAAAATCCCTGTGGCTACTGGAAAGGGTCCTTGGGTGCCCTGCCTCACCTCGAGAAGCGTCCCTTTGGCCCTGCCAAGCCTCGAAGAGATTCCTGAGGTGTCCCTCGTTACTAGACAGGAGTCCTGACGTCACTGAAGAAACTCGTGTTTTGAAGGGCCATCCCCGCCGTAAGTCGAGAACATACCCCAGGTCCCCGCCGCAACTCGAGAAAAACCATGAGACTTCCCCCTAGAGGCGAGATGAGGCCCCATTCCCCTGCAGTGCATGCAGAGCTATTCCGTGACCCCATTCAAACAAGTCAGGAGCTTCGACTTGCTTAATGGATCTCGAGACAGTCCCCAAGAACACTGTCACCAGTCTAGACGGACCCTGAGGTCACCCCAGCAACGCAAAGCAGCTCCATGTGCCCCAAATCAACTCGAGATGAGGCCCGATTCCCCTGCATTGACTCCAGAGCCATTCCCCGTTCCCCATTCAACACGACCGGTGGCTCGACTTCCTTCAGGCAACTCCAGAGATGCCCCGAGAACACTGTCCCAAGTCTAGAGGAACACCAACTTCAGCACAGCAACTCGAGGAATGCTCCGTCTACCCCAAATCGTCTCGAGATGCGAGCTGATTCCCTGGCTTAGGCTCAAGACGTATGCCAACTTCCCAGAAGCACCTCAGGAGGAGGCTTCTCTCAGCAATAGGTATGTGGGAGGGACCCCGAGGTTGCTGCCTCAAGGGGAATATACAGCGAGAAGCCCTAACTTGAAAGGAGGCCGGATTTCCTTGCAGTGGCTTGAATACAGGCTCGTCTTTCATCTCACAACATGAAGGGATGTCTGAATCCCCTGTGGAGACCTTAGAGAAAGCCCTAGGTCCCTGCCTCATTTTGACGGAATGCCTCACATCCCGCTGACATCTCGAGAGGCACGCGGAGTTCATTGCTTCAAAAGGTGACGATGCCTGACTCCTCTTGAATACTGATAGGAATCCCAAAATCCCTGTGGCTACTGGAAAGGGTCCTTGGGTGCCCTGCCTCACCTCGAGAAGCGTCCCTTTGGCCCTGCCAAGCCTCGAAGAGATTCCTGAGGTGTCCCTCGTTACTAGACAGGAGTCCTGACGTCACTGAAGAAACTCGTGTTTTGAAGGGCCATCCCCACCGTAAGTCGAGAACATACCCCAGGTCCCCGCCGCAACTCGAGAAAAACCATGAGACTTCCCCCTAGAGGCGAGATGAGGCCCCATTCCCCTGCAGTGCATGCAGAGCTATTCCGTGATCCCATTCAAACAAGTCAGGAGCTTCGACTTGCTTAATGGATCTCGAGACAGTCCCCAAGAACACTGTCACCAGTCTAGACGGACCCTGAGGTCAACCCAGCAACGCAAAGCAGCTCCATGTGCCCCAAATCAACTCGAGATGAGGCCCGATTCCCCTGCATTGACTCCAGAGCCATTCCCCGTTCCCCATTCAACACGACCGGGGGCTCGACTTCCTTCAGGCAACTCCAGAGATGTCCCGAGAACACTGTCCCAAGTCTAGAGGAACACCAACTTCAGCACAGCAACTCGAGGAATGCTCCGTCTACCCCAAATCGTCTCGAGATGCGAGCTGATTCCTGGCTTAGGCTCAAGACGTATGCCAACTTCCCAGAAGCACCTCAGGAGGAGGCTTCTCTCAGCAATAGGTATGTGGGAGGGACCCCGAGTTTGCTGCCTCAAGGGGAATATACAGCGAGAAGCCCTAACTTGAAAGGAGGCCGGATTTCCTTGCAGTGGCTTGAATACAGGCTCGTCTTTCATCTCACAACATGAAGGGATGACTGAATCCCCTGTGGAGACCTTAGAGAAAGCCCTAGGTCCCTGCCTCATTTTGACGGAATGCCTCACATCCCGCTGACACCTCGAGAGGCACGCGGAGTTCATTGCTTCAAAAGGTGACGATGCCTGACTCCTCTTGAATACTGATAGGAATCCCAAAATCCCTGTGGCTACTGGAAAGGGTCCTTGGGTGCCCTGCCTCACCTCGAGAAGCGTCCCTTTGGCCCTGCCAAGCCTCGAAGAGATTCCTGAGGTGTCCCTCGTTACTAGACAGGAGTCCTGACGTCACTGAAGAAACTCGTGTTTTGAAGGGCCATCCCCGCCGTAAGTCGAGAACATACCCCAGGTCCCCGCCGCAACTCGAGAAAAACCATGAGACTTCCCCCTAGAGGCGAGATGAGGCCCCATTCCCCTGCAGTGCATGCAGAGCTATTCCGTGATCCCATTCAAACAAGTCAGGAGCTTCGACTTGCTTAATGGATCTCGAGACAGTCCCCAAGAACACTGTCACCAGTCTAGACGGACCCTGAGGTCACCCCAGCAACGCAAAGCAGCTCCATGTGCCCCAAATCAACTCGAGATGAGGCCCGATTCCCCTGCATTGACTCCAGAGCCATTCCCCGTTCCCCATTCAACACGACCGGTGGCTCGACTTCCTTCAGGCAACTCCAGAGATGCCCCGAGAACACTGTCCCAAGTCTAGAGGAACACCAACTTCAGCACAGCAACTCGAGGAATGCTCCGTGTACCCCAAATCGTCTCGAGATGCGAGCTGATTCCCTGGCTTAGGCTCAAGACGTATGCCAACTTCCCAGAAGCACCTCAGGAGGAGGCTTCTCTCAGCAATAGGTATGTGGGAGGGACCCCGAGGTTGCTGCCTCAAGGGGAATATACAGCGAGAAGCCCTAACTTGAAAGGAGGCCGGATTTCCTTGCAGTGGCTTGAATACAGGCTCGTCTTTCATCTCACAACATGAAGGGATGTCTGAATCCCCTGTGGAGACCTTAGAGAAAGCCCTAGGTCCCTGCCTCATTTTGACGGAATGCCTCACATCCCGCTGACACCTCGAGAGGCACGCGGAGTTCATTGCTTCAAAAGGTGACGATGCCTGACTCCTCTTGAATACTGATAGGAATCCCAAAATCCCTGTGGCTACTGGAAAGGGTCCTTGGGTGCCCTGCCTCACCTCGAGAAGCGTCCCTTTGGCCCTGCCAAGCCTCGAAGAGATTCCTGAGGTGTCCCTCGTTACTAGACAGGAGTCCTGACGTCACTGAAGAAACTCGTGTTTTGAAGGGCCATCCCCGCCGTAAGTCGAGAACATACCCCAGGTCCCCGCCGCAACTCGAGAAAAACCATGAGACTTCCCCCTAGAGGCGAGATGAGGCCCCATTCCCCTGCAGTGCATGCAGAGCTATTCCGTGATCCCATTCAAACAAGTCAGGAGCTTCGACTTGCTTAATGGATCTCGAGACAGTCCCCAAGAACACTGTCACCAGTCTAGACGGACCCTGAGGTCACCCCAGCAACGCAAAGCAGCTCCATGTGCCCCAAATCAACTCGAGATGAGGCCCGATTCCCCTGCATTGACTCCAGAGCCATTCCCCGTTCCCCATTCAACACGACCGGTGGCTCGACTTCCTTCAGGCAACTCCAGAGATGCCCCGAGAACACTGTCCCAAGTCTAGAGGAACACCAACTTCAGCACAGCAACTCGAGGAATGCTCCGTCTACCCCAAATCGTCTCGAGATGCGAGCTGATTCCCTGGCTTAGGCTCAAGACGTATGCCAACTTCCCAGAAGCACCTCAGGAGGAGGCTTCTCTCAGCAATAGGTATGTGGGAGGGACCCCGAGGTTGCTGCCTCAAGGGGAATATACAGCGAGAAGCCCTAACTTGAAAGGAGGCCGGATTTCCTTGCAGTGGCTTGAATACAGGCTCGTCTTTCATCTCACAACATGAAGGGATGACTGAATCCCCTGTGGAGACCTTAGAGAAAGCCCTAGGTCCCTGCCTCATTTTGACGGAATGCCTCACATCCCGCTGACACCTCGAGAGGCACGCGGAGTTCATTGCTTCAAAAGGTGACGATGCCTGACTCCTCTTGAATACTGATAGGAATCCCAAAATCCCTGTGGCTACTGGAAAGGGTCCTTGGGTGCCCTGCCTCACCTCGAGAAGCGTCCCTTTGGCCCTGCCAAGCCTCGAAGAGATTCCTGAGGTGTCCCTCGTTACTAGACAGGAGTCCTGACGTCACTGAAGAAACTCGTGTTTTGAAGGGCCATCCCCACCGTAAGTCGAGAACATACCCCAGGTCCCCGCCGCAACTCGAGAAAAACCATGAGACTTCCCCCTAGAGGCGAGATGAGGCCCCATTCCCCTGCAGTGCATGCAGAGCTATTCCGTGATCCCATTCAAACAAGTCAGGAGCTTCGACTTGCTTAATGGATCTCGAGACAGTCCCCAAGAACACTGTCACCAGTCTAGACGGACCCTGAGGTCACCCCAGCAACGCAAAGCACCTCCATGTGCCCCAAATCAACTCGAGATGAGGCCCGATTCCCCTGCATTGACTCCAGAGCCATTCCCCGTTCCCCATTCAACACGACCGGTGGCTCGACTTCCTTCAGGCAACTCCAGAGATGCCCCGAGAACACTGTCCCAAGTCTAGAGGAACACCAACTTCAGCACAGCAACTCGAGGAATGCTCCGTCTACCCCAAATCGTCTCGAGATGCGAGCTGATTCCCTGGCTTAGGCTCAAGACGTATGCCAACTTCCCAGAAGCACCTCAGGAGGAGGCTTCTCTCAGCAATAGGTATGTGGGAGGGACCCCGAGGTTGCTGCCTCAAGGGGAATATACAGCGAGAAGCCCTAACTTGAAAGGAGGCCGGATTTCCTTGCAGTGGCTTGAATACAGGCTCGTCTTTCATCTCACAACATGAAGGGATGTCTGAATCCCCTGTGGAGACCTTAGAGAAAGCCCTAGGTCCCTGCCTCATTTTGACGGAATGCCTCACATCCCGCTGACACCTCGAGAGGCACGCGGAGTTCATTGCTTCAAAAGGTGACGATGCCTGACTCCTCTTGAATACTGATAGGAATCCCAAAATCCCTGTGGCTACTGGAAAGGGTCCTTGGGTGCCCTGCCTCACCTCGAGAAGCGTCCCTTTGGCCCTGCCAAGCCTCGAAGAGATTCCTGAGGTGTCCCTCGTTACTAGACAGGAGTCCTGACGTCACTGAAGAAACTCGTGTTTTGAAGGGCCATCCCCGCCGTAAGTCGAGAACATACCCCAGGTCCCCGCCGCAACTCGAGAAAAACCATGAGACTTCCCCCTAGAGGCGAGATGAGGCCCCATTCCCCTGCAGTGCATGCAGAGCTATTCCGTGATCCCATTCAAACAAGTCAGGAGCTTCGACTTGCTTAATGGATCTCGAGACAGTCCCCAAGAACACTGTCACCAGTCTAGACGGACCCTGAGGTCACCCCAGCAACGCAAAGCACCTCCATGTGCCCCAAATCAACTCGAGATGAGGCCCGATTCCCCTGCATTGACTCCAGAGCCATTCCCCGTTCCCCATTCAACACGACCGGTGGCTCGACTTCCTTCAGGCAACTCCAGAGATGCGCCGAGAACACTGTCCCAAGTCTAGAGGAACACCAACTTCAGCACAGCAACTCGAGGAATGCTCCGTCTACCCCAAATCGTCTCGAGATGCGAGCTGATTCCCTGGCTTAGGCTCAAGACGTATGCCAACTTCCCAGAAGCACCTCAGGAGGAGGCTTCTCTCAGCAATAGGTATGTGGGAGGGACCCCGAGTTTGCTGCCTCAAGGGGAATATACAGCGAGAAGCCCTAACTTGAAAGGAGGCCGGATTTCCTTGCAGTGGCTTGAATACAGGCTCGTCTTTCATCTCACAACATGAAGGGATGTCTGAATCCCCTGTGGAGACCTTAGAGAAAGCCCTAGGTCCCTGCCTCATTTTGACGGAATGCCTCACATCCCGCTGACACCTCGAGAGGCACGCGGAGTTCATTGCTTCAAAAGGTGACGATGCCTGACTCCTCTTGAATACTGATAGGAATCCCAAAATCCCTGTGGCTACTGGAAAGGGTCCTTGGGTGCCCTGCCTCACCTCGAGAAGCGTCCCTTTGGCCCTGCCAAGCCTCGAAGAGATTCCTGAGGTGTCCCTCGTTACTAGACAGGAGTCCTGACGTCACTGAAGAAACTCGTGTTTTGAAGGGCCATCCCCGCCGTAAGTCGAGAACATACCCCAGGTCCCCGCCGCAACTCGAGAAAAACCATGAGACTTCCCCCTAGAGGCGAGATGAGGCCCCATTCCCCTGCAGTGCATGCAGAGCTATTCCGTGATCCCATTCAAACAAGTCAGGAGCTTCGACTTGCTTAATGGATCTCGAGACAGTCCCCAAGAACACTGTCACCAGTCTAGACGGACCCTGAGGTCACCCCAGCAACGCAAAGCAGCTCCATGTGCCCCAAATCAACTCGAGATGAGGCCCGATTCCCCTGCATTGACTCCAGAGCCATTCCCCGTTCCCCATTCAACACGACCGGTGGCTCGACTTCCTTCAGGCAACTCCAGAGATGCCCCGAGAACACTGTCCCAAGTCTAGAGGAACACCAACTTCAGCACAGCAACTCGAGGAATGCTCCGTCTACCCCAAATCGTCTCGAGATGCGAGCTGATTCCCTGGCTTAGGCTCAAGACGTATGCCAACTTCCCAGAAGCACCTCAGGAGGAGGCTTCTCTCAGCAATAGGTATGTGGGAGGGACCCCGAGTTTGCTGCCTCAAGGGGAATATACAGCGAGAAGCCCTAACTTGAAAGGAGGCCGGATTTCCTTGCAGTGGCTTGAATACAGGCTCGTCTTTCATCTCACAACATGAAGGGATGTCTGAATCCCCTGTGGAGACCTTAGAGAAAGCCCTAGGTCCCTGCCTCATTTTGACGGAATGCCTCACATCCCGCTGACACCTCGAGAGGCACGCGGAGTTCATTGCTTCAAAAGGTGACGATGCCTGACTCCTCTTGAATACTGATAGGAATCCCCAAATCCCTGTGGCTACTGGAAAGGGTCCTTGGGTGCCCTGCCTCACCTCGAGAAGCGTCCCTTTGGCCCTGCCAAGCCTCGAAGAGATTCCTGAGGTGTCCCTCGTTACTAGACTGGAGTCCTGACGTCACTGAAGAAACTCGTGTTTTGAAGGGCCATCCCCGCCGTAAGTCGAGAACATACCCCAGGTCCCCGCCGCAACTCGAGAAAAACCATGAGACTTCCCCCTAGAGGCGAGATGAGGCCCCATTCCCCTGCAGTGCATGCAGAGCTATTCCGTGATCCCATTCAAACAAGTCAGGAGCTTCGACTTGCTTAATGGATCTCAAGACAGTCCCCAAGAACACTGTCACCAGTCTAGACGGACCCTGAGGTCAACCCAGCAACGCAAAGCAGCTCCATGTGCCCCAAATCAACTCGAGATGAGGCCCGATTCCCCTGCATTGACTCCAGAGCCATTCCCCGTTCCCCATTCAACACGACCGGTGGCTCGACTTCCTTCAGGCAACTCCAGAGATGCCCCGAGAACACTGTCCCAAGTCTAGAGGAACACCAACTTCAGCACAGCAACTCGAGGAATGCTCCGTGTACCCCAAATCGTCTCGAGATGCGAGCTGATTCAATGGCTTAGGCTCAAGACGTATGCCAACTTCCCAGAAGCACCTCAGGAGGAGGCTTCTCTCAGCAATAGGTATGTGGGAGGGACCCCGAGTTTGCTGCCTCAAGGGGAATATACAGCGAGAAGCCCTAACTTGAAAGGAGGCCGGATTTCCTTGCAGTGGCTTGAATACAGGCTCGTCTTTCATCTCACAACATGAAGGGATGTCTGAATCCCCTGTGGAGACCTTAGAGAAAGCCCTAGGTCCCTGCCTCATTTTGACGGAATGCCTCACATGCCGCTGACACCTCGAGAGGCACGCGGAGTTCATTGCTTCAAAAGGTGACGATGCCTGACTCCTCTTGAATACTGATAGGAATCCCAAAATCCCTGTGGCTACTGGAAAGGGTCCTTGGGTGCCCTGCCTCACCTCGAGAAGCGTCCCTTTGGCCCTGCCAAGCCTCGAAGAGATTCCTGAGGTGTCCCTCGTTACTAGACAGGAGTCCTGACGTCACTGAAGAAACTCTTGTTTTGAAGGGCCATCCCCGCCGTAAGTCGAGAACATACCCCAGGTCCCCGCCGCAACTCGAGAAAAACCATGAGACTTCCCCCTAGAGGCGAGATGAGGCCCCATTCCCCTGCAGTGCATGCAGAGCTATTCCGTGATCCCATTCAAACAAGTCAGGAGCTTCGACTTGCTTAATGGATCTCGAGACAGTCCCCAAGAACACTGTCACCAGTCTAGACGGACCCTGAGGTCACCCCAGCAACGCAAAGCAGCTCCATGTGCCCCAAATCAACTCGAGATGAGGCCCGATTCCCCTGCATTGACTCCAGAGCCATTCCCCGTTCCCCATTCAACACGACCGGTGGCTCGACTTCCTTCAGGCAACTCCAGAGATGCCCCGAGAACACTGTCCCAAGTCTAGAGGAACACCAACTTCAGCACAGCAACTCGAGGAATGCTCCGTCTACCCCAAATCGTCTCGAGATGCGAGCTGATTCCCTGGCTTAGGCTCAAGGCGTATGCCAACTTCCCAGAAGCACCTCAGGAGGAGGCTTCTCTCAGCAATAGGTATGTGGGAGGGACCCCGAGTTTGCTGCCTCAAGGGGAATATACAGCGAGAAGCCCTAACTTGAAAGGAGGCCGGATTTCCTTGCAGTGGCTTGAATACAGGCTCGTCTTTCATCTCACAACATGAAGGGATGTCTGAATCCCCTGTGGAGACCTTAGAGAAAGCCCTAGGTCCCTGCCTCATTTTGACGGAATGCCTCACATCCCGCTGACACCTCGAGAGGCACGCGGAGTTCATTGCTTCAAAAGGTGACGAGGCCTGACTCCTCTTGAATACTGATAGGAATCCCAAAATCCCTGTGGCTACTGGAAAGGGTCCTTGGGTGCCCTGCCTCACCTCGAGAAGCGTCCCTTTGGCCCTGCCAAGCCTCGAAGAGATTCCTGAGGTGTCCCTCGTTACTAGACAGGAGTCCTGACGTCACTGAAGAAACTCGTGTTTTGAAGGGCCATCCCCGCCGTAAGTCGAGAACATACCCCAGGTCCCCGCCGCAACTCGAGAAAAACCATGAGACTTCCCCCTAGAGGCGAGATGAGGCCCCATTCCCCTGCAGTGCATGCAGAGCTATTCCGTGATCCCATTCAAACAAGTCAGGAGCTTCGACTTGCTTAATGGATCTCGAGACAGTCCCCAAGAACACTGTCACCAGTCTAGACGGACCCTGAGGTCACCCCAGCAACGCAAAGCAGCTCCATGTGCCCCAAATCAACTCGAGATGAGGCCCGATTCCCCTGCATTGACTCCAGAGCCATTCCCCGTTCCCCATTCAACACGACCGGTGGCTCGACTTCCTTCAGGCAACTCCAGAGATGCCCCGAGAACACTGTCCCAAGTCTAGAGGAACACCAACTTCAGCACAGCAACTCGAGGAATGCTCCGTCTACCCCAAATCGTCTCGAGATGCGAGCTGATTCCCTGGCTTAGGCTCAAGGCGTATGCCAACTTCCCAGAAGCACCTCAGGAGGAGGCTTCTCTCAGCAATAGGTATGTGGGAGGGACCCCGAGTTTGCTGCCTCAAGGGGAATATACAGCGAGAAGCCCTAACTTGAAAGGAGGCCAGATTTCCTTGCAGTGGCTTGAATACAGGCTCGTCTTTCATCTCACAACATGAAGGGATGTCTGAATCCCCTGTGGAGACCTTAGAGAAAGCCCTAGGTCCCTGCCTCATTTTGACGGAATGCCTCACATCCCGCTGACACCTCGAGAGGCACGCGGAGTTCATTGCTTCAAAAGGTGACGATGCCTGACTCCTCTTGAATACTGATAGGAATCCCAAAATCCCTGTGGCTACTGGAAAGGGTCCTTGGGTGCCCTGCCTCACCTCGAGAAGCGTCCCTTTGGCCCTGCCAAGCCTCGAAGAGATTCCTGAGGTGTCCCTCGTTACTAGACAGGAGTCCTGACCTCACTGAAGAAACTCGTGTTTTGAAGGGCCATCCCCGCCGTAAGTCGAGAACATACCCCAGGTCCCCGCCGCAACTCGAGAAAAACCATGAGACTTCCCCCTAGAGGCGAGATGAGGTCCCATTCCCCTGCAGTGCATGCAGAGCTATTCCGTGACCCCATTCAAACAAGTCAGGAGCTTCGACTTGCTTAATGGATCTCGAGACAGTCCCCAAGAACACTGTCACCAGTCTAGACGGACCCTGAGGTCACCCCAGCAACGTAAAGCAGCTCCATGTGCCCCAAATCAACTCGAGATGAGGCCCGATTCCCCTGCATTGACTCCAGAGCCATTCCCCGTTCCCCATTCCACACGACCGGTGGCTCGACTTCCTTCAGGCAACTCCAGAGATGCCCCGAGAACACTGTCCGAAGTCTAGAGGAACACCAACTTCAGCACAGCAACTCGAGGAATGCTCCGTGTACCCCAAATCGTCTCGAGATGCGAGCTGATTCCCTGGCTTAGGCTCAAGACGTATGCCAACTTCCCAGAAGCACCTCAGGAGGAGGCTTCTCTCAGCAATAGGTATGTGGGAGGGACCCCGAGTTTGCTGCCTCAAGGGGAATATACAGCGAGAAGCCCTAACTTGAAAGGAGGCCGGATTTCCTTGCAGTGGCTTGAATACAGGCTCGTCTTTCATCTCACAACATGAAGGGATGTCTGAATCCCCTGTGGAGACCTTAGAGAAAGCCCTAGGTCCCTGCCTCATTTTGACGGAATGCCTCACATCCCGCTGACACCTCGAGAGGCACGCGGAGTTCATTGCTTCAAAAGGTGACGATGCCTGACTCCTCTTGAATACTGATAGGAATCCCAAAATCCCTGTGGCTACTGGAAAGGGTCCTTGGGTGCCCTGCCTCACCTCGAGAAGCGTCCCTTTGGCCCTGCCAAGCCTCGAAGAGATTCCTGAGGTGTCCCTCGTTACTAGACAGGAGTCCTGACGTCACTGAAGAAACTCGTGTTTTGAAGGGCCATCCCCGCCGTAAGTCGAGAACATACCCCAGGTCCCCGCCGCAACTCGAGAAAAACCATGAGACTTCCCCCTAGAGGCGAGATGAGGCCCCATTCCCCTGCAGTGCATGCAGAGCTATTCCGTGACCCCATTCAAACAAGTCAGGAGCTTCGACTTGCTTAATGGATCTCGAGACAGTCCCCAAGAACACTGTCACCAGTCTAGACGGACCCTGAGGTCACCCCAGCAACGCAAAGCAGTTCCATGTGCCCCAAATCAACTCGAGATGAGGCCCGATTCCCCTGCATTGACTCCAGAGCCATTCCCCGTTCCCCATTCAACACGACCGGTGGCTCGACTTCCTTCAGGCAACTCCAGAGATGCCCCGAGAACACTGTCCCAAGTCTAGAGGAACACCAACTTCAGCACAGCAACTCGAGGAATGCTCCGTGTACCCCAAATCGTCTCGAGATGCGAGCTGATTCCCTGGCTTAGGCTCAAGACGTATGCCAACTTCCCAGAAGCACCTCAGGAGGAGGCTTCTCTCAGCAATAGGTATGTGGGAGGGACCCCGAGTTTGCTGCCTCAAGGGGAATATACAGCGAGAAGCCCTAACTTGAAAGGAGGCCGGATTTCCTTGCAGTGGCTTGAATACAGGCTCGTCTTTCATCTCACAACATGAAGGGATGTCTGAATCCCCTGTGGAGACCTTAGAGAAAGCCCTAGGTCCCTGCCTCATTTTGACGGAATGCCTCACATGCCGCTGACACCTCGAGAGGCACGCGGAGTTCATTGCTTCAAAAGGTGACGATGCCTGACTCCTCTTGAATACTGATAGGAATCCCAAAATCCCTGTGGCTACTGGAAAGGGTCCTTGGGTGCCCTGCCTCACCTCGAGAAGCGTCCCTTTGGCCCTGCCAAGCCTCGAAGAGATTCCTGAGGTGTCCCTCGTTACTAGACAGGAGTCCTGACGTCACTGAAGAAACTCTTGTTTTGAAGGGCCATCCCCGCCGTAAGTCGAGAACATACCCCAGGTCCCCGCCGCAACTCGAGAAAAACCATGAGACTTCCCCCTAGAGGCGAGATGAGGCCCCATTCCCCTGCAGTGCATGCAGAGCTATTCCGTGATCCCATTCAAACAAGTCAGGAGCTTCGACTTGCTTAATGGATCTCGAGACAGTCCCCAAGAACACTGTCACCAGTCTAGACGGACCCTGAGGTCACCCCAGCAACGCAAAGCAGCTCCATGTGCCCCAAATCAACTCGAGATGAGGCCCGATTCCCCTGCATTGACTCCAGAGCCATTCCCCGTTCCCCATTCAACACGACCGGTGGCTCGACTTCCTTCAGGCAACTCCAGAGATGCCCCGAGAACACTGTCCCAAGTCTAGAGGAACACCAACTTCAGCACAGCAACTCGAGGAATGCTCCGTCTACCCCAAATCGTCTCGAGATGCGAGCTGATTCCCTGGCTTAGGCTCAAGGCGTATGCCAACTTCCCAGAAGCACCTCAGGAGGAGGCTTCTCTCAGCAATAGGTATGTGGGAGGGACCCCGAGTTTGCTGCCTCAAGGGGAATATACAGCGAGAAGCCCTAACTTGAAAGGAGGCCGGATTTCCTTGCAGTGGCTTGAATACAGGCTCGTCTTTCATCTCACAACATGAAGGGATGTCTGAATCCCCTGTGGAGACCTTAGAGAAAGCCCTAGGTCCCTGCCTCATTTTGACGGAATGCCTCACATCCCGCTGACACCTCGAGAGGCACGCGGAGTTCATTGCTTCAAAAGGTGACGATGCCTGACTCCTCTTGAATACTGATAGGAATCCCAAAATCCCTGTGGCTACTGGAAAGGGTCCTTGGGTGCCCTGCCTCACCTCGAGAAGCGTCCCTTTGGCCCTGCCAAGCCTCGAAGAGATTCCTGAGGTGTCCCTCGTTACTAGACAGGAGTCCTGACGTCACTGAAGAAACTCGTGTTTTGAAGGGCCATCCCCGCCGTAAGTCGAGAACATACCCCAGGTCCCCGCCGCAACTCGAGAAAAACCATGAGACTTCCCCCTAGAGGCGAGATGAGGCCCCATTCCCCTGCAGTGCATGCAGAGCTATTCCGTGATCCCATTCAAACAAGTCAGGAGCTTCGACTTGCTTAATGGATCTCGAGACAGTCCCCAAGAACACTGTCACCAGTCTAGACGGACCCTGAGGTCACCCCAGCAACGCAAAGCAGCTCCATGTGCCCCAAATCAACTCGAGATGAGGCCCGATTCCCCTGCATTGACTCCAGAGCCATTCCCCGTTCCCCATTCAACACGACCGGTGGCTCGACTTCCTTCAGGCAACTCCAGAGATGCCCCGAGAACACTGTCCCAAGTCTAGAGGAACACCAACTTCAGCACAGCAACTCGAGGAATGCTCCGTCTACCCCAAATCGTCTCGAGATGCGAGCTGATTCCCTGGCTTAGGCTCAAGGCGTATGCCAACTTCCCAGAAGCACCTCAGGAGGAGGCTTCTCTCAGCAATAGGTATGTGGGAGGGACCCCGAGTTTGCTGCCTCAAGGGGAATATACAGCGAGAAGCCCTAACTTGAAAGGAGGCCGGATTTCCTTGCAGTGGCTTGAATACAGGCTCGTCTTTCATCTCACAACATGAAGGGATGTCTGAATCCCCTGTGGAGACCTTAGAGAAAGCCCTAGGTCCCTGCCTCATTTTGACGGAATGCCTCACATCCCGCTGACACCTCGAGAGGCACGCGGAGTTCATTGCTTCAAAAGGTGACGATGCCTGACTCCTCTTGAATACTGATAGGAATCCCAAAATCCCTGTGGCTACTGGAAAGGGTCCTTGGGTGCCCTGCCTCACCTCGAGAAGCGTCCCTTTGGCCCTGCCAAGCCTCGAAGAGATTCCTGAGGTGTCCCTCGTTACTAGACAGGAGTCCTGACGTCACTGAAGAAACTCGTGTTTTGAAGGGCCATCCCCGCCGTAAGTCGAGAACATACCCCAGGTCCCCGCCGCAACTCGAGAAAAACCATGAGACTTCCCCCTAGAGGCGAGATGAGGCCCCATTCCCCTGCAGTGCATGCAGAGCTATTCCGTGACCCCATTCAAACAAGTCAGGAGCTTCGACTTGCTTAATGGATCTCGAGACAGTCCCCAAGAACACTGTCACCAGTCTAGACGGACCCTGAGGTCACCCCAGCAACGCAAAGCAGTTCCATGTGCCCCAAATCAACTCGAGATGAGGCCCGATTCCCCTGCATTGACTCCAGAGCCATTCCCCGTTCCCCATTCAACACGACCGGTGGCTCGACTTCCTTCAGGCAACTCCAGAGATGCCCCGAGAACACTGTCCCAAGTCTAGAGGAACACCAACTTCAGCACAGCAACTCGAGGAATGCTCCGTGTACCCCAAATCGTCTCGAGATGCGAGCTGATTCCCTGGCTTAGGCTCAAGACGTATGCCAACTTCCCAGAAGCACCTCAGGAGGAGGCTTCTCTCAGCAATAGGTATGTGGGAGGGACCCCGAGTTTGCTGCCTCAAGGGGAATATACAGCGAGAAGCCCTAACTTGAAAGGAGGCCGGATTTCCTTGCAGTGGCTTGAATACAGGCTCGTCTTTCATCTCACAACATGAAGGGATGTCTGAATCCCCTGTGGAGACCTTAGAGAAAGCCCTAGGTCCCTGCCTCATTTTGACGGAATGCCTCACATCCCGCTGACACCTCGAGAGGCACGCGGAGTTCATTGCTTCAAAAGGTGACGATGCCTGACTCCTCTTGAATACTGATAGGAATCCCAAAATCCCTGTGGCTACTGGAAAGGGTCCTTGGGTGCCCTGCCTCACCTCGAGAAGCGTCCCTTTGGCCCTGCCAAGCCTCGAAGAGATTCCTGAGGTGTCCCTCGTTACTAGACAGGAGTCCTGACGTCACTGAAGAAACTCGTGTTTTGAAGGGCCATCCCCGCCGTAAGTCGAGAACATACCCCAGGTCCCCGCCGCAACTCGAGAAAAACCATGAGACTTCCCCCTAGAGGCGAGATGAGGCCCCATTCCCCTGCAGTGCATGCAGAGCTATTCCGTGACCCCATTCAAACAAGTCAGGAGCTTCGACTTGCTTAATGGATCTCGAGACAGTCCCCAAGAACACTGTCACCAGTCTAGACGGACCCTGAGGTCACCCCAGCAACGCAAAGCAGTTCCATGTGCCCCAAATCAACTCGAGATGAGGCCCGATTCCCCTGCATTGACTCCAGAGCCATTCCCCGTTCCCCATTCAACACGACCGGTGGCTCGACTTCCTTCAGGCAACTCCAGAGATGCCCCGAGAACACTGTCCCAAGTCTAGAGGAACACCAACTTCAGCACAGCAACTCGAGGAATGCTCCGTGTACCCCAAATCGTCTCGAGATGCGAGCTGATTCCCTGGCTTAGGCTCAAGACGTATGCCAACTTCCCAGAAGCACCTCAGGAGGAGGCTTCTCTCAGCAATAGGTATGTGGGAGGGACCCCGAGTTTGCTGCCTCAAGGGGAATATACAGCGAGAAGCCCTAACTTGAAAGGAGGCCGGATTTCCTTGCAGTGGCTTGAATACAGGCTCGTCTTTCATCTCACAACATGAAGGGATGTCTGAATCCCCTGTGGAGACCTTAGAGAAAGCCCTAGGTCCCTGCCTCATTTTGACGGAATGCCTCACATGCCGCTGACACCTCGAGAGGCACGCGGAGTTCATTGCTTCAAAAGGTGACGATGCCTGACTCCTCTTGAATACTGATAGGAATCCCAAAATCCCTGTGGCTACTGGAAAGGGTCCTTGGGTGCCCTGCCTCACCTCGAGAAGCGTCCCTTTGGCCCTGCCAAGCCTCGAAGAGATTCCTGAGGTGTCCCTCGTTACTAGACAGGAGTCCTGACGTCACTGAAGAAACTCTTGTTTTGAAGGGCCATCCCCGCCGTAAGTCGAGAACATACCCCAGGTCCCCGCCGCAACTCGAGAAAAACCATGAGACTTCCCCCTAGAGGCGAGATGAGGCCCCATTCCCCTGCAGTGCATGCAGAGCTATTCCGTGATCCCATTCAAACAAGTCAGGAGCTTCGACTTGCTTAATGGATCTCGAGACAGTCCCCAAGAACACTGTCACCAGTCTAGACGGACCCTGAGGTCACCCCAGCAACGCAAAGCAGCTCCATGTGCCCCAAATCAACTCGAGATGAGGCCCGATTCCCCTGCATTGACTCCAGAGCCATTCCCCGTTCCCCATTCAACACGACCGGTGGCTCGACTTCCTTCAGGCAACTCCAGAGATGCCCCGAGAACACTGTCCCAAGTCTAGAGGAACACCAACTTCAGCACAGCAACTCGAGGAATGCTCCGTCTACCCCAAATCGTCTCGAGATGCGAGCTGATTCCCTGGCTTAGGCTCAAGGCGTATGCCAACTTCCCAGAAGCACCTCAGGAGGAGGCTTCTCTCAGCAATAGGTATGTGGGAGGGACCCCGAGTTTGCTGCCTCAAGGGGAATATACAGCGAGAAGCCCTAACTTGAAAGGAGGCCGGATTTCCTTGCAGTGGCTTGAATACAGGCTCGTCTTTCATCTCACAACATGAAGGGATGTCTGAATCCCCTGTGGAGACCTTAGAGAAAGCCCTAGGTCCCTGCCTCATTTTGACGGAATGCCTCACATCCCGCTGACACCTCGAGAGGCACGCGGAGTTCATTGCTTCAAAAGGTGACGATGCCTGACTCCTCTTGAATACTGATAGGAATCCCAAAATCCCTGTGGCTACTGGAAAGGGTCCTTGGGTGCCCTGCCTCACCTCGAGAAGCGTCCCTTTGGCCCTGCCAAGCCTCGAAGAGATTCCTGAGGTGTCCCTCGTTACTAGACAGGAGTCCTGACGTCACTGAAGAAACTCGTGTTTTGAAGGGCCATCCCCGCCGTAAGTCGAGAACATACCCCAGGTCCCCGCCGCAACTCGAGAAAAACCATGAGACTTCCCCCTAGAGGCGAGATGAGGCCCCATTCCCCTGCAGTGCATGCAGAGCTATTCCGTGATCCCATTCAAACAAGTCAGGAGCTTCGACTTGCTTAATGGATCTCGAGACAGTCCCCAAGAACACTGTCACCAGTCTAGACGGACCCTGAGGTCACCCCAGCAACGCAAAGCAGCTCCATGTGCCCCAAATCAACTCGAGATGAGGCCCGATTCCCCTGCATTGACTCCAGAGCCATTCCCCGTTCCCCATTCAACACGACCGGTGGCTCGACTTCCTTCAGGCAACTCCAGAGATGCCCCGAGAACACTGTCCCAAGTCTAGAGGAACACCAACTTCAGCACAGCAACTCGAGGAATGCTCCGTCTACCCCAAATCGTCTCGAGATGCGAGCTGATTCCCTGGCTTAGGCTCAAGGCGTATGCCAACTTCCCAGAAGCACCTCAGGAGGAGGCTTCTCTCAGCAATAGGTATGTGGGAGGGACCCCGAGTTTGCTGCCTCAAGGGGAATATACAGCGAGAAGCCCTAACTTGAAAGGAGGCCGGATTTCCTTGCAGTGGCTTGAATACAGGCTCGTCTTTCATCTCACAACATGAAGGGATGTCTGAATCCCCTGTGGAGACCTTAGAGAAAGCCCTAGGTCCCTGCCTCATTTTGACGGAATGCCTCACATCCCGCTGACACCTCGAGAGGCACGCGGAGTTCATTGCTTCAAAAGGTGACGATGCCTGACTCCTCTTGAATACTGATAGGAATCCCAAAATCCCTGTGGCTACTGGAAAGGGTCCTTGGGTGCCCTGCCTCACCTCGAGAAGCGTCCCTTTGGCCCTGCCAAGCCTCGAAGAGATTCCTGAGGTGTCCCTCGTTACTAGACAGGAGTCCTGACGTCACTGAAGAAACTCGTGTTTTGAAGGGCCATCCCCGCCGTAAGTCGAGAACATACCCCAGGTCCCCGCCGCAACTCGAGAAAAACCATGAGACTTCCCCCTAGAGGCGAGATGAGGCCCCATTCCCCTGCAGTGCATGCAGAGCTATTCCGTGACCCCATTCAAACAAGTCAGGAGCTTCGACTTGCTTAATGGATCTCGAGACAGTCCCCAAGAACACTGTCACCAGTCTAGACGGACCCTGAGGTCACCCCAGCAACGCAAAGCAGTTCCATGTGCCCCAAATCAACTCGAGATGAGGCCCGATTCCCCTGCATTGACTCCAGAGCCATTCCCCGTTCCCCATTCAACACGACCGGTGGCTCGACTTCCTTCAGGCAACTCCAGAGATGCCCCGAGAACACTGTCCCAAGTCTAGAGGAACACCAACTTCAGCACAGCAACTCGAGGAATGCTCCGTGTACCCCAAATCGTCTCGAGATGCGAGCTGATTCCCTGGCTTAGGCTCAAGACGTATGCCAACTTCCCAGAAGCACCTCAGGAGGAGGCTTCTCTCAGCAATAGGTATGTGGGAGGGACCCCGAGTTTGCTGCCTCAAGGGGAATATACAGCGAGAAGCCCTAACTTGAAAGGAGGCCGGATTTCCTTGCAGTGGCTTGAATACAGGCTCGTCTTTCATCTCACAACATGAAGGGATGTCTGAATCCCCTGTGGAGACCTTAGAGAAAGCCCTAGGTCCCTGCCTCATTTTGACGGAATGCCTCACATCCCGCTGACACCTCGAGAGGCACGCGGAGTTCATTGCTTCAAAAGGTGACGATGCCTGACTCCTCTTGAATACTGATAGGAATCCCAAAATCCCTGTGGCTACTGGAAAGGGTCCTTGGGTGCCCTGCCTCACCTCGAGAAGCGTCCCTTTGGCCCTGCCAAGCCTCGAAGAGATTCCTGAGGTGTCCCTCGTTACTAGACAGGAGTCCTGACGTCACTGAAGAAACTCGTGTTTTGAAGGGCCATCCCCGCCGTAAGTCGAGAACATACCCCATGTCCCCGCCGCAACTCGAGAAAAAACATGAGACTTCCCCCTAGAGGCGAGATGAGGCCCCATTCCCCTGCAGTGCATGCAGAGCTATTCCGTGATCCCATTCAAACAAGTCAGGAGCTTCGACTTGCTTAATGGATCTCGAGACAGTCCCCAAGAACACTGTCACCAGTCTAGACGGACCCTGACGTCACCCCAGCAACGCAAAGCAGCTCCATGTGCCCCAAATCAACTCGAGATGAGGCCCGATTCCCCTGCATTGACTCCAGAGCCATTCCCCGTTCCCCATTCAACACGACCGGTGGCTCGACTTCCTTCAGGCAACTCCAGAGATGCCCCGAGAACACTGTCCCAAGTCTAGAGGAACACCAACTTCAGCACAGCAACTCGAGGAATGCTCCGTCTACCCCAAATCGTCTCGAGATGCGAGCTGATTCCCTGGCTTAGGCTCAAGACGTATGCCAACTTCCCAGAAGCACCTCAGGAGGAGGCTTCTCTCAGCAATAGGTATGTGGGAGGGACCCCGAGTTTGCTGCCTCAAGGGGAATATACAGCGAGAAGCCCTAACTTGAAAGGAGGCCGGATTTCCTTGCAGTGGCTTGAATACAGGCTCGTCTTTCATCTCACAACATGAAGGGATGTCTGAATCCCCTGTGGAGACCTTAGAGAAAGCCCTAGGTCCCTGCCTCATTTTGACGGAATGCCTCACATCCCGCTGACACCTCGAGAGGCACGCGGAGTTCATTGCTTCAAAAGGTGACGATGCCTGACTCCTCTTGAATACTGATAGGAATCCCAAAATCCCTGTGGCTACTGGAAAGGGTCCTTGGGTGCCCTGCCTCACCTCGAGAAGCGTCCCTTTGGCCCTGCCAAGCCTCGAAGAGATTCCTGAGGTGTCCCTCGTTACTAGACAGGAGTCCTGACGTCACTGAAGAAACTCGTGTTTTGAAGGGCCATCCCCGCCGTAAGTCGAGAACATACCCCAGGTCCCCGCCGCAACTCGAGAAAAATCATGAGACTTCCCCCTAGAGGCGAGATGAGGCCCCATTCCCCTGCAGTGCATGCAGAGCTATTCCGTGATCCCATTCAAACAAGTCAGGAGCTTCGACTTGCTTAATGGATCTCGAGACAGTCCCCAAGAACACTGTCACCAGTCTAGACGGACCCTGAGGTCACCCCAGCAACGCAAAGCAGCTCCATGTGCCCCAAATCAACTCGAGATGAGGCCCGATTCCCCTGCATTGACTCCAGAGCCATTCCCCGTTCCCCATTCAACACGACCGGTGGCTCGACTTCCTTCAGGCAACTCCAGAGATGCCCCGAGAACACTGTCCCAAGTCTACAAGAACACCAACTTCAGCAGAGCAACTCGAGGAATGCTCCGTCTACCCCAAATCGTCTCGAGATGCGAGCTGATTCCCTGGCTTAGGCTCAAGACGTATGCCAACTTCCCAGAAGCACCTCAGGAGGAGGCTTCTCTCAGCAATAGGTATGTGGGAGGGACCCCGAGTTTGCTGCCTCAAGGGGAATATACAGCGAGAAGCCCTAACTTGAAAGGAGGCCGGATTTCCTTGCAGTGGCTTGAATACAGGCTCGTCTTTCATCTCACAACATGAAGGGATGTCTGAATCCCCTGTGGAGACCTTAGAGAAAGCCCTAGGTCCCTGCCTCATTTTGACGGAATGCCTCACATCCCGCTGACACCTCGAGAGGCACGCGGAGTTCATTGCTTCAAAAGGTGACGATGCCTGACTCCTCTTGAATACTGATAGGAATCCCAAAATCCCTGTGGCTACTGGAAAGGGTCCTTGGGTGCCCTGCCTCACCTCGAGAAGCGTCCCTTTGGCCCTGCCAAGCCTCGAAGAGATTCCTGAGGTGTCCCTCGTTACTAGACAGGAGTCCTGACGTCACTGAAGAAACTCGTGTTTTGAAGGGCCATCCCCGCCGTAAGTCGAGAACATACCCCAGGTCCCCGCCGCAACTCGAGAAAAACCATGAGACTTCCCCCTAGAGGCGAGATGAGGCCCCATTCCCCTGCAGTGCATGCAGAGCTATTCCGTGATCCCATTCAAACAAGTCAGGAGCTTCGACTTGCTTAATGGATCTCGAGACAGTCCCCAAGAACACTGTCACCAGTCTAGACGGACCCTGAGGTCACCCCAGCAACGCAAAGCAGCTCCATGTGCCCCAAATCAACTCGAGATGAGGCCCGATTCCCCTGCATTGACTCCAGAGCCATTCCCCGTTCCCCATTCAACACGACCGGTGGCTCGACTTCCTTCAGGCAACTCCAGAGATGCCCCGAGAACACTGTCCCAAGTCTACAAGAACACCAACTTCAGCAGAGCAACTCGAGGAATGCTCCGTCTACCCCAAATCGTCTCGAGATGCGAGCTGATTCCCTGGCTTAGGCTCAAGACGTATGCCAACTTCCCAGAAGCACCTCAGGAGGAGGATTCTCTCAGCAATAGGTATGTGGGAGGGACCCCGAGTTTGCTGCCTCAAGGGGAATATACAGCGAGAAGCCCTAACTTGAAAGGAGGCCGGATTTCCTTGCAGTGGCTTGAATACAGGCTCGTCTTTCATCTCACAACATGAAGGGATGTCTGAATCCCCTGTGGAGACCTTAGAGAAAGCCCTAGGTCCCTGCCTCATTTTGACGGAATGCCTCACATCCCGCTGACACCTCGAGAGGCACGCGGAGTTCATTGCTTCAAAAGGTGACGATGCCTGACTCCTCTTGAATACTGATAGGAATCCCAAAATCCCTGTGGCTACTGGAAAGGGTCCTTGGGTGCCCTGCCTCACCTCGAGAAGCGTCCCTTTGGCCCTGCCAAGCCTCGAAGAGATTCCTGAGGTGTCCCTCGTTACTAGACAGGAGTCCTGACGTCACTGAAGAAACTCGTGTTTTGAAGGGCCATCCCCGCCGTAAGTCGAGAACATACCCCAGGTCCCCGCCGCAACTCGAGAAAAACCATGAGACTTCCCCCTAGAGGCGAGATGAGGCCCCATTCCCCTGCAGTGCATGCAGAGCTATTCCGTGATCCCATTCAAACAAGTCAGGAGCTTCGACTTGCTTAATGGATCTCGAGACAGTCCCCAAGAACACTGTCACCAGTCTAGACGGACCCTGAGGTCACCCCAGCAACGCAAAGCAGCTCCATGTGCCCCAAATCAACTCGAGATGAGGCCCGATTCCCCTGCATTGACTCCAGAGCCATTCCCCGTTCCCCATTCAACACGACCGGTGGCTCGACTTCCTTCAGGCAACTCCAGAGATGCCCCGAGAACACTGTCCCAAGTCTAGAGGAACACCAACTTCAGCACAGCAACTCGAGGAATGCTCCGTGTACCCCAAATTGTCTCGAGATGCGAGCTGATTCCCTGGCTTAGGCTCAAGACGTATGCCAACTTCCCAGAAGCACCTCAGGAGGAGGCTTCTCTCAGCAATAGGTATGTGGGAGGGACCCCGAGTTTGCTGCCTCAAGGGGAATATACAGCGAGAAGCCCTAACTTGAAAGGAGGCCGGATTTCCTTGCAGTGGCTTGAATACAGGCTCGTCTTTCATCTCACAACATGAAGGGATGTCTGAATCCCCTGTGGAGACCTTAGAGAAAGCCCTAGGTCCCTGCCTCATTTTGACGGAATGCCTCACATCCCGCTGACACCTCGAGAGGCACGCGGAGTTCATTGCTTCAAAAGGTGACGATGCCTGACTCCTCTTGAATACTGATAGGAATCCCAAAATCCCTGTGGCTACTGGAAAGGGTCCTTGGGTGCCCTGCCTCACCTCGAGAAGCGTCCCTTTGGCCCTGCCAAGCCTCGAAGAGATTCCTGAGGTGTCCCTCGTTACTAGACAGGAGTCCTGACGTCACTGAAGAAACTCGTGTTTTGAAGGGCCATCCCCGCCGTAAGTCGAGAACATACCCCAGGTCCCCGCCGCAACTCGAGAAAAACCATGAGACTTCCCCCTAGAGGCGAGATGAGGCCCCATTCCCCTGCAGTGCATGCAGAGCTATTCCGTGATCCCATTCAAACAAGTCAGGAGCTTCGACTTGCTTAATGGATCTCGAGACAGTCCCCAAGAACACTGTCACCAGTCTAGACGGACCCTGAGGTCACCCCAGCAACGCAAAGCAGCTCCATGTGCCCCAAATCAACTCGAGATGAGGCCCGATTCCCCTGCATTGAGTCCAGAGCCATTCCCCGTTCCCCATTCCACACGACCGGTGGCTCGACTTCCTTCAGGCAACTCCAGAGATGCCCCGAGAACACTGTCCCAAGTCTAGAGGAACACCAACTTCAGCACAGCAACTCGAGGAATGCTCCGTGTACCCCAAATCGTCTCGAGATGCGAGCTGATTCCCTGGCTTAGGCTCAAGACGTATGCCAACTTCCCAGAAGCACCTCAGGAGGAGGCTTCTCTCAGCAATAGGTATGTGGGAGGGACCCCGAGGTTGCTGCCTCAAGGGGAATATACAGCGAGAAGCCCTAACTTGAAAGGAGGCCGGATTTCCTTGCAGTGGCTTGAATACAGGCTCGTCTTTCATCTCACAACATGAAGGGATGTCTGAATCCCCTGTGGAGACCTTAGAGAAAGCCCTAGGTCCCTGCCTCATTTTGACGGAATGCCTCACATCCCGCTGACACCTCGAGAGGCACGCGGAGTTCATTGCTTCAAAAGGTGACGATGCCTGACTCCTCTTGAATACTGATAGGAATCCCAAAATCCCTGTGGCTACTGGAAAGGGTCCTTGGGTGCCCTGCCTCACCTCGAGAAGCGTCCCTTTGGCCCTGCCAAGCCTCGAAGAGATTCCTGAGGTGTCCCTCGTTACTAGACAGGAGTCCTGACGTCACTGAAGAAACTCGTGTTTTGAAGGGCCATCCCCGCCGTAAGTCGAGAACATACCCCAGGTCCCCGCCGCAACTCGAGAAAAACCATGAGACTTCCCCCTAGAGGCGAGATGAGGCCCCATTCCCCTGCAGTGCATGCAGAGCTATTCCGTGACCCCATTCAAACAAGTCAGGAGCTTCGACTTGCTTAATGGATCTCGAGACAGTCCCCAAGAACACTGTCACCAGTCTAGACGGACCCTGAGGTCACCCCAGCAACGCAAAGCAGCTCCATGTGCCCCAAATCAACTCGAGATGAGGCCCGATTCCCCTGCATTGACTCCAGAGCCATTCCCCGTTCCCCATTCCACACGACCGGTGGCTCGACTTCCTTCAGGCAACTCCAGAGATGCCCCGAGAACACTGTCCCAAGTCTAGAGGAACACCAACTTCAGCACAGCAACTCGAGGAATGCTCCGTCTACCCCAAATCGTCTCGAGATGCGAGCTGATTCCCTGGCTTAGGCTCAAGACGTATGCCAACTTCCCAGAAGCACCTCAGGAGGAGGCTTCTCTCAGCAATAGGTATGTGGGAGGGACCCCGAGGTTGCTGCCTCAAGGGGAATATACAGCGAGAAGCCCTAACTTGAAAGGAGGCCGGATTTCCTTGCAGTGGCTTGAATACAGGCTCGTCTTTCATCTCACAACATGAAGGGATGTCTGAATCCCCTGTGGAGACCTTAGAGAAAGCCCTAGGTCCCTGCCTCATTTTGACGGAATGCCTCACATCCCGCTGACACCTCGAGAGGCACGCGGAGTTCATTGCTTCAAAAGGTGACGATGCCTGACTCCTCTTGAATACTGATAGGAATCCCAAAATCCCTGTGGCTACTGGAAAGGGTCCTTGGGTGCCCTGCCTCACCTCGAGAAGCGTCCCTTTGGCCCTGCCAAGCCTCGAAGAGATTCCTGAGGTGTCCCTCGTTACTAGACAGGAGTCCTGACGTCACTGAAGAAACTCGTGTTTTGAAGGGCCATCCCCGCCGTAAGTCGAGAACATACCCCAGGTCCCCGCCGCAACTCGAGAAAAACCATGAGACTTCCCCCTAGAGGCGAGATGAGGCCCCATTCCCCTGCAGTGCATGCAGAGCTATTCCGTGACCCCATTCAAACAAGTCAGGAGCTTCGACTTGCTTAATGGATCTCGAGACAGTCCCCAAGAACACTGTCACCAGTCTAGACGGACCCTGAGGTCACCCCAGCAACGCAAAGCAGCTCCATGTGCCCCAAATCAACTCGAGATGAGGCCCGATTCCCCTGCATTGACTCCAGAGCCATTCCCCGTTCCCCATTCCACACGACCGGTGGCTCGACTTCCTTCAGGCAACTCCAGAGATGCCCCGAGAACACTGTCCCAAGTCTAGAGGAACACCAACTTCAGCACAGCAACTCGAGGAATGCTCCGTCTACCCCAAATCGTCTCGAGATGCGAGCTGATTCCCTGGCTTAGGCTCAAGACGTATGCCAACTTCCCAGAAGCACCTCAGGAGGAGGCTTCTCTCAGCAATAGGTATGTGGGAGGGACCCCGAGTTTGCTGCCTCAAGGGGAATATACATCGAGAAGCCCTAACTTGAAAGGAGGCCGGATTTCCTTGCCGTGGCTTGAATACAGGCTCGTCTTTCATCTCACAACATGAAGGGATGTCTGAATCCCCTGTGGAGACCTTAGAGAAAGCCCTAGGTCCCTGCCTCATTTTGACGGAATGCCTCACATCCCGCTGACACCTCGAGAGGCACGCGGAGTTCATTGCTTCAAAAGGTGACGATGCCTGACTCCTCTTGAATACTGATAGGAATCCCAAAATCCCTGTGGCTACTGGAAAGGGTCCTTGGGTGCCCTGCCTCACCTCGAGAAGCGTCCCTTTGGCCCTGCCAAGCCTCGAAGAGATTCCTGAGGTGTCCCTCGTTACTAGACAGGAGTCCTGACGTCACTGAAGAAACTCGTGTTTTGAAGGGCCATCCCCGCCGTAAGTCGAGAACATACCCCAGGTCCCCGCCGCAACTCGAGAAAAACCATGAGACTTCCCCCTAGAGGCGAGATGAGGCCCCATTCCCCTGCAGTGCATGCAGAGCTATTCCGTGATCCCATTCAAACAAGTCAGGAGCTTCGACTTGCTTAATGGATCTCGAGACAGTCCCCAAGAACACTGTCACCAGTCTAGACGGACCCTGAGGTCACCCCAGCAACGCAAAGCAGCTCCATGTGCCCCAAATCAACTCGAGATGAGGCCCGATTCCCCTGCATTGACTCCAGAGCCATTCCCCGTTCCCCATTCAACACGACCGGTGGCTCGACTTCCTTCAGGCAACTCCAGAGATGCCCCGAGAACACTGTCCCAAGTCTAGAGGAACACCAACTTCAGCACAGCAACTCGAGGAATGCTCCGTCTACCCCAAATCGTCTCGAGATGCGAGCTGATTCCCTGGCTTAGGCTCAAGACGTATGCCAACTTCCCAGAAGCACCTCAGGAGGAGGCTTCTCTCAGCAATAGGTATGTGGGAGGGACCCCGAGTTTGCTGCCTCAAGGGGAATATACAGCGAGAAGCCCTAACTTGAAAGGAAGCCGGATTTCCTTGCCGTGGCTTGAATACAGGCTCGTCTTTCATCTCACAACATGAAGGGATGTCTGAATCCCCTGTGGAGACCTTAGAGAAAGCCCTAGGTCCCTGCCTCATTTTGACGGAATGCCTCACATCCCGCTGACACCTCGAGAGGCACGCGGAGTTCATTGCTTCAAAAGGTGACGATGCCTGACTCCTCTTGAATACTGATAGGAATCCCAAAATCCCTGTGGCTACTGGAAAGGGTCCTTGGGTGCCCTGCCTCACCTCGAGAAGCGTCCCTTTGGCCCTGCCAAGCCTCGAAGAGATTCCTGAGGTGTCCCTCGTTACTAGACAGGAGTCCTGACGTCACTGAAGAAACTCGTGTTTTGAAGGGCCATCCCCGCCGTAAGTCGAGAACATACCCCAGGTCCCCGCCGCAACTCGAGAAAAACCATGAGACTTCCCCCTAGAGGCGAGATGAGGCCCCATTCCCCTGCAGTGCATGCAGAGCTATTCCGTGATCCCATTCAAACAAGTCAGGAGCTTCGACTTGCTTAATGGATCTCGAGACAGTCCCCAAGAACACTGTCACCAGTCTAGACGGACCCTGAGGTCACCCCAGCAACGCAAAGCAGCTCCATGTGCCCCAAATCAACTCGAGATGAGGCCCGATTCCCCTGCATTGACTCCAGAGCCATTCCCCGTTCCCCATTCCACACGACCGGTGGCTCGACTTCCTTCAGGCAACTCCAGAGATGCCCCGAGAACACTGTCCCAAGTCTAGAGGAACACCAACTTCAGCACAGCAACTCGAGGAATGCTCCGTCTACCCCAAATCGTCTCGAGATGCGAGCTGATTCCCTGGCTTAGGCTCAAGACGTATGCCAACTTCCCAGAAGCACCTCAGGAGGAGGCTTCTCTCAGCAATAGGTATGTGGGAGGGACCCCGAGTTTGCTGCCTCAAGGGGAATATACAGCGAGAAGCCCTAACTTGAAAGGAGGCCGGATTTCCTTGCCGTGGCTTGAATACAGGCTCGTCTTTCATCTCACAACATGAAGGGATGTCTGAATCCCCTGTGGAGACCTTAGAGAAAGCCCTAGGTCCCTGCCTCATTTTGACGGAATGCCTCACATCCCGCTGACACCTCGAGAGGCACGCGGAGTTCATTGCTTCAAAAGGTGACGATGCCTGACTCCTCTTGAATACTGATAGGAATCCCAAAATCCCTGTGGCTACTGGAAAGGGTCCTTGGGTGCCCTGCCTCACCTCGAGAAGCGTCCCTTTGGCCCTGCCAAGCCTCGAAGAGATTCCTGAGGTGTCCCTCGTTACTAGACAGGAGTCCTGACGTCACTGAAGAAACTCGTGTTTTGAAGGGCCATCCCCGCCGTAAGTCGAGAACATACCCCAGGTCCCCGCCGCAACTCGAGAAAAACCATGAGACTTCCCCCTAGAGGCGAGATGAGGCCCCATTCCCCTGCAGTGCATGCAGAGCTATTCCGTGATCCCATTCAAACAAGTCAGGAGCTTCGACTTGCTTAATGGATCTCGAGACAGTCCCCAAGAACACTGTCACCAGTCTAGACGGACCCTGAGGTCACCCCAGCAACGCAAAGCAGCTCCATGTGCCCCAAATCAACTCGAGATGAGGCCCGATTCCCCTGCATTGACTCCAGAGCCATTCCCCGTTCCCCATTCAACACGACCGGTGGCTCGACTTCCTTCAGGCAACTCCAGAGATGCCCCGAGAACACTGTCCCAAGTCTAGAGGAACACCAACTTCAGCACAGCAACTCGAGGAATGCTCCGTCTACCCCAAATCGTCTCGAGATGCGAGCTGATTCCCTGGCTTAGGCTCAAGACGTATGCCAACTTCCCAGAAGCACCTCAGGAGGAGGCTTCTCTCAGCAATAGGTATGTGGGAGGGACCCCGAGTTTGCTGCCTCAAGGGGAATATACAGCGAGAAGCCCTAACTTGAAAGGAAGCCGGATTTCCTTGCCGTGGCTTGAATACAGGCTCGTCTTTCATCTCACAACATGAAGGGATGTCTGAATCCCCTGTGGAGACCTTAGAGAAAGCCCTAGGTCCCTGCCTCATTTTGACGGAATGCCTCACATCCCGCTGACACCTCGAGAGGCACGCGGAGTTCATTGCTTCAAAAGGTGACGATGCCTGACTCCTCTTGAATACTGATAGGAATCCCAAAATCCCTGTGGCTACTGGAAAGGGTCCTTGGGTGCCCTGCCTCACCTCGAGAAGCGTCCCTTTGGCCCTGCCAAGCCTCGAAGAGATTCCTGAGGTGTCCCTCGTTACTAGACAGGAGTCCTGACGTCACTGAAGAAACTCGTGTTTTGAAGGGCCATCCCCGCCGTAAGTCGAGAACATACCCCAGGTCCCCGCCGCAACTCGAGAAAAACCATGAGACTTCCCCCTAGAGGCGAGATGAGGCCCCATTCCCCTGCAGTGCATGCAGAGCTATTCCGTGATCCCATTCAAACAAGTCAGGAGCTTCGACTTGCTTAATGGATCTCGAGACAGTCCCCAAGAACACTGTCACCAGTCTAGACGGACCCTGAGGTCACCCCAGCAACGCAAAGCAGCTCCATGTGCCCCAAATCAACTCGAGATGAGGCCCGATTCCCCTGCATTGACTCCAGAGCCATTCCCCGTTCCCCATTCCACACGACCGGTGGCTCGACTTCCTTCAGGCAACTCCAGAGATGCCCCGAGAACACTGTCCCAAGTCTAGAGGAACACCAACTTCAGCACAGCAACTCGAGGAATGCTCCGTCTACCCCAAATCGTCTCGAGATGCGAGCTGATTCCCTGGCTTAGGCTCAAGACGTATGCCAACTTCCCAGAAGCACCTCAGGAGGAGGCTTCTCTCAGCAATAGGTATGTGGGAGGGACCCCGAGTTTGCTGCCTCAAGGGGAATATACAGCGAGAAGCCCTAACTTGAAAGGAAGCCGGATTTCCTTGCCGTGGCTTGAATACAGGCTCGTCTTTCATCTCACAACATGAAGGGATGTCTGAATCCCCTGTGGAGACCTTAGAGAAAGCCCTAGGTCCCTGCCTCATTTTGACGGAATGCCTCACATCCCGCTGACACCTCGAGAGGCACGCGGAGTTCATTGCTTCAAAAGGTGACGATGCCTGACTCCTCTTGAATACTGATAGGAATCCCAAAATCCCTGTGGCTACTGGAAAGGGTCCTTGGGTGCCCTGCCTCACCTCGAGAAGCGTCCCTTTGGCCCTGCCAAGCCTCGAAGAGATTCCTGAGGTGTCCCTCGTTACTAGACAGGAGTCCTGACGTCACTGAAGAAACTCGTGTTTTGAAGGGCCATCCCCGCCGTAAGTCGAGAACATACCCCAGGTCCCCGCCGCAACTCGAGAAAAACCATGAGACTTCCCCCTAGAGGCGAGATGAGGCCCCATTCCCCTGCAGTGCATGCAGAGCTATTCCGTGATCCCATTCAAACAAGTCAGGAGCTTCGACTTGCTTAATGGATCTCGAGACAGTCCCCAAGAACACTGTCACCAGTCTAGACGGACCCTGAGGTCACCCCAGCAACGCAAAGCAGCTCCATGTGCCCCAAATCAACTCGAGATGAGGCCCGATTCCCCTGCATTGACTCCAGAGCCATTCCCCGTTCCCCATTCCACACGACCGGTGGCTCGACTTCCTTCAGGCAACTCCAGAGATGCCCCGAGAACACTGTCCCAAGTCTAGAGGAACACCAACTTCAGCACAGCAACTCGAGGAATGCTCCGTCTACCCCAAATCGTCTCGAGATGCGAGCTGATTCCCTGGCTTAGGCTCAAGACGTATGCCAACTTCCCAGAAGCACCTCAGGAGGAGGCTTCTCTCAGCAATAGGTATGTGGGAGGGACCCCGAGTTTGCTGCCTCAAGGGGAATATACAGCGAGAAGCCCTAACTTGAAAGGAGGCCGGATTTCCTTGCCGTGGCTTGAATACAGGCTCGTCTTTCATCTCACAACATGAAGGGATGTCTGAATCCCCTGTGGAGACCTTAGAGAAAGCCCTAGGTCCCTGCCTCATTTTGACGGAATGCCTCACATCCCGCTGACACCTCGAGAGGCACGCGGAGTTCATTGCTTCAAAAGGTGACGATGCCTGACTCCTCTTGAATACTGATAGGAATCCCAAAATCCCTGTGGCTACTGGAAAGGGTCCTTGGGTGCCCTGCCTCACCTCGAGAAGCGTCCCTTTGGCCCTGCCAAGCCTCGAAGAGATTCCTGAGGTGTCCCTCGTTACTAGACAGGAGTCCTGACGTCACTGAAGAAACTCGTGTTTTGAAGGGCCATCCCCGCCGTAAGTCGAGAACATACCCCAGGTCCCCGCCGCAACTCGAGAAAAACCATGAGACTTCCCCCTAGAGGCGAGATGAGGCCCCATTCCCCTGCAGTGCATGCAGAGCTATTCCGTGATCCCATTCAAACAAGTCAGGAGCTTCGACTTGCTTAATGGATCTCGAGACAGTCCCCAAGAACACTGTCACCAGTCTAGACGGACCCTGAGGTCACCCCAGCAACGCAAAGCAGCTCCATGTGCCCCAAATCAACTCGAGATGAGGCCCGATTCCCCTGCATTGACTCCAGAGCCATTCCCCGTTCCCCATTCAACACGACCGGTGGCTCGACTTCCTTCAGGCAACTCCAGAGATGCCCCGAGAACACTGTCCCAAGTCTAGAGGAACACCAACTTCAGCACAGCAACTCGAGGAATGCTCCGTCTACCCCAAATCGTCTCGAGATGCGAGCTGATTCCCTGGCTTAGGCTCAAGACGTATGCCAACTTCCCAGAAGCACCTCAGGAGGAGGCTTCTCTCAGCAATAGGTATGTGGGAGGGACCCCGAGTTTGCTGCCTCAAGGGGAATATACAGCGAGAAGCCCTAACTTGAAAGGAAGCCGGATTTCCTTGCCGTGGCTTGAATACAGGCTCGTCTTTCATCTCACAACATGAAGGGATGTCTGAATCCCCTGTGGAGACCTTAGAGAAAGCCCTAGGTCCCTGCCTCATTTTGACGGAATGCCTCACATCCCGCTGACACCTCGAGAGGCACGCGGAGTTCATTGCTTCAAAAGGTGACGATGCCTGACTCCTCTTGAATACTGATAGGAATCCCAAAATCCCTGTGGCTACTGGAAAGGGTCCTTGGGTGCCCTGCCTCACCTCGAGAAGTGTCCCTTTGGCCCTGCCAAGCCTCGAAGAGATTCCTGAGGTGTCCCTCGTTACTAGACAGGAGTCCTGACGTCACTGAAGAAACTCGTGTTTTGAAGGGCCATCCCCGCCGTAAGTCGAGAACATACCCCAGGTCCCCGCCGCAACTCGAGAAAAACCATGAGACTTCCCCCTAGAGGCGAGATGAGGCCCCATTCCCCTGCAGTGCATGCAGAGCTATTCCGTGATCCCATTCAAACAAGTCAGGAGCTTCGACTTGCTTAATGGATCTCGAGACAGTCCCCAAGAACACTGTCACCAGTCTAGACGGACCCTGAGGTCACCCCAGCAACGCAAAGCAGCTCCATGTGCCCCAAATCAACTCGAGATGAGGCCCGATTCCCCTGCATTGACTCCAGAGCCATTCCCCGTTCCCCATTCCACACGACCGGTGGCTCGACTTCCTTCAGGCAACTCCAGAGATGCCCCGAGAACACTGTCCCAAGTCTAGAGGAACACCAACTTCAGCACAGCAACTCGAGGAATGCTCCGTCTACCCCAAATCGTCTCGAGATGCGAGCTGATTCCCTGGCTTAGGCTCAAGACGTATGCCAACTTCCCAGAAGCACCTCAGGAGGAGGCTTCTCTCAGCAATAGGTATGTGGGAGGGACCCCGAGTTTGCTGCCTCAAGGGGAATATACAGCGAGAAGCCCTAACTTGAAAGGAGGCCGGATTTCCTTGCAGTGGCTTGAATACAGGCTCGTCTTTCATCTCACAACATGAAGGGATGTCTGAATCCCCTGTGGAGACCTTAGAGAAAGCCCTAGGTCCCTGCCTCATTTTGACGGAATGCCTCACATCCCGCTGACACCTCGAGAGGCACGCGGAGTTCATTGCTTCAAAAGGTGACGATGCCTGACTCCTCTTGAATACTGATAGGAATCCCAAAATCCCTGTGGCTACTGGAAAGGGTCCTTGGGTGCCCTGCCTCACCTCGAGAAGCGTCCCTTTGGCCCTGCCAAGCCTCGAAGAGATTCCTGAGGTGTCCCTCGTTACTAGACAGGAGTCCTGACGTCACTGAAGAAACTCGTGTTTTGAAGGGCCATCCCCGCCGTAAGTCGAGAACATACCCCAGGTCCCCGCCGCAACTCGAGAAAAACCATGAGACTTCCCCCTAGAGGCGAGATGAGGCCCCATTCCCCTGCAGTGCATGCAGAGCTATTCCGTGATCCCATTCAAACAAGTCAGGAGCTTCGACTTGCTTAATGGATCTCGAGACAGTCCCCAAGAACACTGTCACCAGTCTAGACGGACCCTGAGGTCACCCCAGCAACGCAAAGCAGCTCCATGTGCCCCAAATCAACTCGAGATGAGGCCCGATTCCCCTGCATTGACTCCAGAGCCATTCCCCGTTCCCCATTCAACACGACCGGTGGCTCGACTTCCTTCAGGCAACTCCAGAGATGCCCCGAGAACACTGTCCCAAGTCTAGAGGAACACCAACTTCAGCACAGCAACTCGAGGAATGCTCCGTCTACCCCAAATCGTCTCGAGATGCGAGCTGATTCCCTGGCTTAGGCTCAAGACGTATGCCAACTTCCCAGAAGCACCTCAGGAGGAGGCTTCTCTCAGCAATAGGTATGTGGGAGGGACCCCGAGTTTGCTGCCTCAAGGGGAATATACAGCGAGAAGCCCTAACTTGAAAGGAAGCCGGATTTCCTTGCCGTGGCTTGAATACAGGCTCGTCTTTCATCTCACAACATGAAGGGATGTCTGAATCCCCTGTGGAGACCTTAGAGAAAGCCCTAGGTCCCTGCCTCATTTTGACGGAATGCCTCACATCCCGCTGACACCTCGAGAGGCACGCGGAGTTCATTGCTTCAAAAGGTGACGATGCCTGACTCCTCTTGAATACTGATAGGAATCCCAAAATCCCTGTGGCTACTGGAAAGGGTCCTTGGGTGCCCTGCCTCACCTCGAGAAGCGTCCCTTTGGCCCTGCCAAGCCTCGAAGAGATTCCTGAGGTGTCCCTCGTTACTAGACAGGAGTCCTGACGTCACTGAAGAAACTCGTGTTTTGAAGGGCCATCCCCGCCGTAAGTCGAGAACATACCCCAGGTCCCCGCCGCAACTCGAGAAAAACCATGAGACTTCCCCCTAGAGGCGAGATGAGGCCCCATTCCCCTGCAGTGCATGCAGAGCTATTCCGTGATCCCATTCAAACAAGTCAGGAGCTTCGACTTGCTTAATGGATCTCGAGACAGTCCCCAAGAACACTGTCACCAGTCTAGACGGACCCTGAGGTCACCCCAGCAACGCAAAGCAGCTCCATGTGCCCCAAATCAACTCGAGATGAGGCCCGATTCCCCTGCATTGACTCCAGAGCCATTCCCCGTTCCCCATTCCACACGACCGGTGGCTCGACTTCCTTCAGGCAACTCCAGAGATGCCCCGAGAACACTGTCCCAAGTCTAGAGGAACACCAACTTCAGCACAGCAACTCGAGGAATGCTCCGTCTACCCCAAATCGTCTCGAGATGCGAGCTGATTCCCTGGCTTAGGCTCAAGACGTATGCCAACTTCCCAGAAGCACCTCAGGAGGAGGCTTCTCTCAGCAATAGGTATGTGGGAGGGACCCCGAGTTTGCTGCCTCAAGGGGAATATACAGCGAGAAGCCCTAACTTGAAAGGAGGCCGGATTTCCTTGCCGTGGCTTGAATACAGGCTCGTCTTTCATCTCACAACATGAAGGGATGTCTGAATCCCCTGTGGAGACCTTAGAGAAAGCCCTAGGTCCCTGCCTCATTTTGACGGAATGCCTCACATCCCGCTGACACCTCGAGAGGCACGCGGAGTTCATTGCTTCAAAAGGTGACGATGCCTGACTCCTCTTGAATACTGATAGGAATCCCAAAATCCCTGTGGCTACTGGAAAGGGTCCTTGGGTGCCCTGCCTCACCTCGAGAAGCGTCCCTTTGGCCCTGCCAAGCCTCGAAGAGATTCCTGAGGTGTCCCTCGTTACTAGACAGGAGTCCTGACGTCACTGAAGAAACTCGTGTTTTGAAGGGCCATCCCCGCCGTAAGTCGAGAACATACCCCAGGTCCCCGCCGCAACTCGAGAAAAACCATGAGACTTCCCCCTAGAGGCGAGATGAGGCCCCATTCCCCTGCAGTGCATGCAGAGCTATTCCGTGATCCCATTCAAACAAGTCAGGAGCTTCGACTTGCTTAATGGATCTCGAGACAGTCCCCAAGAACACTGTCACCAGTCTAGACGGACCCTGAGGTCACCCCAGCAACGCAAAGCAGCTCCATGTGCCCCAAATCAACTCGAGATGAGGCCCGATTCCCCTGCATTGACTCCAGAGCCATTCCCCGTTCCCCATTCAACACGACCGGTGGCTCGACTTCCTTCAGGCAACTCCAGAGATGCCCCGAGAACACTGTCCCAAGTCTAGAGGAACACCAACTTCAGCACAGCAACTCGAGGAATGCTCCGTCTACCCCAAATCGTCTCGAGATGCGAGCTGATTCCCTGGCTTAGGCTCAAGACGTATGCCAACTTCCCAGAAGCACCTCAGGAGGAGGCTTCTCTCAGCAATAGGTATGTGGGAGGGACCCCGAGTTTGCTGCCTCAAGGGGAATATACAGCGAGAAGCCCTAACTTGAAAGGAAGCCGGATTTCCTTGCCGTGGCTTGAATACAGGCTCGTCTTTCATCTCACAACATGAAGGGATGTCTGAATCCCCTGTGGAGACCTTAGAGAAAGCCCTAGGTCCCTGCCTCATTTTGACGGAATGCCTCACATCCCGCTGACACCTCGAGAGGCACGCGGAGTTCATTGCTTCAAAAGGTGACGATGCCTGACTCCTCTTGAATACTGATAGGAATCCCAAAATCCCTGTGGCTACTGGAAAGGGTCCTTGGGTGCCCTGCCTCACCTCGAGAAGCGTCCCTTTGGCCCTGCCAAGCCTCGAAGAGATTCCTGAGGTGTCCCTCGTTACTAGACAGGAGTCCTGACGTCACTGAAGAAACTCGTGTTTTGAAGGGCCATCCCCGCCGTAAGTCGAGAACATACCCCAGGTCCCCGCCGCAACTCGAGAAAAACCATGAGACTTCCCCCTAGAGGCGAGATGAGGCCCCATTCCCCTGCAGTGCATGCAGAGCTATTCCGTGATCCCATTCAAACAAGTCAGGAGCTTCGACTTGCTTAATGGATCTCGAGACAGTCCCCAAGAACACTGTCACCAGTCTAGACGGACCCTGAGGTCACCCCAGCAACGCAAAGCAGCTCCATGTGCCCCAAATCAACTCGAGATGAGGCCCGATTCCCCTGCATTGACTCCAGAGCCATTCCCCGTTCCCCATTCCACACGACCGGTGGCTCGACTTCCTTCAGGCAACTCCAGAGATGCCCCGAGAACACTGTCCCAAGTCTAGAGGAACACCAACTTCAGCACAGCAACTCGAGGAATGCTCCGTCTACCCCAAATCGTCTCGAGATGCGAGCTGATTCCCTGGCTTAGGCTCAAGACGTATGCCAACTTCCCAGAAGCACCTCAGGAGGAGGCTTCTCTCAGCAATAGGTATGTGGGAGGGACCCCGAGTTTGCTGCCTCAAGGGGAATATACAGCGAGAAGCCCTAACTTGAAAGGAGGCCGGATTTCCTTGCAGTGGCTTGAATACAGGCTCGTCTTTCATCTCACAACATGAAGGGATGTCTGAATCCCCTGTGGAGACCTTAGAGAAAGCCCTAGGTCCCTGCCTCATTTTGACGGAATGCCTCACATCCCGCTGACACCTCGAGAGGCACGCGGAGTTCATTGCTTCAAAAGGTGACGATGCCTGACTCCTCTTGAATACTGATAGGAATCCCAAAATCCCTGTGGCTACTGGAAAGGGTCCTTGGGTGCCCTGCCTCACCTCGAGAAGCGTCCCTTTGGCCCTGCCAAGCCTCGAAGAGATTCCTGAGGTGTCCCTCGTTACTAGACAGGAGTCCTGACGTCACTGAAGAAACTCGTGTTTTGAAGGGCCATCCCCGCCGTAAGTCGAGAACATACCCCAGGTCCCCGCCGCAACTCGAGAAAAACCATGAGACTTCCCCCTAGAGGCGAGATGAGGCCCCATTCCCCTGCAGTGCATGCAGAGCTATTCCGTGATCCCATTCAAACAAGTCAGGAGCTTCGACTTGCTTAATGGATCTCGAGACAGTCCCCAAGAACACTGTCACCAGTCTAGACGGACCCTGAGGTCACCCCAGCAACGCAAAGCAGCTCCATGTGCCCCAAATCAACTCGAGATGAGGCCCGATTCCCCTGCATTGACTCCAGAGCCATTCCCCGTTCCCCATTCAACACGACCGGTGGCTCGACTTCCTTCAGGCAACTCCAGAGATGCCCCGAGAACACTGTCCCAAGTCTAGAGGAACACCAACTTCAGCACAGCAACTCGAGGAATGCTCCGTCTACCCCAAATCGTCTCGAGATGCGAGCTGATTCCCTGGCTTAGGCTCAAGACGTATGCCAACTTCCCAGAAGCACCTCAGGAGGAGGCTTCTCTCAGCAATAGGTATGTGGGAGGGACCCCGAGTTTGCTGCCTCAAGGGGAATATACAGCGAGAAGCCCTAACTTGAAAGGAAGCCGGATTTCCTTGCCGTGGCTTGAATACAGGCTCGTCTTTCATCTCACAACATGAAGGGATGTCTGAATCCCCTGTGGAGACCTTAGAGAAAGCCCTAGGTCCCTGCCTCATTTTGACGGAATGCCTCACATCCCGCTGACACCTCGAGAGGCACGCGGAGTTCATTGCTTCAAAAGGTGACGATGCCTGACTCCTCTTGAATACTGATAGGAATCCCAAAATCCCTGTGGCTACTGGAAAGGGTCCTTGGGTGCCCTGCCTCACCTCGAGAAGCGTCCCTTTGGCCCTGCCAAGACTCGAAGAGATTCCTGAGGTGTCCCTCGTTACTAGACAGGAGTCCTGACGTCACTGAAGAAACTCGTGTTTTGAAGGGCCATCCCCGCCGTAAGTCGAGAACATACCCCAGGTCCCCGCCGCAACTCGAGAAAAACCATGAGACTTCCCCCTAGAGGCGAGATGAGGCCCCATTCCCCTGCAGTGCATGCAGAGCTATTCCGTGATCCCATTCAAACAAGTCAGGAGCTTCGACTTGCTTAATGGATCTCGAGACAGTCCCCAAGAACACTGTCACCAGTCTAGACGGACCCTGAGGTCACCCCAGCAACGCAAAGCAGCTCCATGTGCCCCAAATCAACTCGAGATGAGGCCCGATTCCCCTGCATTGACTCCAGAGCCATTCCCCGTTCCCCATTCCACACGACCGGTGGCTCGACTTCCTTCAGGCAACTCCAGAGATGCCCCGAGAACACTGTCCCAAGTCTAGAGGAACACCAACTTCAGCACAGCAACTCGAGGAATGCTCCGTCTACCCCAAATCGTCTCGAGATGCGAGCTGATTCCCTGGCTTAGGCTCAAGACGTATGCCAACTTCCCAGAAGCACCTCAGGAGGAGGCTTCTCTCAGCAATAGGTATGTGGGAGGGACCCCGAGTTTGCTGCCTCAAGGGGAATATACAGCGAGAAGCCCTAACTTGAAAGGAGGCCGGATTTCCTTGCAGTGGCTTGAATACAGGCTCGTCTTTCATCTCACAACATGAAGGGATGTCTGAATCCCCTGTGGAGACCTTAGAGAAAGCCCTAGGTCCCTGCCTCATTTTGACGGAATGCCTCACATCCCGCTGACACCTCGAGAGGCACGCGGAGTTCATTGCTTCAAAAGGTGACGATGCCTGACTCCTCTTGAATACTGATAGGAATCCCAAAATCCCTGTGGCTACTGGAAAGGGTCCTTGGGTGCCCTGCCTCACCTCGAGAAGCGTCCCTTTGGCCCTGCCAAGCCTCGAAGAGATTCCTGAGGTGTCCCTCGTTACTAGACAGGAGTCCTGACGTCACTGAAGAAACTCGTGTTTTGAAGGGCCATCCCCGCCGTAAGTCGAGAACATACCCCAGGTCCCCGCCGCAACTCGAGAAAAACCATGAGACTTCCCCCTAGAGGCGAGATGAGGCCCCATTCCCCTGCAGTGCATGCAGAGCTATTCCGTGATCCCATTCAAACAAGTCAGGAGCTTCGACTTGCTTAATGGATCTCGAGACAGTCCCCAAGAACACTGTCACCAGTCTAGACGGACCCTGAGGTCACCCCAGCAACGCAAAGCAGCTCCATGTGCCCCAAATCAACTCGAGATGAGGCCCGATTCCCCTGCATTGACTCCAGAGCCATTCCCCGTTCCCCATTCAACACGACCGGTGGCTCGACTTCCTTCAGGCAACTCCAGAGATGCCCCGAGAACACTGTCCCAAGTCTAGAGGAACACCAACTTCAGCACAGCAACTCGAGGAATGCTCCGTCTACCCCAAATCGTCTCGAGATGCGAGCTGATTCCCTGGCTTAGGCTCAAGGCGTATGCCAACTTCCCAGAAGCACCTCAGGAGGAGGCTTCTCTCAGCAATAGGTATGTGGGAGGGACCCCGAGTTTGCTGCCTCAAGGGGAATATACAGCGAGAAGCCCTAACTTGAAAGGAAGCCGGATTTCCTTGCCGTGGCTTGAATACAGGCTCGTCTTTCATCTCACAACATGAAGGGATGTCTGAATCCCCTGTGGAGACCTTAGAGAAAGCCCTAGGTCCCTGCCTCATTTTGACGGAATGCCTCACATCCCGCTGACACCTCGAGAGGCACGCGGAGTTCATTGCTTCAAAAGGTGACGATGCCTGACTCCTCTTGAATACTGATAGGAATCCCAAAATCCCTGTGGCTACTGGAAAGGGTCCTTGGGTGCCCTGCCTCACCTCGAGAAGCGTCCCTTTGGCCCTGCCAAGCCTCGAAGAGATTCCTGAGGTGTCCCTCGTTACTAGACAGGAGTCCTGACGTCACTGAAGAAACTCGTGTTTTGAAGGGCCATCCCCGCCGTAAGTCGAGAACATACCCCAGGTCCCCGCCGCAACTCGAGAAAAACCATGAGACTTCCCCCTAGAGGCGAGATGAGGCCCCATTCCCCTGCAGTGCATGCAGAGCTATTCCGTGATCATATTCAAACAAGTCAGGAGCTTCGACTTGCTTAATGGATCTCGAGACAGTCCCCAAGAACACTGTCACCAGTCTAGACGGACCCTGAGGTCACCCCAGCAACGCAAAGCAGCTCCATGTGCCCCAAATCAACTCGAGATGAGGCCCGATTCCCCTGCATTGACTCCAGAGCCATTCCCCGTTCCCCATTCCACACGACCGGTGGCTCGACTTCCTTCAGGCAACTCCAGAGATGCCCCGAGAACACTGTCCCAAGTCTAGAGGAACACCAACTTCAGCACAGCAACTCGAGGAATGCTCCGTCTACCCCAAATCGTCTCGAGATGCGAGCTGATTCCCTGGCTTAGGCTCAAGACGTATGCCAACTTCCCAGAAGCACCTCAGGAGGAGGCTTCTCTCAGCAATAGGTATGTGGGAGGGACCCCGAGTTTGCTGCCTCAAGGGGAATATACAGCGAGAAGCCCTAACTTGAAAGGAGGCCGGATTTCCTTGCAGTGGCTTGAATACAGGCTCGTCTTTCATCTCACAACATGAAGGGATGTCTGAATCCCCTGTGGAGACCTTAGAGAAAGCCCTAGGTCCCTGCCTCATTTTGACGGAATGCCTCACATCCCGCTGACACCTCGAGAGGCACGCGGAGTTCATTGCTTCAAAAGGTGACGATGCCTGACTCCTCTTGAATACTGATAGGAATCCCAAAATCCCTGTGGCTACTGGAAAGGGTCCTTGGGTGCCCTGCCTCACCTCGAGAAGCGTCCCTTTGGCCCTGCCAAGCCTCGAAGAGATTCCTGAGGTGTCCCTCGTTACTAGACAGGAGTCCTGACGTCACTGAAGAAACTCGTGTTTTGAAGGGCCATCCCCGCCGTAAGTCGAGAACATACCCCAGGTCCCCGCCGCAACTCGAGAAAAACCATGAGACTTCCCCCTAGAGGCGAGATGAGGCCCCATTCCCCTGCAGTGCATGCAGAGCTATTCCGTGATCCCATTCAAACAAGTCAGGAGCTTCGACTTGCTTAATGGATCTCGAGACAGTCCCCAAGAACACTGTCACCAGTCTAGACGGACCCTGAGGTCACCCCAGCAACGCAAAGCAGCTCCATGTGCCCCAAATCAACTCGAGATGAGGCCCGATTCCCCTGCATTGACTCCAGAGCCATTCCCCGTTCCCCATTCCACACGACCGGTGGCTCGACTTCCTTCAGGCAACTCCAGAGATGCCCCGAGAACACTGTCCCAAGTCTAGAGGAACACCAACTTCAGCACAGCAACTCGAGGAATGCTCCGTCTACCCCAAATCGTCTCGAGATGCGAGCTGATTCCCTGGCTTAGGCTCAAGACGTATGCCAACTTCCCAGAAGCACCTCAGGAGGAGGCTTCTCTCAGCAATAGGTATGTGGGAGGGACCCCGAGTTTGCTGCCTCAAGGGGAATATACAGCGAGAAGCCCTAACTTGAAAGGAAGCCGGATTTCCTTGCCGTGGCTTGAATACAGGCTCGTCTTTCATCTCACAACATGAAGGGATGTCTGAATCCCCTGTGGAGACCTTAGAGAAAGCCCTAGGTCCCTGCCTCATTTTGACGGAATGCCTCACATCCCGCTGACACCTCGAGAGGCACGCGGAGTTCATTGCTTCAAAAGGTGACGATGCCTGACTCCTCTTGAATACTGATAGGAATCCCAAAATCCCTGTGGCTACTGGAAAGGGTCCTTGGGTGCCCTGCCTCACCTCGAGAAGCGTCCCTTTGGCCCTGCCAAGCCTCGAAGAGATTCCTGAGGTGTCCCTCGTTACTAGACAGGAGTCCTGACGTCACTGAAGAAACTCGTGTTTTGAAGGGCCATCCCCGCCGTAAGTCGAGAACATACCCCAGGTCCCCGCCGCAACTCGAGAAAAACCATGAGACTTCCCCCTAGAGGCGAGATGAGGCCCCATTCCCCTGCAGTGCATGCAGAGCTATTCCGTGATCCCATTCAAACAAGTCAGGAGCTTCGACTTGCTTAATGGATCTCGAGACAGTCCCCAAGAACACTGTCACCAGTCTAGACGGACCCTGAGGTCACCCCAGCAACGCAAAGCAGCTCCATGTGCCCCAAATCAACTCGAGATGAGGCCCGATTCCCCTGCATTGACTCCAGAGCCATTCCCCGTTCCCCATTCCACACGACCGGTGGCTCGACTTCCTTCAGGCAACTCCAGAGATGCCCCGAGAACACTGTCCCAAGTCTAGAGGAACACCAACTTCAGCACAGCAACTCGAGGAATGCTCCGTCTACCCCAAATCGTCTCGAGATGCGAGCTGATTCCCTGGCTTAGGCTCAAGACGTATGCCAACTTCCCAGAAGCACCTCAGGAGGAGGCTTCTCTCAGCAATAGGTATGTGGGAGGGACCCCGAGTTTGCTGCCTCAAGGGGAATATACAGCGAGAAGCCCTAACTTGAAAGGAGGCCGGATTTCCTTGCAGTGGCTTGAATACAGGCTCGTCTTTCATCTCACAACATGAAGGGATGTCTGAATCCCCTGTGGAGACCTTAGAGAAAGCCCTAGGTCCCTGCCTCATTTTGACGGAATGCCTCACATCCCGCTGACACCTCGAGAGGCACGCGGAGTTCATTGCTTCAAAAGGTGACGATGCCTGACTCCTCTTGAATACTGATAGGAATCCCAAAATCCCTGTGGCTACTGGAAAGGGTCCTTGGGTGCCCTGCCTCACCTCGAGAAGCGTCCCTTTGGCCCTGCCAAGCCTCGAAGAGATTCCTGAGGTGTCCCTCGTTACTAGACAGGAGTCCTGACGTCACTGAAGAAACTCGTGTTTTGAAGGGCCATCCCCGCCGTAAGTCGAGAACATACCCCAGGTCCCCGCCGCAACTCGAGAAAAACCATGAGACTTCCCCCTAGAGGCGAGATGAGGCCCCATTCCCCTGCAGTGCATGCAGAGCTATTCCGTGATCCCATTCAAACAAGTCAGGAGCTTCGACTTGCTTAATGGATCTCGAGACAGTCCCCAAGAACACTGTCACCAGTCTAGACGGACCCTGAGGTCACCCCAGCAACGCAAAGCAGCTCCATGTGCCCCAAATCAACTCGAGATGAGGCCCGATTCCCCTGCATTGACTCCAGAGCCATTCCCCGTTCCCCATTCAACACGACCGGTGGCTCGACTTCCTTCAGGCAACTCCAGAGATGCCCCGAGAACACTGTCCCAAGTCTAGAGGAACACCAACTTCAGCACAGCAACTCGAGGAATGCTCCGTCTACCCCAAATCGTCTCGAGATGCGAGCTGATTCCCTGGCTTAGGCTCAAGACGTATGCCAACTTCCCAGAAGCACCTCAGGAGGAGGCTTCTCTCAGCAATAGGTATGTGGGAGGGACCCCGAGTTTGCTGCCTCAAGGGGAATATACAGCGAGAAGCCCTAACTTGAAAGGAAGCCGGATTTCCTTGCCGTGGCTTGAATACAGGCTCGTCTTTCATCTCACAACATGAAGGGATGTCTGAATCCCCTGTGGAGACCTTAGAGAAAGCCCTAGGTCCCTGCCTCATTTTGACGGAATGCCTCACATCCCGCTGACACCTCGAGAGGCACGCGGAGTTCATTGCTTCAAAAGGTGACGATGCCTGACTCCTCTTGAATACTGATAGGAATCCCAAAATCCCTGTGGCTACTGGAAAGGGTCCTTGGGTGCCCTGCCTCACCTCGAGAAGCGTCCCTTTGGCCCTGCCAAGCCTCGAAGAGATTCCTGAGGTGTCCCTCGTTACTAGACAGGAGTCCTGACGTCACTGAAGAAACTCGTGTTTTGAAGGGCCATCCCCGCCGTAAGTCGAGAACATACCCCAGGTCCCCGCCGCAACTCGAGAAAAACCATGAGACTTCCCCCTAGAGGCGAGATGAGGCCCCATTCCCCTGCAGTGCATGCAGAGCTATTCCGTGATCCCATTCAAACAAGTCAGGAGCTTCGACTTGCTTAATGGATCTCGAGACAGTCCCCAAGAACACTGTCACCAGTCTAGACGGACCCTGAGGTCACCCCAGCAACGCAAAGCAGCTCCATGTGCCCCAAATCAACTCGAGATGAGGCCCGATTCCCCTGCATTGACTCCAGAGCCATTCCCCGTTCCCCATTCCACACGACCGGTGGCTCGACTTCCTTCAGGCAACTCCAGAGATGCCCCGAGAACACTGTCCCAAGTCTAGAGGAACACCAACTTCAGCACAGCAACTCGAGGAATGCTCCGTCTACCCCAAATCGTCTCGAGATGCGAGCTGATTCCCTGGCTTAGGCTCAAGACGTATGCCAACTTCCCAGAAGCACCTCAGGAGGAGGCTTCTCTCAGCAATAGGTATGTGGGAGGGACCCCGAGTTTGCTGCCTCAAGGGGAATATACAGCGAGAAGCCCTAACTTGAAAGGAGGCCGGATTTCCTTGCAGTGGCTTGAATACAGGCTCGTCTTTCATCTCACAACATGAAGGGATGTCTGAATCCCCTGTGGAGACCTTAGAGAAAGCCCTAGGTCCCTGCCTCATTTTGACGGAATGCCTCACATCCCGCTGACACCTCGAGAGGCACGCGGAGTTCATTGCTTCAAAAGGTGACGATGCCTGACTCCTCTTGAATACTGATAGGAATCCCAAAATCCCTGTGGCTACTGGAAAGGGTCCTTGGGTGCCCTGCCTCACCTCGAGAAGCGTCCCTTTGGCCCTGCCAAGCCTCGAAGAGATTCCTGAGGTGTCCCTCGTTACTAGACAGGAGTCCTGACGTCACTGAAGAAACTCGTGTTTTGAAGGGCCATCCCCGCCGTAAGTCGAGAACATACCCCAGGTCCCCGCCGCAACTCGAGAAAAACCATGAGACTTCCCCCTAGAGGCGAGATGAGGCCCCATTCCCCTGCAGTGCATGCAGAGCTATTCCGTGATCCCATTCAAACAAGTCAGGAGCTTCGACTTGCTTAATGGATCTCGAGACAGTCCCCAAGAACACTGTCACCAGTCTAGACGGACCCTGAGGTCACCCCAGCAACGCAAAGCAGCTCCATGTGCCCCAAATCAACTCGAGATGAGGCCCGATTCCCCTGCATTGACTCCAGAGCCATTCCCCGTTCCCCATTCAACACGACCGGTGGCTCGACTTCCTTCAGGCAACTCCAGAGATGCCCCGAGAACACTGTCCCAAGTCTAGAGGAACACCAACTTCAGCACAGCAACTCGAGGAATGCTCCGTCTACCCCAAATCGTCTCGAGATGCGAGCTGATTCCCTGGCTTAGGCTCAAGACGTATGCCAACTTCCCAGAAGCACCTCAGGAGGAGGCTTCTCTCAGCAATAGGTATGTGGGAGGGACCCCGAGTTTGCTGCCTCAAGGGGAATATACAGCGAGAAGCCCTAACTTGAAAGGAAGCCGGATTTCCTTGCCGTGGCTTGAATACAGGCTCGTCTTTCATCTCACAACATGAAGGGATGTCTGAATCCCCTGTGGAGACCTTAGAGAAAGCCCTAGGTCCCTGCCTCATTTTGACGGAATGCCTCACATCCCGCTGACACCTCGAGAGGCACGCGGAGTTCATTGCTTCAAAAGGTGACGATGCCTGACTCCTCTTGAATACTGATAGGAATCCCAAAATCCCTGTGGCTACTGGAAAGGGTCCTTGGGTGCCCTGCCTCACCTCGAGAAGCGTCCCTTTGGCCCTGCCAAGCCTCGAAGAGATTCCTGAGGTGTCCCTCGTTACTAGACAGGAGTCCTGACGTCACTGAAGAAACTCGTGTTTTGAAGGCCCATCCCCGCCGTAAGTCGAGAACATACCCCAGGTCCCCGCCGCAACTCGAGAAAAACCATGAGACTTCCCCCTAGAGGCGAGATGAGGCCCCATTCCCCTGCAGTGCATGCAGAGCTATTCCGTGATCCCATTCAAACAAGTCAGGAGCTTCGACTTGCTTAATGGATCTCGAGACAGTCCCCAAGAACACTGTCACCAGTCTAGACGGACCCTGAGGTCACCCCAGCAACGCAAAGCAGCTCCATGTGCCCCAAATCAACTCGAGATGAGGCCCGATTCCCCTGCATTGACTCCAGAGCCATTCCCCGTTCCCCATTCCACACGACCGGTGGCTCGACTTCCTTCAGGCAACTCCAGAGATGCCCCGAGAACACTGTCCCAAGTCTAGAGGAACACCAACTTCAGCACAGCAACTCGAGGAATGCTCCGTCTTCCCCAAATCGTCTCGAGATGAGAGCTGATTCCCTGGCTTAGGCTCAAGACGTATGCCAACTTCCCAGAAGCACCTCAGGAGGAGGCTTCTCTCAGCAATAGGTATGTGGGAGGGACCCCGAGTTTGCTGCCTCAAGGGGAATATACAGCGAGAAGCCCTAACTTGAAAGGAGGCCGGATTTCCTTGCAGTGGCTTGAATACAGGCTCGTCTTTCATCTCACAACATGAAGGGATGTCTGAATCCCCTGTGGAGACCTTAGAGAAAGCGCTAGGTCCCTGCCTCATTTTGACGGAATGCCTCACATCCCGCTGACACCTCGAGAGGCACGCGGAGTTCATTGCTTCAAAAGGTGACGATGCCTGACTCCTCTTGAATACTGATAGGAATCCCAAAATCCCTGTGGCTACTGGAAAGGGTCCTTGGGTGCCCTGCCTCACCTCGAGAAGCGTCCCTTTTGCCCTGCCAAGCCTCGAAGAGATTCCTGAGGTGTCCCTCGTTACTAGACAGGAGTCCTGACGTCACTGAAGAAACTCGTGTTTTGAAGGGCCATCCCCGCCGTAAGTCGAGAACATACCCCAGGTCCCCGCCGCAACTCGAGAAAAACCATGAGACTTCCCCCTAGAGGCGAGATGAGGCCCCATTCCCCTGCAGTGCATGCAGAGCTATTCCGTGATCCCATTCAAACAAGTCAGGAGCTTCGACTTGCTTAATGGATCTCGAGACAGTCCCCAAGAACACTGTCACCAGTCTAGACGGACCCTGAGGTCACCCCAGCAACGCAAAGCAGCTCCATGTGCCCCAAATCAACTCGAGATGAGGCCCGATTCCCCTGCATTGACTCCAGAGCCATTCCCCGTTCCCCATTCAACACGACCGGTGGCTCGACTTCCTTCAGGCAACTCCAGAGATGCCCCGAGAACACTGTCCCAAGTCTAGAGGAACACCAACTTCAGCACAGCAACTCGAGGAATGCTCCGTGTACCCCAAATCGTCTCGAGATGCGAGCTGATTCCCTGGCTTAGGCTCAAGACGTATGCCAACTTCCCAGAAGCACCTCAGGAGGAGGCTTCTCTCAGCAATAGGTATGTGGGAGGGACCCCGAGTTTGCTGCCTCAAGGGGAATATACAGCGAGAAGCCCTAACTTGAAAGGAGGCCGGATTTCCTTGCAGTGGCTTGAATACAGGCTCGTCTTTCATCTCACAACATGAAGGGATGTCTGAATCCCCTGTGGAGACCTTAGAGAAAGCCCTAGGTCCCTGCCTCATTTTGACGGAATGCCTCACATCCCGCTGACACCTCGAGAGGCACGCGGAGTTCATTGCTTCAAAAGGTGACGATGCCTGACTCCTCTTGAATACTGATAGGAATCCCAAAATCCCTGTGGCTACTGGAAAGGGTCCTTGGGTGCCCTGCCTCACCTCGAGAAGCGTCCCTTTGGCCCTGCCAAGCCTCGAAGAGATTCCTGAGGTGTCCCTCGTTACTAGACAGGAGTCCTGACCTCACTGAAGAAACTCGTGGTTTGAAGGGCCATCCCTGCCATAAGTCGAGAACATACCCCAGGTCCCCGCCGCAACTCGAGAAAAACCATGAGACTTCCCCCTAGAGGCGAGATGAGGCCCCATTCCCCTGCAGTGCATGCAGAGCTATTCCGTGATCCCATTCAAACAAGTCAGGAGCTTCGACTTGCTTAATGGATCTCGAGACAGTCCCCAAGAACACTGTCACCAGTCTAGACGGACCCTGAGGTCACCCCAGCAACGCAAAGCAGCTCCATGTGCCCCAAATCAACTCGAGATGAGGCCCGATTCCCCTGCATTGACTCCAGAGCCATTCCCCGTTCCCCATTCAACACGACCGGTGGCTCGACTTCCTTCAGGCAACTCCAGAGATGCCCCGAGAACACTGTCCCAAGTCTAGAGGAACACCAACTTCAGCACAGCAACTCGAGGAATGCTCCGTGTACCACAAATCGTCTCGAGATGCGAGCTGATTCCCTGGCTTAGGCTCAAGACGTATGCCAACTTCCCAGAAGCACCTCAGGAGGAGGCTTCTCTCAGCAATAGGTATGTGGGAGGGACCCCGAGTTTGCTGCCTCAAGGGGAATATACAGCGAGAAGCCCTAACTTGAAAGGAGGCCGGATTTCCTTGCAGTGGCTTGAATACAGGCTCGTCTTTCATCTCACAACATGAAGGGATGTCTGAATCCCCTGTGGAGACCTTAGAGAAAGCCCTAGGTCCCTGCCTCATTTTGACGGAATGCCTCACATCCCGCTGACACCTCGAGAGGCACGCGGAGTTCATTGCTTCAAAAGGTGACGATGCCTGACTCCTCTTGAATACTGATAGGAATCCCAAAATCCCTGTGGCTACTGGAAAGGGTCCTTGGGTGCCCTGCCTCACCTCGAGAAGCGTCCCTTTGGCCCTGCCAAGCCTCGAAGAGATTCCTGAGGTGTCCCTCGTTACTAGACAGGAGTCCTGACGTCACTGAAGAAACTCGTGTTTTGAAGGGATATCCCCGCCGTAAGTCGAGAACATACCCCAGGTCCCCGCCGCAACTCGAGAAAAACCATGAGACTTCCCCCTAGAGGCGAGATGAGGCCCCATTCCCCTGCAGTGCATGCAGAGCTATTCCGTGATCCCATTCAAACAAGTCAGGAGCTTCGACTTGCTTAATGGATCTCGAGACAGTCCCCAAGAACACTGTCACCAGTCTAGACGGACCCTGAGGTCACCCCAGCAACGCAAAGCAGCTCCATGTGCCCCAAATCAACTCGAGATGAGGCCCGATTCCCCTGCATTGACTCCAGAGCCATTCCCCGTTCCCCATTCCACACGACCGGTGGCTCGACTTCCTTCAGGCAACTCCAGAGATGCCCCGAGAACACTGTCCCAAGTCTAGAGGAACACCAACTTCAGCACAGCAACTCGAGGAATGATCCGTGTACCCCAAATCGTCTCGAGATGCGAGCTGATTCCCTGGCTTAGGCTCAAGACGTATGCCAACTTCCCAGAAGCACCTCAGGAGGAGGCTTCTCTCAGCAATAGGTATGTGGGAGGGACCCCGAGTTTGCTGCCTCAAGGGGAATATACAGCGAGAAGCCCTAACTTGAAAGGAGGCCGGATTTCCTTGCAGTGGCTTGAATACAGGCTTGTCTTTCATCTCACAACATGAAGGGATGTCTGAATCCCCTGTGGAGACCTTAGAGAAAGCCCTAGGTCCCTGCCTCATTTTGACGGAATGCCTCACATCCCGCTGACACCTCGAGAGGCACGCGGAGTTCATTGCTTCAAAAGGTGACGATGCCTGACTCCTCTTGAATACTGATAGGAATCCCAAAATCCCTGTGGCTACTGGAAAGGGTCCTTGGGTGCCCTGCCTCACCTCGAGAAGCGTCCCTTTGGCCCTGCCAAGCCTCGAAGAGATTCCTGAGGTGTCCCTCGTTACTAGACAGGAGTCCTGACGTCACTGAAGAAACTCGTGTTTTGAAGGGCCATCCCCGCCGTAAGTCGAGAACATACCCCAGGTCCCCGCCGCAACTCGAGAAAAACCATGAGACTTCCCCCTAGAGGCGAGATGAGGCCCCATTCCCCTGCAGTGCATGCAGAGCTTTTCCGTGATCCCATTCAAACAAGTCAGGAGCTTCGACTTGCTTAATGGATCTCGAGACAGTCCCCAAGAACACTGTCACCAGTCTAGACGGACCCTGAGGTCACCCCAGCAACGCAAAGCAGCTCCATGTGCCCCAAATCAACTCGAGATGAGGCCCGATTCCCCTGCATTGACTCCAGAGCCATTCCCCGTTCCCCATTCAACACGACGGTGGCTCGACTTCCTTCAGGCAACTCCAGAGATGCCCCGAGAACACTGTCCCAAGTCTAGAGGAACACCAACTTCAGCACAGCAACTCGAGGAATGCTCCGTGTACCCCAAATCGTCTCGAGATGCGAGCTGATTCCCTGGCTTAGGCTCAGGACGTATGCCAACTTTCCAGAAGCACCTCAGGAGGAGGCTTCTCTCAGCAATAGGTATGTGGGAGGGACCCCGAGTTTGCTGCCTCAAGGGGAATATACAGCGAGAAGCCCTAACTTGAAAGGAGGCCGGATTTCCTTGCAGTGGCTTGAATACAGGCTCGTCTTTCATCTCACAACATGAAGGGATGTCTGAATCCCCTGTGGAGACCTTAGAGAAAGCCCTAGGCCCCTGCCTCATTTTGACGGAATGCCTCACATCCCGCTGACACCTCGAGAGGCACGCGGAGTTCATTGCTTCAAAAGGTGACGATGCCTGACTCCTCTTGAATACTGATAGGAATCCCAAAATCCCTGTGGCTACTGGAAAGGGTCCTTGGGTGCCCTGCCTCACCTCGAGAAGCGTCCCTTTGGCCCTGCCAAGCCTCGAAGAGATTCCTGAGGTGTCCCTCGTTACTAGACAGGAGTCCTGACGTCACTGAAGAAACTCGTGTTTTGAAAGGCCATCCCCGCCGTAAGTCGAGAACATACCCCAGGTCCCCGCCGCAACTCGAGAAAAACCATGAGACTTCCCCGTAGAGGCGAGATGAGGTCCCATTCCCCTGCAGTGCATGCAGAGCTATTCCGTGACCCCATTCAAACAAGTCAGGAGCTTCGACTTGCTTAATGGATCTCGAGACAGTCCCCAAGAACACTGTCACCAGTCTAGATGGACCCTGAGGTCACCCCAGCAACGCAAAGCAGCTCCATGTGCCCCAAATCAACTCGAGATGAGGCCCGATTCCCCTGCATTGACTCCAGAGCCATTCCCCGTTCCCCATTCAACACGACCGGTGGCTCGACTTCCTTCAGGCAACTCCAGAGATGCCCCGAGAACACTGTCCCAAGTCTAGAGGAACACCAACTTCAGCACAGCAACTCGAGGAATGCTCCGTGTACCCCAAATCGTCTCGAGATGCGAGCTGATTCCCTGGCTTAGGCTCAAGACGTATGCCAACTTCCCAGAAGCACCTCAGGAGGAGGCTTCTCTCAGCAATAGGTATGTGGGAGGGACCCCGAGTTTGCTGCCTCAAGGGGAATATACAGCGAGAAGCCCTAACTTGAAAGGAGGCCGGATTTCCTTGAAGTGGCTTGAATACAGGCTCGTCTTTCATCTCACAACATGAAGGGATGTCTGAATCCCCTGTGTAGACCTTAGAGAAAGCCCTAGGTCCCTGCCTCATTTTGACGGAATGCCTCACATCCCGCTGACACCTCGAGAGGCACGTGGAGTTCATTGCTTCAAAAGGTGACGATGCCTGACTCCTCTTGAATACTGATAGGAATCCCAAAATCCCTGTGGCTACTGGAAAGGGTCCTTGGGTGCCCTGCCTCACCTCGAGAAGCGTCCCTTTGGCCCTGCCAAGCCTCGAAGAGATTAATGAGGTGTCCCTCGTTACTAGACAGGAGTCCTGACCTCACTGAAGAAACTCGTGTTTTGAAGGGCCATCCCTGCCGTAAGTCGAGAACATACCCCAGGTCCCCGCCGCAACTCGAGAAAAACCATGAGACTTCCCCCTAGAGGCGAGATGAGGCCCCATTCCCCTGCAGTGCATGCAGAGCTATTCCGTGATCCCATTCAAACAAGTCAGGAGCTTCGACTTGCTTAATGGATCTCGAGACAGTCCCCAAGAACACTGTCACCAGTCTAGACGGACCCTGAGGTCACCCCAGCAACGCAAAGCAGCTCCATGTGCCCCAAATCAACTCGAGATGAGGCCCGATTCCCCTGCATTGACTCCAGAGCCATTCCCCATTCCCCATTCCACACGACCGGTGGCTCAACTTTCTTCAGGCAACTCCAGAGATGCCCCGAGAACACTGTCCCAAGTCTAGAGGAACACCAACTTCAGCACAGCAACTCGAGGAATGCTCCGTGTACCCCAAATCGTCTCGAGATGCGAGCTGATTCCCTGGCTTAGGCTCAAGATGTATGCCAACTTCCCAGAAGCACCTCAGGAGGAGGCTTCTCTCAGCAATAGCTATGTGGGAGGGACCCCGAGTTTGCTGCCTCAAGGGGAATATACAGCGAGAAGCCATAACTTGAAAGGAGGCCGGATTTCCTTGCAGTGGCTTGAATACAGGCTCGTCTTTCATCTCACAACATGAAGGGATGTCTGAATCCCCTGTGGAGACCTTAGAGAAAGCCCTAGGTCCCTGCCTCATTTTGACGGAATGCCTCACATCCCGCTGACACCTCGAGAGGCACGCGCAGTTCATTGCTTCAAAAGGTGACGATGCCTGACTCCTCTTGAATACTGATAGGAATCCCAAAATCCCTGTGGCTACTGGAAAGGGTACTTGGGTGCCCTGCCTCACCTCGAGAAGCGTCCCTTTGGCCCTGCCAAGCCTCGAAGAGATTCCTGAGGTGTCCCTCGTTACTAGACAGGAGTCCTGACGTCACTGAAGAAACTCGTGTTTTGAAGGGCCATCCCCGCCGTAAGTCGAGAACATACCCCAGGTCCCCGCCGCAACTCGAGAAAAACCATGAGACTTCCCCCTAGAGGCGAGATGAGGCCCCATTCCCCTGCAGTGCATGCAGAGCTATTCCGTGATACCATTCAAACAAGTCAGGAGCTTCGACTTGCTTAATGGATCTCGAGACAGTCCCCAAGAACACTGTCACCAGTCTAGACGGACCCTGAGGTCACCCCAGCAACGCAAAGCAGCTCCATGTGCCCCAAATCAACTCGAGATGAGGCCCGATTCCCCTGCATTGACTCCAGAGCCATTCCCCGTTCCCCATTCCACACGACCGGTGGCTCGACTTCCTTCAGGCAACTCCAGAGATGCCCCGAGAACACTGTCCCAAGTCTAGAGGAACACCAACTTCAGCACAGCAACTCGAGGAATGCTCCGTGTACCCCAAATCGTCTCGAGATGCGAGCTGATTCCCTGGCTTAGGCTCAAGACGTATGCCAACTTCCCAGAAGCACCTCAGGAGGAGGCTTCTCTCAGCAATAGGTATGTGGGAGGGACCCCGAGTTTGCTGCCTCAAGGGGAATATACAGCGAGAAGCCCTAACTTGAAAGGAGGCCGGATTTCCTTGCAGTGGCTTGAATACAGGCTCGTCTTTCATCTCACAACATGAAGGGATGTCTGAATCCCCTGTGGAGACCTTAGAGAAAGCCCTAGGTCCCTGCCTCATTTTGACGGAATGCCTCACATCCCGCTGACACCTCGAGAGGCACGCGGAGTTCATTGCTTCAAAAGGTGACGATGCCTGACTCCTCTTGAATACTGATAGGAATCCCAAAATCCCTGTGGCTACTGGAAAGGGTCCTTGGGTGCCCTGCCTCACCTCGAGAAGCGTCCCTTTGGCCCTGCCAAGCCTCGAAGAGATTCCTGAGGTGTCCCTCGTTACTAGACAGGAGTCCTGACGTCACTGAAGAAACTCGTGTTTTGAAGGGCCATCCCCGCCGTAAGTCGAGAACATACCCCAGGTCCCCGCCGCAACTCGAGAAAAACCATGAGACTTCCCCCTAGAGGCGAGATGAGGCCCCATTCCCCTGCAGTGCATGCAGAGCTATTCCGTGATCCCATTCAAACAAGTCAGGAGCTTCGACTTGCTTAATGGATCTCGAGACAGTCCCCAAGAACACTGTCACCAGTCTAGACGGACCCTGAGGTCACCCCAGCAACGCAAAGCAGCTCCATGTGCCCCAAATCAACTCGAGATGAGGCCCGATTCCCCTGCATTGACTCCAGAGCCATTCCCCGTTCCCCATTCCACACGACCGGTGGCTCGACTTCCTTCAGGCAACTCCAGAGATGCCCCGAGAACACTGTCCCAAGTCTAGAGGAACACCAACTTCAGCACAGCAACTCGAGGAATGATCCGTGTACCCCAAATCGTCTCGAGATGCGAGCTGATTCCCTGGCTTAGGCTCAAGACGTATGCCAACTTCCCAGAAGCACCTCAGGAGGAGGCTTCTCTCAGCAATAGGTATGTGGGAGGGACCCCGAGTTTGCTGCCTCAAGGGGAATATACAGCGAGAAGCCCTAACTTGAAAGGAGGCCGGATTTCCTTGCAGTGGCTTGAATACAGGCTTGTCTTTCATCTCACAACATGAAGGGATGTCTGAATACCCTGTGGAGACCTTAGAGAAAGCCCTAGGTCCCTGCCTCATTTTGACGGAATGCCTCACATCCCGCTGACACCTCGAGAGGCACGCGGAGTTCATTGCTTCAAAAGGTGACGATGCCTGACTCCTCTTGAATACTGATAGGAATCCCAAAATCCCTGTGGCTACTGGAAAGGGTCCTTGGGTGCCCTGCCTCACCTCGAGAAGCGTCCCTTTGGCCCTGCCAAGCCTCGAAGAGATTCCTGAGGTGTCCCTCGTTACTAGACAGGAGTCCTGACGTCACTGAAGAAACTCGTGTTTTGAAGGGCCATCCCCGCCGTAAGTCGAGAACATACCCCAGGTCCCCGCCGCAACTCGAGAAAAACCATGAGACTTCCCCCTAGAGGCGAGATGAGGCCCCATTCCCCTGCAGTGCATGCAGAGCTATTCCGTGATCCCATTCAAACAAGTCAGGAGCTTCGACTTGCTTAATGGATCTCGAGACAGTCCCCAAGAACACTGTCACCAGTCTAGACGGACCCTGAGGTCACCCCAGCAACGCAAAGCAGCTCCATGTGCCCCAAATCAACTCGAGATGAGGCCCGATTCCCCTGCATTGACTCCAGAGCCATTCCCCGTTCCCCATTCAACACGACCGATGGCTCGACTTCCTTCAGGCAACTCCAGAGATGCCCCGAGAACACTGTCCCAAGTCTAGAGGAACACCAACTTCAGCACAGCAACTCGAGGAATGCTCCGTGTACCCCAAATCGTCTCGAGATGCGAGCTGATTCCCTGGCTTAGGCTCAAGACGTATGCCAACTTCCCAGAAGCACCTCAGGAGGAGGCTTCTCTCAGCAATAGGTATGTGGGAGGGACCCCGAGTTTGCTGCCTCAAGGGGAATATACAGCGAGAAGCCCTAACTTGAAAGGAGGCCGGATTTCCTTGCAGTGGCTTGAATACAGGCTCGTCTTTCATCTCACAACATGAAGGGATGTCTGAATCCCCTGTGGAGACCTTAGAGAAAGCCCTAGGTCCCTGCCTCATTTTGACGGAATGCCTCACATCCCGCTGACACCTCGAGAGGCACGCGGAGTTCATTGCTTCAAAAGGTGACGATGCCTGACTCCTCTTGAATACTGATAGGAATCCCAAAATCCCTGTGGCTACTGGAAAGGGTCCTTGGGTGCCCTGCCTCACCTCGAGAAGCGTCCCTTTGGCCCTGCCAAGCCTCAAAGAGATTCCTGAGGTGTCCCTCGTTACTAGACAGGAGTCCTGACGTCACTGAAGAAACTCGTGTTTTGAAGGGCCATCCCCGCCGTAAGTCGAGAACATATCCCAGGTCCCCGCCGCAACTCGAGAAAAACCATGAGACTTCCCCCTAGAGGCGAGATGAGGCCCCATTCCCCTGCAGTGCATGCAGAGCTATTCCGTGATCCCATTCAAACAAGTCAGGAGCTTCGACTTGCTTAATGGATCTCGAGACAGTCCCCAAGAACACTGTCACCAGTCTAGACGGACCCTGAGGTCACCCCAGCAACGCAAAGCAGCTCCATGTGCCCCAAATCAACTCGAGATGAGGCCCGATTCCCCTGCATTGACTCCAGAGCCATTCCCCATTCCCCATTCAACACGACCGGTGGCTCGACTTCCTTCAGGCAACTCCAGAGATGCCCCGAGAACACTGTCCCAAGTCTAGAGGAACACCAACTTCAGCACAGCAGCTCGAGGAATGCTCCGTGTACCCCAAATCGTCTCGAGATGCGAGCTGATTCCCTGGCTTAGGCTCAAGACGTATGCCAACTTCCCAGAAGCACCTCAGGAGGAGGCTTCTCTCAGCAATAGGTATGTGGGAGGGACCCCGAGTTTGCTGCCTCAAGGGGAATATACAGCGAGAAGCCCTAACTTGAAAGGAGGCCGGATTTCCTTGCAGTGGCTTGAATACAGGCTCGTCTTTCATCTCACAACATGAAGGGATGTCTGAATCCCCTGTGGAGACCTTAGAGAAAGCCCTAGGTCCCTGCCTCATTTTGACGGAATGCCTCACATCCCGCTGACACCTCGAGAGGCACGCGGAGTTCATTGCTTCAAAAGGTGACGATGCCTGACTCCTCTTGAATACTGATAGGAATCCCAAAATCCCTGTGGCTACTGGAAAGGGTCCTTGGGTGCCCTGCCTCACCTCGAGAAGCGTCCCTTTGGCCCTGCCAAGCCTCGAAGAGATTCCTGAGGTGTCCCTCGTTACTAGACAGGAGTCCTGACGTCACTGAAGAAACTCGTGTTTTGAAGGGCCATCCCCGCCGTAAGTCGAGAACATACCCCAGGTCCCCGCCGCAACTCGAGAAAAACCATGAGACTTCCCCCTAGAGGCGAGATGAGGCCCCATTCCCCTGCAGTGCATGCAGAGCTATTCCGTGATCCCATTCAAACAAGTCAGGAGCTTCGACTTGCTTAATGGACCTCGAGAGAGTCCCCAAGAACACTGTCACCAGTCTAGACGGACCCTGAGGTCACCCCAGCAACGCAAAGCAGCTCCATGTGCCCCAAATCAACTCGAGATGAGGCCCGATTCCCCTGCATTGACTCCAGAGCCATTCCCAGTTCCCCATTCAACACGACCGGTGGCTCGACTTCCTTCAGGCAACTCCAGAGATGCCCCGAGAACACTGTCCCAAGTCTAGAGGAACACCAACTTCAGCACAGCAACTCGAGGAATGCTCCGTGTACCCCAAATCGTCTCGAGATGCGAGCTGATTCCCTGGCTTAGGCTCAAGACGTATGCCAACTTCCCAGAAGCACCTCAGGAGGAGGCTTCTCTCAGCAATAGGTATGTGGGAGGGACCCCGAGTTTGCTGCCTCAAGGGGAATATACAGCGAGAAGCCCTAACTTGAAAGGAGGCCGGATTTCCTTGCAGTGGCTTGAATACAGGCTCGTCTTTCATCTCACAACATGAAGGGATGTCTGAATCCCCTGTGGAGACCTTAGAGAAAGCCCTAGGTCCCTGCCTCATTTTGACGGAATGCCTCACATCCCGCTGACACCTCGAGAGGCACGCGGAGTTCATTGCTTCAAAAGGTGACGATGCCTGACTCCTCTTGAATACTGATAGGAATCCCAAAATCCCTGTGGCTACTGGAAAGGGTCCTTGGGTGCCCTGCCTCACCTCGAGAAGCGTCCCTTTGGCCCTGCCAAGCCTCGAAGAGATTCCTGAGGTGTCCCTCGTTACTAGACAGGAGTCCTGACGTCACTGAAGAAACTCGTGTTTTGAAGGGCCATCCCCGCCGTAAGTCGAGAACATACCCCAGGTCCCCGCCGCAACTCGAGAAAAACCATGAGACTTCCCCCTAGAGGCGAGATGAGGCCCCATTCCCCTGCAGTGCATGCAGAGCTATTCCGTGATCCCATTCAAACAAGTCAGGAGCTTCGACTTGCTTAATGGATCTCGAGACAGTCCCCAAGAACACTGTCACCAGTCTAGACGGACCCTGAGGTCACCCCAGCAACGCAAAGCAGCTCCATGTGCCCCAAATCAACTCGAGATGAGGCCCGATTCCCCTGCATTGACTCCAGAGCCATTCCCCGTTCCCCATTCAACACGACCGGTGGCTCGACTTCCTTCAGGCAACTCCAGAGATGCCCCGAGAACACTTTCCCAAGTCTAGAGGAACACCAACTTCAGCACAGCAACTCGAGGAATGCTCCGTGTACCCCAAATCGTCTCGAGATGCGAGCTGATTCCCTGGCTTAGGCTCAAGACGTATGCCAACTTCCCAGAAGCACCTCAGGAGGAGGCTTCTCTCAGCAATAGGTATGTGGGAGGGACCCCGAGTTTGCTGCCTCAAGGGGAATATACAGCGAGAAGCCCTAACTTGAAAGGAGGCCGGATTTCCTTGCAGTGGCTTGAATACAGGCTCGTCTTTCATCTCACAACATGAAGGGATGTCTGAATCCCCTGTGGAGACCTTAGAGAAAGCCCTAGGTCCCTGCCTCATTTTGACGGAATGCCTCACATCCCGCTGACACCTCGAGAGGCACGCGGAGTTCATTGCTTCAAAAGGTGACGATGCCTGACTCCTCTTGAATACTGATAGGAATCCCAAAATCCCTGTGGCTACTGGAAAGGGTCCTTGGGTGCCCTGCCTCACCTCGAGAAGCGTCCCTTTGGCCCTGCCAAGCCTCGAAGAGATTCCTGAGGTGTCCCTCGTTACTAGACAGGAGTCCTGACCTCACTGAAGAAACTCGTGTTTTGAAGGGCCATCCCCGCCGTAAGTCGAGAACATACCCCAGGTCCCCGCCGCAACTCGAGAAAAACCATGAGACTTCCCCCTAGAGGCGAGATGAGGCCCCATTCCCCTGCAGTGCATGCAGAGCTATTCCGTGATCCCATTCAAACAAGTCAGGAGCTTCGACTTGCTTAATGGATCTCGAGACAGTCCCCAAGAACACTGTCACCAGTCTAGACGGACCCTGAGGTCACCCCAGCAACGCAAAGCAGCTCCATGTGCCCCAAATCAACTCGAGATGAGGCCCGATTCCCCTGCATTGACTCCAGAGCCATTCCCCGTTCCCCATTCCACACGACCGGTGGCTCGACTTCCTTCAGGCAACTCCAGAGATGCCCCGAGAACACTGTCCCAAGTCTAGAGGAACACCAACTTCAGCACAGCAACTCGAGGAATGCTCCGTGTACCCCAAATCGTCTCGAGATGCGAGCTGATTCCCTGGCTTAGGCTCAAGACGTATGCCAACTTCCCAGAAGCACCTCAGGAGGAGGCTTCTCTCAGCAATAGGTATGTGGGAGGGACCCCGAGTTTGCTGCCTCAAGGGGAATATACAGCGAGAAGCCCTAACTTGAAAGGAGGCCGGATTTCCTTGCAGTGGCTTGAATACAGGCTCGTCTTTCATCTCACAACATGAAGGGATGTCTGAATCCCCTGTGGAGACCTTAGAGAAAGCCCTAGGTCCCTGCCTCATTTTGACGGAATGCCTCACATCCCGCTGACACCTCGAGAGGCACGCGGAGTTCATTGCTTCAAAAGGTGACGATGCCTGACTCCTCTTGAATACTGATAGGAATCCCAAAATCCCTGTGGCTACTGGAAAGGGTCCTTGGGTGCCCTGCCTCACCTCGAGAAGCGTCCCTTTGGCCCTGCCAAGCCTCGAAGAGATTCCTGAGGTGTCCCTCGTTACTAGACAGGAGTCCTGACGTCACTGAAGAAACTCGTGTTTTGAAGGGCCATCCCCGCCGTAAGTCGAGAACATACCCCAGGTCCCCGCCGCAACTCGAGAAAAACCATGAGACTTCCCCCTAGAGGCGAGATGAGGCCCCATTCCCCTGCAGTGCATGCAGAGCTATTCCGTGATCCCATTCAAACAAGTCAGGAGCTTCGACTTGCTTAATGGATCTCGAGACAGTCCCCAAGAACACTGTCACCAGTCTAGACGGACCCTGAGGTCACCCCAGCAACGCAAAGCAGCTCCATGTGCCCCAAATCAACTCGAGATGAGGCCCGATTCCCCTGCATTGACTCCAGAGCCATTCCCCGTTCCCCATTCAACACGACCGGTGGCTCGACTTCCTTCAGGCAACTCCAGAGATGCCCCGAGAACACTTTCCCAAGTCTAGAGGAACACCAACTTCAGCACAGCAACTCGAGGAATGCTCCGTGTACCCCAAATCGTCTCGAGATGCGAGCTGATTCCCTGGCTTAGGCTCAAGACGTATGCCAACTTCCCAGAAGCACCTCAGGAGGAGGCTTCTCTCAGCAATAGGTATGTGGGAGGGACCCCGAGTTTGCTGCCTCAAGGGGAATATACAGCGAGAAGCCCTAACTTGAAAGGAGGCCGGATTTCCTTGCAGTGGCTTGAATACAGGCTCGTCTTTCATCTCACAACATGAAGGGATGTCTGAATCCCCTGTGGAGACCTTAGAGAAAGCCCTAGTTCCCTGCCTCATTTTGACGGAATGCCTCACATCCCGCTGACACCTCGAGAGGCACGCGGAGTTCATTGCTTCAAAAGGTGACGATGCCTGACTCCTCTTGAATACTGATAGGAATCCCAAAATCCCTGTGGCTACTGGAAAGGGTCCTTGGGTGCCCTGCCTCACCTCGAGAAGCGTCCCTTTGGCCCTGCCAAGCCTCGAAGAGATTCCTGAGGTGTCCCTCGTTACTAGACAGGAGTCCTGACCTCACTGAAGAAACTCGTGTTTTGAAGGGCCATCCCCGCCGTAAGTCGAGAACATACCCCAGGTACCCGCCGCAACTCGAGAAAAACCATGAGACTTCCCCCTAGAGGCGAGATGAGGCCCCATTCCCCTGCAGTGCATGCAGAGCTATTCCGTGATCCCATTCAAACAAGTCAGGAGCTTCGACTTGCTTAATGGATCTCGAGACAGTCCCCAAGAACACTGTCACCAGTCTAGACGGACCCTGAGGTCACCCCAGCAACGCAAAGCAGCTCCATGTGCCCCAAATCAACTCGAGATGAGGCCCGATTCCCCTGCATTGACTCCAGAGCCATTCCCCGTTCCCCATTCCACACGACCGGTGGCTCGACTTCCTTCAGGCAACTCCAGAGATGCCCCGAGAACACTGTCCCAAGTCTAGAGGAACACCAACTTCAGCACAGCAACTCGAGGAATGCTCCGTGTACCCCAAATCGTCTCGAGATGCGAGATGATTCCCTGGCTTAGGCTCAAGACGTATGCCAACTTCCCAGAAGCACCTCAGGAGGAGGCTTCTCTCAGCAATAGGTATGTGGGAGGGACCCCGAGTTTGCTGCCTCAAGGGGAATATACAGCGAGAAGCCCTAACTTGAAAGGAGGCCGGATTTCCTTGCAGTGGCTTGAATACAGGCTCGTCTTTCATCTCACAACATGAAGGGATGTCTGAATCCCCTGTGGAGACCTTAGAGAAAGCCCTAGGTCCCTGCCTCATTTTGACGGAATGCCTCACATCCCGCTGACACCTCGAGAGGCACGCGGAGTTCATTGCTTCAAAAGGTGACGATGCCTGACTCCTCTTGAATACTGATAGGAATCCCAAAATCCCTGTGGCTACTGGAAAGGGTCCTTGGGTGCCCTGCCTCACCTCGAGAAGCGTCCCTTTGGCCCTGCCAAGCCTCGAAGAGATTCCTGAGGTGTCCCTCGTTACTAGACAGGAGTCCTGACGTCACTGAAGAAACTCGTGTTTTGAAGGGCCATCCCCGCCGTAAGTCGAGAACATACCCCAGGTCCCCGCCGCAACTCGAGAAAAACCATGAGACTTCCCCCTAGAGGCGAGATGAGGCCCCATTCCCCTGCAGTGCATGCAGAGCTATTCCGTGATCCCATTCAAACAAGTCAGGAGCTTCGACTTGCTTAATGGATCTCGAGACAGTCCCCAAGAACACTGTCACCAGTCTAGACGGACCCTGAGGTCACCCCAGCAACGCAAAGCAGCTCCATGTGCCCCAAATCAACTCGAGATGAGGCCCGATTCCCCTGCATTGACTCCAGAGCCATTCCCCATTCCCCATTCAACACGACCGGTGGCTCGACTTCCTTCAGGCAACTCCAGAGATGCCGCGAGAACACTGTCCCAAGTCTAGAGGAACACCAACTTCAGCACAGCAACTCGAGGAATGCTCCGTGTACCCCAAATCGTCTCGAGATGCGAGCTGATTCCCTGGCTTAGGCTCAAGACGTATGCCAACTTCCCAGAAGCACCTCAGGAGGAGGCTTCTCTCAGCAATAGGTATGTGGGAGGGACCCCGAGTTTGCTGCCTCAAGGGGAATATACAGCGAGAAGCCCTAACTTGAAAGGAGGCCGGATTTCCTTGCAGTGGCTTGAATACAGGCTCGTCTTTCATCTCACAACATGAAGGGATGTCTGAATCCCCTGTGGAGACCTTAGAGAAAGCCCTAGGTCCCTGCCTCATTTTGACGGAATGCCTCACATCCCGCTGACACCTCGAGAGGCACGCGGAGTTCATTGCTTCAAAAGGTGACGATGCCTGACTCCTCTTGAATACTGATAGGAATCCCAAAATCCCTGTGGCTACTGGAAAGGGTCCTTGGGTGCCCTGCCTCACCTCGAGAAGCGTCCCTTTGGCCCTGCCAAGCCTCGAAGAGATTCCTGAGGTGTCCCTCGTTACTAGACAGGAGTCCTGACGTCACTGAAGAAACTCGTGTTTTGAAGGGCCATCCCCGCCGTAAGTCGAGAACATACCCCAGGTCCCCGCCGCAACTCGAGTAAAACCATGAGACTTCCCCCTAGAGGCGAGATGAGGCCCCATTCCCCTGCAGTGCATGCAGAGCTATTCCGTGATCCCATTCAAACAAGTCAGGAGCTTCGACTTGCTTAATGGATCTCGAGACAGTCCCCAAGAACACTGTCACCAGTCTAGACGGACCCTGAGGTCACCCCAGCAACGCAAAGCAGCTCCATGTGCCCCAAATCAACTCGAGATGAGGCCCGATTCCCCTGCATTGACTCCAGAGCCATTCCCCGTTCCCCATTCAACACGACCGGTGGCTCGACTTCCTTCAGGCAACTCCAGAGATGCCGCGAGAACACTGTCCCAAGTCTAGAGGAACACCAACTTCAGCACAGCAACTCGAGGAATGCTCCGTGTACCCCAAATCGTCTCGAGATGCGAGCTGATTCCCTGGCTTAGGCTCAAGACGTATGCCAACTTCCCAGAAGCACCTCAGGAGGAGGCTTCTCTCAGCAATAGGTATGTGGGAGGGACCCCGAGTTTGCTGCCTCAAGGGGAATATACAGCGAGAAGCCCTAACTTGAAAGGAGGCCGGATTTCCTTGCAGTGGCTTGAATACAGGCTCGTCTTTCATCTCACAACATGAAGGGATGTCTGAATCCCCTGTGGAGACCTTAGAGAAAGCCCTAGGTCCCTGCCTCATTTTGACGGAATGCCTCACATCCCGCTGACACCTCGAGAGGCACGCGGAGTTCATTGCTTCAAAAGGTGACGATGCCTGACTCCTCTTGAATACTGATAGGAATCCCAAAATCCCTGTGGCTACTGGAAAGGGTCCTTGGGTGCCCTGCCTCACCTCGAGAAGCGTCCCTTTGGCCCTGCCAAGCCTCGAAGAGATTCCTGAGGTGTCCCTCGTTACTAGACAGGAGTCCTGACGTCACTGAAGAAACTCGTGTTTTGAAGGGCCATCCCCGCCGTAAGTCGAGAACATACCCCAGGTCCCCGCCGCAACTCGAGAAAAACCATGAGACTTCCCCCTAGAGGCGAGATGAGGCCCCATTCCCCTGCAGTGCATGCAGAGCTATTCCGTGATCCCATTCAAACAAGTCAGGAGCTTCGACTTGCTTAATGGATCTCGAGACAGTCCCCAAGAACACTGTCACCAGTCTAGACGGACCCTGAGTTCACCCCAGCAACGCAAAGCAGCTCCATGTGCCCCAAATCAACTCGAGATGAGGCCCGATTCCCCTGCATTGACTCCAGAGCCATTCCCCGTTCCCCATTCAACACGACCGGTGGCTCGACTTCCTTCAGGCAACTCCAGAGATGCCCCGAGAACACTGTCCCAAGTCTAGAGGAACACCAACTTCAGCACAGCAACTCGAGGAATGCTCCGTGTACCCCAAATCGTCTCGAGATGCGAGCTGATTCCCTGGCTTAGGCTCAAGACGTATGCCAACTTCCCAGAAGCACCTCAGGAGGAGGCTTCTCTCAGCAATAGGTATGTGGGAGGGACCCCGAGTTTGCTGCCTCAAGGGGAATATACAGCGAGAAGCCCTAACTTGAAAGGAGGCCGGATTTCCTTGCAGTGGCTTGAATACAGGCTCGTCTTTCATCTCACAACATGAAGGGATGTCTGAATCCCCTGTGGAGACCTTAGAGAAAGCCCTAGGTCCCTGCCTCATTTTGACGGAATGCCTCACATCCCGCTGACACCTCGAGAGGCACGCGGAGTTCATTGCTTCAAAAGGTGACGATGCCTGACTCCTCTTGAATACTGATAGGAATCCCAAAATCCCTGTGGCTACTGGAAAGGGTCCTTGGGTGCCCTGCCTCACCTCGAGAAGCGTCCCTTTGGCCCTGCCAAGCCTCGAAGAGATTCCTGAGGTGTCCCTCGTTACTAGACAGGAGTCCTGACGTCACTGAAGAAACTCGTGTTTTGAAGGGCCATCCCCGCCGTAAGTCGAGAACATACCCCAGGTCCCCGCCGCAACTCGAGAAAAACCATGAGACTTCCCCCTAGAGGCGAGATGAGGCCCCATTCCCCTGCAGTGCATGCAGAGCTATTCCGTGATCCCATTCAAACAAGTCAGGAGCTTCGACTTGCTTAATGGATCTCGAGACAGTCCCCAAGAACACTGTCACCAGTCTAGACGGACCCTGAGGTCACCCCAGCAACGCAAAGCAGCTCCATGTGCCCCAAATCAACTCGAGATGAGGCCCGATTCCCCTGCATTGACTCCAGAGCCATTCCCCGTTCCCCATTCAACACGACCGGTGGCTCGACTTCCTTCAGGCAACTCCAGAGATGCCCCGAGAACACTGTCCCAAGTCTAGAGGAACACCAACTTCAGCACAGCAACTCGAGGAATGCTCCGTGTACCCCAAATCGTCTCGAGATGCGAGCTGATTCCCTGGCTTAGGCTCAAGACGTATGCCAACTTCCCAGAAGCACCTCAGGAGGAGGCTTCTCTCAGCAATAGGTATGTGGGAGGGACCCCGAGTTTGCTGCCTCAAGGGGAATATACAGCGAGAAGCCCTAACTTGAAAGGAGGCCGGATTTCCTTGCAGTGGCTTGAATACAGGCTCGTCTTTCATCTCACAACATGAAGGGATGTCTGAATCCCCTGTGGAGACCTTAGAGAAAGCCCTAGGTCCCTGCCTCATTTTGACGGAATGCCTCACATCCCGCTGACACCTCGAGAGGCACGCGGAGTTCATTTCTTCAAAAGGTGACGATGCCTGACTCCTCTTGAATACTGATAGGAATCCCAAAATCCCTGTGGCTACTGGAAAGGGTCCTTGGGTGCCCTGCCTCACCTCGAGAAGCGTCCCTTTGGCCCTGCCAAGCCTCGAAGAGATTCCTGAGGTGTCCCTCGTTACTAGACAGGAGTCCTGACGTCACTGAAGAAACTCGTGTTTTGAAGGGCCATCCCCGCCGTAAGTCGAGAACATACCCCAGGTCCCCGCCGCAACTCGAGAAAAACCATGAGACTTCCCCCTAGAGGCGAGATGAGGCCCCATTCCCCTGCAGTGCATGCAGAGCTATTCCGTGACCCCATTCAAACAAGTCAGGAGCTTCGACTTGCTTAATGGATCTCGAGACAGTCCCCAAGAACACTGTCACCAGTCTAGACGGACCCTGAGGTCACCCCAGCAACACAAAGCAGCTCCATGTGCCCCAAATCAACTCGAGATGAGGCCCGATTCCCCTGCATTGACTCCAGAGCCATGCCACGTTCCCCATTCAACACGACCGGTGGCTCGACTTCATTCAGGCAACTCCAGAGATGCCCCGAGAACACTGTCCCAAGTCTAGAGGAACACCAACTTCAGCACAGCAACTCGAGGAATGCTCCGTGTACCCCAAATCGTCTCGAGATGAGAGCTGATTCCCTGGCTTAGGCTCAAGACGTATGCCAACTTCCCAGAAGCACCTCAGGAGGAGGCTTCTCTCAGCAATAGGTATGTGGGAGGGACCCCGAGTTTGCTGCCTCAAGGGGAATATACAGCGAGAAGCCCTAACTTGAAAGGAGGCCGGATTTCCTTGCAGTGGCTTGAATACAGGCTCGTCTTTCATCTCACAACATGAAGGGATGTCTGAATCCCCTGTGGAGACCTTAGAGAAAGCCCTAGGTCCCTGCCTCATTTTGACGGAATGCCTCACATCCCGCTGACACCTCGAGAGGCACGCGGAGTTCATTTCTTCAAAAGGTGACGATTCCTGACTCCTCTTGAATACTAATAGGAATCCCAAAATCCCTGTGGCTACTGGAAAGGGTCCTTGGGTGCCCTGCCTCACCTCGAGAAGCGTCCCTTTGGCCCTGCCAAGCCTCGAAGAGATTCCTGAGGTGTCCCTCGTTACTAGACAGGAGTCCTGACGTCACTGAAGAAACTCGTGTTTTGAAGGGCCATCTCCGCCTTAAGTCGAGAACATACCCCAGGTCCCCGCCGCAACTCGAGAAAAACCATGAGACTTCCCCCTAGAGGCGAGATGAGGCCCCATTCCCCTGCAGTGCATGCAGAGCTATTCCGTGATCCCATTCAAACAAGTCAGGAGCTTCGACTTGCTTAATGGATCTCGAGACAGTCCCCAAGAACACTGTCACCAGTCTAGACGGACCCTGAGGTCACCCCAGCAACGCAAAGCAGCTCCATGTGCCCCAAATCAACTCGAGATGAGGCCCGATTCCCCTGCATTGACTCCAGAGCCATTCCCCGTTCCCCATTCAACACGACCGGTGGCTCGACTTCCTTCAGGCAACTCCAGAGATGCCCCGAGAACACTGTCCCAAGTCTAGAGGAACACCAACTTCAGCACAGCAACTCGAGGAATGCTCCGTGTACCCCAAATCGTCTCGAGATGCGAGCTGATTCCCTGGCTTAGGCTCAAGACGTATGCCAACTTCCCAGAAGCACCTCAGGAGGAGGCTTCTCTCAGCAATACGTATGTGGGAGGGACCCCGAGTTTGCTGCCTCAAGGGGAATATACAGCGAGAAGCCCTAACTTGGAAGGAGGCCGGATTTCCTTGCAGTGGCTTGAATACAGGCTCGTCTTTCATCTCACAACATGAAGGGATGTCTGAATCCCCTGTGGAGACCTTAGAGAAAGCCCTAGGTCCCTGCCTCATTTTGACGGAATGCCTCACATCCCGCTGACACCTCGAGAGGCACGCGGAGTTCATTGCTTCAAAAGGTGACGATGCCTGACTCCTCTTGAATACTGATAGGAATCCCAAAATCCCTGTGGCTACTGGAAAGGGTCCTTGGGTGCCCTGCCTCACCTCGAGAAGCGTCCCTTTGGCCCTGCCAAGCCTCGAAGAGATTCCTGAGGTGTCCCTCGTTACTAGACAGGAGTCCTGACGTCACTGAAGAAACTCGTGTTTTGAAGGGCCATCCCCGCCGTAAGTCGAGAACATACCCCAGGTCCCCGCCGCAACTCGAGAAAAACCATGAGACTTCCCCCTAGAGGCGAGATGAGGCCCCATTCCCCTGCAGTGCATGCAGAGCTATTCCGTGATCCCATTCAAACAAGTCAGGAGCTTCGACTTGCTTAATGGATCTCGAGACAGTCCCCAAGAACACTGTCACCAGTCTAGACGGACCCTGAGGTCACCCCAGCAACGCAAAGCAGCTCCATGTGCCCCAAATCAACTCGAGATGAGGCCCGATTCCCCTGCATTGACTCCAGAGCCATTCCCCGTTCCCCATTCCACACGACCGGTGGCTCGACTTCCTTCAGGCAACTCCAGAGATGCCCCGAGAACACTGTCCCAAGTCTAGAGGAACACCAACTTCAGCACAGCAACTCGAGGAATGCTCCGTGTACCCCAAATCGTCTCGAGATGCGAGCTGATTCCCTGGCTTAGGCTCAAGACGTATGCCAACTTCCCAGAAGCACCTCAGGAGGAGGCTTCTCTCAGCAATAGGTATGTGGGAGGGACCCCGAGTTTGCTGCCTCAAGGGGAATATACAGCGAGAAGCCCTAACTTGAAAGGAGGCCGGATTTCCTTGCAGTGGCTTGAATACAGGCTCGTCTTTCATCTCACAACATGAAGGGATGTCTGAATCCCCTGTGGAGACCTTAGAGAAAGCCCTAGGTCCCTGCCTCATTTTGACGGAATGCCTCACATCCCGCTGACACCTCGAGAGGCACGCGGAGTTCATTGCTTCAAAAGGTGACGATGCCTGACTCCTCTTGAATACTGATAGGAATCCCAAAATCCCTGTGGCTACTGGAAAGGGTCCTTGGGTGCCCTGCCTCACCTCGAGAAGCGTCCCTTTGGCCCTGCCAAGCCTCGAAGAGATTCCTGAGGTGTCCCTCGTTACTAGACAGGAGTCCTGACGTCACTGAAGAAACTCGTGTTTTGAAGGGCCATCCCCGCCGTAAGTCGAGAACATACCCCAGGTCCCCACCGCAACTCGAGAAAAACCATGAGACTTCCCCCTAGAGGCGAGATGAGGCCCCATTCCCCTGCAGTGCATGCAGAGCTATTCCGTGATCCCATTCAAACAAGTCAGGAGCTTCGACTTGCTTAATGGATCTCGAGACAGTCCCCAAGAACACTGTCACCAGTCTAGACGGACCCTGAGGTCACCCCAGCAACGCAAAGCAGCTCCATGTGCCCCAAATCAACTCGAGATGAGGCCCGATTCCCCTGCATTGACTCCAGAGCCATTCCCCGTTCCCCATTCCACACGACCGGTGGCTCGACTTCCTTCAGGCAACTCCAGAGATGCCCCGAGAACACTGTCCCAAGTCTAGAGGAACACCAACTTCAGCACAGCAACTCGAGGAATGCTCCGTGTACCCCAAATCGTCTCGAGATGCGAGCTGATTCCCTGGCTTAGGCTCAAGACGTATGCCAACTTCCCAGAAGCACCTCAGGAGGAGGCTTCTCTCAGCAATAGGTATGTGGGAGGGACCCCGAGTTTGCTGCCTCAAGGGGAATATACAGCGAGAAGCCCTAACTTGAAAGGAGGCCGGATTTCCTTGCAGTGGCTTGAATACAGGCTCGTCTTTCATCTCACAACATGAAGGGATGTCTGAATCCCCTGTGGAGACCTTAGAGAAAGCCCTAGGTCCCTGCCTCATTTTGACGGAATGCCTCACATCCCGCTGACACCTCGAGAGGCACGCGGAGTTCATTGCTTCAAAAGGTGACGATGCCTGACTCCTCTTGAATACTGATAGGAATCCCAAAATCCCTGTGGCTACTGGAAAGGGTCCTTGGGTGCCCTGCCTCACCTCGAGAAGCGTCCCTTTGGCCCTGCCAAGCCTCGAAGAGATTCCTGAGGTGTCCCTCGTTACTAGACAGGAGTCCTGACGTCACTGAAGAAACTCGTGTTTTGAAGGGCCATCCCCGCCGTAAGTCGAGAACATACCCCAGGTCCCCGCCGCAACTCGAGAAAAACCATGAGACTTCCCCCTAGAGGCGAGATGAGGCCCCATTCCCCTGCAGTGCATGCAGAGCTATTCCGTGATCCCATTCAAACAAGTCAGGAGCTTCGACTTGCTTAATGGATCTCGAGACAGTCCCCAAGAACACTGTCACCAGTCTAGACGGACCCTGAGGTCACCCCAGCAACGCAAAGCAGCTCCATGTGCCCCAAATCAACTCGAGATGAGGCCCGATTCCCCTGCATTGACTCCAGAGCCATTCCCCGTTCCCCATTCAACACGACCGGTGGCTCGACTTCCTTCAGGCAACTCCAGAGATGCCCCGAGAACACTGTCCCAAGTCTAGAGGAACACCAACTTCAGCACAGCAACTCGAGGAATGCTCCGTGTACCCCAAATCGTCTCGAGATGCGAGCTGATTCCCTGGCTTAGGCTCAAGACGTATGCCAACTTCCCAGAAGCACCTCAGGAGGAGGCTTCTCTCAGCAATAGGTATGTGGGAGGGACCCCGAGTTTGCTGCCTCAAGGGGAATATACAGCGAGAAGCCCTAACTTGAAAGGAGGCCGGATTTCCTTGCAGTGGCTTGAATACAGGCTCGTCTTTCATCTCACAACAGGAAGGGATGTCTGAATCCCCTGCGGAGACCTTAGAGAAAGCCCTAGGTCCCTGCCTCATTTTGACGGAATGCCTCACATCCCGCTGACACCTCGAGAGGCACGCGGAGTTCATTGCTTCAAAAGGTGACGATGCCTGACTCCTCTTGAATACTGATAGGAATCCCAAAATCCCTGTGGCTACTGGAAAGGGTCCTTGGGTGCCCTGCCTCACCTCGAGAAGCGTCCCTTTGGCCCTGCCAAGCCTCGAAGAGATTCCTGAGGTGTCCCTCGTTACTAGACAGGAGTCCTGACGTCACTGAAGAAACTCGTGTTTTGAAGGGCCATCCCCGCCGTAAGTCGAGAACATACCCCAGGTCCCCGCCGCAACTCGAGAAAAACCATGAGACTTCCCCCTAGAGGCGAGATGAGGCCCCATTCCCCTGCAGTGCATGCAGAGCTATTCCGTGACCCCATTCAAACAAGTCAGGAGCTTCGACTTGCTTAATGGATCTCGAGACAGTCCCCAAGAACACTGTCACCAGTCTAGACGGACCCTGAGGTCACCCCAGCAACGCAAAGCAGCTCCATGTGCCCCAAATCAACTCGAGATGAGGCCCGATTCCCCTGCATTGACTCCAGAGCCATTCCCCGTTCCCCATTCAACACGACCGGTGGCTCGACTTCCTTCAGGCAACTCCAGAGATGCCCCGAGAACACTGTCCCAAGTCTAGAGGAACACCAAATTCAGCACAGCAACTCGATTAATGCTCCGTGTACCCCAAATCGTCTCGAGATGCGAGCTGATTCCCTGGCTTAGGCTCAAGACGTATGCCAACTTCCCAGAAGCACCTCAGGAGGAGGCTTCTCTCAGCAATAGGTATGTGGGAGGGACCCCGAGTTTGCTGCCTCAAGGGGAATATACAGCGAGAAGCCCTAACTTGAAAGGAGGCCGGACTTCCTTGCAGTGGCTTGAATACAGGCTCGTCTTTCATCTCACAACATGAAGGGATGTCTGAATCCCCTGTGGAGACCTTAGAGAAAGCCCTAGGTCCCTGCCTCATTTTGACGGAATGCCTCACATCCCGCTGACACCTCGAGAGGCACGCGGAGTTCATTGCTTCAAAAGGTGACAATGCCTGACTCCTCTTGAATACTGATAGGAATCCCAAAATCCCTGTGGCTACTGGAAAGGGTCCTTGGGTGCCCTGCCTCACCTCGAGAAGCGTCCCTTTTCCCTGCCAAGCCTCGAAGAGATTCCTGAGGTGTCCCTCGTTACTAGACAGGAGTCCTGACGTCACTGAAGAAACTCGTGTTTTGAAGGGCCATCCCCGCCGTAAGTCGAGAACATACCCCAGGTCCCCGCCGCAACTCGAGAAAAACCATGAGACTTCCCCCTAGAGGCGAGATGAGGCCCCATTCCCCTGCAGTGCATGCAGAGCTATTCCGTGATCCCATTCAAACAAGTCAGGAGCTTCGACTTGCTTAGTGGATCTCGAGACAGTCCCCAAGAACACTGTCACCAGTCTAGACGGACCCTGAGGTCACCCCAGCAACGCAAAGCAGCTCCATGTGCCCCAAATCAACTCGAGATGAGGCCCGATTCCCCTGCATTGACTCCAGAGCCATTCCCCGTTCCCCATTCAACACGACCGGTGGCTCGACTTCCTTCAGGCAACTCCAGAGATGCCCCGAGAACACTGTCCCAAGTCTAGAGGAACACCAACTTCAGCACAGCAACTCGAGGAATGCTCCGTGTACCCCAAATCGTCTCGAGATGCGAGCTGATTCCCTGGCTTAGGCTCAAGACGTATGCCAACTTCCCAGAAGCACCTCAGGAGGAGGCTTCTCTCAGCAATAGGTATGTGGGAGGGACCCCGAGTTTGCTGCCTCAAGGGGAATATACAGCGAGAAGCCCTAACTTGAAAGGAGGCCGGATTTCCTTGCAGTGGCTTGAATACAGGCTCGTCTTTCATCTCACAACATGAAGGGATGTCTGAATCCCCTGTGGAGACCATAGAGAAAGCCCTAGGTCCCTGCCTCATTTTGACGGAATGCCTCACATCCCTCTGACACATCGAGAGGCACGCGGAGTTCATTGCTTCAAAAGGTGACGATGCCTGACTCCTCTTGAATACTGATAGGAATCCCAAAATCCCTGTGGCTACTGGAAAGGGTCCTTGGGTGCCCTGCCTCACCTCGAGAAGCGTCCCTTTGGCCCTGCCAAGCCTCGAAGAGATTCCTGAGGTGTCCCTCGTTACTAGACAGGAGTCCTGACGTCACTGAAGAAACTCGTGTTTTGAAGGGCCATCCCCGCCGTAAGTCGAGAACATACCCCAGGTCCCCGCCGCAACTCGAGAAAAACCATGAGACTTCCCCCTAGAGGCGAGATGAGGCCCCATTCCCCTGCAGTGCATGCAGAGCTATTCCGTGACCCCATTCAAACAAGTCAGGAGCTTCGACTTGCTTAATGGATCTCGAGACAGTCCCCAAGAACACTGTCACCAGTCTAGACGGACCCTGAGGTCACCCCAGCAACGCAAAGCAGCTCCATGTGCCCCAAATCAACTCGAGATGAGGCCCGATTCCCCTGCATTGACTCCAGAGCCATTCCCCGTTCCCCATTCCACACGACCGGTGGCTCGACTTCCTTCAGGCAACTCCAGAGATGCCCCGAGAACACTGTCCCAAGTCTAGAGGAACACCAACTTCAGCACAGCAACTCGAGGAATGCTCCGTGTACCCCAAATCGTCTCGAGATGCGAGCTGATTCCCTGGCTTAGGCTCAAGACGTATGCCAACTTCCCAGAAGCACCTCAGGAGGAGGCTTCTCTCAGCAATAGGTATGTGGGAGGGACCCCGAGTTTGCTGCCTCAAGGGGAATATACAGCGAGAAGCCCTAACTTGAAAGGAGGCCGGATTTCCTTGCAGTGGCTTGAATACAGGCTCGTCTTTCATCTCACAACATGAAGGGATGTCTGAATCCCCTGTGGAGACCTTAGAGAAAGCCCTAGGTCCCTGCCTCATTTTGACGGAATGCCTCACATCCCGCTGACACCTCGAGAGGCACGCGGAGTTCATTGCTTCAAAAGGTGACGATGCCTGACTCCTCTTGAATACTGATAGGAATCCCAAAATCCCTGTGGCTACTGGAAAGGGTCCTTGGGTGCCCTGCCTCACCTCGAGAAGCGTCCCTTTGGCCCTGCCAAGCCTCGAAGAGATTCCTGAGGTGTCCCTCGTTACTAGACAGGAGTCCTGACGTCACTGAAGAAACTCGTGTTTTGAAGGGCCATCCCCGCCGTAAGTCGAGAACATACCCCAGGTCCCCGCCGCAACTCGAGAAAAACCATGAGACTTCCCCCTAGAGGCGAGATGAGGCCCCATTCCCCTGCAGTGCATGCAGAGCTATTCCGTGATCCCATTCAAACAAGTCAGGAGCTTCTAGTTGCTTAATGGATCTCGAGACAGTCCCCAAGAACACTGTCACCAGTCTAGACGGACCCTGAGGTCACCCCAGCAACGCAAAGCAGCTCCATGTGCCCCAAATCAACTCGAGATGAGGCCCGATTCCCCTGCATTGACTCCAGAGCCATTCCCCGTTCCCCATTCCTCACGACCGGTGGCTCGACTTCCTTCAGGCAACTCCAGAGATGCCCCGAGAACACTGTCCCAAGTCTAGAGGAACACCAACTTCAGCACAGCAACTCGAGGAATGCTCCGTGTACCCCAAATCGTCTCGAGATGCGAGCTGATTCCCTGGCTTAGGCTCAAGACGTATTCCAACTTCCCAGAAGCACCTCAGGAGGAGGCTTCTCTCAGCAATAGGTATGTGGGAGGGACCCCGAGTTTGCTGCCTCAAGGGGAATATACAGCGAGAAGCCCTAACTTGAAAGGAGGCCGGATTTCCTTGCAGTGGCTTGAATACAGGCTCGTCTTTCATCTCACAACATGAAGGGATGTCTGAATCCCCTGTGGAGACCTTAGAGAAAGCCCTAGGTTCCTGCCTCATTTTGACGGAATGCCTCACATCCCGCTGACACCTCGAGAGGCACGCGGAGTTCATTGCTTCAAAAGGTGACGATGCCTGACTCCTCTTGAATACTGATAGGAATCCCAAAATCCCTGTGGCTACTGGAAAGGGTCCTTGGGTGCCCTGCCTCACCTCGAGAAGCGTCCCTTTGGCCCTGCCAAGCCTCGAAGAGATTCCTGAGGTGTCCCTCGTTACTAGACAGGAGTCCTGACGTCACTGAAGAAACTCGTGTTTTGAAGGGCCATCCCCGCCGTAAGTCGAGAACATACCCCAGGTCCCCGCCGCAACTCGAGAAAAACCATGAGACTTCCCCCTAGAGGCGAGATGAGGCCCCATTCCCCTGCAGTGCATGCAGAGCTATTCCGTGATCCCATTCAAACAAGTCAGGAGCTTCGACTTGCTTAATGGATCTCGAGACAGTCCCCAAGAACACTGTCACCAGTCTAGACGGACCCTGAGGTCACCCCAGCAACGCAAAGCAGCTCCATGTGCCCCAAATCAACTCGAGATGAGGCCCGATTCCCCTGCATTGACTCCAGAGCCATTCCCCGTTCCCCATTCAACACGACCGGTGGCTCGACTTCCTTCAGGCAACTCCAGAGATGCCCCGAGAACACTGTCCCAAGTCTAGAGGAACACCAACTTCAGCACAGCAACTCGAGGAATGCTCCGTGTACCCCAAATCGTCTCGAGATGCGAGCTGATTCCCTGGCTTAGGCTCAAGACGTATTCCAACTTCCCAGAAGCACCTCAGGAGGAGGCTTCTCTCAGCAATAGGTATGTGGGAGGGACCCCGAGTTTGCTGCCTCAAGGGGAATATACAGCGAGAAGCCCTAACTTGAAAGGAGGCCGGATTTCCTTGCAGTGGCTTGAATACAGGCTCGTCTTTCATCTCACAACATGAAGGGATGTCTGAATCCCCTGTGGAGACCTTAGAGAAAGCCCTAGGTCCCTGCCTCATTTTGACGGAATGCCTCACATCCCGCTGACACCTCGAGAGGCACGCGGAGTTCATTGCTTCAAAAGGTGACGATGCCTGACTCCTCTTGAATACTGATAGGAATCCCAAAATCCCTGTGGCTACTGGAAAGGGTCCTTGGGTGCCCTGCCTCACCTCGAGAAGCGTCCCTTTGGCCCTGCCAAGCCTCGAAGAGATTCCTGAGGTGTCCCTCGTTACTAGACAGGAGTCCTGACGTCACTGAAGAAACTCGTGTTTTGAAGGGCCATCCCCGCCGTAAGTCGAGAACATACCCCAGGTCCCCGCCGCAACTCGAGAAAAACCATGAGACTTCCCCCTAGAGGCGAGATGAGGCCCCATTCCCCTGCAGTGCATGCAGAGCTATTCCGTGATCCCATTCAAACAAGTCAGGAGCTTCGACTTGCTTAATGGATCTCGAGACAGTCCCCAAGAACACTGTCACCAGTCTAGACGGACCCTGAGGTCACCCCAGCAACGCAAAGCAGCTCCATGTGCCCCAAATCAACTCGAGATGAGGCCCGATTCCCCTGCATTGACTCCAGAGCCATTCCCCGTTCCCCATTCAACACGACCGGTGGCTCGACTTCCTTCAGGCAACTCCAGAGATGCCCCGAGAACACTGTCCCAAGTCTAGAGGAACACCAACTTCAGCACAGCAACTCGAGGAATGCTCCGTGTACCCCAAATCGTCTCGAGATGCGAGCTGATTCCCTGGCTTAGGCTCAAGACGTATGCCAACTTCCCAGAAGCACCTCAGGAGGAGGCTTCTCTCAGCAATAGGTATGTGGGAGGGACCCCGAGTTTGCTGCCTCAAGGGGAATATACAGCGAGAAGCCCTAACTTGAAAGGAGGCCGGATTTCCTTGCAGTGGCTTGAATACAGGCTCGTCTTTCATCTCACAACATGAAGGGATGTCTGAATCCCCTGTGGAGACCTTAGAGAAAGCCCTAGGTCCCTGCCTCATTTTGACGGAATGCCTCACATCCCGCTGACACCTCGAGAGGCACGCGGAGTTCATTGCTTCAAAAGGTGACGATGCCTGACTCCTCTTGAATACTGATAGGAATCCCAAAATCCCTGTGGCTACTGGAAAGGGTCCTTGGGTGCCCTGCCTCACCTCGAGAAGCGTCCCTTTGGCCCTGCCAAGCCTCGAAGAGATTCCTGAGGTGTCCCTCGTTACTAGACAGGAGTCCTGACGTCACTGAAGAAACTCGTGTTTTGAAGGGCCATCCCCGCCGTAAGTCGAGAACATACCCCAGGTCCCCGCCGCAACTCGAGAAAAACCATGAGACTTCCCCCTAGAGGCGAGATGAGGCCCCATTCCCCTGCAGTGCATGCAGAGCTATTCCGTGATCCCATTCAAACAAGTCAGGAGCTTCGACTTGCTTAATGGATCTCGAGACAGTCCCCAAGAACACTGTCACCAGTCTAGACGGACCCTGAGGTCACCCCAGCAACGCAAAGCAGCTCCATGTGCCCCAAATCAACTCGAGATGAGGCCCGATTCCCCTGCATTGACTCCAGAGCCATTCCCCGTTCCCCATTCAACACGACCGGTGGCTCGACTTCCTTCAGGCAACTCCAGAGATGCCCCGAGAACACTGTCCCAAGTCTAGAGGAACACCAACTTCAGCACAGCAACTCGAGGAATGCTCCGTGTACCCCAAATCGTCTCGAGATGCGAGCTGATTCCCTGGCTTAGGCTCAAGACGTATGCCAACTTCCCAGAAGCACCTCAGGAGGAGGCTTCTCTCAGCAATAGGTATGTGGGAGGGACCCCGAGTTTGCTGCCTCAAGGGGAATATACAGCGAGAAGCCCTAACTTGAAAGGAGGCCGGATTTCCTTGCAGTGGCTTGAATACAGGCTCGTCTTTCATCTCACAACATGAAGGGATGTCTGAATCCCCTGTGGAGACCTTAGAGAAAGCCCTAGGTCCCTGCCTCATTTTGACGGAATGACTCACATCCCGCTGACACCTCGAGAGGCACGCGGAGTTCATTGCTTCAAAAGGTGACGATGCCTGACTCCTCTTGAATACTGATAGGAATCCCAAAATCCCTGTGGCTACTGGAAAGGGTCCTTGGGTGCCCTGCCTCACCTCGAGAAGCGTCCCTTTGGCCCTGCCAAGCCTCGAAGAGATTCCTGAGGTGTCCCTCGTTACTAGACAGGAGTCCTGACGTCACTGAAGAAACTCGTGTTTTGAAGGTCCATCCCCGCCGTAAGTCGAGAACATACCCCAGGTCCCCGCCGCAACTCGAGAAAAACCATGAGACTTCCCCCTAGAGGCGAGATGAGGCCCCATTCCCCTGCAGTGCATGCAGAGCTATTCCGTGACCCCATTCAAACAAGTCAGGAGCTTCGACTTGCTTAATGGATCTCGAGACAGTCCCCAAGAACACTGTCACCAGTCTAGACGGACCCTGAGGTCACCCCAGCAACGCAAAGCAGCTCCATGTGCCCCAAATCAACTCGAGATGAGGCCCGATTCCCCTGCATTGACTCCAGAGCCATTCCCCGTTCCCCATTCCACACGACCGGTGGCTCGACTTCCTTCAGGCAACTCCAGAGATGCCCCGAGAACACTGTCCCAAGTCTAGAGGAACACCAACTTCAGCACAGCAACTCGAGGAATGCTCCGTGTACCCCAAATCGTCTCGAGATGCGAGCTGATTCCCTGGCTTAGGCTCAAGACGTATGCCAACTTCCCAGAAGCACCTCAGGAGGAGGCTTCTCTCAGCAATAGGTATGTGGGAGGGACCCCGAGTTTGCTGCCTCAAGGGGAATATACAGCGAGAAGCCCTAACTTGAAAGGAGGCCGGATTTCCTTGCAGTGGCTTGAATACAGGCTCGTCTTTCATCTCACAACATGAAGGGATGTCTGAATCCCCTGTGGAGACCTTAGAGAAAGCCCTAGGTCCCTGCCTCATTTTGACGGAATGCCTCACATCCCGCTGACACCTCGAGAGGCACGCGGAGTTCATTGCTTCAAAAGGTGACGATGCCTGACTCCTCTTGAATACTGATAGGAATCCCAAAATCCCTGTGGCTACTGGAAAGGGTCCTTGGGTGCCCTGCCTCACCTCGAGAAGCGTCCCTTTGGCCCTGCCAAGCCTCGAAGAGATTCCTGAGGTGTCCCTCGTTACTAGACAGGAGTCCTGACGTCACTGAAGAAACTCGTGTTTTGAAGGGCCATCCCCGCCGTAAGTCGAGAACATACCCCAGGTCCCCGCCGCAACTCGAGAAAAACCATGAGACTTCCCCCTAGAGGCGAGATGAGGCCCCATTCCCCTGCAGTGCATGCAGAGCTATTCCGTGATCCCATTCAAACAAGTCAGGAGCTTCGACTTGCTTAATGGATCTCGAGACAGTCCCCAAGAACACTGTCACCAGTCTAGACGGACCCTGAGGTCACCCCAGCAACGCAAAGCAGCTCCATGTGCCCCAAATCAACTCGAGATGAGGCCCGATTCCCCTGCATTGACTCCAGAGCCATTCCCCGTTCCCCATTCAACACGACCGGTGGCTCGACTTCCTTCAGGCAACTCCAGAGATGCCCCGAGAACACTGTCCCAAGTCTAGAGGAACACCAACTTCAGCACAGCAGCTCGAGGAATGCTCCGTGTACACCAAATCGTCTCGAGATGCGAGCTGATTCCCTGGCTTAGGCTCAAGACGTATGCCAACTTCCCAGAAGCACCTCAGGAGGAGGCTTCTCTCAGCAATAGGTATGTGGGAGGGACCCCGAGTTTGCTGCCTCAAGGGGAATATACAGCGAGAAGCCCTAACTTGAAAGGAGGCCGGATTTCCTTGCAGTGGCTTGAATACAGGCTCGTCTTTCATCTCACAACATGAAGGGATGTCTGAATCCCCTGTGGAGACCTTAGAGAAAGCCCTAGGTCCCTGCCTCATTTTGACGGAATGCCTCACATCCCGCTGACACCTCGAGAGGCACGCGGAGTTCATTGCTTCAAAAGGTGACGATGCCTGACTCCTCTTGAATACTGATAGGAATCCCAAAATCCCTGTGGCTACTGGAAAGGGTCCTTGGGTGCCCTGCCTCACCTCGAGAAGCGTCCCTTTGGCCCTGCCAAGCCTCGAAGAGATTCCTGAGGTGTCCCTCGTTACTAGACAGGAGTCCTGACGTCACTGAAGAAACTCGTGTTTTGAAGGGCCATCCCCGCCGTAAGTCGAGAACATACCCCAGGTCCCCGCCGCAACTCGAGAAAAACCATGAGACTTCCCCCTAGAGGCGAGATGAGGCCCCATTCCCCTGCAGTGCATGCAGAGCTATTCCGTGATCCCATTCAAACAAGTCAGGAGCTTCGACTTGCTTAATGGATCTCGAGACAGTCCCCAAGAACACTGTCACCAGTCTAGACGGACCCTGAGGTCACCCCAGCAACGCAAAGCAGCTCCATGTGCCCCAAATCAACTCGAGATGAGGCCCGATTCCCCTGCATTGACTCCAGAGCCATTCCCCGTTCCCCATTCAACACGACCGGTGGCTCGACTTCCTTCAGGCAACTCCAGAGATGCCCCGAGAACACTGTCCCAAGTCTAGAGGAACACCAACTTCAGCACAGCAACTCGAGGAATGCTCCGTGTACCCCAAATCGTCTCGAGATGCGAGCTGATTCCCTGGCTTAGGCTCAAGACGTATGCCAACTTCCCAGAAGCACCTCAGGAGGAGGCTTCTCTCAGCAATAGGTATGTGGGAGGGACCCCGAGTTTGCTGCCTCAAGGGGAATATACAGCGAGAAGCCCTAACTTGAAAGGAGGCCGGATTTCCTTGCAGTGGCTTGAATACAGGCTCGTCTTTCATCTCACAACATGAAGGGATGTCTGAATCCCCTGTGGAGACCTTAGAGAAAGCCCTAGGTCCCTGCCTCATTTGACGGAATGCCTCACATCCCGCTGACACCTCGAGAGGCACGCGGAGTTCATTGCTTCAAAAGGTGACGATGCCTGACTCCTCTTGAATACTGATAGGAATCCCAAAATCCCTGTGGCTACTGGAAAGGGTCCTTGGGTGCCCTGCCTCACCTCGAGAAGCGTCCCTTTGGCCCTGCCAAGCCTCGAAGAGATTCCTGAGGTGTCCCTCGTTACTAGACAGGAGTCCTGACGTCACTGAAGAAACTCGTGTTTTGAAGGGCCATCCCCGCCGTAAGTCGAGAACATACCCCAGGTCCCCGCCGCAACTCGAGAAAAACCATGAGACTTCCCCCTAGAGGCGAGATGAGGCCCCATTCCCCTGCAGTGCATGCAGAGCTATTCCGTGATCCCATTCAAACAAGTCAGGAGCTTCGACTTGCTTAATGGATCTCGAGACAGTCCCCAAGAACACTGTCACCAGTCTAGACGGACCCTGAGGTCACCCCAGCAACGCAAAGCAGCTCCATGTGCCCCAAATCAACTCGAGATGAGGCCCGATTCCCCTGCATTGACTCCAGAGCCATTCCCCGTTCCCCATTCAACACGACCGGTGGCTCGACTTCCTTCAGGCAACTCCAGAGATGCCCCGAGAACACTGTCCCAAGTCTAGAGGAACACCAACTTCAGCACAGCAGCTCGAGGAATGCTCCGTGTACACCAAATCGTCTCGAGATGCGAGCTGATTCCCTGGCTTAGGCTCAAGACGTATGCCAACTTCCCAGAAGCACCTCAGGAGGAGGCTTCTCTCAGCAATAGGTATGTGGGAGGGACCCCGAGTTTGCTGCCTCAAGGGGAATATACAGCGAGAAGCCCTAACTTGAAAGGAGGCCGGATTTCCTTGCAGTGGCTTGAATACAGGCTCGTCTTTCATCTCACAACATGAAGGGATGTCTGAATCCCCTGTGGAGACCTTAGAGAAAGCCCTAGGTCCCTGCCTCATTTTGACGGAATGCCTCACATCCCGCTGACACCTCGAGAGGCACGCGGAGTTCATTGCTTCAAAAGGTGACGATGCCTGACTCCTCTTGAATACTGATAGGAATCCCAAAATCCCTGTGGCTACTGGAAAGGGTCCTTGGGTGCCCTGCCTCACCTCGAGAAGCGTCCCTTTGGCCCTGCCAAGCCTCGAAGAGATTCCTGAGGTGTCCCTCGTTACTAGACAGGAGTCCTGACGTCACTGAAGAAACTCGTGTTTTGAAGGGCCATCCCCGCCGTAAGTCGAGAACATACCCCAGGTCCCCGCCGCAACTCGAGAAAAACCATGAGACTTCCCCCTAGAGGCGAGATGAGGCCCCATTCCCCTGCAGTGCATGCAGAGCTATTCCGTGATCCCATTCAAACAAGTCAGGAGCTTCGACTTGCTTAATGGATCTCGAGACAGTCCCCAAGAACACTGTCACCAGTCTAGACGGACCCTGAGGTCACCCCAGCAACGCAAAGCAGCTCCATGTGCCCCAAATCAACTCGAGATGAGGCCCGATTCCCCTGCATTGACTCCAGAGCCATTCCCCGTTCCCCATTCAACACGACCGGTGGCTCGACTTCCTTCAGGCAACTCCAGAGATGCCCCGAGAACACTGTCCCAAGTCTAGAGGAACACCAACTTCAGCACAGCAACTCGAGGAATGCTCCGTGTACCCCAAATCGTCTCGAGATGCGAGCTGATTCCCTGGCTTAGGCTCAAGACGTATGCCAACTTCCCAGAAGCACCTCAGGAGGAGGCTTCTCTCAGCAATAGGTATGTGGGAGGGACCCCGAGTTTGCTGCCTCAAGGGGAATATACAGCGAGAAGCCCTAACTTGAAAGGAGGCCGGATTTCCTTGCAGTGGCTTGAATACAGGCTCGTCTTTCATCTCACAACATGAAGGGATGTCTGAATCCCCTGTGGAGACCTTAGAGAAAGCCCTAGGTCCCTGCCTCATTTTGACGGAATGCCTCACATCCCGCTGACACCTCGAGAGGCACGCGGAGTTCATTGCTTCAAAAGGTGACGATGCCTGACTCCTCTTGAATACTGATAGGAATCCCAAAATCCCTGTGGCTACTGGAAAGGGTCCTTGGGTGCCCTGCCTCACCTCGAGAAGCGTCCCTTTGGCCCTGCCAAGCCTCGAAGAGATTCCTGAGGTGTCCCTCGTTACTAGACAGGAGTCCTGACGTCACTGAAGAAACTCGTGTTTTGAAGGGCCATCCCCGCCGTAAGTCGAGAACATACCCCAGGTCCCCGCCGCAACTCGAGAAAAACCATGAGACTTCCCCCTAGAGGCGAGATGAGGCCCCATTCCCCTGCAGTGCATGCAGAGCTATTCCGTGACCCCATTCAAACAAGTCAGGAGCTTCGACTTGCTTAATGGATCTCGAGACAGTCCCCAAGAACACTGTCACCAGTCTAGACGGACCCTGAGGTCACCCCAGCAACGCAAAGCAGCTCCATGTGCCCCAAATCAACTCGAGATGAGGCCCGATTCCCCTGCATTGACTCCAGAGCCATTCCCCGTTCCCCATTCAACACGACCGGTGGCTCGACTTCCTTCAGGCAACTCCAGAGATGCCCCGAGAACACTGTCCCAAGTCTAGAGGAACAGCAACTTCAGCACAGCAACTCGAGGAATGCTCCGTGTACCCCAAATCGTCTCGAGATGCGAGCTGATTCCCTGGCTTAGGCTCAAGACGTATGCCAACTTCCCAGAAGCACCTCAGGGGGAGGCTTCTCTCAGCAATAGGTATGTGGGAGGGACCCCGAGTTTGCTGCCTCAAGGGGAATATACAGCGAGAAGCCCTAACTTGAAAGGAGGCCGGATTTCCTTGCAGTGGCTTGAATACAGGCTCGTCTTTCATCTCACAACATTAAGGGATGTCTGAGTCCCCTGTGGAGACCTTAGAGAAAGCCCTAGGTCCCTGCCTCATTTTGACGGAATGCCTCACATCCCGCTGACACCTCGAGAGGCACGCGGAGTTCATTTCTTCAAAAGGTGACGATGCCTGACTCCTGTTGAATACTGATGGGAATCCCAAAATCCCTGTGGCTACTGGAAAGGGTCCTTGGGTGCCCTGCCTCACCTCGAGAAGCGTCCCTTTGGCCCTGCCAAGCTTCGAAGAGATTCCTGAGGTGTCCCTCGTTACTAGACAGGAGTCCTGACGTCACTGAAGAAACTCTTGTTTTGAAGGGCCATCCCCGCCGTAAGTCGAGAACATACCACAGGTCCCCGCCGCAACTCGAGAAAAACCATGAGATTTCCCCCTAGAGGCGAGATGAGGCCCCATTCCCCTGCAGTGCATGCAGAGCTATTCCGTGATCCCATTCAAACAAGTCAGGAGCTTCGACTTGCTTAATGGATCTCGAGACAGTCCCCAAGATCACTGTCACCATTCTAGACCGACTCTGAGGTCACCCCAGCAACGCAAAGCAGCTCCATGTGCCCCAAATCAACTCGAGATGAGGCCCGATTCCCCTGCATTGACTCCAGAGCCATTCCCCGTTCCCCATTCAACACGACCGGTGGCTCGACTTCCTTCAGGCAACTCCAGAGATGCCCCGAGAACACTGTCCCAAGTCTAGAGGAACACCAACTTCAGCACAGCAACTCGAGGAATGCTCCGTGTACCCCAAATCGTCTCGAGATGCGAGCTGATTCCCTGGCTTAGGCTCAAGACGTATGCCAACTTCCCAGAAGCACCTCAGGAGGAGGCTTCTCTCAGCAATAGGTATGTGGGAGGGACCCCGAGTTTGCTGCCTCAAGGGGAATATACAGCGAGAAGCCCTAACTTGAAAGGAGGCCGGATTTCCTTGCAGTGGCTTGAATACAGGCTCGTCTTTCATCTCACAACATGAAGGGATGTCTGAATCCCCTGTAGAGACCTTAGAGAAAGCCCTAGGTCCCTGCCTCATTTTGACGGAATGCCTCACATCCCGCTGACACCTCGAGAGGCACGCGGAGTTCATTGCTTCAAAAGGTGACGATGCCTGACTCCTCTTGAATACTGATAGGAATCCCAAAATCCCTGTGGCTACTGGAAAGGGTCCTTGGGTGCCCTGCCTCACCTCGAGAAGCGTCCCTTTGGCCCTGCCAAGCCTCGAAGAGATTCCTGAGGTGTCCCTCGTTACTAGACAGGAGTCCTGACGTCACTGAAGAAACTCGTGTTTTGAAGGGCCATCCCCGCCGTAAGTCGAGAACATACCCCAGGTCCCCGCCGCAACTCGAGAAAAACCATGAGACTTCCCCCTAGAGGCGAGATGAGGCCCCATTCCCCTGCAGTGCATGCAGAGCTATTCCGTGATCCCATTCAAACAAGTCAGGAGCTTCGACTTGCTTAATGGATCTCGAGACAGTCCCCAAGAACACTGTCACCAGTCTAGACGGACCCTGAGGTCACCCCAGCAACGCAAAGCAGCTCCATGTGCCCCAAATCAACTCGAGATGAGGCCCGATTCCCCTGCATTGACTCCAGAGCCATTCCCCGTTCCCCATTCAACACGACCGGTGGCTCGACTTCCTTCAGGCAACTCCAGAGATGCCCCGAGAACACTGTCCCAAGTCTAGAGGAACACCAACTTCAGCACAGCAACTCGAGGAATGCTCCGTCTACCCCAAATCGTCTCGAGATGCAAGCTGATTCCCTGGCTTAGGCTCAAGACGTATGCCAACTTCCCAGAAGCACCTCAGGAGGAGGCTTCTCTCAGCAATAGGTATGTGGGAGGGACCCCGAGTTTGCTGCCTCAAGGGGAATATACAGCGAGAAGCCCTAACTTGAAAGGAGGCCGGATTTCCTTGCAGTGGCTTGAATACAGGCTCGTCTTTCATCTCACAACATGAAGGGATGTCTGAATCCCCTGTGGAGACCTTAGAGAAAGCCCTAGGTCCCTGCCTCATTTTGACAGAATGCCTCACATCCCGCTGACACCTCGAGAGGCACGCGGAGTTCATTGCTTCAAAAGGTGACGATGCCTGACTCCTCTTGAATACTGATAGGAATCCCAAAATCCCTGTGGCTACTGGAAAGGGTCCTTGGGTGCCCTGCCTCACCTCGAGAAGCGTCCCTTTGGCCATGCCAAGCCTCGAAGAGATTCCTGAGGTGTCCCTCGTTACTAGACAGGAGTCCTGACGTCACTGAAGAAACTCGTGTTTTGAAGGGCCATCCCCGCCGTAAGTCGAGAACATACCCCAGGTCCCCGCCGCAACTCGAGAAAAACCATGAGACTTCCCCCTAGAGGCGAGATGAGGCCCCATTCCCCTGCAGTGCATGCAGAGCTATTCCGTGATCCCATTCAAACAAGTCAGGAGCTTCGACTTGCTTAATGGATCTCGAGACAGTCCCCAAGAACACTGTCACCAGTCTAGACGGACCCTGAGGTCACCCCAGCAACGCAAAGCAGCTCCATGTGCACCAAATCAACTCGAGATGAGGCCCGATTCCCCTGCATTGACTCCAGAGCCATTCCCCGTTCCCCATTCAACACGACCGGTGGCTCGACTTCCTTCAGGCAACTCCAGAGATGCCCCGAGAACACTGTCCCAAGTCTAGAGGAACACCAACTTCAGCACAGCAGCTCGAGGAATGCTCCGTGTACACCAAATCGTCTCGAGATGCGAGCTGATTCCCTGGCTTAGGCTCAAGACGTATGCCAACTTCCCAGAAGCACCTCAGGAGGAGGCTTCTCTCAGCAATAGGTATGTGGGAGGGACCCCGAGTTTGCTGCCTCAAGGGGAATATACAGCGAGAAGCCCTAACTTGAAAGGAGGCCGGATTTCCTTGCAGTGGCTTGAATACAGGCTCGTCTTTCATCTCACAACATGAAGGGATGTCTGAATCCCCTGTGGAGACCTTAGAGAAAGCCCTAGGTCCCTGCCTCATTTTGACGGAATGCCTCACATCCCGCTGACACCTCGAGAGGCACGCGGAGTTCATTGCTTCAAAAGGTGACGATGCCTGACTCCTCTTGAATACTGATAGGAATCCCAAAATCCCTGTGGCTACTGGAAAGGGTCCTTGGGTGCCCTGCCTCACCTCGAGAAGCGTCCCTTTGGCCCTGCCAAGCCTCGAAGAGATTCCTGAGGTGTCCCTCGTTACTAGACAGGAGTCCTGACGTCACTGAAGAAACTCGTGTTTTGAAGGGCCATCCCCGCCGTAAGTCGAGAACATACCCCAGGTCCCCGCCGCAACTCGAGAAAAACCATGAGACTTCCCCCTAGAGGCGAGATGAGGCCCCATTCCCCTGCAGTGCATGCAGAGCTATTCCGTGACCCCATTCAAACAAGTCAGGAGCTTCGACTTGCTTAATGGATCTCGAGACAGTCCCCAAGAACACTGTCACCAGTCTAGACGGACCCTGAGGTCACCCCAGCAACGCAAAGCAGCTCCATGTGCCCCAAATCAACTCGAGATGAGGCCCGATTCCCCTGCATTGACTCCAGAGCCATTCCCCGTTCCCCATTCCACACGACCGGTGGCTCGACTTCCTTCAGGCAACTCCAGAGATGCCCCGAGAACACTGTCCCAAGTCTAGAGGAACACCAACTTCAGCACAGCAACTCGAGGAATGCTCCGTGTACCCCAAATCGTCTCGAGATGCGAGCTGATTCCCTGGCTTAGGCTCAAGACGTATGCCAACTTCCCAGAAGCACCTCAGGAGGAGGCTTCTCTCAGCAATAGGTATGTGGGAGGGACCCCGAGTTTGCTGCCTCAAGGGGAATATACAGCGAGAAGCCCTAACTTGAAAGGAGGCCGGATTTCCTTGCAGTGGCTTGAATACAGGCTCGTCTTTCATCTCACAACATGAAGGGATGTCTGAATCCCCTGTGGAGACCTTAGAGAAAGCCCTAGGTCCCTGCCTCATTTTGACGGAATGCCTCACATCCCGCTGACACCTCGAGAGGCACGCGGAGTTCATTGCTTCAAAAGGTGACGATGCCTGACTCCTCTTGAATACTGATAGGAATCCCAAAATCCCTGTGGCTACTGGAAAGGGTACTTGGGTGCCCTGCCTCACCTCGAGAAGCGTCCCTTTGACCCTGCCAAGCCTCGAAGAGATTCCTGAGGTGTCCCTAGTTACTAGACAGGAGTCCTGACGTCACTGAAGAAACTCGTGTTTTGAAGGGCCATCCCCGCCGTAAGTCGAGAACATACCCCAGGTCCCCGCCGCAACTCGAGAAAAACCATGAGACTTCCCCCTAGAGGCGAGATGAGGCCCCATTCCCCTGCAGTGCATGCAGAGCTATTCCGTGACCCCATTCAAACAAGTCAGGAGCTTCGACTTGCTTAATGGATCTCGAGACAGTCCCCAAGAACACTGTCACCAGTCTAGACGGACCCTGAGGTCACCCCAGCAACGCAAAGCAGCTCCATGTGCCCCAAATCAACTCGAGATGAGGCCCGATTCCCCTGCATTGACTCCAGAGCCATTCCCCGTTCCCCATTCCACACGGCCGGTGGCTCGACTTCCTTCAGGCAACTCCAGAGATGCCCCGAGAACACTGTCCCAAGTCTAGAGGAACACCAACTTCAGCACAGCAACTCGAGGAATGCTCCGTGTACCCCAAATCGTCTCGAGATGCGAGCTGATTCCCTGGCTTAGGCTCAAGACGTATGCCAACTTCCCAGAAGCACCTCAGGAGGAGGCTTCTTTCAGCAATAGGTATGTGGGAGGGACCCCGAGTTTGCTGCCTCAAGGGGAATATACAGCGAGAAGCCCTAACTTGAAAGGAGGCCGGATTTCCTTGCAGTGGCTTGAATACAGGCTCGTCTTTCATCTCACAACATGAAGGGATGTCTGAATCCCCTGTGGAGACCTTAGAGAAAGCCCTAGGTCCCTGCCTCATTTTGACGGAATGCCTCACATCCCGCTGACACCTCGAGAGGCACGCGGAGTTCATTGCTTCAAAAGGTGACGATGCCTGACTCCTCTTGAATACTGATAGGAATCCCAAAATCCCTGTGGCTACTGGAAAGGGTCCTTGGGTGCCCTGCCTCACCTCGAGAAGCGTCCCTTTGGCCCTGCCAAGCCTCGAAGAGATTCCTGAGGTGTCCCTCGTTACTAGACAGGAGTCCTGACGTCACTGAAGAAACTCGTGTTTTGAAGGGCCATCCCCGCCGTAAGTCGAGAACATACCCCAGGTCCCCGCCGCAACTCGAGAAAAACCATGAGACTTCCCCCTAGAGGCGAGATGAGGCCCCATTCCCCTGCAGTGCATGCAGAGCTATTCCGTGATCCCATTCAAACAAGTCAGGAGCTTCGACTTGCTTAAAGGATCTCGAGACATTCCCCAAGAACACTGTCACCAGTCTAGACGGACCCTGAGGTCACCCCAGCAACGCAAAGCAGCTCCATGTGCCCCAAATCAACTCGAGATGAGGCCCGATTCCCCTGCATTGACTCCAGAGCCATTCCCCGTTCCCCATTCAACACGACCGGTGGCTCGACTTCCTTCAGGCAACTCCAGAGATGCCCCGAGAACACTGTCCCAAGTCTAGAGGAACAGCAACTTCAGCACAGCAACTCGAGGAATGCTCCGTGTACCCCAAATCGTCTCGAGATGCGAGCTGATTCCCTGGCTTAGGCTCAAGACGTATGCCAACTTCCCAGAAGCACCTCAGGGGGAGGCTTCTCTCAGCAATAGGTATGTGGGAGGGACCCCGAGTTTGCTGCCTCAAGGGGAATATACAGCGAGAAGCCCTAACTTGAAAGGAGGCCGGATTTCCTTGCAGTGGCTTGAATACAGGCTCGTCTTTCATCTCACAACATGAAGGGATGTCTGAATCCCCTGTGGAGACCTTAGAGAAAGCCCTAGGTCCCTGCCTCATTTTGACGGAATGCCTCACATCCCGCTGACACCTCGAGAGGCACGCGGAGTTCATTTCTTCAAAAGGTGACGATGCCTGACTCCTGTTGAATACTGATGGGAATCCCAAAATCCCTGTGGCTACTGGAAAGGGTCCTTGGGTGCCCTGCCTCACCTCGAGAAGCGTCCCTTTGGCCCTGCCAAGCCTCGAAGAGATTCCTGAGGTGTCCCTCGTTACTAGACAGGAGTCCTGACGTCACTGAAGAAACTCGTGTTTTGAAGGGCCATCCCCGCCGTAAGTCGAGAACATACCACAGGTCCCCGCCGCAACTCGAGAAAAACCATGAGATTTCCCCCTAGAGGCGAGATGAGGCCCCATTCCCCTGCAGTGCATGCAGAGCTATTCCGTGATCCCATTCAAACAAGTCAGGAGCTTCGACTTGCTTAATGGATCTCGAGACAGTCCCCAAGATCACTGTCACCAGTCTAGACGGACTCTGAGGTCACCCCAGCAACGCAAAGCAGCTCCATGTGCCCCAAATCAACTCGAGATGAGGCCCGATTCCCCTGCATTGACTCCAGAGCCATTCCCCGTTCCCCATTCAACACGACCGGTGGCTCGACTTCCTTCAGGCAACTCCAGAGATGCCCCGAGAACACTGTCCCAAGTCTAGAGGAACACCAACTTCAGCACAGCAACTCGAGGAATGCTCCGTGTACCCCAAATCGTCTCGAGATGCGAGCTGATTCCCTGGCTTAGGCTCAAGACGTATGCCAACTTCCCAGAAGCACCTCAGGAGGAGGCTTCTCTCAGCAATAGGTATGTGGGAGGGACCCCGAGTTTGCTGCCTCAAGGGGAATATACAGCGAGAAGCCCTAACTTGAAAGGAGGCCGGATTTCCTTGCAGTGGCTTGAATACAGGCTCGTCTTTCATCTCACAACATGAAGGGATGTCTGAATCCCCTGTGGAGACCTTAGAGAAAGCCCTAGGTCCCTGCCTCATTTTGACGGAATGCCTCACATCCCGCTGACACCTCGAGAGGCACGCGGAGTTCATTGCTTCAAAAGGTGACGATGCCTGACTCCTCTTGAATACTGATAGGAATCCCAAAATCCCTGTGGCTACTGGAAAGGGTCCTTGGGTGCCCTGCCTCACCTCGAGAAGCGTCCCTTTGACCCTGCCAAGCCTCGAAGAGATTCCTGAGGTGTCCCTCGTTACTAGACAGGAGTCCTGACGTCACTGAAGAAACTCGTGTTTTGAAGGGCCATCCCCGCCGTAAGTCGAGAACATACCCCAGGTCCCCGCCGCAACTCGAGAAAAACCATGAGACTTCCCCCTAGAGGCGAGATGAGGCCCCATTCCCCTGCAGTGCATGCAGAGCTATTCCGTGACCCCATTCAAACAAGTCAGGAGCTTCGACTTGCTTAATGGATCTCGAGACAGTCCCCAAGAACACTGTCACCAGTCTAGACGGACCCTGAGGTCACCCCAGCAACGCAAAGCAGCTCCATGTGCCCCAAATCAACTCGAGATGAGGCCCGATTCCCCTGCATTGACTCCAGAGCCATTCCCCGTTCCCCATTCAACACGACCGGTGGCTCGACTTCCTTCAGGCAACTCCAGAGATGCCCCGAGAACACTGTCCCAAGTCTAGAGGAACAGCAACTTCAGCACAGCAACTCGAGGAATGCTCCGTGTACCCCAAATCGTCTCGAGATGCGAGCTGATTCCCTGGCTTAGGCTCAAGACGTATGCCAACTTCCCAGAAGCACCTCAGGGGGAGGCTTCTCTCAGCAATAGGTATGTGGGAGGGACCCCGAGTTTGCTGCCTCAAGGGGAATATACAGCGAGAAGCCCTAACTTGAAAGGAGGCCGGATTTCCTTGCAGTGGCTTGAATACAGGCTCGTCTTTCATCTCACAACATTAAGGGATGTCTGAGTCCCCTGTGGAGACCTTAGAGAAAGCCCTAGGTCCCTGCCTCATTTTGACGGAATGCCTCACATCCCGCTGACACCTCGAGAGGCACGCGGAGTTCATTTCTTCAAAAGGTGACGATGCCTGACTCCTGTTGAATACTGATGGGAATCCCAAAATCCCTGTGGCTACTGGAAAGGGTCCTTGGGTGCCCTGCCTCACCTCGAGAAGCGTCCCTTTGGCCCTGCCAAGCTTCGAAGAGATTCCTGAGGTGTCCCTCGTTACTAGACAGGAGTCCTGACGTCACTGAAGAAACTCTTGTTTTGAAGGGCCATCCCCGCCGTAAGTCGAGAACATACCACAGGTCCCCGCCGCAACTCGAGAAAAACCATGAGATTTCCCCCTAGAGGCGAGATGAGGCCCCATTCCCCTGCAGTGCATGCAGAGCTATTCCGTGATCCCATTCAAACAAGTCAGGAGCTTCGACTTGCTTAATGGATCTCGAGACAGTCCCCAAGATCACTGTCACCATTCTAGACCGACTCTGAGGTCACCCCAGCAACGCAAAGCAGCTCCATGTGCCCCAAATCAACTCGAGATGAGGCCCGATTCCCCTGCATTGACTCCAGAGCCATTCCCCGTTCCCCATTCAACACGACCGGTGGCTCGACTTCCTTCAGGCAACTCCAGAGATGCCCCGAGAACACTGTCCCAAGTCTAGAGGAACACCAACTTCAGCACAGCAACTCGAGGAATGCTCCGTGTACCCCAAATCGTCTCGAGATGCGAGCTGATTCCCTGGCTTAGGCTCAAGACGTATGCCAACTTCCCAGAAGCACCTCAGGAGGAGGCTTCTCTCAGCAATAGGTATGTGGGAGGGACCCCGAGTTTGCTGCCTCAAGGGGAATATACAGCGAGAAGCCCTAACTTGAAAGGAGGCCGGATTTCCTTGCAGTGGCTTGAATACAGGCTCGTCTTTCATCTCACAACATGAAGGGATGTCTGAATCCCCTGTAGAGACCTTAGAGAAAGCCCTAGGTCCCTGCCTCATTTTGACGGAATGCCTCACATCCCGCTGACACCTCGAGAGGCACGCGGAGTTCATTGCTTCAAAAGGTGACGATGCCTGACTCCTCTTGAATACTGATAGGAATCCCAAAATCCCTGTGGCTACTGGAAAGGGTCCTTGGGTGCCCTGCCTCACCTCGAGAAGCGTCCCTTTGGCCCTGCCAAGCCTCGAAGAGATTCCTGAGGTGTCCCTCGTTACTAGACAGGAGTCCTGACGTCACTGAAGAAACTCGTGTTTTGAAGGGCCATCCCCGCCGTAAGTCGAGAACATACCCCAGGTCCCCGCCGCAACTCGAGAAAAACCATGAGACTTCCCCCTAGAGGCGAGATGAGGCCCCATTCCCCTGCAGTGCATGCAGAGCTATTCCGTGATCCCATTCAAACAAGTCAGGAGCTTCGACTTGCTTAATGGATCTCGAGACAGTCCCCAAGAACACTGTCACCAGTCTAGACGGACCCTGAGGTCACCCCAGCAACGCAAAGCAGCTCCATGTGCCCCAAATCAACTCGAGATGAGGCCCGATTCCCCTGCATTGACTCCAGAGCCATTCCCCGTTCCCCATTCAACACGACCGGTGGCTCGACTTCCTTCAGGCAACTCCAGAGATGCCCCGAGAACACTGTCCCAAGTCTAGAGGAACACCAACTTCAGCACAGCAACTCGAGGAATGCTCCGTCTACCCCAAATCGTCTCGAGATGCAAGCTGATTCCCTGGCTTAGGCTCAAGACGTATGCCAACTTCCCAGAAGCACCTCAGGAGGAGGCTTCTCTCAGCAATAGGTATGTGGGAGGGACCCCGAGTTTGCTGCCTCAAGGGGAATATACAGCGAGAAGCCCTAACTTGAAAGGAGGCCGGATTTCCTTGCAGTGGCTTGAATACAGGCTCGTCTTTCATCTCACAACATGAAGGGATGTCTGAATCCCCTGTGGAGACCTTAGAGAAAGCCCTAGGTCCCTGCCTCATTTTGACAGAATGCCTCACATCCCGCTGACACCTCGAGAGGCACGCGGAGTTCATTGCTTCAAAAGGTGACGATGCCTGACTCCTCTTGAATACTGATAGGAATCCCAAAATCCCTGTGGCTACTGGAAAGGGTCCTTGGGTGCCCTGCCTCACCTCGAGAAGCGTCCCTTTGGCCATGCCAAGCCTCGAAGAGATTCCTGAGGTGTCCCTCGTTACTAGACAGGAGTCCTGACGTCACTGAAGAAACTCGTGTTTTGAAGGGCCATCCCCGCCGTAAGTCGAGAACATACCCCAGGTCCCCGCCGCAACTCGAGAAAAACCATGAGACTTCCCCCTAGAGGCGAGATGAGGCCCCATTCCCCTGCAGTGCATGCAGAGCTATTCCGTGATCCCATTCAAACAAGTCAGGAGCTTCGACTTGCTTAATGGATCTCGAGACAGTCCCCAAGAACACTGTCACCAGTCTAGACGGACCCTGAGGTCACCCCAGCAACGCAAAGCAGCTCCATGTGCACCAAATCAACTCGAGATGAGGCCCGATTCCCCTGCATTGACTCCAGAGCCATTCCCCGTTCCCCATTCAACACGACCGGTGGCTCGACTTCCTTCAGGCAACTCCAGAGATGCCCCGAGAACACTGTCCCAAGTCTAGAGGAACACCAACTTCAGCACAGCAGCTCGAGGAATGCTCCGTGTACACCAAATCGTCTCGAGATGCGAGCTGATTCCCTGGCTTAGGCTCAAGACGTATGCCAACTTCCCAGAAGCACCTCAGGAGGAGGCTTCTCTCAGCAATAGGTATGTGGGAGGGACCCCGAGTTTGCTGCCTCAAGGGGAATATACAGCGAGAAGCCCTAACTTGAAAGGAGGCCGGATTTCCTTGCAGTGGCTTGAATACAGGCTCGTCTTTCATCTCACAACATGAAGGGATGTCTGAATCCCCTGTGGAGACCTTAGAGAAAGCCCTAGGTCCCTGCCTCATTTTGACGGAATGCCTCACATCCCGCTGACACCTCGAGAGGCACGCGGAGTTCATTGCTTCAAAAGGTGACGATGCCTGACTCCTCTTGAATACTGATAGGAATCCCAAAATCCCTGTGGCTACTGGAAAGGGTCCTTGGGTGCCCTGCCTCACCTCGAGAAGCGTCCCTTTGGCCCTGCCAAGCCTCGAAGAGATTCCTGAGGTGTCCCTCGTTACTAGACAGGAGTCCTGACGTCACTGAAGAAACTCGTGTTTTGAAGGGCCATCCCCGCCGTAAGTCGAGAACATACCCCAGGTCCCCGCCGCAACTCGAGAAAAACCATGAGACTTCCCCCTAGAGGCGAGATGAGGCCCCATTCCCCTGCAGTGCATGCAGAGCTATTCCGTGACCCCATTCAAACAAGTCAGGAGCTTCGACTTGCTTAATGGATCTCGAGACAGTCCCCAAGAACACTGTCACCAGTCTAGACGGACCCTGAGGTCACCCCAGCAACGCAAAGCAGCTCCATGTGCCCCAAATCAACTCGAGATGAGGCCCGATTCCCCTGCATTGACTCCAGAGCCATTCCCCGTTCCCCATTCCACACGACCGGTGGCTCGACTTCCTTCAGGCAACTCCAGAGATGCCCCGAGAACACTGTCCCAAGTCTAGAGGAACACCAACTTCAGCACAGCAACTCGAGGAATGCTCCGTGTACCCCAAATCGTCTCGAGATGCGAGCTGATTCCCTGGCTTAGGCTCAAGACGTATGCCAACTTCCCAGAAGCACCTCAGGAGGAGGCTTCTCTCAGCAATAGGTATGTGGGAGGGACCCCGAGTTTGCTGCCTCAAGGGGAATATACAGCGAGAAGCCCTAACTTGAAAGGAGGCCGGATTTCCTTGCAGTGGCTTGAATACAGGCTCGTCTTTCATCTCACAACATGAAGGGATGTCTGAATCCCCTGTGGAGACCTTAGAGAAAGCCCTAGGTCCCTGCCTCATTTTGACGGAATGCCTCACATCCCGCTGACACCTCGAGAGGCACGCGGAGTTCATTGCTTCAAAAGGTGACGATGCCTGACTCCTCTTGAATACTGATAGGAATCCCAAAATCCCTGTGGCTACTGGAAAGGGTACTTGGGTGCCCTGCCTCACCTCGAGAAGCGTCCCTTTGACCCTGCCAAGCCTCGAAGAGATTCCTGAGGTGTCCCTAGTTACTAGACAGGAGTCCTGACGTCACTGAAGAAACTCGTGTTTTGAAGGGCCATCCCCGCCGTAAGTCGAGAACATACACCAGGTCCCCGCCGCAACTCGAGAAAAACCATGAGACTTCCCCCTAGAGGCGAGATGAGGCCCCATTCCCCTGCAGTGCATGCAGAGCTATTCCGTGACCCCATTCAAACAAGTCAGGAGCTTCGACTTGCTTAATGGATCTCGAGACAGTCCCCAAGAACACTGTCACCAGTCTAGACGGACCCTGAGGTCACCCCAGCAACGCAAAGCAGCTCCATGTGCCCCAAATCAACTCGAGATGAGGCCCGATTCCCCTGCATTGACTCCAGAGCCATTCCCCGTTCCCCATTCCACACGGCCGGTGGCTCGACTTCCTTCAGGCAACTCCAGAGATGCCCCGAGAACACTGTCCCAAGTCTAGAGGAACACCAACTTCAGCACAGCAACTCGAGGAATGCTCCGTGTACCCCAAATCGTCTCGAGATGCGAGCTGATTCCCTGGCTTAGGCTCAAGACGTATGCCAACTTCCCAGAAGCACCTCAGGAGGAGGCTTCTTTCAGCAATAGGTATGTGGGAGGGACCCCGAGTTTGCTGCCTCAAGGGGAATATACAGCGAGAAGCCCTAACTTGAAAGGAGGCCGGATTTCCTTGCAGTGGCTTGAATACAGGCTCGTCTTTCATCTCACAACATGAAGGGATGTCTGAATCCCCTGTGGAGACCTTAGAGAAAGCCCTAGGTCCCTGCCTCATTTTGACGGAATGCCTCACATCCCGCTGACACCTCGAGAGGCACGCGGAGTTCATTGCTTCAAAAGGTGACGATGCCTGACTCCTCTTGAATACTGATAGGAATCCCAAAATCCCTGTGGCTACTGGAAAGGGTCCTTGGGTGCCCTGCCTCACCTCGAGAAGCGTCCCTTTGGCCCTGCCAAGCCTCGAAGAGATTCCTGAGGTGTCCCTCGTTACTAGACAGGAGTCCTGACGTCACTGAAGAAACTCGTGTTTTGAAGGGCCATCCCCGCCGTAAGTCGAGAACATACCCCAGGTCCCCGCCGCAACTCGAGAAAAACCATGAGACTTCCCCCTAGAGGCGAGATGAGGCCCCATTCCCCTGCAGTGCATGCAGAGCTATTCCGTGATCCCATTCAAACAAGTCAGGAGCTTCGACTTGCTTAAAGGATCTCGAGACATTCCCCAAGAACACTGTCACCAGTCTAGACGGACCCTGAGGTCACCCCAGCAACGCAAAGCAGCTCCATGTGCCCCAAATCAACTCGAGATGAGGCCCGATTCCCCTGCATTGACTCCAGAGCCATTCCCCGTTCCCCATTCAACACGACCGGTGGCTCGACTTCCTTCAGGCAACTCCAGAGATGCCCCGAGAACACTGTCCCAAGTCTAGAGGAACAGCAACTTCAGCACAGCAACTCGAGGAATGCTCCGTGTACCCCAAATCGTCTCGAGATGCGAGCTGATTCCCTGGCTTAGGCTCAAGACGTATGCCAACTTCCCAGAAGCACCTCAGGGGGAGGCTTCTCTCAGCAATAGGTATGTGGGAGGGACCCCGAGTTTGCTGCCTCAAGGGGAATATACAGCGAGAAGCCCTAACTTGAAAGGAGGCCGGATTTCCTTGCAGTGGCTTGAATACAGGCTCGTCTTTCATCTCACAACATGAAGGGATGTCTGAATCCCCTGTGGAGACCTTAGAGAAAGCCCTAGGTCCCTGCCTCATTTTGACGGAATGCCTCACATCCCGCTGACACCTCGAGAGGCACGCGGAGTTCATTTCTTCAAAAGGTGACGATGCCTGACTCCTGTTGAATACTGATGGGAATCCCAAAATCCCTGTGGCTACTGGAAAGGGTCCTTGGGTGCCCTGCCTCACCTCGAGAAGCGTCCCTTTGGCCCTGCCAAGCCTCGAAGAGATTCCTGAGGTGTCCCTCGTTACTAGACAGGAGTCCTGACGTCACTGAAGAAACTCGTGTTTTGAAGGGCCATCCCCGCCGTAAGTCGAGAACATACCACAGGTCCCCGCCGCAACTCGAGAAAAACCATGAGATTTCCCCCTAGAGGCGAGATGAGGCCCCATTCCCCTGCAGTGCATGCAGAGCTATTCCGTGATCCCATTCAAACAAGTCAGGAGCTTCGACTTGCTTAATGGATCTCGAGACAGTCCCCAAGATCACTGTCACCAGTCTAGACGGACTCTGAGGTCACCCCAGCAACGCAAAGCAGCTCCATGTGCCCCAAATCAACTCGAGATGAGGCCCGATTCCCCTGCATTGACTCCAGAGCCATTCCCCGTTCCCCATTCAACACGACCGGTGGCTCGACTTCCTTCAGGCAACTCCAGAGATGCCCCGAGAACACTGTCCCAAGTCTAGAGGAACACCAACTTCAGCACAGCAACTCGAGGAATGCTCCGTGTACCCCAAATCGTCTCGAGATGCGAGCTGATTCCCTGGCTTAGGCTCAAGACGTATGCCAACTTCCCAGAAGCACCTCAGGAGGAGGCTTCTCTCAGCAATAGGTATGTGGGAGGGACCCCGAGTTTGCTGCCTCAAGGGGAATATACAGCGAGAAGCCCTAACTTGAAAGGAGGCCGGATTTCCTTGCAGTGGCTTGAATACAGGCTCGTCTTTCATCTCACAACATGAAGGGATGTCTGAATCCCCTGTGGAGACCTTAGAGAAAGCCCTAGGTCCCTGCCTCATTTTGACGGAATGCCTCACATCCCGCTGACACCTCGAGAGGCACGCGGAGTTCATTGCTTCAAAAGGTGACGATGCCTGACTCCTCTTGAATACTGATAGGAATCCCAAAATCCCTGTGGCTACTGGAAAGGGTCCTTGGGTGCCCTGCCTCACCTCGAGAAGCGTCCCTTTGGCCCTGCCAAGCCTCGAAGAGATTCCTGAGGTGTCCCTCGTTACTAGACAGGAGTCCTGACGTCACTGAAGAAACTCGTGTTTTGAAGGGCCATCCCCGCCGTAAGTCGAGAACATACCCCAGGTCCCCGCCGCAACTCGAGAAAAACCATGAGACTTCCCCCTAGAGGCGAGATGAGGCCCCATTCCCCTGCAGTGCATGCAGAGCTATTCCGTGACCCCATTCAAACAAGTCAGGAGCTTCGACTTGCTTAATGGATCTCGAGACAGTCCCCAAGAACACTGTCACCAGTCTAGACGGACCCTGAGGTCACCCCAGCAACGCAAAGCAGCTCCATGTGCCCCAAATCAACTAGAGATGAGGCCCGATTCCCCTGCATTGACTCCAGAGCCATTCCCCGTTCCCCATTCCACACGACCGGTGGCTCGACTTCCTTCAGGCAACTCCAGAGATGCCCCGAGAACACTGTCCCAAGTCTAGAGGAACACCAACTTCAGCACAGCAACTCGAGGAATGCTCCGTGTACCCCAAATCGTCTCGAGATGCGAGCTGATTCCCTGGCTTAGGCTCAAGACGTATGCCAACTTCCCAGAAGCACCTCAGGAGGAGGCTTCTCTCAGCAATAGGTATGTGGGAGGGACCCCGAGTTTGCTGCCTCAAGGGGAATATACAGCGAGAAGCCCTAACTTGAAAGGAGGCCGGATTTCCTTGCAGTGGCTTGAATACAGGCTCGTCTTTCATCTCACAACATGAAGGGATGTCTGAATCCCCTGTGGAGACCTTAGAGAAAGCCCTAGGTCCCTGCCTCATTTTGACGGAATGCCTCACATCCCGCTGACACCTCGAGAGGCACGCGGAGTTCATTGCTTCAAAAGGTGACGATGCCTGACTCCTCTTGAATACTGATAGGAATCCCAAAATCCCTGTGGCTACTGGAAAGGGTCCTTGGGTGCCCTGCCTCACCTCGAGAAGCGTCCCTTTGACCCTGCCAAGCCTCGAAGAGATTCCTGAGGTGTCCCTCGTTACTAGACAGGAGTCCTGACGTCACTGAAGAAACTCGTGTTTTGAAGGGCCATCCCCGCCGTAAGTCGAGAACATACCCCAGGTCCCCGCCGCAACTCGAGAAAAACCATGAGACTTCCCCCTAGAGGCGAGATGAGGCCCCATTCCCCTGCAGTGCATGCAGAGCTATTCCGTGACCCCATTCAAACAAGTCAGGAGCTTCGACTTGCTTAATGGATCTCGAGACAGTCCCCAAGAACACTGTCACCAGTCTAGACGGACCCTGAGGTCACCCCAGCAACGCAAAGCAGCTCCATGTGCCCCAAATCAACTCGAGATGAGGCCCGATTCCCCTGCATTGACTCCAGAGCCATTCCCCGTTCCCCATTCCACACGACCGGTGGCTCGACTTCCTTCAGGCAACTCCAGAGATGCCCCGAGAACACTGTCCCAAGTCTAGAGGAACACCAACTTCAGCACAGCAACTCGAGGAATGCTCCGTGTACCCCAAATCGTCTCGAGATGCGAGCTGATTCCCTGGCTTAGGCTCAAGACGTATGCCAACTTCCCAGAAGCACCTCAGGAGGAGGCTTCTCTCAGCAATAGGTATGTGGGAGGGACCCCGAGTTTGCTGCCTCAAGGGGAATATACAGCGAGAAGCCCTAACTTGAAAGGAGGCCGGATTTCCTTGCAGTGGCTTGAATATAGGCTCGTCTTTCATCTCACAACATGAAGGGATGTCTGAATCCCCTGTGGAGACCTTAGAGAAAGCCCTAGGTCCCTGCCTCATTTTGACGGAATGCCTCACATCCCGCTGACACCTCGAGAGGCACGCGGAGTTCATTGCTTCAAAAGGTGACGATGCCTGACTCCTCTTGAATACTGATAGGAATCCCAAAATCCCTGTGGCTACTGGAAAGGGTCCTTGGGTGCCCTGCCTCACCTCGAGAAGCGTCCCTTTGGCCCTGCCAAGCCTCGAAGAGATTCCTGAGGTGTCCCTCGTTACTAGACAGGAGTCCTGACGTCACTGAAGAAACTCGTGTTTTGAAGGGCCATCCCCGCCGTAAGTCGAGAACATACCCCAGGTCCCCGCCGCAACTCGAGAAAAACCATGAGACTTCCCCCTAGAGGCGAGATGAGGCCCCATTCCCCTGCAGTGCATGCAGAGCTATTCCGTGATCCCATTCAAACAAGTCAGGAGCTTCGACTTGCTTAAAGGATCTCGAGACATTCCCCAAGAACACTGTCACCAGTCTAGACGGACCCTGAGGTCACCCCAGCAACGCAAAGCAGCTCCATGTGCCCCAAATCAACTCGAGATGAGGCCCGATTCCCCTGCATTGACTCCAGAGCCATTCCCCGTTCCCCATTCAACACGACCGGTGGCTCGAATTCCTTCAGGCAACTCCAGAGATGCCCCGAGAACACTGTCCCAAGTCTAGAGGAACAGCAACTTCAGCACAGCAACTCGAGGAATGCTCCGTGTACCCCAAATCGTCTCGAGATGCGAGCTGATTCCCTGGCTTAGGCTCAAGACGTATGCCAACTTCCCAGAAGCACCTCAGGGGGAGGCTTCTCTCAGCAATAGGTATGTGGGAGGGACCCCGAGTTTGCTGCCTCAAGGGGAATATACAGCGAGAAGCCCTAACTTGAAAGGAGGCCGGATTTCCTTGCAGTGGCTTGAATACAGGCTCGTCTTTCATCTCACAACATGAAGGGATGTCTGAGTCCCCTGTGGAGACCTTAGAGAAAGCCCTAGGTCCCTGCCTCATTTTGACGGAATGCCTCACATCCCGCTGACACCTCGAGAGGCACGCGGAGTTCATTTCTTCAAAAGGTGACGATGCCTGACTCCTGTTGAATACTGATGGGAATCCCAAAATCCCTGTGGCTACTGGAAAGGGTCCTTGGGTGCCCTGCCTCACCTCGAGAAGCGTCCCTTTGGCCCTGCCAAGCTTCGAAGAGATTCCTGAGGTGTCCCTCGTTACTAGACAGGAGTCCTGACGTCACTGAAGAAACTCTTGTTTTGAAGGGCCATCCCCGCCGTAAGTCGAGAACATACCACAGGTCCCCGCCGCAACTCGAGAAAAACCATGAGATTTCCCCCTAGAGGCGAGATGAGGCCCCATTCCCCTGCAGTGCATGCAGAGCTATTCCGTGATCCCATTCAAACAAGTCAGGAGCTTCGACTTGCTTAATGGATCTCGAGACAGTCCCCAAGATCACTGTCACCATTCTAGACGGACTCTGAGGTCACCCCAGCAACGCAAAGCAGCTCCATGTGCCCCAAATCAACTCGAGATGAGGCCCGATTCCCCTGCATTGACTCCAGAGCCATTCCCCGTTCCCCATTCAACACGACCGGTGGCTCGACTTCCTTCAGGCAACTCCAGAGATGCCCCGAGAACACTGTCCCAAGTCTAGAGGAACACCAACTTCAGCACAGCAACTCGAGGAATGCTCCGTGTACCCCAAATCGTCTCGAGATGCGAGCTGATTCCCTGGCTTAGGCTCAAGACGTATGCCAACTTCCCAGAAGCACCTCAGGAGGAGGCTTCTCTCAGCAATAGGTATGTGGGAGGGACCCCGAGTTTGCTGCCTCAAGGGGAATATACAGCGAGAAGCCCTAACTTGAAAGGAGGCCGGATTTCCTTGCAGTGGCTTGAATACAGGCTCGTCTTTCATCTCACAACATGAAGGGATGTCTGAATCCCCTGTGGAGACCTTAGAGAAAGCCCTAGGTCCCTGCCTCATTTTGACGGAATGCCTCACATCCCGCTGACACCTCGAGAGGCACGCGGAGTTCATTGCTTCAAAAGGTGACGATGCCTGACTCCTCTTGAATACTGATAGGAATCCCAAAATCCCTGTGGCTACTGGAAAGGGTCCTTGGGTGCCCTGCCTCACCTCGAGAAGCGTCCCTTTGGCCCTGCCAAGCCTCGAAGAGATTCCTGAGGTGTCCCTCGTTACTAGACAGGAGTCCTGACGTCACTGAAGAAACTCGTGTTTTGAAGGGCCATCCCCGCCGTAAGTCGAGAACATACCCCAGGTCCCCGCCGCAACTCGAGAAAAACCATGAGACTTCCCCCTAGAGGCGAGATGAGGCCCCATTCCCCTGCAGTGCATGCAGAGCTATTCCGTGATCCCATTCAAACAAGTCAGGAGCTTCGACTTGCTTAATGGATCTCGAGACAGTCCCCAAGAACACTGTCACCAGTCTAGACGGACCCTGAGGTCACCCCAGCAACGCAAAGCAGCTCCATGTGCCCCAAATCAACTCGAGATGAGGCCCGATTCCCCTGCATTGACTCCAGAGCCATTCCCCGTTCCCCATTCAACACGACCGGTGGCTCGACTTCCTTCAGGCAACTCCAGAGATGCCCCGAGAACACTGTCCCAAGTCTAGAGGAACACCAACTTCAGCACAGCAACTCGAGGAATGCTCCGTCTACCCCAAATCGTCTCGAGATGCAAGCTGATTCCCTGGCTTAGGCTCAAGACGTATGCCAACTTCCCAGAAGCACCTCAGGAGGAGGCTTCTCTCAGCAATAGGTATGTGGGAGGGACCCCGAGTTTGCTGCCTCAAGGGGAATATACAGCGAGAAGCCCTAACTTGAAAGGAGGCCGGATTTCCTTGCAGTGGCTTGAATACAGGCTCGTCTTTCATCTCACAACATGAAGGGATGTCTGAATCCCCTGTGGAGACCTTAGAGAAAGCCCTAGGTCCCTGCCTCATTTTGCCAGAATGCCTCACATCCCGCTGACACCTCGAGAGGCACGCGGAGTTCATTGCTTCAAAAGGTGACGATGCCTGACTCCTCTTGAATACTGATAGGAATCCCAAAATCCCTGTGGCTACTGGAAAGGGTCCTTGGGTGCCCTGCCTCACCTCGAGAAGCGTCCCTTTGGCCATGCCAAGCCTCGAAGAGATTCCTGAGGTGTCCCTCGTTACTAGACAGGAGTCCTGACGTCACTGAAGAAACTCGTGTTTTGAAGGGCCATCCCCGCCGTAAGTCGAGAACATACCCCAGGTCCCCGCCGCAACTCGAGAAAAACCATGAGACTTCCCCCTAGAGGCGAGATGAGGCCCCATTCCCCTGCAGTGCATGCAGAGCTATTCCGTGATCCCATTCAAACAAGTCAGGAGCTTCGACTTGCTTAATGGATCTCGAGACAGTCCCCAAGAACACTGTCACCAGTCTAGACGGACCCTGAGGTCACCCCAGCAACGCAAAGCAGCTCCATGTGCACCAAATCAACTCGAGATGAGGCCCGATTCCCCTGCATTGACTCCAGAGCCATTCCCCGTTCCCCATTCAACACGACCGGTGGCTCGACTTCCTTCAGGCAAGTCCAGAGATGCCCCGAGAACACTGTCCCAAGTCTAGAGGAACACCAACTTCAGCACAGCAGCTCGAGGAATGCTCCGTGTACACCAAATCGTCTCGAGATGCGAGCTGATTCCCTGGCTTAGGCTCAAGACGTATGCCAACTTCCCAGAAGCACCTCAGGAGGAGGCTTCTCTCAGCAATAGGTATGTGGGAGGGACCCCGAGTTTGCTGCCTCAAGGGGAATATACAGCGAAAAGCCCTAACTTGAAAGGAGGCCGGATTTCCTTGCAGTGGCTTGAATACAGGCTCGTCTTTCATCTCACAACATGAAGGGATGTCTGAATCCCCTGTGGAGACCTTAGAGAAAGCCCTAGGTCCCTGCCTCATTTTGACGGAATGCCTCACATCCCGCTGACACCTCGAGAGGCACGCGGAGTTCATTGCTTCAAAAGGTGACGATGCCTGACTCCTCTTGAATACTGATAGGAATCCCAAAATCCCTGTGGCTACTGGAAAGGGTCCTTGGGTGCCCTGCCTCACCTCGAGAAGCGTCCCTTTGGCCCTGCCAAGCCTCGAAGAGATTCCTGAGGTGTCCCTCGTTACTAGACAGGAGTCCTGACGTCACTGAAGAAACTCGTGTTTTGAAGGGCCATCCCCGCCGTAAGTCGAGAACATACCCCAGGTCCCCGCCGCAACTCGAGAAAAACCATGAGACTTCCCCCTAGAGGCGAGATGAGGCCCCATTCCCCTGCAGTGCATGCAGAGCTATTCCGTGACCCCATTCAAACAAGTCAGGAGCTTCGACTTGCTTAATGGATCTCGAGACAGTCCCCAAGAACACTGTCACCAGTCTAGACGGACCCTGAGGTCACCCCAGCAACGCAAAGCAGCTCCATGTGCCCCAAATCAACTCGAGATGAGGCCCGATTCCCCTGCATTGACCCCAGAGCCATTCCCCGTTCCCCATTCCACACGACCGGTGGCTCGACTTCCTTCAGGCAACTCCAGAGATGCCCCGAGAACACTGTCCCAAGTCTAGAGGAACACCAACTTCAGCACAGCAACTCGAGGAATGCTCCGTGTACCCCAAATCGTCTCGAGATGCGAGCTGATTCCCTGGCTTAGGCTCAAGACGTATGCCAACTTCCCAGAAGCACCTCAGGAGGAGGCTTCTCTCAGCAATAGGTATGTGGGAGGGACCCCGAGTTTGCTGCCTCAAGGGGAATATACAGCGAGAAGCCCTAACTTGAAAGGAGGCCGGATTTCCTTGCAGTGGCTTGAATACAGGCTCGTCTTTCATCTCACAACATGAAGGGATGTCTGAATCCCCTGTGGAGACCTTAGAGAAAGCCCTAGGTCCCTGCCTCATTTTGACGGAATGCCTCACATCCCGCTGACACCTCGAGAGGCACGCGGAGTTCATTGCTTCAAAAGGTGACGATGCCTGACTCCTCTTGAATACTGATAGGAATCCCAAAATCCCTGTGGCTACTGGAAAGGGTACTTGGGTGCCCTGCCTCACCTCGAGAAGCGTCCCTTTGACCCTGCCAAGCCTCGAAGAGATTCCTGAGGTGTCCCTCGTTACTAGACAGGAGTCCTGACGTCACTGAAGAAACTCGTGTTTTGAAGGGCCATCCCCGCCGTAAGTCGAGAACATACCCCAGGTCCCCGCCGCAACTCGAGAAAAACCATGAGACTTCCCCCTAGAGGCGAGATGAGGCCCCATTCCCTGCAGTGCATGCAGAGCTATTCCGTGACCCCATTCAAACAAGTCAGGAGCTTCGACTTGCTTAATGGATCTCGAGACAGTCCCCAAGAACACTGTCACCAGTCTAGACGGACCCTGAGGTCACCCCAGCAACGCAAAGCAGCTCCATGTGCCCCAAATCAACTCGAGATGAGGCCCGATTCCCCTGCATTGACTCCAGAGCCATTCCCCGTTCCCCATTCCACACGACCGGTGGCTCGACTTCCTTCAGGCAACTCCAGAGATGCCCCGAGAACACTGTCCCAAGTCTAGAGGAACACCAACTTCAGCACAGCAACTCGAGGAATGCTCCGTGTACCCCAAATCGTCTCGAGATGCGAGCTGATTCCCTGGCTTAGGCTCAAGACGTATGCCAACTTCCCAGAAGCACCTCAGGAGGAGGCTTCTTTCAGCAATAGGTATGTGGGAGGGACCCCGAGTTTGCTGCCTCAAGGGGAATATACAGCGAGAAGCCCTAACTTGAAAGGAGGCCGGATTTCCTTGCAGTGGCTTGAATACAGGCTCGTCTTTCATCTCACAACATGAAGGGATGTCTGAATCCCCTGTGGAGACCTTAGAGAAAGCCCTAGGTCCCTGCCTCATTTTGACGGAATGCCTCACATCCCGCTGACACCTCGAGAGGCACGCGGAGTTCATTGCTTCAAAAGGTGACGATGCCTGACTCCTCTTGAATACTGATAGGAATCCCAAAATCCCTGTGGCTACTGGAAAGGGTCCTTGGGTGCCCTGCCTCACCTCGAGAAGCGTCCCTTTGGCCCTGCCAAGCCTCGAAGAGATTCCTGAGGTGTCCCTCGTTACTAGACAGGAGTCCTGACGTCACTGAAGAAACTCGTGTTTTGAAGGGCCATCCCCGCCGTAAGTCGAGAACATACCCCAGGTCCCCGCCGCAACTCGAGAAAAACCATGAGACTTCCCCCTAGAGGCGAGATGAGGCCCCATTCCCCTGCAGTGCATGCAGAGCTATTCCGTGATCCCATTCAAACAAGTCAGGAGCTTCGACTTGCTTAAAGGATCTCGAGACATTCCCCAAGAACACTGTCACCAGTCTAGACGGACCCTGAGGTCACCCCAGCAACGCAAAGCAGCTCCATGTGCCCCAAATCAACTCGAGATGAGGCCCGATTCCCCTGCATTGACTCCAGAGCCATTCCCCGTTCCCCATTCAACACGACCGGTGGCTCGACTTCCTTCAGGCAACTCCAGAGATGCCCCGAGAACACTGTCCCAAGTCTAGAGGAACAGCAACTTCAGCACAGCAACTCGAGGAATGCTCCGTGTACCCCAAATCGTCTCGAGATGCGAGCTGATTCCCTGGCTTAGGCTCAAGACGTATGCCAACTTCCCAGAAGCACCTCAGGGGGAGGCTTCTCTCAGCAATAGGTATGTGGGAGGGACCCCGAGTTTGCTGCCTCAAGGGGAATATACAGCGAGAAGCCCTAACTTGAAAGGAGGCCGGATTTCCTTGCAGTGGCTTGAATACAGGCTCGTCTTTCATCTCACAACATGAAGGGATGTCTGAATCCCCTGTGGAGACCTTAGAGAAAGCCCTAGGTCCCTGCCTCATTTTGACGGAATGCCTCACATCCCGCTGACACCTCGAGAGGCACGCGGAGTTCATTTCTTCAAAAGGTGACGATGCCTGACTCCTGTTGAATACTGATGGGAATCCCAAAATCCCTGTGGCTACTGGAAAGGGTCCTTGGGTGCCCTGCCTCACCTCGAGAAGCGTCCCTTTGGCCCTGCCAAGCCTCGAAGAGATTCCTGAGGTGTCCCTCGTTACTAGACAGGAGTCCTGACGTCACTGAAGAAACTCGTGTTTTGAAGGGCCATCCCCGCCGTAAGTCGAGAACATACCACAGGTCCCCGCCGCAACTCGAGAAAAACCATGAGATTTCCCCCTAGAGGCGAGATGAGGCCCCATTCCCCTGCAGTGCATGCAGAGCTATTCCGTGATCCCATTCAAACAAGTCAGGAGCTTCGACTTGCTTAATGGATCTCGAGACAGTCCCCAAGATCACTGTCACCAGTCTAGACGGACTCTGAGGTCACCCCAGCAACGCAAAGCAGCTCCATGTGCCCCAAATCAACTCGAGATGAGGCCCGATTCCCCTGCATTGACTCCAGAGCCATTCCCCGTTCCCCATTCAACACGACCGGTGGCTCGACTTCCTTCAGGCAACTCCAGAGATGCCCCGAGAACACTGTCCCAAGTCTAGAGGAACACCAACTTCAGCACAGCAACTCGAGGAATGCTCCGTGTACCCCAAATCGTCTCGAGATGCGAGCTGATTCCCTGGCTTAGGCTCAAGACGTATGCCAACTTCCCAGAAGCACCTCAGGAGGAGGCTTCTCTCAGCAATAGGTATGTGGGAGGGACCCCGAGTTTGCTGCCTCAAGGGGAATATACAGCGAGAAGCCCTAACTTGAAAGGAGGCCGGATTTCCTTGCAGTGGCTTGAATACAGGCTCGTCTTTCATCTCACAACATGAAGGGATGTCTGAATCCCCTGTGGAGACCTTAGAGAAAGCCCTAGGTCCCTGCCTCATTTTGACGGAATGCCTCACATCCCGCTGACACCTCGAGAGGCACGCGGAGTTCATTGCTTCAAAAGGTGACGATGCCTGACTCCTCTTGAATAGTGATAGGAATCCCAAAATCCCTGTGGCTACTGGAAAGGGTCCTTGGGTGCCCTGCCTCACGTCGAGAAGCGTCCCTTTGGCCCTGCCAAGCCTCCAAGAGATTCCTGAGGTGTCCCTCGTTACTAGACAGGAGTCCTGACGTCACTGAAGAAACTCGTGTTTTGAAGGGCCATCCCCGCCGTAAGTCGAGAACATACCCCAGGTCCCCGCCGCAACTCGAGAAAAACCATGAGACTTCCCCCTAGAGGCGAGATGAGGCCCCATTCCCCTGCAGTGCATGCAGAGCTATTCCGTGATCCCATTCAAACAAGTCAGGAGCTTCGACTTGCTTAATGGATCTCGAGACAGTCCCCAAGAACACTGTCACCAGTCTAGACGGACCCTGAGGTCACCCCAGCAACGCAAAGCAGCTCCATGTGCCCCAAATCAACTCGAGATGAGGCCCGATTCCCCTGCATTGACTCCAGAGCCATTCCCCGTTCCCCATTCAACACGACCGGTGGCTCGACTTCCTTCAGGCAACTCCAGAGATGCCCCGAGAACACTTTCCCAAGTCTAGAGGAACACCAACTTCAGCACAGCAACTCGAGGAATGCTCCGTGTACCCCAAATCGTCTCGAGATGCGAGCTGATTCCCTGGCTTAGGCTCAAGACGTATGCCAACTTCCCAGAAGCACCTCAGGAGGAGGCTTCTCTCAGCAATAGGTATGTGGGAGGGACCCCGAGTTTGCTGCCTCAAGGGGAATATACAGCGAGAAGCCCTAACTTGAAAGGAGGCCGGATTTCCTTGCAGTGGCTTGAATACAGGCTCGTCTTTCATCTCACAACATGAAGGGATGTCTGAATCCCCTGTGGAGACCTTAGAGAAAGCCCTAGGTCCCTGCCTCATTTTGACGGAATGCCTCACATCCCGCTGACACCTCGAGAGGCACGCGGAGTTCATTGCTTCAAAAGGTGACGATGCCTGACTCCTCTTGAATACTGATAGGAATCCCAAAATCCCTGTGGCTACTGGAAAGGGTCCTTGGGTGCCCTGCCTCACCTCGAGAAGCGTCCCTTTGGCCCTGCCAAGCCTCGAAGAGATTCCTGAGGTGTCCCTCGTTACTAGACAGGAGTCCTGACCTCACTGAAGAAACTCGTGTTTTGAAGGGCCATCCCCGCCGTAAGTCGAGAACATACCCCAGGTCCCCGCCGCAACTCGAGAAAAACCATGAGACTTCCCCCTAGAGGCGAGATGAGGCCCCATTCCCCTGCAGTGCATGCAGAGCTATTCCGTGATCCCATTCAAACAAGTCAGGAGCTTCGACTTGCTTAATGGATCTCGAGACAGTCCCCAAGAACACTGTCACCAGTCTAGACGGACCCTGAGGTCACCCCAGCAACGCAAAGCAGCTCCATGTGCCCCAAATCAACTCGAGATGAGGCCCGATTCCCCTGCATTGACTCCAGAGCCATTCCCCGTTCCCCATTCCACACGACCGGTGGCTCGACTTCCTTCAGGCAACTCCAGAGATGCCCCGAGAACACTGTCCCAAGTCTAGAGGAACACCAACTTCAGCACAGCAACTCGAGGAATGCTCCGTCTACCCCAAATCGTCTCGAGATGCGAGCTGATTCCCTGGCTTAGGCTCAAGACGTATGCCAACTTCCCAGAAGCACCTCAGGAGGAGGCTTCTCTCAGCAATAGGTATGTGGGAGGGACCCCGAGTTTGCTGCCTCAAGGGGAATATACAGCGAGAAGCCCTAACTTGAAAGGAGGCCGGATTTCCTTGCAGTGGCTTGAATACAGGCTCGTCTTTCATCTCACAACATGAAGGGATGTCTGAATCCCCTGTGGAGACCTTAGAGAAAGCCCTAGGTCCCTGCCTCATTTTGACGGAATGCCTCACATCCCGCTGACACCTCGAGAGGCACGCGAGTTCATTGCTTCAAAAGGTGACGATGCCTGACTCCTCTTGAATACTGATAGGAATCCCAAAATCCCTGTGGCTACTGGAAAGGGTCCTTGGGTGCCCTGCCTCACCTCGAGAAGCGTCCCTTTGGCCCTGCCAAGCCTCGAAGAGATTCCTGAGGTGTCCCTCGTTACTAGACAGGAGTCCTGACGTCACTGAAGAAACTCGTGTTTTGAAGGGCCATCCCCGCCGTAAGTCGAGAACATACCCCAGGTCCCCGCCGCAACTCGAGAAAAACCATGAGACTTCCCCCTAGAGGCGAGATGAGGCCCCATTCCCCTGCAGTGCATGCAGAGCTATTCCGTGACCCCATTCAAACAAGTCAGGAGCTTCGACTTGCTTAATGGATCTCGAGACAGTCCCCAAGAACACTGTCACCAGTCTAGACGGACCCTGAGGTCACCCCAGCAACGCAAAGCAGCTCCATGTGCCCCAAATCAACTCGAGATGAGGCCCGATTCCCCTGCATTGACTCCAGAGCCATTCCCCTTTCCCCATTCCACACGACCGGTGGCTCGACTTCCTTCAGGCAACTCCAGAGATGCCCCGAGAACACTGTCCCAAGTCTAGAGGAACACCAACTTCAGCACAGCAACTCGAGGAATGCTCCGTGTACCCCAAATCGTCTCGAGATGCGAGCTGATTCCCTGGCTTAGGCTCAAGACGTATGCCAACTTCCCAGAAGCACCTCAGGAGGAGGCTTCTCTCAGCAATAGGTATGTGGGAGGGACCCCGAGTTTGCTGCCTCAAGGGGAATATACAGCGAGAAGCCCTAACTTGAAAGGAGGCCGGATTTCCTTGCAGTGGCTTGAATACAGGCTCGTCTTTCATCTCACAACATGAAGGGATGTCTGAATCCCCTGTGGAGACCTTAGAGAAAGCCCTAGGTCCCTGCCTCATTTTGACGGAATGCCTCACATCCCGCTGACACCTCGAGAGGCACGCGGAGTTCATTGCTTCAAAAGGTGACGATGCCTGACTCCTCTTGAATACTGATAGGAATCCCAAAATCCCTGTGGCTACTGGAAAGGGTCCTTGGGTGCCCTGCCTCACCTCGAGAAGCGTCCCTTTGGCCCTGCCAAGCCTCGAAGAGATTCCTGAGGTGTCCCTCGTTACTAGACAGGAGTCCTGACGTCACTGAAGAAACTCGTGTTTTGAAGGGCCATCCCCGCCGTAAGTCGAGAACATACCCCAGGTCCCCGCCGCAACTCGAGAAAAACCATGAGACTTCCCCCTAGAGGCGAGATGAGGCCCCATTCCCCTGCAGTGCATGCAGAGCTATTCCGTGATCCCATTCAAACAAGTCAGGAGCTTCGACTTGCTTAATGGATCTCGAGACAGTCCCCAAGAACACTGTCACCAGTCTAGACGGACCCTGAGGTCACCCCAGCAACGCAAAGCAGCTCCATGTGCCCCAAATCAACTCGAGATGAGGCCCGATTCCCCTGCATTGACTCCAGAGCCATTCCCCGTTCCCCATTCAACACGACCGGTGGCTCGACTTCCTTCAGGCAACTCCAGAGATGCCGCGAGAACACTGTCCCAAGTCTAGAGGAACACCAACTTCAGCACAGCAACTCGAGGAATGCTCCGTGTACCCCAAATCGTCTCGAGATGCGAGCTGATTCCCTGGCTTAGACTCAAGACGTATGCCAACTTCCCAGAAGCACCTCAGGAGGAGGCTTCTCTCAGCAATAGGTATGTGGGAGGGACCCCGAGTTTGCTGCCTCAAGGGGAATATACAGCGAGAAGCCCTAACTTGAAAGGAGGCCGGATTTCCTTGCAGTGGCTTGAATACAGGCTCGTCTTTCATCTCACAACATGAAGGGATGTCTGAATCCCCTGTGGAGACCTTAGAGAAAGCCCTAGGTCCCTGCCTCATTTTGACGGAATGCCTCACATCCCGCTGACACCTCGAGAGGCACGCGGAGTTCATTGCTTCAAAAGGTGACGATGCCTGACTCCTCTTGAATACTGATAGGAATCCCAAAATCCCTGTGGCTACTGGAAAGGGTCCTTGGGTGCCCTGCCTCACCTCGAGAAGCGTCCCTTTGGCCCTGCCAAGCCTCGAAGAGATTCCTGAGGTGTCCCTCGTTACTAGACAGGAGTCCTGACGTCACTGAAGAAACTCGTGTTTTGAAGGGCCATCCCCGCCGTAAGTCGAGAACATACCCCAGGTCCCCGCCGCAACTCGAGAAAAACCATGAGACTTCCCCCTAGAGGCGAGATGAGGCCCCATTCCCCTGCAGTGCATGCAGAGCTATTCCGTGATCCCATTCAAACAAGTCAGGAGCTTCGACTTGCTTAATGGATCTCGAGACAGTCCCCAAGAACACTGTCACCAGTCTAGACGGACCCTGAGGTCACCCCAGCAACGCAAAGCAGCTCCATGTGCCCCAAATCAACTCGAGATGAGGCCCGATTCCCCTGCATTGACTCCAGAGCCATTCCCCGTTCCCCATTCAACACGACCGGTGGCTCGACTTCCTTCAGGCAACTCCAGAGATGCCGCGAGAACACTGTCACAAGTCTAGAGGAACACCAACTTCAGCACAGCAACTCGAGGAATGCTCCGTGTACCCCAAATCGTCTCGAGATGCGAGCTGATTCCCTGGCTTAGGCTCAAGACGTATGCCAACTTCCCAGAAGCACCTCAGGAGGAGGCTTCTCTCAGCAATAGGTATGTGGGAGGGACCCCGAGTTTGCTGCCTCAAGGGGAATATACAGCGAGAAGCCCTAACTTGAAAGGAGGCCGGATTTCCTTGCAGTGGCTTGAATACAGGCTCGTCTTTCATCTCACAACATGAAGGGATGTCTGAATCCCCTGTGGAGACCTTAGAGAAAGCCCTAGGTCCCTGCCTCATTTTGACGGAATGCCTCACATCCCGCTGACACCTCGAGAGGCACGCGGAGTTCATTGCTTCAAAAGGTGACGATGCCTGACTCCTCTTGAATACTGATAGGAATCCCAAAATCCCTGTGGCTACTGGCAAGGGTCCTTGGGTGCCCTGCCTCACCTCGAGAAGCGTCCCTTTGGCCCTGCCAAGCCTCGAAGAGATTCCTGAGGTGTCCCTCGTTACTAGACAGGAGTCCTGACGTCACTGAAGAAACTCGTGTTTTGAAGGGCCATCCCCGCCGTAAGTCGAGAACATACCCCAGGTCCCCGCCGCAACTCGAGAAAAACCATGAGACTTCCCCCTAGAGGCGAGATGAGGCCCCATTCCCCTGCAGTGCATGCAGAGCTATTCCGTGATCCCATTCAAACAAGTCAGGAGCTTCGACTTGCTTAATGGATCTCGAGACAGTCCCCAAGAACACTGTCACCAGTCTAGACGGACCCTGAGGTCACCCCAGCAACGCAAAGCAGCTCCATGTGCCCCAAATCAACTCGAGATGAGGCCCGATTCCCCTGCATTGACTCCAGAGCCATTCCCCGTTCCCCATTCCACACGACCGGTGGCTCGACTTCCTTCAGGCAACTCCAGAGATGCCCCGAGAACACTGTCCCAAGTCTAGAGGAACACCAACATCAGCACAGCAACTCGAGGAATGCTCCGTGTACCCCAAATCGTCTCGAGATGCGAGCTGATTCCCTGGCTTAGGCTCAAGACGTATGCCAACTTCCCAGAAGCACCTCAGGAGGAGGCTTCTCTCAGCAATAGGTATGTGGGAGGGACCCCGAGTTTGCTGCCTCAAGGGGAATATACAGCGAGAAGCCCTAACTTGAAAGGAGGCCGGATTTCCTTGCAGTGGCTTGAATACAGGCTCGTCTTTCATCTCACAACATGAAGGGATGTCTGAATCCCCTGTGGAGACCTTAGAGAAAGCCCTAGGTCCCTGCCTCATTTTGACGGAATGCCTCACATCCCGCTGACACCTCGAGAGGCACGCGGAGTTCATTGCTTCAAAAGGTGACGATGCCTGACTCCTCTTGAATACTGATAGGAATCCCAAAATCCCTGTGGCTACTGGAAAGGGTCCTTGGGTGCCCTGCCTCACCTCGAGAAGCGTCCCTTTGGCCCTGCCAAGCCTCGAAGAGATTCCTGAGGTGTCCCTCGTTACTAGACAGGAGTCCTGACGTCACTGAAGAAACTCGTGTTTTGAAGGGCCATCCCCGCCGTAAGTCGAGAACATACCCCAGGTCCCCGCCGAAACTCGAGAAAGACCATGAGACTTCCCCCTAGAGGCGAGATGAGGCCCCATTCCCCTGCAGTGCATGCAGAGCTATTCCGTGACCCCATTCAAACAAGTCAGGAGCTTCGACTTGCTTAATTTATCTCGAGACAGTCCCCAAGAACACTGTCACCAGTCTAGACGGACCCTGAGGTCACCCCAGCAACGCAAAGCAGCTCCATGTGCCCCAAATCAACTCGAGATGAGGCCCGATTCCCCTGCATTGACTCCAGAGCCATTCCCCGTTCCCCATTCAACACGACCGGTGGCTCGACTTCATTCAGGCAACTCCAGAGATGCCCCGAGAACACTGTCCCAAGTCTAGAGGAACACCAACTTCAGCACAGCAACTCGAGGAATGCTCCGTGTACCCCAAATCGTCTCGAGATGCGAGCTGATTCCCTGGCTTAGGCTCAAGACGTATGCCAACTTCCCAGAAGCACCTCAGGAGGAGGCTTCTCTCAGCAATAGGTATGTGGGAGGGACCCCGAGTTTGCTGCCTCAAGGGGAATATACAGCGAGAAGCCCTAACTTGAAAGGAGGCCGGATTTCCTTGCAGTGGCTTGAATACAGGCTCGTCTTTCATCTCACAACATGAAGGGATGTCTGAATCCCCTGTGGAGACCTTAGAGAAAGCCCTAGGTCCCTGCCTCATTTTGACGGAATGCCTCACATCCCGCTGACACCTCGAGAGGCACGCGGAGTTCATTTCTTCAAAAAGTGACGATGCCTGACTCCTCTTGAATACTGATAGGAATCCCAAAATCCCTGTGGCTACTGGAAAGGGTCCTTGGGTGCCCTGCCTCACCTCGAGAAGCGTCCCTTTGGCCCTGCCAAGCCTCGAAGAGATTCCTGAGGTGTCCCTCGTTACTAGACAGGAGTCCTGACGTCACTGAAGAAACTCGTGTTTTGAAGGGCCATCCCCGCCGTAAGTCGAGAACATACCCCAGGTCCCCGCCGCAACTCGAGAAAAACCATGAGACTTCCCCCTAGAGGCGAGATGAGGCCCCATTCCCCTGCAGTGCATGCAGAGCTATTCCGTGACCCCATTCAAACAAGTCAGGAGCTTCGACTTGCTTAATGGATCTCGAGACAGTCCCCAAGAACACTGTCACCAGTCTAGACGGACCCTGAGGTCACCCCAGCAACACAAAGCAGCTCCATGTGCCCCAAATCAACTCGAGATGAGGCCCGATTCCCCTGCATTGACTCCAGAGCCATTCCACGTTCCCCATTCAACACGACCGGTGGCTCGACTTCATTCAGGCAACTCCAGAGATGCCCCGAGAACACTGTCCCAAGTCTAGAGGAACACCAACTTCAGCACAGCAACTCGAGGAATGCTCCGTGTACCCCAAATCGTCTCGAGATGAGAGCTGATTCCCTGGCTTAGGCTCAAGACGTATGCCAACTTCCCAGAAGCACCTCAGGAGGAGGCTTCTCTCAGCAATAGGTATGTGGGAGGGACCCCGAGTTTGCTGCCTCAAGGGGAATATACAGCGAGAAGCCCTAACTTGAAAGGAGGCCGGATTTCCTTGCAGTGGCTTGAATACAGGCTCGTCTTTCATCTCACAACATGAAGGGATGTCTGAATCCCCTGTGGAGACCTTAGAGAAAGCCCTAGGTCCCTGCCTCATTTTGACGGAATGCCTCACATCCCGCTGACACCTCGAGAGGCACGCGGAGTTCATTTCTTCAAAAGGTGACGATGCCTGACTCCTCTTGAATACTGATAGGAATCCCAAAATCCCTGTGGCTACTGGAAAGGGTCCTTGGGTGCCCTGCCTCACCTCGAGAAGCGTCCCTTTGGCCCTGCCAAGCCTCGAAGAGATTCCTGAGGTGTCCCTCGTTACTAGACAGGAGTCCTGACGTCACTGAAGAAACTCGTGTTTTGAAGGGCCATCCCCGCCGTAAGTCGAGAACATACCCCAGGTCCCCGCCGCAACTCGAGAAAAACCATGAGACTTCCCCCTAGAGGCGAGATGAGGCCCCATTCCCCTGCAGTGCATGCAGAGCTATTCCGTGATCCCATTCAAACAAGTCAGGAGCTTCGACTTGCTTAATGGATCTCGAGACAGTCCCCAAGAACACTGTCACCAGTCTAGACGGACCCTGAGGTCACCCCAGCAACGCAAAGCAGCTCCATGTGCCCCAAATCAACTCGAGATGAGGCCCGATTCCCCTGCATTGACTCCAGAGCCATTCCCCGTTCCCCATTCAACACGACCGGTGGCTCGACTTCCTTCAGGCAACTCCAGAGATGCCCCGAGAACACTGTCCCAAGTCTAGAGGAACACCAACTTCAGCACAGCAACTCGAGGAATGCTCCGTGTACCCCAAATCGTCTCGAGATGCGAGCTGATTCCCTGGCTTAGGCTCAAGACGTATGCCAACTTCCCAGAAGCACCTCAGGAGGAGGCTTCTCTCAGCAATAGGTATGTGGGAGGGACCCCGAGTTTGCTGCCTCAAGGGGAATATACAGCGAGAAGCCCTAACTTGAAAGGAGGCCGGATTTCCTTGCAGTGGCTTGAATACAGGCTCGTCTTTCATCTCACAACATGAAGGGATGTCTGAATCCCCTGTGGAGACCTTAGAGAAAGCCCTAGGTCCCTGCCTCATTTTGACGGAATGCCTCACATCCCGCTGACACCTCGAGAGGCACGCGGAGTTCATTGCTTCAAAAGGTGACGATGCCTGACTCCTCTTGAATACTGATAGGAATCCCAAAATCCCTGTGGCTACTGGAAAGGGTCCTTGGGTGCCCTGCCTCACCTCGAGAAGCGTCCCTTTGGCCCTGCCAAGCCTCGAAGAGATTCCTGAGGTGTCCCTCGTTACTAGACAGGAGTCCTGACGTCACTGAAGAAACTCGTGTTTTGAAGGGCCATCCCCGCCGTAAGTCGAGAACATACCCCAGGTCCCCGCCGCAACTCGAGAAAAACCATGAGACTTCCCCCTAGAGGCGAGATGAGGCCCCATTCCCCTGCAGTGCATGCAGAGCTATTCCGTGATCCCATTCAAACAAGTCAGGAGCTTCGACTTGCTTAATGGATCTCGAGACAGTCCCCAAGAACACTGTCACCAGTCTAGACGGACCCTGAGGTCACCCCAGCAACGCAAAGCAGCTCCATGTGCCCCAAATCAACTCGAGATGAGGCCCGATTCCCCTGCATTGACTCCAGAGCCATTCCCCGTTCCCCATTCAACACGACCGGTGGCTCGACTTCCTTCAGGCAACTCCAGAGATGCCCCGAGAACACTGTCCCAAGTCTAGAGGAACACCAACTTCAGCACAGCAACTCGAGGAATGCTCCGTGTACCCCAAATCGTCTCGAGATGCGAGCTGATTCCCTGGCTTAGGCTCAAGACGTATGCCAACTTCCCAGAAGCACCTCAGGAGGAGGCTTCTCTCAGCAATAGGTATGTGGGAGGGACCCCGAGTTTGCTGCCTCAAGGGGAATATACAGCGAGAAGCCCTAACTTGAAAGGAGGCCGGATTTCCTTGCAGTGGCTTGAATACAGGCTCGTCTTTCATCTCACAACATGAAGGGATGTCTGAATCCCCTGCGGAGACCTTAGAGAAAGCCCTAGGTCCCTGCCTCATTTTGACGGAATGCCTCACATCCCGCTGACACCTCGAGAGGCACGCGGAGTTCATTGCTTCAAAAGGTGACGATGCCTGACTCCTCTTGAATACTGATAGGAATCCCAAAATCCCTGTGGCTACTGGAAAGGGTCCTTGGGTGCCCTGCCTCACCTCGAGAAGCGTCCCTTTGGCCCTGCCAAGCCTCGAAGAGATTCCTGAGGTGTCCCTCGTTACTAGACAGGAGTCCTGACGTCACTGAAGAAACTCGTGTTTTGAAGGGCCATCCCCGCCGTAAGTCGAGAACATACCCCAGGTCCCCGCCGCAACTCGAGAAAAACCATGAGACTTCCCCCTAGAGGCGAGATGAGGCCCCATTCCCCTGCAGTGCATGCAGAGCTATTCCGTGACCCCATTCAAACAAGTCAGGAGCTTCGACTTGCTTAATGGATCTCGAGACAGTCCCCAAGAACACTGTCACCAGTCTAGACGGACCCTGAGGTCACCCCAGCAACGCAAAGCAGCTCCATGTGCCCCAAATCAACTCGAGATGAGGCCCGATTCCCCTGCATTGACTCCAGAGCCATTCCCCGTTCCCCATTCAACACGACCGGTGGCTCGACTTTCTTCAGGCAACTCCAGAGATGCCCCGAGAACACTCTCCCAAGTCTAGAGGAACACCAAATTCAGCACAGCAACTCGATTAATGCTCCGTGTACCCCAAATCGTCTCGAGATGCGAGCTGATTCCCTGGCTTAGGCTCAAGACGTATGCCAACTTCCCAGAAGCACCTCAGGAGGAGGCTTCTCTCAGCAATAGGTATGTGGGAGGGACCCCGAGTTTGCTGCCTCAAGGGGAATATACAGCGAGAAGCCCTAACTTGAAAGGAGGCCGGACTTCCTTGCAGTGGCTTGAATACAGGCTCGTCTTTCATCTCACAACATGAAGGGATGTCTGAATCCCCTGTGGAGACCTTAGAGAAAGCCCTAGGTCCCTGCCTCATTTTGACGGAATGCCTCACATCCCGCTGACACCTCGAGAGGCACGCGGAGTTCATTGCTTCAAAAGGTGACGATGCCTGACTCCTCTTGAATACTGATAGGAATCCCAAAATCCCTGTGGCTACTGGAAAGGGTCCTTGGGTGCCCTGCCTCACCTCGAGAAGCGTCCCTTTGGCCCTGCCAAGCCTCGAAGAGATTCCTGAGGTGTCCCTCGTTACTAGACAGGAGTCCTGACGTCACTGAAGAAACTCGTGTTTTGAAGGGCCATCCCCGCCGTAAGTCGAGAACATACCCCAGGTCCCCGCCGCAACTCGAGAAAAACCATGAGACTTCCCCCTAGAGGCGAGATGAGGCCCCATTCCCCTGCAGTGCATGCAGAGCTATTCCGTGATCCCATTCAAACAAGTCAGGAGCTTCGACTTGCTTAATGGATCTCGAGACAGTCCCCAAGAACACTGTCACCAGTCTAGACGGACCCTGAGGTCACCCCAGCAACGCAAAGCAGCTCCATGTGCCCCAAATCAACTCGAGATGAGGCCCGATTCCCCTGCATTGACTCCAGAGCCATTCCCCGTTCCCCATTCCTCACGACCGGTGGCTCGACTTCCTTCAGGCAACTCCAGAGATGCCCCGAGAACACTGTCCCAAGTCTAGAGGAACACCAACTTCAGCACAGCAACTCGAGGAATACTCCGTGTACCCCAAATCGTCTCGAGATGCGAGCTGATTCCCTGGCTTAGGCTCAAGACGTATTCCAACTTCCCAGAAGCACCTCAGGAGGAGGCTTCTCTCAGCAATAGGTATGTGGGAGGGACCCCGAGTTTGCTGCCTCAAGGGGAATATCCAGCGAGAAGCCCTAACTTGAAAGGAGGCCGGATTTCCTTGCAGTGGCTTGAATACAGGCTCGTCTTTCATCTCACAACATGAAGGGATGTCTGAATCCCCTGTGGAGACCTTAGAGAAAGCCCTAGGTCCCTGCCTCATTTTGACGGAATGCCTCACATCCCGCTGACACCTCGAGAGGCACGCGGAGTTCATTGCTTCAAAAGGTGACGATGCCTGACTCCTCTTGAATACTGATAGGAATCCCAAAATCCCTGTGGCTACTGGAAAGGGTCCTTGGGTGCCCTGCCTCACCTCGAGAAGCGTCCCTTTGGCCCTGCCAAGCCTCGAAGAGATTCCTGAGGTGTCCCTCGTTACTAGACAGGAGTCCTGACGTCACTGAAGAAACTCGTGTTTTGAAGGGCCATCCCCGCCGTAAGTCGAGAACATACCCCAGGTCCCCGCCGCAACTCGAGAAAAACCATGAGACTTCCCCCTAGAGGCGAGATGAGGCCCCATTCCCCTGCAGTGCATGCAGAGCTATTCCGTGATCCCATTCAAACAAGTCAGGAGCTTCGACTTGCTTAATGGATCTCGAGACAGTCCCCAAGAACACTGTCACCAGTCTAGACGGACCCTGAGGTCACCCCAGCAACGCAAAGCAGCTCCATGTGCCCCAAATCAACTCGAGATGAGGCCCGATTCCCCTGCATTGACTCCAGAGCCATTCCCCGTTCCCCATTCAACACGACCGGTGGCTCGACTTCCTTCAGGCAACTCCAGAGATGCCCCGAGAACACTGTCCCAAGTCTAGAGGAACACCAACTTCAGCACAGCAACTCGAGGAATGCTCCGTGTACCCCAAATCGTCTCGAGATGCGAGCTGATTCCCTGGCTTAGGCTCAAGACGTATGCCAACTTCCCAGAAGCACCTCAGGAGGAGGCTTCTCTCAGCAATAGGTATGTGGGAGGGACCCCGAGTTTGCTGCCTCAAGGGGAATATACAGCGAGAAGCCCTAACTTGAAAGGAGGCCGGATTTCCTTGCAGTGGCTTGAATACAGGCTCGTCTTTCATCTCACAACATGAAGGGATGTCTGAATCCCCTGTGGAGACCTTAGAGAAAGCCCTAGGTCCCTGCCTCATTTTGACGGAATGCCTCACATCCCGCTGACACCTCGAGAGGCACGCGGAGTTCATTGCTTCAAAAGGTGACGATGCCTGACTCCTCTTGAATACTGATAGGAATCCCAAAATCCCTGTGGCTACTGGAAAGGGTCCTTGGGTGCCCTGCCTCACCTCGAGAAGCGTCCCTTTGGCCCTGCCAAGCCTCGAAGAGATTCCTGAGGTGTCCCTCGTTACTAGACAGGAGTCCTGACGTCACTGAAGAAACTCGTGTTTTGAAGGGCCATCCCCGCCGTAAGTCGAGAACATACCCCAGGTCCCCGCCGCAACTCGAGAAAAACCATGAGACTTCCCCCTAGAGGCGAGATGAGGCCCCATTCCCCTGCAGTGCATGCAGAGCTATTCCGTGATCCCATTCAAACAAGTCAGGAGCTTCGACTTGCTTAATGGATCTCGAGACAGTCCCCAAGAACACTGTCACCAGTCTAGACGGACCCTGAGGTCACCCCAGCAACGCAAAGCAGCTCCATGTGCCCCAAATCAACTCGAGATGAGGCCCGATTCCCCTGCATTGACTCCAGAGCCATTCCCCGTTCCCCATTCAACACGACCGGTGGCTCGACTTCCTTCAGGCAACTCCAGAGATGCCCCGAGAACACTGTCCCAAGTCTAGAGGAACACCAACTTCAGCACAGCAGCTCGAGGAATGCTCCGTGTACCCCAAATCGTCTCGAGATGCGAGCTGATTCCCTGGCTTAGGCTCAAGACGTATGCCAACTTCCCAGAAGCACCTCAGGAGGAGGCTTCTCTCAGCAATAGGTATGTGGGAGGGACCCCGAGTTTGCTGCCTCAAGGGGAATATACAGCGAGAAGCCCTAACTTGAAAGGAGGCCGGATTTCCTTGCAGTGGCTTGAATACAGGCTCGTCTTTCATCTCACAACATGAAGGGATGTCTGAATCCCCTGTGGAGACCTTAGAGAAAGCCCTAGGTCCCTGCCTCATTTTGACGGAATGCCTCACATCCCGCTGACACCTCGAGAGGCACGCGGAGTTCATTGCTTCAAAAGGTGACGATGCCTGACTCCTCTTGAATACTGATAGGAATCCCAAAATCCCTGTGGCTACTGGAAAGGGTCCTTGGGTGCCCTGCCTCACCTCGAGAAGCGTCCCTTTGGCCCTGCCAAGCCTCGAAGAGATTCCTGAGGTGTCCCTCGTTACTAGACAGGAGTCCTGACGTCACTGAAGAAACTCGTGTTTTGAAGGGCCATCCCCGCCGTAAGTCGAGAACATACCCCAGGTCCCCGCCGCAACTCGAGAAAAACCATGAGACTTCCCCCTAGAGGCGAGATGAGGCCCCATTCCCCTGCAGTGCATGCAGAGCTATTCCGTGATCCCATTCAAACAAGTCAGGAGCTTCGACTTGCTTAATGGATCTCGAGACAGTCCCCAAGAACACTGTCACCAGTCTAGACGGACCCTGAGGTCACCCCAGCAACGCAAAGCAGCTCCATGTGCCCCAAATCAACTCGAGATGAGGCCCGATTCCCCTGCATTGACTCCAGAGCCATTCCCCGTTCCCCATTCAACACGACCGGTGGCTCGACTTCCTTCAGGCAACTCCAGAGATGCCCCGAGAACACTGTCCCAAGTCTAGAGGAACACCAACTTCAGCACAGCAACTCGAGGAATGCTCCGTGTACCCCAAATCGTCTCGAGATGCGAGCTGATTCCCTGGCTTAGGCTCAAGACGTATGCCAACTTCCCAGAAGCACCTCAGGAGGAGGCTTCTCTCAGCAATAGGTATGTGGGAGGGACCCCGAGTTTGCTGCCTCAAGGGGAATATACAGCGAGAAGCCCTAACTTGAAAGGAGGCCGGATTTCCTTGCAGTGGCTTGAATACAGGCTCGTCTTTCATCTCACAACATGAAGGGATGTCTGAATCCCCTGTGGAGACCTTAGAGAAAGCCCTAGGTCCCTGCCTCATTTTGACGGAATGACTCACATCCCGCTGACACCTCGAGAGGCACGCGGAGTTCATTGCTTCAAAAGGTGACGATGCCTGACTCCTCTTGAATACTGATAGGAATCCCAAAATCCCTGTGGCTACTGGAAAGGGTCCTTGGGTGCCCTGCCTCACCTCGAGAAGCGTCCCTTTGGCCCTGCCAAGCCTCGAAGAGATTCCTGAGGTGTCCCTCGTTACTAGACAGGAGTCCTGACGTCACTGAAGAAACTCGTGTTTTGAAGGGCCATCCCCGCCGTAAGTCGAGAACATACCCCAGGTCCCCGCCGCAACTCGAGAAAAACCATGAGACTTCCCCCTTGAGGCGAGATGAGGCCCCATTCCCCTGCAGTGCATGCAGAGCTATTCCGTGACCCCATTCAAACAAGTCAGGAGCTTCGACTTGCTTAATGGATCTCGAGACAGTCCCCAAGAACACTGTCACCAGTCTAGACGGACCCTGAGGTCACCCCAGCAACGCAAAGCAGCTCCATGTGCCCCAAATCAACTCGAGATGAGGCCCGATTCCCCTGCATTGACTCCAGAGCCATTCCCCGTTCCCCATTCCACACGACCGGTGGCTCGACTTCCTTCAGGCAACTCCAGAGATGCCCCGAGAACACTGTCCCAAGTCTAGAGGAACACCAACATCAGCACAGCAACTCGAGGAATGCTCCGTGTACCCCAAATCGTCTCGAGATGCGAGCTGATTCCCTGGCTTAGGCTCAAGACGTATGCCAACTTCCCAGAAGCACCTCAGGAGGAGGCTTCTCTCAGCAATAGGTATGTGGGAGGGACCCCGAGTTTGCTGCCTCAAGGGGAATATACAGCGAGAAGCCCTAACTTGAAAGGAGGCCGGATTTCCTTGCAGTGGCTTGAATACAGGCTCGTCTTTCATCTCACAACATGAAGGGATGTCTGAATCCCCTGTGGAGACCTTAGAGAAAGCCCTAGGTCCCTGCCTCATTTTGACGGAATGCCTCACATCCCGCTGACACCTCGAGAGGCACGCGGAGTTCATTGCTTCAAAAGGTGACGATGCCTGACTCCTCTTGAATACTGATAGGAATCCCAAAATCCCTGTGGCTACTGGAAAGGGTCCTTGGGTGCCCTGCCTCACCTCGAGAAGCGTCCCTTTGGCCCTGCCAAGCCTCGAAGAGATTCCTGAGGTGTCCCTCGTTACTAGACAGGAGTCCTGACGTCACTGAAGAAACTCGTGTTTTGAAGGGCCATCCCCGCCGTAAGTCGAGAACATACCCCAGGTCCCCGCCGCAACTCGAGAAAAACCATGAGACTTCCCCCTAGAGGCGAGATGAGGCCCCATTCCCCTGCAGTGCATGCAGAGCTATTCCGTGATCCCATTCAAACAAGTCAGGAGCTTCGACTTGCTTAATGGATCTCGAGACAGTCCCCAAGAACACTGTCACCAGTCTAGACGGACCCTGAGGTCACCCCAGCAACGCAAAGCAGCTCCATGTGCCCCAAATCAACTCGAGATGAGGCCCGATTCCCCTGCATTGACTCCAGAGCCATTCCCCGTTCCCCATTCAACACGACCGGTGGCTCGACTTCCTTCAGGCAACTCCAGAGATGCCCCGAGAACACTGTCCCAAGTCTAGAGGAACACCAACTTCAGCACAGCAACTCGAGGAATGCTCCGTGTACCCCAAATCGTCTCGAGATGCGAGCTGATTCCCTGGCTTAGGCTCAAGACGTATGCCAACTTCCCAGAAGCACCTCAGGAGGAGGCTTCTCTCAGCAATAGGTATGTGGGAGGGACCCCGAGTTTGCTGCCTCAAGGGGAATATACAGCGAGAAGCCCTAACTTGAAAGGAGGCCGGATTTCCTTGCAGTGGCTTGAATACAGGCTCGTCTTTCATCTCACAACATGAAGGGATGTCTGAATCCCCTGTGGAGACCTTAGAGAAAGCCCTAGGTCCCTGCCTCATTTTGACGGAATGACTCACATCCCGCTGACACCTCGAGAGGCACGCGGAGTTCATTGCTTCAAAAGGTGACGATGCCTGACTCCTCTTGAATACTGATAGGAATCCCAAAATCCCTGTGGCTACTGGAAAGGGTCCTTGGGTGCCCTGCCTCACCTCGAGAAGCGTCCCTTTGGCCCTGCCAAGCCTCGAAGAGATTCCTGAGGTGTCCCTCGTTACTAGACAGGAGTCCTGACGTCACTGAAGAAACTCGTGTTTTGAAGGGCCATCCCCGCCGTAAGTCGAGAACATACCCCAGGTCCCCGCCGCAACTCGAGAAAAACCATGAGACTTCCCCCTAGAGGCGAGATGAGGCCCCATTCCCCTGCAGTGCATGCAGAGCTATTCCGTGACCCCATTCAAACAAGTCAGGAGCTTCGACTTGCTTAATGGATCTCGAGACAGTCCCCAAGAACACTGTCACCAGTCTAGACGGACCCTGAGGTCACCCCAGCAACGCAAAGCAGTTCCATGTGCCCCAAATCAACTCGAGATGAGGCCCGATTCCCCTGCATTGACTCCAGAGCCATTCCCCGTTCCCCATTCCACACGACCGGTGGCTCGACTTCCTTCAGGCAACTCCAGAGATGCCCCGAGAACACTGTCCCAAGTCTAGAGGAACACCAACTTCAGCACAGCAACTCGAGGAATGCTCCGTGTACCCCAAATCGTCTCGAGATGCGAGCTGATTCCCTGGCTTAGGCTCAAGACGTATGCCAACTTCCCAGAAGCACCTCAGGAGGAGGCTTCTCTCAGCAATAGGTATGTGGGAGGGACCCCGAGTTTGCTGCCTCAAGGGGAATATACAGCGAGAAGCCCTAACTTGAAAGGAGGCCGGATTTCCTTGCAGTGGCTTGAATACAGGCTCGTCTTTCATCTCACAACATGAAGGGATGTCTGAATCCCCTGTGGAGACCTTAGAGAAAGCCCTAGGTCCCTGCCTCATTTTGACGGAATGCCTCACATCCCGCTGACACCTCGAGAGGCACGCGGAGTTCATTGCTTCAAAAGGTGACGATGCCTGACTCCTCTTGAATACTGATAGGAATCCCAAAATCCCTGTGGCTACTGGAAAGGGTCCTTGGGTGCCCTGCCTCACCTCGAGAAGCGTCCCTTTGGCCCTGCCAAGCCTCGAAGAGATTCCTGAGGTGTCCCTCGTTACTAGACAGGAGTCCTGACGTCACTGAAGAAACTCGTGTTTTGAAGGGCCATCCCCGCCGTAAGTCGAGAACATACCCCAGGTCCCCGCCGCAACTCGAGAAAAACCATGAGACTTCCCCCTAGAGGCGAGATGAGGCCCCATTCCCCTGCAGTGCATGCAGAGCTATTCCGTGATCCCATTCAAACAAGTCAGGAGCTTCGACTTGCTTAATGGATCTCGAGACAGTCCCCAAGAACACTGTCACCAGTCTAGACGGACCCTGAGGTCACCCCAGCAACGCAAAGCAGCTCCATGTGCCCCAAATCAACTCGAGATGAGGCCCGATTCCCCTGCATTGACTCCAGAGCCATTCCCCGTTCCCCATTCCTCACGACCGGTGGCTCGACTTCCTTCAGGCAACTCCAGAGATGCCCCGAGAACACTGTCCCAAGTCTAGAGGAACACCAACTTCAGCACAGCAACTCGAGGAATGCTCCGTGTACCCCAAATCGTCTCGAGATGCGAGCTGATTCCCTGGCTTAGGCTCAAGACGTATGCCAACTTCCCAGAAGCACCTCAGGAGGAGGCTTCTCTCAGCAATAGGTATGTGGGAGGGACCCCGAGTTTGCTGCCTCAAGGGGAATATACAGCGAGAAGCCCTAACTTGAAAGGAGGCCGGATTTCCTTGCAGTGGCTTGAATACAGGCTCGTCTTTCATCTCACAACATGAAGGGATGTCTGAATCCCCTGTGGAGACCTTAGAGAAAGCCCTAGGTCCCTGCCTCATTTTGACGGAATGACTCACATCCCGCTGACACCTCGAGAGGCACGCGGAGTTCATTGCTTCAAAAGGTGACGATGCCTGACTCCTCTTGAATACTGATAGGAATCCCAAAATCCCTGTGGCTACTGGAAAGGGTCCTTGGGTGCCCTGCCTCACCTCGAGAAGCGTCCCTTTGGCCCTGCCAAGCCTCGAAGAGATTCCTGAGGTGTCCCTCGTTACTAGACAGGAGTCCTGACGTCACTGAAGAAACTCGTGTTTTGAAGGGCCATCCCCGCCGTAAGTCGAGAACATACCCCAGGTCCCCGCCGCAACTCGAGAAAAACCATGAGACTTCCCCCTAGAGGCGAGATGAGGCCCCATTCCCCTGCAGTGCATGCAGAGCTATTCCGTGATCCCATTCAAACAAGTCAGGAGCTTCGACTTGCTTAATGGATCTCGAGACAGTCCCCAAGAACACTGTCACCAGTCTAGACGGACCCTGAGGTCACCCCAGCAACGCAAAGCAGCTCCATGTGCCCCAAATCAACTCGAGATGAGGCCCGATTCCCCTGCATTGACTCCAGAGCCATTCCCCGTTCCCCATTCAACACGACCGGTGGCTCGACTTCCTTCAGGCAACTCCAGAGATGCCCCGAGAACACTGTCCCAAGTCTAGAGGAACACCAACTTCAGCACAGCAACTCGAGGAATGCTCCGTGTACCCCAAATCGTCTCGAGATGCGAGCTGATTCCCTGGCTTAGGCTCAAGACGTATGCCAACTTCCCAGAAGCACCTCAGGAGGAGGCTTCTCTCAGCAATAGGTATGTGGGAGGGACCCCGAGTTTGCTGCCTCAAGGGGAATATACAGCGAGAAGCCCTAACTTGAAAGGAGGCCGGATTTCCTTGCAGTGGCTTGAATACAGGCTCGTCTTTCATCTCACAACATGAAGGGATGTCTGAATCCCCTGTGGAGACCTTAGAGAAAGCCCTAGGTCCCTGCCTCATTTTGACGGAATGACTCACATCCCGCTGACACCTCGAGAGGCACGCGGAGTTCATTGCTTCAAAAGGTGACGATGCCTGACTCCTCTTGAATACTGATAGGAATCCCAAAATCCCTGTGGCTACTGGAAAGGGTCCTTGGGTGCCCTGCCTCACCTCGAGAAGCGTCCCTTTGGCCCTGCCAAGCCTCGAAGAGATTCCTGAGGTGTCCCTCGTTACTAGACAGGAGTCCTGACGTCACTGAAGAAACTCGTGTTTTGAAGGGCCATCCCCGCCGTAAGTCGAGAACATACCCCAGGTCCCCGCCGCAACTCGAGAAAAACCATGAGACTTCCCCCTAGAGGCGAGATGAGGCCCCATTCCCCTGCAGTGCATGCAGAGCTATTCCGTGACCCCATTCAAACAAGTCAGGAGCTTCGACTTGCTTAATGGATCTCGAGACAGTCCCCAAGAACACTGTCACCAGTCTAGACGGACCCTGAGGTCACCCCAGCAACGCAAAGCAGCTCCATGTGCCCCAAATCAACTCGAGATGAGGCCCGATTCCCCTGCATTGACTCCAGAGCCATTCCCCATTCCCCATTCCACACGACCGGTGGCTCGACTTCCTTCAGGCAACTCCAGAGATGCCCCGAGAACACTGTCCCAAGTCTAGAGGAACACCAACATCAGCACAGCAACTCGAGGAATGCTCCGTGTACCCCAAATCGTCTCGAGATGCGAGCTGATTCCCTGGCTTAGGCTCAAGACGTATGCCAACTTCCCAGAAGCACCTCAGGAGGAGGCTTCTCTCAGCAATAGGTATGTGGGAGGGACCCCGAGTTTGCTGCCTCAAGGGGAATATACAGCGAGAAGCCCTAACTTGAAAGGAGGCCGGATTTCCTTGCAGTGGCTTGAATACAGGCTCGTCTTTCATCTCACAACATGAAGGGATGTCTGAATCCCCTGTGGAGACCTTAGAGAAAGCCCTAGGTCCCTGCCTCATTTTGACGGAATGCCTCACATCCCGCTGACACCTCGAGAGGCACGCGGAGTTCATTGCTTCAAAAGGTGACGATGCCTGACTCCTCTTGAATACTGATAGGAATCCCAAAATCCCTGTGGCTACTGGAAAGGGTCCTTGGGTGCCCTGCCTCACCTCGAGAAGCGTCCCTTTGGCCCTGCCAAGCCTCGAAGAGATTCCTGAGGTGTCCCTCGTTACTAGACAGGAGTCCTGACGTCACTGAAGAAACTCGTGTTTTGAAGGGCCATCCCCGCCGTAAGTCGAGAACATACCCCAGGTCCCCGCCGCAACTCGAGAAAAACCATGAGACTTCCCCCTAGAGGCGAGATGAGGCCCCATTCCCCTGCAGTGCATGCAGAGCTATTCCGTGATCCCATTCAAACAAGTCAGGAGCTTCGACTTGCTTAATGGATCTCGAGACAGTCCCCAAGAACACTGTCACCAGTCTAGACGGACCCTGAGGTCACCCCAGCAACGCAAAGCAGCTCCATGTGCCCCAAATCAACTCGAGATGAGGCCCGATTCCCCTGCATTGACTCCAGAGCCATTCCCCGTTCCCCATTCCACACGACCGGTGGCTCGACTTCCTTCAGGCAACTCCAGAGATGCCCCGAGAACACTGTCCCAAGTCTAGAGGAACACCAACTTCAGCACAGCAACTCGAGGAATGCTCCGTGTACCCCAAATCGTCTCGAGATGCGAGCTGATTCCCTGGCTTAGGCTCAAGACGTATGCCAACTTCCCAGAAGCACCTCAGGAGGAGGCTTCTCTCAGCAATAGGTATGTGGGAGGGACCCCGAGTTTGCTGCCTCAAGGGGAATATACAGCGAGAAGCCCTAACTTGAAAGGAGGCCGGATTTCCTTGCAGTGGCTTGAATACAGGCTCGTCTTTCATCTCACAACATGAAGGGATGTCTGAATCCCCTGTGGAGACCTTAGAGAAAGCCCTAGGTCCCTGCCTCATTTTGACGGAATGCCTCACATCCCGCTGACACCTCGAGAGGCACGCGGAGTTCATTGCTTCAAAAGGTGACGATGCCTGACTCCTCTTGAATACTGATAGGAATCCCAAAATCCCTGTGGCTACTGGAAAGGGTCCTTGGGTGCCCTGCCTCACCTCCAGAAGCGTCCCTTTGGCCCTGCCAAGCCTCGAAGAGATTCCTGAGGTGTCCCTCGTTACTAGACAGGAGTCCTGACGTCACTGAAGAAACTCGTGTTTTGAAGGGCCATCCCCGCCGTAAGTCGAGAACATACCCCAGGTCCCCGCCGCAACTCGAGAAAAACCATGAGACTTCCCCCTAGAGGCGAGATGAGGCCCCATTCCCCTGCAGTGCATGCAGAGCTATTCCGTGATCCCATTCAAACAAGTCAGGAGCTTCGACTTGCTTAATGGATCTCGAGACAGTCCCCAAGAACACTGTCACCAGTCTAGACGGACCCTGAGGTCACCCCAGCAACGCAAAGCAGCTCCATGTGCCCCAAATCAACTCGAGATGAGGCCCGATTCCCCTGCATTGACTCCAGAGCCATTCCCCGTTCCCCATTCCACACGACCGGTGGCTCGACTTCCTTCAGGCAACTCCAGAGATGCCCCGAGAACACTGTCCCAAGTCTAGAGGAACACCAACTTCAGCACAGCAACTCGAGGAATGCTCCGTGTACCCCAAATCGTCTCGAGATGCGAGCTGATTCCCTGGCTTAGGCTCAAGACGTATGCCAACTTCCCAGAAGCACCTCAGGAGGAGGCTTCTCTCAGCAATAGGTATGTGGGAGGGACCCCGAGTTTGCTGCCTCAAGGGGAATATACAGCGAGAAGCCCTAACTTGAAAGGAGGCCGGATTTCCTTGCAGTGGCTTGAATACAGGCTCGTCTTTCATCTCACAACATGAAGGGATGTCTGAATCCCCTGTGGAGACCTTAGAGAAAGCCCTAAGTCCCTGCCTCATTTTGACGGAATGCCTCACATCCCGCTGACACCTCGAGAGGCACGCGGAGTTCATTGCTTCAAAAGGTGACGATGCCTGACTCCTCTTGAATACTGATAGGAATCCCAAAATCCCTGTGGCTACTGGAAAGGGTCCTTGGGTGCCCTGCCTCACCTCGAGAAGCGTCCCTTTGGCCCTGCCAAGCCTCGAAGAGATTCCTGAGGTGTCCCTCGTTACTAGACAGGAGTCCTGACGTCACTGAAGAAACTCGTGTTTTGAAGGGCCATCCCCGCCGTAAGTCGAGAACATACCCCAGGTCCCCGCCGCAACTCGAGAAAAACCATGAGACTTCCCCCTAGAGGCGAGATGAGGCCCCATTCCCCTGCAGTGCATGCAGAGCTATTCCGTGATCCCATTCAAACAAGTCAGGAGCTTCGACTTGCTTAATGGATCTCGAGACAGTCCCCAAGAACACTGTCACCAGTCTAGACGGACCCTGAGGTCACCCCAGCAACGCAAAGCAGCTCCATGTGCCCCAAATCAACTCGAGATGAGGCCCGATTCCCCTGCATTGACTCCAGAGCCATTCCCCGTTCCCCATTCAACACGACCGGTGGCTCGACTTCCTTCAGGCAACTCCAGAGATGCCCCGAGAACACTGTCCCAAGTCTAGAGGAACACCAACTTCAGCACAGCAGCTCGAGGAATGCTCCGTGTACACCAAATCGTCTCGAGATGCGAGCTGATTCCCTGGCTTAGGCTCAAGACGTATGCCAACTTCCCAGAAGCACCTCAGGAGGAGGCTTCTCTCAGCAATAGGTATGTGGGAGGGACCCCGAGTTTGCTGCCTCAAGGGGAATATACAGCGAGAAGCCCTAACTTGAAAGGAGGCCGGATTTCCTTGCAGTGGCTTGAATACAGGCTCGTCTTTCATCTCACAACATGAAGGGATGTCTGAATCCCCTGTGGAGACCTTAGAGAAAGCCCTAGGTCCCTGCCTCATTTTGACGGAATGCCTCACATCCCGCTGACACCTCGAGAGGCACGCGGAGTTCATTGCTTCAAAAGGTGACGATGCCTGACTCCTCTTGAATACTGATAGGAATCCCAAAATCCCTGTGGCTACTGGAAAGGGTCCTTGGGTGCCCTGCCTCACCTCGAGAAGCGTCCCTTTGGCCCTGCCAAGCCTCGAAGAGATTCCTGAGGTGTCCCTCGTTACTAGACAGGAGTCCTGACGTCACTGAAGAAACTCGTGTTTTGAAGGGCCATCCCCGCCGTAAGTCGAGAACATACCCCAGGTCCCCGCCGCAACTCGAGAAAAACCATGAGACTTCCCCCTAGAGGCGAGATGAGGCCCCATTCCCCTGCAGTGCATGCAGAGCTATTCCGTGATCCCATTCAAACAAGTCAGGAGCTTCGACTTGCTTAATGGATCTCGAGACAGTCCCCAAGAACACTGTCACCAGTCTAGACGGACCCTGAGGTCACCCCAGCAACGCAAAGCAGCTCCATGTGCCCCAAATCAACTCGAGATGAGGCCCGATTCCCATGCATTGACTCCAGAGCCATTCCCCGTTCCCCATTCCACACGACCGGTGGCTCGACTTCCTTCAGGCAACTCCAGAGATGCCCCGAGAACACTCTCCCAAGTCTAGAGGAACACCAACTTCAGCACAGCAACTCGAGGAATGCTCCGTGTACCCCAAATCGTCTCGAGATGCGAGCTGATTCCCTGGCTTAGGCTCAAGACGTATGCCAACTTCCCAGAAGCACCTCAGGAGGAGGCTTCTCTCAGCAATAGGTATGTGGGAGGGACCCCGAGTTTGCTGCCTCAAGGGGAATATACAGCGAGAAGCCCTAACTTGAAAGGAGGCCGGATTTCCTTGCAGTGGCTTGAATACAGGCTCGTCTTTCATCTCACAACATGAAGGGATGTCTGAATCCCCTGTGGAGACCTTAGAGAAAGCCCTAGGTCCCTGCCTCATTTTGACGGAATGCCTCACATCCCGCTGACACCTCGAGAGGCACGCGGAGTTCATTGCTTCAAAAGGTGACGATGCCTGACTCCTCTTGAATACTGATAGGAATCCCAAAATCCCTGTGGCTACTGGAAAGGGTCCTTGGGTGCCCTGCCTCACCTCGAGAAGCGTCCCTTTGGCCCTGCCAAGCCTCGAAGAGATTCCTGAGGTGTCCCTCGTTACTAGACAGGAGTCCTGACGTCACTGAAGAAACTCGTGTTTTGAAGGGCCATCCCCGCCGTAAGTCGAGAACATACCCCAGGTCCCCGCCGCAACTCGAGAAAAACCATGAGACTTCCCCCTAGAGGCGAGATGAGGCCCCATTCCCCTGCAGTGCATGCAGAGCTATTCCGTGATCCCATTCAAACAAGTCAGGAGCTTCGACTTGCTTAAAGGATCTCGAGACATTCCCCAAGAACACTGTCACCAGTCTAGACGGACCCTGAGGTCACCCCAGCAACGCAAAGCAGCTCCATGTGCCCCAAATCAACTCGAGATGAGGCCCGATTCCCCTGCATTGACTCCAGAGCCATTCCCCGTTCCCCATTCAACACGACCGGTGGCTCGACTTCCTTCAGGCAACTCCAGAGATGCCCCGAGAACACTGTCCCAAGTCTAGAGGAACACCAACTTCAGCACAGCAACTCGAGGAATGCTCCGTGTACCCCAAATCGTCTCGAGATGCGAGCTGATTCCCTGGCTTAGGCTCAAGACGTATGCCAACTTCCCAGAAGCACCTCAGGGGGAGGCTTCTCTCAGCAATAGGTATGTGGGAGGGACCCCGAGTTTGCTGCCTCAAGGGGAATATACAGCGAGAAGCCCTAACTTGAAAGGAGGCCGGATTTCCTTGCAGTGGCTTGAATACAGGCTCGTCTTTCATCTCACAACATGAAGGGATGTCTGAGTCCCCTGTGGAGACCTTAGAGAAAGCCCTAGGTCCCTGCCTCATTTTGACGGAATGCCTCACATCCCGCTGACACCTCGAGAGGCACGCGGAGTTCATTTCTTCAAAAGGTGACGATGCCTGACTCCTGTTGAATACTGATGGGAATCCCAAAATCCCTGTGGCTACTGGAAAGGGTCCTTGGGTGCCCTGCCTCACCTCGAGAAGCGTCCCTTTGGCCCTGCCAAGCCTCGAAGAGATTCCTGAGGTGTCCCTCGTTACTAGACAGGAGTCCTGACGTCACTGAAGAAACTCGTGTTTTGAAGGGCCATCCCCGCCGTAAGTCGAGAACATACCACAGGTCCCCGCCGCAACTCGAGAAAAACCATGAGATTTCCCCCTAGAGGCGAGATGAGGCCCCATTCCCCTGCAGTGCATGCAGAGCTATTCCGTGATCCCATTCAAACAAGTCAGGAGCTTCGACTTGCTTAATGGATCTCGAGACAGTCCCCAAGATCACTGTCACCAGTCTAGACGGACTCTGAGGTCACCCCAGCAACGCAAAGCAGCTCCATGTGCCCCAAATCAACTCGAGATGAGGCCCGATTCCCCTGCATTGACTCCAGAGCCATTCCCCGTTCCCCATTCAACACGACCGGTGGCTCGACTTCCTTCAGGCAACTCCAGAGATGCCCCGAGAACACTGTCCCAAGTCTAGAGGAACACCAACTTCAGCACAGCAACTCGAGGAATGCTCCGTGTACCCCAAATCGTCTCGAGATGCGAGCTGATTCCCTGGCTTAGGCTCAAGACGTATGCCAACTTCCCAGAAGCACCTCAGGAGGAGGCTTCTCTCAGCAATAGGTATGTGGGAGGGACCCCGAGTTTGCTGCCTCAAGGGGAATATACAGCGAGAAGCCCTAACTTGAAAGGAGGCCGGATTTCCTTGCAGTGGCTTGAATACAGGCTCGTCTTTCATCTCACAACATGAAGGGATGTCTGAATCCCCTGTGGAGACCTTAGAGAAAGCCCTAGGTCCCTGCCTCATTTTGACGGAATGCCTCACATCCCGCTGACACCTCGAGAGGCACGCGGAGTTCATTGCTTCAAAAGGTGACGATGCCTGACTCCTCTTGAATACTGATAGGAATCCCAAAATCCCTGTGGCTACTGGAAAGGGTCCTTGGGTGCCCTGCCTCACCTCGAGAAGCGTCCCTTTGGCCCTGCCAAGCCTCGAAGAGATTCCTGAGGTGTCCCTCGTTACTAGACAGGAGTCCTGACGTCACTGAAGAAACTCGTGTTTTGAAGGGCCATCCCCGCCGTAAGTCGAGAACATACCCCAGGTCCCCGCCGCAACTCGAGAAAAACCATGAGACTTCCCCCTAGAGGCGAGATGAGGCCCCATTCCCCTGCAGTGCATGCAGAGCTATTCCGTGATCCCATTCAAACAAGTCAGGAGCTTCGACTTGCTTAATGGATCTCGAGACAGTCCCCAAGAACACTGTCACCAGTCTAGACGGACCCTGAGGTCACCCCAGCAACGCAAAGCAGCTCCATGTGCCCCAAATCAACTCGAGATGAGGCCCGATTCCCCTGCATTGACTCCAGAGCCATTCCCCGTTCCCCATTCAACACGACCGGTGGCTCGACTTCCTTCAGGCAACTCCAGAGATGCCCCGAGAACACTGTCCCAAGTCTAGAGGAACACCAACTTCAGCACAGCAACTCGAGGAATGCTCCGTGTACCCCAAATCGTCTCGAGATGCAAGCTGATTCCCTGGCTTAGGCTCAAGACGTATGCCAACTTCCCAGAAGCACCTCAGGAGGAGGCTTCTCTCAGCAATAGGTATGTGGGAGGGACCCCGAGTTTGCTGCCTCAAGGGGAATATACAGCGAGAAGCCCTAACTTGAAAGGAGGCCGGATTTCCTTGCAGTGGCTTGAATACAGGCTCGTCTTTCATCTCACAACATCAAGGGATGTCTGAATCCCCTGTGGAGACCTTAGAGAAAGCCCTAGGTCCCTGCCTCATTTTGACGGAATGCCTCACATCCCGCTGACACCTCGAGAGGCACGCGGAGTTCATTGCTTCAAAAGGTGACGATGCCTGACTCCTCTTGAATACTGATAGGAATCCCAAAATCCCTGTGGCTACTGGAAAGGGTCCTTGGGTGCCCTGCCTCACCTCGAGAAGCGTCCCTTTGGCCATGCCAAGCCTCGAAGAGATTCCTGAGGTGTCCCTCGTTACTAGACAGGAGTCCTGACGTCACTGAAGAAACTCGTGTTTTGAAGGGCCATCCCCGCCGTAAGTCGAGAACATACCCCAGGTCCCCGCCGCAACTCGAGAAAAACCATGAGACTTCCCCCTAGAGGCGAGATGAGGCCCCATTCCCCTGCAGTGCATGCAGAGCTATTCCGTGATCCCATTCAAACAAGTCAGGAGCTTCGACTTGCTTAATGGATCTCGAGACAGTCCCCAAGAACACTGTCACCAGTCTAGACGGACCCTGAGGTCACCCCAGCAACGCAAAGCAGCTCCATGTGCACCAAATCAACTCGAGATGAGGCCCGATTCCCCTGCATTGACTCCAGAGCCATTCCCCGTTCCCCATTCAACACGACCGGTGGCTCGACTTCCTTCAGGCAACTCCAGAGATGCCCCGAGAACACTGTCCCAAGTCTAGAGGAACACCAACTTCAGCACAGCAGCTCGAGGAATGCTCCGTGTACACCAAATCGTCTCGAGATGCGACCTGATTCCCTGGCTTAGGCTCAAGACGTATGCCAACTTCCCAGAAGCACCTCAGGAGGAGGCTTCTCTCAGCAATAGGTATGTGGGAGGGACCCCGAGTTTGCTGCCTCAAGGGGAATATACAGCGAGAAGCCCTAACTTGAAAGGAGGCCGGATTTCCTTGCAGTGGCTTGAATACAGGCTCGTCTTTCATCTCACAACATGAAGGGATGTCTGAATCCCCTGTGGAGACCTTAGAGAAAGCCCTAGGTCCCTGCCTCATTTTGACGGAATGCCTCACATCCCGCTGACACCTCGAGAGGCACGCGGAGTTCATTGCTTCAAAAGGTGACGATGCCTGACTCCTCTTGAATACTGATAGGAATCCCAAAATCCCTGTGGCTACTGGAAAGGGTCCTTGGGTGCCCTGCCTCACCTCGAGAAGCGTCCCTTTGGCCCTGCCAAGCCTCGAAGAGATTCCTGAGGTGTCCCTCGTTACTAGACAGGAGTCCTGACGTCACTGAAGAAACTCGTGTTTTGAAGGGCCATCCCCGCCGTAAGTCGAGAACATACCCCAGGTCCCCGCCGCAACTCGAGAAAAACCATGAGACTTCCCCCTAGAGGCGAGATGAGGCCCCATTCCCCTGCAGTGCATGCAGAGCTATTCCGTGACCCCATTCAAACAAGTCAGGAGCTTCGACTTGCTTAATGGATCTCGAGACAGTCCCCAAGAACACTGTCACCAGTCTAGACGGACCCTGAGGTCACCCCAGCAACGCAAAGCAGCTCCATGTGCCCCAAATCAACTCGAGATGAGGCCCGATTCCCCTGCATTGACTCCAGAGCCATTCCCCGTTCCCCATTCCTCACGACCGGTGGCTCGACTTCCTTCAGGCAACTCCAGAGATGCCCCGAGAACACTGTCCCAAGTCTAGAGGAACACCAACTTCAGCACAGCAACTCGAGGAATGCTCCGTGTACCCCAAATCGTCTCGAGATGCGAGCTGATTCCCTGGCTTAGGCTCAAGACGTATTCCAACTTCCCAGAAGCACCTCAGGAGGAGGCTTCTCTCAGCAATAGGTATGTGGGAGGGACCCCGAGTTTGCTGCCTCAAGGGGAATATACAGCGAGAAGCCCTAACTTGAAAGGAGGCCGGATTTCCTTGCAGTGGCTTGAATACAGGCTCGTCTTTCATCTCACAACATGAAGGGATGTCTGAATCCCCTGTGGAGACCTTAGAGAAAGCCCTAGGTCCCTGCCTCATTTTGACGGAATGCCTCACATCCCGCTGACACCTCGAGAGGCACGCGGAGTTCATTGCTTCAAAAGGTGACGATGCCTGACTCCTCTTGAATACTGATAGGAATCCCAAAATCCCTGTGGCTACTGGAAAGGGTCCTTGGGTGCCCTGCCTCACCTCGAGAAGCGTCCCTTTGGCCCTGCCAAGCCTCGAAGAGATTCCTGAGGTGTCCCTCGTTACTAGACAGGAGTCCTGACGTCACTGAAGAAACTCGTGTTTTGAAGGGCCATCCCCGCCGTAAGTCGAGAACATACCCCAGGTCCCCGCCGCAACTCGAGAAAAACCATGAGACTTCCCCCTAGAGGCGAGATGAGGCCCCATTCCCCTGCAGTGCATGCAGAGCTATTCCGTGACCCCATTCAAACAAGTCAGGAGCTTCGACTTGCTTAATGGATCTCGAGACAGTCCCCAAGAACACTGTCACCAGTCTAGACGGACCCTGAGGTCACCCCAGCAACGCAAAGCAGCTCCATGTGCCCCAAATCAACTCGAGATGAGGCCCGATTCCCCTGCATTGACTCCAGAGCCATTCCCCGTTCCCCATTCCACACGACCGGTGGCTCGACTTCCTTCAGGCAACTCCAGAGATGCCCCGAGAACACTGTCCCAAGTCTAGAGGAACACCAACTTCAGCACAGCAACTCGAGGAATGCTCCGTGTACCCCAAATCGTCTCGAGATGCGAGCTGATTCCCTGGCTTAGGCTCAAGACGTATGCCAACTTCCCAGAAGCACCTCAGGAGGAGGCTTCTCTCAGCAATAGGTATGTGGGAGGGACCCCGAGTTTGCTGCCTCAAGGGGAATATACAGCGAGAAGCCCTAACTTGAAAGGAGGCCGGATTTCCTTGCAGTGGCTTGAATACAGGCTCGTCTTTCATCTCACAACATGAAGGGATGTCTGAATCCCCTGTGGAGACCTTAGAGAAAGCCCTAGGTCCCTGCCTCATTTTGACGGAATGCCTCACATCCCGCTGACACCTCGAGAGGCACGCGGAGTTCATTGCTTCAAAAGGTGACGATGCCTGACTCCTCTTGAATACTGATAGGAATCCCAAAATCCCTGTGGCTACTGGAAAGGGTCCTTGGGTGCCCTGCCTCACCTCGAGAAGCGTCCCTTTGGCCCTGCCAAGCCTCGAAGAGATTCCTGAGGTGTCCCTCGTTACTAGACAGGAGTCCTGACGTCACTGAAGAAACTCGTGTTTTGAAGGGCCATCCCCGCCGTAAGTCGAGAACATACCCCAGGTCCCCGCCGCAACTCGAGAAAAACCATGAGACTTCCCCCTAGAGGCGAGATGAGGCCCCATTCCCCTGCAGTGCATGCAGAGCTATTCCGTGATCCCATTCAAACAAGTCAGGAGCTTCGACTTGCTTAAAGGATCTCGAGACATTCCCCAAGAACACTGTCACCAGTCTAGACGGACCCTGAGGTCACCCCAGCAACGCAAAGCAGCACCATGTGCCCCAAATCAACTCGAGATGAGGCCCGATTCCCCTGCATTGACTCCAGAGCCATTCCCCGTTCCCCATTCAACACGACCGGTGGCTCGACTTCCTTCAGGCAACTCCAGAGATGCCCCGAGAACACTGTCCCAAGTCTAGAGGAACACCAACTTCAGCACAGCAACTCGAGGAATGCTCCGTGTACCCCAAATCGTCTCGAGATGCGAGCTGATTCCCTGGCTTAGGCTCAAGACGTATGCCAACTTCCCAGAAGCACCTCAGGGGGAGGCTTCTCTCAGCAATAGGTATGTGGGAGGGACCCCGAGTTTGCTGCCTCAAGGGGAATATACAGCGAGAAGCTCTAACTTGAAAGGAGGCCGGATTTCCTTGCAGTGGCTTGAATACAGGCTCGTCTTTCATCTCACAACATGAAGGGATGTCTGAGTCCCCTGTGGAGACCTTAGAGAAAGCCCTAGGTCCCTGCCTCATTTTGACGGAATGCCTCACATCCCGCTGACACCTCGAGAGGCACGCGGAGTTCATTTCTTCAAAAGGTGACGATGCCTGACTCCTGTTGAATACTGATGGGAATCCCAAAATCCCTGTGGCTACTGGAAAGGGTCCTTGGGTGCCCTGCTTCACCTCGAGAAGCGTCCCTTTGGCCCTGCCAAGCCTCGAAGAGATTCCTGAGGTGTCCCTCGTTACTAGACAGGAGTCCTGACGTCACTGAAGAAACTCGTGTTTTGAAGGGCCATCCCCGCCGTAAGTCGAGAACATACCACAGGTCCCCGCCGCAACTCGAGAAAAACCATGAGATTTCCCCCTAGAGGCGAGATGAGGCCCCATTCCCCTGCAGTGCATGCAGAGCTATTCCGTGATCCCATTCAAACAAGTCAGGAGCTTCGACTTGCTTAATGGATCTCGAGACAGTCCCCAAGATCACTGTCACCAGTCTAGACGGACTCTGAGGTCACCCCAGCAACGCAAAGCAGCTCCATGTGCCCCAAATCAACTCGAGATGAGGCCCGATTCCCCTGCATTGACTCCAGAGCCATTCCCCGTTCCCCATTCAACACGACCGGTGGCTCGACTTCCTTCAGGCAACTCCAGAGATGCCCCGAGAACACTGTCCCAAGTCTAGAGGAACACCAACTTCAGCACAGCAACTCGAGGAATGCTCCGTGTACCCCAAATCGTCTCGAGATGCGAGCTGATTCCCTGGCTTAGGCTCAAGACGTATGCCAACTTCCCAGAAGCACCTCAGGAGGAGGCTTCTCTCAGCAATAGGTATGTGGGAGGGACCCCGAGTTTGCTGCCTCAAGGGGAATATACAGCGAGAAGCCCTAACTTGAAAGGAGGCCGGATTTCCTTGCAGTGGCTTGAATACAGGCTCGTCTTTCATCTCACAACATGAAGGGATGTCTGAATCCCCTGTGGAGACCTTAGAGAAAGCCCTAGGTCCCTGCCTCATTTTGACGGAATGCCTCACATCCCGCTGACACCTCGAGAGGCACGCGGAGTTCATTGCTTCAAAAGGTGACGATGCCTGACTCCTCTTGAATACTGATAGGAATCCCAAAATCCCTGTGGCTACTGGAAAGGGTCCTTGGGTGCCCTGCCTCACCTCGAGAAGCGTCCCTTTGGCCCTGCCAAGCCTCGAAGAGATTCCTGAGGTGTCCCTCGTTACTAGACAGGAGTCCTGACGTCACTGAAGAAACTCGTGTTTTGAAGGGCCATCCCCGCCGTAAGTCGAGAACATACCCCAGGTCCCCGCCGCAACTCGAGAAAAACCATGAGACTTCCCCCTAGAGGCGAGATGAGGCCCCATTCCCCTGCAGTGCATGCAGAGCTATTCCGTGATCCCATTCAAACAAGTCAGGAGCTTCGACTTGCTTAATGGATCTCGAGACAGTCCCCAAGAACACTGTCACCAGTCTAGACGGACCCTGAGGTCACCCCAGCAACGCAAAGCAGCTCCATGTGCCCCAAATCAACTCGAGATGAGGCCCGATTCCCCTGCATTGACTCCAGAGCCATTCCCCGTTCCCCATTCAACACGACCGGTGGCTCGACTTCCTTCAGGCAACTCCAGAGATGCCCCGAGAACACTGTCCCATGTCTAGAGGAACACCAACTTCAGCACAGCAACTCGAGGAATGCTCCGTGTACCCCAAATCGTCTCGAGATGCAAGCTGATTCCCTGGCTTAGGCTCAAGACGTATGCCAACTTCCCAGAAGCACCTCAGGAGGAGGCTTCTCTCAGCAATAGGTATGTGGGAGGGACCCCGAGTTTGCTGCCTCAAGGGGAATATACAGCGAGAAGCCCTAACTTGAAAGGAGGCCGGATTTCCTTGCAGTGGCTTGAATACAGGCTCGTCTTTCATCTCACAACATGAAGGGATGTCTGAATCCCCTGTGGAGACCTTAGAGAAAGCCCTAGGTCCCTGCCTCATTTTGACGGAATGCCTCACATCCCGCTGACACCTCGAGAGGCACGCGGAGTTCATTGCTTCAAAAGGTGACGATGCCTGACTCCTCTTGAATACTGATAGGAATCCCAAAATCCCTGTGGCTACTGGAAAGGGTCCTTGGGTGCCCTGCCTCACCTCGAGAAGCGTCCCTTTGGCCATGCCAAGCCTCGAAGAGATTCCTGAGGTGTCCCTCGTTACTAGACAGGAGTCCTGACGTCACTGAAGAAACTCGTGTTTTGAAGGGCCATCCCCGCCGTAAGTCGAGAACATACCCCAGGTCCCCGCCGCAACTCGAGAAAAACCATGAGACTTTCCCCTAGAGGCGAGATGAGGCCCCATTCCCCTGCAGTGCATGCAGAGCTATTCCGTGATCCCATTCAAACAAGTCAGGAGATTCGACTTGCTTAATGGATCTCGAGACAGTCCCCAAGAACACTGTCACCAGTCTAGACGGACCCTGAGGTCACCCCAGCAACGCAAAGCAGCTCCATGTGCACCAAATCAACTCGAGATGAGGCCCGATTCCCCTGCATTGACTCCAGAGCCATTCCCCGTTCCCCATTCAACATGACCGGTGGCTCGACTTCCTTCAGGCAACTCCAGAGATGCCCCGAGAACACTGTCCCAAGTCTAGAGGAACACCAACTTCAGCACAGCAGCTCGAGGAATGCTCCGTGTACACCAAATCGTCTCGAGATGCGAGCTGATTCCCTGGCTTAGGCTCAAGACGTATGCCAACTTCCCAGAAGCACCTCAGGAGGAGGCTTCTCTCAGCAATAGGTATGTGGGAGGGACCCCGAGTTTGCTGCCTCAAGGGGAATATACAGCGAGAAGCCCTAACTTGAAAGGAGGCCGGATTTCCTTGCAGTGGCTTGAATACAGGCTCGTCTTTCATCTCACAACATGAAGGGATGTCTGAATCCCCTGTGGAGACCTTAGAGAAAGCCCTAGGTCCCTGCCTCATTTTGACGGAATGCCTCACATCCCGCTGACACCTCGAGAGGCACGCGGAGTTCATTGCTTCAAAAGGTGACGATGCCTGACTCCTCTTGAATACTGATAGGAATCCCAAAATCCCTGTGGCTACTGGAAAGGGTCCTTGGGTGCCCTGCCTCACCTCGAGAAGCGTCCCTTTGGCCCTGCCAAGCCTCGAAGAGATTCCTGAGGTGTCCCTCGTTACTAGACAGGAGTCCTGACGTCACTGAAGAAACTCGTGTTTTGAAGGGCCATCCCCGCCGTAAGTCGAGAACATACCCCAGGTCCCCGCCGCAACTCGAGAAAAACCATGAGACTTCCCCCTAGAGGCGAGATGAGGCCCCATTCCCCTGCAGTGCATGCAGAGCTATTCCGTGACCCCATTCAAACAAGTCAGGAGCTTCGACTTGCTTAATGGATCTCGAGACAGTCCCCAAGAACACTGTCACCAGTCTAGACGGACCCTGAGGTCACCCCAGCAACGCAAAGCAGCTCCATGTGCCCCAAATCAACTCGAGATGAGGCCCGATTCCCCTGCATTGACTCCAGAGCCATTCCCCGTTCCCCATTCCACACGACCGGTGGCTCGACTTCCTTCAGGCAACTCCAGAGATGCCCCGAGAACACTGTCCCAAGTCTAGAGGAACACCAACTTCAGCACAGCAACTCGAGGAATGCTCCGTGTACCCCAAATCGTCTCGAGATGCGAGCTGATTCCCTGGCTTAGGCTCAAGACGTATGCCAACTTCCCAGAAGCACCTCAGGAGGAGGCTTCTCTCAGCAATAGGTATGTGGGAGGGACCCCGAGTTTGCTGCCTCAAGGGGAATATACAGCGAGACGCCCTAACTTGAAAGGAGGCCGGATTTCCTTGCAGTGGCTTGAATACAGGCTCGTCTTTCATCTCACAACATGAAGGGATGTCTGAATCCCCTGTGGAGACCTTAGAGAAAGCCCTAGGTCCCTGCCTCATTTTGACGGAATGCCTCACATCCCGCTGACACCTCGAGAGGCACGCGGAGTTCATTGCTTCAAAAGGTGACGATGCCTGACTCCTCTTGAATACTGATAGGAATCCCAAAATCCCTGTGGCTACTGGAAAGGGTCCTTGGGTGCCCTGCCTCACCTCGAGAAGCGTCCCTTTGGCCCTGCCAAGCCTCGAAGAGATTCCTGAGGTGTCCCTCGTTACTAGACAGGAGTCCTGACGTCACTGAAGAAACTCGTGTTTTGAAGGGCCATCCCCGCCGTAAGTCGAGAACATACCCCAGGTCCCCGCCGCAACTCGAGAAAAACCATGAGACTTCCCCCTAGAGGCGAGATGAGGCCCCATTCCCCTGCAGTGCATGCAGAGCTATTCCGTGACCCCATTCAAACAAGTCAGGAGCTTCGACTTGCTTAATGGATCTCGAGACAGTCCCCAAGAACACTGTCACCAGTCTAGACGGACCCTGAGGTCACCCCAGCAACGCAAAGCAGCTCCATGTGCCCCAAATCAACTCGAGATGAGGCCCGATTCCCCTGCATTGACTCCAGAGCCATTCCCCGTTCCCCATTCAACACGACCGGTGGCTCGACTTCCTTCAGGCAACTCCAGAGATGCCCCGAGAACACTGTCCCAAGTCTAGAGGAACACCAACTTCAGCACAGCAACTCGAGGAATGCTCCGTGTACCCCAAATCGTCTCGAGATGCGAGCTGATTCCCTGGCTTAGGCTCAAGACGTATGCCAACTTCCCAGAAGCACCTCAGGAGGAGGCTTCTCTCAGCAATAGGTATGTGGGTGGGACCCCGAGTTTGCTGCCTCAAGGGGAATATACAGCAAGAAGCCCTAACTTGAAAGGAGGCCGGATTTCCTTGCAGTGGCTTGAATACAGGCTCGTCTTTCATCTCACAACATGAAGGGATGTCTGAATCCCCTGTGGAGACCTTAGAGAAAGCCCTAGGTCCCTGCCTCATTTTGACGGAATGCCTCACATCACGCTGACACCTCGAGAGGCACGCGGAGTTCATTGCTTCAAAAGGTGACGATGCCTGACTCCTCTTGAATACTGATAGGAATCCCAAAATCCCTGTGGCTACTGGAAAGTGTCCTTGGGTGCCCTGCCTCACCTCGAGAAGCGTCCCTTTGGCCCTGCCAAGCCTCCAAGAGATTCCTGAGGTGTCCCTCGTTACTAGACAGGAGTCCTGACGTCACTGAAGAAACTCGTGTTTTGAAGGGCCATCCCCGCCGTAAGTCGAGAACATACCCCAGGTCCCCGCCGCAACTCGAGAAAAACCATGAGACTTCCCCCTAGAGGCGAGATGAGGCCCCATTCCCCTGCAGTGCATGCAGAGCTATTCCGTGATCCCATTCAAACAAGTCAGGAGCTTCGACTTGCTTAATGGATCTCGAGACAGTCCCCAAGAACACTGTCACCAGTCTAGACGGACCCTGAGGTCACCCCAGCAACGCAAAGCAGCTACATGTGCCCCAAATCAACTCGAGATTAGGCCCGATTCCCCTGCATTGACTCCAGAGCCATTCCCCGTTCCCCATTCCACACGACCGGTGGCTCGACTTCCTTCAGGCAACTCCAGAGATGCCCCGAGAACACTGTCCCAAGTCTAGAGGAACACCAACTTCAGCACAGCAACTCGAGGAATGCTCCGTGTACCCCAAATCGTCTCGAGATGCGAGCTGATTCCCTGGCTTAGGTTCAAGACGTATGCCAACTTCCCAGAAGCACCTCAGGAGGAGGCTTCTCTCAGCAATAGGTATGTGGGAGGGACCCCGAGTTTGCTGCCTCAAGGGGAATATACAGCGAGAAGCCCTAACTTGAAAGGAGGCCGGATTTCCTTGCAGTGGCTTGAATACAGGCTCGTCTTTCATCTCACAACATGAAGGGATGTCTGAATCCCCTGTGGAGACCTTAGAGAAAGCCCTAGGTCCCTGCCTCATTTTGACGGAATGCCTCACATCCCGCTGACACCTCGAGAGGCACGCGGAGTTCATTGCTTCAAAAGGTGACGATGCCTGACTCCTCTTGAATACTGATAGGAATCCCAAAATCCCTGTGGCTACTGGAAAGGGTCCTTGGGTGCCCTGCCTCACCTCGAGAAGCGTCCCTTTGGCCCTGCCAAGCCTCGAAGAGATTCCTGAGGTGTCCCTCGTTACTAGACAGGAGTCCTGACGTCACTGAAAAAACTCGTGTTTTGAAGGGCCATCCCCGCCGTAAGTCGAGAACATACCCCAGGTCCCCGCCGCAACTCGAGAAAAACCATGAGACTTCCCCCTAGAGGCGAGATGAGGCCCCATTCCCCTGCAGTGCATGCAGAGCTATTCCGTGACCCCATTCAAACAAGTCAGGAGCTTCGACTTGCTTAATGGATCTCGAGACAGTCCCCAAGAACACTGTCACCAGTCTAGACGGACCCTGAGGTCACCCCAGCAACGCAAAGCAGCTCCATGTGCCCCAAATCAACTCGAGATGAGGCCCGATTCCCCTGCATTGACTCCAGAGCCATTCCCCGTTCCCCATTCAACACGACCGGTGGCTCGACTTCCTTCAGGCAACTCCAGAGATGCCCCGAGAACACTGTCCCAAGTCTAGAGGAACACCAACTTCAGCACAGCAACTCGAGGAATGCTCCGTGTACCCCAAATCATCTCAAGATGCGAGCTGATTCCCTGGCTTAGGCTCAAGACGTATGCCAACTTCCCAGAAGCACCTCAGGAGGAGGCTTCTCTCAGCAATAGGTATGTGGGTGGGACCCCGAGTTTGCTGCCTCAAGGGGAATATACAGCAAGAAGCCCTAACTTGAAAGGAGGCCGGATTTCCTTGCAGTGGCTTGAATACAGGCTCGTCTTTCATCTCACAACATGAAGGGATGTCTGAATCCCCTGTGGAGACCTTAGAGAAAGCCCTAGGTCCCTGCCTCATTTTGACGGAATGCCTCACATCCCGCTGACACCTCGAGAGGCACGCGGAGTTCATTGCTTCAAAAGGTGACGATGCCTGACTCCTCTTGAATACTGATAGGAATCCCAAAATCCCTGTGGCTACTGGAAAGGGTCCTTGGGTGCCCTGCCTCACCTCGAGAAGCGTCCCTTTGGCCCTGCCAAGCCTCCAAGAGATTCCTGAGGTGTCCCTCGTTACTAGACAGGAGTCCTGACGTCACTGAAGAAACTCGTGTTTTGAAGGGCCATCCCCGCCGTAAGTCGAGAACATACCCCAGGTCCCCGCCGCAACTCGAGAAAAACCATGAGACTTCCCCCTAGAGGCGAGATGAGGCCCCATTCCCCTGCAGTGCATGCAGAGCTATTCCGTGATCCCATTCAAACAAGTCAGGAGCTTCGACTTGCTTAATGGATCTCGAGACAGTCCCCAAGAACACTGTCACCAGTCTAGACGGACCCTGAGGTCACCCCAGCAACGCAAAGCAGCTCCATGTGCCCCAAATCAACTCGAGATGAGGCCCGATTCCCCTGCATTGACTCCAGAGCCATTCCCCGTTCCCCATTCCACACGACCGGTGGCTCGACTTCCTTCAGGCAACTCCAGAGATGCCCCGAGAACACTGTCCCAAGTCTAGAGGAACACCAACTTCAGCACAGCAACTCGAGGAATGCTCCGTGTACCCCAAATCGTCTCGAGATGCGAGCTGATTCCCTGGCTTAGGCTCAAGACGTATGCCAACTTCCCAGAAGCACCTCAGGAGGAGGCTTCTCTCAGCAATAGGTATGTGGGAGGGACCCCGAGTTTGCTTCCTCAAGGGGAATATACAGCGAGAAGCCCTAACTTGAAAGGAGGCCGGATTTCCTTGCAGTGGCTTGAATACAGGCTCGTCTTTCATCTCACAACATGAAGGGATGTCTGAATCCCCTGTGGAGACCTTAGAGAAAGCCCTAGGTCCCTGCCTCATTTTGACGGAATGCCTCACATCCCGCTGACACCTCGAGAGGCACGCGGAGTTCATTGCTTCAAAAGGTGACGATGCCTGACTCCTCTTGAATACTGATAGGAATCCCAAAATCCCTGTGGCTACTGGAAAGGGTCCTTGGGTGCCCTGCCTCACCTCGAGAAGCGTCCCTTTGGCCCTGCCAAGCCTCGAAGAGATTCCTGAGGTGTCCCTCGTTACTAGACAGGAGTCCTGACGTCACTGAAGAAACTCGTGTTTTGAAGGGCCATCCCCGCCGTAAGTCGAGAACATACCCCTGGTCCCCGCCGCAACTCGAGAAAAACCATGAGACTTCCCCCTAGAGGCGAGATGAGGCCCCATTCCCCTGCAGTGCATGCAGAGCTATTCCGTGACCCCATTCAAACAAGTCAGGAGCTTCGACTTGCTTAATGGATCTCGAGACAGTCCCCAAGAACACTGTCACCAGTCTAGACGGACCCTGAGGTCACCCCAGCAACGCAAAGCAGCTCCATGTGCCCCAAATCAACTCGAGATGAGGCCCGATTCCCCTGCATTGACTCCAGAGCCATTCCCCGTTCCCCATTCCACACGACCGGTGGCTCAACTTCCTTCAGGCAACTCCAGAGATGCCCCGAGAACACTGTCCCAAGTCTAGAGGAACACCAACTTCAGCACAGCAACTCGAGGAATGCTCCGTGTACCCCAAATCGTCTCGAGATGCGAGCTGATTCCCTGGCTTAGGCTCAAGACGTATGCCAACTTCCCAGAAGCACCTCAGGAGGAGGCTTCTCTCAGCAATAGGTATGTGGGAGGGACCCCGAGTTTACTGCCTCAAGGGGAATATACAGCGAGAAGCCCTAACTTGAAAGGAGGCCGGATTTCCTTGCAGTGGCTTGAATACAGGCTCGTCTTTCATCTCACAACATGAAGGGATGTCTGAATCCCCTGTGGAGACCTTAGAGAAAGCCCTAGGTCCCTGCCTCATTTTGACGGAATGCCTCACATCCCGCTGACACCTCGAGAGGCACGCGGAGTTCATTGCTTCAAAAGGTGACGATGCCTGACTCCTCTTGAATACTGATAGGAATCCCAAAATCCCTGTGGCTACTGGAAAGGGTCCTTGGGTGCCCTGCCTCACCTCGAGAAGCGTCCCTTTGGCCCTGCCAAGCCTCGAAGAGATTCCTGAGGTGTCCCTCGTTACTAGACAGGAGTCCTGACGTCACTGAAGAAACTCGTGTTTTGAAGGGCCATCCCCGCCGTAAGTCGAGAACATACCCCAGGTCCCCGCCGGAACTCGAGAAAAACCATGAGACTTCCCCCTAGAGGCGAGATGAGGCCCCATTCCCCTGCAGTGCATGCAGAGCTATTCCGTGATCCCATTCAAACAAGTCAGGAGCTTCGACTTGCTTAATGGATCTCGAGACAGTCCCCAAGAACACTGTCACCAGTCTAGACGGACCCTGAGGTCACCCCAGCAACGCAAAGCAGCTCCATGTGCCCCAAATCAACTCGAGATGAGGCCCGATTCCCCTGCATTGACTCCAGAGCCATTCCCCGTTCCCCATTCAACACGACCGGTGGCTCGACTTCCTTCAGGCAACTCCAGAGATGCCCCGAGAACACTGTCCCAAGTCTAGAGGAACACCAACTTCAGCACAGCAACTCGAGGAATGCTCCGTGTACCCCAAATCGTCCAGAGATGCGAGCTGATTCCCTGGCTTAGGCTCAAGACGTATGCCAACTTCCCAGAAGCACCTCAGGAGGAGGCTTCTCTCAGCAATAGGTATGTGGGAGGGACCCCGAGTTTGCTGCCTCAAGGGGAATATACAGCGAGAAGCCCTAACTTGAAAGGAGGCCGGATTTCCTTGCAGTGGCTTGAATACAGGCTCGTCTTTCATCTCACAACATGAAGGGATGTCTGAATCCCCTGTGGAGACCTTAGAGAAAGCCCTAGGTCCCTGCCTCATTTTGACGGAATGCCTCACATCCCGCTGACACCTCGAGAGGCACGCGGAGTTCATTGCTTCAAAAGGTGACGATGCCTGACTCCTCTTGAATACTGATAGGAATCCCAAAATCCCTGTGGCTACTGGAAAGGGTCCTTGGGTGCCCTGCCTCACCTCGAGAAGCGTCCCTTTGGCCCTGCCAAGCCTCGAAGAGATTCCTGAGGTGTCCCTCGTTACTAGACAGGAGTCCTGACGTCACTGAAGAAACTCGTGTTTTGAAGGGCCATCCCCGCCGTAAGTCGAGAACATACCCCAGGTCCCCGCCGCAAATCGAGAAAAACCATGAGACTTCCCCGTAGAGGCGAGATGAGGCCCCATTCCCCTGCAGTGCATGCAGAGCTATTCCGTGACCCCATTCAAACAAGTCAGGAGCTTCGACTTGCTTAATGGATCTCGAGACAGTCCCCAAGAACACTGTCACCAGTCTAGACGGAACCTGAGGTCATCCCAGCAACGCAAAGCAGCTCCATGTGCCCCAAATCAACTCGAGATGAGGCCCGATTCCCCTGCATTGACTCCAGAGCCATTCCCCGTTCCCCATTCCACACGACCGGTGCCTCGACTTCCTTCAGGCAACTCCAGAGATGCCCCGAGAACACTGTCCCAAGTCTAGAGGAACACCAACTTCAGCACAGCAACTCGAGGAATGCTCCGTGTACCCCAAATCGTCCCGAGATGCGAGCTGATTCCCTGGCTTAGGCTCAAGACGTATGCCAACTTCCCAGAAGCACCTCAGGAGGAGGCTTCTCTCAGCAATAGGTATGTGGGAGGGACCCCGAGTTTGCTGCCTCAAGGGGAATATACAGCGAGAAGCCCTAACTTGAAAGGAGGCCGGATTTCCTTGCAGTGGCTTGAATACAGGCTCGTCTTTCATCTCACAACATGAAGGGATGTCTGAATCCCCTGTGGAGACCTTAGAGAAAGCCCTAGGTCCCTGCCTCATTTTGACGGAATGCCTCACATCCCGCTGACACCTCGAGAGGCACGCGGAGTTCATTGCTTCAAAAGGTGACGATGCCTGACTCCTCTTGAATACTGATAGGAATCCCAAAATCCCTGTGGCTACTGGAAAGGGTCCTTGGGTGCCCTGCCTCACCTCGAGAAGCGTCCCTTTGGCCCTGCCAAGCCTCGAAGAGATTCCTGAGGTGTCCCTCGTTACTAGACAGGAGTCCTGACGTCACTGAAGAAACTCGTGTTTTGAAGGGCCATCCCCGCCGTAAGTCGAGAACATACCCCAGGTCCCCGCCGCAACTCGAGAAAAACCATGAGACTTCCCCGTAGAGGCGAGATGAGGCCCCATTCCCCTGCAGTGCATGCAGAGCTATTCCGTGACCCCATTCAAACAAGTCAGGAGCTTCGACTTGCTTAATGGATCTCGAGACAGTCCCCAAGAACACTGTCACCAGTCTAGACGGACCCTGAGGTCTCCCCAGCAACGCAAAGCAGCTCCATGTGCCCCAAATCAACTCGAGATGAGGCCCGATTCCCCTGCATTGACTCCAGAGCCATTCCCCGTTCCCCATTCCACACGACCGGTGGCTCGACTTCCTTCAGGCAACTCCAGAGATGCCCCGAGAACACTGTCCCAAGTCTAGAGGAACACCAACTTCAGCACAGCAACTCGAGGAATGCTCCGTGTACCACAAATCATCTCGAGATGCGAGCTGATACCCTGGCTTAGGCTCAAGACGTATGCCAACTTCCCAGAAGCACCTCAGGAGGAGGCTTCTCTCAGCAATAGGTATGTGGGAGGGACCCCGAGTTTGCTGCCTCAAGGGGAATATACAGCGAGAAGCCCTAACTTGAAAGGAGGCCGGATTTCCTTGCAGTGGCTTGAATACAGGCTCGTCTTTCATCTCACAACATGAAGGGATGTCTGAATCCCCTGTGGAGACCTTAGAGAAAGCCCTAGGTCCCTGCCTCATTTTGACGGAATGCCTCACATCCCGCTGACACCTCGAGAGGCACGCGGAGTTCATTGCTTCAAAAGGTGACGATGCCTGACTCCTCTTGAATACTGATAGGAATCCCAAAATCCCTGTGGCTACTGGAAAGGGTCCTTGGGTGCCCTGCCTCACCTCGAGAAGCGTCCCTTTGGCCCTGCCAAGCCTCGAAGAGATTCCTGAGGTGTCCGTCGTTACTAGACAGGAGTCCTACTGTCACTGAAGAAACTCGTGTTTTGAAGGGCCATCCCCGCCGTAAGTCGAGAACATACCCCAGGTCCCCGCCGCAACTCGAGAAAAACCATGAGACTTCCCCCTAGAGGCGAGATGAGGCCCCATTCCCCTGCAGTGCATGCAGAGCTATTCCGTGATCCCATTCAAACAAGTCAGGAGCTTCGACTTGCTTAATGGATCTCGAGACAGTCCCCAAGAACACTGTCACCAGTCTAGACGGACCCTGAGGTCACCCCAGCAACGCAAAGCAGCTCCATGTGCCCCAAATCAACTCGAGATGAGGCCCGATTCCCCTGCATTGACTCCAGAGCCATTCCCCGTTCCCCATTCAACACGACCGGTGGCTCGACTTCCTTCAGGCAACTCCAGAGATGCCCCGAGAACACTGTCCCAAGTCTAGAGGAACACCAACTTCAGCACAGCAGCTCGAGGAATGCTCCGTGTACCCCAAATCGTCTCGAGATGCGAGCTGATTCCCTGGCTTAGGCTCAAGACGTATGCCAACTTCCCAGAAGCACCTCAGGAGGAGGCTTCTCTCAGCAATAGGTATGTGGGAGGGACCCCGAGTTTGCTGCCTCAAGGGGAATATACAGCGAGAAGCCCTAACTTGAAAGGAGGCCGGATTTCCTTGCAGTGGCTTGAATACAGGCTCGTCTTTCATCTCACAACATGAAGGGATGTCTGAATCCCCTGTGGAGACCTTAGAGAAAGCCCTAGGTCCCTGCCTCATTTTGAAGGAATGCCTCACATCCCGCTGACACCTCGAGAGGCACGCGGAGTTCATTGCTTCAAAAGGTGACGATGCCTGACTCCTCTTGAATACTGATAGGAATCCCAAAATCCCTGTGGCTACTGGAAAGGGTCCTTGGGTGCCCTGCCTCACCTCGAGAAGCGTCCCTTTGGCCCTGCCAAGCCTCGAAGAGATTCCTGAGGTGTCCCTCGTTACTAGACAGGAGTCCTGACGTCACTGAAGAAACTCGTGTTTTGAAGGGCCATCCCCGCCGTAAGTCGAGAACATACCCCAGGTCCCCGCCGCAACTCGAGAAAAACCATGAGACTTCCCCCTAGAGGCGAGATGAGGCCCCATTCCCCTGCAGTGCATGCAGAGCTATTCCGTGATCCCATTCAAACAAGTCAGGAGCTTCGACTTGCTTAATGGATCTCGAGACAGTCCCCAAGAACACTGTCACCAGTCTAGACGGACCCTGAGGTCACCCCAGCAACGCAAAGCAGCTCCATGTGCCCCAAATCAACTCGAGATGAGGCCCGATTCCCCTGCATTGACTCCAGAGCCATTCCCCGTTCCCCATTCAACACGACCGGTGGCTCGACTTCCTTCAGGCAACTCCAGAGATGCCCCGAGAACACTGTCCCAAGTCTAGAGGAACACCAACTTCAGCACAGCAACTCGAGGAATGCTCCGTGTACCCCAAATCGTCCAGAGATGCGAGCTGATTCCCTGGCTTAGGCTCAAGACGTATGCCAACTTCCCAGAAGCACCTCAGGAGGAGGCTTCTCTCAGCAATAGGTATGTGGGAGGGACCCCGAGTTTGCTGCCTCAAGGGGAATATACAGCGAGAAGCCCTAACTTGAAAGGAGGCCGGATTTCCTTGCAGTGGCTTGAATACAGGCTCGTCTTTCATCTCACAACATGAAGGGATGTCTGAATCCCCTGTGGAGACCTTAGAGAAAGCCCTAGGTCCCTGCCTCATTTTGACGGAATGCCTCACATCCCGCTGACACCTCGAGAGGCACGCGGAGTTCATTGCTTCAAAAGGTGACGATGCCTGACTCCTCTTGAATACTGATAGGAATCCCAAAATCCCTGTGGCTACTGGAAAGGGTCCTTGGGTGCCCTGCCTCACCTCGAGAAGCGTCCCTTTGGCCCTGCCAAGCCTCGAAGAGATTCCTGAGGTGTCCCTCGTTACTAGACAGGAGTCCTGACGTCACTGAAGAAACTCGTGTTTTGAAGGGCCATCCCCGCCGAAAGTCGAGAACATACCCCAGATCCCCGCCGCAACTCGAGAAAAACCATGAGACTTCCCCGTAGAGGCGAGATGAGGCCCCATTCCCCTGCAGTGCATGCAGAGCTATTCCGTGACCCCATTCAAACAAGTCAGGAGCTTCGACTTGCTTAATGGATCTCGAGACAGTCCCCAAGAACACTGTCACCAGTCTAGACGGAACCTGAGGTCATCCCAGCAACGCAAAGCAGCTCCATGTGCCCCAAATCAACTCGAGATGAGGCCCGATTCCCCTGCATTGACTCCAGAGCCATTCCCCGTTCCCCATTCCACACGACCGGTGGCTCGACTTCCTTCAGGCAACTCCAGAGATGCCCCGAGAACACTGTCCCAAGTCTAGAGGAACACCAACTTCAGCACAGCAACTCGAGGAATGCTCCGTGTACCCCAAATCGTCCCGAGATGCGAGCTGATTCCCTGGCTTAGGCTCAAGACGTATGCCAACTTCCCAGAAGCACCTCAGGAGGAGGCTTCTCTCAGCAATAGGTATGTGGGAGGGACCCCGAGTTTGCTGCCTCAAGGGGAATATACAGCGAGAAGCCCTAACTTGAAAGGAGGCCGGATTTCCTTGCAGTGGCTTGAATACAGGCTCGTCTTTCATCTCACAACATGAAGGGATGTCTGAATCCCCTGTGGAGACCTTAGAGAAAGCCCTAGGTCCCTGCCTCATTTTGACGGAATGCCTCACATCCCGCTGACACCTCGAGAGGCACGCGGAGTTCATTGCTTCAAAAGGTGACGATGCCTGACTCCTCTTGAATACTGATAGGAATCCCAAAATCCCTGTGGCTACTGGAAAGGGTCCTTGGGTGCCCTGCCTCACCTCGAGAAGCGTCCCTTTGGCCCTGCCAAGCCTCGAAGAGATTCCTGAGGTGTCCCTCGTTACTAGACAGGAGTCCTGACGTCACTGAAGAAACTCGTGTTTTGAAGGGCCATCCCCGCCGTAAGTCGAGAACATACCCCAGGTCCCCGCCGCAACTCGAGAAAAACCATGAGACTTCCCCCTAGAGGCGAGATGAGGCCCCATTCCCCTGCAGTGCATGCAGAGCTATTCCGTGACCCCATTCAAACAAGTCAGGAGCTTCGACTTGCTTAATGGATCTCGAGACAGTCCCCAAGAACACTGTCACCAGTCTAGATGGAACCTGAGGTCACCCCAGCAACGCAAAGCAGCTCCATGTGCCCCAAATCAACTCGAGATGAGGCCCGATTCCCCTGCATTGACTCCAGAGCCATTCCCCGTTCCCCATTCCACACGACCGGTGGCTCGACTTCCTTCAGGCAACTCCAGAGATGCCCCGAGAACACTGTCCCAAGTCTAGAGGAACACCAACTTCAGCACAGCAACTCGAGGAATGCTCCGTGTACCCCAAATCGTCTCGAGATGCGAGCTGATTCCCTGGCTTAGGCTCAAGACGTATGCCAACTTCCCAGAAGCACCTCAGGAGGAGGCTTCTCTCAGCAATAGTTATGTGGGAGGGACCCCGAGTTTGCTGCCTCAAGGGGAATATACAGCGAAAAGCCCTAACTTGAAAGGAGGCCGGATTTCCTTGCAGTGGCTTGAATACAGGCTCGTCTTTCATCTCACAACATGAAGGGATGTCTGAATCCCCTGTGGAGACCTTAGAGAAAGCCCTAGGTCCCTGCCTCATTTTGAAGGAATGCCTCACATCCCGCTGACACCTCGAGAGGCACGCGGAGTTCATTGCTTCAAAAGGTGACGATGCCTGACTCCTCTTGAATACTGATAGGAATCCCAAAATCCCTGTGGCTACTGGAAAGGGTCCTTGGGTGCCCTGCCTCACCTCGAGAAGCGTCCCTTTGGCCCTGCCAAGCCTCGAAGAGATTCCTGAGGTGTCCCTCGTTACTAGACAGGAGTCCTGACGTCACTGAAGAAACTCGTGTTTTGAAGGGCCATCCCCGCCGTAAGTCGAGAACATACCCCAGGTCCCCGCCGCAACTCGAGAAAAACCATGAGACTTCCCCCTAGAGGCGAGATGAGGCCCCATTCCCCTGCAGTGCATGCAGAGCTATTCCGTGATCCCATTCAAACAAGTCAGGAGCTTCGACTTGCTTAATGGATCTCGAGACAGTCCCCAAGAACACTGTCACCAGTCTAGACGGACCCTGAGGTCACCCCAGCAACGCAAAGCAGCTCCATGTGCCCCAAATCAACTCGAGATGAGGCCCGATTCCCCTGCATTGACTCCAGAGCCATTCCCCGTTCCCCATTCAACACGACCGGTGGCTCGACTTCCTTCAGGCAACTCCAGAGATGCCCCGAGAACACTGTCCCAAGTCTAGAGGAACACCAACTTCAGCACAGCAACTCGAGGAATGCTCCGTGTACCCCAAATCGTCTCGAGATGAGAGCTGATTCCCTGGCTTAGGCTCAAGACGTATGCCAACTTCCCAGAAGCACCTCAGGAGGAGGCTTCTCTCAGCAATAGGTATGTGGGAGGGACCCCGAGTTTGCTGCCTCAAGGGGAATATACAGCGAGAAGCCCTAACTTGAAAGGAGGCCGGATTTCCTTGCAGTGGCTTGAATACAGGCTCGTCTTTCATCTCACAACATGAAGGGATGTCTGAATCCCCTGTGGAGACCTTAGAGAAAGCCCTAGGTCCCTGCCTCATTTTGACGGAATGCCTCACATCCCGCTGACACCTCGAGAGGCACGCGGAGTTCATTGCTTCAAAAGGTGACGATGCCTGACTCCTCTTGAATACTGATAGGAATCCCAAAATCCCTGTGGCTACTGGAAAGGGTCCTTGGGTGCCCTGCCTCACCTCGAGAAGCGTCCATTTGGCCCTGCCAAGCCTCGAAGAGATTCCTGAGGTGTCCCTCGTTACTAGACAGGAGTCCTGACGTCACTGAAGAAACTCGTGTTTTGAAGGGCCATCCCCGCCGTAAGTCGAGAACATACCCCAGGTCCCCGCCGGAACTCGAGAAAAACCATGAGACTTCCCCCTAAAGGCGAGATGAGGCCCCATTCCCCTGCAGTGCATGCAGAGCTATTCCGTGATCCCATTCAAACAAGTCAGGAGCTTCGACTTGCTTAATGGATCTCGAGACAGTCCCCAAGAACACTGTCACCAGTCTAGACGGACCCTGAGGTCACCCCAGCAACGCAAAGCAGCTCCATGTGCCCCAAATCAACTCGAGATGAGGCCCGATTCCCCTGCATTGACTCCAGAGCCATTCCCCGTTCCCCATTCAACACGACCGGTGGCTCGACTTCCTTCAGGCAACTCCAGAGATGCCGCGAGAACACTGTCCCAAGTCTAGAGGAACACCAACTTCAGCACAGCAACTCGAGGGATGCTCCGTGTACCCCAAATCGTCTCGAGATGCGAGCTGATTCCCTGGCTTAGGCTCAAGACGTATGCCAACTTCCAGAAGCACCTCAGGAGGAGGCTTCTCTCAGCAATAGGTATGTGGGAGGGACCCCGAGTTTTCTGCCTCAAGGGGAATATACAGCGAGAAGCCCTAACTTGAAAGGAGGCCGGATTTCCTTGCAGTGGCTTGAATACAGGCTCGTCTTTCATCTCACAACATGAAGGGATGTCTGAATCCCCTGTGGAGACCTTAGAGAAAGCCCTAGGTCCCTGCCTCATTTTGAAGGAATGCCTCACATCCCGCTGACACCTCGAGAGGCACGCGGAGTTCATTGCTTCAAAAGGTGACGATGCCTGACTCCTCTTGAATACTGATAGGAATCCCAAAATCCCTGTGGCTACTGGAAAGGGTCCTTGGGTGCCCTGCCTCACCTCGAGAAGCGTCCCTTTGGCCCTGCCAAGCCTCGAAGAGATTCCTGAGGTGTCCCTCGTTACTAGACAGGAGTCCTGACGTCACTGAAGAAACTCGTGTTTTGAAGGGCCATCCCCGCCGTAAGTCGAGAACATACCCCAGGTCCCCGCCGCAACTCGAGAAAAACCATGAGACTTCCCCCTAGAGGCGAGATGAGGCCCCATTCCCCTGCAGTGCATGCAGAGCTATTCCGTGATCCCATTCAAACAAGTCAGGAGCTTCGACTTGCTTAATGGATCTCGAGACAGTCCCCAAGAACACTGTCACCAGTCTAGACGGACCCTGAGGTCACCCCAGCAACGCAAAGCAGCTCCATGTGCCCCAAATCAACTCGAGATGAGGCCCGATTCCCCTGCATTGACTCCAGAGCCATTCCCCGTTCCCCATTCAACACGACCGGTGGCTCGACTTCCTTCAGGCAACTCCAGAGATGCCCCGAGAACACTGTCCCAAGTCTAGAGGAACACCAACTTCAGCACAGCAACTCGAGGAATGCTCCGTGTACCCCAAATCGTCTCGAGATGAGAGCTGATTCCCTGGCTTAGGCTCAAGACGTATGCCAACTTCCCAGAAGCACCTCAGGAGGAGGCTTCTCTCAGCAATAGGTATGTGGGAGGGACCCCGAGTTTGCTGCCTCAAGGGGAATATACAGCGAGAAGCCCTAACTTGAAAGGAGGCCGGATTTCCTTGCAGTGGCTTGAATACAGGCTCGTCTTTCATCTCACAACATGAAGGGATGTCTGAATCCCCTGTGGAGACCTTAGAGAAAGCCCTAGGTCCCTGCCTCATTTTGACGGAATGCCTCACATCCCGCTGACACCTCGAGAGGCACGCGGAGTTCATTGCTTCAAAAGGTGACGATGCCTGACTCCTCTTGAATACTGATAGGAATCCCAAAATCCCTGTGGCTACTGGAAAGGGTCCTTGGGTGCCCTGCCTCACCTCGAGAAGCGTCCATTTGGCCCTGCCAAGCCTCGAAGAGATTCCTGAGGTGTCCCTCGTTACTAGACAGGAGTCCTGACGTCACTGAAGAAACTCGTGTTTTGAAGGGCCATCCCCGCCGTAAGTCGAGAACATACCCCAGGTCCCCGCCGGAACTCGAGAAAAACCATGAGACTTCCCCCTAAAGGCGAGATGAGGCCCCATTCCCCTGCAGTGCATGCAGAGCTATTCCGTGATCCCATTCAAACAAGTCAGGAGCTTCGACTTGCTTAATGGATCTCGAGACAGTCCCCAAGAACACTGTCACCAGTCTAGACGGACCCTGAGGTCACCCCAGCAACGCAAAGCAGCTCCATGTGCCCCAAATCAACTCGAGATGAGGCCCGATTCCCCTGCATTGACTCCAGAGCCATTCCCCGTTCCCCATTCAACACGACCGGTGGCTCGACTTCCTTCAGGCAACTCCAGAGATGCCGCGAGAACACTGTCCCAAGTCTAGAGGAACACCAACTTCAGCACAGCAACTCGAGGGATGCTCCGTGTACCCCAAATCGTCTCGAGATGCGAGCTGATTCCCTGGCTTAGGCTCAAGACGTATGCCAACTTCCAGAAGCACCTCAGGAGGAGGCTTCTCTCAGCAATAGGTATGTGGGAGGGACCCCGAGTTTTCTGCCTCAAGGGGAATATACAGCGAGAAGCCCTAACTTGAAAGGAGGCCGGATTTCCTTGCAGTGGCTTGAATACAGGCTCGGCTTTCATCTCACAACATGAAGGGATGTCTGAATCCCCTGTGGAGACCTTAGAGAAAGCCCTAGGTCCCTGCCTCATTTTGACGGAATGCCTCACATCCCGCTGACACCTCGAGAGGCACGCGGAGTTCATTGCTTCAAAAGGTGACGATGCCTGACTCCTCTTGAATACTGATAGGAATCCCAAAATCCCTGTGGCTACTGGAAAGGGTCCTTGGGTGCCCTGCCTCACCTCGAGAAGCGTCCCTTTGGCCCTGCCAAGCCTCGAAGAGATTCCTGAGGTGTCCCTCGTTACTAGACAGGAGTCCTGACGTCACTGAAGAAACTCGTGTTTTGAAGGGCCATCCCCGCCGTAAGTCGAGAACATACCCCAGGTCCCCGCCGCAACTCGAGAAAAACCATGAGACTTCCCCCTAGAGGCGAGATGAGGCCCCATTCCCCTGCAGTGCATGCAGAGCTATTCCGTGACCCCATTCAAACAAGTCAGGAGCTTCGACTTGCTTAATGGATCTCGAGACAGTCCCCAAGAACACTGTCACCAGTCTAGACGGACCCTGAGGTCACCCCAGCAACGCAAAGCAGCTCCATGTGCCCCAAATCAACTCGAGATGAGGCCCGATTCCCCTGCATTGACTCCAGAGCCATTCCCCGTTCCCCATTCCACACGACCGGTGGCTCGACTTCCTTCAGGCAACTCCAGAGATGCCCCGAGAACACTGTCCCAAGTCTAGAGGAACACCAACTTCAGCACAGCAACTCGAGGAATGCTCCGTGTACCCCAAATCGTCTCGAGATGCGAGCTGATTCCCTGGCTTAGGCTCAAGACGTATGCCAACTTCCCAGAAGCACCTCAGGAGGAGGCTTCTCTCAGCAATAGGTATGTGGGAGGGACCCCGAGTTTGCTGCCTCAAGGGGAATATACAGCGAGAAGCCCTAACTTGAAAGGAGGCCGGATTTCCTTGCAGTGGCTTGAATACAGGCTCGTCTTTCATCTCACAACATGAAGGGATGTCTGAATCCCCTGTGGAGACCTTAGAGAAAGCCCTAGGTCCCTGCCTCATTTTGACGGAATGCCTCACATCCCGCTGACACCTCGAGAGGCACGCGGAGTTCATTGCTTCAAAAGGTGACGATGCCTGACTCCTCTTGAATACTGATAGGAATTCCAAAATCCCTGTGGCTACTGGAAAGGGTCCTTGGGTGCCCTGCCTCACCTCGAGAAGCGTCCCTTCGGCCCTGCCAAGCCTCGAAGAGATTCCTGAGGTGTCCCTCATTACTAGACAGGAGTCCTGACGTCACTGAAGAAACTCGTGTTTTGAAGGGCCATCCCCGCCGTAAGTCGAGAACATACCCCAGGTCCCCGCCGCAACTCGAGAAAAACCATGAGACTTCCCCCTAGAGGCGAGATGAGGCCCCATTCCCCTGCAGTGCATGCAGAGCTATTCCGTGATCCCATTCAAACAAGTCAGGAGCTTCGACTTGCTTAATGGACCTCGAGACAGTCCCCAAGAACACTGTCACCAGTCTAGACGGACCCTGAGGTCACCCCAGCAACGCAAAGCAGCTCCATGTGCCCCAAATCAACTCGAGATGAGGCCCGATTCCCCTGCATTGACTCCAGAGCCATTCCCCGTTCCCCATTCCACACGACCGGTGGCTCGACTTCCTTCAGGCAACTCCAGAGATGCCCCGAGAACACTGTCCCAAGTCTAGAGGAACACCAACTTCAGCACAGCAACTCGAGGAATGCTCCGTGTACCACAAATCGTCTCGAGATGCGAGCTGATTCCCTGGCTTAGGCTCAAGACGTATGCCAACTTCCCAGAAGCACCTCAGGAGGAGGCTTCTCTCAGCAATAGGTATGTGGGAGGGACCCCGAGTTTGCTGCCTCAAGGGGAATATACAGCGAGAAGCCCTAACTTGAAAGGAGGCCGGATTTCCTTGCAGTGGCTTGAATACAGGCTCGTCTTTCATCTCACAACATGAAGGGATGTCTGAATCCCCTGTGGAGACCTTAGAGAAAGCCCTAGGTCCCTGCCTCATTTTGACGGAATGCCTCACATCCCGCTGACACCTCGAGAGGCACGCGGAGTTCATTGCTTCAAAAGGTGACGATGCCTGACTCCTCTTGAATACTGATAGGAATCCCAAAATCACTGTGGCTACTGGAAAGGGTCCTTGGGTGCCCTGCCTCACCTCGAGAAGCGTCCCTTTGGCCCTGCCAAGCTTCGAAGAGATTCCTGAGGTGTCCCTCGTTACTAGACAGGAGTCCTGACGTCACTGAAGAATCTCGTGTTTTGAAGGGCCATCCCCGCCGTAAGTCGAGAACATACCCCAGGTCCCCGCCGCAACTCGAGGAAAACCATGAGACTTCCCCCTAGAGGCGAGATGAGGCCCCATTCCCCTGCAGTGCATGCAGAGCTATTCCGTGATCCCATTCAAACAAGTCAGGAGCTTCGACTTGCTTAATGGATCTCGAGACAGTCCCCAAGAACACTGTCACCAGTCTAGACGGACCCTGAGGTCACCCCAGCAACGCAAAGCAGCTCCATGTGCCCCAAATCAACTCGAGATGAGGCCCGATTCCCCTGCATTGACTCCAGAGCCATTCCCCGTTCCCCATTCCACACGACCGGTGGCTCGACTTCCTTCAGGCAACTCCAGAGATGCCCCGAGAACACTGTCCCAAGTCTAGAGGAACACCAACTTCAGCACAGCAACTCGAGGAATGCTCCGTGTACCCCAAATCGTCTCGAGATGCGAGCTGATTCCCTGGCTTAGGCTCAAGACGTATGCCAACTTCCCAGAAGCACCTCAGGAGGAGGCTTCTCTCAGCAATAGGTATGTGGGAGGGACCCCGAGTTTGCTGCCTCAAGGGGAATATACAGCGAGAAGCCCGAACTTGAAAGGAGGCCGGATTTCCTTGCAGTGGCTTGAATACAGGCTCGTCTTTCATCTCACAACATGAAGGGATGTCTGAATCCCCTGTGGAGACCTTAGAGAAAGCCCTAGGTCCCTGCCTCATTTTGACGGAATGCCTCACATCCCGCTGACACCTCGAGAGGCACGCGGAGTTCATTGCTTCAAAAGGTGACGATGCCTGACTCCTCTTGAATACTGATAGGAATCCCAAAATCCCTGTGGCTACTGGAAAGGGTCCTTGGGTGCCCTGCCTCACCTCGAGAAGCGTCCCTTTGGCCCTGCCAAGCCTCGAAGAGATTCCTGAGGTGTCCCTCGTTACTAGACAGGAGTCCTGACGTCACTGAAGAAACTCGTGTTTTGAAGGGCCATCCCCGCCGTAAGTCGAGAACATACCCCAGGTCCCCGCCGCAACTCGAGAAAAACCATGAGACTTCCCCCTAGAGGCGAGATGAGGCCCCATTCCCCTGCAGTGCATGCAGAGCTATTCCGTGATCCCATTCAAACAAGTCAGGAGCTTCGACTTGCTTAATGGATCTCGAGACAGTCCCCAAGAACACTGTCACCAGTCTAGACGGACCCTGAGGTCACCCCAGCAACGCAAAGCAGCTCCATGTGCCCCAAATCAACTCGAGATGAGGCCCGATTCCCCTGCATTGACTCCAGAGCCATTCCCCGTTCCGCATTCCACACGACCGGTGGCTCGAATTCCTTCAGGCAACTCCAGAGATGCCCCGAGAACACTGTCCCAAGTCTAGAGGAACACCAACTTCATCACAGCAGCTCGAGGAATGCTCTGTCTACCCCAAATCGTCTCGAGATGCGAGCTGATTCCCTGGCTTAGGCTCAAGACGTATGCCAACTTCCCAGAAGCACCTCAGGAGGAGGCTTCTCTCAGCAATAGGTATGTGGGAGGGACCCCGAGTTTGCTGCCTCAAGGGGAATATACAGCGAGAAGCCGTAACTTGAAAGGAGGCCGGATTTCCTTGCAGTGGCTTGAATACAGGCTCGTCTTTCATCTCACAACATGAAGGGATGTCTGAATCCCCTGTGGAGACCTTAGAGAAAGCCCTAGGTCCCTGCCTCATTTTGACGGAATGCCTCACATCCCGCTGACACCTCGAGAGGCACGCGGAGTTCATTGCTTCAAAAGGTGACGATGCCTGACTCCTCTTGAATACTGATAGGAATCCCAAAATCCCTGTGGCTACTGGAAAGGGTCCTTGGGTGCCCTGCCTCACCTCGAGAAGTGTCCCTTTGGCCCTGCCAAGCCTCGAAGAGATTCCTGAGGTGTCCCTCGTTACTAGACAGGAGTCCTGACGTCACTGAAGAAACTCGTGTTTTGAAGGGCCATCCCCGCCGTAAGTCGAGAACATACCCCAGGTCCCCGCCGCAACTCGAGAAAAACCATGAGACTTCCCCCTAGAGGCGAGATGAGGCCCCATTCCCCTGCAGTGCATGCAGAGCTATTCCGTGACCCCATTCAAACAAGTCAGGAGCTTCGACTTGCTTAATGGATCTCGAGACAGTCCCCAAGAACACTGTCACCAGTCTAGACGGACCCTGAGGTCACCCCAGCAACGCAAAGCAACTCCATGTGCCCCAAATCAACTCGAGATGAGGCCCGATTCCCCTGCATTGACTCCAGAGCCATTCCCCGTTCCCCATTCCACACGACCGGTGGCTCGACTTCCTTCAGGCAACTCCAGAGATGCCCCGAGAACACTGTCCCAAGTCTAGAGGAACACCAACTTCAGCACAGCAACTCGAGGAATGCTCCGTGTACCCCAAATCGTCTCGAGATGCGAGCTGATTCCCTGGCTTAAGCTCAAGACGTATGCCAACTTCCCAGAAGCACCTCAGGAGGAGGCTTCTCTCAGCAATAGGTATGTGGGAGGGACCCCGAGTTTGCTGCCTCAAGGGGAATATACAGCGAGAAGCCCTAACTTGAAAGGAGGCCAGATTTCCTTGCAGTGGCTTGAATACAGGCTCGTCTTTCATCTCACAACATGAAGGGATGTCTGAATCCCCTGTGGAGACCTTAGAGAAAGCCCTAGGTCCCTGCCTCATTTTGACGGAATGCCTCACATCCCGCTGACACCTCGAGAGGCACGCGGAGTTCATTGCTTCAAAAGGTGACGATGCCTGACTCCTCTTGAATACTGATAGGAATCCCAAAATCCCTGTGGCTACTGGAAAGGGTCCTTGGGTGCCCTGCCTCACCTCGAGAAGCGTCCCTTTGGCCCTGCCAAGCCTCGAAGAGATTCCTGAGGTGTCCCTCGTTACTAGACAGGAGTCCTGACGTCACTGAAGAAACTCGTGTTTTGAAGGGCCATCCCCGCCGTAAGTCGAGAACATACCCCAGGTCCCCGCCGCAACTCGAGAAAAACCATGAGACTTCCCCCTAGAGGCGAGATGAGGCCCCATTCCCCTGCAGTGCATGCAGAGCTATTCCGTGATCCCATTCAAACAAGTCAGGAGCTTCGACTTGCTTAATGGATCTCGAGACAGTCCCCAAGAACACTGTCACCAGTCTAGACGGACCCTGAGGTCACCCCAGCAACGCAAAGCAGCTCCATGTGCCCCAAATCAACTCGAGATGAGGCCCGATTCCCCTGCATTGACTCCAGAGCCATTCCCCGTTCCCCATTCAACACGACCGGTGGCTCGACTTCCTTCAGGCAACTCCAGAGATGCCGCGAGAACACTGTCCCAAGTCTAGAGGAACACCAACTTCAGCACAGCAACTCGAGGGATGCTCCGTGTACCCCAAATCGTCTCGAGATGCGAGCTGATTCCCTGGCTTAGGCTCAAGACGTATGCCAACTTCCAGAAGCACCTCAGGAGGAGGCTTCTCTCAGCAATAGGTATGTGGGAGGGACCCCGAGTTTGCTGCCTCAAGGGGAATATACAGCGAGAAGCCCTAACTTGAAAGGAGGCCGGATTTCCTTGCAGTGGCTTGAATACAGGCTCGTCTTTCATCTCACAACATGAAGGGATGTCTGAATCCCCTGTGGAGACCTTAGAGAAAGCCCTAGGTCCCTGCCTCATTTTGACGGAATGCCTCACATCCCGCTGACACCTCGAGAGGCACGCGGAGTTCATTGCTTCAAAAGGTGACGATGCCTGACTCCTCTTGAATACTGATAGGAATCCCAAAATCCCTGTGGCTACTGGAAAGGGTCCTTGGGTGCCCTGCCTCACCTCGAGAAGCGTCCCTTTGGCCCTGCCAAGCCTCGAAGAGATTCCTGAGGTGTCCCTCGTTACTAGACAGGAGTCCTGACGTCACTGAAAAAACTCGTGTTTTGAAGGGCCATCCCCGCCGTAAGTCGAGAACATACCCCAGGTCCCCGCCGCAACTCGAGAAAAACCATGAGACTTCCCCCTAGAGGCGAGATGAGGCCCCATTCCCCTGCAGTGCATGCAGAGCTATTCCGTGACCCCATTCAAACAAGTCAGGAGCTTCGACTTGCTTAATGGATCTCGAGACAGTCCCCAAGAACACTGTCACCAGTCTAGACGGACCCTGAGGTCACCCCAGCAACGCAAAGCAGCTCCATGTGCCCCAAATCAACTCGAGATGAGGCCCGATTCCCCTGCATTGACTCCAGAGCCATTCCCCGTTCCCCATTCAACACGACCGGTGGCTCGACTTCCTTCAGGCAACTCCAGAGATGCCCCGAGAACACTGTCCCAAGTCTAGAGGAACACCAACTTCAGCACAGCAACTCGAGGAATGCTCCGTGTACCCCAAATCATCTCAAGATGCGAGCTGATTCCCTGGCTTAGGCTCAAGACGTATGCCAACTTCCCAGAAGCACCTCAGGAGGAGGCTTCTCTCAGCAATAGGTATGTGGGTGGGACCCCGAGTTTGCTGCCTCAAGGGGAATATACAGCAAGAAGCCCTAACTTGAAAGGAGGCCGGATTTCCTTGCAGTGGCTTGAATACAGGCTCGTCTTTCATCTCACAACATGAAGGGATGTCTGAATCCCCTGTGGAGACCTTAGAGAAAGCCCTAGGTCCCTGCCTCATTTTGACGGAATGCCTCACATCCCGCTGACACCTCGAGAGGCACGCGGAGTTCATTGCTTCAAAAGGTGACGATGCCTGACTCCTCTTGAATACTGATAGGAATCCCAAAATCCCTGTGGCTACTGGAAAGGGTCCTTGGGTGCCCTGCCTCACCTCGAGAAGCGTCCCTTTGGCCCTGCCAAGCCTCCAAGAGATTCCTGAGGTGTCCCTCGTTACTAGACAGGAGTCCTGACGTCACTGAAGAAACTCGTGTTTTGAAGGGCCATCCCCGCCGTAAGTCGAGAACATACCCCAGGTCCCCGCCGCAACTCGAGAAAAACCATGAGACTTCCCCCTAGAGGCGAGATGAGGCCCCATTCCCCTGCAGTGCATGCAGAGCTATTCCGTGATCCCATTCAAACAAGTCAGGAGCTTCGACTTGCTTAATGGATCTCGAGACAGTCCCCAAGAACACTGTCACCAGTCTAGACGGACCCTGAGGTCACCCCAGCAACGCAAAGCAGCTCCATGTGCCCCAAATCAACTCGAGATGAGGCCCGATTCCCCTGCATTGACTCCAGAGCCATTCCCCGTTCCCCATTCCACACGACCGGTGGCTCGACTTCCTTCAGGCAACTCCAGAGATGCCCCGAGAACACTGTCCCAAGTCTAGAGGAACACCAACTTCAGCACAGCAACTCGAGGAATGCTCCGTGTACCCCAAATCGTCTCGAGATGCGAGCTGATTCCCTGGCTTAGGCTCAAGACGTATGCCAACTTCCCAGAAGCACCTCAGGAGGAGGCTTCTCTCAGCAATAGGTATGTGGGAGGGACCCCGAGTTTGCTTCCTCAAGGGGAATATACAGCGAGAAGCCCTAACTTGAAAGGAGGCCGGATTTCCTTGCAGTGGCTTGAATACAGGCTCGTCTTTCATCTCACAACATGAAGGGATGTCTGAATCCCCTGTGGAGACCTTAGAGAAAGCCCTAGGTCCCTGCCTCATTTTGACGGAATGCCTCACATCCCGCTGACACCTCGAGAGGCACGCGGAGTTCATTGCTTCAAAAGGTGACGATGCCTGACTCCTCTTGAATACTGATAGGAATCCCAAAATCCCTGTGGCTACTGGAAAGGGTCCTTGGGTGCCCTGCCTCACCTCGAGAAGCGTCCCTTTGGCCCTGCCAAGCCTCGAAGAGATTCCTGAGGTGTCCCTCGTTACTAGACAGGAGTCCTGACGTCACTGAAGAAACTCGTGTTTTGAAGGGCCATCCCCGCCGTAAGTCGAGAACATACCCCTGGTCCCCGCCGCAACTCGAGAAAAACCATGAGACTTCCCCCTAGAGGCGAGATGAGGCCCCATTCCCCTGCAGTGCATGCAGAGCTATTCCGTGACCCCATTCAAACAAGTCAGGAGCTTCGACTTGCTTAATGGATCTCGAGACAGTCCCCAAGAACACTGTCACCAGTCTAGACGGACCCTGAGGTCACCCCAGCAACGCAAAGCAGCTCCATGTGCCCCAAATCAACTCGAGATGAGGCCCGATTCCCCTGCATTGACTCCAGAGCCATTCCCCGTTCCCCATTCCACACGACCGGTGGCTCAACTTCCTTCAGGCAACTCCAGAGATGCCCCGAGAACACTGTCCCAAGTCTAGAGGAACACCAACTTCAGCACAGCAACTCGAGGAATGCTCCGTGTACCCCAAATCGTCTCGAGATGCGAGCTGATTCCCTGGCTTAGGCTCAAGACGTATGCCAACTTCCCAGAAGCACCTCAGGAGGAGGCTTCTCTCAGCAATAGGTATGTGGGAGGGACCCCGAGTTTACTGCCTCAAGGGGAATATACAGCGAGAAGCCCTAACTTGAAAGGAGGCCGGATTTCCTTGCAGTGGCTTGAATACAGGCTCGTCTTTCATCTCACAACATGAAGGGATGTCTGAATCCCCTGTGGAGACCTTAGAGAAAGCCCTAGGTCCCTGCCTCATTTTGACGGAATGCCTCACATCCCGCTGACACCTCGAGAGGCACGCGGAGTTCATTGCTTCAAAAGGTGACGATGCCTGACTCCTCTTGAATACTGATAGGAATCCCAAAATCCCTGTGGCTACTGGAAAGGGTCCTTGGGTGCCCTGCCTCACCTCGAGAAGCGTCCCTTTGGCCCTGCCAAGCCTCGAAGAGATTCCTGAGGTGTCCCTCGTTACTAGACAGGAGTCCTGACGTCACTGAAGAAACTCGTGTTTTGAAGGGCCATCCCCGCCGTAAGTCGAGAACATACCCCAGGTCCCCGCCGGAACTCGAGAAAAACCATGAGACTTCCCCCTAGAGGCGAGATGAGGCCCCATTCCCCTGCAGTGCATGCAGAGCTATTCCGTGATCCCATTCAAACAAGTCAGGAGCTTCGACTTGCTTAATGGATCTCGAGACAGTCCCCAAGAACACTGTCACCAGTCTAGACGGACCCTGAGGTCACCCCAGCAACGCAAAGCAGCTCCATGTGCCCCAAATCAACTCGAGATGAGGCCCGATTCCCCTGCATTGACTCCAGAGCCATTCCCCGTTCCCCATTCAACACGACCGGTGGCTCGACTTCCTTCAGGCAACTCCAGAGATGCCCCGAGAACACTGTCCCAAGTCTAGAGGAACACCAACTTCAGCACAGCAACTCGAGGAATGCTCCGTGTACCCCAAATCGTCCAGAGATGCGAGCTGATTCCCTGGCTTAGGCTCAAGACGTATGCCAACTTCCCAGAAGCACCTCAGGAGGAGGCTTCTCTCAGCAATAGGTATGTGGGAGGGACCCCGAGTTTGCTGCCTCAAGGGGAATATACAGCGAGAAGCCCTAACTTGAAAGGAGGCCGGATTTCCTTGCAGTGGCTTGAATACAGGCTCGTCTTTCATCTCACAACATGAAGGGATGTCTGAATCCCCTGTGGAGACCTTAGAGAAAGCCCTAGGTCCCTGCCTCATTTTGACGGAATGCCTCACATCCCGCTGACACCTCGAGAGGCACGCGGAGTTCATTGCTTCAAAAGGTGACGATGCCTGACTCCTCTTGAATACTGATAGGAATCCCAAAATCCCTGTGGCTACTGGAAAGGGTCCTTGGGTGCCCTGCCTCACCTCGAGAAGCGTCCCTTTGGCCCTGCCAAGCCTCGAAGAGATTCCTGAGGTGTCCCTCGTTACTAGACAGGAGTCCTGACGTCACTGAAGAAACTCGTGTTTTGAAGGGCCATCCCCGCCGTAAGTCGAGAACATACCCCAGGTCCCCGCCGCAAATCGAGAAAAACCATGAGACTTCCCCGTAGAGGCGAGATGAGGCCCCATTCCCCTGCAGTGCATGCAGAGCTATTCCGTGACCCCATTCAAACAAGTCAGGAGCTTCGACTTGCTTAATGGATCTCGAGACAGTCCCCAAGAACACTGTCACCAGTCTAGACGGAACCTGAGGTCATCCCAGCAACGCAAAGCAGCTCCATGTGCCCCAAATCAACTCGAGATGAGGCCCGATTCCCCTGCATTGACTCCAGAGCCATTCCCCGTTCCCCATTCCACACGACCGGTGCCTCGACTTCCTTCAGGCAACTCCAGAGATGCCCCGAGAACACTGTCCCAAGTCTAGAGGAACACCAACTTCAGCACAGCAACTCGAGGAATGCTCCGTGTACCCCAAATCGTCCCGAGATGCGAGCTGATTCCCTGGCTTAGGCTCAAGACGTATGCCAACTTCCCAGAAGCACCTCAGGAGGAGGCTTCTCTCAGCAATAGGTATGTGGGAGGGACCCCGAGTTTGCTGCCTCAAGGGGAATATACAGCGAGAAGCCCTAACTTGAAAGGAGGCCGGATTTCCTTGCAGTGGCTTGAATACAGGCTCGTCTTTCATCTCACAACATGAAGGGATGTCTGAATCCCCTGTGGAGACCTTAGAGAAAGCCCTAGGTCCCTGCCTCATTTTGACGGAATGCCTCACATCCCGCTGACACCTCGAGAGGCACGCGGAGTTCATTGCTTCAAAAGGTGACGATGCCTGACTCCTCTTGAATACTGATAGGAATCCCAAAATCCCTGTGGCTACTGGAAAGGGTCCTTGGGTGCCCTGCCTCACCTCGAGAAGCGTCCCTTTGGCCCTGCCAAGCCTCGAAGAGATTCCTGAGGTGTCCCTCGTTACTAGACAGGAGTCCTGACGTCACTGAAGAAACTCGTGTTTTGAAGGGCCATCCCCGCCGTAAGTCGAGAACATACCCCAGGTCCCCGCCGCAACTCGAGAAAAACCATGAGACTTCCCCGTAGAGGCGAGATGAGGCCCCATTCCCCTGCAGTGCATGCAGAGCTATTCCGTGACCCCATTCAAACAAGTCAGGAGCTTCGACTTGCTTAATGGATCTCGAGACAGTCCCCAAGAACACTGTCACCAGTCTAGACGGACCCTGAGGTCTCCCCAGCAACGCAAAGCAGCTCCATGTGCCCCAAATCAACTCGAGATGAGGCCCGATTCCCCTGCATTGACTCCAGAGCCATTCCCCGTTCCCCATTCCACACGACCGGTGGCTCGACTTCCTTCAGGCAACTCCAGAGATGCCCCGAGAACACTGTCCCAAGTCTAGAGGAACACCAACTTCAGCACAGCAACTCGAGGAATGCTCCGTGTACCACAAATCATCTCGAGATGCGAGCTGATACCCTGGCTTAGGCTCAAGACGTATGCCAACTTCCCAGAAGCACCTCAGGAGGAGGCTTCTCTCAGCAATAGGTATGTGGGAGGGACCCCGAGTTTGCTGCCTCAAGGGGAATATACAGCGAGAAGCCCTAACTTGAAAGGAGGCCGGATTTCCTTGCAGTGGCTTGAATACAGGCTCGTCTTTCATCTCACAACATGAAGGGATGTCTGAATCCCCTGTGGAGACCTTAGAGAAAGCCCTAGGTCCCTGCCTCATTTTGACGGAATGCCTCACATCCCGCTGACACCTCGAGAGGCACGCGGAGTTCATTGCTTCAAAAGGTGACGATGCCTGACTCCTCTTGAATACTGATAGGAATCCCAAAATCCCTGTGGCTACTGGAAAGGGTCCTTGGGTGCCCTGCCTCACCTCGAGAAGCGTCCCTTTGGCCCTGCCAAGCCTCGAAGAGATTCCTGAGGTGTCCGTCGTTACTAGACAGGAGTCCTACTGTCACTGAAGAAACTCGTGTTTTGAAGGGCCATCCCCGCCGTAAGTCGAGAACATACCCCAGGTCCCCGCCGCAACTCGAGAAAAACCATGAGACTTCCCCCTAGAGGCGAGATGAGGCCCCATTCCCCTGCAGTGCATGCAGAGCTATTCCGTGATCCCATTCAAACAAGTCAGGAGCTTCGACTTGCTTAATGGATCTCGAGACAGTCCCCAAGAACACTGTCACCAGTCTAGACGGACCCTGAGGTCACCCCAGCAACGCAAAGCAGCTCCATGTGCCCCAAATCAACTCGAGATGAGGCCCGATTCCCCTGCATTGACTCCAGAGCCATTCCCCGTTCCCCATTCAACACGACCGGTGGCTCGACTTCCTTCAGGCAACTCCAGAGATGCCCCGAGAACACTGTCCCAAGTCTAGAGGAACACCAACTTCAGCACAGCAGCTCGAGGAATGCTCCGTGTACCCCAAATCGTCTCGAGATGCGAGCTGATTCCCTGGCTTAGGCTCAAGACGTATGCCAACTTCCCAGAAGCACCTCAGGAGGAGGCTTCTCTCAGCAATAGGTATGTGGGAGGGACCCCGAGTTTGCTGCCTCAAGGGGAATATACAGCGAGAAGCCCTAACTTGAAAGGAGGCCGGATTTCCTTGCAGTGGCTTGAATACAGGCTCGTCTTTCATCTCACAACATGAAGGGATGTCTGAATCCCCTGTGGAGACCTTAGAGAAAGCCCTAGGTCCCTGCCTCATTTTGAAGGAATGCCTCACATCCCGCTGACACCTCGAGAGGCACGCGGAGTTCATTGCTTCAAAAGGTGACGATGCCTGACTCCTCTTGAATACTGATAGGAATCCCAAAATCCCTGTGGCTACTGGAAAGGGTCCTTGGGTGCCCTGCCTCACCTCGAGAAGCGTCCCTTTGGCCCTGCCAAGCCTCGAAGAGATTCCTGAGGTGTCCCTCGTTACTAGACAGGAGTCCTGACGTCACTGAAGAAACTCGTGTTTTGAAGGGCCATCCCCGCCGTAAGTCGAGAACATACCCCAGGTCCCCGCCGCAACTCGAGAAAAACCATGAGACTTCCCCCTAGAGGCGAGATGAGGCCCCATTCCCCTGCAGTGCATGCAGAGCTATTCCGTGATCCCATTCAAACAAGTCAGGAGCTTCGACTTGCTTAATGGATCTCGAGACAGTCCCCAAGAACACTGTCACCAGTCTAGACGGACCCTGAGGTCACCCCAGCAACGCAAAGCAGCTCCATGTGCCCCAAATCAACTCGAGATGAGGCCCGATTCCCCTGCATTGACTCCAGAGCCATTCCCCGTTCCCCATTCAACACGACCGGTGGCTCGACTTCCTTCAGGCAACTCCAGAGATGCCCCGAGAACACTGTCCCAAGTCTAGAGGAACACCAACTTCAGCACAGCAACTCGAGGAATACTCCGTGTACCCCAAATCGTCCAGAGATGCGAGCTGATTCCCTGGCTTAGGCTCAAGACGTATGCCAACTTCCCAGAAGCACCTCAGGAGGAGGCTTCTCTCAGCAATAGGTATGTGGGAGGGACCCCGAGTTTGCTGCCTCAAGGGGAATATACAGCGAGAAGCCCTAACTTGAAAGGAGGCCGGATTTCCTTGCAGTGGCTTGAATACAGGCTCGTCTTTCATCTCACAACATGAAGGGATGTCTGAATCCCCTGTGGAGACCTTAGAGAAAGCCCTAGGTCCCTGCCTCATTTTGACGGAATGCCTCACATCCCGCTGACACCTCGAGAGGCACGCGGAGTTCATTGCTTCAAAAGGTGACGATGCCTGACTCCTCTTGAATACTGATAGGAATCCCAAAATCCCTGTGGCTACTGGAAAGGGTCCTTGGGTGCCCTGCCTCACCTCGAGAAGCGTCCCTTTGGCCCTGCCAAGCCTCGAAGAGATTCCTGAGGTGTCCCTCGTTACTAGACAGGAGTCCTGACGTCACTGAAGAAACTCGTGTTTTGAAGGGCCATCCCCGCCGAAAGTCGAGAACATACCCCAGATCCCCGCCGCAACTCGAGAAAAACCATGAGACTTCCCCGTAGAGGCGAGATGAGGCCCCATTCCCCTGCAGTGCATGCAGAGCTATTCCGTGACCCCATTCAAACAAGTCAGGAGCTTCGACTTGCTTAATGGATCTCGAGACAGTCCCCAAGAACACTGTCACCAGTCTAGACGGAACCTGAGGTCATCCCAGCAACGCAAAGCAGCTCCATGTGCCCCAAATCAACTCGAGATGAGGCCCGATTCCCCTGCATTGACTCCAGAGCCATTCCCCGTTCCCCATTCCACACGACCGGTGGCTCGACTTCCTTCAGGCAACTCCAGAGATGCCCCGAGAACACTGTCCCAAGTCTAGAGGAACACCAACTTCAGCACAGCAACTCGAGGAATGCTCCGTGTACCCCAAATCGTCCCGAGATGCGAGCTGATTCCCTGGCTTAGGCTCAAGACGTATGCCAACTTCCCAGAAGCACCTCAGGAGGAGGCTTCTCTCAGCAATAGGTATGTGGGAGGGACCCCGAGTTTGCTGCCTCAAGGGGAATATACAGCGAGAAGCCCTAACTTGAAAGGAGGCCGGATTTCCTTGCAGTGGCTTGAATACAGGCTCGTCTTTCATCTCACAACATGAAGGGATGTCTGAATCCCCTGTGGAGACCTTAGAGAAAGCCCTAGGTCCCTGCCTCATTTTGACGGAATGCCTCACATCCCGCTGACACCTCGAGAGGCACGCGGAGTTCATTGCTTCAAAAGGTGACGATGCCTGACTCCTCTTGAATACTGATAGGAATCCCAAAATCCCTGTGGCTACTGGAAAGGGTCCTTGGGTGCCCTGCCTCACCTCGAGAAGCGTCCCTTTGGCCCTGCCAAGCCTCGAAGAGATTCCTGAGGTGTCCCTCGTTACTAGACAGGAGTCCTGACGTCACTGAAGAAACTCGTGTTTTGAAGGGCCATCCCCGCCGTAAGTCGAGAACATACCCCAGGTCCCCGCCGCAACTCGAGAAAAACCATGAGACTTCCCCCTAGAGGCGAGATGAGGCCCCATTCCCCTGCAGTGCATGCAGAGCTATTCCGTGACCCCATTCAAACAAGTCAGGAGCTTCGACTTGCTTAATGGATCTCGAGACAGTCCCCAAGAACACTGTCACCAGTCTAGATGGAACCTGAGGTCACCCCAGCAACGCAAAGCAGCTCCATGTGCCCCAAATCAACTCGAGATGAGGCCCGATTCCCCTGCATTGACTCCAGAGCCATTCCCCGTTCCCCATTCCACACGACCGGTGGCTCGACTTCCTTCAGGCAACTCCAGAGATGCCCCGAGAACACTGTCCCAAGTCTAGAGGAACACCAACTTCAGCACAGCAACTCGAGGAATGCTCCGTGTACCCCAAATCGTCTCGAGATGCGAGCTGATTCCCTGGCTTAGGCTCAAGACGTATGCCAACTTCCCAGAAGCACCTCAGGAGGAGGCTTCTCTCAGCAATAGTTATGTGGGAGGGACCCCGAGTTTGCTGCCTCAAGGGGAATATACAGCGAAAAGCCCTAACTTGAAAGGAGGCCGGATTTCCTTGCAGTGGCTTGAATACAGGCTCGTCTTTCATCTCACAACATGAAGGGATGTCTGAATCCCCTGTGGAGACCTTAGAGAAAGCCCTAGGTCCCTGCCTCATTTTGAAGGAATGCCTCACATCCCGCTGACACCTCGAGAGGCACGCGGAGTTCATTGCTTCAAAAGGTGACGATGCCTGACTCCTCTTGAATACTGATAGGAATCCCAAAATCCCTGTGGCTACTGGAAAGGGTCCTTGGGTGCCCTGCCTCACCTCGAGAAGCGTCCCTTTGGCCCTGCCAAGCCTCGAAGAGATTCCTGAGGTGTCCCTCGTTACTAGACAGGAGTCCTGACGTCACTGAAGAAACTCGTGTTTTGAAGGGCCATCCCCGCCGTAAGTCGAGAACATACCCCAGGTCCCCGCCGCAACTCGAGAAAAACCATGAGACTTCCCCCTAGAGGCGAGATGAGGCCCCATTCCCCTGCAGTGCATGCAGAGCTATTCCGTGATCCCATTCAAACAAGTCAGGAGCTTCGACTTGCTTAATGGATCTCGAGACAGTCCCCAAGAACACTGTCACCAGTCTAGACGGACCCTGAGGTCACCCCAGCAACGCAAAGCAGCTCCATGTGCCCCAAATCAACTCGAGATGAGGCCCGATTCCCCTGCATTGACTCCAGAGCCATTCCCCGTTCCCCATTCAACACGACCGGTGGCTCGACTTCCTTCAGGCAACTCCAGAGATGCCCCGAGAACACTGTCCCAAGTCTAGAGGAACACCAACTTCAGCACAGCAACTCGAGGAATGCTCCGTGTACCCCAAATCGTCTCGAGATGAGAGCTGATTCCCTGGCTTAGGCTCAAGACGTATGCCAACTTCCCAGAAGCACCTCAGGAGGAGGCTTCTCTCAGCAATAGGTATGTGGGAGGGACCCCGAGTTTGCTGCCTCAAGGGGAATATACAGCGAGAAGCCCTAACTTGAAAGGAGGCCGGATTTCCTTGCAGTGGCTTGAATACAGGCTCGTCTTTCATCTCACAACATGAAGGGATGTCTGAATCCCCTGTGGAGACCTTAGAGAAAGCCCTAGGTCCCTGCCTCATTTTGACGGAATGCCTCACATCCCGCTGACACCTCGAGAGGCACGCGGAGTTCATTGCTTCAAAAGGTGACGATGCCTGACTCCTCTTGAATACTGATAGGAATCCCAAAATCCCTGTGGCTACTGGAAAGGGTCCTTGGGTGCCCTGCCTCACCTCGAGAAGCGTCCATTTGGCCCTGCCAAGCCTCGAAGAGATTCCTGAGGTGTCCCTCGTTACTAGACAGGAGTCCTGACGTCACTGAAGAAACTCGTGTTTTGAAGGGCCATCCCCGCCGTAAGTCGAGAACATACCCCAGGTCCCCGCCGGAACTCGAGAAAAACCATGAGACTTCCCCCTAAAGGCGAGATGAGGCCCCATTCCCCTGCAGTGCATGCAGAGCTATTCCGTGATCCCATTCAAACAAGTCAGGAGCTTCGACTTGCTTAATGGATCTCGAGACAGTCCCCAAGAACACTGTCACCAGTCTAGACGGACCCTGAGGTCACCCCAGCAACGCAAAGCAGCTCCATGTGCCCCAAATCAACTCGAGATGAGGCCCGATTCCCCTGCATTGACTCCAGAGCCATTCCCCGTTCCCCATTCAACACGACCGGTGGCTCGACTTCCTTCAGGCAACTCCAGAGATGCCGCGAGAACACTGTCCCAAGTCTAGAGGAACACCAACTTCAGCACAGCAACTCGAGGGATGCTCCGTGTACCCCAAATCGTCTCGAGATGCGAGCTGATTCCCTGGCTTAGGCTCAAGACGTATGCCAACTTCCAGAAGCACCTCAGGAGGAGGCTTCTCTCAGCAATAGGTATGTGGGAGGGACCCCGAGTTTTCTGCCTCAAGGGGAATATACAGCGAGAAGCCCTAACTTGAAAGGAGGCCGGATTTCCTTGCAGTGGCTTGAATACAGGCTCGTCTTTCATCTCACAACATGAAGGGATGTCTGAATCCCCTGTGGAGACCTTAGAGAAAGCCCTAGGTCCCTGCCTCATTTTGAAGGAATGCCTCACATCCCGCTGACACCTCGAGAGGCACGCGGAGTTCATTGCTTCAAAAGGTGACGATGCCTGACTCCTCTTGAATACTGATAGGAATCCCAAAATCCCTGTGGCTACTGGAAAGGGTCCTTGGGTGCCCTGCCTCACCTCGAGAAGCGTCCCTTTGGCCCTGCCAAGCCTCGAAGAGATTCCTGAGGTGTCCCTCGTTACTAGACAGGAGTCCTGACGTCACTGAAGAAACTCGTGTTTTGAAGGGCCATCCCCGCCGTAAGTCGAGAACATACCCCAGGTCCCCGCCGCAACTCGAGAAAAACCATGAGACTTCCCCCTAGAGGCGAGATGAGGCCCCATTCCCCTGCAGTGCATGCAGAGCTATTCCGTGACCCCATTCAAACAAGTCAGGAGCTTCGACTTGCTTAATGGATCTCGAGACAGTCCCCAAGAACACTGTCACCAGTCTAGATGGAACCTGAGGTCACCCCAGCAACGCAAAGCAGCTCCATGTGCCCCAAATCAACTCGAGATGAGGCCCGATTCCCCTGCATTGACTCCAGAGCCATTCCCCGTTCCCCATTCCACACGACCGGTGGCTCGACTTCCTTCAGGCAACTCCAGAGATGCCCCGAGAACACTGTCCCAAGTCTAGAGGAACACCAACTTCAGCACAGCAACTCGAGGAATGCTCCGTGTACCCCAAATCGTCTCGAGATGCGAGCTGATTCCCTGGCTTAGGCTCAAGACGTATGCCAACTTCCCAGAAGCACCTCAGGAGGAGGCTTCTCTCAGCAATAGTTATGTGGGAGGGACCCCGAGTTTGCTGCCTCAAGGGGAATATACAGCGAAAAGCCCTAACTTGAAAGGAGGCCGGATTTCCTTGCAGTGGCTTGAATACAGGCTCGTCTTTCATCTCACAACATGAAGGGATGTCTGAATCCCCTGTGGAGACCTTAGAGAAAGCCCTAGGTCCCTGCCTCATTTTGAAGGAATGCCTCACATCCCGCTGACACCTCGAGAGGCACGCGGAGTTCATTGCTTCAAAAGGTGACGATGCCTGACTCCTCTTGAATACTGATAGGAATCCCAAAATCCCTGTGGCTACTGGAAAGGGTCCTTGGGTGCCCTGCCTCACCTCGAGAAGCGTCCCTTTGGCCCTGCCAAGCCTCGAAGAGATTCCTGAGGTGTCCCTCGTTACTAGACAGGAGTCCTGACGTCACTGAAGAAACTCGTGTTTTGAAGGGCCATCCCCGCCGTAAGTCGAGAACATACCCCAGGTCCCCGCCGCAACTCGAGAAAAACCATGAGACTTCCCCCTAGAGGCGAGATGAGGCCCCATTCCCCTGCAGTGCATGCAGAGCTATTCCGTGATCCCATTCAAACAAGTCAGGAGCTTCGACTTGCTTAATGGATCTCGAGACAGTCCCCAAGAACACTGTCACCAGTCTAGACGGACCCTGAGGTCACCCCAGCAACGCAAAGCAGCTCCATGTGCCCCAAATCAACTCGAGATGAGGCCCGATTCCCCTGCATTGACTCCAGAGCCATTCCCCGTTCCCCATTCAACACGACCGGTGGCTCGACTTCCTTCAGGCAACTCCAGAGATGCCCCGAGAACACTGTCCCAAGTCTAGAGGAACACCAACTTCAGCACAGCAACTCGAGGAATGCTCCGTGTACCCCAAATCGTCTCGAGATGAGAGCTGATTCCCTGGCTTAGGCTCAAGACGTATGCCAACTTCCCAGAAGCACCTCAGGAGGAGGCTTCTCTCAGCAATAGGTATGTGGGAGGGACCCCGAGTTTGCTGCCTCAAGGGGAATATACAGCGAGAAGCCCTAACTTGAAAGGAGGCCGGATTTCCTTGCAGTGGCTTGAATACAGGCTCGTCTTTCATCTCACAACATGAAGGGATGTCTGAATCCCCTGTGGAGACCTTAGAGAAAGCCCTAGGTCCCTGCCTCATTTTGACGGAATGCCTCACATCCCGCTGACACCTCGAGAGGCACGCGGAGTTCATTGCTTCAAAAGGTGACGATGCCTGACTCCTCTTGAATACTGATAGGAATCCCAAAATCCCTGTGGCTACTGGAAAGGGTCCTTGGGTGCCCTGCCTCACCTCGAGAAGCGTCCATTTGGCCCTGCCAAGCCTCGAAGAGATTCCTGAGGTGTCCCTCGTTACTAGACAGGAGTCCTGACGTCACTGAAGAAACTCGTGTTTTGAAGGGCCATCCCCGCCGTAAGTCGAGAACATACCCCAGGTCCCCGCCGGAACTCGAGAAAAACCATGAGACTTCCCCCTAAAGGCGAGATGAGGCCCCATTCCCCTGCAGTGCATGCAGAGCTATTCCGTGATCCCATTCAAACAAGTCAGGAGCTTCGACTTGCTTAATGGATCTCGAGACAGTCCCCAAGAACACTGTCACCAGTCTAGACGGACCCTGAGGTCACCCCAGCAACGCAAAGCAGCTCCATGTGCCCCAAATCAACTCGAGATGAGGCCCGATTCCCCTGCATTGACTCCAGAGCCATTCCCCGTTCCCCATTCAACACGACCGGTGGCTCGACTTCCTTCAGGCAACTCCAGAGATGCCGCGAGAACACTGTCCCAAGTCTAGAGGAACACCAACTTCAGCACAGCAACTCGAGGGATGCTCCGTGTACCCCAAATCGTCTCGAGATGCGAGCTGATTCCCTGGCTTAGGCTCAAGACGTATGCCAACTTCCAGAAGCACCTCAGGAGGAGGCTTCTCTCAGCAATAGGTATGTGGGAGGGACCCCGAGTTTTCTGCCTCAAGGGGAATATACAGCGAGAAGCCCTAACTTGAAAGGAGGCCGGATTTCCTTGCAGTGGCTTGAATACAGGCTCGTCTTTCATCTCACAACATGAAGGGATGTCTGAATCCCCTGTGGAGACCTTAGAGAAAGCCCTAGGTCCCTGCCTCATTTTGAAGGAATGCCTCACATCCCGCTGACACCTCGAGAGGCACGCGGAGTTCATTGCTTCAAAAGGTGACGATGCCTGACTCCTCTTGAATACTGATAGGAATCCCAAAATCCCTGTGGCTACTGGAAAGGGTCCTTGGGTGCCCTGCCTCACCTCGAGAAGCGTCCCTTTGGCCCTGCCAAGCCTCGAAGAGATTCCTGAGGTGTCCCTCGTTACTAGACAGGAGTCCTGACGTCACTGAAGAAACTCGTGTTTTGAAGGGCCATCCCCGCCGTAAGTCGAGAACATACCCCAGGTCCCCGCCGCAACTCGAGAAAAACCATGAGACTTCCCCCTAGAGGCGAGATGAGGCCCCATTCCCCTGCAGTGCATGCAGAGCTATTCCGTGATCCCATTCAAACAAGTCAGGAGCTTCGACTTGCTTAATGGATCTCGAGACAGTCCCCAAGAACACTGTCACCAGTCTAGACGGACCCTGAGGTCACCCCAGCAACGCAAAGCAGCTCCATGTGCCCCAAATCAACTCGAGATGAGGCCCGATTCCCCTGCATTGACTCCAGAGCCATTCCCCGTTCCCCATTCAACACGACCGGTGGCTCGACTTCCTTCAGGCAACTCCAGAGATGCCCCGAGAACACTGTCCCAAGTCTAGAGGAACACCAACTTCAGCACAGCAACTCGAGGAATGCTCCGTGTACCCCAAATCGTCTCGAGATGAGAGCTGATTCCCTGGCTTAGGCTCAAGACGTATGCCAACTTCCCAGAAGCACCTCAGGAGGAGGCTTCTCTCAGCAATAGGTATGTGGGAGGGACCCCGAGTTTGCTGCCTCAAGGGGAATATACAGCGAGAAGCCCTAACTTGAAAGGAGGCCGGATTTCCTTGCAGTGGCTTGAATACAGGCTCGTCTTTCATCTCACAACATGAAGGGATGTCTGAATCCCCTGTGGAGACCTTAGAGAAAGCCCTAGGTCCCTGCCTCATTTTGACGGAATGCCTCACATCCCGCTGACACCTCGAGAGGCACGCGGAGTTCATTGCTTCAAAAGGTGACGATGCCTGACTCCTCTTGAATACTGATAGGAATCCCAAAATCCCTGTGGCTACTGGAAAGGGTCCTTGGGTGCCCTGCCTCACCTCGAGAAGCGTCCATTTGGCCCTGCCAAGCCTCGAAGAGATTCCTGAGGTGTCCCTCGTTACTAGACAGGAGTCCTGACGTCACTGAAGAAACTCGTGTTTTGAAGGGCCATCCCCGCCGTAAGTCGAGAACATACCCCAGGTCCCCGCCGGAACTCGAGAAAAACCATGAGACTTCCCCCTAAAGGCGAGATGAGGCCCCATTCCCCTGCAGTGCATGCAGAGCTATTCCGTGATCCCATTCAAACAAGTCAGGAGCTTCGACTTGCTTAATGGATCTCGAGACAGTCCCCAAGAACACTGTCACCAGTCTAGACGGACCCTGAGGTCACCCCAGCAACGCAAAGCAGCTCCATGTGCCCCAAATCAACTCGAGATGAGGCCCGATTCCCCTGCATTGACTCCAGAGCCATTCCCCGTTCCCCATTCAACACGACCGGTGGCTCGACTTCCTTCAGGCAACTCCAGAGATGCCGCGAGAACACTGTCCCAAGTCTAGAGGAACACCAACTTCAGCACAGCAACTCGAGGGATGCTCCGTGTACCCCAAATCGTCTCGAGATGCGAGCTGATTCCCTGGCTTAGGCTCAAGACGTATGCCAACTTCCAGAAGCACCTCAGGAGGAGGCTTCTCTCAGCAATAGGTATGTGGGAGGGACCCCGAGTTTTCTGCCTCAAGGGGAATATACAGCGAGAAGCCCTAACTTGAAAGGAGGCCGGATTTCCTTGCAGTGGCTTGAATACAGGCTCGGCTTTCATCTCACAACATGAAGGGATGTCTGAATCCCCTGTGGAGACCTTAGAGAAAGCCCTAGGTCCCTGCCTCATTTTGACGGAATGCCTCACATCCCGCTGACACCTCGAGAGGCACGCGGAGTTCATTGCTTCAAAAGGTGACGATGCCTGACTCCTCTTGAATACTGATAGGAATCCCAAAATCCCTGTGGCTACTGGAAAGGGTCCTTGGGTGCCCTGCCTCACCTCGAGAAGCGTCCCTTTGGCCCTGCCAAGCCTCGAAGAGATTCCTGAGGTGTCCCTCGTTACTAGACAGGAGTCCTGACGTCACTGAAGAAACTCGTGTTTTGAAGGGCCATCCCCGCCGTAAGTCGAGAACATACCCCAGGTCCCCGCCGCAACTCGAGAAAAACCATGAGACTTCCCCCTAGAGGCGAGATGAGGCCCCATTCCCCTGCAGTGCATGCAGAGCTATTCCGTGACCCCATTCAAACAAGTCAGGAGCTTCGACTTGCTTAATGGATCTCGAGACAGTCCCCAAGAACACTGTCACCAGTCTAGACGGACCCTGAGGTCACCCCAGCAACGCAAAGCAGCTCCATGTGCCCCAAATCAACTCGAGATGAGGCCCGATTCCCCTGCATTGACTCCAGAGCCATTCCCCGTTCCCCATTCCACACGACCGGTGGCTCGACTTCCTTCAGGCAACTCCAGAGATGCCCCGAGAACACTGTCCCAAGTCTAGAGGAACACCAACTTCAGCACAGCAACTCGAGGAATGCTCCGTGTACCCCAAATCGTCTCGAGATGCGAGCTGATTCCCTGGCTTAGGCTCAAGACGTATGCCAACTTCCCAGAAGCACCTCAGGAGGAGGCTTCTCTCAGCAATAGGTATGTGGGAGGGACCCCGAGTTTGCTGCCTCAAGGGGAATATACAGCGAGAAGCCCTAACTTGAAACGAGGCCGGATTTCCTTGCAGTGGCTTGAATACAGGCTCGTCTTTCATCTCACAACATGAAGGGATGTCTGAATCCCCTGTGGAGACCTTAGAGAAAGCCCTAGGTCCCTGCCTCATTTTGACGGAATGCCTCACATCCCGCTGACACCTCGAGAGGCACGCGGAGTTCATTGCTTCAAAAGGTGACGATGCCTGACTCCTCTTGAATACTGATAGGAATTCCAAAATCCCTGTGGCTACTGGAAAGGGTCCTTGGGTGCCCTGCCTCACCTCGAGAAGCGTCCCTTCGGCCCTGCCAAGCCTCGAAGAGATTCCTGAGGTGTCCCTCATTACTAGACAGGAGTCCTGACGTCACTGAAGAAACTCGTGTTTTGAAGGGCCATCCCCGCCGTAAGTCGAGAACATACCCCAGGTCCCCGCCGCAACTCGAGAAAAACCATGAGACTTCCCCCTAGAGGCGAGATGAGGCCCCATTCCCCTGCAGTGCATGCAGAGCTATTCCGTGATCCCATTCAAACAAGTCAGGAGCTTCGACTTGCTTAATGGACCTCGAGACAGTCCCCAAGAACACTGTCACCAGTCTAGACGGACCCTGAGGTCACCCCAGCAACGCAAAGCAGCTCCATGTGCCCCAAATCAACTCGAGATGAGGCCCGATTCCCCTGCATTGACTCCAGAGCCATTCCCCGTTCCCCATTCCACACGACCGGTGGCTCGACTTCCTTCAGGCAACTCCAGAGATGCCCCGAGAACACTGTCCCAAGTCTAGAGGAACACCAACTTCAGCACAGCAACTCGAGGAATGCTCCGTGTACCACAAATCGTCTCGAGATGCGAGCTGATTCCCTGGCTTAGGCTCAAGACGTATGCCAACTTCCCAGAAGCACCTCAGGAGGAGGCTTCTCTCAGCAATAGGTATGTGGGAGGGACCCCGAGTTTGCTGCCTCAAGGGGAATATACAGCGAGAAGCCCTAACTTGAAAGGAGGCCGGATTTCCTTGCAGTGGCTTGAATACAGGCTCGTCTTTCATCTCACAACATGAAGGGATGTCTGAATCCCCTGTGGAGACCTTAGAGAAAGCCCTAGGTCCCTGCCTCATTTTGACGGAATGCCTCACATCCCGCTGACACCTCGAGAGGCACGCGGAGTTCATTGCTTCAAAAGGTGACGATGCCTGACTCCTCTTGAATACTGATAGGAATCCCAAAATCACTGTGGCTACTGGAAAGGGTCCTTGGGTGCCCTGCCTCACCTCGAGAAGCGTCCCTTTGGCCCTGCCAAGCTTCGAAGAGATTCCTGAGGTGTCCCTCGTTACTAGACAGGAGTCCTGACGTCACTGAAGAATCTCGTGTTTTGAAGGGCCATCCCCGCCGTAAGTCGAGAACATACCCCAGGTCCCCGCCGCAACTCGAGGAAAACCATGAGACTTCCCCCTAGAGGCGAGATGAGGCCCCATTCCCCTGCAGTGCATGCAGAGCTATTCCGTGATCCCATTCAAACAAGTCAGGAGCTTCGACTTGCTTAATGGATCTCGAGACAGTCCCCAAGAACACTGTCACCAGTCTAGACGGACCCTGAGGTCACCCCAGCAACGCAAAGCAGCTCCATGTGCCCCAAATCAACTCGAGATGAGGCCCGATTCCCCTGCATTGACTCCAGAGCCATTCCCCGTTCCCCATTCCACACGACCGGTGGCTCGACTTCCTTCAGGCAACTCCAGAGATGCCCCGAGAACACTGTCCCAAGTCTAGAGGAACACCAACTTCAGCACAGCAACTCGAGGAATGCTCCGTGTACCCCAAATCGTCTCGAGATGCGAGCTGATTCCCTGGCTTAGGCTCAAGACGTATGCCAACTTCCCAGAAGCACCTCAGGAGGAGGCTTCTCTCAGCAATAGGTATGTGGGAGGGACCCCGAGTTTGCTGCCTCAAGGGGAATATACAGCGAGAAGCCCGAACTTGAAAGGAGGCCGGATTTCCTTGCAGTGGCTTGAATACAGGCTCGTCTTTCATCTCACAACATGAAGGGATGTCTGAATCCCCTGTGGAGACCTTAGAGAAAGCCCTAGGTCCCTGCCTCATTTTGACGGAATGCCTCACATCCCGCTGACACCTCGAGAGGCACGCGGAGTTCATTGCTTCAAAAGGTGACGATGCCTGACTCCTCTTGAATACTGATAGGAATCCCAAAATCCCTGTGGCTACTGGAAAGGGTCCTTGGGTGCCCTGCCTCACCTCGAGAAGCGTCCCTTTGGCCCTGCCAAGCCTCGAAGAGATTCCTGAGGTGTCCCTCGTTACTAGACAGGAGTCCTGACGTCACTGAAGAAACTCGTGTTTTGAAGGGCCATCCCCGCCGTAAGTCGAGAACATACCCCAGGTCCCCGCCGCAACTCGAGAAAAACCATGAGACTTCCCCCTAGAGGCGAGATGAGGCCCCATTCCCCTGCAGTGCATGCAGAGCTATTCCGTGATCCCATTCAAACAAGTCAGGAGCTTCGACTTGCTTAATGGATCTCGAGACAGTCCCCAAGAACACTGTCACCAGTCTAGACGGACCCTGAGGTCACCCCAGCAACGCAAAGCAGCTCCATGTGCCCCAAATCAACTCGAGATGAGGCCCGATTCCCCTGCATTGACTCCAGAGCCATTCCCCGTTCCGCATTCCACACGACCGGTGGCTCGAATTCCTTCAGGCAACTCCAGAGATGCCCCGAGAACACTGTCCCAAGTCTAGAGGAACACCAACTTCATCACAGCAGCTCGAGGAATGCTCTGTCTACCCCAAATCGTCTCGAGATGCGAGCTGATTCCCTGGCTTAGGCTCAAGACGTATGCCAACTTCCCAGAAGCACCTCAGGAGGAGGCTTCTCTCAGCAATAGGTATGTGGGAGGGACCCCGAGTTTGCTGCCTCAAGGGGAATATACAGCGAGAAGCCCTAACTTGAAAGGAGGCCGGATTTCCTTGCAGTGGCTTGAATACAGGCTCGTCTTTCATCTCACAACATGAAGGGATGTCTGAATCCCCTGTGGAGACCTTAGAGAAAGCCCTAGGTCCCTGCCTCATTTTGACGGAATGCCTCACATCCCGCTGACACCTCGAGAGGCACGCGGAGTTCATTGCTTCAAAAGGTGACGATGCCTGACTCCTCTTGAATACTGATAGGAATTCCAAAATCCCTGTGGCTACTGGAAAGGGTCCTTGGGTGCCCTGCCTCACCTCGAGAAGCGTCCCTTCGGCCCTGCCAAGCCTCGAAGAGATTCCTGAGGTGTCCCTCATTACTAGACAGGAGTCCTGACGTCACTGAAGAAACTCGTGTTTTGAAGGGCCATCCCCGCCGTAAGTCGAGAACATACCCCAGGTCCCCGCCGCAACTCGAGAAAAACCATGAGACTTCCCCCTAGAGGCGAGATGAGGCCCCATTCCCCTGCAGTGCATGCAGAGCTATTCCGTGATCCCATTCAAACAAGTCAGGAGCTTCGACTTGCTTAATGGACCTCGAGACAGTCCCCAAGAACACTGTCACCAGTCTAGACGGACCCTGAGGTCACCCCAGCAACGCAAAGCAGCTCCATGTGCCCCAAATCAACTCGAGATGAGGCCCGATTCCCCTGCATTGACTCCAGAGCCATTCCCCGTTCCCCATTCCACACGACCGGTGGCTCGACTTCCTTCAGGCAACTCCAGAGATGCCCCGAGAACACTGTCCCAAGTCTAGAGGAACACCAACTTCAGCACAGCAACTCGAGGAATGCTCCGTGTACCACAAATCGTCTCGAGATGCGAGCTGATTCCCTGGCTTAGGCTCAAGACGTATGCCAACTTCCCAGAAGCACCTCAGGAGGAGGCTTCTCTCAGCAATAGGTATGTGGGAGGGACCCCGAGTTTGCTGCCTCAAGGGGAATATACAGCGAGAAGCCCTAACTTGAAAGGAGGCCGGATTTCCTTGCAGTGGCTTGAATACAGGCTCGTCTTTCATCTCACAACATGAAGGGATGTCTGAATCCCCTGTGGAGACCTTAGAGAAAGCCCTAGGTCCCTGCCTCATTTTGACGGAATGCCTCACATCCCGCTGACACCTCGAGAGGCACGCGGAGTTCATTGCTTCAAAAGGTGACGATGCCTGACTCCTCTTGAATACTGATAGGAATCCCAAAATCACTGTGGCTACTGGAAAGGGTCCTTGGGTGCCCTGCCTCACCTCGAGAAGCGTCCCTTTGGCCCTGCCAAGCTTCGAAGAGATTCCTGAGGTGTCCCTCGTTACTAGACAGGAGTCCTGACGTCACTGAAGAATCTCGTGTTTTGAAGGGCCATCCCCGCCGTAAGTCGAGAACATACCCCAGGTCCCCGCCGCAACTCGAGGAAAACCATGAGACTTCCCCCTAGAGGCGAGATGAGGCCCCATTCCCCTGCAGTGCATGCAGAGCTATTCCGTGATCCCATTCAAACAAGTCAGGAGCTTCGACTTGCTTAATGGATCTCGAGACAGTCCCCAAGAACACTGTCACCAGTCTAGACGGACCCTGAGGTCACCCCAGCAACGCAAAGCAGCTCCATGTGCCCCAAATCAACTCGAGATGAGGCCCGATTCCCCTGCATTGACTCCAGAGCCATTCCCCGTTCCCCATTCCACACGACCGGTGGCTCGACTTCCTTCAGGCAACTCCAGAGATGCCCCGAGAACACTGTCCCAAGTCTAGAGGAACACCAACTTCAGCACAGCAACTCGAGGAATGCTCCGTGTACCCCAAATCGTCTCGAGATGCGAGCTGATTCCCTGGCTTAGGCTCAAGACGTATGCCAACTTCCCAGAAGCACCTCAGGAGGAGGCTTCTCTCAGCAATAGGTATGTGGGAGGGACCCCGAGTTTGCTGCCTCAAGGGGAATATACAGCGAGAAGCCCGAACTTGAAAGGAGGCCGGATTTCCTTGCAGTGGCTTGAATACAGGCTCGTCTTTCATCTCACAACATGAAGGGATGTCTGAATCCCCTGTGGAGACCTTAGAGAAAGCCCTAGGTCCCTGCCTCATTTTGACGGAATGCCTCACATCCCGCTGACACCTCGAGAGGCACGCGGAGTTCATTGCTTCAAAAGGTGACGATGCCTGACTCCTCTTGAATACTGATAGGAATCCCAAAATCCCTGTGGCTACTGGAAAGGGTCCTTGGGTGCCCTGCCTCACCTCGAGAAGCGTCCCTTTGGCCCTGCCAAGCCTCGAAGAGATTCCTGAGGTGTCCCTCGTTACTAGACAGGAGTCCTGACGTCACTGAAGAAACTCGTGTTTTGAAGGGCCATCCCCGCCGTAAGTCGAGAACATACCCCAGGTCCCCGCCGCAACTCGAGAAAAACCATGAGACTTCCCCCTAGAGGCGAGATGAGGCCCCATTCCCCTGCAGTGCATGCAGAGCTATTCCGTGATCCCATTCAAACAAGTCAGGAGCTTCGACTTGCTTAATGGATCTCGAGACAGTCCCCAAGAACACTGTCACCAGTCTAGACGGACCCTGAGGTCACCCCAGCAACGCAAAGCAGCTCCATGTGCCCCAAATCAACTCGAGATGAGGCCCGATTCCCCTGCATTGACTCCAGAGCCATTCCCCGTTCCGCATTCCACACGACCGGTGGCTCGAATTCCTTCAGGCAACTCCAGAGATGCCCCGAGAACACTGTCCCAAGTCTAGAGGAACACCAACTTCATCACAGCAGCTCGAGGAATGCTCTGTCTACCCCAAATCGTCTCGAGATGCGAGCTGATTCCCTGGCTTAGGCTCAAGACGTATGCCAACTTCCCAGAAGCACCTCAGGAGGAGGCTTCTCTCAGCAATAGGTATGTGGGAGGGACCCCGAGTTTGCTGCCTCAAGGGGAATATACAGCGAGAAGCCGTAACTTGAAAGGAGGCCGGATTTCCTTGCAGTGGCTTGAATACAGGCTCGTCTTTCATCTCACAACATGAAGGGATGTCTGAATCCCCTGTGGAGACCTTAGAGAAAGCCCTAGGTCCCTGCCTCATTTTGACGGAATGCCTCACATCCCGCTGACACCTCGAGAGGCACGCGGAGTTCATTGCTTCAAAAGGTGACGATGCCTGACTCCTCTTGAATACTGATAGGAATCCCAAAATCCCTGTGGCTACTGGAAAGGGTCCTTGGGTGCCCTGCCTCACCTCGAGAAGTGTCCCTTTGGCCCTGCCAAGCCTCGAAGAGATTCCTGAGGTGTCCCTCGTTACTAGACAGGAGTCCTGACGTCACTGAAGAAACTCGTGTTTTGAAGGGCCATCCCCGCCGTAAGTCGAGAACATACCCCAGGTCCCCGCCGCAACTCGAGAAAAACCATGAGACTTCCCCCTAGAGGCGAGATGAGGCCCCATTCCCCTGCAGTGCATGCAGAGCTATTCCGTGACCCCATTCAAACAAGTCAGGAGCTTCGACTTGCTTAATGGATCTCGAGACAGTCCCCAAGAACACTGTCACCAGTCTAGACGGACCCTGAGGTCACCCCAGCAACGCAAAGCAACTCCATGTGCCCCAAATCAACTCGAGATGAGGCCCGATTCCCCTGCATTGACTCCAGAGCCATTCCCCGTTCCCCATTCCACACGACCGGTGGCTCGACTTCCTTCAGGCAACTCCAGAGATGCCCCGAGAACACTGTCCCAAGTCTAGAGGAACACCAACTTCAGCACAGCAACTCGAGGAATGCTCCGTGTACCCCAAATCGTCTCGAGATGCGAGCTGATTCCCTGGCTTAAGCTCAAGACGTATGCCAACTTCCCAGAAGCACCTCAGGAGGAGGCTTCTCTCAGCAATAGGTATGTGGGAGGGACCCCGAGTTTGCTGCCTCAAGGGGAATATACAGCGAGAAGCCCTAACTTGAAAGGAGGCCAGATTTCCTTGCAGTGGCTTGAATACAGGCTCGTCTTTCATCTCACAACATGAAGGGATGTCTGAATCCCCTGTGGAGACCTTAGAGAAAGCCCTAGGTCCCTGCCTCATTTTGACGGAATGCCTCACATCCCGCTGACACCTCGAGAGGCACGCGGAGTTCATTGCTTCAAAAGGTGACGATGCCTGACTCCTCTTGAATACTGATAGGAATCCCAAAATCCCTGTGGCTACTGGAAAGGGTCCTTGGGTGCCCTGCCTCACTTCGAGAAGCGTCCCTTTGGCCCTGCCAAGCCTCGAAGAGATTCCTGAGGTGTCCCTCGTTACTAGACAGGAGTCCTGACGTCACTGAAGAAACTCGTGTTTTGAAGGGCCATCCCCGCCGTAAGTCGAGAACATACCCCAGGTCCCCGCCGCAACTCGAGAAAAACCATGAGACTTCCCCCTAGAGGCGAGATGAGGCCCCATTCCCCTGCAGTGCATGCAGAGCTATTCCGTGATCCCATTCAAACAAGTCAGGAGCTTCGACTTGCTTAATGGATCTCGAGACAGTCCCCAAGAACACTGTCACCAGTCTAGACGGACCCTGAGGTCACCCCAGCAACGCAAAGCAGCTCCATGTGCCCCAAATCAACTCGAGATGAGGCCCGATTCCCCTGCATTGACTCCAGAGCCATTCCCCGTTCCCCATTCCACACGACCGGTGGCTCAACTTCCTTCAGGCAACTCCAGAGATGCCCCGAGAACACTGTCCCAAGTCTAGAGGAACACCAACTTCAGCACAGCAACTCGAGGAATGCTCCGTGTACCCCAAATCGTCTCGAGATGCGAGCTGATTCCCTGGCTTAGGCTCAAGACGTATGCCAACTTCCCAGAAGCACCTCAGGAGGAGGCTTCTCTCAGCAATAGGTATGTGGGAGGGACCCCGAGTTTGCTGCCTCAAGGGGAATATACAGCGAGAAGCCCTAACTTGAAAGGAGGCCGGATTTCCTTGCAGTGGCTTGAATACAGGCTCGTCTTTCATCTCACAACATGAAGGGATGTCTGAATCCCCTGTGGAGACCTTAGAGAAAGCCCTAGGTCCCTGCCTCATTTTGACGGAATGCCTCACATCCCGCTGACACCTCGAGAGGCACGCGGAGTTCATTGCTTCAAAAGGTGACGATGCCTGACTCCTCTTGAATACTGATAGGAATCCCAAAATCCCTGTGGCTACTGGAAAGGGTCCTTGGGTGCCCTGCCTCACCTCGAGAAGCGTCCCTTTGGCCCTGCCAAGCCTCGAAGAGATTCCTGAGGTGTCCCTCGTTACTAGACAGGAGTCCTGACGTCACTGAAGAAACTCGTGTTTTGAAGGGCCATCCCCGCCGTAAGTCGAGAACATACCCCAGGTCCCCGCCGCAACTCGAGAAAAACCATGAGACTTCCCCCTAGAGGCGAGATGAGGCCCCATTCCCCTGCAGTGCATGCAGAGCTATTCCGTGATCCCATTCAAACAAGTCAGGAGCTTCGACTTGCTTAATGGATCTCGAGACAGTCCCCAAGAACACTGTCACCAGTCTAGACGGACCCTGAGGTCACCCCAGCAACGCAAAGCAGCTCCATGTGCCCCAAATCAACTCGAGATGAGGCCCGATTCCCCTGCATTGACTCCAGAGCCATTCCCCATTCCCCATTCCACACGACCGGTGGCTCGACTTCCTTCAGGCAACTCCAGAGATGCCCCGAGAACACTGTCCCAAGTCTAGAGGAACACCAACTTCAGCACAGCAACTCGAGGAATGCTCCGTCTACCCCAAATCGTCTCGAGATGCGAGCTGATTCCCTGGCTTAGGCTCAAGACGTATGCCAACTTCCCAGAAGCACCTCAGGAGGAGGCTTCTCTCAGCAATAGGTATGTGGGAGGGACCCCGAGTTTGCTGCCTCAAGGGGAATATACAGCGAGAAGCCCTAACTTGAAAGGAGGCCGGATTTCCTTGCAGTGGCTTGAATACAGGCTCGTCTTTCATCTCACAACATGAAGGGATGTCTGAATCCCCTGTGGAGACCTTAGAGAAAGCCCTAGGTCCCTGCCTCATTTTGACGGAATGCCTCACATCCCGCTGACACCTCGAGAGGCACGCGGAGTTCATTGCTTCAAAAGGTGACGATGCCTGACTCCTCTTGAATACTGATAGGAATCCCAAAATCCCTGTGGCTACTGGAAAGGGTCCTTGGGTGCCCTGCCTCACCTCGAGAAGCGTCCCTTTGGCCCTGCCAAGCCTCGAAGAGATTCCTGAGGTGTCCCTCGTTAGTAGACAGGAGTCCTGACGTCACTGAAGAAACTCGTGTTTTGAAGGGCCATCCCCGCCGTAAGTCGAGAACATACCCCAGGTCCCCGCCGCAACTCGAGAAAAACCAGGAGACTTCCCCCTAGAGGCGAGATGAGGCCCCATTCCCCTGCAGTGCATGCAGAGCTATTCCGTGATCCCATTCAAACAAGTCAGGAGCTGCGACTTGCTTAATGGACCTCGAGACAGTCCCCAAGAACACTGTCACCAGTCTAGACGGACCCTGAGGTCACCCCAGCAACGCAAAGCAGCTCCATGTGCCCCAAATCAACTCGAGATGAGGCCCGATTCCCCTGCATTGACTCCAGAGCCATTCCCCGTTCCCCATTCCACACGACCGGTGGCTCGACTTCCTTCAGGCAACTCCAGAGATGCCCCGAGAACACTGTCCCAAGTCTAGAGGAACACCAACTTCAGCACAGCAACTCGAGGAATGCTCCGTGTACCACAAATCGTCTCGAGATGCGAGCTGATTCCCTGGCTTAGGCTCAAGACGTATGCCAACTTCCCAGAAGCACCTCAGGAGGAGGCTTCTCTCAGCAATAGGTATGTGGGAGGGACCCCGAGTTTGCTGCCTCAAGGGGAATATACAGCGAGAAGCCCTAACTTGAAAGGAGGCCGGATTTCCTTGCAGTGGCTTGAATACAGGCTCGTCTTTCATCTCACAACATGAAGGGATGTCTGAATCCCCTGTGGAGACCTTAGAGAAAGCCCTAGGTCCCTGCCTCATTTTGACGGAATGCCTCACATCCCGCTGACACCTCGAGAGGCACGCGGAGTTCATTGCTTCAAAAGGTGACGATGCCTGACTCCTCTTGAATACTGATAGGAATCCCAAAATCCCTGTGGCTACTGGAAAGGGTCCTTGGGTGCCCTGCCTCACCTCGAGAAGCGTCCCTTTGGCCCTGCCAAGCCTCGAAGAGATTCCTGAGGTGTCCCTCGTTACTAGACAGGAGTCCTGACGTCACTGAAGAAACTCGTGTTTTGAAGGGCCATCCCCGCCGTAAGTCGAGAACATACCCCAGGTCCCCGCCGCAACTCGAGAAAAACCATGAGACTTCCCCCTAGAGGCGAGATGAGGCCCCATTCCCCTGCAGTGCATGCAGAGCTATTCCGTGATCCCATTCAAACAAGTCAGGAGCTTCGACTTGCTTAATGGATCTCGAGACAGTCCCCAAGAACACTGTCACCAGTCTAGACGGACCCTGAGGTCACCCCAGCAACGCAAAGCAGCTCCATGTGCCCCAAATCAACTCGAGATGAGGCCCGATTCCCCTGCATTGACTCCAGAGCCATTCCCCGTTCCCCATTCCACACGACCGGTGGCTCGACTTCCTTCAGGCAACTCCAGAGATGCCCCGAGAACACTGTCCCAAGTCTAGAGGAACACCAACTTCAGCACAGCAACTCGAGGAATGCTCCGTGTACCCCAAATCGTCTCGAGATGCGAGCTGATTCCCTGGCTTAGGCTCAAGACGTATGCCAACTTCCCAGAAGCACCTCAGGAGGAGGCTTCTCTCAGCAATAGGTATGTGGGAGGGACCCCGAGTTTGCTGCCTCAAGGGGAATATACAGCGAGAAGCCCTAACTTGAAAGGAGGCCGGATTTCCTTGCAGTGGCTTGAATACAGGCTCGTCTTTCATCTCACAACATGAAGGGATGTCTGAATCCCCTGTGGAGACCTTAGAGAAAGCCCTAGGTCCCTGCCTCATTTTGACGGAATGCCTCACATCCCGCTGACACCTCGAGAGGCACGCGGAGTTCATTGCTTCAAAAGGTGACGATGCCTGACTCCTCTTGAATACTGATAGGAATCCCAAAATCCCTGTGGCTACTGGAAAGGGTCCTTGGGTGCCCTGCCTCACCTCGAGAAGCGTCCCTTTGGCCCTGCCAAGACTCGAAGAGATTCCTGAGGTGTCCCTCGTTACTAGACAGGAGTCCTGACGTCACTGAAGAAACTCGTGTTTTGAAGGGCCATCCCCGCCGTAAGTCGAGAACATACCCCAGGTCCCCGCCGCAACTCGAGAAAAACCATGAGACTTCCCCCTAGAGGCGAGATGAGGCCCCATTCCCCTGCAGTGCATGCAGAGCTATTCCGTGATCCCATTCAAACAAGTCAGGAGCTTCGACTTGCTTAATGGATCTCGAGACAGTCCCCAAGAACACTGTCACCAGTCTAGACGGACCCTGAGGTCACCCCAGCAATGCAAAGCAGCTCCATGTGCCCCAAATCAACTCGAGATGAGGCCCGATTCCCCTGCATTGACTCCAGAGCCATTCCCCGTTCCCCATTCCACACGACCGGTGGCTCGACTTCCTTCAGGCAACTCCAGAGATGCCCCGAGAACACTGTCCCAAGTCTAGAGGAACACCAACTTCAGCACAGCAACTCGAGGAATGCTCCGTCTACCCCAAATCGTCTCGAGATGCGAGCTGATTCCCTGGCTTAGGCTCAAGACGTATGCCAACTTCCCAGAAGCACCTCAGGAGGAGGCTTCTCTCAGCAATAGGTATGTGGGAGGGACCCCGAGTTTGCTGCCTCAAGGGGAATATACAGCGAGAAGCCCTAACTTGAAAGGAGGCCGGATTTCCTTGCAGTGGCTTGAATACAGGCTCGTCTTTCATCTCACAACATGAAGGGATGTCTGAATCCCCTGTGGAGACCTTAGAGAAAGCCCTAGGTCCCTGCCTCATTTTGACGGAATGCCTCACATCCCGCTGACACCTCGAGAGGCACGCGGAGTTCATTGCTTCAAAAGGTGACGATGCCTGACTCCTCTTGAATACTGATAGGAATCCCAAAATCCCTGTGGCTACTGGAAAGGGTCCTTGGGTGCCCTGCCTCACCTCGAGAAGCGTCCCTTTGGCCCTGCCAAGCCTCGAAGAGATTCCTGAGGTGTCCCTCGTTAGTAGACAGGAGTCCTGACGTCACTGAAGAAACTCGTGTTTTGAAGGGCCATCCCCGCCGTAAGTCGAGAACATACCCCAGGTCCCCGCCGCAACTCGAGAAAAACCATGAGACTTCCCCCTAGAGGCGAGATGAGGCCCCATTCCCCTGCAGTGCATGCAGAGCTATTCCGTGATCCCATTCAAACAAGTCAGGAGCTTCGACTTGCTTAATGGATCTCGAGACAGTCCCCAAGAACACTGTCACCAGTCTAGACGGACCCTGAGGTCACCCCAGCAACGCAAAGCAGCTCCATGTGCCCCAAATCAACTCGAGATGAGGCCCGATTCCCCTGCATTGACTCCAGAGCCATTCCCCGTTCCCCATTCCACACGACCGGTGGCTCGACTTCCTTCAGGCAACTCCAGAGATGCCCCGAGAACACTGTCCCAAGTCTAGAGGAACACCAACTTCAGCACAGCAACTCGAGGAATGCTCCGTCTACCCCAAATCGTCTCGAGATGCGAGCTGATTCCCTGGCTTAGGCTCAAGACGTATGCCAACTTCCCAGAAGCACCTCAGGAGGAGGCTTCTCTCAGCAATAGGTATGTGGGAGGGACCCCGAGTTTGCTGCCTCAAGGGGAATATACAGCGAGAAGCCCTAACTTGAAAGGAGGCCGGATTTCCTTGCAGTGGCTTGAATACAGGCTCGTCTTTCATTTCACAACATGAAGGGATGTCTGAATCCCCTGTGGAGACCTTAGAGAAAGCCCTAGGTCCCTGCCTCATTTTGACGGAATGCCTCACATCCCGCTGACACCTCGAGAGGCACGCGGAGTTCATTGCTTCAAAAGGTGACGATGCCTGACTCCTCTTGAATACTGATAGGAATCCCAAAATCCCTGTGGCTACTGGAAAGGGTCCTTGGGTGCCCTGCCTCACCTCGAGAAGCGTCCCTTTGGCCCTGCCAAGCCTCGAAGAGATTCCGGAGGTGTCCCTCGTTACTAGACAGGAGTCCTGACGTCACTGAAGAAACTCGTGTTTTGAAGGGCCATCCCCGCCGTAAGTCGAGAACATACCCCAGGTCCCTGCCGCAACTCGAGAAAAACCATGAGACTTCCCCCTAGAGGCGAGATGAGGCCCCATTCCCCTGCAGTGCATGCAGAGCTATTCCGTGATCCCATTCAAACAAGTCAGGAGCTTCGACTTGCTTAATGGATCTCGAGACAGTCCCCAAGAACACTGTCACCAGTCTAGACGGACCCTGAGGTCACCCCAGCAACGCAAAGCAGCTCCATGTGCCCCAAATCAACTCGAGATGAGGCCCGATTCCCCTGCATTGACTCCAGAGCCATTCCCCGTTCCCCATTCCACACGACCGGTGGCTCGACTTCCTTCAGGCAACTCCAGAGATGCCCCGAGAACACTGTCCCAAGTCTAGAGGAACACCAACTTCAGCACAGCAACTCGAGGAATGCTCCGTGTACCCCAAATCGTCTCGAGATGCGAGCTGATTCCCTGGCTTAGGCTCAAGACGTATGCCAACTTCCCAGAAGCACCTCAGGAGGAGGCTTCTCTCAGCAATAGGTATGTGGGAGGGACCCCGAGTGTGCTGCCTCAAGGGGAATATACAGCGAGAAGCCCTAACTTGAAAGGAGGCCGGATTTCCTTGCAGTGGCTTGAATACAGGCTCGTCTTTCATCTCACAACATGAAGGGATGTCTGAATCCCCTGTGGAGACCTTAGAGAAAGCCCTAGGTCCCTGCCTCATTTTGACGGAATGCCTCACATCCCGCTGACACCTCGAGAGGCACGCGGAGTTCATTGCTTCAAAAGGTGACGATGCCTGACTCCTCTTGAATACTGATAGGAATCCCAAAATCCCTGTGGCTACTGGAAAGGGTCCTTGGGTGCCCTGCCTCACCTCGAGAAGCGTCCCTTTGGCCCTGCCAAGCCTCGAAGAGATTCCTGAGGTGTCCCTCGTTACTAGACAGGAGTCCTGACGTCACTGAAGAAACTCGTGTTTTGAAGGGCCATCCCCGCCGTAAGTCGAGAACATACCCCAGGTCCCCGCCGCAACTCGAGAAAAACCATGAGACTTCCCCCTAGAGGCGAGATGAGGCCCCATTCCCCTGCAGTGCATGCAGAGCTATTCCGTGACCCCATTCAAACAAGTCAGGAGCTTCGACTTGCTTAATGGATCTCGAGACAGTCCCGAAGAACACTGTCACCAGTCTAGACGGACCATGAGGTCACCCCAGCAACGCAAAGCAGCTCCATGTGCCCCAAATCAACTCGAGATGAGGCCCGATTCCCCTGCATTGACTCCAGAGCCATTCCCCGTTCCCCATTCAACACGACCGGTGGCTCGACTTCCTTCAGGCAACTCCAGAGATGCCCCGAGAACACTGTCCCAAGTCTAGAGGAACACCAACTTCAGCACAGCAACTCGAGGAATGCTCCGTGTACCCCAAATCGTCTCGAGATGCGAGCTGATTCCCTGGCTTAGGCTCAAGACGTATGCCAACTTCCCAGAAGCACCTCAGGAGGAGGCTTCTCTCAGCAATAGGTATGTGGGAGGGACCCCGAGTTTGCTGCCTCAAGGGGAATATACAGCGAGAAGCCCTAACTTGAAAGGAGGCCGGATTTCCTTGCAGTGGCTTGAATACAGGCTCGTCTTTCATCTCACAACATGAAGGGATGTCTGAATCCCCTGTGGAGACCTTAGAGAAAGCCCTAGGTCCCTGCCTCATTTTGACGGAATGCCTCACATCCTGCTGACACCTCGAGAGGCACGCGGAGTTCATTGCTTCAAAAGGTGACGATGCCTGACTCCTCTTGAATACTGATAGGAATCCCAAAATCCCTGTGGCTACTGGAAAGGGTCCTTGGGTGCCCTGCCTCACCTCGAGAAGCGTCCCTTTGGCCCTGCCAAGCCTCGAAGAGATTCCTGAGGTGTCCCTCGTTACTAGACAGGAGTCCTGACGTCACTGAAGAAACTCGTGTTTTGAAGGGCCATCCCCGCCATAAGTCGAGAACATACCCCAGGTCCCCGCCGCAACTCGAGAAAAACCATGAGACTTCCCCCTAGAGGCGAGATGAGGCCCCATTCCCCTGCAGTGCATGCAGAGCTATTCCGTGACCCCATTCAAACAAGTCAGGAGCTTCGACTTGCTTAATGGATCTCGAGACAGTCCCCAAGAACACTGTCACCAGTCTAGACGGACCATGAGGTCACCCCAGCAACGCAAAGCAGCTCCATGTGCCCCAAATCAACTCGAGATGAGGCCCGATTCCCCTGCATTGACTCCAGAGCCATTCCCCGTTCCCCATTCAACACGACCGGTGGCTCGACTTCCTTCAGGCAACTCCAGAGATGCCCCGAGAACACTGTCCCAAGTCTAGAGGAACACCAACTTCAGCACAGCAACTCGAGGAATGCTCCGTGTACCCCAAATCGTCTCGAGATGCGAGCTGATTCCCTGGCTTAGGCTCAAGATGTATGCCAACTTCCCAGAAGCACCTCAGGAGGAGGCTTCTCTCAGCAATACGTATGTGGGAGGGACCCCGAGTTTGCTGCCTCAAGGGGAATATACAGCGAGAAGCCCTAACTTGAAAGGAGGCCGGATTTCCTTGCAGTGGCTTGAATACAGGCTCGTCTTTCATCTCACAACATGAAGGGATGTCTGAATCCCCTGTGGAGACCTTAGAGAAAGCCCTAGGTCCCTGCCTCATTTTGACGGAATGCCTCACATCCCGCTGACACCTCGAGAGGCACGCGGAGTTCATTGCTTCAAAAGGTGACGATGCCTGACTCCTCTTGAATACTGATAGGAATCCCAAAATCCCTGTGGCTACTGGAAAGGGTCCTTGGGTGCCCTGCCTCACCTCGAGAAGCGTCCCTTTGGCCCTGCCAAGCCTCGAAGAGATTCCTGAGGTGTCCCTCGTTACTAGACAGGAGTCCTGACGTCACTGAAGAAACTCGTGTTTTGAAGGGCCATCCCCGCCGTAAGTCGAGAACATACCCCAGGTCCCCGCCGCAACTCGAGAAAAACCATGAGACTTCCCCCTAGAGGCGAGATGAGGCCCCATTCCCCTGCAGTGCATGCAGAGCTATTCCGTGACCCCATTCAAACAAGTCAGGAGCTTCGACTTGCTTAATGGATCTCGAGACAGTCCCCAAGAACACTGTCACCAGTCTAGACGGACCCTGAGGTCACCCCAGCAACGCAAAGCAGCTCCATGTGCCCCAAATCAACTCGAGATGAGGCCCGATTCCCCTGCATTGACTCCAGAGCCATTCCCCGTTCCCCATTCAACACGACCGGTGGCTCGACTTCCTTCAGGCAACTCCAGAGATGCCCCGAGAACACTGTCCCAAGTCTAGAGGAACACCAACTTCAGCACAGCAACTCGAGGAATGCTCCGTGTACCCCAAATCGTCTCGAGATGCGAGCTGATTCCCTGGCTTAGGCTCAAGACGTATGCCAACTTCCCAGAAGCACCTCAGGAGGAGGCTTCTCTCAGCAATAGGTATGTGGGAGGGACCCCGAGTTTGCTGCCTCAAGGGGAATATACAGCGAGAAGCCCTAACTTGAAAGGAGGCCGGATTTCCTTGCAGTGGCTTGAATACAGGCTCGTCTTTCATCTCACAACATGAAGGGATGTCTGAATCCCCTGTGGAGACCTTAGAGAAAGCCCTAGGTCCCTGCCTCATTTTGACGGAATGCCTCACATCCCGCTGACACCTCGAGAGGCACGCGGAGTTCATTGCTTCAAAAGGTGACGATGCCTGACTCCTCTTGAATACTGATAGGAATCCCAAAATCCCTGTGGCTACTGGAAAGGGTCCTTGGGTGCCCTGCCTCACCTCGAGAAGCGTCCCTTTGGCCCTGCCAAGCCTCGAAGAGATTCCAGAGGTGTCCCTCGTTACTAGACAGGAGTCCTGACGTCACTGAAGAAACTCGTGTTTTGAAGGGCCATCCCCGCCTGAAGTCGAGAACATACCCCAGGTCCCCGCCGCAACTCGAGAAAAACCATGAGACTTCCCCCTAGAGGCGAGATGAGGCCCCATTCCCCTGCAGTGCATGCAGAGCTATTCCGTGACCCCATTCAAACAAGTCAGGAGCTTCGACTTGCTTAATGGATCTCGAGACAGTCCCCAAGAACACTGTCACCAGTCTAGACGGACCATGAGGTCACCCCAGCAACGCAAAGCAGCTCCATGTGCCCCAAATCAACTCGAGATGAGGCCCGATTCCCCTGCATTGACTCCAGAGCCATTCCCCGTTCCCCATTCCACACGACCGGTGGCTCGACTTCCTTCAGGCAACTCCAGAGATGCCCCGAGAACACTGTCCCAAGTCTAGAGGAACACCAACTTCAGCACAGCAACTCGAGGAATGCTCCGTGTACCCCAAATCGTCTCGAGATGCGAGCTGATTCCCTGGCTTAGGCTCAAGACGTATGCCAACTTCCCAGAAGCACCTCAGGAGGAGGCTTCTCTCAGCAATACGTATGTGGGAGGGACCCCGAGTTTGCTGCCTCAAGGGGAATATACAGCGAGAAGCCCTAACTTGAAAGGAGGCCGGATTTCCTTGCAGTGGCTTGAATACAGGCTCATCTTTCATCTCACAACATGAAGGGATGTCTGAATCCCCTGTGGAGACCTTAGAGAAAGCCCTAGGTCCCTGCCTCATTTTGACGGAATGCCTCACATCCCGCTGACACCTCGAGAGGCACGCGGAGTTCATTGCTTCAAAAGGTGACGATGCCTGACTCCTCTTGAATACTGATAGGAATCCCAAAATCCCTGTGGCTACTGGAAAGGGTCCTTGGGTGCCCTGCCTCACCTCGAGAAGCGTCCCTTTGGCCCTGCCAAGCCTCGAAGAGATTCCTGAGGTGTCCCTCGTTACTAGACAGGAGTCCTGACGTCACTGAAGAAACTCGTGTTTTGAAGGGCCATCCCCGCCGTAAGTCGAGAACATACCCCAGGTCCCCGCCGCAACTCGAGAAAAACCATGAGACTTCCCACTAGAGGCGAGATGAGGCCCCATTCCCCTGCAGTGCATGCAGAGCTATTCCGTGATCCCATTCAAACAAGTCAGGAGCTTCGACTTGCTTAATGGATCTCGAGACAGTCCCCAAGAACACTGTCACCAGTCTAGACGGACCCTGAGGTCACCCCAGCAACGCAAAGCAGCTCCATGTGCCCCAAATCAACTCGAGATGAGGCCCGATTCCCCTGCATTGACTCCAGAGCCATTCCCCGTTCCCCATTCAACACGACCGGTGGCTCGACTTCCTTCAGGCAACTCCAGAGATGCCCCGAGAACACTGTCCCAAGTCTAGAGGAACACCAACTTCAGCACAGCAACTCGAGGAATGCTCCGTGTACCCCAAATCGTCTCGAGATGCGAGCTGATTCCCTGGCTTAGGCTCAAGACGTATGCCAACTTCCCAGAAGCACCTCAGGAGGAGGCTTCTCTCAGCAATAGGTATGTGGGAGGGACCCCGAGTTTGCTGCCTCAAGGGGAATATACAGCGAGAAGCCCTAACTTGAAAGGAGGCCGGATTTCCTTGCAGTGGCTTGAATACAGGCTCGTCTTTCATCTCACAACATGAAGGGATGTCTGAATCCCCTGTGGAGACCTTAGAGAAAGCCCTAGGTCCCTGCCTCATTTTGACGGAATGCCTCACATCCCGCTGACACCTCGAGAGGCACGCGGAGTTCATTGCTTCAAAAGGTGACGATGCCTGACTCCTCTTGAATACTGATAGGAATCCCAAAATCCCTGTGGCTACTGGAAAGGGTCCTTGGGTGCCCTGCCTCACCTCGAGAAGCGTCCCTTTGGCCCTGCCAAGCCTCGAAGAGATTCCTGAGGTGTCCCTCGTTACTAGACAGGAGTCCTGACGTCACTGAAGAAACTCGTGTTTTGAAGGGCCATCCCCGCCGTAAGTCGAGAACATACCCCAGGTCCCCGCCGCAAGTCGAGAAAAACCATGAGACTTCCCCGTAGAGGCGAGATGAGGCCCCATTCCCCTGCAGTGCATGCAGAGCTATTCCGTGACCCCATTCAAACAAGTCAGGAGCTTCGACTTGCTTAATGGATCTCGAGACAGTCCCCAAGAACACTGTCACCTGTCTAGACGGAACCTGAGGTCACCCCAGCAACGCAAAGCAGCTCCATGTGCCCCAAATCAACTCGAGATGAGGCCCGATTCCCCTGCATTGACTCCAGAGCCATTCCCCGTTCCCCATTCCACACGACCGGTGGCTCGACTTCCTTCAGGCAACTCCAGAGATGCCCCGAGAACACTGTCCCAAGTCTAGAGGAACACCAACTTCAGCACAGCAACTCGAGGAATGCTCCGTGTACCCCAAATCGTCTCGAGATGCGAGCTGATTCCCTGGCTTAGGCTCAAGACGTATGCCAACTTCCCAGAAGCACCTCAGGAGGAGGCTTCTCTCAGCAATAGGTATGTGGGAGGGACCCCGAGTTTGCTGCCTCAAGGGGAATATACAGCGAGAAGCCGTAACTTGAAAGGAGGCCGGATTTCCTTGCAGTGGCTTGAATACAGGCTCGTCTTTCATCTCACAACATGAAGGGATGTCTGAATCCCCTGTGGAGACCTTAGAGAAAGCCCTAGGTCCCTGCCTCATTTTGACGGAATGCCTCACATCCCGCTGACACCTCGAGAGGCACGCGGAGTTCATTGCTTCAAAAGGTGACGATGCCTGACTCCTCTTGAATACTGATAGGAATCCCAAAATCCCTGTGGCTACTGGAAAGGGTCCTTGGGTGCCCTGCCTCACCTCGAGAAGCGTCCCTTTGGCCCTGCCAAGCCTCGAAGAGATTCCTGAGGTGTCCCTCGTTACTAGACAGGAGTCCTGACGTCACTGAAGAAACTCGTGTTTTGAAGGGCCATCCCCGCCATAAGTCGAGAACATACCCCAGGTCCCCGCCGCAACTCGAGAAAAACCATGAGACTTCCCCCTAGAGGCGAGATGAGGCCCCATTCCCCTGCAGTGCATGCAGAGCTATTCCGTGACCCCATTCAAACAAGTCAGGAGCTTCGACTTGCTTAATGGATCTCGAGACAGTCCCCAAGAACACTGTCACCAGTCTAGACGGACCATGAGGTCACCCCAGCAACGCAAAGCAGCTCCATGTGCCCCAAATCAACTCGAGATGAGGCCCGATTCCCCTGCATTGACTCCAGAGCCATTCCCCGTTCCCCATTCAACACGACCGGTGGCTCGACTTCCTTCAGGCAACTCCAGAGATGCCCCGAGAACACTGTCCCAAGTCTAGAGGAACACCAACTTCAGCACAGCAACTCGAGGAATGCTCCGTGTACCCCAAATCGTCTCGAGATGCGAGCTGATTCCCTGGCTTAGGCTCAAGATGTATGCCAACTTCCCAGAAGCACCTCAGGAGGAGGCTTCTCTCAGCAATACGTATGTGGGAGGGACCCCGAGTTTGCTGCCTCAAGGGGAATATACAGCGAGAAGCCCTAACTTGAAAGGAGGCCGGATTTCCTTGCAGTGGCTTGAATACAGGCTCGTCTTTCATCTCACAACATGAAGGGATGTCTGAATCCCCTGTGGAGACCTTAGAGAAAGCCCTAGGTCCCTGCCTCATTTTGACGGAATGCCTCACATCCCGCTGACACCTCGAGAGGCACGCGGAGTTCATTGCTTCAAAAGGTGACGATGCCTGACTCCTCTTGAATACTGATAGGAATCCCAAAATCCCTGTGGCTACTGGAAAGGGTCCTTGGGTGCCCTGCCTCACCTCGAGAAGCGTCCCTTTGGCCCTGCCAAGCCTCGAAGAGATTCCTGAGGTGTCCCTCGTTACTAGACAGGAGTCCTGACGTCACTGAAGAAACTCGTGTTTTGAAGGGCCATCCCCGCCGTAAGTCGAGAACATACCCCAGGTCCCCGCCGCAACTCGAGAAAAACCATGAGACTTCCCCCTAGAGGCGAGATGAGGCCCCATTCCCCTGCAGTGCATGCAGAGCTATTCCGTGACCCCATTCAAACAAGTCAGGAGCTTCGACTTGCTTAATGGATCTCGAGACAGTCCCCAAGAACACTGTCACCAGTCTAGACGGACCCTGAGGTCACCCCAGCAACGCAAAGCAGCTCCATGTGCCCCAAATCAACTCGAGATGAGGCCCGATTCCCCTGCATTGACTCCAGAGCCATTCCCCGTTCCCCATTCAACACGACCGGTGGCTCGACTTCCTTCAGGCAACTCCAGAGATGCCCCGAGAACACTGTCCCAAGTCTAGAGGAACACCAACTTCAGCACAGCAACTCGAGGAATGCTCCGTGTACCCCAAATCGTCTCGAGATGCGAGCTGATTCCCTGGCTTAGGCTCAAGACGTATGCCAACTTCCCAGAAGCACCTCAGGAGGAGGCTTCTCTCAGCAATAGGTATGTGGGAGGGACCCCGAGTTTGCTGCCTCAAGGGGAATATACAGCGAGAAGCCCTAACTTGAAAGGAGGCCGGATTTCCTTGCAGTGGCTTGAATACAGGCTCGTCTTTCATCTCACAACATGAAGGGATGTCTGAATCCCCTGTGGAGACCTTACAGAAAGCCCTAGGTCCCTGCCTCATTTTGACGGAATGCCTCACATCCCGCTGACACCTCGAGAGGCACGCGGAGTTCATTGCTTCAAAAGGTGACGATGCCTGACTCCTTTTGAATACTGATAGGAATCCCAAAATCCCTGTGGCTACTGGAAAGGGTCCTTGGGTGCCCTGCCTCACCTCGAGAAGCGTCCCTTTGGCCCTGCCAAGCCTCGAAGAGATTCCAGAGGTGTCCCTCGTTACTAGACAGGAGTCCTGACGTCACTGAAGAAACTCGTGTTTTGAAGGGCCATCCCCGCCTGAAGTCGAGAACATACCCCAGGTCCCCGCCGCAACTCGAGAAAAACCATGAGACTTCCCCCTAGAGGCGAGATGAGGCCCCATTCCCCTGCAGTGCATGCAGAGCTATTCCGTGACCCCATTCAAACAAGTCAGGAGCTTCGACTTGCTTAATGGATCTCGAGACAGTCCCCAAGAACACTGTCACCAGTCTAGACGGACCATGAGGTCACCCCAGCAACGCAAAGCAGCTCCATGTGCCCCAAATCAACTCGAGATGAGGCCCGATTCCCCTGCATTGACTCCAGAGCCATTCCCCGTTCCCCATTCCACACGACCGGTGGCTCGACTTCCTTCAGGCAACTCCAGAGATGCCCCGAGAACACTGTCCCAAGTCTAGAGGAACACCAACTTCAGCACAGCAACTCGAGGAATGCTCCGTGTACCCCAAATCGTCTCGAGATGCGAGCTGATTCCCTGGCTTAGGCTCAAGACGTATGCCAACTTCCCAGAAGCACCTCAGGAGGAGGCTTCTCTCAGCAATACGTATGTGGGAGGGACCCCGAGTTTGCTGCCTCAAGGGGAATATACAGCGAGAAGCCCTAACTTGAAAGGAGGCCGGATTTCCTTGCAGTGGCTTGAATACAGGCTCGTCTTTCATCTCACAACATGAAGGGATGTCTGAATCCCCTGTGGAGACCTTAGAGAAAGCCCTAGGTCCCTGCCTCATTTTGACGGAATGCCTCACATCCCGCTGACACCTCGAGAGGCACGCGGAGTTCATTGCTTCAAAAGGTGACGATGCCTGACTCCTCTTGAATACTGATAGGAATCCCAAAATCCCTGTGGCTACTGGAAAGGGTCCTTGGGTGCCCTGCCTCACCTCGAGAAGCGTCCCTTTGGCCCTGCCAAGCCTCGAAGAGATTCCTGAGGTGTCCCTCGTTACTAGACAGGAGTCCTGACGTCACTGAAGAAACTCGTGTTTTGAAGGGCCATCCCCGCCGTAAGTCGAGAACATACCCCAGGTCCCCGCCGCAACTCGAGAAAAACCATGAGACTTCCCACTAGAGGCGAGATGAGGCCCCATTCCCCTGCAGTGCATGCAGAGCTATTCCGTGATCCCATTCAAACAAGTCAGGAGCTTCGACTTGCTTAATGGATCTCGAGACAGTCCCCAAGAACACTGTCACCAGTCTAGACGGACCCTGAGGTCACCCCAGCAACGCAAAGCAGCTCCATGTGCCCCAAATCAACTCGAGATGAGGCCCGATTCCCCTGCATTGACTCCAGAGCCATTCCCCGTTCCCCATTCAACACGACCGGTGGCTCGACTTCCTTCAGGCAACTCCAGAGATGCCCCGAGAACACTGTCCCAAGTCTAGAGGAACACCAACTTCAGCACAGCAACTCGAGGAATGCTCCGTGTACCCCAAATCGTCTCGAGATGCGAGCTGATTCCCTGGCTTAGGCTCAAGACGTATGCCAACTTCCCAGAAGCACCTCAGGAGGAGGCTTCTCTCAGCAATAGGTATGTGGGAGGGACCCCGAGTTTGCTGCCTCAAGGGGAATATACAGCGAGAAGCCCTAACTTGAAAGGAGGCCGGATTTCCTTGCAGTGGCTTGAATACAGGCTCGTCTTTCATCTCACAACATGAAGGGATGTCTGAATCCCCTGTGGAGACCTTAGAGAAAGCCCTAGGTCCCTGCCTCATTTTGACGGAATGCCTCACATCCCGCTGACACCTCGAGAGGCACGCGGAGTTCATTGCTTCAAAAGGTGACGATGCCTGACTCCTCTTGAATACTGATAGGAATCCCAAAATCCCTGTGGCTACTGGAAAGGGTCCTTGGGTGCCCTGCCTCACCTCGAGAAGCGTCCCTTTGGCCCTGCCAAGCCTCGAAGAGATTCCTGAGGTGTCCCTCGTTACTAGACAGGAGTCCTGACGTCACTGAAGAAACTCGTGTTTTGAAGGGCCATCCCCGCCGTAAGTCGAGAACATACCCCAGGTCCCCGCCGCAAGTCGAGAAAAACCATGAGACTTCCCCGTAGAGGCGAGATGAGGCCCCATTCCCCTGCAGTGCATGCAGAGCTATTCCGTGACCCCATTCAAACAAGTCAGGAGCTTCGACTTGCTTAATGGATCTCGAGACAGTCCCCAAGAACACTGTCACCTGTCTAGACGGAACCTGAGGTCACCCCAGCAACGCAAAGCAGCTCCATGTGCCCCAAATCAACTCGAGATGAGGCCCGATTCCCCTGCATTGACTCCAGAGCCATTCCCCGTTCCCCATTCCACACGACCGGTGGCTCGACTTCCTTCAGGCAACTCCAGAGATGCCCCGAGAACACTGTCCCAAGTCTAGAGGAACACCAACTTCAGCACAGCAACTCGAGGAATGCTCCGTGTACCCCAAATCGTCTCGAGATGCGAGCTGATTCCCTGGCTTAGGCTCAAGACGTATGCCAACTTCCCAGAAGCACCTCAGGAGGAGGCTTCTCTCAGCAATAGGTATGTGGGAGGGACCCCGAGTTTGCTGCCTCAAGGGGAATATACAGCGAGAAGCCGTAACTTGAAAGGAGGCCGGATTTCCTTGCAGTGGCTTGAATACAGGCTCGTCTTTCATCTCACAACATGAAGGGATGTCTGAATCCCCTGTGGAGACCTTAGAGAAAGCCCTAGGTCCCTGCCTCATTTTGACGGAATGCCTCACATCCCGCTGACACCTCGAGAGGCACGCGGAGTTCATTGCTTCAAAAGGTGACGATGCCTGACTCCTCTTGAATACTGATAGGAATCCCAAAATCCCTGTGGCTACTGGAAAGGGTCCTTGGGTGCCCTGCCTCACCTCGAGAAGCGTCCCTTTGGCCCTGCCAAGCCTCGAAGAGATTCCTGAGGTGTCCCTCGTTACTAGACAGGAGTCCTGACGTCACTGAAGAAACTCGTGTTTTGAAGGGCCATCCCCGCCATAAGTCGAGAACATACCCCAGGTCCCCGCCGCAACTCGAGAAAAACCATGAGACTTCCCCCTAGAGGCGAGATGAGGCCCCATTCCCCTGCAGTGCATGCAGAGCTATTCCGTGACCCCATTCAAACAAGTCAGGAGCTTCGACTTGCTTAATGGATCTCGAGACAGTCCCCAAGAACACTGTCACCAGTCTAGACGGACCATGAGGTCACCCCAGCAACGCAAAGCAGCTCCATGTGCCCCAAATCAACTCGAGATGAGGCCCGATTCCCCTGCATTGACTCCAGAGCCATTCCCCGTTCCCCATTCAACACGACCGGTGGCTCGACTTCCTTCAGGCAACTCCAGAGATGCCCCGAGAACACTGTCCCAAGTCTAGAGGAACACCAACTTCAGCACAGCAACTCGAGGAATGCTCCGTGTACCCCAAATCGTCTCGAGATGCGAGCTGATTCCCTGGCTTAGGCTCAAGATGTATGCCAACTTCCCAGAAGCACCTCAGGAGGAGGCTTCTCTCAGCAATACGTATGTGGGAGGGACCCCGAGTTTGCTGCCTCAAGGGGAATATACAGCGAGAAGCCCTAACTTGAAAGGAGGCCGGATTTCCTTGCAGTGGCTTGAATACAGGCTCGTCTTTCATCTCACAACATGAAGGGATGTCTGAATCCCCTGTGGAGACCTTAGAGAAAGCCCTAGGTCCCTGCCTCATTTTGACGGAATGCCTCACATCCCGCTGACACCTCGAGAGGCACGCGGAGTTCATTGCTTCAAAAGGTGACGATGCCTGACTCCTCTTGAATACTGATAGGAATCCCAAAATCCCTGTGGCTACTGGAAAGGGTCCTTGGGTGCCCTGCCTCACCTCGAGAAGCGTCCCTTTGGCCCTGCCAAGCCTCGAAGAGATTCCTGAGGTGTCCCTCGTTACTAGACAGGAGTCCTGACGTCACTGAAGAAACTCGTGTTTTGAAGGGCCATCCCCGCCGTAAGTCGAGAACATACCCCAGGTCCCCGCCGCAACTCGAGAAAAACCATGAGACTTCCCCCTAGAGGCGAGATGAGGCCCCATTCCCCTGCAGTGCATGCAGAGCTATTCCGTGACCCCATTCAAACAAGTCAGGAGCTTCGACTTGCTTAATGGATCTCGAGACAGTCCCCAAGAACACTGTCACCAGTCTAGACGGACCCTGAGGTCACCCCAGCAACGCAAAGCAGCTCCATGTGCCCCAAATCAACTCGAGATGAGGCCCGATTCCCCTGCATTGACTCCAGAGCCATTCCCCGTTCCCCATTCAACACGACCGGTGGCTCGACTTCCTTCAGGCAACTCCAGAGATGCCCCGAGAACACTGTCCCAAGTCTAGAGGAACACCAACTTCAGCACAGCAACTCGAGGAATGCTCCGTGTACCCCAAATCGTCTCGAGATGCGAGCTGATTCCCTGGCTTAGGCTCAAGACGTATGCCAACTTCCCAGAAGCACCTCAGGAGGAGGCTTCTCTCAGCAATAGGTATGTGGGAGGGACCCCGAGTTTGCTGCCTCAAGGGGAATATACAGCGAGAAGCCCTAACTTGAAAGGAGGCCGGATTTCCTTGCAGTGGCTTGAATACAGGCTCGTCTTTCATCTCACAACATGAAGGGATGTCTGAATCCCCTGTGGAGACCTTAGAGAAAGCCCTAGGTCCCTGCCTCATTTTGACGGAATGCCTCACATCCCGCTGACACCTCGAGAGGCACGCGGAGTTCATTGCTTCAAAAGGTGACGATGCCTGACTCCTTTTGAATACTGATAGGAATCCCAAAATCCCTGTGGCTACTGGAAAGGGTCCTTGGGTGCCCTGCCTCACCTCGAGAAGCGTCCCTTTGGCCCTGCCAAGCCTCGAAGAGATTCCAGAGGTGTCCCTCGTTACTAGACAGGAGTCCTGACGTCACTGAAGAAACTCGTGTTTTGAAGGGCCATCCCCGCCTGAAGTCGAGAACATACCCCAGGTCCCCGCCGCAACTCGAGAAAAACCA